AGGGCCGCATGGCAAGTAGGGCTGCACGCTCGTGCGCCGTCGTGGCTGCACAGGCGGTCATTTCCTGCTGCCATGGCGCCGTGTTGGTGTGCGACGCGGGCCAGTGACATGGCCCGTCTCTGCGCTCCGGTGCGTGACTCGCTTCGTCTGCCACCAGACCTTTGTCGTTGTTTCGTAAGCGGGCTCCAAGCAACGACGACACATGGCCGCGCTCCCTTGGGCAGCTCAGGGGGCGTGTGCTGCCTCGAACCCGGTTCCATGCTCGCCAGCCCGTCCGTTTGCAAAACTTGCGGCGCCGTCGTGCGCTTCCGCTGGGGCACAGCTGCCATGAACCGCCGAGCGCTCGAATCAGCGCTGCGAATCTGACATCGGCCGGCCAGACGATCCATCCTGACCCTTGTGCCGGCGCCGGCTTGGGCAAGGCCCTTCCATGGTAAGCCTGTCTGCGGTGCTCCTCATTCGTTCGAGGCAGCGCGGCGACGGAATTAGAAATGCCCTAGCCACCGTGGCTCGCGGCGCGGAAGCCTGCGGATTCGAGCCATGGCAGCCCGTGGACGGCGAAGACGTCGTCGTCTCGCGTCGCCTCGCCGTTGACGGTTCACGGTAGACTACCATGGCAGACATGCTAAGCTCGGATCCCAGGAGAAGGTTCAGCTAGCGGGGATCGGCGGGGATCGGCGCGGACGCAGCAGATGTGATGAAACCCCAGCCGTTGGCCTTGGACAGTGTGAGACTGACGAACTGGTTGCTTGTCTGAGCTGTCCGCCATGCGCTAGTAAACATGGCATTGCTGCGGCAAATGCACGCTGACGGCCCGCTGATTGACCTGGTGTGCAGCCGGTGACAGACGGCCAGCCTCGGCGGCCAATCACGGCCGCCCTGCACCGTCGTCGATGAAGCGACCATCAATCTGCCCTCCAATTTGTTGTGCTGCGAGTCGGTGTGGGTGGTGTTCCTTGCATGAGCCGTGCTGGAGGCGGATAAATCCTCAGGGCTGGACCGACAGAGCAAAGCCTGCTGGTCAGGAGGTCACAAGACGTGCCACCGGTCAGGCGTCGTGTTCCTGCTCTGCTCAGGAAGCGTCGCGCGCCGCCAAGGGCTAGTGCAAGGCCGAGCAGACGTTGATTGACTGCCACACCGCAGCGCGCCCATGACGAGCGTGGCGAGCTGGGTGCATCTGTCTGGTGGGGACATGCTTCGCGACGAGACAGCCCTGCGAGACGTGCGAGCACTGTGTATGCCTTCCGGGCGCCGCTTCCGTAAGGAGCAATCAAAGAGCTGTCAGCCGCCTCCCGCTAGCCCCTCGTGTCTATCTCGCCGGTACGTGTACCCACGAAGCCGCGCTGTGCTGCTGCCACGATCCGACGGCCATGCTCGTCTCGCGCCTCTGGAGGAACATGGCAACAGAGGGTTCCAGCGCTCCGTCTCACGCGCGGAAGGCGCCTCCGCCATCGCTGTCTACTACCAGCCAGGCGGATTCCATCGTCGTCACTGCCGGCGCGACAAGCGGCACGGACGTCCTCCTCCACGCCTGTGTTCCCGAACAAGCACTCCTCCGGGAGCTAGCACTTGAAACATTGCTGCTATTGGTGGCACGAGATCACGGGCCGGCACGAGGGTCAGACAGTGGGCGTTGGATGTACGAGCCTGGCAACACCGTCTCCGCAGGAGCAGTCAGATAAACGACGGCTTGTGCGACAACGACACGGGAAGACTGGGGTCGGATGCATGGGGCCAAATCCGCATGCTCAAGACTGCCCCAACCTCGCACCAAGGCGTGCCCCAGGCGCATCCCGTGCATGTCGTTGTATTGCTGCGTCCTTGTTGCTGCACCTTCGATCAAGGTTGGAAGTATCCTGCGCGGCATCCAGGAGCCGACACGACATGGCCATGGAAGCCCGCGACTGTGCCACCACCAACATGCGGACAGCGACCTGAAATGGTCACGACGCGACCGTCCATAAACACCGCGCTAAGGAGAGGCGTGTAACTGGCTGAGGGGCATCAACTGACCGATGGACTGACGTTCGCATACGCTCTCGTAGTCTCGCATATATCAATAGTCGCACGCCGCAAGGCCGCAGACAGGAGACGCTGCTGTTGTATGCAAGGAATTCCATCCCCCGCAGTAGCGCACTCTATCGCGAGACAACAGAGGCACAGCATCGAGGCCGGACGAAAGGTGCTTATGGTCTTGACAAGATTCCCCGCTCCGTCAGCAAGGCAATATTCTCCTAACAATGGCCCCCAAGGGACGTCGCACCACGTCGATCAAGCGCGGAACCAGGAGAAGAATGCGCATGCAGCGGGATGATCTGAGAGCCTGTGCCGCTTCAAGACATGCCCAACGTCTGGCGAGCGGGACGGCATTTGCTCTCGAGGTCAAATGATCGCAATTCTATGCCCTCGCGTTTCTGGGATTGGCCAGCTTGCAACAATTCGACCGGTCATCTTAGCATGATTCGCCAGGTCATCAGCACCGCTGAGCGATCGGTGTGAACGAAGACATCGAAACGCGGCATGCGCAGATTTAGGGCGCCCACACACCGCCGTTCCAGGCGAAAAATGCCTCCATCTGCTGATGTGACCAGGATTATTGCAACAAGACCGATCTTGCATGCCACCGGGCGGTGCTGCGCTTGTTCTTCCTTCTGTTGGCTTGTCGCGCCTAGCTGAACGCTGACGGGAAGCCGCCCAACCGACATGCCACTTTTCGCTTCCCTGTATTACCGGGTGAAACACGTCGACAAGGTCGCCAGCCGCGCGGCGAAGCAGCCGTTTGTGATATCATGAGTTCTATCAGACGCGGGTAGCCTGGTGTGGGTGAGAGACCACACCCATGCACTCGAACGAATTGCGGCCCCGGCCCGTCGCGGCTTGCTGCTTGTGACATACAGGACAAGGGTTTAGTGGAGAACACTCCTTCGGATGAACTGGCCGGTCTTTACTCGCGACCGATTGCGGTAATACGACCATTCTGCAATGTAATCGCATCAACAATACCCGACTACCGGCCAGGCATTATATTGTCGACGCAAGAAAAAGCGAAATCAGCCCATCTGGCCGCGGTCATTAGGGGCCGCTCGCGAACACCAGCGAGCTGGCAGCGCACCAGGCTGCGGCTAAGAGGACGCGGCCCGCCATGTCTTGGACTGAGGGCCGGGGGGTTCTGGCGGTCACTGCGCATCCCTGACTGCGCTGCTAAGCGCCGTGCGACGTGGGCGATCCTTGGAGTTCATTTTAGTAAGTAACGTGACCTTCCCTTCATGCGGGACTAATGCAGAACTTCGTTTGATTGCCTCGCTTCGCTTTCCAGTGAGCGCCACTGCCGATGGGCTGCAGGCATCTATTGGCGCCTGCTTCCTGCCAGCTCTCCCGTTCCACCAATCCCAAGATGTTTCGACGAGTTTCCCGGCGTGAGCGAGTGAAACCTTCGCTGGGGCGTTGGGCACCTGCTACGCCGCAAGCGGACATATAACCTTCTCAAGCGTCGTTTTCATCCACACCGCTAGCGCTATCCTCATCGTTCTCCTCGCTCGAGTCCGAGGACTCTTCGTCTGGCATGACGACACTGTTGAGGTATGTAATCTGCAACCGTACGTTAGATAGAGTTTGTGTGCGGGACGGGCAGAGACGCAGAGCTAGCGAGTTTTCCCCACCTCTGACCGTCCCCGTGCAGTTACGGTCGGGTTAGGTTGGCTGCAGTGCCAACGCATACGGTGGCCATCCTGTGCGCGTAGTGACCGATCTCGACGAGGGTATGTATCCCTTGGCCTAAACGGTTCACCCTCAACCCGTTTCCACAGGTCGGTTCGACACAGTGGAGGGAGTGAGTGAGCGAGCGGCAAAGCAGCCGGTCCGTAAGCGTATCTTACCCCAAATCGTGCTTTACAACGGCAGCTGGTACGACCATGAGGTCGCTCGAAACCTGCACGTGTATAGCAATTCTTGGGGCAGCACGTGAATGACAATACGGAGTGCGTCCCGCTTTTTTGGCTCACTCGCTGTGCCAGGCTTCCGAGTCGTGCAAGTCGAGCAAAAAAGGGACTTACAAAGGGAACCATGCACCCGATAAGTCCAGCGATTCGGTCCAGACCGCCAGTTCCTATGACTTCTTTGTCGGAGAGTTTGGTACCGAGTGTGAAGTTTCGGAGTCTTAGGAGGTCGATGTCTCTATGATCGGTGTCATATCCCTGGACGAAACCTCGTTAGCGTTGCGGCTCACTCAAGGGTGATTCATGCACGATAGTCAGCGGCAAGAGGCGAGCAGAGAGATCTTGACAGAACCGCCAGATGTTGTACTTGGAGCTGCCGTTTCGCGGTCGAATATGGCAAATGCCACGGAAGCTCGAGACTGTTTGCGGGCCGTCTAATCCCACAGTACGCAAGTCAGTCTCCAAATAGCATAGCCGTCGGAGACGCTGCAAGGGGGCGCGGGCATTCGTAAAGATGTCTTGAGCGCCATTCAATCTTCACCCATTAAGCCGACAGACTTGGCCACATTCGCTACCTCTCGACGTTGCTTGGAGATGATAGTGCGCCACTTCTGGGGAAGTGGCTCTGTGGCCCGAAAAAAAAGCGCCGGCTGCTGTCGCCCACACTAGGTGGTCGGAAATCAGGATAAACTTTGCAGGCGCATAGTAAGATGTGACTGCAGGATGAGCTTCACAGATCTAGGCTATACATGAATCCTTCGCGATCCATGGCATGTCAGAGTGTTGTGTGCATCCTGGGGTATGCATGTGAGGATGTGTCCCATTCTTTGTTCTGCAAACGGGAGATCCCTGGGTAGGGCGCCAGGATCGAATGACTGGTGCAAATTTTGTGTTTGGTGGCGAGTGGTCGATCGAGTATCGTCCGTATCGATTCACAGCGTGGTGACTTTGCTAGGTCTTCTTTCATCTCGATCGGTGCTCCCGAGAGTTTTCGAAGTGTTGTAAGTGTTGTAATGTAACGAGTGCTTCCTCCAGGACTCGACGCGACAGTCTTCACTCTCTTGCTCACTTGAGGGGAAGCAACTTAAAGCAACTTACCTTAGGATGCTTCTTGAGAGCATTTGACCGATTGCTGGTCTGGTTCGCGAATGCTTCCACGGCTTTCTTTTCGTCATTAGATATCCCGCCCAAGAACGACTTCCGAAGACCCGCATCTGTCAACACGCGTTTGATCTTGTGTGGCTTCCGATCGATGTCTTGACGCAGCGCGCTCAGCGCGCCGGCTTCAGGCATCCACAACCCACCACCTACGAATCGTTAGCGAGTCCTCCGCGCAGTTATACAGACGAATCAGTCTATCTAGAACCGATACTGCCATCGCGCATTGTCCAGTGGAAGACCAGACTGCGAGATCTGGCATTGCCCCTGGCTACGGCAGATTCGATCGAGCCACGCACCCCCGTACGACTCCGCAATGTCGGAGGATACAACCTCAACGGCCGTAATACGATACGATCATATGGGAACATGGTCCACAGCAGGGAACGTAGAGTCAGATCAACCACCAGATCACACCCTCCCACTCCTCGGCAAAGGGTTCTTGCATGCGCGAGCGGGAACCGTCTGAAGGAAAGCCCAGATACCTAAGCCCTCCGAAATGCGTGAGTATGCATAGATGCATGCTCGCCGAAGACGAAGCCATTGTCATCAACTCGCATCGGAAGCTCTCGGTCTTTGCATCGCTGTGCTCTGACAGACTGTCGTTTAAGAGCTCCTTGTGCATCGCCATGATGAGAGGGCTGGATGCTCGATGGCGGAGCTATCAGCAAGTGCTGACCCTGATATACCCATACCCAGGTCTCGTGTGCAAGATCGAAAGCCCTTCGCTCTCAAGCTCAACCGAAACGACGATGCCGCACCAGTCCCGTTTGCTGCGAATGCCCAAGCGCAGGCCATATTGCCCTCGTCCCTCTTCATCGCGACGTCCTTCCCGAATCGTGAGGTCGACGAACTGATAAGCTTCACAACTTCGTACATGCCCTCCCGGTAGATCGCGCTCGAACAACCTTTCGACTGGATAACACTCAACGCGAGGATGCTCTAGAACAGAGGTGTTCAGCCTTGTTGAAAGCACATTCCACCCAGCGGACCTCTCTGTATTGTTGTCGATCCATCTTGAAGGTCGACAGGACGTGCAACATGGGTCTGCTTGCTGTACGGCTTGACGAGAGAGCGGGTTCCAACATATACGAATGCCTAAACATGCAGAATGTGCTCCTTGGCATACGTCTTGTCTCGCTTCATGGCAGTAGAACTAGATGCTATCAACGCTAGCTTAAGTCCTAGCCAGCTGTCCAACGTACGTTGAGTGACACCTGTGTCGCTGGGGTTCGAGGACAACCACGCGCTTCTTGATACGCGTATGGATATACTCGCGCCTAGCACGCGGCACATTTGTAACCGGGCTCCGATTACGAGGATTACATGTGACGAGACTGTTGTTACTTCGAGGGTGCGGCGCTTGGTATCGGACCGGCACTCATAAGCTGCTGCATGTGGCCCTCTATAGTCGAAGTCGTGTCGACGACCAGCTTAGCTTCGTAGCATATCTGTTGTACTCCGCTGTGTTTTGCGACCCGTCACATGGACAGCAGAGCATTTGTCCTACAGAAGAACGCAAGGAAAAGATGTAGCACTTACCGACAAAGCTAGAGCCGTTTGGTTGGATTTGTACGTAGTAAGCCGCATATGGTCCTTTTCGTCCCGTACTACACCGAAGAGTACAGCGTTAGCAAAAGGCGCAACTGACGACAAAACAGTATTTGTAGGCGAGGGACACGGCCTAAGCGGTTCTCGTGGTCTGTGTAGGCTCTCGACTTACCGGCTCCATGCTGCAGAGAAGTGCGTCTAAAACGTGCGTTAGCTCATCGAGAATGTCACGTAGCCATGCGAGGTAACCTCGTCGTGTTACTAGACTCTGCTTACCTTGTAAGGGGTTTGGTCTTTAGAGAACCTGACATCTGAAGCGTTTAGACATCTCTAGGTAGAGGCGCTCCTCGCTGCTTACCTCGATAAATTCGAAAGATCTAAAGCCTTCAGTATGTGTCCTCAGTGTGATTATCATCCACCGAGTAGAACTTACAATATCCTTCACGGGGAGTTCAGGAATGGTCTCGTCAGCTTCGATGATTTTTTCCGAAAGCCTTTCGAGGAATGTCGTAAAGTCCTGCAGCGAGGTTCGATAATCGGCGTCGTGTGCTACCTCAAGTTTAGCGACAATCATGGATACGAGATGAGTGCACCCAGGGCGGACACAGAACGTTATTGTGCATCAAGCTGCAGCTGACGCACCTTTCAACCATTGGCGGTCATTGTGAGCGGCTAGATCGCTAAGGAAAAGCATGGTGTTGGGGTGGATCGTGTCATCTGTGAAGGGAGTATCGCCCGCTTCTCGCGCCTTTGGCTTTTTGATGATCACTTGGGTGCCAAGTTCAAGCTTTGCTCCAGACTTCCATAGCTCTTCGCCACCGTCTTCCTTCTTGCGCACCGGCACTGTGGCTCGCTTAGCAGAACGTCCTCTTGGGGTCGTTTCGACCTGGTTGTCTTCGTCGCTGCCAACATCGGGATCGGACTGGGAGGATGGATCAGCAACGCTCTCCTGTTCGTAATCAGATTGCGCTGCTGTATCTTCGTCGGATGGCGCTGCGCTTGGCCTCTCCATATCATCATCCGACTCCGCTTCTGCATAAGATGTCTTGGTCGTTGACTTCGCTCTCTTCGACTGGCGACTGGGTGTTACCGGAGCGGCGCGCTTCACGGAACCGCGGGATGACGCAGACTTCGTGGGCTTGGTAGGTTTTCGGGGCATTCTGGGTTGTTTCTTTTCATATGTAATTCTTTAGCTGGTGGAGTGACCTCGCGTTGCAGTCGTGTGAAGGAAGACGCGTTCTGCACGGGCCACCACAAAATGACGTTGTCAGATTCCAAGAGCAGAAAGTGCGGTCCGTCCCGCAACACTTCCGCATATTATTGATTATTCAACCTGGCGGTGCCGGACCCCCACGGAGACTGAGAAAACTTTAGTAGAACAATTGCGCATGCGTCACTTCCACGATGTTGACCCGCTTTCAGACGCGCAAAGCGAGGATTCTAGAGCAACTTGCCGCCCCAGATGAGGAATACCAGGATCTGTCGCCCAAAGGTTCTGTAGACGCACCAATACGCGCCTTGATCGGGGACCTGAATGTTCTTGAAGGATTGGTTACAACGAGCAGCTGCTCTGGACGCATAAGCGTTTTCCTCGAGGGCCGCAAAGCTGATCCTACCGACGCCTACCCCCAAGAAGAGTCAAAAGCGGGACCGGGAGGCAAAGGGGGCGGAGGCTTGTGGCTCTACATATCACATGATACTGTCGCAACATCCTTAGATGGCCTTTCAGATCTCATGGCTACTTTTGGCCTGACGAAGGGTGGTTCTGTCAATAAAACATCAAAAACAGCGTGCAGATACATCCATCTGAAATTCGAACCAATGGTACGTGACACTATCATGGTCGGATCATGGCGCTTACACATAGCAGATTCTGCATATTTTGACAGCGTCCCTAGAGGATTGTCAGCGCGTTCTCACTGCCGCTCTCAGCGCCGGCTTCAGGGAAAGCGGTGCCGTGAGCATGACTCCGTCGAAGAGCGGAGAGATTAACCCCATGGTAGCCGTGCGGTCTACAGGCTATTCCTTCGATTCCATCATCGGCTACCACGATGATGCGGGGCGAAACATTGCGCTTGTGGACCAGAAATATCTCCAGACGCTAATGCATATTGCGAATGAACGTTTCCAGATCAACGCGGAAAGGATTGCACGATTTAGAACAGCTTTGCTTCGACAGTATCAACATCAGCCGTTCGAGAGCTCTGGAAGCGCTGCATCCGAATGGGAGGACGCCGAAGCAAGAAAACAACGGAAAAGAGCAGAGGGGCTTGCACGGCAGCAAGCTTTGAAGAACCAAAGCGAATCAAACCCTACGAATTAATATATTACACAAACCACTGATGATGAAATGAAAAGTATGTTTGACTGAAGTCTCTCAATGCACGGAAAACGGAAGACAGATCTGTATCTTTCAGCACCATATGATCTAGGGTGATTCCGCACGGGTAAGTAGTACCCTCAGAACATCTACCACCAGAATCATGTGGCAACCATCTAAGTTCGAAAAAGATGTCTCTAATCCAGAGTCACAATACGTAAAGTTACCGAGAAGTATGCAAGTCTCTCGCATTTTACGCTTTTGTGCAAGTTCCGAGACTACACATGTTGTTCGAAAGATAATGTCTCCGATGCTTGATATCCCCCTCTTAATGCATTCTTCGGCTAGCGGCTAGTATTAGTCACTTTCAGCCAATAAAGTTCTCAGTCTAAAGTCTCCGAACACATGGACCGGCGACATCCCACGACCACTAAGTCGGCAGACTTCTGTATATAGCCTCGCGGAATGCGCAGCTGTGACTACCTCTCAGCAACATAATCAGAATTCTTACATAAAGGGAGACATCCACCAACTCGAGGTTTTGATTTGTCCATGTGTGGCCACGATCCTCCAATGATCAATATGTCGACTGCAGCAGCTAACCGACAGTACTTTGAGTAAGTACAAGATCGATAATCAAAAAACCGGATAGCTAACATCTTGAAGTGCTATCACCGACACGTACGACAGCAAGCCTTTCTTCGTCAAAGTCAACCAAGTTGTCACCGATGATCTGCGTAACCGCCTCGACTGGATCGGAATCCCCTTTGCCAACACAGGATCAAGCTCACATGCTCAAAGCGTGAGGCAACTTGACTATGCTTGCGGGACAGGACTCATGTCGCGGGTCTTCGGTCCCTACGTTACAGAAACACGCGGCATCGACGTATCCCCCAACATGGTAGCCTCATACAACGCCCGTGCGCGCGCCGCTGGCCTTTCCGCTTTCACCATCAACGCCGTCGTTGGGGACTTATTCGATACACAAAATCCCTCCCCTACCGGTGCCGAATGGGATGGTTTTGATCTTGTAACTGCGAGCTTCGCATTTCACCACTTCGAGGATGTGGTGCATGCTGCGAAAAGTTTAAAGGACAGACTTAGACCTGGCGGAGTGCTCATGATCAATGATTTTCTTGAAGGTGGCGATTTGAAGGCTGATGAGAAGGGTGAGCCGATTGAGGGGACGGAGGGCACGTGGGCGGCACATCATCACCATGGCCACGAGCATGGAAAGAAGGAGCACGGTGTTCATCACCACCAAGCTGCGCAGGTAGATGAGCCAGGCTGGGACCGCGCGAAGATGGCTGCCTCGGTTGTCGTCCCTAGCTTCACCGTCGAAGCCGTGAGGAAGTTCTTCACAGAAGCAGGACTGGTCGATGTGGATGTCGTGATGATGGATAAGAGAGTCTACGTGGAAATCGCTGGCCAAAAGCTATGGCGGACGATTTTGTTTGCAAGGGGCAGAAGGCCGGCGGAGGCTAGATCGGAATTGTGAAAGAAGCACATGCATGGAGCCACCGTCATCTGATAATGAGCAGAGTTTGAGCTTAGTGCAATGTGAACAGAACACGTGGTTTTCACCAGGTCCACGTTATGAAAATGTACAATCATGCATGGTGAGGAGTTATGGCCTGGAAGCAAGATTGTGTCCCTGCACTTCTACTGAATGGAGATGTACCATGCCGTTGCATAGCAAAATCAACATGAAGCTCAATCAGCCCCTCAGAGCTTCTTGAAGAAGGCTACTTGTAGGGCTTTACAAGAGCCGACTGGAGCACATCTTTTGCTCTCGGGCTGCAGTTATGACGTCTCGACAGTCTGTTGATCATGGATGGTAAGGCCTATCGCACGATTCGTCAATTTCACAGCTGCTACACTACTAATTGACTGGATCGTCTACATTGTATGCTAACGTGCAGTCGGTCACGAAGATCGGATCATCAATGAACGGCTTTTGTGTGAAGCTTGTTTGCTTTATCAGGACCTCAATGAGAATCCCACCCATGCCAACGAGATTTCCAACTGCCATTTGACTGCATTGTCTTGCGGACTGCGGGTTTCATTTGTGGTATAGGGGTCGAAGGAGTCGATTGGAATCGGATGTTTGACAAAGGTGCTCTTAGTGGCGAAGGTAGTTCGAATTGCGACAGTACTTCCTGCCGCGAATACGTCTTCGGTTGCACTTGTGATTCTGCTTGCTCCAGCGGTTTTGATCGCGAAGGGATTCTGGACTGCGAAAAGGTCCTTGATTGCGGTCGGGTCGGCTTCGGAGGAGGAATGGAGTGGTGCGACGAAAACATGTCAGCTTTGACTCCTTCAAGCAGGATCGCGACGACGGCGTCCGTTTCTTCCCTCATATCCGCATATCTGGCCGTGACCAGCGCAGGAGCGATGTGCAATCGCACGCTCCCCGTCAGACTCCAGTCCTCATTCCGCTCCGAAGTACGTTCAAGTCGTCTATACTCGGGCAAAGCAGCCGCGTTCATCAATCTCCCGAACTCATCGAAGCCGCGCTCCTTCAGACCTTCGGTGAAGGCATTGCGCAAGCGCCTCCTGCACCACGAGCGTACAACTCCGGACTTGGAGAGGTCAACGCCAGTCGTGACATGCCACCACAGACCTTCTCGTTTGCGTGCTTCCATCTCACGCCTGCGCAAGATGTGCATTGGGTGCAGCGGGTCGCCCACGGCATGGTGCTGGAGGAACGTCTTGTACTCAGGAGCGTAGCTGATTTTGAACGTCTTCGGTTTGAAGCGGCTGAGCAGGCCTGTGATGACCTTCATTAAGGGATGCGGTGTATGATGGCGGCCAGTAATGACTGTGAGCGACGACTCATTGGGCCATGGTTTGTGAATGATTGAAAGCTTGCAGTGTGAATAATCACAATTGACTTGACTGATGATGACGCTCAAAAAGTTACGCGCTACGCTAACCCGTTGCGATTGGGCAGTGGCGGCCCACAATCGCGGTGCGGGACTTGGTTCAGCGTGTTCAAACCTTGCGCACTCACCTTTACACAACACACACCCAAACCCGCCATAGCCGCCACCTCACTACAACACACACAGCGGACACCACTACAACAGACCCCACGATGCCTAAGAACAAAGGAAAAGTACGTCGCTGCACGAGAAATACCCCGCCACACTGCCCCGCCATCAGTCCGTAAGGCTTCCACGAAAGCGCACGCTGACAGGATATGTAGGGTGGCAAGAACCGACGTAGGGGCAAGAACGAGAACGACAACGAGAAGCGTGAGCTCACCTTTAAGGAGGAGGGCCAAGAGTACGCACAGGTCATCAAGATGCTGGGCAACGGCCGCCTGGAAGCACAATGCTTTGACGGTACCCGCCGCCTAGGGCACATCCGCGGCAAGCTCAGGAAGAAGGTGTGGATAAATCAGGGTGATATCATCCTGCTCAGTCTGCGTGACTACCAAGACGAGAAGGGCGACGTTATGTGAGTGCTTTTCCACTGCGTTACTTTGTGCGCGCTTGACTGACTGTTCTGCAGCTTGAAGTACTCCGCCGACGAGGCGCGATCACTGAAGGCATACGGTGAGCTGCCTGAAAACGCAAAGATTAACGAGACCGACACCTACGGCGACCAGGGCGACGAGGGTATCGGCTTCGAATTCGACGAGGACCGCGACGACAGCGACGACAGCGACGACAAGGACGGCAAGGATCTCGACATCGACGACATCTAAAGGGGCTCAGCAGTCCGCCATGCTTGCCCTGGCTTACACTTGCCGCCACTCATGGACGACATTCCCATGCAAGAGAGGCCAGGGTCGGCTCAAATGCGCGCGCGTTTCGACGGCGGGCGGACAATTTGGTATTTGCATCACGTTCTTCCAAGATATCACGATTGTATGGCTTGAATAATGGCATTGTCGCCTTTTTTGCTAGCTGTTTGCGGGTATAGAGCAAAAAGTATACTTCATCTTCAAAACCCTTTTTAGTTCATTCGCGCTTAGTATTTCTGCTGAAGTCACCCCGCAACGACTAGCTTTCCACTTAGTATGCCTTCGCCTTCGCCTTCCCGTCCACTATGACATCTCCATTTGAGTACATCTGGGCTCCTCGCCTTGATCTCCATCTTCGTACACCCACCACAAGTTCTACAAGAGATATGTATGCTTGCAGGAGTATGACAACTGCACGCACGACGTAGTCTTTCCATCCCAACAGAGGTGCTGTTCCTCTACTAAACTTTGCATTCCTAGCCTCCCATGGTACACTTCCACCTAGCCTGAGCCCCACTCTCATTCCACTGTAAAATCCATCTTCGTGGAACCCATACCCCGTCCAAGCACCCACATACCACACTCCCCTCTTTCCCTGTATTTGCTCCAGGTCTTCTTGTGCAGCGACCATGCGAGCATTATACAGTGGGTGTCGGTACTCGTAAGTAGCTTGTGTCAGGGTCTTGTGTGGTGGTGATTCTGGATTGAGAGTGACTAGGATGTCGCCGTAGGTGGAGGTTGGAAGCGATTGCAGTATGTTCATGTTGTAGGTTAGGGAGACGTTTTGGAGGCTGCCGGCAGAGGAATTAATGGGTCTGGAAGGTAGTCGTGAATGGGTGAGGTAGTTCCAGGCGGACCAGGCGGCGCGGCGCTCAGGCATGAGCTGGTGCTTGTTAGATCGTGTCTTAAGAGAGAGATACGACATCGAATTCACTTACGGAAAGATCAGAATGCAGGTAAGCGGTATTCGGGGTTGTCTCAAATGCGCTCAGGATATTTCTCTCTTCAAGCGTTGCAGCATCGCCCACGATCGACCGTGCCTGATCCCCATGGCAGGCCAGCACAACCTCGTCAAAGATTTCCGTCTTCTTACCCGCTTTTCCCCCTAGCTCCAGCTCGACACATCCATCCACCCTCTTCAGTGATTCTACGGGTGTGCTCAATTCAATTTTTGCTCCATTGCACTCCTTCAACACAGCATCAATATACCTTTTTGACCCTCCCTCAACCGTCAACCAAGGCGGCCTCTCCGCCACCGTCGACAACAAATGGTGATTCCACATAAACCTCACGAGCGTTAATGCCGGAAACTCTAATGCACACTTATCAGGACCCGTACTCCAAACGCATGCCGTCATCGGAATGAGGTAGTCATCCCGGAAAGCATCCGAGTATGCTTCTCTTTCCAAGTAATCTCCAATCGTGAGTTCGTCTGACGGCGCTGCAGGACTAGACAAAAGATCCAAGGAGAACATGTTGAAGCGCACAATATCGAATATCATGCGCCAGAACGAAGGCCGCAGCGCATTGCCCCTCTGCGCGAACAATGCGCCCAGCGATGTCCCGGACCACTCAAATGCGCCTTTGTCGCGCGAGATGCCGAAGGTCATTTCCGAGGCGATGGTTTTGACGCCAAGCTCTTTGAGAAAGGCGATGAAGTTGGGGTACGTGGCGGTGTTGAGGACAATGAATCCTGTGTCTACGGGCGTACTTTGCGAGGGGTTGAGCTGCGACGTCCATATTGCTGTGTTGGTGTGGCCGCCTAGTCGATCTTCTTTTTCGAAAAGTGTTATGTCGTGGGGAGTATTGCGCAATGTCCAGAGAGTGGAGAGGGCAGATATGCCGCTGCCGACTATGGCTATACGTTTACGTTCCATCCCGTTGTTTGCGTTAATGCCGCCGTGCTGTTCAATGTCTAAAAAGCCACGATAGTGGGTAGGGGCCGTAAAGCTAGAGAAGATTGTCGCTCGGAATTTTAAGCTAATAGGTTGTGAACATGGAGTTTGGATTGGGCTGTGTGGGCAGAGTGTTGAGGTCATTGATATCTGAATCGAGCTTCGTTTCATATTGGTACTGACTCGGGCTTTTCACTTTGTGCAGTGTCAGGCGCCTCTGTTGTAAGACGCTGGAGGTGAACTTTGTACAAGTAAGAGCACCCGTTCCATACAAAGGGCATAGTAGCCAACTCTTTGGAAGACCCGCCGTTTGACCTCGTGCGGGTCCAGGTTGTCCACCTAGCACACCTGCAGCATACACTGATTTGGTTTCGGTGCATCAGAGTCTATGTGTACGATTATAGCAATGTATCAAGCTGCGAACGTGTTCTAGACGTTCTGAAAGGGAAAGAAGACAGCATTGACGATGATTGTCTCGGAAATCATCCAGCCCCGGAGCAGTCGTAAATGCCCTAGTCTCAAGCAGGTAAGTTCGCTATGGAACAGTGTTCGCATAGGTGAAGGACTTGACATTTTATTGCCTTGGTGGCTTTCAAAATGAGACGTTCGACATTCATTGAGTCCATCCATAGTTTCTACGCGGTTCAGGTGCCCATGTTCTAGGTGCCCACTGGCCCCGGGGGCAGGATCATCACGTGACATACTGACAAGGTTTCCCTTGGCATTACGCAGTTCGTCCGCGCCTCCAGGCGCAACTTCCCAACTGCAACTCCCGCTTCGCAATCCTTCTCGACGTTGCTCACACATTTTCATACGGGAATTACTGCACGACCGATAGCAGTGTCGTCCACATACCGTAACCGATCGCAAACATGTCCCTCGTCGACGCTGATGCTGGCACGGAGCGTTTCAACGGCTACGAAGCCGACTTGAAGCTCGTGCAAGCTGATCTGAACCAACAGATAGAAGTTATCAAGGAGTCCACCGGCGAGCCGAGAAAGGCGGCGATCAGCAAGGCGGAGCGGGCGCTTGAAGAGGCAGAAGAGCTGGTACGTTGCGCCTATCACTCGGACAGGTGGCGCCTAACATTATACACAGATCGGCCAGATGCGCCTCGAGAAGTCGAACATTCCCGCGAATCTTAAATCCAAATTCAACGCCCGATTCCGTAACTTTGAGCACGACTTGGACCAGGCCAAGCGAAAGGTCGAGTCCTATTCCAGCGACCGCAGCAAGCTCTTTGGCGATCGCTACACCGACAACCCCGACACGGATGCCCAGCTCGAGCAGCGCCAGCAGTTGTTGTCGGGAACGGACAGGCTGCAGCGGTCGTCAGGAAGGCTTACTGCGGCACAGCGCATGGCACTGGAGACCGAAGAGATCGGCGCGGGCACGCTCAGCGATCTGTCAAGGCAGAGAGAGCAGATTGTCAACACAAGGGAACGGCTGTTGGAAAGCGAAGGCTACACAGACCGTAGTATCAAGACTTTGAAGGGTATGGCGAGGAGGTACGTATCTCCCTCTACATTCAACAAAGCCGAGGGTGTTGATGCGGAGTACCTAGGGTGTGGTTTCCCGTCTAATTTGAAGCATGCTAACGAAGCTGTGACATCAGGATGGCCACGAACCGAATTATTACCATTGCAATCATCACTGTACTTGTTCTCCTTATCATTGCGGTTATCTACAGCAAGTTCCGATAAGCGATCAATTTATGTTTGGAGTTATCGGCGTTGGAGCGATCGTTGTACAAGATACGTCTGTAGGGTATTTGGGCCTGTCTTCAATACGATACCGCAACAGAGGGTCATGAAACTATCAATATCTACAAATCCAGAGGACCACTTATGTGTCCGTCATGCTTAATGAAATGTCCGGGAAGTTCATATCATCGAGCCTCCTGTGATAATCAAAACGCCTACTTCCGACATGTCCAGGATATGTTCCACCTCGGCGCGGGCAATGCGTTTGCGCGCATTGATTTGTCCGTGCTTCGTAGATCGTATAACCGGATGTAAATGGTTAGCTCCGCGCGCGCCTCGGGCCCGAAGGCTGGACGTACTCCGCAATAGCACCCATAAAGGCTGACAGACTCTATTCCGCCACACAACTGAACACGACAGCTTGCGAATTTCTACAGCAGGCAGATATGGCGTGCCCAGATTGCTTTCGAGGTGGTGTGGTCGTCGGCGATCCCAAAGGCAGTATCGAAACCCTCTACGATGTACCTACCTACGTCGCTAAACCTGAGGGTGCCCCTTCTTCACCCTCAACAATCGTCTACTTCACCGACGCCTTCGGTCTCGACCTTGTAAACAACAAAGTACTCGCCGATGCATACGCCTCCGCAACTGGCATCCGCGTCCTGGTCCCAGATATCATTCCCGGAGGTCCGATGCCAGTTTCGGTTTTGGATACCATGGAATCAGCGATGTCCTCTGTTGGCCTGTTTGATATACCCGGCCAGATCAATAGAATCTCCGCTCTATTCAGCGCGATGTGGCACTTCGTACCCTTCATGTACCGCGCCAGACCCACCATACCCGCAACATTCAACCCGTGCCTCGACTATGCGCGCAAAGTTAAGGCCGACCTGCCCGCCGGCGGTAAACTGGGACTTGCAGGCTTCTGCTGGGGTGGCTATCTCAGTGTCAATCTCTGCACGCATACGGCTAAGGTAGGCGGAGAAGAACGCCTCGTCGACGCAGCGTTCGCTGCGCATCCGTCGGCCTTGACCGTACCCGACAACATCGTGGATTCTATCTTGAAATTCAAGACACCACTTTCTATTGCGCACGCGGAGAATGATATGGTGTTGAAGACGGCTGGGATTGAACAGACGGAGGCAGCGCTGAGGCAGAAAGCGGGTGATGGAAAGGGGGAGAATGGGTTCCATTATCACATCAAGACGTACAAGGGTATGGCACATGGATTCGCGGTAAGGGCGAAACCGGGGGTCGAGGCGGAAGAGAAGGCGGCGGATGAAGCGAAGACCCAGGCGAGTGAGTGGTTTAAGAAGTTCCTTTGAGCCTACCATTTGGCATACCTCTTATCATTTTTGACCTGTTATTCGTAACGACCAATGAACGAAATTGCTACGTAGGAAGGCGCTCGAAAGCTTTTCAAGGGGGAAAGGAGGGGGAATTGGTGAAGGTCACGGTTCCTAATATCGCTCCATTGGTCTTCGATTGCAACGTTCTCTCAAGCAATATATCATACAATACATTGACAAAACTTGAAGCTGCAATGATCCATCGAGAGGGGTTCAGCCTAATATCTCTCTCGATGATTGTTCGCCATATTTGAACTTGATATGCGCTGCACCTTGATGAATCGTGTGCCGCACTGGGAATGGGACGAAATGCGTTATAACTAGTGCATGCAATAGCTGAGAGTGGAGGGAAGTACTGTATGTTAATGTACCCTTCTGGGGCCGGTCCTGAGGCGTAATGTTGTCGAGATCGTTGACTTAACACTCAACAGATGCGGTGGGAACAAGTGATGTAACATATGGCTGCAACGTGCACAATATCTATTGAAACTATCTAATTAACAACCTGTGCAGCCTTTCAATGTCGATCTCAAGTTCCACAAGCAAGATGCTGGCCTCAGAGATCAAAAATGGTCGACAGTATGCTTCAGACATGTCCCTCGTCCACTAACATCACACCAAGATCCCCCCGATCAATCTGCAACCCTTCAGATTATTGTAGAACGCAGCAAAAATGCATCGGCCGGGAATCGAACCCGGGGCTATGTTGGATGGGCTGGACTCAAAGATATATATAGGAGGTTATCGTGGTGCAGGAGGAAGGTGGCGATGGAGGAGGAAGGATCGAACATGCCCAGGAACACCAACATCGCCACAGACCGACAGCATCGCTAAGCAGTCTCTAGGCACTGCGGCAAAAAGAATATTAGATACCTCAACAACCTGTAACAGTGTATATGTCGCCAAAGAATAGAAGGAAAAAAATACCAGGCGGCAGACGTTGCGAGCGCGCACAAAAGAACAAATATCTAGTATTGCATCGGCCGGGCTGAGAAATATTAGTTGGAGGGATGCATTGTGAGGCCGGTCAACACGTACAATCGAACCCGGGGCTAGCCGATGGTGTGAATCAGCTCAAGGAGCTGTTTCTTGGCAACGGCTAATTTTACCACTAAACCACCGATGCTGTTGGTGATTTGATGAAGCTTAGGAAGCACAAGACATATATATATCCTTTGAAAAATACTTCTATTCCTAGAAATCAAAAAAAAGGTTTCTTTGCGGCATTAGCCTATGATGACGCGGTGTGCTTACCCCAACAGCGCTAAATGTGGGTGGCTGAGACTAGGCTATTCGCGTAAAACGAGAAGTGGATTCTTGTATTCTGAATTGACAGCGACGCCTGCCTTGTGTTTAGATTTACCGTGCGCCGCACATCCTAATAAATATTTGACATTATTTATTCGATGTCGCATTATATTATTGAGAGAAATGGATAAGCACTAAAAGTAATTTGCAACACTATCTTTTAGATTGGTGGGTGGGTGTGTGTTCGCAGTCTATGTGCGCCTGCTGAACACGACAACTATGGTTCCCCACTGAGCCACCTAATGAGCTTTAAGTTGACCCAATACCTTTGAATAATGGCTACAAAAACTTCTCTTGGTACTTGAACTTCTTTCCTTTCTCTCTAGACTTGAGTTGAAGGTTGTAATAAGTGAAAGACTAGTGATGCATATCTACGCGATTGTCTGAGGTCTATAATGAGAAAATGGCGAGAGTCTGGAGAAGAGACTTGAGCCTAAAAGGTGTGTAGTTAGCTAAAGGCTTGTAGGGTGACTTCTATAGCTAGTGATCTTGTTTGTTTCATCCCTGGCGCGACTGGTGGCCTCAGATCGTAATAAGTATGCACGTTATTGCAACCTGCCTTGGTCTGACATGCCTACACGGTCTGGTGATGAGAAGACTTTGAGACTGTCTTCTGAGGTTGTGTGGTGGTATGGACACTAAAGAGAGAGGTATGGTGCCTTAGTAAGGAGTTGGGATGATGGTATAGAATTAAGCGATTCGGACGGCGAGAATGATGGCGTTGCGAGGTATGATTGAAGCAATGATGATGTAGGAGCTAATATATTTCAGTAAGGTTCCTATCTAACGGAAGTTAGAGTGACTACACACATGGTGTATTGTGACTATTAAGAATTAACGAAACAAAGTCGCTAATTAAGAAAGAAAAATGATGCTTAGGAGGACATTGAAATAAAGAGATGCTAGAGAAGAAGCGAAAGATAGCATTCGACTATGTGATTATGATGGAGCAACTCGAAGTCGTCGGACGAGATAGAGAAGTGAAGTAAAACAGCGCACGATGAATATCTTTCTAAAGTGCAGCACTGCGCATGGATCACGCCAGTCTACTGTGCTTTCCTGACGTTGGACTGAGCAAACAAACATCTACTACTCAATTCTCGCAGGCACTAAACGGAGACGTATTGCGAGGCAGGCGGGCTGCTTGAGTGAGGAAAGAGTGGGCCGAGAGTGGCCAGGCAGGAGTGGATGGGGCGCGCTTGCTCCCTGTGGATTGTCATCTCTACTTGGATTTGTCTACAAACTCGTTTTTCTGGTGTATGAGAGTATCTGAATATTCCTCCAGCATGCGCGTCTCTTCGGACGATCCGTACTCCAGTTCGGCTGCATCGTGATAAGCGATCAAAGAGAGGACTATGGCCCGGGAGGAGCCGAGATGTTTCATCGGGCTATACCTTAAGAGACACAAAGCATGCATGATAGTACCGGATTCTTGATAGTCTAGCTTTGGTCATGGTGAGAAATGTACACAGTAAGATGGGATCCCTTCCTATAAAGGCCCAGGCACCCCGTTTAAGGATCGAGCGGTTCATGGAAATCCAGCTTCTCATTTTACTTTTCAAATATCCGCGATGGAGTAGTGGCTCCATGCTAAATCATACAGTTTATCTTTTGTTGATCTCCCAAATTTCGACGTACGAAAACGATTTCCGAGATACAGCATTTTCAGTATATAAGTCGTCATTGCACACGTACTCCCACTAAACCACCGATGCTTGATGGTTGCATTTATCTCTTGTCCGATGATAAATTTGGAAGCCCAAGTATATTGTCTAATTTTTCACTAGGAGGCTTTTTTTTTGGGCAGGAAGATTTAACGTCTAAAGCTGGAGTGCTGTTCCCAAGCACTCAGGAGGACTAAGAAGGTGACCAAGGGGCCCGTGCGCGAAGAGGCATTTCTCAAGCATATGCCAGATGAACCATGCACACCATCTCTTGTGTTGACACTGTCAAAACCGGTGGTTGAGCATTGCATCCTCTTGTACGTATACCGAAGAGTCGTCATCGTAGGTGAGCCGGCCAGTGTGAGTGCAAGGTTCTTCGCTAGTTCACGCTGTGAGTACTACCTAGGTATGGTATATATTAGGCGAACAAAAGAATGACACGTGCGCTGGACAAGATCCTGCAGCCGTTGAGTATTTCTATTCAAACATAGAGTGCACTTTTTTAGCTTAAGTACCATGATAAAGGCGGTGCCCATCTGTGGAGGTTGTGGTGATCCAGCGACTTTTCGTGAATTCCAATGATCAATACCGCGCTCAGTGGATTCGTTGGTTTTCTTCATCAATACCAGACAACTGCATCCTTGGACATGTTTCCCTTCTCGTTTAGTTCCTTCAATGTCTTTTTGATACGCGCTACTAAGGCCTTGCCATATTCCGGCCCAAGAGGTGGAGCAGGCTTGCTCGTGTCCGGTCTCAGCCAAGGCATGCTTTTGATCCCTGCAGAAGCTTCACGCATCTCTTCGACCTCTTCATCGCTGTAACCAGCACCTAGCAGCACCGCTTCTACTGCGCGCTCGTAGTTCTTTGATCCCAACCCGGAGTCCGACGTAACTTCCTTTTCTCCTCTCAACAGTGCAGGAATTTGCGTTTTACCCGCTTCAGGTGTGAGAACGAAGTGAATGACTGCAGCTGTCAGCGAAGAAAATTGACAAAATCAAGAGCCAATGAGAACCTTCGATTTCTGGTTGGAGCGCCTCAATGACGCCCGCACCTATTCTCTCGGTCCGGCCACATAGGATCACAGGAATCGGAGAAGCCATGATATCTGGTGCTGAAGCTTCGAAGGAGGTTGGCTGACTTAAATACTCTGGCTACTAATATTACACAGCCCCGCACGCTTACATCTCGAAAGGGGAATACTCGATTAGCGTCGTAAGCAGAATGACTCGTGTCCATACGATATGAGCACGCAAGTCACGCGAAATCCAGTGCCTGTGGAGAGCAGTAGAACCGCGGACAAGTTGCAAAGATTTTCATTGGTGCGTTACAAAGTTCCTCCCTCACCTTTTCATGGCTCTAGGACCTTTTTCGTATACTTCAGCCAATCTGGGTACTTTAGGAGGCTGGTTATTGGCTAGGATCTCTTGGATCGATTAGGTCTATGCCTAGTGGACATTGAATAGTTGCCTTAACCTCTTAAGAAATCAAGTGGGCGACCGTCTCATACAAACTGGCTGAAACGTTACGAAGAAGGTACCTAGAGCCATGAAAAGATGGCGAAGGAACTTTTGTAACCGACCATAGCTTACTAGAGAGTACAATCGTTCGAACTCACTTATTTCAATTAACGAGCTGGCAGCATAATTCTCCAAGCCCACAGGCATCGCTCAGTCGTTGTTCCATGTGTTCGAATTATCGCCTGGATGAGTCGCACTGTCTAGCGGCAGCGCCTGCACAAGCAGGTTTTAGATGCAAGTTAGGAACGATAGGTCTTTAGCTGCCGCAGTACTTCAGGTCGATACTATTCCATGATCAAGCGGAAAAGAAAAGCGAGCGCTTGTGGACTACCGGTTACACTGATCCGACTCTGACACCTTCATGCAGCACGAAAGGTTGCAAGTCAGCTTTGAACACCCGGTTAGGAAGCGTATACGTGTATTGGACTATTACAGCGCGGAATGCGTGATGGTGGGTAAACTACTTTGAATTAGCTTTGGGAGGTCCACCAGTCCCATTGTGCAAACTCAAGATCCGACGTAACGCTGGTTGGCGTCATCCATCTTATCAACAGTGCCAACGATCAGCAAGGTGGCTAACCGACCGCGTTCAATAGTCTCTGTAGTCGAAGATGATATTTCATCGCCCTACTCAAAGAGACAAGAACAAAAGATCGGCATGACCACGTGGGAAAACGCTATACCGAGCAATCTACTCTGCCGTTGAGACAATGGATTCAATATCCGAGGGTCCACTTTTCCGAGTGAACGTAGGATGGCAGATCTCTTTAGGTCGGTGCTTCTTCTCCAAGGTTCAATAACAAGGCATACATCGCGTCCTGGGAAGAGTTTTATACTATGCAGCTGTCGGAGAACTCGGCTCAAGATCCGACTCAACCTGCCCTCTGTCAGTGGCAATTTCAGTCATCTAGTCGACGTGGCGGAGAAATCCCCTGGTGGGGGAATGCGATTGCACGCAAGGGATGCGACAGGGGTGTCTCAGAGCACGGGCCGTAATCGTACGATTGATGCTTGAACACCGGTTGCACATGCACGCCATGTTATAAAAGGAGCGGAGTCCCGATCCGCATTCTCAAAGTCGTGATTGACATTCAACAATTGGAATCTTACATTATTGGTATCTTCGTTTAGTAGCAGGCGGTCAACATCTGCGTCGATGATTACCTCTCCGCCGCCGTGATCATGCATCATCTACAAGTACATACAGAATCGGAAAACCACCGAGGTGGCATGTGTGGATCATATTCATCCGTGCGCCCGCTGCAATGAAATCATCAGAAAGAGATGGAATGTTTTATCCATCAGAGAGATCGAAGAGAACGTCCAGGTATCCGAAAACGAAAGACAGATTATAAGACAAAATGGTTGAAAGACAGCCACTGAAGATAGAACCGCTTCAGTAGAAGTTGCCATGTGGAACAGCACAGAAAATGCCGACGATGATGAAGGAGATGATGGTGGCGCCGAGAATCGCTTGCAGGAAGATGGTATCTTGGATCTGGCGCAGGGCGGGCTCCTGGATCCAGACCTCTCGGTCAAAGACCTTGCGGACGACGTTGCGCTTCTCATATTTGGCTACCCACGGCTCGTCCTCGTAGCTGTTGCTGGAAGCGTGCGATGTTAAGCTGTCGAAAGAATCGCCCTTGAGATCAATGCTGGCAGCCGGCTCGTCATCGGAGGCGAATAGCTCCCACGGACGTAGGTGACGATGATGCATACCATGCAGGACGACGCACATTCCCTTCCAAGCAGCGATCAAAGTGGAGATGCCGACCATGAAGCCGATCAGAGATAGGACGCGCCAGGCGCGACCAGCGCTGCTGAGGGTGATGAGCAGAGCGGCAATGAAACCTCCAACGATACCACCGAGACCGAGACCGCGTGCAAAGATGACGCGAGGACGATTGCCGTTGCAGATGGTCCATCGGATGAAGTTGGGATGAGCCTGGCATCGAAGCGACCACTCGACCGTAGAGATGACGTCGCGGAAAGCGGACGGGTGGGTCGTGTTCTGAAGGGCATGAAGCAGGCTGGTGCGCTCCTTTGAGGAAAGGTTCAGCTGGCGATTGCCTCCATCAGCGACATAGATGGATATGATGCGGGTGATCTCCTCGCGGTACGGCTGAACAGAGACTATCGACGATAATGAGCAAGTTTGACCTAAACAAGCAGAAAATCAGTTCAACTCACGGGGCTTCCACTTGAGGCCCGCACTCTCAAACGCACCTGTCGCACGTTGAGCGTGGTCAGTCCTGGTTCCCGATGTCATGCTGGCATCATAGGAATCAAGCGACTCGCCGCCATCGCGCTTCAGGTCGCTGTTCGGAGTCCGCGGCGGAGTGAAGAATGGGTTGCTCTTCTCAGCTTCGGTTGCGCTGGACTCGGTTGCGAAGTCAGTCCCCTTGAACACGGCAGCCGTCTCCGGGCTAACACGCTTGGGGCGGGCAGGCGTCTCCGTCTCGCTGTCTTGGAACCACTCGGGCGACAGAGCCTTCTCGTTTTCGGGCAGCTCATGGAAGCGCTTGGTGTAGCTGCGGAACCAGAGGAAGAACTGCAGATTCTCGGCCGAGAGCTCAATATACTTGAGGTAGTTCATGAAGTCGCGGGTGGTGCATGGCTGGACTCGCTGTCAGTGAGCTGTACTTGGACCAGGGCGCGGACCGGAATCATGTTCGGATCATACAATCGACTTACCGGGCAGGTGCCGCCGGAGATGATGCGGTCAAAGGAGAGGGCGTCGGGGATGCCGTGGGACATGCCACTGGAGCCAGACCTGACGGACTCGTCGATGGACTTTTGCTTGTCGGTGCCGGAGAGCGAGCCGCGCGACGAGTCGGGGCGAGAGACGTGGGCCGGGCGGCGGTAGTGGATGGGATACACCATGTCGGGGGTATTTTTGGCAGACTCACGTGGGTGGGAAGGTAGGTACCGTGGGAGGAAGCTGCGAGGGTGTGGGGCAGCTGCAGCGCGAGGAAGGCAAGGGCAGCGCCCAGAACTCGAGCAGGATGCGCGTGGGAGGCGAAGAGGAAGAGGAAGAGGAAGCGTCAAGAGTCGAGACTGGTTGTGAAGAGGCAGAGACGGCGGTGAAAGCGGAAGGCGTGCAACGGACGCTGGCGGTCGATGGCGAACAAACGGCGAAGCCTGTCCACGACGATAGGCTAGGCACTGGCAGCAAACGAAGAAGGCCTTTGGAGTGGGGACGGAGAATTGGCGAGTCGTGCGTGCAGAAGCTCGTGGGCTGGCTTTAAGGTATAAGTATATGCTCAGCAGTCGCAGCGACCGACATGGGCGAGCGAGCACCTGCCGTCGTGCCAATCGACCGTCGGCCTCGACACTCGCAGCCAACTCTTGTCGTCCCTCGCCCGCCGTCGCGTGCAGACGGCGACGTCGACTTCGCATGCACTTGCCCCTGGGCTGCAGGGTGGGTCATGGTGGCGTCGGCAATCTGGCTGATCACCCAGCTGCATTCCCGCCTTGGGCCTTCGTGCAAACCTTGTGCTTGCTGCCATCCGCTAACCCGCAGCGCTGCGAGACGGCCACCTGTCAGAAGTGCCTCCGTGTGGGAGACCCTGGATCAAGCACGCTTCTCATCATGCACCCGCCGGCTTCCCCTCGCAGAAGGTACCGCAGGAAAGCGCGACACCATCATCGTCACTCTCAGCCGACACCATCATCGTCACTTTCAGCTCAGCACGGCGCGCATTCATGTCGGTCCAGACAGCCACGAAAACGCCACTGCGTGGCCCTTGGTATTCGACCCACGCTACGGCGCAGAGCGCTTTTTGGGCTTGGCCCACCGCTCTGCCTACTCCCTGATTCGAGCAACTCCCCTTGCACTATCACAATGCTTCCGCCGCCAGTTCGCGCCAATTCACCACTTGCGCCAGATTCGAGCTAGACCCCTCCTCTCCCGCTCCGAACCGTCGCGGTTCCTCAGCACTCTCGTATTTACGATTGAGTCTTCACAGACTGCTCCTGCGCAACTCGACGGGGGAGCCTATGGCACAACCAAGTATGGCGCCTTTGGACGGACGCGTCCATCGAGACTTCAAACCTGCCATGCGTATTGGCGCGCAAAAGCAACTTGCAAGCGACTGAACAAGGCTCCAAGATAATCTCGCACGTGCCATCGGCGAACTGGGCTGCCTGTTCCTGTCCAGGGACGGCTCCATCGACCTGGTCTGAGGTCCATGTCTCACGCGGGAAAAAGCAATATGATCCATCTACTATCTACCGGCATCACCATACTTCGAGAGGGTCCATCAAGATCGTGCATCCTATCGTAGTGTCTACAGAGTGCCATGTCCATCTTCGCCACAAGAGCGCGCCCTTCACATGCTTTTCTGGTGGCTTGAGTGCCGTACTGCAGCTGTGCGACATCACTTCTAGACGGACACAAGTCCCTTCCCGCAGCCTGCTTGCCTTCGAAGGTACTGCCAAAATCCGTTGTCCTGCTCAGACTGCTCGCCCAAGCGGAGACAACTCCTCTCGGCCTCTGTTTACGGTTTGCAGATCTGTTGCTAGCGCAAATCGGGCATTACTACACATCAATGCACGCGAAATACGATTGGTCAACGTTCGTTCCGCAATATCAAAATCACAAAGGCCCCGCGGAGCATGCTTCGATTCGTTTTCTCGATCGTTGACTTATCGCAAGTTGGCGGCTGAGATTTGATTTCGCGATCATCTAGGACCACAGACGGAGTGGTCAGGCGAGCGCCCACGTTGCACTGTCGTAGGCTTGACCAGCCACGCTCAAGTGATTACTTCTAGATGTGAAAAGGAAACTCTGTATGGCCTGGAATGGACCGCCACCGCGCACTTCGACTACGCTGGTCCAGTCTCCCCGCGGTTCGAGAAGTCTACTGCGAGAGGCGCTGCCATGTCAGCCATCTCAAAGAATGCAAAACAGCATGTGAACGCTTATTTGATCACATTTGCTTGTGGATGATGTACGCGCAATCACATTTATGCTCAACTAACTGCCATAGCGCCTGCTTTACGCCTCTAAATTATGCACTTCAAGCCTTCTGGCACCATGAAGCCGCGACTCCCGAAGAGTCGTTCTCTTTGACTACTTCTTCTGGATGCAGCTCGCCGTCTCCACAGGTTATGTGTCGCTCACATAGAGAAGGCATATCTTGCTACACCCCGTCCTGTCCTATTCGATGCCTTGGCACCTTCACCCAGTGCCCTTTGCTTTAAGCTCTCGGGATCCATGATCCTTTCGCAAAAGCCATGTAGACGGTCATCCGCAAACATGGCCAAGATGCGCAAACCACCAAAATAGTGAGCATCTTGAATTTCGTATCCGCACTTAGAAAGCGTGCGCGCAGCCTCAGTACTCGATGTGAAATCTCATTGTAATCTAACACTTCTCGTGACCTTTGGGATTGATGCGTGCTCTTGGACGGTCCTCGGTAGCACAAGGCAGCATTGACCTTTGATGCTCTTCTGGTATGGTATGACCAGGCGACCGAGCGGTGTTTCACGGAAGTCTTTGATCTGAGTTGGCCGAGTGAACCATGACAAGTGGTCCTTGTCCGGAGGAAATTTGAGATTGAGTAGGCGCTCGTCTGCCCGAATTCGTTGAGCCGTGCCATCAGTGACTGAGAGGTTGATGATGATGCTAGAAAGGGGCAGTTGAAACAATGATTTGGCCAATGTTGCCACCATCATCATATGGACAACCCTGTCATGGGTGGTCCCCTGCGTGGCGGCTTTGAGAAGGTCAGGACCACACTCCATGTCAAGTCCTCCGGATTGGCGTAAAGCCTTGTAATTATAGTGCCAAGTATGACCGACGGGCGGCAGTAGAAATGGGATATTGATCGTGACTTTGGAATCTTGTGTAGCGCTTGCCGAGTCAAAGATCTCAAACGACTGTCCTGTGAGCCCGGGTGGGCACTCAAACATCGAGATGAGCTCTCTTGTTGCATTCTCTTCTAGTTTCTTGAGGAAGGGTTCCATCCGCGGAAGGGCCTCGCGCTTCACCTCTTCATTGAGTTGGCGGCAGGAGAGGAAAAGTCCAAAGCTCTCGTGGCAAACAACAAATGGAGGTAGGGTGAAATGTGAGAGAATAACAAGGCACAATCCATAAGGTAGAAGAAGCAGATGAGGCTGTGGCTATATATTGTGCCATTGATCCAGGTCGGGATCTGCATCCATGATGCAGGGTTGCAGACAGAAGTCAAAAGGGGCAAGTTAAGCGTCAGTATAAGGAGAAGTAGAAGGGATAGGCGATACGAACAGTGTAACACGCGCGGGAAAGACCTTTAAGTCGATTTTGAGCATCTGCTTAGCCACACCCTCATCATGTAACGTAGGACGTCGTCACCGCCTGTAAACTAGGCGCGACGACTGATGAAAGAACGGGTCGTGTCATTTTAGCGCTCACCGTCGCACTCGCACATGACTTGCCGTGATGCGCGGGATACGCTGTCCCGGAATACGGGCGTATCCGTGAAGGAGAAGTTGCAACGTCTCCGGATGTAGCCAAAGGTGAGCCAAAACCGTCAGGAGTGAAACGCAAAAATATTCAAGGGATGACATGGACCACATACAATGAAGGTTACGGTTGGAAGTCATTGGGTGAGAGTCATACGACATTCCCAAGTAAATCCTCTTACCGACTATCACCCAAAGCAAATGCACGGACCTATGGAAGCAGTCTCATGAAGCCGTCATGCGCTCTGTTCGCACCCGCATCACTCAGCCTATGCAGTTAAACTCTACCCTCTAGAATTCGGAATGTCAAACCAAGCGACCCAGCATTGTACATGATTGAACAGATGCTCGCCCAGCGTAAAGGTGAGTATGGCTTACCAGACGACCTGCTCTCCTTCAGCGAGCACGATGACGACGAAATGCCTGTCCCAGCTGCTGATGGCCGGATCAACACCAAAGCCAAAAAGGATCCGAAATGCCCTCATTTGCGCAAGCATACCCTGACCGGCGCAATCAAAGCGCACTCTCAGATCTACGTGGTGAATGAACAGATAGTCCACGGCAAAAGCACCTGGTTAAGCTCGCTCTGCGCTTTCGACAACCTGCACTCCGCAAATACCGACGCACGCACCCGTGCTATCTTCGAGCATGCCAAAGGCGAAGCATCCATAGTACAGACGCACTATCGCAATGGCTATGGCACTTGGACGACCATCCTTGAGACCGAACATGGGCGCATCATTAAGTCAGTCTTCGTGAATGCAACGGTGCTGCAACACTTGGTTACTCCTCCAGTAAACCCATATGAAGAGCGACATGGGCCAATTAATCGCCTCATACCTTCGAAGGTACCTGGGTCCCAGATACAAGCTTTCCGAAGTACAGATAGCATGAGGGGGGGGATCGAGCAATCGAAACGCGTCCACCGCGACTCTCGAACAACTCGTACAGGACCGTCAAATCCAACCTTGCGCGAGAACCTCGCTCTGAGAAAACGACCTGTGACCGAGACAGGATCAGTAGGGAAGGACACCAACTTCGATGGAGAGCAGACGACCGTGCAAACGAGGGAAGAGAACACAAAGCCTAGGAAGGGATCTATGGACGATCTTCAAGAATTTGCTTCTCTGCATGCACTGTTTTGATGAGAGGGGGCACGCATACCTGGGTCCAAGCAGGAGAGGAGGCATTTTACACTGCGGCACGATATGAACGAGCGACAACAACTAGAAACTTGATCAAGCTGTGACGGCCCTGAAGGCATTCATCGTTAGAGGTTGGAGAATTCGAATTGGCACTGTCATTGTAACAGCATATTTCTGGAATACATAAGGACCGATTGAAGATTGGAGCAATGTATTGTCATCATCTGCAATTCTTCGTTGACAAGACCAAGCAGTGAGTTTTGCACGCTTCCAGTTCACCCGGTCCTCGACAATGCGAATCAGGGGAAGCCGTTCATGTGATTCGTGAATTTGATTCCTTTGACAAGTAGTCAGATATCGCAAGTGTCTAACAGAGGTCGGGGCAGATGCACCTTACCTTTATTCAGGCGCCCCACTACGGGTCATTGCAGTACGGGATGCCGTTGCCAGCATTGATGACGCAGGTCTGACCCTTACAGGTCGCAGCTTTGTGCCATCCATGCCTGCGAAGTTAGCGAGCGTCCGAGTGGGAACTATGTCTCACTTACACATCGCAGACCTCGACGCCCGAGAGCGTGTAGTCGCAGCGATACTGGCCGGAACATGAATCGTGGGGTACGACTGGCGAAGCGGCCGCGAGGCTAGCGACGAGAAGACAGAGGGTGATAAGCTTGGTGAGCATCTTGGGCTGGAGGAGGCTCAGTAAGTTTACAAGGAAACAGTCTGGATAGGATAGCTCACACCGGTGAACAGAATAGGAGATGGCGACAATGTAGGCTGTATGTGTTCGATACAAGTCTCTTCGTAGGTTGATGGACGCTAGTGAGACAGAGAGAGAGAGAGAGAGAGAGGTGGTGACAGCACCGAGTCATCTTAAGAGCAGCACGAGGTATAGGCAACGGTATGCCTAAGCCATATTCGATACAAATCGGTGTTGAGCCAATATTGGAATATCCCGAATAAGAGCACTGTGTTGTAATATCCTCCATCTCGCACAACAGTACGAGCCAAGCATATTGAGACAAATCATAATCAAAAGCTGAACCTAAGGAGTTGAGAACACATGGATCTCAGGGGTTGTACCAACTGTTGATTCTAGTCTGTGCTCCCATACGCGTACCATCGAAAACATGGTAATTCGGGTGGATACTTCACCCAACCAATAACGCCAGGACCCACGTGCAATATCCAAGCAAGCGTACCATTGAAACCTGTTGGTGTCTGTCCCATCAATACTGCTTTCTTGGCTGTATCTCAATAATCCGGTCCATGAATCAATGAGCTATGTAAATTGTACGCAGACGACGACACAACTTACTCTTGCTGTAGTACCGTGAAGTGTACATTCAACCAGGTTCGCACGGATCGACCTAGTCCAGCGATATCGAGTGTCTGCGCCCGCGGTAGATCGTCCCAATATCTTTTTCGCCACCTGGCCTTTGCCTTGTCGCGCCGTTGCCAGCAAGCTTCCAGCTGCCATTTTCCATCTTGTCTGCTTTCTCATTGGGCTGGAACTTCTGAGCTTTCACCTCTGCTTTTTTCACACTGCGGGACTTTGAAGTGTGGTCAGGTTCCAAGGCTCGTTGCGCAATCTCTGTTGTGCCCCGAATGTCTTTACCCTTGCCGATGAACCCTCGTAACCAGGCTTGCCTGCGCGCTGCAAATTCCTGGTCAAACAAGAGGAAGCTGTTCATGTAAGACGGGTCTCCTTTGTACCGGAAGGGACCATCGTCGCGCTTGCGGAAGTATGGGATACGGGATTGTGCCCACAGCGGGTCTTGCTCGATGTCGGATATTGTGATAGGCTTTGTCTCCGGAGGCAGTGAAGTAGTAATGTTAGGTTTCTTCCCAGGAATTGTAATATTTTCCGGGCCACGATCCTGGAGGCGGACTGCTCGGATTTCATATTCGCTCAAATGTCGCTCCTGCCCGTTTGCCGTGATCTGAGTGATGAGACCTCTCCGCAGAAGGTCAATATCCTTGCAGAACTGCGAAATTGTGGAGTTTGAATTAGTGAAAATCATCAGAAAGATTGAGTCAATGGCTGACAAAGGCTTTTCAGAAGAACTCACTTGTCCCGTGATACCCGCGGACTGAAGTTGCTTCAGGCAGTGTTCAAGGGCGCTTACGGCGGCCGCTTGCGCAGTAAAGAATGAAGAGTAAATCCCCAGGCTTATAGTACGGATCTCGGCAGGGGAATTTGCGGTGGAACCTCGCGGCAATGCGAAGTGATGGAAGACGCAGAAGACCGTGTCCGTTGAACAGTGTGGAGCTGCAGGGAGAGACATAAGAGAATTCTACCTCTGGATGATAACGAGTAACAGATATTGGATAAGCAGCAATGAGTACTTTAGATCCGAGGACAGCCTTGGTTTGAGATTGCGAGATCATCACGACTGGGTTAATATGGCAGGAGCAAACAGGGCAATCGTTGCGGAAGGTGCTTGTTGAGCAAACACGCCTTCTCTGGTGGTGAAAGACGCGTGTTTGGTGAACCAGAGTCCATCTATTTGGCCTTGCTATCAGTCTCAGCCTCACCGTAAAACACTGTGCCTATGTCCAAACCTCCCGGTGAATAGGGATCGTTCAGGTTGAAAGTGCATCGTCGGGCTTGAATTGCATCTCGCTGCATGTGTTATTTATTTTCACCAGTCTCTTCTCGGCAATGATCTCGCAAATCGGAGCTTGTTATATTAACGGTCTATTATCACCGGTTAACTGACTCTACCGAATTAGCAAAGTCCCTAATCAGACGTTCGACGATCATATTTCTAGGAACCCGTCCGCAACTAGTGTTCACCTCTTTTACCAACTGCTTTAGGCAATCGCCAGTTTTCTTAGAATCTCGTAGCAAAAAAACTCGTGCGACTGGAATGAGATATCAGCATGTTCGTAAGAAAAGAGTCTATAGTCTATCAAAGAGAGCAGCCGTCTCGAATCCGCCGGTCTCGAGCCGCGCCTTGTTCGCCCAAGACCAAGGCGCGCTGTCGATAGCATCGCAGGTAAACGAAGGATTTTGGAGTTTGAAATGGGTGGTGGAGGTAATGGTACACAATGTGAGTCATGAAGCGCTAGACTGATAGAGAAGCGCACCTTTGCGATTATGGCACTGCGGTTATGCCGATTCAGGAAGGCGGCACCGGCTTACCACACTTAGCACACCCGCAGGGTAACATCAGCCTGCCTACACGACGTTTCACTCTGCTGTGCCACGAGCCGCAAATATCCACAATCTTTTCATACACAAAGAGCTACGAGTGTCGAAGAATATCGCGACGAGTCGTCGAACCACATCCCTGCCCCCTTACGATCTTCTTCATACAAGTTCTCTCGTCTGCACACGTCAGTATGGTTGTTCACGCTCCAAAGGTGGGAGACCACATCTCCACTCTCGACACGCCTTCCATGATTGTTGATTTAGATGTCATGGAGGCAAATATTGCAAAGCTTTTCAAACAATTACTCCCGACCGGCATAAACATTCGCCCACACTCCAAAACCACAAAATCTGCCATCCTTGCTCAAAAACTCGTCGATGCCGGAGCCAAGGGTGGATGCGTCGCCAAACTCAGCGAGGCTGAGGTCATGTGCAAGAGGGGGTTTACAGATCTGTTGATCACGTGCGAAATCATCGGTGCGCCCAAGGTTCAGCGCTTGCTCGAGTTATTTCGCAATTACAAGAGCATTAGGATCGTGGTAGACAGTGAGGTGGGTGCAAGAGCGATCGACGACGCTTTGGAAAACAGTGGCATCGAGGACCCGATCACAACATTGATCGACCTTGATGTGGGATTACATCGAACGGGCGTGCAACCAGGAGAGCCGGCACTGGAGCTCGCGAAGTTTGTGCAAAGCTGCAAACACCTCAACCTAATTGGTGTGCAAGGATATGAGGGACATCTGCAACATTTGCACGGTCATGAAAAGAGGAAGCAGCAATGTTTGGAGTCAATGGCGATCCTCACTCAAACAGCAGAAGCATTACGCAAAGCAGGACACAATATCGAAGTTGTGACCACTGGCGGAACGGGTACGGCGGAATTCTGCGTTACGGTCCCGGGTGTTACAGAGGTACAACCGGGATCTTTCCTCTTCATGGACACAGACTACCGCAATGCTGTTGGTTCCTTTTACCAACACAGTCTCTTTATCTTGTCAACCATCCTCAGCAAACAAGGCCCCAAAATCATCACCATCGATGCTGGATTGAAGTCTTTGACGACAGATAGTGGCTTCGCAGAGTGCAAGACGTTGGGATATACATACGGCGTACTCGGAGATGAGCACGGGTCGCTGAGCTGGGAGGATGATGCGTTGGAGCTCAAGATTGGGGACCGCGTTGAAATGGTTCCCAGCCATATTGATCCGACCATTAATCTCCATGATTTCTACTACGCACACCGTAATGGCTTCATCGAGGAGATCTGGCCAGTCGATGCAAGAGGAAAGGTGCAATAATGCTCAGGCCTACGAAGTTCCGAATTTCGTGCAGACATATGTAATCGAGGCAAATGTAACAGATCCTGTGAAGGGTATGAGTCAAATGCAAGGACCAGAATGTGCAATGTGTTTTCGGTAAATTGCAAGGCATAATAAACATGTTATCCTGTGAGAATGCAAACGAGGAACAGGTCTGGGAACGCCGACTCCAATGTCCGACTCTCGCTCAGTGGAAATCCATCATATCGTTCTCCAAAGAGAAGCCGGCTAGCTGGTCTAGCCCGCCGGAATTTTCTTGCTTCCTCTGAGCCCTTATGAATCTCGTCATGTCGCGGTATTGTCCTTCGATCTTCCCATTGATGCTGTGAGATTTCGCAGACTTCGACATGCGTTCCTTCCACGCGCACGGTTCGCTCTAAATTCCAATATAGCCACTCATTCTACGCCAAGTGTTTTTCGGTTCGTTGCTGTCTCTTTCCAGAAACATGCTCATTGTGTGAGAGTCGTAGTTCGGCGCACTATCAAGATTCAAAAGCAGCTCCTCTGCCCTCCATGTGCTCTTCTGTGGGTCAAGGTTCGCTTCTTTGAAGACCTTCACCACTTCTGGACGCCATGCGACTTCGTTTCGCTCAAACTAGTACTGTGGAAGGTTCTGAGACCATCCCAGGAAATAGCCAATGACTACTTCAAGATCTTTGTGCTTCGATCCGGGCTTCAGGTCACCTTCGCGTCTGAAGGCGCGCAAAGCTGTGAGTAATGCATAATCCATAATACAATTAAGATCACATGTACATCCCCCTCCCCTTGGTTTGACCGAGTTAGACCTTGACTCCAAGAAGCCAGCAGACGACTTAATAATCAACATACCCCACGCTGTCTTCGTGCATGAGCAGCCAAAGGGCGGGGACACTGATCGCAACCCGAATTTGCTCAATTTGATCTTTACGCTTTCTGTATTCCTTTTCGAAATAGACGCACTATGCTAATTAGTAACTAGACTATGACTTTAGACTGGACTACCTACGCTGTTACAGACTCAGTCTATGCCAGTCGGTGTATATGTGCATATTAGATTTTCTGGATTGCAACACTGTACATTTCTTTGCCACGTCTGACACTGGACCCATGCCTTGGGCATGACCACCCACTTGTGGTTCGGAAGTTCGGCCGCAGCACTGCCGAAGCTGCCTTTCGCATATGCGCTATCAAAGTTTGCTTTGTACATTTGATCGAAGAGGTCTGACCTGCATCGACGATCTTCTCCTTGGTCGTTATTTCAGCCTCATAGTTATCGGTGCTTTCCAAAGCAGTGATACATTGGGTGGGACTCAAAATGAGCGAAAGTGCTCCTATGATTTGGCGGCTGCTAGCATTGATGATCCAAGAGCGAAGAAAGACTCGTGAGATCTGTCGTCCAAACTTCGTGACCTGTTTTGCGACAGGCTTCTACCACATCCACCCACAGCCTACGCCACCAGACGCCGATCGAACGATACTTCACTTTCATTGCTGTGAAACGTCATGGCTCAGCAAAAAGTGTCGCGTTATAAGGCGTTATGAGCTCGGAACCACCATGAATAGCACATTGAACCTGCACAATTCATTTTTCGTGGCTCCTAACAGATATGACTATGGCATGCGTGTGCAAAGGCGTCATGGCTATGTTTGGGCTTGCTCTGAAGAGGAGCAGGGCTCCGGACTTGAAGGTTTGACGGTATTCTGAAGCGAGTATGGGCGGAGGAAAGAAGTGGTACTGAGGCCTCGGAATGAGGACTGGTTTTGATAGATCTGGTTTTGTGTATCAACAAGTGCCAAATGTCTTCGGTCAGATCGGATTACACGGAACCTTCTAACATTGTGACGAACAAGGCCCTTCATGTCTTACCCAAAACATCAAGCTTGAAACCAGACATGAGGCCTCAGTCGCATTCGGTGCACTAAAGTCGTGTTCTCCTGTGGACCGCTAAGCTGGAAATTAGTGCTCGAAATTGTATGTGGTTGCCATGCCAGCCTTGCAGCACCAACCCCGTGCCATATGACGTCATATCACACTCCCAGCCATATATGCCACTCTTCCGAACCAGAGCAACCACAACATCACTCAGATAGAAGCACACTGGCAGTACCAAGCCAAAATATCCCATCAACACATACCTCGAGCTGCTTAATCAAAAGCCTTACATTTTACAATCCCCCACGTCAATACTCTACACGCTTCCATTGTTCATCATGCCTGTCGGTCAGCAGGAATCGGGCGTCACCTCGGGCGTAAAGTTCGTAACCTCGACGGTCGGGAACACGGTGGGCGGCGTCACAAACACAGTCGGAGGCGTAGTAGGCGCACTTGGACGGGGGGTTGGCGAGACTTTGGAGGGCGCCACTGGCAGCACGGGCAGACCTGTTGCGAGGGGGATTGCCGATGCCACCACCAGTATCGAGGATGGTGCGAACAAGATCGCAGGGGGTCAAGCGGGCTGAGAAGGAAAGTGACAAGGGGAGGGGGAAGGAGGGGAATGGGGCCGCCGAAGGATGGGAAATGCAGAGCATTGCAGGTTCGAAGAACACGACGATGGAGATCTGACATTCGATCAAGGAGGAGACGCTGTGATGAGAACGTGATACCTGCATTGTAGTCACGGTTGGATCGGCACAGACTGATAAACGAGCGTCCATTTCTGATGCATAGTGCAAACGTTGATCTCGTACCAAGGCCCCCTACGCACGCTGTTGTCGCGCAGACTGTGAAGCTATTTTGTTGCTCTGGTGTTGGAAGTTAGATATCGATTCCTTTGGGAGATTTGTATGCAAGTGTGTCGTTGACTTTGTCTTTGACTTATCATCGTTATCTTAGTTAGCACCTGTCACGGCGGCTGGATTCTACTTCCGCCCCGTCTTTATCCCTCAAACTCTAGTTTGTTCGTGACGACAGCCCCTCTTTGGTTAGACATCTTGCAGCCCCAGCCTCGTGTCATCATAGCGGGGAACCTTGTGGGGTCCTTGACTCAGTTAATGCATTCCAATCTCGATGGATGGACACGGACTTTCCGCAACGGGCAATCGACAATGCCTCGTCTGACCCGCATACCGCACAAGAATCGTTCGCAGGTCCACACCGAAGCACGGAAGAGAAGCGCTGCAAACGATCGTGAGAAGTATGTGGTGATTGTTCGAGCAGAAGCCACTAAAATGGCATTGCATCATTCTCACTTCACTACATCCATTTTCGCTCCTCCCAAGGCACCTGACGTGTGCCAAATACAAAACGCCCTCCGGCCGTTTCGAATTAGCGTCCTTTGTCTCTCGTTGAGGCACCAACGGGACCGCGGAGGCGAGGTGGCTGAACGTGGAATGCCGCCACACTTTACCCCAAAAAACCATGCGTTAGTGCAAGGGCTACTGTACACCAACTGCAAGTCCTCGACGTCAATCCTCCTAAGCTCACCTATCATCACCCAGCTCGGCTAGGAAGGTTGGATCTGTACTCTTTCTGACCAATTGCCTGAAATGCACTACTACGACACCATATTGAGCGGCAGAACTAACAGCGCGCTTCACTGGGAAGAACGCCGAAGCGATCCTACCACGTCCGGGAAGACACGGACATGCGAGTCGCAAAGGAATGTGGCTGTGAGGGAAGAAACGATTCTCCCATGATGAGCGTTCGCCCAGAGATCGGGTACCCTAACGAACGTATCTGATACATGAGCTGTATGAGGTCAACATTCCTGGCTGCTATGGACCTACTCACGACCTACGCAGAGGCTCGGCGCGGGCTGCATGTACGTAAGATCGCAAACCGCTAGGATCCTCCAGCTAAAGAGGGGTCAACCGCACTTCCCAGTCGTGACATGCACGGCACGATGGGGATGTAGAGTGATCCTCCAATGAGCTCCTCGCCGCCTGCAGTGTTAGCCACAGTTCCCAGCCTTCCTTTTGCGCTTGAGTCCACTAAAGCCAACAGATTTTATTGACGCGTAGCGTGGAGAGGCGATCGGCCCTGGTCCGAGTGTTCTCTCAAGCGCCGCAAACGTTACGATCATACCGATGAAACCCTCCCGCTTAGGTATTTAGCTGTCGTGACCCTACTTTTCTTGTCTCTTCATCTCACTCTCGTTGTCGTGGATACTAGTTCTATTGCAGCCTTGAGACTGATACCTCATTTCTCAGTCTACGCTTTCGTTACTTGTACCAACTCAGTACCGGTATATAAACACTTGTTATCCTTTGGATACTTCAGCTACCTGTAAAGATGAAGTCTTTCATTCCTCTCGCCCTAGCGGCCTCAGCTGCCGCCCTCCCTCAACAGTCTTCCGGATCGGACTGTAAGGACTCTCGCGATGGCGAATTCGCCATCTCAGTCGTCAACGTCACCGACTCCTCTAGCAAGCGTAGCGTCGAAAGACGCCAGCTTTCTGGCATCCTCACTCTTACCTTGGATGGTGGTGCCCTGAAGGACCAGGCTGGTCGTGATGGCTACATTGCCTCAAACCACCAGTAAGGCGACCGATACCTAAACCCATCGTAGCATGCACTAACACATCCAAAGGTTCCAATTCGATCAGCCCATCCAGGCCGGAGCTTTGGAGAAATCTGGATTCTCTGTCTGCAGCAACGGAACTCTCGCCCTTGACGGCTCTGCTATTTGGTATCAATGCTACTCTGGCGGATTCTACAACCTCTACGATGAGGCACAAGGAGACCAATGCAACCAGATCTACATTTATGCCCAGTCGAGCAGCGGCAGCTCCAGCAGCCAGACGGGCGCAGTCAGCCAGGCTTCAGATGGACAGCCCGCCGCTTCGACCCAGGTCTCTGCGCCTGCCGTCTCTCAGCTCACTGATGGACAGCCTCAGGCCCCTACATCCCAGGCATCTGCTCCCGTGGTTTCTCAGATCTCTGATGGCCAGCCTCAAGCCCCTACATCCCAGGCATCTGCTCCCGTGGTTTCTCAGATTTCTGATGGCCAGCCCCAGGTTCCCACTGCTGCCCCGTCCGCGCCATTGGTCTCTCAGATTTCTGATGGCCAGCCCCAGGCCCCCACTGCTGCCCCATCCGCGCCGTTGGTCTCTCAGATCAGCGATGGTCAGCCTCAGGCTCCCACTGCTGCCCCATCCGCGCCATTGGTCTCTCAGATCAGCGATGGCCAGCCTCAGGCTCCCGCCACCTCTGCTACTCCTGTCCCATCAGGACCGCTCGTCTCCCAGATCCCTGACGGTCAGCCCCAGGCTCCCGTCTCAGGTGCCGGTAACTTTACCGCGCCTAACGCGACCAGCCCTCCTGCCTCCCAGTTCACTGGCGCTGCCTCGACCCCTATGGCGGCTGCTGGCGCCCTTGCCGCCGGTCTCATGGCTCTGTTTGCCATGCTATGAGCCTGAGCAACATCTTTCATCATAAATTTTTAGGGTTCTGGAATCTACTTGTGAAGGGCGTATGGATGGTTTAACGAGATCTATGCGCCACGCACTCCTTTCAGAGCAATTAGCGGCATCTTCAATAATGTGTCATAGTCTGGTAATGGCAGGAAGAAGGATGCAATGCATTGCTGTACATAGCTACAAGTACTAATTCTAATCAAATGAAGTTAATTCTGTTAAGCTTTGATTTCCATGCTGTGTGATCATGTGATCGCGATCCATGACTTAACAATGAAATCCTTCGCAATGCCAAAGTACATCGTCGAAACTCTAGGTGCCGGAATAGTAATGGTTATCGAACCCCGTGATCGTACGGGCTAGGCCGCCGCTACTGCACATCATTCACATAATGTTGGTACCCCTAGTACGGTACACTACTCGAAAATCGATAGTCGAGAAGCGGGATGCTCAAGCTAGCTGGACGGCGCTTTCAGCGTATGCTCTAGCGGCTGAAAGCCCAACACAATGGGATGGAGCATGGTCGGTTCCAACTCCACGGAATTCTCAACATGACTTGATGCAGGGTGGGCTCTTTCAATATTCAGGTTTCGAGTCGCCACTGCGGTCCTTCTATGTGAGCATGCGCGGTGGTGAAAGTAAAGCGTTGAATTAGAGATTCTACTGAAAAATTGCACGAGTGTTCTCAAACAGGAGGAATAGCATGTTGCATTCATATTCACTCAACTCTTGCCCAAAACAACAGCTCCGTGAACAAAGTCTTTCCGAATTCGGCTGCACACCCACCTTCGCAGACAAAGCTCGCTCGCGCCCAGCGTCCGGCACTGCGGAAGTAAAAACCACCTCCGAAGCTGCAGGTCCCACTTTCAAAGAGCGTCTTTGAGCACAATTCTTGGTTGCAGTGCTAAACGTAGCACCATTGGAGGAATCTTCTCCGTCCATGACTGCGTGATAGCAATCGCCGACCACCGCTGATGGAGACTTCCCTGCAATACCTATTTTCGTGTTCTTTCTTCATCACCACCGGCTAACTTCAGTCGCTATTAACATTGAAATTACGGCCTCCAACCATCTTCTTTCACGAACCACTGGAGATGAATGAAAATCCAGGAGACCATTCTACGATCATCGCATGTTCCGCGTTAATCTACATCACCGTGCATATCGTCCAAACCTGCCTTTAAAGGGTTCATCAACGTTGGTCAAGAAATGATCTGGTTGGCCATCCGACGGTGATCTCTACCCGCACCACTCCACCTTTTTAATAGAAAATACAACTTGCTAAATTAGTTCTAACGAGTGACGGCGTTTTCTTATTTTCATATCTTCAGGGCACTTTGTTCCGCTTGTTCTCGGTGAACGTTTCATCAACCCGACCGGTGTATTCAGTATGGGTTCGCTCGTTCCGGTCGATCTCAATATTGTCGGGCTTCCACATGGCGTGGAGCAAGGCATGTGCCGCTTATCTATCGTGTCGAGCGTAATGAAAATGGAGAGGCTTTGTGATAAATCCCGAAGTAATCGCCGAGCTCGAAGCTGGATCCATCGGGTATACTTGCATTCCAGTGAGTATGAAAGTAACACAGGTTGTCTCTGTTTCAACCGGAACACCGGCCAGGTTGGGACGAGCCTTGAGACGAAATCACCAAAGCGAGACTTGTAACATTCGTACCACACGTGAAATAGTGCAGATATCATCCTTATTGGGACAATATCCCTTGAGGCATTCAGCGTCAATTAGCAAGGACTACAACACTGCCGATGTCGTGACAAGCTTTGTGAGGAAGAGCTTGTCACCAAGATTGGTCGTCCCGATGAACAGGAAGCTTACCAAACAACGAGAAAGAGAAGTTTTGATCCCGATCGCTACAACCTTGAGTAAAGTAGCTAGTGAGGGAAGTCCAATTTATGGTAGTGTAACGAGAAGATAGCATCACCCAGACCAACACACAAGGCACAAACCGAACTTTCCATATATCGTTCGAAGTCTACCTATTACACCTCATGATCGCTTAAGTTTTTACATAAAGATCCACATACTCATCAATGTCCATGTTGTCGAGCGTCTTACCATCTTGGGCAAGGTCGACAAGCTTGTTCACGTGCTCCGCAGGGTAGTGGGGCCCGAGATGTCTCTTGTACTTGGCGAGGATCTCAGGCTTCGCCTCGTCTCGTCGCAAGCGGTGGCCCAGAGGAGCCTCGACGACTTCTTCTTCGAGGACAGTGCCATCCTTCAACTTAACAGTGAGGGCGTTGGAAATGGTGCGCTTGGCGGGGTCATGGTAGTCTGCGGTGAACTGCGGGTCTTCCACGCAGCTAATACGCTGGCGGAGGGACTCAACGAGCGCGGAGGTGGCGGCCTCGCTGTCATCGGGGTAGTCGGTCGCCTCGAGGCGGTTGAAGACGAACATGGTGGCAACCATGTACTGGACACAGTGGTCACGGTCGGCAAAATTCTCCATGGCCTTGAACTGTTTGTCGATGATGCGAATGCATGCCTCGTGCGTGCGGTTAACAACGCTCTCAATGTCCTCGGCGGACTTGCCCATCGCCTTGAGCTTCTTGTTTAGACGCTGCGCAGCCTCGACGGCGGTCTGCGAGTGGAACTCCGCTAGAATAGAGGTCAGCGTTATAGACGATACCAGGACAACGCATGTTACTCACCGGGGTACGAGACCTTGAACAAAACGTTCTCCATGACGTAGCTACCGTATCCTCTCTGGAACTGGAAGGGCTTGCCCCCAAAGCTTACATCGTAGAAACCCCAAGTGGGAGCAGAAAGCACAGTAGGAAGACCTTGCTCGCCCTTAAGAACCTTGAGAACAAGGTTCACAGCCTTTTGGCAAGCGTCGCCGGCGGCCCACGACTTGCGTGACATGGTGTTGGGCGAATGCCTGTAGGTTCGGAGGGACTGGCCGTCAACCCAAGCTTGAGAGACAGCGTCACGAGTCTGAGCCTCGTTCAGACCCATCATCTTGGAGACTACAGCGGTGGATGCAAGCTTGACGAGCACAACGTGGTCGAGGCCGACCTTGTTGAAAGAGTTCTCCAGTGCCATGCAGCCCTGGATTTCGTGCGCCCTGATCATAGCCTCAAGCACATCTCTGACCTTGAAGATCTTGCCGTTACCGAGCTTCCCACCATTCTTGTTTGTTCGCGTGATCCAGTCGGCGGTTGCGAGAATGGCGCCCAAGTTGTCTGAAGGGTGACCCCACTCAGCTGCGAGCCAGCAGTCGTTGAAGTCGAGCCATCGAATCATAGCACCAATGTTGAAGGCACCATTTACAGGGTCGAGCTGGTAGTTGGTACCAGGCACTTTGGTACCATTGGGCACGACGGTGCCCTCGACGATAGGACCGAGAATGTTCCTGCATTGCTCGAACTCTAGTGCCTTGAGACCGCAGCCGAGCGTGTCGACAAAGACCCAACGGGCAGTGTCGAACTGAGGAGAGATCAGATCAGCTAAGATTCGTCTTACAAGGATCAATGCCATACCGCAAGCTCGGAATCGATCTTGACGTTGTGGATGTAGTTGGCCACATCCTTGATCTCCGGATCGTACTCACGCTTGCCAGAGACGGGCGGGGCAGCGCTCTTGAGGGATGTCATGGTGGAGAAGGAATAGGTGGCGGTTATGTGTGCGCTTGCAGGTGCGGTCCGGAGGGCAATTGGCCTCACTGCTCTTGCGCAAAAGCTTGACCGCTGACGGAGGGATCGTGATGCGGAGCTGCACAGGTTGCGACTGAAGGCCGACATTCTCAAATTAGCTTCCGTCGAGCTAGGGCGAAGTCGGGACAGCTCTAGGGAGGAAAAGGGAGTGTCGTACGCGTGTTTGCAGAGGCTGGTACTCTGGAGAGATATAAAGTCGGTGTTTTGTCGCAGCTTCGAGCGAGGCGCGGCTTCGATCGGGCTGGAGGGGCTAGGATGGTTGCCGAGGCTGGCAAATCAATTCCGCCCGCCCAGCTACGCCGAGCAGACCCTGGCCCGTATGTCTGCATACTGGAGAATGTACATGACGGTGCTGCAAGGCCTACCGTGATAGAATGCGACATGGAAAGCTCCAGCAAGTCGCGCTCTTCTTCCAGTGCGGCTCAACCCCGCATCAGCCTCATCGCACATGTCAGTGCATCCTGGAGCCGCCCGGGGCCGCTTTACCGAGATCCAGTCCCAGCATCGAACCGAGACGTCCATTGAAAGATCCACAGCTCGTCAACCCTCCAAGCCGTGTGCTTCCCATCACTGCATTCCACACGTATCTGGAGCAAGATCGTGGAGATTCAACAATGTAGTATAGTCGTTTTGATGTCTTGGGCTTACTGTTGTTGCTCTCGTGAGGCTTGCAGTAAGCCTGAGACTTCCTAGAGATGAAGTCGCTATCTAGTATATGGTGGATTGGCAACAAGACATTTCAGCCCATCGCGCCTGGCTCCCACAAACCATGCAACCCAAAGCGCCGCCGTTCAATCAACATGGAGCTCTCTTGCTCAGTCAAACTGCGTACTGTATCAGCATTTGCGATCGAAGCGCATGTTAGAGTGACGGCATACCGGTGTCAGGAAGGACTCGGCAACGAATCGAGCTCTTGCGTTCAGCTGTCAAATGTCAGCATATCTCTCGTACGAACGGCTATGCGTGCTTACGAAGAGCTTCATCTCGGAGATCTCCTTGTCTACTTCCTCCATAAACTCGATAATAAAATCCACCAGCTTGTGCTTCAACATTTCCTCGGTATGAAAGTTGGTGATCAAGAAGGAGATATCATAACCCTGATTGTGTAAGCTACGGCATGCTGATTCCCATTAACACAGCATACCTTGACCGGCTTCCTCCGTAGGATGAAGAAGGCCTCCGCTCTTTGCGTCAGGAAGCGCGTGAACTTGTGCACGAGGATGTGTTCTATCTCGTCTGCCTGCTTGATCTTTATGCTTATCCGCACGCTGTTGATGCTCGGCTCGATCAGGACCTTCTCGTTCTCATTTCTCGATACGGTAAGAGGGTTCAGCAGCACTTCCGGCGAGCTGGCGGCTTCGATCTCCGGGACATTGTGTCTTTCTGAGGCTTGCGACGCGAAGTTGGACAGGGAAAGGGCTGCCGTGAGCGACGAGCGCACGCATTGGAGGTATGGGCGGAGTGATTGGGACTATAGGCGTCAGCAGGCGGCTCTGGCGCTGCCGATTTCGGTGCCAAATACCATGCTGGAAGAGGGTCAGCTGCCGCGAGCTCTGTACTGGAAGAGTGATGTTGGAATGCAAGGCAGCGAGCTACACCATGCTAATTCCAGATGTCCACGACGAAGTCATGGTGGGGAAGCTCCATCTAGGGTCCTCATTAGCGCCTTGGCAACATGTGCCAGCGGGGGCAAAACGACAGAAACATAGCGAAGGCGGCTCGACAAGACCTCTCAGCTTTTCTCTTGCTCGGTCTCGCAGTCTCTACACTCACTCCGCCGGACCTTTCTCACCCTCCCAACATGGCTTCAATACCAGGTATTTACATGCTTTCCAAGTATTTCATTCGCTTTGCTAACATCTTGGATCTAGTTGTTGTGAAGCACCAGGGCAAGAAGCACGATGTCGAAGTCGACCCTTCCTCCGACGGCGCGACGTTCAAACTGCAGCTATTCTCCCTCACTGGCGTCGAGCCAGAGCGTCAGAAAATCATCGTCAAGGGCGGTCAGCTCAAGGATGATGCCGACATGTCGAAGCTGGGTCTTAGACCCAAGCAGACCCTCATGATGATGGGCACGCCGTCGGGAGAGGCAAACGCGATAGAGAGACCGAAAGAGAAGATCAGATTCTTGGAGGACATGACCGAAGCGGAAGCCGCACAATCTGAAGGCGCCACACCAGCTGGCCTGCAGAACCTAGGCAACACCTGCTACATGAATTCTACACTCCAAACGTTGCGCTCTATCCCTGAACTTCAAGAGGAGCTCTTGCAATATTCCGCCAGGTATGCTCTGCTACCAGTATCTATGCGCCTTTCAAGAAGCTTACAAAAGCAGTAATGCGGGCCCTAGTTCAGCAAGCCAGCTCACCCAGTTCGGTCTTGGTGGCCTCGGAGCCTCTATGGATCTAACCGGTAGCCTTCGCGACCTATTCAAGCAAATGTCCGAGACCCAACAGGGGTTCCCTCCGCTGATGTTTCTCAACGCTCTTCGAACAGCTTTCCCTCAATTCGCGCAGAAAGCCAAGGATGGACACGGTTACGCACAGCAGGACGCAGAGGAGGCATGGTCACAGATCGTGTCGCAGCTCCGACAAAAGCTCAAGATCAAGGATACGGGAGCATCTGACGGTGAAACAGCGAAGGATTTGTCTTTTATCGACAAATACATGGCAGGGAAGTTCGAGTCTGTCATGGAATGTGATGAGCCTGCGGCTAGAGAAGGAGGTGAGGTTGCCGTTGAGAGCGAAGATGTTTTCTTCAAGCTCAACTGCCACATCACTGTTGAGACGAACCACCTCCGTGATGGACTGGCCGCTGGCTTGAAGGAGCAGATTGAGAAGCGCTCTGAGCTTCTGGGGCGAGATGCCTTATACACCAAGACCTCCCGCATCGCACGACTTCCAAAATACCTTACGGTGCACTTTGTGCGCTTCGACTGGCGGCGGACGACCAACAAGAAAGCAAAGATCATGCGCAAGGTCACTTTTCCTGAAGAGCTAGACGCGGTTGAGTTCTGCACGGACGATTTGAAGAAGCTGTTGATTCCGGTCCGAGACAAGATTCGCGACATCCGGAAAGAAGAGGAGGATGTAGAGCGAGCCCGTAAGCGACAACGGCGCATGAAGGCCGGTGAGGAGAACGACGTTTCCTCGGATAGCAAAGAGCCTCTCCAGAAGAAGTCCGAGGCTAGGAAGGCTGCTGAAAAGGCGAAAGAGGAAGACACGGAGATGCCGGACGTAGAATACAAGACAGAGGCCCAGATTGAAGAGGAGCGGGCAGCGTCCATCCTCAACTCCAAGAAGGAACTTCTCGCGTTGGTCGATCAGAAGCTGGCTGCGGACGAGGGGGCGAACCAGACCGGCCTTTACGAACTCCGCGGTGTCATCACGCACCAGGGTGCCAGTGCTGATAGCGGACATTATACTTCTTTCGTGAAGAAGCAAGGCGCAAAAGACCCGGTGACTGGTAAGAGGAAAGAGGAAGACGGAAAGTGGTGGTGGTTCAATGACGACAAGGTTTCGGAAGTAGATACTGAGCGGATCCAGACACTATCTGGCGGCGGGAAGTACGCCATATCTCGTTTATGTCCACCAGCTAATTGTCATTAGGCCAAAGTCACTCAGCGTTGATCCTCCTTTACCGGGCTGTTCCCTTGAGCACCGTCGACGAGGAGAAGAAGGCGTAGACATAGACGCCCTCTCTCGCCGAACCATCCGGCACTCATCTCCACCTTGATTGCTGGACATTGCGACGAGCGACGGGGCATGGCATTGGCGTTGCATAGAGGCTGATGCATAAAGATAGTAGAGGATATAGCATACTTATGCCTACGAAGCACATGTAATCTCATGACAACCATAAGGTCTGGCCTTCCTTCACTGGCTTATTGTGTTCCTCGCGTGGTGAAGCCGACGCGGAGGCGTTTGACCGCCTCTGCTCGCGCCAAGCCAAGTTTGCTCTCTGTACTTTCCCGAACCTGTGCACATATCCACAGTTGCACATTCGCGCAGCCGCTTGTGCGCCGGTCATGGTTATATCTCCTTCTCTGTTATACTGATCCTATCGTTCGTCCTGTGTACGATCGGCGCCATGTTCTATAGCCACGAGGGTAAGCGTGCTGCCACAGACTGCCTTCGCAGCTGAGCAGTACCGGCTGACAATCGCAGTGCTCACGTCGCGCAAGTATGGCGTGGCAACTGTAAGTACCCCCGGAAAGCTTCTTGGACTCTGTCCCTGTAATGTTGTCCGCCGGAGGTGACTGTACTGACGAGTCTCCGTAGGTCTGGTGAGTCGCACCTTCCCTTACAATGGCCGCACTCACAGCAGGGGAAGGCTCGTTGCAACGCTCGGTGCGAAATCGAACTCCAAGAAAATCACCCGGAAGGCCATCCAAGATGTCGATGTACCAAAGGCCTGTCAGACCTTCATCGACCCGGCCGCGCCAATGGCCTTGCGTCTGCAGGGCAACTTGTTGTGAGCCAGCTCCGACTCTGCTTCATGTGTGTAGCTGACAGGTCCAGGTATGGCGTCTCTCGTGTGTTCCTTCAGCAGTGCGGTTATGTTCTTTCCGATGCGCAGAATGTGTACAATTCTATGAGTCTGATGTTGCGGGCGATCGAGGGTGCAGCCCTAGACCCTCAGGCTGGTAAAGCCAGGTGAGCATAATATTCTACGAGACCAACAACAGTCCCGTTCTCACAGTCGCTCGATAGGCCAGATCAGCTTATCCTACCTGATGATCCATCATTCCTGCCCGAGTTCGCCATGCCGCCACCGGAACTCCTCGCAGAATTGGAGCTTGGCCCTATGCTTTCTCCACTACGTGCTACTAGCAACTCGCAGTCATTGATGCCGATCGAGTCCCAACAAGCTCCTTCAACTCCAGCTCCAGTCGACGGTCTTATTATCCCTGTCTCATCATCTGTCGGCCCTGGCGGCTTCGCGCTTCTAGGCAATGGCCCCAGCAGCATCGGCGGTCATGTAGCTGCCGACCATGAAATGATAGGTGAGTGACTGGTTCCTTCCGTAACACTTGGAAAATATATGCTCATTAGACATCGACTACTAGATGCGCCAGACTTCACCTTCGATGAGAATGGCGAATTCGTTGACCTTGCCGAGGAATATGTGAATGTCGGAACTCCAGCAAGATTAGGAGGAAGTACTATGCACAGCGATGCAGGCGCGAGCGCCAAAGTGAGGCAAGATCATGAAGACGGTCTACGCGCAGGAGCCCAGGTAAGTGATCTGTGAGAGATCACCCGCAATTGCCAACAGAATTCGCGGACTCGTTCGTCTATCACCTATCCTTTGCCCTATCTTATGTCTAATATTCATCGTCCACTCTTGTTCATCATAACTTGAACACTCACTTACTCCGAATAGCAAGTCGACAATCAAATGGACATCGACCTCCCTATGTTTGGGGACGACCTTCCCGAAGGCGAGGCCTTCTCTACTGGCAACGGCAGCCACCAAGACCAGCACTCAAAAGACGTTGTGGAGTTGTCCGATACAGTGCAGGCCCCGATCCGCCGCACCAAGCGAGCAGCACGAGTCCTCCCTACCGATACCACCTTGGAGCTTCGGAACAAGGACCTTTCCGATTGGAATGCCAACTACCTGGCTAACATGAAGGAGGCTTCCAAGCAGAAGATCCAGCTCCGACTTAGTCGACTCGCGAAGAAGAACGCCGAGTTCTGGATGTGGGGCTCCGGGATTGGAGGTATAGCAGCTCGCATGCAAGGCGTCAGTGGCCCTACGCCATTTGATCGGTTCATTGGCGACAATCTCTTTGAGTTTTTTACTGGTGTGAGCCGCAAGAGTGGTGCGCGTTCGAAGCGGGATCGCGACAGCGGCATTGACGAAGTGACGCAAGAGGAGTCGCGTCGCGTGCGCCAGAAGACAGATGGGCTCGAGAACGAGATCGAACGTGGTCAAGAAGACGAAGGCTTGTTCATTCCTGGTGGTGATGATGTCGAGCTGCCGCGAGAAGAACAGGTACCTCTCGATGACCAGCAACGCCTCTCAGAAATGCCCTGGAATATCACCGCATCGGTTCGCGGCTCTTCTGCAGTCCCTCGAAGCGGTAAGTCCTTTTGACGTTAGCTTTAGACTGAGAGAACTTAATAATTAAAATCTCCAGGTCGTGTCGGCTTGACTGGTTCTGCCCCGCCATCGTCACTCATGGGTCGCAATGCCCGCATGGTCTCTGAATCACCACTTCATGGTCGCAGTCGACCAGATGGATTGGATGACCTACAGTTCCTTGCAGATAATGAAGGCGGCTTCGGAAACCTCGGCGGAGACGACTATGTCGGCTTCGCAGGTTCAGGTATCAGCTCAGACTTGCCTGAAGCAATGCTCGCCGAAACAAACGCGCGTGTTCGAGAGGCTCTGACTGCGGAGGGCGGCAATTTCCTGACGTTCGTTGTCGATGCTATTGATGAGAAGCGCAACCGGATCCATCGAGGCCTAGAGCCGAAGTCAGATGACGCTGTCGATGCGATTGATGCCGTCGACGAGGTTTCCTTCGCAGAGGTCATTCCGCCTCATGCAAACAGCAAGACGGTTGCGTCTTCGGCTCTCATGATGACGCTCACGCTCGGAACGAAAGGCTTGCTCAACGTTCGCCAGGTCAAGCATTTCACTGATATCAACATGAGTCTCACCGAGAAAGGCAAGGTCGCTCAGTTGGATATGCCAATTCGAAAAGAATACGGACGTCACGTGGGTGAAGAGGAGGCTGAACATGACGAAGCTGGGCACTTCGACGAGCAGTTCGTTCCTGTCAGTGAGGAGTCAAATGATGAGGATGAAGAGGATGAGGGCTCAGTCTTCGGCAAGTGAGTTCACCAGGCCCCATGCGGTGGAAGTGAATGAGTTGGTGCATGGCGAATCTGTCTTTTTATTCTACGGTAAGATGATGTGTGTGATGGCATCCATGGCACAGCGACTGCATGTATGGGGTAGTTACGAGACTCTATTCTTGTAAGTCTGTACCATCTCATGAAGAAGGAATGTACCTCAAGCTTTTTCGGTGCTCAATCCGAGTAGTAACCATGCGTGACTAGAAGAGCAGTGCGCCGCCAAAGCCTGGCAAAGAGGGACTAGGTGACATCAAGCTAAAGCCATCTTCTGTTGTATCCTACCGCGCCTAAAAACTCTGTCAGTGGTTTAAGTAAGTTGAAAGACTCGTTGACTCACGCATGACTGCTGCATCAATCGAATCCGAATATTCCATCACACTCACTCGCCAGTCACAGCCCGAAGTTCCTTAGGACCCTCTAGTTAATCCACGCTGATTTCTCAGTCACCGTTCTCTCACTATACGGAATGTTTTCTCTCCACCGCGCCTCTCCTGCCTGTTCGACAGCTTATGAACGCCAACACGTACACCTCACAACGGGCTAGATAGAGTCAACGAAACGTTCTCCACGTCGTAACACAACATGGCCAGCTATAGCTTCTTTCATTGCAGCCCTATCAGCATGACGATTCTAGCCTCGATGCCGCTTATCCAGCCCGCCCCATCTATATGGCAGCTCGTACTCTGTACCAATCCGCACGCGTCACAATCGCAATCGGACGCAATTTTACGCCTACCTCCTCTTCTCTCGAACTCCTACGCACAGATATGGGCAATCCGCCGTTCATCAAGCACATCTCCTCTGGCCAGCGTACGCTCGACAACACCGACTTGGCCGAAGCCAGCATGCACACAGTAGAGCACGTTCGCATGCGCCTCCGTATTTTGGGTAGTGAGGCGAAAGCTATGAGTTGCAGAACGAAAGACAAGGAAAACGGAGACACGAGCCTTGAAGCAGTCATCAAGGCTGCAGATTGGTTTCAATGGCACGACTTCGTGTCGAGATTATTGCCAGACGAAGACTTTGATAAGCTCAAGCCACCCGTCGGTGACATCGTTTGTGCGCCGGGACGAATGGGACGTCCACGGCTTCCTCCGTCGTGACCAACAATACGCAATGGCGCCGTTGGATCGAAAAGTTTAGGCTTATCCGAACGGCGTTCGAGAGCGATAGTCGAGAAGCGAGGTATGGTATGGTCACTATGTCAAAGGATTCAACAAAACAGCATGCAGATGTGTTGCCTGCGCATGGGAAAGACCGGCTGAATACAGATTGAACTGGACAATGGGATCGTAGCCCCTTGACATCCAACTGGCAAAGCAAGATCGTGTATTGGATGTCAGTCGACTTCATCATGGGCTTTTTTGACTGAAGGATTGTGGAGAACCGGGTACTGCTGTGACTCATGGTGGCTACTGTAGGAACTACTTGACAGTTGCTGTCAGACTATGGGTGACACCGCTCATTCCTTTTCGAAACCGCAACCGCTGTATTCGTATAGAAGGCTTTTGCTATGGGTCTACTGCTACTCACCGAGAACAACGCAGCAATGTGGCGTGGAAAACTTAGTTGGCTTTGCTAAATTGCCTGTGAGATCTACCAGAAACAAGAAAAATAGTTCAGGTGGGACATATTAACACATTAGGAGTTGTATTCTCAGTGCAGTGTTGCTTCTCAGTTCAGTTTTGATAAAGGTCACGTGTGCGCTAGTCATTCATTGTATGTTCGCATCCATACCAACTTCACTCGCTTACCACATCCCTGCATCTTCTGCTATTGATCATTTCAAAGATCTCGAGTTGTTCGAGCGTAAGATTTGCATGCAAAGAGTTTCGGATGTTCTTTCTTCCTATCATTCCCGAGCGCCTGATGAGCGGCGTGACCGTGGCCTGACTTTCAGCGACCTCCTTTTCTGAAAGATTCGGCAGATACAAAAGGCTCAGGGATATCCTATCGCGTATACTAAAATGAGCGGCACACTTCGTTTGACACTTTTTACCCTCGCTCTTTTTGGACTCTTCGCTGCGTACCTGTACAATAGTCCCTACGCACACTTTCCAGACGACAACATGCCACCACCGGCGTCACCACAAACGACAGCTATTGTCGTGGGATCAGGGCTTGCGGGCCTGAGCGCAGCAAGCCAATTGATAACGAGAAACGTGCCTGTGAGATTGCTAGAGCGTGGAATTAAGCCGGGAGGAAACAGCATCAAAGCCTCCTCCGGGATCAATGGAGCACCCACAAGAGTCCAAGCCATCCTCGACGATGCCTTCTTCTCGGATACAATCAATTCAGCCGGGAAAGCAATGCTCTCCTCCGCTCAGAATCGCGAGAGCTTGATCTCTACGCTCACCGACTCCTCGAAAGATGCCGTTGAGTGGCTGGTGCAAGAGAAAGGCATCGACCTGTCGAAGGTGTCCATCATGGGCGGCCATACGTTTCCCAGAACGCACAGGGGAGCAGACCAGACACCGCCGGGCTTTGCAATCATAACAACACTGCTCAAATCGCTCAAAGAATCTCCTCTGTTCCGTTTGCAGACTTCCTGCACCGTTACCAAAGTCTTGCAATGCGGACATCGCGTCACCGGTGTAGAATATACTGGCGAAGACGGAAGTCCACAGGAGCTACTGGGACCTGTCATATTTGCATCCGGTGGCTTCGGTGGCGATGCAGAGGGCTTGCTCGCTCAGTACAGGCCTGATCTCAAGGGCTACCCGTCCACGAACGACCCTCGCCCGGGAACGCAGCCTCTTCTCACCGCAATCGGCGCGCAGCTTATCGATATGGAGTATGTACAGGTACATCCGACTGGGTTTGTCGATCCCGCCAGCCCAGCCTCCCCTCTGAAGTTCCTGGCTGCAGAGGTACTGAGAGGCGATGGTGGCATTCTTCTTTCCAACGGGAAGCGCTTCTTCAACGAACTCGAGATTCGGGAAAAGGTAACCAATGCGATCACAGCCGAATCACCAGTTGTAGAGTCACCAAAACAATGGAGCGTTCAGTTGGTGCTGGATGAAGGCGTTTACGAAGCAACCAAGTCGCATGTCGACTTCTACATCTTCAAAAGACTGATGAAGAAAGTCACAATCTCAGACCTCCCATCAGATGCCTTGGGGGAGATCTCGCGGTATTGCCAAATAGTCCGCGGGGAAGAGGCAGACTCATTTGGTCGGACACAATTTGCGCATTGGAGTCTCAAGGAGCCAACACCGGACTCTGTTGTTTATGTTGGATTCGTCACACCCGTTGTGCACTTCACGATGGGCGGTGTGACCATCAACGATCAGGCGGAGGTGCTAAAAAAGGGAGATGAGTGGATAGAAGGGCTGTGGGCTGCTGGAGAAGTGACGGGCGGTGTTCATGGCGCGAATCGTCTAGGAGGGTCGTCGTTGCTGGAATGTGTGGTATTTGGGAGAATTGCAGGAGACCAATGTGTGAAGTATGTGAATGCTCACAAGAACTGATACCTTCGGCCATTGAACTGGATGTTGTATAAACAAGAGAATCTCTTGAGAGCATATCGCAACACAAACGCGGTTGCGTCATATCGATAGCATTCGCGCGACGCGGGGATGCGCCAAGACCACGAACACCACGTCAAACGTTCATGAGACTTGACAGAACTGCCCACGTGTTTACTTCGGTGCCCCTACAACTTCTTCTTTCCTTGATATTTGTGTTTCCCTGCGATACCCTGTTTACTACATCTCTGGTGACTTTGATTTCGCGCAAATCGACACGCTTCTGCTACAATGCCTTCCGCAATGGTATCACAGACGGTGCAGGGAGCGGTGTTGAGCGTAACGTCCAACATTCTAGCGCAGGTCATTACTTCTTATAAAGACGATGTGAGTAGAATGCTTCCCATATACGGCAGGATTCCAACGTGCCAACATCATCGCTGCAGACGCCCTTTGCCATTAGCTTCTCTCCCATCCTCAAGTTCGCCCTTTTCAGCATAATCAGCAACCCGCCCAACATCCTCTGGCAAACCTTTCTCGAAGACGTGTTCCCGTCCAAAGTACCTGTGGAGCCCTCGGAAAAGCAGCTCAAAGACAAGCCCGTGCAGACCCGCACCAGCAAGCGCAACCTACTCGCCAAATTCATCCTCGATCAAACAATAGGCGCTGTGGTCAACACGCTCATGTTCCTCGTATATATGGCCTACGTCAACGACCACAGTGCGCGAAGCACACCATCTTGGTACACGGTGCAGGCGGATGTGAGCAACAGATTCTGGCCAATGGTCATGGATGGATACAAGTTCTGGCCTGCTGTATCGCTGATAAGCTTTCTGTGGGTGCCGGTAGATAAGAGGGTGGTGTTTGGATGCTCTGTGGGTGTGCTGTGGGGCATCTACCTAAGCTTGTCTGTGGCGAGCTGAGGGACGTGCCTGGAAGCACTGAAGACTTGCTCAGATGGCAAGAAACAAAAGTAATTATCAATACCCGCTTCTTCAACCCTTTGCATTCAGTGATCTATCCGAAGCGAAACTCTCACCAGCGGCGTTGTCATGACCATCGAGGGAGTATGGTTGATACAGTCTGCGGGTACCACGATTATGGAACATGGTGGCTATGTGATTCGAACCCACCACGTGCGAACAAGCGCGCACGGCGTTTCGGTCTGTTGAAGCCTGCCGAGTGAAGAGTAGCTGCCAAGCGTTCTTTCCTAACAATGATGGGAGGGTCCAACCTATGATTGCTGGTACGGCTCCAGAGAATGGTGTTGGTCACGTACATGGCTTGCGCCTTCCTCATAGAACTCAGTCCCTATCCTTGGTCCCACTACCCATCAGAATGCAGTCCACCTTTCCAAAAGAAAAAATCCACCATATTGTATTACTTCCAGCGCCACTAACCTGTTGCCGCGCATCTGCACATCGCTAGCTGATTTTCCCAATTGTTTGCGTGGTTCGTATCGCTATAGCTAAATATCGTTACGATGGACCCCACCTCGCAGTCGAAACACAAGCAGTATGCATGGCCGGAGACGGGGCAGCAGGCACCCTCGCAGCTAGTCGGCGCCGTAGAGGATGATCTGGGCCATGGTGCACGCAAACGTCATCTGGTCAGTAGACCGAATGTTAATACTAGGGACGAGTATGCTTCCACTCCTATCAGCAGCAACAATCCCTCTAGTACGCCAGCGGCAGCGGCAGCACAGAACGGCAGTGCAAACGGATTTGCGCACAGTTCGTCAGGCGAAAAGACCAGTCACACTTCCATCATCAAGACCTACCAACCTCCTGGGAAACCTCGATACTTCAAGTCACGGCGGATTACGGACAAAAGCAAGATCGACAAGCCGTGGCTGTATGAGAAGAGAGATCCCAGAGAGAAATGGCAGACGATCATTCCCATGTGCGGCTTCCTCATTGGCCTTGCCCTCGCCGGCTTCCTTATTTGGGAGGGTTACCACAGTGTCTCGCGGAATCTATACTGTCCGGTCATGGTCGACGACTTTTCAGGAGGACAGCTCAATGAGACCGTTTGGAGCACTGAGATCGAGGTTGGCGGTTATGGGTGAGTCACCTAAGTCTACCCTGGAGTCCCTATGCTTGATCATACTGGCTGACCATATCTCTTCACAGCGTCGGCTCATTCGAACAGACGACTAGTGACCCAGACAATGTCTACGTCGGCAGCGATGGAAAACTCTACCTGGCGCCCACGCTCCAGGACGCATCTCTCATTGAGCAGAACAACGTGATCGATCTTCGCGGTAATGGCTGTACTGGAAATCACTGGACTGATTGCGTGGCGGTTACCAACATTACGAACGGCACCATCGTCAACCCCGTCAAATCAGCTAGGATCAACACCAAGCTGAGCGCGAACATCAAGTACGGCCGCGTCGAAGTTACTGCTAAGCTTCCTGAGGGTGACTGGCTGTGGCCTTCCATCTTCATGCTGCCGAAGAACAATACCTATGGAGAATGGCCGCAGTCCGGAGAGATAGACATCATGCAGTCACGCGGGAACAATTACACCTACAAGCAGGGAGGTAACAATGTTATTGCCAGCTGTCTGCACTTCGGACCGAACGCAGAACTTGATGGCTGGTGGCGCAACAACGTCAAGAGCACAGCCTACCGTGAGACGTTCTCTGATCGCTTCCACAAGTTCGGTGTTGAGGTACGTATTTTCTAATGAACCACTGTGACTGTACTCATATCCCGTTATAGTGGACCGACAAGTACATCTTCACCTACATTGACACTCGCCTTCTTCAAGTCGCCTACACGCACTTCAAAAGGCCCTTTTGGGCCTATGGCGAGTTTCCAACAGCCGATCGAAACGGGTAAGTGCTGAGCACTGAAAGCCAAGTTCCTGATGATCATCGGCGTCTGCAATACACAGCCTGGGCCAACTCAGGGTACTTTGGAGAGTTCCACTAATTCTTGCAGTACCCGCTTCATCAATCCTTGGGAGTATGGCTCGCACGCCACGCCCTTCGATCAGGACTTCTACCTCGTTATCAAATTGGGCGTGGGCTCGACAAATGGATGGTTTGAAGACAATAAGTCCGGTAAGCCGTGGCTCGATCGCGATCACAACGCGGCGCAGAGGTTCTGGGAGGCACGCCAGAGGTGGCACCCCACCTGGAAGAAGCAAGGGTGGATGGAAGTCTCCAGCGTGAAGATGTGGCAGCTAGCACCGCACAAGGGATGCATGCCCAAGGACGCTCAAAGGTTCGTCGGGTAGAGGAGATTATGTAGCGGGTGGTAAGGGTAGGAGCGTGTGTCAAGAGATATCGACGAAACACATGGATTAAGACTAATGTAGTCGACCCTGATATCTAATTGTGCTATGACACACGACTTGTGTTAGGGAGTTACCTTATGCTGCCTTATACGCAAATCGATGATACAGCGCTTCTGAGCTTGAGGTATAATCTGCCTTTGTATGGTGGGTCTTCGGTCAACTCACGGCAGATTATGTTCGATGGGCATATCGTTTGTGTTAACCGTGTGCTATCATCCATCATTGACCTCTACGAACCACATGCTCTCTGAACAGCTACACCGAGCAATGCAATGTGCGCGGTACAAGTACACGGGCTTTCCAACCCCAAGGATCCCTCTCACAGGATCATCGCTCATCCGCGACTCGTCCCAGGGTCTCGCTACATCGTCAAGCGGCTCTTGACTAACATTCCACCGCTACTTGACTCTCAGGCGCTTTGAATCGTTGCTTAGGTCCAGTAAATCTCGTATCTCAAACCCTGCTCAGCCAGAACATGAAACCCAGCTGGATGACATAGCTGTAAAGAAAAAGAAATTGGGTCCTCGCGCTCTTCTGGCTCCGTGAACTCGTGTAGCCAGCAGCACCGCCTCCAACGCCTTGTGGGTTCGATTCGGGTAGGAGAACGTAGCGCAGGCTGCGGAGCAGAAAGAAGGCATTGGCGTTGAAGCAGTAAATGAAGACGACCCAGGAGATCCAGCCTCCGCCGAAGTTAAATTGACTGAACAGGGAGGTGAGAAGCAGGCTGATGATTACACCCACGAACTTATACCCGCTGTACGCCACGAGGTCCAACAGCTGCGACGAGCTCGAGATATTGAGCAGGAAAGTACCGAGCTTTATTATCAGGATCTCGAGGAGCATGACGGAGATGGCTTGCGTGGTGGTGTAGCCCAGGAGCTCGGGCTTGAAAGCGCCGCGCAGGCCTGCGAGGAGGGTGGACAGCAGGATGTAGGTTACCAGCGCCATTATGGGAATGTACATGTCGGGGGAATTGATGTCCTCGCGGGGCGGCAGGTAGAAGACGTCTTGGGTGTTGTTGGTCATGCGTTGCTGGCGCGACCAGGGGCGGTGGCGCCAGGGGAAGAGGACGATCCAGAGCTTGTTTACGACGTAGGTGTTGGTGACGTTGAAGTAGTGCTTGAGGGCGCCGACGCTGACGAAGCGGCCGAACTGCATATAGAGTTAGCCTTTATCCATACTTGGCTTCCAGTACGGGGAAACGTACGTTCTGCTCTACATATTCCTGTCCCGCATTCATGGCACTCTTGCCCATCTGAAAGCCCAGCTGCGCCGTAGGGTCGTTGATGAAGCCTCCGAAAGCAGGCGGTATGTTGCCGTAGCCTTGCTGGCCGGGCATGCCGTGCTGCTGTCCATAGCCATACCCGCTCTGGGGCTGCGACGGCGGCTGGGGAGGCGGAGGTGATCGCAGCTGCGGGACTGTCGAGACATGCTGGGGTACGGGGTGGTGGAGCGGCGGAGAGTGTGCGGGCGGCGGGTTCTGGTACATGGTGGGCGTCAATCGCAGGCTGGAAGAGGGTGGGTGTATGGTCGAGTAAAGGGCGAGAGTGCAGATGTTGCAAGCAAAGGCCAACTCAGCGCGCTCCCGCAGGCTCCAATATTTTGGTGCTGAGTTCCGCAGTTCGCTTTCCCGCCGATCTGGCTTTGCCAAGGCCCCTCAGTTCGTCATAGCTCACGCCCGCCGCAGCCCACACAATCTCCTGCGACAACTGCATCATGTTGGACACATTTGAGGTACTGACGACCTCCGGCGTGGTACTGTGGTCGCGCAGATATTCTCCGGTCGGCCCGCACATCATCAACAGCCTCATCCGCGATGTCTTCATCGAGGAGCGCGTGCAACCGCAAGCCGAAGATGCGGGCTCAAAACCGACATATCGGAAAGAGGGTTACACCTTGAAGTGGACAACCGCAAAAGACTTGGGGCTCATCTTTGTGGTATGTGGAGACATTGACGCCAGCCGACTCGAACCGGTCATTGAGGCAGTGGACTGACATGCGCACAGGCAGTTTATCAGTCACTGGTGCACATGACATGGATAGACAAGCTCCTCGACAACATCCGCGCCCTCTTCATCGGACTCTACGGTGAACAGTTGAAAACCAAGCACAGCAGCGTGGTGAATTGCGACAAGTTCGCGCCATACTTCGAGCGCCAGATACAGGACCTCGAGGGGCAAAGCGATAGCGGTTTCTCCGCACCGGGCACCAAACTCACCCCTCCTTCCAGCGCAGACAACGAAAGCGCAGATGAGTTTGACCCTAAGATACCTCCTTTACAAAAACAACATAAACCCCAGCACGATACATCGGCAGATTCGACACCGGTCCCAACTCCAGATACCTCACGGCCGACCACGCCTGCACAAAGCCACCTGCTTACCGGAAGGGCGGGGCCGGGTGCAAAATTGTCAAGAAGAGGAAAGAAAAAGGCTGCGGCATTGACCTCCGCGCCTGCCTCATCAGGGGACGAAGCTTCTGTTAAGCGGAAGGGCAAGGGCTCGGCAAAGAAAAACAGAGTATGGGGAGACTTCGGTGCGGAAGAGGAAGACCCGTCCATGGTGTTAGACTATTCACAATCGGACCTCAGAGACGAGGCACCAGAAGGCGAAGCCTTGGCAGAAGTCAACCCCGAATCATGGGGTAGCAGAACTGGCAAAGGCCAGTTTGTACTAAAAGATCTGGATCTGGAAATGGATCAAATAATAGCAGAGCAGAATGCGAAGAAGGAAACTTCAACATCTGCAGTATCAGGGGGTGGCCTTGTAGGATCGAGCTTAGGCGCAATAGGAGGATTGTTCCGGAATGTAGTAGGCGGAAAGACACTCACAGAAGAGGACCTTGCCAAGCCGCTGAAGGGTATGGAGGACCACTTACTCAAGAAAAACGTCGCACGAGAAGCCGCAGTGCGCTTATGCGACAGCGTAAAGCGAGATCTTGTTGGCCTAAAGACGAGCTCTTTCACCAGTATGTACCATATCCAACTTTCAAAGAACGATTGCTGACCTCTGAAGCTGTGGAAGCCACACTCCGCACCTCCATGGAAAAGGCCCTCGCCAAGATCCTCACCCCCACCTCCTCCCTCGATCTCCTCCGCGAGATCCAAACCGTCAACGCTTCAGGCCGCCCTTATGTCCTCTCCATCGTTGGCGTCAACGGTGTCGGCAAATCCACCAACCTCTCCAAAATCGCCTTCTTCCTGCTGCAGAATCACCACCGCGTGCTGATCGCCGCCGCAGACACGTTTCGCTCCGGCGCCGTCGAGCAGCTCCGCGTCCACGTGCGGAATCTCCAGGAGCTCAGCAAGCGCGAGGGTGGCCAGGTCGATCTCTTCGAAAAGGGGTATGGCAAAGACGCTGCGAATATCGCGGCTGATGCTGTTACGCACGCCGCGAAGACGAATTTCAACGTCGTGCTCATTGACACGGCGGGCCGAAGGCACAACGACCAGCGACTCATGTCCTCGCTGGAGAAGTTCGGCAAACTAGCTAAGCCGGATAAGATCCTCATGGTTGGTGAGGCGCTCGTGGGCTCCGATTCCGTTGCCCAAGCGCGCAACTTCAACCAAAGCTTTGGTCCTGGCAGAGGCCTGGATGGCTTTATCATCAGCAAGTGTGACACTGTGGGCGACATGGTGGGTACGCTGGTTAGCATGGTGCATGCGACGGGTATCCCGGTTGTCTTCTTGGGCGTTGGGCAGCATTACGCTGACTTGAGGGGTTTGAATGTTGGCAGTGTGTGTAGGCTTTTGATGAGCTAGAATTATTGATAAGGTATTTGATTATGGATGTTGCTTGGGCATGGGTTTGGAGAGTTATGGTGCCTGTGTGTGTTGGTACTCCTGCAGGGACCCAAGGCCCTTGGGCCGTGTATTTATGTTTGTATGAGAGGATACATGATTCTTGTCGATGCACTCGTGGTGTCCTATGAGCTCTGTTGGGTTTCGTCATGCAGCTACATTGAAAGAGTAGGGCTGACACCGCTGCTCGCAAAACAAAAAGCTGTACGGGGTGGAATCTGAACGCCACAACCGAAGGAAATGCAACTTCCCTGCCTTGCGCCCTTTTGCCGACGCTGTGATTAGTTGTACATGTTTCAGCAACCACGGCGACTAGTTTAATCCTTTGGACATTATCATTACCTTCTTATACAGCATTTCATATGTCGATTGCGTCTCGTCCGACGTTTTTCAGCCTTCCAATCGAAATCAGACGGCTCATCTATGACTTCGCTTATCTCACGAACCAAGAGATATATGCACGGGAAGGTTACTACGACGGGCTGCAATCTGCTTATGGCGAGCTATGCTGTAACGCTATCATCGTCTCGACTAACCGCCCCGATAGACGTCGGCGAGCGTCGCCCTGGTCTCTCGCCAGTACTTTGCCGAGACCGTCGAGCATTTTGCTGTATCGAACACACTCGTCGTCGATCTCGATTCGCTGAAAGAGCACACATTCGTGCTGTCTGCTTCGTTGCGCCAACACATCCGAACAATCAAGACGAATTGGTAGCGCCGTTTATTAGTAACTCCACTGCAGCTCGACGTGACATTTCCCAAGCTGCAATTGCTTGTTCTGGGGGTCAGCTTGCGGGACCTCAAATTTGCTGCTAATCCGACGAGAGAGGGGGACCTTCAAGGGATTACAGGCGCGAAACAAATCCTGGCGGCATTTTGTGACGTGCGAGGTCTGAAGAGTGCGTCCGTGGTTGAGGTTGACAAATGTAGATGGCTGCAGGACGACGAGCTATGGGATCGTGCCAAGAATCTGGAGGAGAGACCGAGAGTGCTTGTCACCAGGCCGAAGCCAGAAAGAATAGCATAGCAGGAGCGGACGATATCCAGAATTGCTGAATTCGGGACGTAACGGATTCGGTCACAGCTCTCGATCCGAAAGGCATGATGTAGTCGGACGGTCATCACCCCAATCCGAAAGTGTATGATAACGCTTTGGCCGTCTGATGCAGGGCCTCCTAATCTTGACTACCTAGGTACTCATGACCCTAAGGGCTTTCCGGTACGCAACATCACCTTCCCATTCAATCCTGAGCATGATATAAAAGAACCCAGTCTCCACAACGTATCTGAGGTAATAAATGGTGCAATTTTGAATCGCATTCTAGTAGTAAGATAAACTTCAGCCGAAGAATTCTCGGTATAGACCAGGAACCTAGCGTGGAGTGGTGCTCTGTCTATGACGAGGTCTCCGTTGGATGTTCTTTCTTCTTCCGGTAGAGCCTCAAACTATGCATCAATAAGGGGAGCAGTACATAGCAATACTGGGCCGATATTAGCTAGAAGAGGCGCTTGAGACTCATCAGCGGTCGGAAGCGGGAACGGAAGGCGCTGACCACTTTCGCCTGGATGCTGGCTGGGTGCCCAGGCGTAGTAGTGGCCATCAACGTGGCTATGGCATTTCTATCCTGGGACCACGCAATCATCTGGGTCGTTTCGCAAAGCCTGGTAAACTTGGAAGGCGTTGAATTTGAGAGAATATGGAGTAACATCGAGGGAACACTTCATATGCTGCCACTGGCCTTTAAGTGCGATGGTCATCTAGTCTGACTATTCGCCTGTGCACGATAGATGCTAGTAAGGTGTGGTCGCCAACGTTCCAAGCAGTCCATCTTTGCCTCCGCGTTCCAACCAGTCCGTGACCAGCTCGGATCTTCTGTTCGCTGCGCTGTGACGTATTTTGGATAAGTATATGAAATTGGGTTCCACAATATTGTAATATTGAAGAAGAACAATGGAAGGCCGTGTAAAATGCCTCCTGGGAAGGTGGGAATGTGCACGCCATAATCTTAGTTGCCCTAGCAAAGCTCGTCTTGCATCCTAAGGATATGTCAACATCCGCGAAGAGTAGTCCTCCACCAACATGTCCCCTGTCGCGCTAGCGAAGGCAACTTAGGAACAAGGGATATCATGCCCGTTGGAACCCCAAGATGTGGGCCTTCAGCTAGCCACACTGTATTCTCGTCAACTTCCACGACGCTAGGGGGCATGATGTCCTCAAAACACTCATGCTGCACTGCTCTTCCACACATCCAAGTTACGTTCGTATCGAAGTTCAGTAGCTAGTGTGAACACAACGACTCTTGGAACGTTCTTAGAGAGAACTACTTATTGGGAAATTGGAAAATTCATTCTCTATAGACTAAGGGATATATATATAGACCCTTCTATTTACTATCTATGTTTGCTCTTTTACTTGCTGTTGGATTTGTCTTATAGTGTTTGGGATGAAAACAGACCAACAAACGTCCAGCCTCTATCGATCCAGACCGGTTGCTGCTTTTAATAGTCTAGGTGGAGCCTAAGGTCAGACGGCGCGCATAATAAGAAGCTCTTGTCCCTTTCTCAAGAAAGACCTCTAACACCGCTGATACCAAAGCTCGCATCGCCGCCGCTTGCTGGTTCAATCGTAAAATCGGCACTCGCATAGATGCGGCCCATTACTTAGAGCATGTTGTTTATCTTATCAGCGTCAGCATCCTGCACGATGCATAAGCAATCAATCCACAAGTATCTCTCTTCCAATCTTTTAACAATAAGCATCGCGTCACGAACCGTGGCAATAACACTTTCCTCGAACAATGCACCTTCATGTCGAAGCTGATCCACGTTGGCCTTCGGCCTTGAGCATTGAAACGTTCCCCCCAGCTATACGACAGCGCAACAACATACGGTGTTGAACTCGACATCTTTACCAGACACCCTCTAAAAACGTCGATCAGCTGTATTTACTCTATGTATTTCGCTAGATTGTCCGAGTACCGATGGTTACAGCACATTCCGTGGGACTTGTGACATTGCCTCCGCCACGCTCGTATCACTTCAAAGTCAATCTCTTTGCCGAAAGGCCTCAGTTTTCGCTTCCGCAGATTCCCTGCGCGCTCGAGCTCGACTTCGAGCCATGTTTTCCGGTACCAGGACTTCAAGACTGGGAAGATCGGGATAGACTTGTGGTAGTTTATCCTGTTTAGAGCGCGTTTCACTTATAGACAAGTGTTCCTTCCATTTGCAGAAAGTCAACGCCATGAAGTGGATGTATCGATCAGCAGGCCAGAGGATACAATAACAAAGTTGAGTGTGAGAGGGGTGAATGGTAATCTTCGCGGGGTTGCCTACATAAAGTTAGGGCAGCACCTGCCGACGAGAGTGGCACCTGATGAGACGGATATCGTACCAGAACAGACCAGCATGCTCAGCTGCTCTGTTTCGTGGCCGCGCTCCACGTTCCTTAAGTCAAATTTGATATTCAAGTGACAAAACCTCACGAAATCGTCAGCAAAGCGCTTCAACGCAATTTCGCCATCACACAATCTTCGCGCGACGACGTCACCATATCATCAACCAGGGAATTCAAATAGCTGGACAACGATCCATATCTACCTACTGCACCCTTTCACTTCACTACAGTAATAGCGTACACCCCTTCAATTCAAGCATCTCATTGCAGAGTTCCAGATCCTCCAACCAAGCGGATAGGATACACATCCCCAACTCCTTCTGTCCGGCCATCTCCGGACAGATGTATGCACCATCCTGCCCCAAAACAGCTCCGTGGAGCCATGTCAAAAACAACGCCGGACCGACAAAGGAAATTATTCTTCCCAAAAGAGGTGTTGAAAGATGACGTATGATGATCAAACCCAAATGGCGCGGACTTAAAGAGAGGGAAAGGGGTTTTTCTTCGACTTTTGAAGTGTCGGGGAGAATATACACGAAGCTGTGTAGAATGGGGAGGGACGACATCAACGTGCCTTCTGTTTCGCAGGCCCGGATTGTGGCTGTAGATTTCTTGTGTTCAATGTTCAGGGCTATAGCACGCCTTCCCACATTCCAGGACCTTGACGCTGAAAACCCTGGGCGGCTTCTGTTCCACAGCATGTTCGCTTCTTCCCGAACTCTTTCTGGTACGGCATCCGACGTTCTGGCACGGTAAGCTTGGGGGACTGCAGCCCTTTCAGCTCGGCGCCAGAGGCAGGTGACGAGACGAAAGACTGAACAACCGAGCGGTCGGGCAATACAGTCGTCGAACCATGAATGAAAGAAGTAGAGCGGGAACTCTGAAGCAAATGACGAACGTTGTTTTGCAGGTCCGCAGATGATCGACCACGCTTCCTGTTCGCCTTGGCGGCAGGCATGGAGATCTCGGCGGGACTGTCGACCTTGACTGGTGTGACATCTGCATCATCAATGTGAAAGCTCTCGAGATCTGGCGAGGACATCGGCTCACTAGGAGCATATTCGTACTGCTCCTTGCACTTCGATAGCACAGGATACGGAAGCCTCGCGCTGCGGCACGTCGCCAATCGGGCCAATTTAGCCTGATTCGGCGCCCAGCCAGCAGATGAGACGGACGAAATCGAAGACGCACGCGAAGAGCGAGAGTTGTCTGTGATCATAGACTCGGGAGATGAAGCGGATGATGTAGTCGAAGGTGCGAGAGACGGACGTCGGCTGGGGAAGTGGTAGGCTTCCAATCCAGTCCTGATGCTTGGGTTGTACTGGTCCATGCAGCTGCGCGCCAAAGACGAGCTTTGCGCCTGCGCCATTGCGGAGCACATGGACGGACGCCGCACACCAAATGTCATAGCACTCGCAGCAGGAGTGTTTGAGACAGTTGACTGAGGCGTCAGAGTAGGCGTAGGCAGAGGACCCAAGCGTGGAAGACAGGGAGTAGGAGGCAGAAGGTCAGGCTTCGGTTCGAGGAACCGCGGGACCCTGTAGTGGGATGGAGTAGGCGTGCTCTCTTGTGATGCAGATCCCTCCGACATGGGAGATCGGATAGGATGCTGGGTGGCGTACGATTGCATCGTGGGCCGCACAGGAGGAATATGAGTCTTGGGGGTGATGTCAACGATGTCCAACTGAGGAGTCAAGCACGGGATGACGTGTTTCCACGTGTTGGGCAAGCAGCCACCAGGGGAAGGGGGTGGGTTCGACGGAGTATGACGTAGGACTATCTCCTGCCACTTCTCCCAAACGGGATCGATGATGTGGAGTTTCCAGTTCACGGCCGCGAGGAAGGCCATCTCGTTGGTGTTGATCTCGCACACCTTCAGACCAGAGATCTTGCTCCACGCACGAGCAGAATAGTTGCGATCCTGCAAGTACTTGGACGCAAGGATGAGAGCAGCCAAGAACATGCGGCGACCACACTGAAGGGCTCGAACGGACGCAACATCCTCCGGTTGTTCCATGGTGAAGTCATGCTTAGGCACATGTGCCTTGATGAGTATGAGGTAGTACAACGCAACCTGAAGCGTTGAGTAGCTCGTCCGAGATCGGCGCAAAGTCTCTTGGATGAAGGTGCGGAGGGGAAGAACACCACGACCGGATGATGACTCACACCGGCTGGCGGGCACAGATGTGGGCCATATCGTCTCAACCATCTGAGTAGCGGAATCTTGAAGTGGGATTGAATCAGCGAAAGGGACCGAGGGAGTAGGAGGCGATATACTGACCGACAAGACAGTCGACAAAGTTGACCTTGCGATCGCTTTGGCGTACCAGCGGGGGAGGCTGACGGCCAACAGTTGACGACGATCGGCGAGGATGTTGTCGCTGTTCCACAGATATTGGTACCTCCGTCCGTAGAGGTGGGAGGACCCGTTCGGGAGCAGTGTCTCGGCATGGCGCCTGGTATTGAGGAAAGGTGCTGACTCTGCTTATTGGCGCTAGTGAAGCCACGGATCCCGATAGGAGTGCTCGAGAGCCAGAGTTCCATTCATCTGGTCCCCAGCTGGAAGCAGAGAGCGATGTAGAGTTGGAAGTCTGAGATGCAGCCTCCGAGAAGACCGAAGAAGTAGAGGAGGAGGCGGAAGAGGAAAGAGATGGGGCATATGGATGACTTCTCGGAGAAGCATTGCCAAGATAGGAAAGGTAAGTGTCGTTCATGATGTATGGGAAACGTTAAGAAGTAACACCCGTTACAAGAGGTGTTTAGATAAAGACTGAGTGGAGATGACTGCACACTATGATATCACGTCTCGAAGTGCTGACCTCGCGGTAGACCAGGAGTCGTGTGGCAAAGTGTGATCGGGTGGTCGTGGGGTGACCGGGGGCAGGAACCGATAGACGAACCGTACGGATGGCCCTACGTCTTGATCGTGTGATTTTCAGAGACTTGAGTGCAGTCTCTTGTTCTTATGGTCTTCGATGTTGGCGTCTTCGATCGCGATCTGTGCCGTGGTGCAGGATCGCGTGAACGATTGATTGCCCGGACGAATGCGAGAATGAGGAGAAGTTGAATATCGGAAATTCGAGCACGATCAAGTGCTGTAGGTACGATTAACGGGGTTGCGGGTGGTTCTTGTTCGAGCAGCTGTGAGGTTGATCGGACAGGCTCCAAGCGCTACCAGAGGATACTCCAGTAACCGTCAGCCGCAGAAATCACTGAAACAAGATCCTGGGAGGAGACGTTTCCGCAGTTCACTTCGAAGGTAAGCTCTGGGATAGCTGTTGCTATCGCGAAAGCTCGAGGTTCCGAAGGAAAGCGGAGATCTAGCAGGCGAAACCTCCAAAGGCGAAGGTCTTGTTGATGGAAAGAGTGGCGGATTTCAGGGCGACGGTTACTGGAGTAGTATCGTTTACGGTAATGGACATTGCGACTGTTTCGTTCGATGTGTGAAGTGTTCGTATAGTGACTAGCTCAAGGCGGAGTCACCAGTCGGAAGCGCTTCGTGCGTCGTCGGAAGTGTGTGCAAAAGAGTTGGAGATGTTATTGGTGGATTAGGTTCGAGTGTTGGCGCATGTGAGGTTGTAGAGTAGTCCAAGTTGGGTGGGATGGTGGTGGTGGAGATGGAGGGTGAAGTGGCGGTCGGCACTCGGCGCGGCTGGCGAGAGCGACGGATGCGGAAGGGGCGGTAGAGGTGGGTGATGGGAGACGCAGGTACGGGGTTGGGATATAAAGGCGGGCGATGAATGACTGACTTCGTTTGAGGGATGAGTCTTCGCAGGCACCAGAGCTGTGGCGAGGTAACAGGCGCGGTTTGTCCGCTGCTGGCTGGAGACAAAGGCTAGGCAAACGGGAGAGCGGAGAGTGGCGGGAGGGAGGTGGGTGAGACTCTTCGCGCGCAGTGAGTATCGGCTGCACACGCTCAGATGAGGCCCTGGGGCTCTTGCGGTGGTATCGAAGGGACCATCTTGATGCGATGCGAGTGAGGGCGCTGGCTGGGGGCGAGGGTCTATATCGACACCAGCTGTCCAGCCCGAACGCAGCGCGCACGGGCCCCTGGCAGCGATGAATCATACGGTGGCCAAAAGCTGGGACGCTCCAGCAACCAGCCGAGTTTTCACCCACGGCGGCGAACAGCAGCCACACGCCTGTTTGCCATTTGCCGTGGATGAGTCCGCTGCCTGCGCGCGCGATTTGCCGCGTCGTGGCTTCGTCGCAGCGCTCGCAGCGTGTTGGCGCTGGGTCGTGAGGGCAGTGGGCGCTCACGCATCGCGCATCGCGCATCGGCGGGAGGCTGCAGCAGTGCCAGCGTCGCAAACCGCTGCGACACCGACACTGCCTCTTGCCAGGCACGCCCGGCGGGCTCAGCCAGCGCGAAGTGCACCGGCGAGCCCAACGCGGCATCTCGTCGCGCCAGGAGGTGCGCTCTCCTTTTCCCAGTCGAGCTTGCGTACACCGGCTTCAGCTTGTCCCCCGCTGCGTCGTCGCACCTGTCCGCTGGCCCAGCCCGGCCAATGGCAGCTCTGGCATTGGCCAGCGGCGCGACGGCCCCAGAACGGCGCACCTTGCCATCTCTGCGGGCATGCAGAGGACCTCATCTGGGCGTCCGGCTGGAGCCAGCGCGCGGGGATACTCACGAGATGCTGGAACAGCAGACGCCGTGTCTTGCTCAGCCTGTGTCGGCTGTGGCACTCGCTGAAGCGATCGTGATGACACGCATCCATCGCTTGGCCCACGCTGCTGCGTCAAGGCGAGAGGTCAGCAACAGCGCCAACCCATGCACACGTCCCTATCTCCGATGCGAGGCGCACAACTGCTCGCACGTCTGTAAACCTCCAGTCAGCAACGTCGCGATTCTTCAAAGGCCGCACGACGGTGACCACCAAGTCACGGCATGACTGGTCTGGGCTTCCATGATGCGCGTCCGTGGTTCGCAGCTCGCACTCCGACCTCTTCCGAGGGAGACATCCGCGGCTGGGGCTGAGTCACGGTCGCTCGTAGCCAGGCAGCGCTGGCCGGCCAAGCATGGCAGGCAGAACACACGCCTCCACCGGGTGCACAGAGCACAGCGACGAGGACAAAATCCTGCTTCACTTCCAGCGTGACCAAGCAAATCGCTACCTTCGCTCTCAACTGTGGACACACCGAGGTCTGCTGACACCGTGTGGGCTTTGGCCACGCCCGTGGCGCGTGCGAGGGAAGAAACGAGACGAAACAGTCATGCGCTCATGTTGAGATGAACAATGTCGCTGCTGCCTGCGTCTTGGTAATGCGACGTGTCCACAAAGAATCAAGGAGAACGTGTGAATGTGCCTGAGGCAGGACACGATCCATCAGTGGCGTCTCGTACAATACCTGCACCATGCTCTCAGTTGCGTACGACAGGACCCACCTCGCTCCTCATCTGGCAGTCAACGAAACACAATGCTTTCCACCTCGTCCATGAGACATGAATTTAATAACTTTGCTATCGAGAGATCCCGCTTATAGTACCGCGGACATCTAGACTGTGATTTCGTGGCGACCGACACCAGCAACATCTCCGCATCGTCACCCGTCAAGGTTCTCCAAGAGCTCGACATAGGGGTCCCGCTCTGCATCTTCCTGTTTGCCCGACTTCAAAGTCTCCATGGTCGCATCGCTCAGCGGAGCGTTGGGGTGCTCAAGCTTGCTCTGCCCGCCACTGTCGCCAGAAGAAGAGGTAGCCATGGTGGGGTCATAAGGAGCCACCGCCTTCTTTCCATCGTGTCCAGCAAAGGGGCATCCAGCAGTCTCCATCAGCTTCTGCGCATCACCGGCAGCAGAACGGTCGGGAAGCGCTGTCTCCGTTGGTAGCGGCGTCTGGTCAATCTCAGCCTTCGAGTCGCTGTCCAGGGCATCACCTGGAGAGAGGTTCTTGTCCACCGCTTCTTTTTTGACCACGCCGCCGGATGCGATTTGCCGGAACATGTCCAATGGGTCGAACCAGGTACGCACGCTCTGGAGTTGGAGTTTGTCGTTGACGGTGGCGACAGTGACGCCCTGAATGTCGATCGCGCCGCCGTGGGCCTTTACTGATATCTTCTCGCCCTTACTGTTGACTTGTCAGCATACAGATTCGCAACAAAGACTTCCGACTTTGCACATTTGTTGCGTTCTCGTCATGTCATGAAACGTGTTTCCTGCACGCACATTCGAAGTCGTCGTTCTGACAGTTTCTGACTTACTTGTTAAATCCTACATAGTCGTTCTTCATCACACCCCAATGACGCCACCTAAACGACACCGTTGGCGGACCGCTGTACAACTCTGTAACTTCCCATGCGAAGGTGGGCATCATCCTCTTGAAAGTCTTGTGGCTACTGGCGAAGTCCGAGTATTCGGACGAGTAGTACTCGTTTGGTGCAATGATAGCGTTGTATGTCCCCTGTTTCAACATGTAGTACGCATCCTGCGGCTCAGACCCGTTGATAGCAAAGGTGTATTTGTCGTGGTCGATCGTTCGCCAGTCGGACAGCGTTGGCTTAAAGGAGGCCTCGACTTCCCAGTTCTTCACGAGATTTTCAACAAGCTGAGGAAGGGAAAGTGCTTCGTGGTTCATGGTCTTGGCTGGTCATAACGTCAGTCACTATCCAAATCCTATATTGATCCGTGTCTTGATGATCTTCGTGCGTCGGATTCCCCACTGGTGAATGCCGGAGTAACTATCAAATGAGCTTTGCTTTTTTTGCCGGGCCCTCATGGCGAGATAGGATAGGCTTTGTGGGGGGGGACGATAGCTGTGACACCATGATAACGTCGACGCAACATTCTTCAGCGCTTCAATTCGCATGTATCTCCAGATGTCCTCGGTTACACAGGTTTGTGAGGAAGGATGATACCACTTACTCTCGGCAAACACCTTCCTCGTCTGCGAATAGTCCGGAGCCCGTCCATAACGCCAGTTCACGTTTGTGTCTTTGAGAACCGCATCTGGGTCAGTGACATAGTCGGGAAGAGCAGGCGGTGCTTGAGTGTCTGCGGCAGCCATTCTAGAAGTGTTCGAGGTATCGAAGAGGATGAGGTGAGACGACGGAGGTTAGGAAGATATAAAAGTCAGAATGTATGTAATCAGCCTAATCCGGCAGGCGTGAGTGGGGTATAGTGTAAGGACGACTGCAGGTGGGTGACACAAGCTGCAAGAGAACATACAAAGGTAGACAGGAACCGAGTACGGACCCGAAGGGGCCTGACCTTCCTCTAGGACGCGAGGGAAACTCGAGCTAGGGGATCGGGGAAGCCGTCGTTGAAACACTGACAGCGACTTACGCTGGCTTTGCAGCACATGTGCATTGCCATCGTATTGTTAGTCTGAGCCAGGCGAGTCCATGCATCCCAGAGTAATACATGTATTCAGATCATCAGATCATACCGTTAATATGCTACAACACAAGCATACTCGTGTGGGATATTCTTATCAATTATCAAAAATGCTCACCCACCATTGCTTCTTTGTCGTACTTCAACGACCAACATGGAAGCCCCCAAATTGTGGGAGACCGTGCATGATAGTACGGCAAAGGTGGAGCTAGGCGCAGATCGTGCCGGCGCGGAACGAGACCAGTGCACGTAGACCGTCTTAGTATACACTTCCTGCATGGCTGAGAACTCTAAGTGAGTGCTGAAACGGTAATCTTAATAATAGCATAGCCACCACTGCTGCGATGGGACCGGTCTGCTTGTAATTGGTGAAGTTCTAAGTGGACAATCTTTTGGCGGATGTTGGAGGCGTCGCGAGCTTTAGGCTCGCAAGTTAAGCCTGGATCAGGCGTAGACGATATGAGAAGGTTGAATGTGCAGCGCTGGGCTTCGTCACCAGCAATGTAGCAACCAGTACTGTCTAATCCTTCCGAGACCAGAAACCCTGTGGCGACGGAGAACACTGCAAGATCAAAGTGCCATCTCAAAGATCGCGATGTCGGTGCATTTACGGAATCTTCCAGCCGCAGAGTATCAAGATCAAAGTTTACGCTGTCCATCGGCGTGAAACTTGGAACCATCTCTACAGTACGATATACAACACCAAATGGGCATTCTCCTACCCAGTACTCCAGACTGCTACCTCGCCACAAGCCACAAGCCAATGCAGGACTGCGGCCCCACACATTGAGGTTGGGTATCGCATCTTCTCTTGCGACAATTTCTCAGGTTTCGGATTGCGGCCTCCCTAAGGTCCCATTATAAGGCTGCTGGCTTGGTCTAAATGAGGCGTAGTGATCCCGGTCCTTTTGACAAAATGCTCGTGGCCCGTATTTACGTAAGTTCACAATAGCCGGTACATGATGATCGCTGCGATGGACGTTGCTGAGGCTGTCGTAGGCAAGCATGCTATCCGCATACACGAAGAATCGTTGGTTCCTGTAGTACGCTGTGTGATGTCTCGATAGTGAAATGCTCTCGAGCCGGAACGCGAATGTACTTATCAATATATCGACATGTAGAACCTCTGTTGCAAGCGTGGGTGCTAGCCGACGAGATGTTGAATGCCTCTATACTTATAGCTGACCTACCGACAACATTGAACTGTGACGAAACGAGCCGTATCTCGACAAGGCGGACAGGTAGAGGTGCGAAAGGCATCGGGCTGATGAAAGCACCATCGAATTAGTCACAGAAGTAACAGGAAGACAATCCATCGTCCAAAATGGATGGTTGTGTGAAGGCGCCCTGGGCTAGGTTTCTTTCACGCGCAGAGCTCTTTGCCAAGGAATGACGTAACTGCTTGTTGCATGCGCTTGCTCTCCATCAAGCGTTTCCTCGGCGGTACAGAGCATCCAATACTCCAACGCTTCATACCGAACAGACCAAGTGAAGTCTTGCATGATGGGGAGGCGACAACGCCTCATCAGCAAGTCGATCTTGCACGCGATCTTCAGCCCGAAGAAAGCATACGGCACAGATGATCGCCCAAGCTTGCTTGCGCGCATTCTCGCATTCTTCGCTGTGTTCAATCTTACTCTAGCACGATACCGAGCAGCCCTTTTCAGGAACTTGCGAAACGAAATATGGGGAATCGAAGAGGAAGAGTACAAGGAATCATTTCGATCTCCAAGCCACAACAAGAGGACCGACCTCATTGCCGTAGGCGATCTGGGCTATTCAGGCTCGGTATGCGCGCGTTTCCCCCATGTATTGACTCTAATAATTAACTTACAGACCTTCTTCACGACACCAAATTCCAAATTCCTGCTTAAATCACTTCCTCGCCATTTCGAGCAATCCTTCTTCCGCAACCGCCTTCTAGATCCCTACGTCGAGCACATGGAGCTGAACCCAGGCTCTCTTCTCGTCCGCATCACTGACCTCTTATACTCGCCCACACCGACTATTGGCGCTGCTCTGGGTACCGCGCCTGGTCATCACATCGTCATGGAGAACATTCTGTACGGCAAATCCAGTTGCGCCAAAGACGATCAAGAACAATGGGAGACGTATGATCTGAAGCCGAACGATTACTTCTACCCCGAGCGCGATGTAGCTGGCGGAAGACTCGCGCCCGAAAGTGTGAAAGAGCGCCTGATCGACGAATTCCCGGACAAGATTCGGCTTACGATCGAGGAGAAAGAGGACCTTGTCGCACAGATAACAAGGGACACGAAGATATTGCAAAACGAAAATGCTGTTGACTACAGCTTGTTTCTTGTCCGATATCCGGCCTCCCTAGCTTCCGCAGAGAACGACACAGTTCCCGTTCCGCCGGGGAAAGGCTCCCCATGGCGCATAGGGCTCCCCTCACGGGATGGCAAATGGGTGTATCGGGCTGTTCTCCTGGACTTTTTCTGGGCTAAAGATGCGCTTCAAGCGAAGGCCATGACTGGCTTGGTCAATACTTTCAATTCCCTGAAATGGGGCAAGGACCATGGGCCGATGAGCATCACTACTTCGAGTGAGGAGTACCGCGCGAGGTTCTTACGCATGGTCGATGATATGATAGAGGTGCCAGACAGCTCTGGACAGCCAGCGGGTCAGCTGCGGACCCCCCAAGCAAGCACTGGCGACCTAATTGGCGAGGTTTAATGTCTTCGGCCTGGCTTTCTTATCTTTGTGGATGCTTTTTGGGCACCGAGCGAGGAGTTGAGCGTTGATATCGGTACACACGGATATCCCATATCAGTTTTGGTTCAATGTCAGCATCTTACCCTTTAACTAGCTACTTGCTGATAGGCATGCAGCTGTGTGTTTGTAGGCTTCGGATGGAGGTCAACAACCTATCTTGGTGTCAAGTACAGATGAGGAAGAAGATGCCAGAAGCACAGGTGAGCAGTGAGAGCATGTCGTCATCGGGTTTGGCTTCGTGATCAAACGAGCGTGGCTTGGGTGAGCAACATGAAGTGGGGACTCGCGATGCGGCCCGGTAGTGACCCCAGCCGTGCAAAAAGCCAGGCCCTGTGGCGTAATAGCCGGACAGGGTCTCGAGTCGACGTCGGGAATGATGATGATGCGTAGGGATTGTTGGCCGTTGCACAGTGACCACCAGTATGCGCAGTGCAGACGTATCACGGGCATAGTACGGAACGGCTTGAGTCTGTCATGGTTGCACTAGAGACGGAGCGGGAGAGGATTCGCCCCGCGGCGAGGGGATGCCATTTCGAAAATGCCTACGTGTCAGCGGGCGATCTTCACGGCATTCTTCTGAGGCTCTTTGCGAGAGGCCGTGCGGCAGAGCGGTGAGCCCAGCCTCCCTGGCCCACACCAATGGGCCGACGGCGGCCATGTGCATTTGGTCTGGGGGAGAGGGTTTCACGAATGATGCACCATCGGTGACGTCAGAGCGCGCTCCTAACACCTCACATGGGCATGGACGCAGCGCAACTGCCACAAATTTCGCCGCTTCCTTAAAGTGCACTGCGCGCTGCTCACCGCGCCATCGAAGAGTGACTGTCATCGAAGCCTCCGTCATACCAACACCTTTACTATTTATCGACTCTACACACAACCGTACGCCAGCAACACCGCCCAGAGATCCCGTTCGTCTATCATCGCGCTATTCCTGCTTCGGCTGCTCGCGGCTCCAGTTGACCCTCCTCCTCCAATCAGGCCCGCACTCCTACGTCAGCCAGCAGCCCACCCTCTGCGCAGCCAGCTTTTGTAGCCTGCTGGCGGCCCGCCCAGCATGTCTGTCCTTGCTTTGAAAGCGCTGGACTACGGCGCAGACAAACTTCCGGACAAGGTGTTTGAAGCAATTCCGGGCGGCTTCTTTACGCCAGACCACAAGAAACATCCAAAGTCCAAGACGAACCGACGGCCTCTGCGCGACACCCGAGGCAAGAGCGAGCAGAGGGACGACCGAGGCAGACGCCGGTCACAGCGAGAGCGCACACCGCCGAGCGAACACTCCGGCTACAGCAGCTACGACGATAATACCGACTACGAGCGCGACCAGCGCCGTCAAGGTCGACGTCGCCGTGTGAAAAGTCTTGGGCGCAGTCTGAGTCGAAGCCTGAGCCGCAGCTTGAGTCGTGCAAGGCACCAGCAGCGCAGCAGCGGTTTTGACGGCGAGTACGACGAGCGTGCCCACATGGACCGAGAACGCGCAGACCGTGGGCCTCAATTCCCTCCCCCTCCTACTTCTGAGTACAGGCAATACACCCCGCAAGAATGCGCCTCTACGCCGCCAGCCACGGGTGGATATTATGACCCATACCGCCGGGCGTCGTCGGCCAAGCAACATCATGGGTACCCCTCTCAGGTAAATACCGCCTTTCGTACTCGAAGCGTCACACTTCCGGTAGGCCGCCCTGCGCCGACGCCGCTGCAAATACTGCGGTCAAAGCTCGTGGGCAGGTCGCCGTCGAACGTGTCGACTCCTCTTCTTCCTATATCTCCTTTCACCACTTCTCCCACCATGGAGTCGCTGCGTACTGGCACTCCTCTTGGTGCTTCATTTTCGCCCTCCTATGAGCCGCCTCTTGCGGCTCTGCTCAGCCGTCCAGCTACTAATTCACCTCAGCCAACATCTCAGACAGCAGCGCGATACACACCGGGTGCTGGATACGCTCCATCACCTGTGAATGTAAACTCGCCGGTTCCTCCACCGCCCAACAATGGGTACGCGCCATACAATCCCGCCGACTACGCATCCTCGAATGCAGGCTACCATGCTCTGGGAAATAGCTATCCGTCTCCGCCGCCCTTCTATCGACAATCGTCACGTTCACAGCCCTCGCTAGCCCAGTACCCTTATCCAGACAACCAGGTCGCTGCGTACGACTCGCCTCCGGACCGCCATGGCAGTTCCTCATCCTCGCGCCGTCACCGTCACCGTCACGACGACGACAGGCGGCACAGGGCAAGGTCTGCTGGTCAGCATGGTCGCTCTCGTAGCCGGGTCACTGACAAGTTCCGTGACAGGTTCGAGGGTATTGACCTGCATGACAAAAACTTGGCGGCTTCGGTGGGAGGTGCGTTAGCAGGAGGACTGGCTGGCAGGGCTGTTGGACATGGAACGCTAAGTACTCTTATAGGAGCAGGTATCGGCGCGTTCGGCGGTAGAGAATTTGAGAAGAGACACGATAAGTAAGTGGAGATGCATGGAGTTGGCGTTGTGGATTTATTGAGCCTTGCGCGTTGTCATTGATGTTACACCGCGGATCTCCTTGGAATGTTTTACTGATTCGGCATCTCTCGCTCACAGGAAGAATGGTCGCTCGGCATCGAGAGTGCGAGAAGAACATGGTCGTAGCCGGTCCCAAACTCGCAGTAGACGAGGCTACTCCAGGTCTCCATCCCGCGACCGAAGGCGAGACGATCAGCACAGCGAGGACAGCTACACCGACTCCGATTCCGACAGCCGCCGAGCTGCGAGGAGGAGGAGACGACGTAGTCGCAGCCGCCGCGATCGCGACTCAGACTACTAACGATTTCATTTTCGGCTTTTACATGTATCATGTTCGTCATTGTATTGATTACTCCTCTTTCGGGCATGGTTTTGCGTTTCTTTGAGCACCGGTATCGATTTTTGATGACGACTTTACGAATAATGACAGACGAAGCAAAGCTTTATATCAAGCTAGGACAGGCTTGGCGTGTTAGTCGGCTTGCCTTCCTTACCATATACCTAGCGGTCGCAGATTTCACCGTAGATTTTGTGGTTGGTTACCGTCGGAACAGCTCCGAAAGCCAAGGTTGCAAGTGGGGAAATGGGACAGGTCACGCGCTTGATGACCCTTGAGTCAAGACTGCAATTCTGAATGCTTTCGCACCACGCATCATGATTGATAACATCCACCAATTCCCTCCCGCCACGTCTGAGTCACATCTGCACGAAGGAAAATGCAAAGGCCTCCAGTTTGCATGCCGTATCCGCCCGGGTTGAAAGCCTCACCGGTGTCCCACGTGTGGCACATGGTACCGAAGGATACACTAGCGCTCTAAACGCGAACAACTCACCGCGGGTGTTTAGTGCTTCTAGTTTGTTTCCAAACCTCTTCCGGGTCGATTCTAGAAGCACGGTTAGCCGAGCGTCAGGTATGGCGAGCCTCTCCGGCCGAACCCCCCCCATGTCCTTTTCGGTGTGTTCGCGTGAAACGTGACCGGAGGTGGGCCCGTTGGTGGTGTGAAAAGGAAAGGGGCGTGTAGCGCGCGCGTCATGGCGTGGAGGTTCTTTGAGAGGGAGGGTATAGATTGACCACGGTCCGGCGATGGGACGGCGAAGTTATGCTCTTAGTGTTTCCTTGTCCGCCACGACTTGATCTGGCAGCCTCACAATTCGCTCCAGTGTGTGCATACCACGGAATACCGAACACTAAGACAACTATACCTAACTCTTGCAAAGCGTTTACCGGTATGTCGGAGAAAGGGAACTCGAACCATGGGCGACTGGAGCGGTGCTTCTTCCTCGAAGCCTTGCCCGCGGAATTGCGTGTTATGGTGTACGAGAACCTACTTGTCGATTCTGAGCCTATCACTGCATCTCCACGCGAAAAGTTGAAGGAGCCGATGACGCTCGATCTTGAACTTCTCCGCACCAACCGCCAAATCCACGATGAAGCTGCAGCCGTGTTCTACAGCAAGAACACCATTTCCGTTCGCCCAGATGTGATGAAAATTCCAAGCAGCGGTATACCTGCGCCGCAATACCATCACTTGATTCGACATCTGAAAGTTGAGGGATTGTACTGTCCGAATAGCCCAGGCAAGGAGTGGGTGAAGAAATTTGGCGGTCATGGGGAGGAACGAGACGGGAAACAAGAGGCTGAGGAATATGGTAAGTTTTCCTTTCGGAAATCGATTTTTGAAGCAAGACAGCTGACGGAACCAATAGTCTCCACCATATCAACCCTCCTCCTTCAACTGCGAAACTTACACACCCTCCACTTCACCATCACCCCACCCGACCGCATCTCCTCAACATCCGTTCTCGCCATGCTCCTGCCACTGCAAAACGCCCTACCTTCCATGCTCGCTAATTTCTCCCCCTCAGTATCGATTCTCATGAGCTTCGAATTTGATGACTGCTACTGCCGCATGCGTGTGTGCCCGGGATTTTTGGCGAAGGATTGTCTCCTGGTGGTCGCATGTCAGGTGCTATTTTGGAAGAGCCATTTGCGGGTCGAGAAAATGGTAAGGGAGGCGAGAGGTGCGAATTTGAAGGGGATTGATGGGAGGACGGATTTGGGGGGACTGGTTGGGGAAGGAGTGGAAAAGGTGGTGGAGACGGGGTGGGAGGTTGACGGGATGATTGGGCGATTAGCGGGTCTTTGAGATGGTGCGTGATGTTTTCTTTGATCGAGATCATTACCTTACATTCAGGCATGCCAATTCATGCGATCATCTCCGGAACGTGCGGTACGGTATACTATTAGAGGCAACTTTGACCGAAAAGATCGAGTGGTACATCCCGTGATCAATAACTCAATTGACCAAATTTCTGACCGGTCAAAAATTGAGCCTCTCGAATTTCGACTGCTATGAGCCAATAGCCGACAAACTATGTAATCTCAATATCTTAATTCTATGTATTCAACGTGCTTCATATATCCTATCTACCAGAGCTCTCACTTGACTTTTTCAGTAGAAAAGTTACTCAAGACACCTTCCTATAGCAAAGAGCCTTCTCATTAATTCTAGTAATCTGATTCGGAAGGCGGAATTCGAGCGCAAGCTCTAACGTTCCGCAATGGGATCCTATCATTCTTCCCAGGTGGCCTATCACTCGACCTTCAAGTCGGACGATCCGCCGCCGTACTCTATCTTGCCCTCCAACGTAACCTCAAAGCCCCCCAAATAGCAACTTATCAAACCACCGACTTTGTGAAGCACCCCGGCATAGTATATTGGAAAAGCTACAAATGCATCTCATCGACATTATCACATACACGCTCCAAGTGGACTTCAAGATTGTCTATCAGACACTCGAACAAGATGAGCAAGTTGCTAGCATCAGCGACAAAGAAGTGACCTCCGTTTTGACAGGATGAGGCAATTAAGCTTCTTGGTGTCGCGATAAAACTTCTCAATATGCACCAGGAGTACACGCCAATTCGGTGGAATATGACGCAGTGCAGACTGCTATCGTAGGGCCTGAGTCAAACTTCAAAATTAGCACGGACTGTACATTGAACTTGTTTTCCACATACGCAGCGTACGTCCCAGTTTAGTTTCACCCATGTATAGACTAATTGCTAATTGAAGCTACACATCGATGCGATCCGCTGAAACGGAAGTATACCATATTATCGCGATACAGCTCAAAGCACAAAGTTCTAAGACGAACGTAGGTAGCGCATGCGGCTGTGATCAATACAGGTATCGGTCGTCCCAAGAAAGTGTTCGATGCGTTTCAGGCCAAGCAGAACGTCGAGAATGGTTTAGCCACTTGCAGTCTAGAACTGCCGTTCAGTAAAATTGACAACACATTCTATCCATACCGCGCCTTTGTGGAGTAGTCCAGAGCCAAAGTTCTGCCTTCGTAAGGGGACTTAGCCTGGAACGATCGTCCAAAGTCTTCGTGGAAATGAAGCCAGAATCCCGCTCACGTGGGAATGGTAAACGGCAGAGCTACATATGGTACGGTAATTGCTCCTTGTCGGTTCAAGCCTGCTGGTGTTGCTAAGCAGGATTGCCGCGTGTACCTCCAAAGCTGGAGACGTCTGCTAGCGTACATCACCCACGTGCCCTAACCCTTTCACAGCAACCATCACCGGCGGTCATTTCCATGGCGCTCGCGGACCTCTCGCATCAGAGAATCCCATAGAAGTCGACTTATCAGATGCACTAGCCGCACGTGGCAGCCCTGCGGAGATTTGGTCGTCGAGGGAGCTTCGGACATTTAAAGTGGACCGAAGCCCTTCGCTCCTGGGATCCCGAAGTGGTCATGGTGGTGACAAGGTCAGCGCTGAGACACGTGGGAGGGCTGCTAGCTGACCCGCTTTGAACATGGCCATACCTTCCGCGGTATATGTTGTAAAAGTCGCTGGTTGTTGACGATGCGTCCCGTGCGGAGATATGGTGTGGAGTGCTCGGTTGCCGGGAGTTGCTTCGGATACTGTCAGCGTGTCACCAAAATGTCGATTCGATCAACATGACATGTTTGCAGTTGATCAACACTGTTGAAGGACCCAACCTACATTGCTCAGTGGCAAGCTTACTATCTATCCCAGCATCGACGGCGGCATGCAAGTCGAAGTGGGGGATGCACCTAAGAGCGGGAAGCCCTAGCTGACAGTTCGTCGGAGAATTTGTCTCGGAGTCCGACCTACTTCTGGACAATCACTTCGCGCAAGAATGCCTACTTCGTAACGCAGGTAACTGCCTGGGGCTCCGAAACATGCTGATAAGCGTTTGGAACGTCGCGTACAAGGCAGAGCTTGCTCGTATTCTAGCGAGCTTCCAAAGAGGCTCCGGCGGTCTCAGGTGCCACGAGAGAGAACAAGAGGACAGAGTGTAAAACTGCCACATGGGGAGCTGAAAGAGAAAAGGATGGCTATGCAATACAGAGACACAGTCATTGGGTTCGAGGCACAGCGTTGGATGGAACCTGTGCAATAGAAAGACTAGACTAATCGAGTTCTGGCCTGTAGGTAGAACACCGTGACATGATAGCTAGCCATCTGATATTGTCTCTTTCTGGTGTCTGGTAAACGTGGTCCACCAGGACAGCGTACGCTACCGTAATCACTGCCGTGTTGTGGTAGAGCAACTCACCAGCTCACTCAGACATTGGCATTGGAGGCTAAGCGACAAGGGTGAACAGAGCCAGGCTATGAGCAACGGTCTCACAATGCGGCACGTACGAAAGAAGCGATGCAGCACATCTATCAAGAGGATGAGTTCCGTCATAGGAGCCAGATGTGCGGTAGATGTTTCTCCAGGCAGGTCATGAACACGAGCACTATACGCATCGATCGTCAGCATGTGGTACGCCTCGCGGATGCGAGGCACAGGCGTCACGTCATGGCTCCCGTGACTGGCGCATCGCCTGGCGTCTTTCGAAACATGAAACACATGCACCAGTGGCGTGGGCGGACGAGGCTACCGGCGTGGTGGAGAGGTGGAGAGGTGGAGAGGCGTGCAAAGCGCGGGCTCGGGCTGCTTGATAACTGCCTATTTTTGACGCGCACCCAGCCCCCAGCACAGCACTGCGAGGAGAAATGCGGCCGCAGATCCCAAGCGTCCCTCCACATCCATGGCAGCGGTGTCCGAAGCGGCAACAGCTTTGCCCGACTCTCGCTGCGCGCCTGCGTCTCTGTGTAGCCATGACTCTGTCCTGTTGGCTGGCGGCGCCGCTCAGTAATTGCCCGCGCTGTGCCCGGCCATGTCCACAGCAATAAGTCGCGCGACGCCTGCTTTCATGGCCCTCCATTGTCTTCCGTCTCGTGTACCTTCGAGTCTTTGTCTTCCACTGCTATGGCGACATTCACCCATCTGATCTCAGCCCCAGCCTAGCGTGCCACTCCGCCCGCATCCCGCTTGCTGCTCAGCTGCATGGTCCACCAGTCCACCCAGGCTAGGCTACTGCTATTTTGGATCGTGCATCTGTACACTTGCTTGCTACCCTGCCACGATGCCATATACTGATGCTGACACCCCGGACGTGTCGTCTCTGTTTTCGCAGAGACAACTGACCCTACGACACCGTTCAGCAGATCCGCTATCCGCCATCCGCACATCTATTTCGCACCGATTCTCACATCAGAACACGGACTCTACACCGAAGCTCGCTCAGCGGTCTTCGCAGCGCTTCGGAAGAGCCACAAAGGTGATTGTTGCGCCAGCGCTTAGCACCCCGGTCAAGAGCCCAGCCAAGAGGGCTTTCTCATTTCATAAAAGCAAGCCTCCAAAGAACTCGGGAACGATTTTGCGCGCCGTTCCTGCGAGTACTACCTGCGCCCCGGGCCCCCTTCGCAAGCGTGCCACTGTCATGGCCAATCACGAAGCGCAGCCGAGCAGTGGTTGCATAGGACCAGCGTGTAACCACTCGCACTCCCGACAGCAATCTCAAACCCATATGCGCACCCGAAAGTGCAGCAGCAGTACAACTTTGTCCACCACTCACTACACTTCGGAAGGGAAATCTCAATCATCGCCCACTCATTTCACAGGTGTCGTCGGAACTTATACGAACGGACAGGTGCAATGGCACCATAGCGACCTTCATCGCGGGACGAGCATTCGCCATAGTTCAAGCACTCCCCGCTCCCGACTATCGAACCGATCGCCGAGGCCAAAACCGCGAATTGAACTTGTCATTCCGAACGAACAGCTTGACGAAAAGCCACTTCCGACCAGCCCATTTTTCCAGAGATTGAATCACAGTCACGCTAGGACGACGTCTGGAGAAATCGACATCATCTATAACGTATCGCCGCCCTCAGCCTCAGGTCAGATGCTGATCCGCGACTCCATAGTCTCGCCACTCAGCTCACAGCAACTCCGTTCTCAGCCTTTAATTCATGCTTCGATCCATCCCAAAACATCAAAGTCCGATATGGGGTCCCCAGATCCAACGCATGGAGCTGGGAACTCGTCAGATGACTCCCGCGAATACGACTCTTCTTCCGTCTACAGCAGCCATTCTTCTTGCACCAGTAACGAAGCTGAACGAAGACCTAACAACGCACATATTCCTCACCATCCTAGTTCCAGCAAAGGTTCTTCGCTCGCCTCTCCAATTAATGCACGGATCGAGGAGGCGCCCCCACGCGAGACCGCGAAGTCCGATGCCTCTGAAACCCGACACTTAGCGAGTCCGTCGTTACCTCGACGCTACGCACAGCATCCTCCTATAGAATACGATCATGCGTTTATACCTTCGTGTTCGCTGCGACCTTTGCGCGTCGCCTCCTCGGGTCCTCCACCTCGCCAACCGTCTCTTGCTCGAACGTCAACCATTCGCAGCAGTCGCGGAAGACTTGCATCTACTCAGGCCATGGGTATGGTCGCTGTCCGCCAACCCTTTTCACCCAACATTCGCAGCCCGACCTTGAGTGAAGCTGAAAATGAACTCGAGGCACAACTTACTGCCTTCTCCGACGACAATGCGTTCGTGTGGGATGATGCATGGAATGATATCATCACACAACAACGATCGCCACTGAGTCCACAGGGTCTGGCACGAGCCGATTCGGTGACATACGACGTTCCTCCGTGGGTTCCTCCGCCTCAAGTGCCCAGAAAGTCTAGCAGGCGGACAACACTAGCGGACTACGATGGTGCTTTCCGATTATCAAAGGTTCCGGAAGACCATATTGTATCACAGCTCAAACGTTCTCGGAGCAAAGCCAGAGACCTCAGCATAAAAATCCCCACGTCCAGACGCATGACCACCGACACATTCATCCTTTCACCGATCCCGATACCTCCAAAGGACATCAAAAGATCTATCACTCCCGAAGTAGCCGAAGGAGTCATCTTCAGCATCCTACGCAACCTCGAAAGCCTCGACGATCTCTTCGCATGTGCCATCGTCAACCGCGGTTTCTACCGTGTGTTCAAGCGTCACGAACTTGAGCTGATGAAGGCTGCTCTACAAAAGATGTCGCCGCCCGCATGGGAGCATCGCGAGATCTGCTATCCCGGCCACGACCAACTCGACGAAGAGCAACTGGACCGCCCTAGACAAGAGTACACCCCAACCTCATTCGTTCAGTACTACACTCGCGACATGTACATCGTTGCAGCTATCAAATCGTTGATCAAAGACAAGTGCCAGTCCTTCATGCGGCCAGAAATCTCCTCGGCCATTGTCAGCGAGGACCCAGATAAATCAGCACGAGTCGATGATGCACTGTGGCGCATTTGGACCTTCTGCAAGATATTTGGTTCCGGAAAAGGACGCGAAGAAGACATCGTAGCACAGATGGATTGGCTGAAAGGTGGCCCAATGGTTCATCAAAAGACCGCCACCCACAGTGCTCTCTTCGCTGACGACTTCAATGAGACTCTGGCGAGCGCTCCAGAATGCTTTGCTAAAGGCAACGAAGGTGGGCTTTCCGCCGAGCAGCTTTTCGACATGATGGAGCTGTGGAACTGCCTGGGCGTGCTACTGCAGCCGATCGAAGGTCGCACTATCCAAGCTAGAGAGTATGGCATTTATGAGAATACGAACGTTCGTGGCGGTGATATTGACGGCGAAGAGTTGATGCTTGGTAAGTAATGCCTGCCCAACTGCTGATCGGTCGCTAACATAGTCAGATGAATGGTATTACTACCTTCTCACGCTAGGTCTCTCGACCATTCTCGAACTCACCGCTCCATGCACCAAGTCCGACGCCTCGGTCTTCATTCTTGCTTCTCAGAATGGATGGGCGAACTGGAACCCTCCCATGTTCGGTGGTACGCGCCGCAACTTCCTCAAGGAGGCTGCCTCGCGTGTCTACGAAGACAAGATTGCTTGTACCTATGCCGAGAACTCCAACAAGGATGTCCAGCGTGCGCTATCCAAGCAACGCATTCAAAAGCACATCTCTGAACTCCGCCAAAGGAAAAACAGCGGCGAGAGACTAAACGTTGTCCGTATGAGCCAAGAGCGACCGATTAGTGAATGGGAAGGCGTCATCAACAACTTGACGAGGCCACTGCCGATTCCCACCTCCGGCAACAATCTAGTCTCTCATATTCCGTCTCTACATTCCGCAAACTTGTCCGTCTCAGTTCCGGAGCTTCCGACAGCCCGCACACCCTCGCCACTTCCGCGTCCTCAATCTCCGCCACGCCGTATCGTTGCGCAACCCTTACTCCCCTCTCCTCCGCCCTCTACTGTTCCTAGCATCAGAGACCGAAGTAGTCTTGCGCTGAGCGACACGCACCCTGCATTCAGACAGTCTCGATCCGGGAATATTCCCGAGATGCCACGCTTGGACGAGCACCCCGCATTTGTAAACCACATGCGAAGAGTGAGCGACGAAGCCGATCGTGAATCAAACCCAATCTCAGCTCCAGCATCAAGCGCGACGAACAGCCAAAGTCACAGCCAGCGTAGTAGTCCTTCGCTAGATAGCCATTCAGCTTTCCAACAACACCCCGTTCAACGCATCGTCCAAGACTTCGGACCCGTTGAAAATACTGTTGATCGCGCAGTATACCGCATCGTGGAGATGGGCTTCACCGCTGAACAGGCGAGACAGGCGCTTAGACGAACCGATCTGGGTGATGGTCTAAGGGTTGACCGGGCTGTCGAGCTATTGCTCAGGGAGTTGTGAACTCGCACCCACTCGTTCTCCTCTTCACCACTATTCACTTCGTTGCCCATAGTTTACATCCGCGTTTTTAGTCTACGATTTTTCATGATACCCAAAATTTCTTATGTCTACGGTATACGGCGCGACTAGCATGGAGTCAACTAGCTTTTCCTTTCAATCTTCGAGACTGGACTTGAGCATAGCGACGCAGGAGTTCCCGTCATTTGGGTTGTCATGCCGGGCATGGAGGGCAACAGCTGTAGCAATAATCGAACTATCAGTCACGCACAATCCCTCGGCCCACGTTGCACTATGGTGATTTGACTTTACATTACCTTCGTCGGCGGCCGATGTACCAAGCCTAATCATCAACCAGCGACTACTGACTTGCGCTAAGCATCATGTCATGTCATTGATTGCGCGACGTTTCAACGGATGATATTGTTCCGCATTCTTCCCTCAAGAACCCCCAAGCCATCGACGAAGTTCGTAATTCGAAGGAAGCATGCATCCCAAAAAACATGATATCGATCAGCGACTCCTACAATCTCGCATAATACGCGTTTTACGTCTTGAAAATACATTGCGACTTCTAGATTCGCTCGCAACGAGCTCTCCAGGCGCGCAGGATTGTTCCTCATCCGCGCCACGCCTGGCCAATGTCATCATCTTCGTCTGACCTAGACTACGTATGTCATGGAAGTAGCGTGCGGCGCGTACCCGTCAAAATGCTGATGACGTGGCCATCATGGCCTGACGCCGCCGTGTGATCCATTTCATCCTCCGTCTTGCCCTCGGAGTAATAGTTTAATTTTCCCTTCAATATCGCGCCGCACTCCCGCATTGTCGTCGCATTCATAAGCACTGTGCGTAAATATGGGCTGTGCAACGACGCACACATATGGCGTTGTCATGCGCGAGTCGTGAAGTTTCGAATTCGTGCATAGCCTCATTCCAGCCTGGCCGTGGGGGCTGTGAGCTCCTCGCACGGCTTTACCGGAGACGGGCACACCCGGCTGTCATTTCGGACGTTGAAACGGCTTCGGATGATGCCGTTCGCAGAACTTGCGAGACTGGGCGCGCATCGTGGTTTCGTACGTCGCCGTTCAACGTCCGTTTAACGGAACAGGATGTAGGTCCAGGGCTGGGGGCCGTACAGTCGAGGCTCCGGACCTCTTTGCATTTCGGATGGTAACCGAGTCGAACACGAGGAGATTCCTTTCGGGTTTGTACACAGCAAGTCAACATCCGGTGAGTAGACGCGCGGTGTCGAATGCCTTGTTGCCTATCGCTCTGCGCACGATGGTCAGATGTTCAATCCTCGTTGACATACCCCATTCCTTTCCTCCACCAGGCCCAAACACCCAGCTCTTGTATTTTCGCTCCAAAATCCTTGACGCTTTCCACCTCCTCTGCTTTCCCGTATGACACGTCTCCCTTAGAACTTTCAGGCAATTTCTCGCTCGGCTTTTTGACAAGTTGGAAGTCTTTGTAACGTAGCCTTTGCACGGTGGATACCCAGTCTCTTACACCTGATTCTTTCCCTTGGCAGTACATGATGCCGGGACAACCGCCATAGCGGAGCAGGGCGTAAACATTGTAGCTCGAAGCCGCGGCGCGGAGTTTTGCAACTTTCTTGCGAGAAGTTATGTGATGGGTGCGGATCAGAGCGTTGAAGGTGGGAGACATGCTATCGAATACCGTCTGCCTTCTCGTGTAGACACTGCTCTATCTTTTTGATGTGTATCGTGAATCCCGCCAGCCCAGTGACGAACGTGCATACGGAAACGCCCTCCCACGTGACGTGACACGCTAGTGCATCTTTGATTTTCCAGCATGTTAGACGTCACGGCTCTGAGCGAACGTTGGCAACCAACCGTATGGATCGCCGCCGAATATCCGATTCTGCGAATGGAGAGTTATGAAGCTGATGCCGCTTCATAGAATCGCAGCCCCTTCGCCATCGGTGCTGAGTTTCCTGAGACATGCCCTCGAACCGACGAGCGCGGCCTGCGCGGCCCTGAGAGGACAAAGATGCGGATATGCGACGAGTGGTATTGGGAGAAGAGCAGGTGCTGGTGCAAGAGGTGTAAATTCTGGAAGAGGAAGTGTAGCGTCTAGTAGGGGATTCGCGCCGCAGCACGAGGCTTGTCTTGACTTCGGCGCGATAAAGTCGGAAACAACCCATTTCGCGCCGCAGCGATTCGGTCGCAATATTGGGATAGATTCGAACATCTCCGCCTTCCATCGACGAGCGTTCTCAACAACAAGCTTCAGCAAAGCATGGGAGCTTTTTGGACGAAAAAAGCCCCGGGAGTCTCGTTCACTACCTCCGCCACCTCTGAGCGAGGTCATGGGAGATGCTCCTATTCCGATTGGTTTTGAGAGCTTGGGGCGAATGACACGAGCGGCAAACGAGCTGAAGATGCGATGTACGGAGCTGGACGAGCATGGCAATGTTACAATGGTCAGCGGGGAGTTCAAGAAGAGTGAATTGATCGCTAAGGTAAACCACGAACCCTCGGAGGGTCAAACATGGTGCTGATCCGATTACAGTACGGTCTTCTCCCTCGCGATCTCCGCAAGATCGACTCATCCCTCCTACCCAATATCCTCATCCGACCGACCGCTATCCTAATCAACCTTCTCCACATCCGCGCCCTTATCAAGCACAATCGCGTACTAGTATTTGATGCATATGGTACCACGGACTCAAAGTCACAGTCTGTCTTCATGTACGACCTCGACTCGAAGCTTCGCCAGAAAGAATCAGCCGTGACCGGAAACCTGGCATACGAGTTTCGTGCCCTGGAAGCCGTCCTCATCAGCGTCACGCTTAGCCTGGAGAAGGAATTCGAAGGTGTCAGTGAGCCGGTCATGCGGGTACTTATGGAGCTCGAAGAGGATATTGACAGAGACAAACTACGATATCTCCTCGTGTATTCAAAGAAGTTAGGTTCCTTTGAGCAGAAGGCGAGATTGGTCAGGGATGCACTGAGCGAGCTTTTGGACGCCGATGATGACTTATCAGCTATGTACCTGTCCGAAAAAGCAGAAGGCATAGAGCGCGAAGAAGACGACCACACCGAAGTCGAAATGCTGCTGGAGTCCTACCACAAAGTCGCAGATGAAATTGTCCAGGCAGCCGAGAACCTCGTGTCTAGCATCCGCAACACTGAGGAGATGTACGTAGCCCCATTTTCATGACGTTCCCCCCAAACACATCGTTAACGTGTATTATAGAGTGAAAGCCATTCTAGACGCAAACCGCAACTCCCTCATGCTCCTCGACCTCCGCTTCTCCATCCTCACCCTCGCCCTGACAGCTGGCACCTTTGTCGCCGCACTTTACGGCATGAACCTCAAGAACTTCATTGAAGAATCTGACTTCGGCTTCTGGGGCGTCTCCGCTTGGTGCACAGTCTTCGGTGGCATCGTCGCCGTTTACGGCATCCGCAAGTTGCGTCGTGTCCAACGGCTCAGTATGTGGGGCCATGGTGGCCAAAACAACAGCACCAAGGGGAACTGGGGCGTTGGCGCATGGGGCGGGAAGAGCAGGGATCCTTGCAGCCCTGGTGAGGTAATGGGCGTGCCACGCCTGAGAGCAGGAGAAAGTCTGGGTGATTTGATTCAGAGGGAGAGACTGCTTGCCAGGCGGTTAGCGAAGGCGGAGGTGCATGCTGAAGAGGCGGCGAGGACGGGTTCTCCCGGCGTAGGAAAGCTGCGCTACTGAGGAGCGTCTTGCAAGCTCGGTGTCTTGTTTGTGTCTTTTTTTCTGTCTGTTTAGATGCGTGTGGCTCTCTACTCAGATATCCCTCCTCTGTTACAATTCTCCCTGTTGATTATAGAGGCGCGCATAGACTCGGTGGACTACATGATATAGGTTTCATACGGGCATAGCGGTGGCGTTTTCGGAGCATATGGTGGTCAGCGGTCGGGGCGGAGTTGATGGTACCGCTATACCGTGTAAGAGTGTGTAGAATGGTATCTTACATAATGCGCTCAACGCTCCCCCTACTTTCGTCTCCAACTTGCGGTAGCCTTTGTTGCAGGCTCCAGCACAAGCCGGAAAGTTGACTAGCTAACCCCACGATCTTCAAGGGCCATCGTATTGTGTTGTCAACTTGAGCAAAGAGAACAAGAGCACAAGCCAAACATCCTTCTGATTCATCGTCCCGAATCTATGAAACCACCACAGCCACTCAGTTTGACACCCCGCCCCCTAATCGAGTATCGCTGCATAAACGGATTGAACTGGACTGGAGCCACAGACATCTTCAAATAGGAGGCCTATAGCAAACTACCTATGCCGAATCGAAGCCTACCGCAATGCATCCATCACACATAAAATGTATAGCCTATCATAATCTCATACAATTCATATCTCATCGGTGATATGTATTCAAGGATGGTCGTTTAGGTTGTGAAGACTGATGTCCTGGCTTGAGCCAACGTGGATCTCCTCCAAGCTAGGTCTACGGCTTGAGTCTTTGCTGTTGAGTTTCGTGGTACCGTTAGCAAGACTGACACCGTTCAATGGACCCCAGTCTGGACTTCCATTGTCGGCAGGAATGACGTTGCCATGTTGGTCGACTTCCTGCACAGATCATCAGCACAGTAACTTAGGAAGTATGGACAATGTGCAGACTTACGACTCCCTTAGCAGCCATGCGAATTTGCTTTTGGTCTGCTACGCCATGCATCACTGCCTCGCGAGCCTTCTCCACGACCTTCTTCTTCTTGCTCTCTCCTCGCACCTTCTCGAGGTGCTCGAAATAGCCGTCGTCCACTGGAGTGACGTACTTTCCGCAGAAGACGCCTACCTCAAACTCCTGCTCTGCCGGGTTGCGAGGTGACAGTGACGCACAGGCACGTACAAGGTCCTCCAAATTCTGATAGATGACATCGTCTGCGCCGATGTGCTTGGCTATAGCAGTCGAGTCTCGGTGGTGGGCAATGAGTTCTGATGATGACGCAAGATCGATACCATATATATGTGCGTTGGTGATCGGAGGTGCGCAGGAAGCGAAGTAGACCTTCTTTGCACCGGCTTCTCTGGTCATGAGGACGATCTCGCGCGATGTGGTTCCTCGCACAATGGAGTCATCGACCAATAGCACGTTCTTGTCCTTGAATTTCTTTGGCATAGGGTTCAGTTTTGCACGGACACCCTTTTGTCGCAGTTTCTGAGATGGCATGATGAAGGTACGGAAAATGTACCGGTTCTTCACGAAACCCTGAACATACGGCTTGTCGAGCGCTTCGGCTACGCAGATGGCGGAGGTGATGCTTGTCTCAGGAATGGGCATCACAACGTCGATCTCGGCCAGCCTCTCCGGACCAAGTTGGCTTTTGATTGCCTCGGCCAATGTGAATCCCATGTTACGGCGACTCTCATCAACATCAATACCGTCGATGACGCTGTCAGGGCGCGCAAAGTAAACATACTCGAAGATATCCGGAGTGTACTTCAGCAGTGGGTGTACTTGCTTGAAAACAGGATCTTCGCCCTTCTCGATGAAAACGGCTTGACCTGGCAAGATATCTTTGAAATCCTTGTAGCCACACTGAACCAAGGCCACACTTTCAGAGGCCATCATGTAGTCTTTACCGGTACCACACTCTGAGGGCTTGGATCCCAGGACTAGGGGGCGAATACCATAGGGGTCGCGGAAGCCGATCAAGCCAAAGCCGGCAAGCATGGCCACACATGCCCACCCGCCAACACAGCGCTTATACATCCGTTCCAGGGCTGCGAAGCAATCGTTAGCGTTGATACGGGCCTTTCCGGTCTCGTTGAGCTCATTTGCGAAGATGTTCAGCATCAACTCGCTGTCGCTCTCCGTATTGATATGCCTGTGTGCCTCCTTATCCAAATGCTCGCGCAGTGCCGGCGCGTTGATAAGATTACCGTTGTGGCTCATGGCGATACCATACGGGCTGTTGACGTAAAAGGGTTGTGCCTCGGAGTTTGCGCTGCTTCCAGCAGTTGGGTATCGAAGGTGACCAAGGCCCATGAAGCCGGGGAGGTCTGAGACGCGGGCGCCATCCTGGAACACCCTGGAGGCCATGCCATTTCCCTTGCACTGGTGAAAGCGGCCGCGCGAGTCACCACTTACAATGCCCGCCGCATCTTGTCCGCGGTGTTGTAGGAGATATAGCGCCTCGTGTACCTCGCTGGCGGCATGTGTAGATTTCCTTCGCGTCTTAGCAAAACTCAGTTGAGGTGCTTGTGGTCTCTTACGGATCCGCGTGGATCACGGCGATGATACCGCACATGGTGAATCAATGTTAAAGATGTGTCTATTTGAGTCTAAAAGCCACGGGTTAGCCGTTATCAGGAAGAAATGCGGCGGCGGATTGATAGTGGGAAGGCTCGGTCAGGAAGTCTTTTGGCGCTCATGCCCGAAGGTCGCAAGTCTAACATCTTAAAAATATGACGAGATCATCATGGTGAGGGATTATGGTGGGTATTGCATGGAGATAAATACACACCTATGGTTTGGCTCTCGAATGCCCCGCGAATGGTTCAGTCGTCAGTGAAGGTGGGGTGTAGAGAGAGATGGTGGCCAGAGCAGGCAGTCAGTACAGCGCAAGGTCCATAGTCTGGGCCAGTAGCGTAGACGACGATTGGGCTCGTGAAAAGGTTGGGGCTATCGTCCCAGGAGTGGCCGCACATGGTTGTTAATCTTTGGTAGCTTTTTCCGCGTTTTTAGGTTGAAGATTTTCTGCCCGACTCCTCCGGCTTCGCGGCCTTGGCGCAGTCCACCGCCCGTTCCCCACGTGAACCAGCATCCCTCCCGCCCCTAGCCCGCATACTACCGGCATTTGCGCGTTCTGTGATTTGCTTCGCATCAGGGCTTTACATGCAGGCTGACTTGTGACGAAAGACTTTGCAGCAGTTGGCGCGTCGACGTATCGGTGACAGCCTTGCGATGCTCTTACCAAATACTGCTACCCTGTCCCAGGATGATTCAGACAGCGCCCAAGCCAAAGGTAGGGAAATCTATAATCCGATAGCACTTGCTATATTGGCAGCAACATTTGTCATCGTCAGACTGAAGCCAAAAGATGCGCCACAGTACGAAGCAAGAACGGAAGAATGTTCCAGGAGGAGGAAAGTACTATGTCCATTCATTCGCGTTTTGCGGAAAAGGGCACTATCCGGCCACCACAACCCATACGTAATAGACAAGAAAGCAGATAAACCATTGTAACTCCCAACCCCTAAACTATGCTCGCTGCCAGATTAGTTTGCCACCATCCACCATGCACCCGCAAGGATACCAATGAGGACAATGGTAGTAAGGAAGCCAGCTCCAGCCTTGTCGCCAGTGGTGATCTCGGAGAATACAATGGGGTCATTTTCGGCTTCACCTCCAGCTGAAGGGTCACTCTTGGAGGTACCGCCCTTTGTCTCCGTAACGGGTCCAGAGACATTGGTGATCAGAAGGTTTTGAATGATTTCCATGGCGGCCATCTGCTCTCCGACACCGGTGGAACCATCGTTTTGGCCATCATTATACCACCGAAGGCCGCATTGGGAACCGGCGCCGGCATTGCACTGCTTTGCGGCGGCTGCTGCGGAAGTCTGGATCTTTGTCCACATCAAGTCCTTCGTGAAGGGAGCGACGAGCATGGTGTAGCCCATCCAGCGAGCCAGGTAGGCCTTGAAAGATCTTTGATCGGTGTTGCACTTGCCGTTGAGTTCGCATGCGACCTCGTACATGACATCGTTCTTAAAGAAGGTATCGCCCATCGTCTTAATCATTTGGGTAATTCTAGTCTTCCAGATCTCGTCTTGGGTCTGGTTGCTGTCAGTTAACGGTCTAGGGTTATTTTAAAGCTTACTTACAGCATTCCACATGGCAGCAGCACCTGACAAATGCACACCCAGGTTGTAGGTCCACTGGATTTGGTTGACATCAGTGCAGTTCTTGACCTCGTCACTACCGTCGTAGAAGTGGAGATCCTTATCAAAGAGACCAACGCGCGATTCCCAGTTCCAAGTCTTGATAGCCTCCTTGGAGTAGGTCTCGTTGCCGGTGTACTTGTATAGGCGAGCAGCGATGTTGAAATAGCATCCGTTCGAGATGGTGTTCCGGTAGGTGTAGCCGTTGTTGAACTGGTAAATTTGCCAATTCAGACCACCACCGCAAGTTTTGTCGTTCCAGCGGCCCGCCTGAGTGTTGAACACGGCCTGTGCAAGTGCCAGCCACGAGGGCCCTGCCAAGTCACCGGAAGTGGGCAGATCAGGTAGGTTGTTCTCTGCCGCGGACATAGCAGCCATGCCCCAGAAGGCTTGATCATCGTTGCCTAGCGACTTACTCTGGTTGCCCGGCATGAAAGCGTTGTACTGTCCGATCTGGTGCTGCATAGCCTGCGCAGTGATGTTGTTGTATTGGTCGTCGCCCGTGTAATACCAGTAGTCAATGAAGGCACCGAACATGGCACCGGCCTCCCACCAATAGTATGGGTCTGGTAGATTGCCCGGAACATCACCAGGGTTGTCGCCCGTGTACAGTTTGCGCATACCCGCCGCAGCAACGCCCGCAGCCTTCTTAATAGAGGCTGGATCAGTCAGTGGTGTTCGTGAGAAGCGATAGAAGACATACCTGGATCATCTATGTTCAGCTCAATGGCGCCTGCACCAGACAGCAACAGAGCCGAGGCGCTCAAGACGCTGAGCGCCGAAGAAGCGACCTTCATTATGTACGATTATACAGCCAGCGTCCTAGGCGGTGGTGTTGAGCTTGCGAAGGCAAGCTTCAGGTGCGAAAGAAGCTCAGCGAAGAGGGAGCAGTGGATCTGCTATGGAATCGGGCGCCAAGTAGTGGTACGTCGAGTGAAGGGAGAGAGGGTGACGTTGTCAAGGTGTGAGTGGTGTCGTTTGGCGGCAAGGTGAAACGAGCGACAGAGCGGCGACGAAGGCGAACTCGCAGAGGTGCAAAGGCGGATATTAGGAGGTAGATGGCAGGAAGTGGAGCGGCGGGGTGAAAGAGCGTGGTGGAGTGGGCGCGCGGCAGTGGGACTGGTTTCGGTGGTTGTCTTCGCAGTCGTTCGTCTGCGCCCCGTAGTGGCAGAGATTCAGGGGAGCGGCAAGTTAGCGGGCTCGTCGGACTTGTCGCAGGCTGCCCAGGGTTCACGGCGCCAAGGGATTGACCTTCACCTTGGTCCGAACAATAAGCCCCAGCGCTGAGAACACCTGGGCAGGTCTCGGTGCACGCGGGAGTCTTCGTCGAGGCAGCGTCAGGGACTCTACACGCTCGCTGCAGCGCGCTCTGTCGTTCTTCGACTCTTTGCTCTTCCGCTGGTGAAGGCAGTCTTGCTGCGATGCGCGTCTCAGCCCGCTTCACAGACTCGGCGCCATGAATAGCAGCACCGGGGTACGTAATCGCCAGGGCTCCGCTTTGTCGCCACAGGACCACAGGACCTCAATAAAGCGATGACCCAGCCTCTGGTCTGTTGCCTGGCCGGGCGTGCAAGTAGAAGGCCGGGGCCGTGCAAGGCACGTGACTCCCAGCAGTTCCGGAGTGGCGCAGAGCAGTGCACACATCATCAGCAGTAGCAGCAACGAGACTGCACATTTGCCCCGTCCTATTCACGCGGCATTCTCGCACTCTTGCCTATTCTAGCCGACGCACGTTGCATACCCGTCGCCCGGTAGATTTGTTGTGTTCCAGTTGTGAAAGTCACACTACCAGCCTCAGCCTCCGCTCAATCAAACCGCTCTGACCAACTAGAAACACTTGTCGCCCAGCTCTTCCACCGCACTCCTCATTCTCCACACCACCTCACGCCCATCTCCACCGCTATCCACCGCTATCACCACTGCGCTTTTGACCACCACGCCCGTCGCATCCTACCATCAACACACACCACCGTTCCTCATCGCCATGGCCGACCGCGAGCAGCCCTACGACCCGTATATTCCCGCCGGCGGCAATGCGCCCCAGGGAGGCGCCCAAGGCCAGAGCGGCAACCACCGCACCGCGGCCCTTCAAGCGGTACGTCATTATCACACACTCGCTCGATGCGCACCGCGACAGCTCTGCCCTGGCGAATGTTGCGGAGCTCCGGCGACAGGGAGCTCGAGCCAGGTGCATGCAATGAACAAGGTCGCTGACATGACACGGTAATAGGAAATCGACAGCACCGTCGGAATCATGCGCGACAACATCAACAAGGTCTCAGAACGAGGCGCTCGCCTGGATTCGCTCCAGGACAAGACCGACAATCTTGCTACCTCAGCCCAGGGCTTCCGAAGGGGTGCCAACCGCGTGCGCAAGCAGATGTGGTGGAAGGACATGAAGATGCGCATGTGCCTCATCGTGGGCATCATCATCCTGCTCATCGTCATCATTGTCCCGTCTGGTAAGTCTCGGATTCAGTAACCGACGACATATTGCTGACTGCAACAGTGGTTGCAACGAAACACACCTAAAGTACACATACCCCAAATAGCTAGTAATACGAGGAGGAGATAACTAAGACACCGGAGCTAATGCCGACACGATATGGCTTGCACCGGTAGTCGACGATACTGGGTCTGTAAGTTTAGGTCTACGGCGAATTGGGAGCGACGGGACGGCTTCTTTTCTTGTCTTTCTCTGCATCCGAACGATGGGTCTGCGGCGGGATACAACTGTTATCCTGCTTCAGGACGCCCCTGTTTTGCGATACCTGAAGAGGAGCTCTTAGCATGTGGTAGATGATATCAATGGAGCTTCAACAACGCCTTCTTTTCGGTAACTGGCAGCACCTTGGTTTGCGAGTGGTACCTCGCTATGCGATCATCATGCGACTAACCGTGAGAGATGCGGATTAGACGGTCCATAGATATTGTGAATACGAGATGCAGGACATGTGAGTGCCCAGCTGCCAACAATCGGTGTGACTGTTTTGGCATCTTTGCTAGGCCGGTCAGGACAGAATGAGCGTGGCAACCTGTACTTCACACCCAAAGTCAAAGTGACAAACTTGCTCGTGTACAAAGATGTGGATACCGACGGGTATGCTGCACAACGCCAGTCCAGAAAGGCCGCGCCCGATGATGTAGCATGCGCTCTTTGCAGGCATTGAATTTTCATGCTGCACCCCAGGCCCAATCACCGACCGAGGCCCTGGGCTAACGAATCGCTGTCGCGCCACTCTTGCGGGGAGGGGAGCTGGCGGGCGGAGCGTTATCGGCCATGAAGCGAATTTTTTGGGTGCAGGGCAGCTTTATCTGATCTTGACTCCCGGCCCTTTCACGCTTCCTCACCAATTCGCCCTCTCCACTCTACCGCCGCGTCCAGAGAGAGCTGTAGAGGCCGAGCTCGCGAGAACATCACTCACCATGCAGGCCGTCGGGCGTTCTGGTGCTCGTTTGGCAGCACGCTCGTCCCGTCGAGTCACGGCAGCGTGTGGAGCTTCACGCACCCTGCAGACCGCCCTCGTCGCGACCGCCCGCCCGTACACGTCCTCCGTCGACAGTCGCGATGCCACGTCTATGCGCTCTGCCTTCCTGAGCCTGCTCGGTAGCGTCAGCTCGCGCAGGGAGATTGACCAGTACCTCGCCCAGTTCCGATCCGTGTCTTCGCAGCAGTTCGCCGTTGTCAAAGTGGGAGGAGCCATTCTTACCGACCATATCGACACGCTATGTCTGGCGTTGCAGCACCTGTACGCCATGGGCCTGTACCCCATCATTGTGCACGGCGCGGGACCCCAGATGAATAAGCTTCTTTTGGACGCTGGCGTGGAGCCCGAGTTCATCGATGGGATAAGAGTCACAGACAAGAAGACGCTCGGCATTGCGCGCAAGCTCTTCCTCGAGGCCAATATGGACCTGGTGTTGAAGCTCAGGCAGGACTGGGGCATTCCGGCGCGGCCCATCACTGCCGGCGTGCTCGAGGCCGACTATCTGGACAAGGAGAAGTGGAAGTACGTCGGCGATATCACCAACGTCAACTCTCGGCCCATTGTAGACGCCTTAAAAGCCAAGGAGCTGCCCATTCTGTGCTCAATGGCCGAAACTGTAGACGGCCAAATCCTCAATGTCAATGCGGACGTGGTTGCTGGAGCTTTGGCAAGGTCACTGGAGCCATTGAAGATCGTATACTTGTCGGAGAAAGGCGGGCTGTTCAATGGCGAGACGGGCAAGCTTATCTCGACCATCAATCTGGACGAGGAGTATGACTCGCTCATGAAGCAGCCGTGGGTCAAGTTTGGCACCAAGCTCAAGATTGTAGAGGTCAAGAAGCTCCTGGATGATCTACCCAAAACTTCCAGCGTGGCCATTATTCACCCGCAATACCTTGAGAAGGAGCTGTTCACTCACACCGGAGGTGGCACGCTCATTCGCAAGGGTGAGAGCATCCAAACTGTAAACAAGTTCGAGAATTTCGAGGACATCGCAACGCTTAGGGAAGCGCTCTTGAGGGACCGCGAGAGCATGGATTCTGGAGACGTCATCGACCGATACTTGAACAACCTTAAGACTAGACCTTTCGAGGCCTTCTTTGACGACTCAATGGGAGCTGTAGCTATTGTGTACCCTCCCTCAAACGACTCTGAATTTGCTCGGCTGTCAACCTTCACTACAACTAAAGACGCATTCTTGACCAACGTCGCCGACAATATTTTCGAGCGCATGAAGAAGAAGTACCCCAAGATGTACTGGACCGTGGAAACTCAGGACGAGAACCTTGGCTGGTTCAAGGAAAAGGCTGATGGAACTCTTCGACGGGATAAGGAGATCTTCTGCTTCTGGGGCTCCGTGGATGCTTCCGAAGTGGTGTCACTGCTGAGCGAATTCTCTCAGCATGGCAGAGCCATGTTCGGTGATCAGCACTTAGAAGCACAGCTGCGGAGGGCGGCTGACTACGCTGCGAGCTTGAAGCAGGGACAACAGGCACGAGCATACTCCACGATGACTCCAGGTGTACGCGCTATTGGCCGATCGTCTCGACCCACTTTACGGTCACAACAAGGGCTTCCTTCTTCCCGTGGGTTCTCTACGAGCGCACCGCAATTCATTGAGAACACTAACCCCAACCCGCCGTACGGTATCAAGTTCAAGAGCCGGGATTGGCCGGCAAAGGTTGCTTTGATTGGTGCTCGTGGCTACACCGGACAAGCTCTCATCGATCTCCTTAACCGACACCCCAACATGGACCTTCGACACGTCTCTTCTCGCGAACTTGCCGGCAAGAAGCTCGAGGGTTACACCAAGCGCGACATCACTTATGAGAACCTCTCTCCTGAGGACGTTAAGAAGATGGCTGAGAAGGGCGAGATCGATTGCTGGGTCATGGCACTGCCCAATGGCGTGTGCAAGCCCTTTGTTGATGCTATCAACGAGTCTGGAAAGGAGGACGCAGTCATCGTTGATTTGAGCGCGGACTACCGCTTCGACTCATCGTGGGCATATGGCCTTCCCGAACTTGTCGACCGTCGCAAGATCTCCGATGCTAAGCGGATAGCAAACCCTGGCTGCTATGCTACCGCTGCCCAGCTTGGTATTGCGCCATTGCTCGAATTTATCGGTGGCCAACCCACCGTTTTCGGTGTTTCAGGCTACTCAGGGGCAGGCACCAAGCCCAGCCCTAAGAACGATGTCAAGAACCTGGAAAACAACCTCATCCCTTACAGCTTGACAGACCACGTCCATGAGAAGGAGATTTCTGCTCAATTGGGCAAAGACGTTGCATTCATCCCGCACGTTGCCGTGTGGTTCCAGGGCATCCACGTAAGTTGTGATTCCGATTCAGCTAATACTACCATGCTCACATTGTCCAGCACACCATCTCCATCCCTCTGAACCGTACCATGACCTCCCGAGACATCCGCAACCTCTACCAGGACCGTTACGCCGGCGAGAAGCTCGTCAAAGTCGTTGGCGAATCCCCTCTCGTCCGCAACATCTCGGGCAAGCACGGTGTCGAAATCGGCGGCTTCGCAGTCCACAGCTCAGGAAAGCGTGTCGTTGTCAACGCCACCATCGACAACCTCCTCAAGGGCGCGGCGACGCAATGCTTGCAGAATATGAACTTGGCGCTCGGTTACGGCGAGTACGAGGGCATTCCGTACTAAGTGTGGCGGTTGCTAGATGTCAATTTGATGGTGCGGCATAGCTTGTGAAGATTCATAGAGCGTGCTCGTCTTACGAACGGAAGTAAGGGTCTCATTGGCGCTGCGACCTAGATGGGATGTTTGTTTACTTTGTATATATCTGTTTGTGTGCGGGCCTTTGTTGTATGGTCTAGCTCCACGGCGTTAGAGTTCATATGAGCGAATCAATTCTTCAAGTCTAGCTCTTAATCGGGGGTGCGCTTGCGGTGGAGAGAACACTTCAGTGGTTCGTTCTTGCCTGCGCTACTCCCTTGTTGAGATAGATGAGTCGACGTCATGTCCGCACCGAGACAGAGCGTTTGCACGCCACACGACCAGCCGTCTTCTTCCTTTCTTCCTTACAACAACATCAGACTGACACCACGATCCAGTTCAGAGCTACTTTGTGGGTGAAGTAGTTCGTGGGCTGGTCGACACGTCGCATTGCTGACACCGTCGTCAGCCATAGACTCACGGGACAACCGTCGCCAGAAGCTCAAATAATACAGTTCAAGCCTAAGCACAGAGACAGTTACAAAAAAATCATTATACTTATGGATGGAAGTCAGGCCTATCATGGTCCGGCATGGGGCTGGGACGATCAATAGCTTCGGTGTTGCATGCTTTTGTTGATGATTCAAGGCGCAGCAGAGGAATCTGGTCCATCGCTTTGATCCTTTGTGTTCATTTCCACCATGGAGAAAACGATTAAGAAGTTCCATGTCCAAAGCATAACTTCTTCGCTATCATGATGTATGTCAATTCCGCTTCGAAAAGCTAGATCACGTCCCTTGCCGGCTACTAGGCGTGAAACATGTCTTGCGGGCAAGGTTCTCCAAGCAACAGTAGGAGCACCGGATACGTCTTGTTATGTCAAGTGATGAGATACAATGACCATGTGTAATCTCAATTCCTCCAAGAGCTCTGTATCTACACTGCTAGTTGACACTTTTATACCGTCTTCGAGGCCATGTCCTCTTCAGAGCTATAGACTCTCACGTTCAAATTCACTCGCTTGGATAGAATTTCTTCTCCAAGTGATGCCCCAGTGACTTATGTGAGCCAGAATTACCGGGCTCAGCACTCTCACGATGAGTAGAGGTAGTCACTTAAATACTATGAACATCCTAACAGAACACGGTATAGCTATATTCCGTGAACAAACTTACTGCCCACGCCAAACCACCTCCATGACCACCATATACGTCAATGGATTCGCCTCCACCCTCACGATCTCAAACCTCTGATCCGCCTTGCCCACAATCCCCTTCCATGCCTCCAAACTCCGCTCTCTCGCGTTAAACAGAGCCATCATCCTCAAATCAGTGCTCGTTCCAAACTGCGTAATCGACCTCGGCAAATTTGGATCAATCTCACCCTGCTTGCCCATGTAGTCGATGAACAGGATCTTAGCGCCGGATTTCAAAGCGGGGCGCAGCTGCTGCAGGATCTTGATGGACTCGGCGTCCGGCCAATCGTGCAGGATTAGCTTAAGGAGGTAGATGTCTGCGGAGACGGTCTGAGGGTCAAAGAAATTGTGTTCGCGGAAGGTGACGCGGGTAGAGAGGGTGGAGGGGACCTGGGTGGAGAAAATTGGGCCGCATTCGTGGAGGTCTTCCACTGTGATGGTGAGATTGGGGTGGGCGGATGCGAGGGCGAAGGCGTCGTGGCCGCCGGAACCGCCGATCTGTGGCAAATCAGTCCTGTCGTGACATATAGTTGGGGCTGTTCGTTGTAGGTGGGCTTGATAAGAAAGTTGTGGAAGGAGACGCTTACATCCACCACGTGTGCCTTTCCTTCCTTCTCCCAGTCCGTAGCACCCAGCAACAGATCCACTGTGCCAAAGATATCCTTAATGTACGCCATCCATTCGATGAATGTCCTCTGCCGCCATCCCTTCTTCTCCCCCTCACCATCGTTCTCTAGAAGCTGCCAGCTGTCTGTGTAATCACCAAACACCTGACCCCCGCTATGAGCCAACTTGAATGCCGTCTTACTCATGTCCGTGGGCAGCTCCTTCTTACCCAACGCAAACTTCTCCAGCGCTTCCGGCATGACTAGCATAGATGGTCCAACATTCTCAATGCAACCGCTGACAAGCGCGCGAAGCCCAGGGAGGCGTGCAAGGGCGGCGGAGCGAGATGTGTGTTGTATCGGCGAGGTGGAGGGGTGAGCGGGATCGGCATAGGTGAAGAAGCGGATTGTGGCGGCGTGCTCTATCACGCGTTGGACAGCTTCTTCAGGAAGTTTGACGTGCTCTGCTATGGACGCCATCGAGGCTGAGCCATCTAAGGGGATGGCGGACCAGAAGTTGAAGCGGTTAAGGATGTTGAGACATGCCATGTCGGGGACGGCCTGGAAATGGTCAGGTCAGTGTCCTCAGTAGGAAGTAGTTCAAGGAGTAGTAGCTGTTCTACAGCTCCACTTCAAAAGCTCGGACATTGTATCGTGATCTACGTTACCCAGAACTATACAACACAATGTCCGAACCATTGACTTGGTGCACTAAACAGTATATCCCTACACTACGTCCGATACTATCCTAACAACTTACATTATGCGCATAATTGAACACACTCTCGCTCGGCCCCTGCGAAACGATGGAAAGATCATTCAAGGCATCCTGCAAAGCTTGCTTCGTGGTAAAAATCTCAGGCGTAAACTTCGCAATGTTGAGCGGACTATCCGCCGCCAACGTCGGCGCCTCGACCTCGCTCTCCCTGAGAAGTCGCTCCAGTGTCTCCGATAACTCTTTGACTCTTGCCCCAAGCTCGCTGAGCGTGGGCTTCAGGTTCGAGGATGCCATCGCTGTGTATGATCCTGAGTCTTTCCTGGTCGTCATGGTATGCTGTATTGAAGAGATCGTGAACTCTGGAGAAATTGCTCCAAGGTCGTTGCCTTATAACACCAACCCAAGCCCATCACAAGCTCATCGCAATGTTTCTTCTTATGCTTCCGCCATCGGAGACGCACAGCTGAGCCTCCGGAATGATTGATTTACCATCACGTCGTTGTGCATCTTGTCGCTCTTGGCGTCGAGAACAAAACGGTGGGTATGCCCTCAACATCCTCCCCTCATTCGTCCTCACAGGTCCGAAAAGCGAAGTACATCCGTGATAAGATGAATCTAATCAATCAGATTAGATGTTCCCTGCAAAATTAGGCAATGCCAATATTGCCAAGGGCGATGCGACAGCGACCTGCTTGATGCTTCTTAGGCGATGGTGTCATAGGCACCGAGTAGGGGACCGAGTCATCCGCAGGGTTACAACGCCTGCTCGTATGCTCGTATCACCAAGACACTAAAAAAAGGGAAAGCTCAGCCCAAGGCTGCTCTAGTATGGAACACCCTGCTGAACGCTTTCAGGAATTTTTACACAGTGAGAATTGGGAATGGAGAAAAGCGCGGGACAACGTGCCTTTTCTAACATGTTTAGCCGTCGCTAGGGACTGGTTGTGGAGCATTGCTGAGGATACTGCTATACATGTATACATACCCTACAAATACCGAAATCGGACCCGCAAACTGTCTACACTACAGCTCTCGGGCCGTTGGTAGGTTGCGCACTAGCTCGCCGAACTCACTCGCCTACCACTGACGACATCCACTACATGGTCAACGTCGCTTTTCCTCTCACCCGTGCCCCTGAAACTCTTTCGGCCTCTAAGGAACCAGTCCGCCGCAATAATAATGACTACCACTGCGTAGACTGCACTGACATAGTTCATTGTGCCTGCCGTGACGGGCTGGACATAAGGGAAAGAGTACATGATGAGGGTGAAAAGTGTCCAGGCGAGGAGTACGAAGTTGGAGAACAAGCCGAAGGAACCGAGCCAGAATGGGCCGTGCTTCAGTGTAGAGCGACCGCGAATGAGAAGGCATATAACAGGAATTGCGTACGAGATGTAGAGAAGGACGATGCAGGCAGTGATCATTCTACGCATCAGTCAACAATTGAAGACATTCAAAAACTGGACGAACTTACGAATTGAACGCCGTTAGAGATGCGAGGTAAAGGCAGCCGATGATGGCCACAATAATGCAGGACACCAGATGGGCATAGACAGGTACGTCCAATCCCTTGTGCACCTTGCCGAGCCATTGGTGGCCCGGGATTCCCCTATCTCTTGCGAAGCTCCAGCATAATCTGCTCTGCCACGTGTGACTGGCAACCAGGCAACCAAAAGCTGTGGCGATAATCATGGCCTCGAGACATATCGCACCACCCTTGTTTCCTATCGCTCGGTAAAACAGTTCGAGGATCGGCACCCCCGTCGAACTGGCAACTATGTCCTGGAAATCGCCCACGATGGAAAAGAACATGGCCACACTCCAGAACCAACCGGTAACAAAACCTATCGCGACGGTGCCCATGATGGCGATAGGTACCATTTTCTCGGGTCGATGGACTTCCTCGGCAAGATGCGTAGCGCAGTCGAGACATGCGAAGCCCCAATTTACGTTGACGAGACCGACGATGAACGCGATTCCGCCTTCTTGCCAACCGGTATTGTTAATAAAGGTAGCGAAGACAAATTGCGCGTGCTGGTGGGTTGGAGCCGTTGCCGGCACAGTTACCATGGTGATGAACCAAGATATCAACGATGTGTAAAGGGCCACTGTGGCGACTCTAGGGAGCGTCTTGCCGTAGCAGTTGAAGAAAAAGCAGAAAACGTTGACCAATTGGTATGCAACGAACACCATCCACCGGTCGATGACGCTGCGTTGGTCGGTTAGCTGCAATGCTCACATGCTGTGCTCGGTAGGGATTGGGTCTTGATACGGCAGCACGCGGCCATCAAACTTGATACCTGACCATTGGATAAGGGAACATGTCAACTCACAGATCTGGATGGGTAAGTTGGTACGACCCAACTATGGCGCTACCTGCCGCCAGAGCGACGCTCGCGCTGGTAAACATGGCACCAGCCCAAGCAAACCATCCCGTGAGGTAACTCGCGATGTTTGCATATCGCTTTGGTGCCAGTTCATTTGCCCAGAAATACTGGCCACCAGCGTTCGGCATGGCACTTGCCAACTCGCTGAGAGTGACGCCGACGGAGATTGACACGACGGCAATGATGATAACGCCGTAGATGACGAGCAGCGGTCCTCCCGAATTGATTCCGGTGACCAAAGCAGCTGAGATTCCGAACCAGGTGTTTGTAAGCGAAAAGCCCACTCCGAGGACGGATAGGACACTGAAATTCCGCTGCATGTCTTGCGTGTAGCCCATCTCTGCCAGCTTGAGGGCGTCCTGATCGATGCTTGCAGCATCTCCGTTCTTCATGTCGATTGACTGCTGAGGGGCGAGCGCCTTCTCATGGTCGGAATCGCCCATCTTGGAGGGCTCCTACTTTCCACGGCGAGACTGGAGATGGATGCTGCCGTGGCGGGGCGGAGCCGGGGTGAAGACGGGGTGGATTGCTGTCGCTTATGCTACGAAGCTCGTGGTCAAGGTGAGCGCAAGCGAGTGCAGCCCATGAGTACGAAGAGACAAGGCCAGCGATGGAGCCGTGGGAAGAGGGGGCGAGGAGCAGGTATTTACAGGATTAACGTAATCGTCCGGGTTCGAAAGGCAGGAGCAGATAAGGCAGAACGGCGAATGGGAAGGCGCCAATCACTCGAGCATCCAGATGCAGAGCGCAGGTCGGGAAGGCACGACCGCGGCGGTCTCCTCACCACCAACCAGGCTGGCCATCAACTGCCACAAGTGCCGTCGCAGGCCCGTCGCCTCTTGAAGCTCGTATGAAGACCCAATCCTGATGACGCGGGCTATCGTCCTCGGTCGAGTACACACCACGGACGGGTCGGTCACTAGCTCAATCAAGTATTCGGACGCAGAGACGAACGCTTAGGATGGGCGTTTGATCAAGCGCGTGGGTGAGGCGTGCGGAGAAAGAGGCGGCGTGCATTTGTTTTGGTTCCAACAGGGCGGAGCGATTGGCACGCTTAGGTGGGAGCAAGGAGTGCGGACCCTGCCCCATAGTACATTGTGATAGCACTTGGGGAATGTTATCTTGGATTGACCAGGTATCTCGACTTCTTGTGACAGGACCTGACACTGACAGACAACGGCCGTCTGTATGTCTCCAGCCCGCTTGCATTGTCGTCCGTGCCTTGATGTTGGTAACACAAGCCGGGCAACGTGCATGCGAACAACGTCGTCTTCCAAGATGCTGGGTTCGTCGCGGAAGCGGATGTGACTGGCCGCCGAGCGCCTATCACGAGCTTTCCGACGTAATCTGCAGCCGTCAGGTGAACAATATCAGGGCGGAGAGCAAGCTGCCGTTGGGTGCGGAACCGCGACCGCGCATGCCATGACACTGCGTTAGCCCGTGATGAATCGGGGTCGCACAGCATCAGGACGCCCCGGACCGTCGTCTCGTACAGAAATGGCCACGGCAAACCTCTCGATAACGCCATCTCAGATCTTTTGTACGGGTCACCTCAACTGCGGATCCGCAGGAATACAAACTAGACCTGTAGCCTAATCTTCATCTTGCGTTGGCTTCGTGCTCACCTATCTTGTGGCGCGCGGCTAGTGAACCTACCGAAAGCGGTATTGGAGTCCAGGCGAGTGTCTTGGTACCGAGATACGGATGCTGAAGCTGATCTCCGAGCTTCTTCGATGACTGCTGTCACTATCATCAACGAGCACCAGCATGCTCTGCATTGCCTTCGAGGTCAGCTGTGGCGTTGGTAGGGTAACCGCGCATACGAAGGAGTGGCCCGAGTAATCTTCTTCTGGAAGGCGCATCACCTTCGCAACGTTTCCTGTGACACTCCTGCAGCCCCCTGGTGCAACCGGTACTGGGATTGCCTCACCATCATAGCGGGTCCCGCGAGTTGTGTTGCATAGGTCCACTATCAGTAGGTGGCAGTGGTAGAGCAGAGAGCGAACCCATGTTTGTCGAGCAAACAACATTACCAGGCTAGAGGAATTGCGTCGTCTAATGAGAATGGAGGGACATTGGATTAGACTTGATGCAGGCTTGTGGATGTATCGTACAAGATGTTGGCAGGATATCCTTGACACTGGCACATCATACAACGATTGATAGCTTGTTAAACTTGAGTGTTTCCATCGCACCCGCCGCTCACAGTAACGGTGCACTGTGAGAGCCTCTGCCGAGATCCGAACCCCATCGAGTCCTGTACCATGTTACATCAGCTCCATCTACCAGATGCTACCAGCTGCGGCAAGCCTCGATGCCTGATTAACGTGGTATTAGAAGCGTGTCACGAACCAGATGTCCCGCCTCATTGCTTTTCATGCTCTGCCTGGCACTTTCCCAGATAGATCAACATGACGGCGTAGATCCCTATTTGGCACATGAACAGATGCAGATGTATTTTCTCGTGTATTAACTCGGAATCGTGTCCTTCTCTTGTTGCATAGCATTGCAGTGTCAGTGAGATATCGAAGTCATGGCAATGGTGGCGGAAGGATCTGCGTGACTGCCTGTTCCTGACCGCCACCACGAGATGCTGCGCTCCACGGCGCTGGCGATGGAATCGCTATGCAGGCCGCTTGAAGGGGGATTTGAGTAGCCATTTTGGGGTTGGCTTCTGCTTGTGTGTAAGCTTCGTGATTTGTAGTACAGCATAGTCTTCCCGATGCGGCGATGCTATGGCCGGATTCAGAGCGTGTACATTTCGCCCCACCTCTACGCGCGTTGCCAGCGCAGGGAAACCCGGACGATACTCAATGAACACAAGTGAAGCGATCGACCGAGCACATGATCCTACGGCGATGCAACAAAGCCACTCTAGTCTTCCGCCGCCATGCGGTTCTTGTGCAACGCAACCCAGCAGAGTGATCGAGTAGAGTGATCGAGCACTTCACAGAGCAGCATTGTAGAGTTTGTACGATTGGTGATGCTGTGAGGGGATTCAAATACATAAGATATCGTGAAACAAGCTGCAAAGATATCGATGTTGTAGGAAAGTGGTGAGAGACATGTTACTGAACAGGTTCAGTAGAGATAGTAGGAAAACTCTTCGCCGTAACCACGTAAAGCCGTACAGCATCCCTGATCCTAACGCTACAGCCCAAGCGCCCAACATTGCCCTCATCATATACCTCCATCAGTTCCTACATATGCAGACCATTGATTGCGAGCCAGAACCAGAATGCCTGCCGAGTCGCAGTTTGATTATTTTCGCCATTAGTAGGGGTATCCATATCCGAGATGCGCCGCCGGTGCTGTCTGCTTCAACCGAAAACAGAAGCGAATGTATCATGTTCAGCTCAGCTTCTGATCCTGCGGGTAGTGCTGTGCAGGGTGGCGAGGCATGCCGCCTTGGGGCATTCCCGGGTATTGCGTCGACGGCTGCTGCTGCTGAAGGTATTGCTGGTAGTGCAGTGCCGCCTCAGGAGTCATGTACGCTGCTGGCATGCCACCGCTGGGCGCCATTCCACGGGGCTGACCAGCGGGGACCTGGGCATGGCTGTCTTCGGGAGAGTCGACTGGGCCATCATCAACGCCGTTTGCGTTGTCAGTCGAGGGCTCGGGTGCGTTCAAACAGGCCTGCGACGCGTTAGTCTACGATGCGATGGTGATCAGTTGCGATTTGCGCACCTGGATGAGGTTCTTGCCCTCGGGTTTCGTGACGAGCGGCTGCAGCTTGGGGGTTGTGAATGTGTACACGAGACCCGTCTCAGAGACGACGAGCAGCAACACCTGCGTGCCGGTGAGGACGGATAGCTCGTAGGCCTGCTCATATGTCGAGTTAGCGAAAAGCGCTTCGCGAGGGTTGTTTCTCATGCGACGCGGGTAAACAGGGTGCGCGCGCATCAAGACGGGGATGCAGCTGGCTGGCGTGCAGGCAGGGCCAACGTCGACGCACCTTCTTCATGATACCGGCCTTGCGCTTGGAGAAGGTGATGTGCCTCCTCGACTTGTCCTGGATGAACTTGATCTCGATCTTTCTGCGCTCGCGACCGGGCTTGTCGTCGTCGTCATCGTCGTCGTCCTGGGCCGGGCGCGGGCGCTTTGTGCCGCGGTTTGCATCGCCTTGGACGAGCGCGCCGTTGTTGGTGAGGTCGTCGTGGACGCTGGGCGACGCGTTCTGGTCGTGATCGGTGATCTCAGAGGCCATGGTGGTGTGGTTGATTGTATTGGTTGCGCGTGTTTGACCTAACTGCTTTCGCGGGCGAGGTGCTTTTGTGGGGATTTCCTGTTTGGCCCTGCCGGCGTGGAGTGGTCGTTACAGGCGCTGTGGGAGGGGTTAGGCCAAAAAGAATCGGGGCGGTTGAAAGAGGAAAAGCAGGCGCGCTTGGAATGAAAAAGATCAGTGGTTCGGGGCTGCGCTGACTGAACCCTTTGTGGTGGGCGGGCGGGCAAGGAATGCAAGGAAAGGGCAGCCAGAGGGGCGCTTCGGTCGCACAGCGGCCGGCGGAGGCAGCGCGGCCCTTGGTTGGAGGGCAGCTAATAATGCGGCGGCAGGGAGAGGCTGGGGCGGTACGTACCTGTGCTTGCAGTGCAATGGGTGGGCTACCGTTTGGGCCTGGTTTGGCTGAGAGGGAGCGGGCAGGCCTGGGGCGCCGTTGCAGAGCGGAGGGCTGGGCCGAATGGGCTTAAAGAGGAGCCCGCCGTGAATGGCAGATGATGGGCACAGCGCTCTTGGGGAGGCTCGCGGGCGGGCAGTGGGAGTGTCTCAGAGAGGGAAAGCGACGGAGAGATTGGGGAAAGTGAAACGGGCGGCAGCACGTATTATTTTGACGGCTCCCGACGACTGGGGGCGGGACACGGTTGGCTGCGCTTGGAGAGCTCACCCTGCCGACTGAATCGCTGATCGGACGGGCGTCGCTGCGCGCGGGCGGTTTGGGCGTGCACGTGGGCGCTCTCTGCGCGCCGCTGCTGGGTCTCTTTGCAGTCGACCGTCTGCGCTCGCCGTCGCTACGCGTTGGTGAGGGCAATTCACTCTCCTTCACTGCTCGACATGTCGCGCGCTCGATCAGGCAACTGTCAGGCCTGCTCTAAGCAGGCACGCCCAGCGCGCTTTCCCCAGCCGGGTGACCAGGGTGTCGTCTCTTGGTGCTCCTAGCTCGGCCTGCGCGGCGAATCAGGGCGCCCACGGCCCACTGATAGCACCGCTGTTCTTGTGTCTAGCGCCTCCTAGGTCGTCCGCTAGCTGCTGACTCAGCTCGAGCACGCCGGCACCGAAGCGGCCTCGACGGTGACCAGACGGCCGCACATGTGCACAGCAAGGCTTCGGGGCAGTTGCACCCTTACCGCCTTCCGTCTTCGGCTGGCCTCGGTCGACGCGCTGCAGGCGCCACCAACCCTTCACCGCAACACTGCGAACGTGCTGGACACTACACCAGGCGACGCGTCGCAGCACTTCCGCGAACACCGACGCCTGCTTGCCCCCGCCAGCAATGTTTCTCGTCGACGTAGACATTGGTTTTGTGCTTCGCCGACGGTGACACGGCGCCTTCGCAGTCGATCGACTTTGCTGTCTTCTGCACCGCTGATTCGCCTACGCGCCGGCTGCTACACGGCTGAAACCAATCAAGCCTCAACCTCGCCCACTTGCGACGCGCCCTCGAGAGCCTCTTAATGCTCCTGACCGCTAGATACTATCCCCCATGCTCTCCCACTCGCCGTCCCGTTGTTGTTCTCTCTTTACTTCGTTTCTTTGTACCTACTATTCAATCCTACCCATCGTCGTTCGCGAGCTCGCCGGACGGCTCTGCCATCGACTTACGTTCCTTCACCCATCCAAGCGCAGCGGGCCTCTGCCAATCTTCCAACGCGTGACATTTCTTAGACCAGCTGCGACCGTCCCGTAGGACGAACCTCCGCCGCTATGCCAACCAAGCTCATGATGTTCTTTGTGGCGCTGGACTTCATCTTCGCTGGATGTGGAGGACTACTACTAGGCTTCTCCCTGATGTCTGAGCAGCGCATGCGAGAGTCTCCGAGGGTAGACAACGTCGCCGAAAATCTGCTGCTCGGCCAATGTCCACTGACAGGTACGATCAATACATGGCGCAATTGTGGCGGCGCCTGTGCTGGGTTGGACAGACGATGACGATATTGATGTTCCTGTTGAGGACTTCCAAGTCGATCCAATGTTCCGTCAAGTGCCACAGGCAGCCATAGATGGTCGAAGCAATGTACTGACAATCTTGCAGCCGGCGTCGTAAACGCGGTCTTCATTTTCGTCACTTTCCTGCTGTCTCTACCTGCGCTCTTTCTCCCAATGAACAAAGGCTGGCTACGTACGCAAGGCTGGCTGGTTGTCGTCTGCGCCACCTTTACTCTTGGTCTCGGTATTGCAGTGTGGGTAGACACCCTGCAGACCCGTGTCGAACTCAGCGAGATCTGGCAGCGAGAGACACCTCTCATTCAGAGTCTGTTGCAGCAAAAGGTGCGTTGTAATATTCCACATCTGGACGCTAAGCATTTGCGGTACCAAGAATGGCACAACTGCTGTGCCGCAGCTTTGTTGCAAACCATAGAATCCAGGGCGGGTGCTATCCCAAAGGCGGTGCTGACATGAACCTAGTTTAATTGCTGCGGATACTTTAACTCGACTTCACCTCCGTTTGTCCAGGATGGTATTTGCATCAACTCGCTCGTTGCTGCGCAAAAGGGCGGCTGCATCGGACCTTTCTCGTCCTTCGCCAACAGGTACCTTGATCTAATCTTCACTGCTGCATTCGGTATCGTCGGTGTCGACGCCCTTCTTGTGTTGTGCGTCGCAATGGTTCTCCAGTACAGGTCAGAACAGGAGCGCTACAGGCATATTGACGAGAAGAATGGTCTCGGTGGATTGTAGTGGATCTCAAAAAGATGAAGGGGTGACCAGGGAGGGGGGGAAGTGTAACAATGGGTTTTGCAAGAGATGGCTGGACAGCTCGTAACAATTTCGACTATCTGAACGTTCCCTGCTTTCCCAACTATCCTCGAACGCTAATGTGGGGTGGTAATGGCAACTTCAGCGGCGCTGATGGACTGTATATTCTTCTTCTGTTCATACATCGATTTGACGGCATTAGCGTTCTTTTCATAGACCAGCTCATGACTACCACGCGCAAATGAGCTACTCAAGAACAGCCTCTTATCGTAGACTGCGATACCACCCACAGAAGCCATAGAACAGAATGGTGCTATTCGTCTGCCTTCACAGATACCTCCAAGGCGTCGGATTGCTCACGGCACTTGTCGGCCCCCAAACCAACCGGATACCGGCAAGCCACATACCGCTCGCGCACGACTCATGTTCCGCATCCCTCCTGCACCTCTCATCTCCCCACAATTATCGCGAAAGTGGCCATCCTTGCATGTACCAACGGCAACCCCGCTCGTGCAAGATTGAAAGTCCGTCCGTTGAACGATGCGCAAGCACCTCTTGCAAGCGGCATTCGTCTCGCGAGCTCGCGCGATCGACTCCCAATGCCTGCTTAGTGAGTAAGAGGCAAGTGCAAGCGTGTCAGCTGACGTTCCTATCTTTAATCCGGCCAGCCTCATCTCGCCTGGCCGCCTGGCCGCTGGCTTATCATTGCGGACGAAATCACATCTTGGCGAAACTCGCGTCCAGCGGTGTCCTCAATCAAATGAGACCCTCAGCTCCAATCACACTAGGGCCACGCAACAAGGGCCTCGCATGCAACGAGATGAGTTCGTGGCGATCCCCCTGAGACGCTCATCAAGCCAGATGCGCCGCAGTGTTGCGCCCAGGCAATCCGACATTTCCGACGTGTCGCGGCGCGCTGGGCGCAGGTGCTTGAGAGGCGTTTGGGCCAGGGGTGCGTAACGTTGGAGCGGGATGGGCCGCGGCTGGGCTAGGCGGTTTGAGGAACGCGTGGCGCGTTGTGGTTCAGAGTGGTACTTGGCTGTGATGGTTCCTATCGTAGGGTGAGCGAATGTTCCCTCATTAGCAGTGAGCGTGCTGGATGCCGTGGTATAACTGAACTTAGTAGCAGCTCCGCGTTGGATAGCAGAACAGTATCGGTTGGAAAGGCATCGAAGCAGACAATTGGGTTTCGGATCCTACTGAAGTGCGAGACTTGTCGGGTCCTTTGTGAAGAGCTAAGGTCATTCAACGACTAACATGACGCTGGGCATCTTGTACCGTGTGTGCTCTATGAATCACACCATATCTGCAATCTATGAGGCTTATCTATTGGTGTTTATCTCAGTGCCCTCTGGAAATCTCCCGACAGTCAATACCCATTGGTGGATAATAAGAGGAGAGCGTGACGCAAGAAAACTTTTCAACGTCAACGTCGACGTACAGCAACACAAGGCTTGACCGATACATGTGGAATCGATTTCTAATCATGATCAACTCAGAGCTATCAAGACCAAGCTGCCCATATGTCTACACAGATTATGCCATGATGCGTGTCTAAAGCGTGTCACTATGTGTAGCCCACTTCAGCATATCACTACAGAAGGAAAGGATTGGAACTCTGTTAGTAAATGGTACCTTCATTGCAAGTCGGGCAGTTTATGCTGCAAATATTTGTGGACTTCCAGTTCCGTGTCCGGTGGCTGTGACTGCTCATATGTACTGAAGTTTATGAGATGCACCTTCAAGCCACGAAAAAGTGCTTTTAAGTACGTTCCAGATAATATTATACTCAGACTCAAGTCGCACGGACGTATCGCAATAGCGCTGGCTACTGTATGTGTCTATCGTTGTGGCCGTAAAATCCTTTCCTCTCTTTAGAATATCTGACATGCATCTCTAGTTGTGGCTCTGACGCCTCGGTCGAAATAACAGAGTACGACATAAATAGGGCCGAACAATTGAGATGCGTGTAATGAGTTGGGTACTCTGCGAGAGGGTGACAATTGAATTGCTTAAACGTGCCTATCTGCGCCTACACGTTTCGCTCAAACTTGACACTCGTGTCCAGGCCCGTCATCGCCGCACCTGAAGTCGTATTTCTTTCAGCGAAATCGGTGCCTCCGTTATGCTCATTCTTGATAGTTACGTCTGCAGCCGAGTCTGACTCCTTCTCAGCGATCCTTTCCCCACCACCATCCCCTACCGCGACTCCGTCCTTTGGATCCCCCTTAGCCAGCATCTCCCCTAGGCCCCTTGGCTGCGTCTTCGTCCTGCCTAGCCACTTCTTGAACGTCGCCTTACTCCCCTCATTTCCCTCCTCATCCTCCCCAAAGACATTCTTCACCTTCCTCCCCCCAATCCTCACAACGTGCTCCAGCCGCGTGCACAGCCTATCGCAAGCATCGCTCGCGGCCAGCCTTGAGAGATCTGTTATCGCGCCCGCGACATGGATACCGTTTCCAATCAATTTGATCTGCTGCGCAAGCGCATCGACTTCGCGGTTGAACGCCTTGACTTCGTCTGAGGTGGGTGTTATCTCTTCGATCAACTCCAGCCCCTGAGAATCTTGGGATGTTGGCGGGCTAATTATTGGCTGGAAGGGCACTGTTAGAGGTCCTGGGCCAATGGCGACGTCGAGTAGGTGGAAGTGCGCTGCCAGAATGGCGTAGTCTGTGTCTTTTTTGATGCAGAGGTTCGGCGAGTTCTGAAGGTGGTCGTGGATTAAATTCAATGTTTCAGAGCTGGTGAGGGGATGGGTGATTTTAGTCGGATGGAGGAGGAATGAGAGCGCCAGATACCGTTGGATGGAAGCAGTAAGCGGGTAATGGGTAGGTAGTGCGGTGACAAGGTTCCGTTGTAGGATGGGATGCCTGACGCGAAGGAGTATATCGGATATGAGGGTGTGTAGCTACGGGTTGGTCAGACACTGCGTGCGTACAACTGAGATGAATGCTTACTATGCGGGCTATCTCGCCGGTGCTAGGTATGGGACATATCAATGACTCTATAGCATCTTGAAGAGCGTGCAACACAGCGTTGTCCGTTTGCACCCCATCATCCATGCATATAAGAAAGAGTATCTTCAGCATTCTGATCCTTGCTCCGGATCGTAATCTGTAGGCTGATAAGAATTGTGCAATGTCTCAGTGCTGAAGACATACACTGAACTTGGGAGCTGCAAAAGCTTACAAACATTGATCAGCGCTCTAGGAAGAACGCGACTCTGTTCTATTACACCGTCAGCAACAGAGCTTTCATGACATGTATCACTTTGTAATCAGGTATACCTGGTTCGAGTCCATACGAAGGAGCCACCTCTGAGTCAGACTTTATGAATTGCTCGCGTGCACCAAGACCATCAAAGATGGCTTCAAGCCTTTTCACGTCAAGTAGTTTTGTGAGATGATGTTGACCGATCTATGAGTGTTAACATTACTATAGACACTCGTGGGCAGCATTCTACATTTACACTGAGGATCTCGAGGTACTTTTGACTGAGTGCTTCGTTTGTGCCCATGCAGACTAATACATTAGCTTGCGATCACTGGGGCGTGGGCGAAAATGTACCTTCTTGGATCAGCCAGTCTGCGAGCTCCTCCGGGAGGTCTCGACTGAAAAGGAGCCCTGCAAAGCCAGAAAGGAAAGCCTGATCTCTTGTAGAATCATCTGGCACGTTGTTAGCTTGAGCACTCTCACAGAGAGCAATATCTCCGACCTTCGAATTTCGAAACCATTCGAGGATAGGACAAGCTCTCAAGTGGAAAAGGCAGATCGAGTGCAGAATCATCATCCGACTCCCGGTCGAAAAAGTGGAAGGCACATTCTACTTGGAATGCATTTGTTCTCTGCATAGCCAGGTACAGCTTCTTTGCCTTCTCAGGATCGTCTTCGTCGTGTAATGCACCTGCTACCATCTCCTCACTGATTTTGAGACCACGCTCAGGCGAGTCTTCGCGCAAGGGCTTATCCAGCTCGGCCTGTGCCTTGGCGATGTCCTGCTCCATCTCAGCATTTCTCTGTGCCGCTTGCACTAAGCGCTTAAAAGCCTTGTCGTCTTTCAGTCTTTTGGGCGGCCGAGGCAGCCCGGAGCGTTTCGACTCTTCCCCTTTCCCGGCCGTAGCTTCTCTCGTCCCCGCCTTCGGTTTGCTGATAGGCTCAGCGTTCCACAGCTCCTCCAGATCAGTCAACGAGTCACTGTCGGAGTCCGAGTTTAGTACCACTGGTTTCCCTCCTGAGAATGTTCTCTTGCTAGCATTGGTCGAGTTGCCGGACGATTGCGGTAGGCTAGGTGTGCGGCACTCTGCGGGGCCATCGTACATTGCGCTGCCGCGCGGGGCTGTTGGTGATGGGGAGCGTGACGCTGTAGGGGAGGAAAGCGAGGAGAGGGCATCTTGGTCCAAGGTATTATCGTTTAGGGAAGTCGTCAGGTTGGTGGTGGGTGTTTCTTGGATCGTGGAAGGCGCAGCGGGGCTTGAAGCTTGTCGGATGTTAGTGGACGAGAGGAATGCGTCGATGCGACCATACCAAAAGCTGCATATCTGCTGGGCTGCGACGGGGTCCTCGAAAAGTAGCTGAAAAGATTATTCTTCTGGAGAGGAGGCATTGCACAGTGTGTGTTGGGATGCTGTGATGCTTGGCGCGTAGCATCCAGTGTGTAGCGCGTTTACGATGCGCTTGAGACGCGCTGCCGTCCGCGGGTGACGCTTGATCACATGACCAATCTGCCGCGGATGTCCCGGGTCTATGATATCCCGCGCGTCCGACCAGTGCTGCAGGCTCACGCATCTCAAACTATCAATCGTCTCGGCACGAACGGATCCACCGGCGTGCACCAAAGGCTGACAGCATTGCGTCGTTGATGACGGTTACACGGCCCAGCAATCGACTTGACGTGGACAGCAATACAAGGCTCGGCTTTGGACTTCCTCAGCGACGCGCGACAACAGCACACGTATCCAGGCTGTCGACTGCACACGCTGGCTGTTCGCGACATCAATGTTCCCATGTTTCGCAGGGTCTTGTCCGTGGCGCATCCCTGCGTAAGCGGGTCTCCGTTCATGCCAGACGCACGCCACGGACTTTCCGGGTTCTAGCTGTACAAGTCCGACAACCATAGCCTACATGATATGAGTGTACATTGCTCACCATGACACACGATGGATTGGCGTCAGCTTTGGAGTCGCGATTCGGCTTGATGTCCTTGGGCACGGTCGGAGTAGGTATGGGGAGCACTCAAGTTGTAGGCAGAGCGGCGCAGCAGGGCCTTCTGCCCGCCAGATGGGCAATTGGTGCTGGGTGCTGGGTGCTTGGTGCTTATTGCTTACTGGCGTCCCCCGTGTGGACACGTTTGTAGCGATGAAGCGCGTCGGACCCTTTGTGAGCGCTGCGTCGCCGGGCTGTGCCCGTTGCTGCTGACGCCCTGCGGGATACCAGGGCTGCGTCTTTCCCCGAGACGCTCTTCCAAGCCCGCCTTGTGGTAGTCGTGATAGACGGGTAGCTGAATATATCCCCGGCGCGCCTGCACCCACGCCCGCGCCTTTTTGCACCCTCCGACCCATTACTATCGTGACCCTGCTCGGCACTCGCTGCGTGAGGCTTCCGAGAGAGCTGCAGAGACGACGCACGCCTACGCGACGCTAATTTCCCATTTCCGCCCGAGCTCGTCCTGCAAAAGGACGCGCTGTGAACGGCGCCGCTTCGGCCGAATCCGCTACAGCCACCCGTGCTCGGTCAGCATCGTCGAAAGCATCAGAAAGACGCAAATCCCTCTCGCTCACCATTCCGCCCAAAACGTCCACCCGTGAATGGACCGACGCCGCCTGCGTCGCTTCCCTCGCACCACCGCCGCGTCCCTCACCCTTCGCTCCATCCCATGCTGTAGCAACGTCGCTCGCTCGCGTTACGCCCGCCTCACCTCCGTCTCCTCCGCGACCGACAGCCAGTACCTCCCCGACACGACCGCGACTCTTACGCCCGGCTCCTCCTTGGACATATTCTCACTGTCTCATCATTGCATAGCGCACGACAGTTTGGCGCGCAGCGCATCGTGAGGCCCTCCCGGCTGAGGCCGGACAGCAGCGACCCCAGCTCCACCCCGAGCCTCCGCACACGCAACCCCAGGCATGGCTCCAGAAGAGGAGACCACCGAGGTGTCGCACCCTACCAAGCGGATAAGATGGGCAACACACCGTGCAACAGGCGCCAAGGCTGCGAACAAGCGACTGTCCCTGAAGGAGCGTTTACACAAACGGGTAGGATCCAACAGCGAGAAGAAAAGGGACTCAATGGGCAAAGAAACCGGACCTACCGAGAACGGCGACATTGCCATGTCTGAGGCGGACAGTGATGACCAGGACGGTGGCCGTACCGTCTACTTCAACGTGCCCCTTCCCGCTCACGAGAAAGACGAAGAGGGCCACCCTCTCGCCCAATATGCGAGGAACAAGATAAGAACGGCGAAATATACGCCTCTGAGCTTTATACCCAAGAACTTGTGGTTCCAGTTCCACAACATCGCGAACATGTATTTCTTGTTCATCATCATCCTAGGCGTACGTTCACCGAAGAACTTCTTGCCGTTTGCGCTAATTTTCCCCGTGCAATAGATTTTCCCCATTTTTGGCGCCTCGAACCCTGCGCTCAATGCCGCGCCCCTCATCGTGATTCTTTCCGTTACGGCCATCAAGGATGCTTACGAGGATTGGCGTAGAACGGTGTTGGACACCGAACTGAATAATGCTCCTATTCATCGATTGGTCCATTACAACAACGTAAATACGTCTGGTGATACCATTTCTGCATGGCGAAGGTTCAAGAAGGGCTGCACCAGAGCTGTCGTATTCACATACCGCTGGTTCAAGAGCAAGGGGAAGTCGGGCAAAGGCAAGGGAGCATCGCAACAAGACGAAGAGTCACGACGCTCCATTGACACCCGACGTGCTTCCGTTATGTCCTACGCTGGTCCTCATGATGAGGGAGACATCCAGATGACTCCTGTTCCATCACCCTTACCTGGTCAGTCTCCACGCCTTTCGGCTGATCCTCAATCCGGAGGCGCCTATACCGACGTCAAAGAGGGCGACAAAATTCGCGGACCTGGACATGATCACCCAAGCAAGTTCTGGGGCAGTGTAATAGACCCCTACAAGACAACTCCGGATAAAGCCAGATTCGTCAAGGACGCCTGGAAAAACGTGCAAGTCGGGGATTTCGTTCGATTGTATAATAACGAAGAAATCCCGGCAGATGTGGTGGTTATTTCCACCTCTTCAGACGACGGAGCCTGCTATGTCGAAACCAAGAACCTGGACGGCGAGACAAACCTGAAAGTTCGCAATGCTCTCCACTGCACACGTGATGTTAAGCACGCACGCCATTGCGAACAATCAGAGTTTTGGATCGAGAGCGAGGCTCCGCACTCGAACCTTTACTCCTACACGGCTGTTATGCGCTGGATGCAGCACAATGCGAAGGACCCAAACGCAGCCCCATACGAGATGGCCGAACCGATTTCGATTAACAATCTACTGCTTCGAGGATGTCAATTACGGAACACCGAGTGGATCTTGGGAGTGGTCATGTTCACCGGAGAAGAGTCGAAGATCATGCTAAATTCCGGCATCACTCCGAGTAAGCGCCCTCTTATCAGCAAAGAACTCAACTGGAACGTCATCTACAATTTTATCATTCTGTTCGGCATGTGTCTTGTGTCTGGTATCGTCTTGGGCGTGTTTTGGGCCAAGCCAGACACATCCCATGCTCTCTTCGAGTTTGGATCGTACGGCCACAATCCGGCCACCGATGGTATCATTGCCTTCTGGGCCGGTGTGATTCTTTTCCAGAACTTGGTGCCTATCTCTCTTTATATCACCTTGGAAATCATCAGAACCCTCCAGGCCGTGTTCATCTACAGCGATGTTGAAATGTACTATGCGGCGATCGACTATCCTTGTACGCCGAAGTCATGGAACATTTCCGATGACGTTGGCCAAGTCGAATACATCTTTTCGGACAAGACTGGTACATTGACACAGAATGTCATGGAATTCAAAAAATGTACGATCAATGGTGTACCGTATGGAGAAGCATACACGGAAGCACAGGCCGGCATGCAACGAAGGCAAGGAATTGATACCGATGCGGAAGGCGCTCGCGCGCGTGAACAAATCGAGCGAGATCGCCTCCGCATGATCGGCAATATCAGGAAGATGCACAACAATCCGTACCTTTGGGATGATGATCTTACTTTCGTGGCTCCTGACTTCGTCGAAGATCTGGCTGGAGAATCAGGACAAGAACAAAAGAGGGCTAATGAGGCATTCATGCTTGCACTCGCTCTGTGTCATACTGTAGTGACTGAGAGAACGCCTGGTGACCCGCCCAAGATCGAATTCAAGGCACAATCTCCTGACGAGGCAGCTCTGGTTGCAACGGCCCGCGACGTTGGTTTCACGTTTGTTGGCAGGGACGACGATAAGCTGGTAATCAATGCGCTTGGCGAGGAACGGCGATACACCGTGTTGAACACCCTCGAATTCAATTCTACGAGAAAGCGGATGAGCGCAATTATTCGGATGCCTGACGGCAAAATAATGCTCTTTTGCAAGGGAGCCGACAGCATGATCTATTCACGACTGGTCCCAGGCCATCAGCGAGAGCTGCGCGCAACCACCGGAGAGCATCTTGAGATGTTTGCCAGAGAAGGTCTTCGTACACTCTGTATCGCCCAAAGAGAAATCTCCGAACAAGAGTACCAAGAATGGAACAAGGACTACGACTTGGCTGCAAACGCTGTTGCCGGTCGTGAGGAAAAGCTCGAGGAGGTCTCAAGTCGCATTGAAGACGAGCTCTGGCTTCTTGGCGGTACAGCCATCGAAGACAAGCTGCAGGATGGCGTTCCGGATTCTATCTCCCTGCTCGGCAGGGCAGGTATCAAGCTTTGGGTCTTGACCGGAGACAAGGTGGAAACTGCCATCAACATAGGCTTTTCCTGCAACCTGCTCAACAACGACATGGATCTGATGGTTCTCAAGGTTACCGACGGAGATATCGCGACAGCTGAGGCCTGGCTTGATGAGAAACTCGCGCTATTTGGTATGACTGGGTCTCAAGAAGAGCTCGACGCTGCACAATCCGACCACGTTCCGCCCCCAGCTACTCATGCCATCGTCGTTGATGGAGATAGCCTTAAGCTGGCACTGGACGACGCATTGAAGCGGAAGTTTCTCCTGCTTTGCAAGCGGTGTCGAGCAGTTCTGTGTTGCAGAGTCAGCCCTAGTCAAAAAGCTGCTGTTGTGAACATGGTCAAGACTGGCCTCGATTGTCTAACTCTGGCGATCGGAGACGGTGCCAATGACGTCGCCATGATTCAAGAAGCTCACGTTGGCGTTGGTATCGCGGGTGTCGAAGGTCGCGCCGCTGTCATGTCTTCCGATTATGCCATTGGTCAATTCCGCTTCCTGACTCGACTGGTACTTGTTCATGGTCGGTGGTCATACCGAAGATTGGCTGAGTGTATTGCAAATTTCTTCTACAAGGTCAGTATCCATAGGACATTGATTTGTATCGTACTAATTGTGCAACAGAACGTTGTCTGGACGTTCTCTCTGTTCTGGTATCAGATATACACCAACTTCGATAGCCAGTACATCTTCGACTATAGCTACATTGTGTGGTTTAACTTGGCTTTCACGTCCCTACCAGTCATTCTTCAGGGTGTCTTAGATCAGGACGTTAACGATCGCGTATCGCTGGCGGTCCCGCAGCTTTACGTGCGAGGTATTGAAAGAAAAGAGTGGTCGCAACTGAAGTTCTGGTAAGCCTTAGCCCGCCTCTTCACTGGTTGTTATGCTGATACTCCTTAGGTTGTACATGATTGATGGTATCTATCAGTCGGCTATTGCCTTCTTCTTTGTCTATATGGTCTTTTATCCTGGCACGTTTGTCACCGAGAACGGACTCGACATCGCTGAACTGAAACGCATGGGCATAATCGTCGCAACCATTGCGGTTTGCGCAGCCAACTTCTACGTGTTGTTTAACACCTACCGCTGGGATTGGCTAATCTGCGTTGTCGTGGTTATCAGCACGTTGTTCATCTGGTTCTGGACCGGTCTGTACACAACATTTACGGGAAGTGCTCAATTCTACAAGGGCGGCGCCGAAGTCTACGGTGCTTTGGTCTTTTGGGCGATTCTCCTTCTGGCGGTCGTCGCATGTCTGCTGCCTAGGTTTGTCGTAAAATCGCTTCAAAAGATATATTTCCCTCTTGATGTCGACATTATCCGGGAACAGATCAAACAAGGAAAATTCGACTACCTTAACAAAACGGACGCATACCTTCCCCCACCGCCTGACAAAGCCATCTCTAAGGTTCCATCAGATGTTTCCAAATACAAGGCTGCAAATGCGCAGGAAGGGGATGATGACGTCCGTCCCATCTACCCACCTTCTGTTGCACCTACCGCAACCACCCACAACCCTAGGAGCCAAAATGGCAGCGGTAGCACCGACTACACGTTCCGCCAGTCCGTTGAAGGCATACCACAACATCGGATATCGATGGATCGACCGCGTCCATCGTACGATCGCGCACGAATGTCGATGGATCGTGTGCGACCAAGTTTCGAAGCCAGCAATGACTTCACATCTGCAGCAATGCTGACGCGAATGGAATCAGCACATAGCCGCAACAGCCTGAGTGCCGCTCCAAATACGGGTCCTCAAATTGCGAGCCGTCTACGGAATGTGTTTCGAAGACCTACTGTCACGCGAGAGGAAGCACCAGAGCACCTGCGGGACAGCGAACGACCCCCCGTACCTACAGTAAACCAAGCCGAGGATGCCCCACGAAGTCCACCACGGTGATGCATTCACGCCCATTATATATAATACCACATCCCTTTTGATGACGACTTGTACATATCACGGCTATTGGGATTCTGGAATCAAGTTCCCATGCAAAAATCATTTTTCTACTGTTGTCCTATTGATACTCTACACACCATGGGTCGGCGTTACCTAGACCATTACACGCTTGGTCTGTTTCTTTTTTTCGCATTGCGTTCTTTCTTGGCTTCCGGTTCATCCTGCGAAGAACGGCCTTTGGAGCGGTTTGAAAGCTTGGACCGCGCGCGTTGCCAAGCGGGCGATGGCTTGTTTCCAGCTCGGTACCACTGTGTTGCCTCGACATTGCTCGGTTCGTTTTGTGATATATCTCTGCTTCTGGGAATGGCTTGGGGGATATGGTGACTTAAGGCAGAGGGTGGATACCCGTGCTCAAAGGGGGCTGTAGATAATAATGACTGCCTGTGTTTCGCAGGTCTCAAATGAGTTTTTACATATGTAAGCCTGGCTCTGTGAAACTGTGACTGACCGTACGTGGTGTGATAGTTATAAAAGACGCTACATCTTCGCTGCGACAGATGAGTATGGGCCATCTCGTTGGGCAAGGCGGAGAAAATGCGGGCTAAATAGCCTTGGCAGCGAGAACGCGCTTTCGCGTCACGCCCGCGGCGTCGGCTTGACCCTTTGTACCGGGTCCATGCTTATTTCATTGACTTGATCTATGCTCCACTCACTGCTCTTTCAACCTAGACACACTTCTCTCACCACGCGAAAGGCAGACTGTTCTTTTACCGTAAGAGCTGCTGCTTCCGAATTCTTTCCACAAAAAGCCTGCTGCCGGCTAGAGATTCAAACTCCCGCTGTCGCTCGTTGGCTCGACCACCTCTGAAAAACAAGAGCACTCCGCCCGACACCGAGCTGCAGTCACTTGCTTGCCCGTCCTTCCCAAACGCTGTGATATAAAGCAGCTTGCCTGTTCCCGTCTTGTCACTCTGGTAATGCGCTGGTAATTGTGGGGAGGCCAGTATTGCGGGCGGGAGCACCGGCCGCGTTTGCAGAAAGCATGGCGGAGATTTTGGAGCGCATTAAGTAAGACACATCACTACTGACCTGCATCAACACTATGCTGATAACATTAACTCCATAGCGAGCTCAAAGCGCTCCCCGAAGAACAACATCTGTTCTGCCCGCGAGAGACGACCGACGACGGATCCGTATACTTTGCCGAAGACATCGCAGCCGATCCCAGCGCGGACCAAGGCCACGCCGCCGTAGAAGAGCGAGAGGCCAAGGTCAAAGAAGCCGAGGAGCGAAAATGGCTTACCCTCGGAGCCCTTCAGATTATGGCATTCGACGGAGATGATGCGGCTCCACACAAAGCATGGATGTTGGAGCGGTTAGACAAGCTCATGACGTCCTGTGATGTCTGCGTGCGCGTATACCACCAATCTCGCGCAGAATGGCGGCAGAGTCTGTTCGAGTACGTGTTACGGTGAAGGTGGATGCAGGCCTGCACTGACACAATTAGGCAATTTGATGAAGAGCATGTCCATGTGTTTTTGCAGACGGTCGACAACCAATCTTTAGGTCGTATACAGCGGGGATTGGACGAGGCACACTCAGTACTTCGTGATACTGATCCCCAAAAACGTGGAGTTCGTGTCTTGCCCACCGAAGCGGTGTACGCTATCTTTGAGGCTCTAAGCTGCGATGCCATGATTAGGAACGAAGAGCTCCTGCAGCAGCATTTTGATGGACCATTCGAGCTCGTGCAGTCCAAAAAGCGTCTCAAGCTTCAGACGTTTGTGCCTGCGATGACCCGGTTTCTTTTCAGTCGGAACGAATATAGGCAGAAGTGGGCTACTGCGTCTTGGTTCACCTTCAAGCGGCGCATACTTCAGTCTGAATTCGACTGGGCAGTGAGGGATCATCTAGTGAGCGCCATGATGAAGGTGCAGATGACGAACCTTGATCGTACCTTCCTTCCTCTATATTGGGCTGGTGTGAGACTCATTGTCAATAAATTGGACAGGGAGCTCATTACCAGCTCACTTCGTGACCTAGAAGGCAACTTTTATCGCCTGTTGCTAGACCACTTACATCTTGATTCTGAAGGCTTCGTCAATGTGGTCGATACCATGAAGACGATCTTAGAAGTGTCGCCCACAGACTTCTGGGATGCTATAAATGACATTACAACGTCTACGGCTACTATTGTCGAACAAGTCTTCAGCAGTCCTATCCTCAAACAGATGTTGCTCGCGGCATCCGAGGATAAAGAAGAGGACATGAAACTCTTGCGCAACGCCTTTGGCTGGAGCGCTCCTTTTCTTACTTCCATCAAGCCAACAATCCTTCCACCGGCCGTTCGCGCCTTTGCGAATGCACTGTTTGGCCATCTCCAATCGGACAAATACTCGCGTGCAGGGCGTGCTCTCTGCTTTAAGGAAGGGCTACGCGTCTTGGACTATGCTTTTCGCAAAATGTGCGAAGGTAAGTCTGAAGCCAACTTTGTTGGCCAGCCCACAGTCAACAGCATGCTCGATCTACTATCGACCCATATCGAGCTCATTGTGGGTAGCCTGAAGCGTCTCGAGGCACAAGAAGATCGACGATTACTCCTGTCCACCATTCAGCACGCTTTCACGCTTGAGGCGACTTCGCTGCACATCGAAAAACAATTGATTGCTGCGGATAAACCCTCACCCAAGGAGACTCCTCCTTCAACGCCTTTATGGACCGCCGTTCTAAAAGCGATTGACGCACAAAACGTCGATCTCGCAACGCATCTGTTGATTGCAGGGAGAAGTCTCATCGGCCTTGAAGAATGTCTGTGGAAGACTGGGTACGATAACAAGCCCGTGGAAATCAAGCATTTCAACGGCCGATTCGAACTCTTGTCGAAGTCAATCACGGATGTTGTCGATCGAATGACCGAATTCAAACCGGAGCAACTCAATGACCTGTTTAAACAGCCTGCCGCTGCTTCTGCGATAATATCCCTTCTTTTTTCTTCTACAGAGGATACTCGAAGTTCAGCTATCGAATTGTTGAAGATTATCACTGAGCAAGACGAACGGCGCGATGCTCTGCAATGCATTCTCACGACACATTACAAGTATGTCCTCGTCGGGATTTCAGACTCTTGTCGTCTAGTCACGCGCAAGCGGATTTTTGCCCCCGCAAGCAGCATGGTCAGGACACTCACCGACATCATCGACGTACTCTGCAATTCCCAAGATGGGATATTGAGATCTCGACAATTCGACCGAGGAGACGGAGGTATCACAATGAATTTCTGGAAGAACTTGTGGAATACGCTTACGATGTTCTTTGCGACCACTGAGCCGTGGAGCAACTTAGGCGTGTACCAGAAGGACATGATGAAAGATTTCTGTCGCGATGTCATGCAGTTCGCGGATTACCTTTTCGATCAATGCAGTGTGTTTGCCTCAGCTCTAGACCCCTCCACGCAAGGAGATGAGGAGAAGTCCAACACCAACGAATTATTGAAAGAATTACTGCAACTTCCAGCAGGTACGATGGTCGAGGCAAAGAGGTGGTTGCGTCTCCGCGATGAGTATCTCTCAAGCAAGTCCGTCACGCTCATTGGGAAGTTGCTCGTCCGTCTCCGCGCTGTCTCGATCGAAATCGATCCAGACACGCTGGCATTCATGATGGACATAGTCCTCGGCAAAGTCAAAGCGAACCTGAGCCGGAATCAACAGGCCGAGCTGCAACGAGCGATAGAGACCCACCTTGGCCACTCTATGATTAAGGAAGAAGCACCCAAGCAACCACGACAAGCTTCGATCAGCACTTTTATCGGAAGTGGTGCCGCGAAAGCACCCACTACAGAGTCAGATGCGCGTGCAAAACTGATGAAGGCCATGACGCCGGGCGCGATGGCCTTCAAAGAGAATCGAGAGTTCAACTTGATGAAGGCTGCGAAAGCTGCGAAGCAAGCAAAGGCCGACGAGGCCAAGAATGCCCAGGCTGCCGAATTCAAGCGGAAACGCCAGCTCGAATTGGAACGTACAAAGAAGGAGAAAGAGGCTGCTATTGCGAAGGCTAGGAAAGAGCGTGGCCTTGGAGGTGCTACAGCGGAAGCGGGCTCTGCTTTGGCAGGTCTTGGCGTGCTAGACAGAGATACTGCTCCGAAGGGAGAAGGCTTGATGCATTCGTCGGACGAGTCTGATAATGATGAAGACGAGTTTGACGTTGATGAGCTGTTTGGAATCACGAACAGACCGGGCAAGGCTGGACCGAAGACCAACATCACTAATGATATCGTCAAGGTGCCCATGCCAGTCAAGAAGCGGAGAGTACACCGGTCTGCAAAAGACATGCGAGCTCGTCTTGCGCCAGATTTAACGCCGTTGCATAAAACTATTCTTGGATGGGACTATTACCATGAGGGCGTCTACCCTCCAAAAACATCGCAAGGCAATTACGCTGGAGTTGTGGATACCTTCCGCACGCCGGATGATTATCAAAACACATTTGGTGGCCTGCTGAGGCTCGAAGCATGGCAAGGGTTCGTCAAAGCGCGCGAGGAGCTCACGTCCAAACCCTATGAGATTCGCATTACGCAGCGTTCGACAGTGGATGCGTTCATGGAGATCGGAACCACTATGACTCAAATTGAGAACAAGGACATCCAGGCAATGGAGGGCGACGTTGTCCTTCTGTCGAAGACTAACAAACCATCTGCGCAAGAGCCTCACTGTCTGGCTAGGATCTTCCAGAGGAAGCCTAAGAAAGGACACATCGAGGTCTCTTACCGCGTCATGCCTTCCGGAAACCCCATGTCGTCGCTACTGAACCCGAATATGGCGGTTTTCGGCACGAAAATCCAGTCCGTAACGCCACTGGAACGCGAGTACGCTGCTCTTCACGGTCTGCAATACTACGATCTGTGTGATGAGATTATTCACGCGAAGCCTTCTCCTCTCCTTACGTACAAGGACGCACAAATCGATCCGCTGATGCATAATTACAATTTGAACAAGGCTCAAGCGAAGGCTGTAAAGTCAGCTTTCGACAACGATGCTTTTACGTTGATTCAAGGGTACGCTACTATTTCGTCACGAAAGCACATACTGACAGATTAACAGTCCCCCGGGTTCCGGAAAGACGAAGACTATTACAGCTATTGTAGGCACGATTTTAACAGACAGTCTCAAGAAGGGTGCCCGAGCTGTACCGATGCCTGGCCAGAACCTGAACGACAGCGCTGCGAAGAAGTTGCTTGTGTGCGCGCCGAGTAACGCCGCTGTTGACGAGCTGGTCATGCGTTTCAAAGCCGGAATCAAGACATCGGATGGCGTTGAGCACAAAGTCAACATCGTTCGTCTCGGAAGGAGCGACGCAATGAATGAAAACGTGAAGGACGTTACGCTCGAAGAGCTTGTGAGCAAAAAGCTGGGTGTCAGCAGCAATGACAACGACAACGAGGCCACACAAAAGCTTTTCGCCCAGCACAAAAGTGTCTCGGCCCAACTGAACGAAGTGCGCCAACAGATGGACTCTGGCGAATTTAAGGGCGAAGCTCTCCAGAAGATCGAGAATGAGTTCCACACCCTACGGAAAGAGAAGGCACAACTGGGAAGGCAGATCGATACTGCCAAGGACGACCAGAAGCTGGCATATCGAAACAAGGACATCGAGCGGCGACGAGAGCAAGAGCGAGTTCTTAGAGATGCGCATATCGTGTGTGCGACGCTCAGCGGTAGTGGGCACGATATGTTCCAGAACATGGCTATCGAGTTCGAGACTGTCATCGTCGACGAAGCCGCACAGTGCGTGGAGATGAGCGCGTTGATTCCTCTCAAATATGGATGCGCGAAGTGTATTCTGGTTGGTGACCCTAAGCAACTACCGCCGACTGTTTTTTCGAAAGAAGCGGCTGCGTTCCAGTACGAGCAGAGTCTGTTCGTTCGTATGCAAAAGAACCATCCCAACCATGTCCATCTTCTCGACACACAGTATCGCATGCACCCCGAGATCAGCTTCTATCCTAGCTGGACTTTCTACGACGGTAGACTCGTCGACGGCGGTGACATGGCTGCGCTCCGAAAACAACCCTGGCACAAGAGCTGGCTGTTGGGTCCCTACCGATTCTTCGATGTACAAGGCCAACATCAATCGAAAGGCCATTCGCTCATCAACGTCAACGAAATTAATATTGCCATGCAGTTATATGCTCGACTAATCAACGATTACCCGAATCACGACTTCCGCGGGAAGGTGGGTATCATCACGCCCTACAAGTCTCAATTGCAGTATTTGAAGAACAAGTTCAGCGCACAATACGGCACTGGAATTACTAGGGACATTATGTTCAACACCACGGATGCTTTCCAGGGCCGTGAAGCCGAAGTCATCATCTTCTCGTGTGTGCGTGCCGCTCCTTCCGGCGGCGTTGGCTTCTTGCAAGACATTCGACGCATGAATGTCGGTCTCACGCGTGCGAAATCGTCGCTTTGGGTGTTGGGTAACTCGCAATCGCTCATGCGTGGCAAGTATTGGAAATTGCTGGTGGAGGATGCGCAACGCCGTGATCGCTACACGACTGGCAATTTGCAGAACATGTTGAACAAGCATTCGGATGCGTATCCGGCGAAGCCCGGCATGTTCGATGAAGCCGTTCCGGTACCCATGGACATGGACAACAATCCACCCATCAACAATGACCCTATCAGGAAGAAACCGTTCATGAAGCAGGAGCCTACCAGCAACGTGCACGTCAGACAGGAATACCGCAAGCCGGATGCCATGCAAGAAGTCCACAACGCTCGTATCAAGCAGGAGCCCAACCAGAACGGCAGCCGCAAGCGCGTTCACGACAGCGGCGGAGACGTGGATATGTCCGATGCAGATGCAGCTTCAGACACACTCAATGGAAGTGCGGCCACGTCAAACTCTGCGACTCCGGAGCCCATGGAAGGTGTACAGCGGCAGAAGGCGCCGCGAAGGAAGAAACCTAGACCGACACCGAATCCGTTGGTCAGCCATCCACCCAGCAGGCCAAGAAAGTAGGGATCGGGGCAGAGAGGATAGAAGGGAGAAAGATGAAGCGGAGCAGTTGATCTGCGATTGCTTTGAGGCAAATTCGAGTCCTGTACTGGCGTTTGTTGGACCATGCCCTGAAGACAGCATTTTCAGGCGTTTGAAGAGAGTGCTTTGGCGTCTTGCGCGGAAACACGATTTTGATACTGTACTTGTTCAATTTACATAGTGATAGCGGTCGAAGGACCAAAGAGAGCCAGCCCTCAAGACGGTAGCACAGGCAGTCCAGTCCTCGAATCTCAGGTAGGCTGCCACCGAACGCGTTCGGGGGTGGTGGCTGAGATTCTCCGACCCCTGACTTTGGTTGACTTTGACACGCAGCTGGAATAACCAGGCTTGCGGAACAAGCCCTCGTGTGCTACTCTACGCCCTCTACCTTTGGCAGGAGGGAGCCTCCTTCCTAAACGGGCGCTGTGTGACGAGGTGACGATGGCAGCGGTGCGACGTTGCCTTTGACCAATTGTTCAGAAGCGTGAGTGACAGCTCGTTGGACGCCCTCGGTGACTCGGTTGCCGTTAGCTGAGGCCAAGATGTGTTTTCGACGACGCAAATCGTGCCGTTGCACAGTGCTAGCACAGCTGCCGCGGCATCTTCACTTCCCACCATCTATCTACCTCCGTGGGCGCACTGCCTTTCCCCTCTCCTCCTCTCGTTCAGCTCCTCCTCTCGTCCAGCACAAGACATACCTGTGTGTCTCACTCCAACCGCGTGCAACTCCTCCACTCGCCGTCACTACCTGCCGTGCAACCTTTGGCGCTACGTGAAGGTAGGGGACCCATCTGCATCCATCTGCGCCCTTCTCCACGGCCATGTTGTACGACAGGATAGGCCTCTTCGGAACTTTCGATTGCGCGCACTTCGCGAGAGAGCGCGTCGGAGCGACTGTAACGTCGATCGGGTTCTCCCCACCTGCGAGCGCGTGCTGTTGAGGGGGAATCATGTGTGGAGGTTGCGGATATAGACGTGAGGATTCCTCGTGGGAGAGGTGGGCTCGGCATGTGCTTTGGCATGCCAAAGCTACGGCTTGGCTGGTTTCCTGTGCAGTTTCGCGTACAGGCAAACTCTGCTTGGGACGGCACTGTCGTTATGGGGAGTCAGATGAGGAAGCCCGGCACCGCGCATGGTCGTTTCACGCCAAAGTTATCGCGTACGACTCCGATGCAGACGCATTGTACAGCTTTGCCGTTCGTAGCACGCCCCTGGGCCAGGCGTTCCTCGCACGCGCTGCACGCTTTGACCCGGCCAGAACAGCGAAGTTGGCTGTCTCTGCTGCTGGGGTTGCATAAGTGCCGGCCATGGCTCCCCTTCGGATGGATGCGCAGCTTGCATGCACGTACCTGAGCTCCCTCTGATGGTCATTGCAATAGCTGTTCGGCTACCTGCTTGAAGATGCTAGGACACCCTGGAATTAGTGCATTCGAATACGCGGGAGCAGCAGAGCAACACTACCACGAAGAGCGCGCATGGGAAAAGGCCACAGAGGAAACCATACTCAAGCACGCCACCGGATGCCATCCAACATGGTCAGCGGACTTCATCAAAGAAAGTGAATCCCAGCCTGCGGCTAGCTTTGAGCCGTCGGAAATCCAGCAGCCGCAGAAGCCCGTCGACGAGCATACACTCGCACAACGACGCCGTGGAACCTTTGTCAACCATACCCCGCGCAATCATGAAGTCCATTTATCTTTCAAACTCTCGCATCGTCCGGCTTCTGAAGAGGAGTTTGGGAGGCTGTATGCAAGTTATAGAGGGAGCTCGAATGATAATACGGTGACTTTGCAAAGCCATAGTGGTGGACAGCATTCGTCGTTTGGGTCGTTTGGAGTCGAACAGAGTGGAAAGCCGAATTCAAATACGCCGGTTGAGTTGGATAGCAGGGAGATATCCCTGAACCCTTTAGTGAGTGCGCAAGATCTCCATCAAGGAAGAAGGAAGACTTATACTTCGACAAGATCATGCACCCTTTACCTACAGTACCCGTTATACCAGTGATGTTACCGAGTCAACGCCGCAGTCAAAGCTCGAGCGCCGCAGCTTCAATCAAGTCCTCGCAAACTGGTATCAGCAAGCGAAGCCTGAGGACTTTTCTGGGTCGAAACGCATCGCTGGATGCTTCTATTTCACACCAGCCAGCATCATTTGATGAATCTAGGCCTAGCACATCGGCCAGTACAGTGAAGCTGCGACCTCAGACTGCTAACAGCAAACGTCGCCGAAGGCAAACACCGTACAAGGTCACAATACCTGTCGTTACAGACTTGGGTCGTCATGCGCCTCTAGAGCCGCTGGTCTTGCATCATCGTCGCGAGGTGACAGGTAGCGATGTCGATCCTTTACCTCCGCATGTCGATATCGATAATGATATCAGCGAGGCGGCTACACTCCTGGCAATCAATGAGTATTTTGATAGTCAGGAGGCTCACCAGCAGTCGATGGAACTTCACGGAAATTCTTCATCAATACCAGAGACGCCTCTTGACCAAGTACAGACGAGTTCGTCACCTCGCGAGTCCCCAAAAGAAGAAACTGCATCTACCAAGGCAGATCACCCAGCGTTGGAAGAATCCACCCCTAGAGTCCCCGAACGCAACCCCGAACGCCTTAGCAGAATGAATACCCCAAACACCCCAATCTCACCCGATGTCCCCAAAACCGCCTCCTCTCTCTCCATCCAAAGCGACTTCACCTCCGCAGCTAAAGGCCAATACTCCCCATACGATAAGCGCACCGACACCATCCCCAAGAGCCTGCAGCGCAAGCCGCTACCAATATCACCCCAAGAACACGGCCGCTCAACCTCCTCTGCATCCGGAAAGCTCGCACCTCGGATTCTAGGCCATGAGGAACTAGCTAGCAGTAGGCTGAACGACTTCAATTACTTTCTGCGGATGACGGGCCCGTCGCCAACGCACGAGGCGAAAGCCGCCCCGAAGAAGGGAAAGAAGGGGTTGAAGGGGATGAAAGTGCGGAGTAGGAAAGAAGGCAAGTACTCCACCAGTGACCGTCATTCTGGCAACGAACAGTCTCAAGTCCCCGCTTGTTGCTTGGAGGAAACGACAAAGGCCGGCGGCGTGAAGCATCTGCGGATCAAGATCCCAGGGGAGGAGATGGATGAGCAGATGGCGACTTTGACGGAGAGCCCGACGTGGACGGAAGAGATGCTGCAGCCGCTTGCGAGTGAAGATCTGGAGCTCGCTATCAACCCCGTTAGGTCTACATCGCGTGCCTCCGAGAGCCGTAGTTGTAAACCTGCTGCCACATCGCCGATGGCCGTTCTCAGTGACAACCATCCGCTCTTGGTGAGCAGGAAAGAAGCTACAAGGAGCAGGAAGCTGCGGGACTTGCAGAAAGCAAAGGGGAGGATGGGAGGGGATGTTGAAGGTGGCGCTGAAGACAGTGACAGAGAGAATAGGATGCAGAAATTAGAGTGGTTGGTGGGCGAGTTAGCGGAGGGGTTGAGGGTAGCGGCGGGTATTCAAGGGGATTTGGGACCGGAGGGAGTGTTGGAAGCTTGGAGAGACGGGAAGGAGAGTAGAAGATTGGTGTTTGGTGGATAGAGGAAGAGTGGGGGTTGTCTTAATGTAATTGTGTTGTTACGGGAAATTTTGCTGGAATCTGGACGATGTTCGGTTGATGAAGGAGTTGGTATGGTGACGGCCCTGTCTGGTTGGATTTCGTTAGGCGCTTGAGAAGATGGAATTGAGACACCACCTAGAATCGCATCAGAAGGCAAGCTTTCGATAGCTGTGACTGATTAGATACATGCCTTGAAGGTATGTGCTTTGCTTGAATATCCGTGGAGTGGATACGGCGGAGGTCCAAGGCTGGGGTAAGCTGATGCCACTTGATCAGGAAGGCCTAGTGAGCGTCTTGACCATCGCGGCGTGGGCCATTGAAAGCCATCGAAAGCCTTCCAAGAAGCCGGATTCCCAATCGGTTCCTTGTTACTTTACGGCAGCATATTGAGGCGCGTTAGAAGGTCGCAAACCTTGGGCTCTCACATGAGAACACCTGGCGGTTCTATCTTGATAACAATGTCGCGACCAAGCCGTGAATCTTCGACAGGCCCCAGCCAGCGCAGCCAGGAAGAGCATTCCGAGACATGGTACGGCGTTGAGTATGACAGACGTGTCGATCCAAAAGACGCAATGAATATGATGGTCATGCTGGGGGTTGGGAAGTGCGGAGAGCGCTCAGGATCCCCGACTTCTCCAATCCCGCAGGCATGTGGCCGAAGAGGAAGATTCAAGTCGACAGGCGATTGAACGCGAATAACATACCGCACGACACGATGAGGCGGAAATGAGGGGGCCTTGTACTGTTCCCGAGTCCTTCTCAGGCGGGAGCGATCGCGCGAGCGTACTGCTAGCCCGCTTGGTAATGGTCGACTCCCCGGAACGGATACGTGCTCAGCAAAAGGGGCACGACGCTGCAGGCCATGGCTTCATTTGGCCTCGGAAGTCGAGCTCGTCCACAATGCGGATGCGGGTGAGATCAGGGCGCCCCATCCCTCCGGCGGACGACGGACTTCAGCCAAGCGAACCGAGCCAATCGCACATGACTGGGCCGCACTTCGCCTTACGACAGCCTGCCCGTGACTTTGTCCGATGCTTGTCACGACCCTTTCGATGAGCCCCAAACTGCTCTGACCGTTTGCGCCCAAGGGCTTTGCCATCAGAGTATGCGTTTGTGTCCGCTTAGCCCCACAATGAACTACGCCCCGACCTTCGAGAGCACAGAACTCGCCCCGGAGCCTCGCGTAGCGGAGTTTCTTGAAACATGCCGTGGCGTTTGTTTCCCTGTTCGTCGAAACAATAGTGCTCGGTGTTGAGTGCGCCGCTCAGATGCAGTAAACATGGAGACTACGGGCAAAAGTTATATAGCATCAGGCTTCGCGTTCCAGTCTTTCTCATCAGCAGCATCCAGCTTCATCACTACACTTCTTTACTTCCAACAGTCTTTCCTTCATCCCACACTCGCTTTCTACACTCGCTCAGTCGAATACCAACCTTAATACCTAAAATGGCCGTCGTCTCTAAGCCCGCTGGCGCTCTTAGCAGCCTCGTCTTCCTTCTTCAGCTTCTTACTCTCGCCTCGGCCGAGGGTTATGGATATGGCGGTGCCGCTTCCTCTTCAGTAGCTGTCTCTACCACTGCTGCTGGCTACAATGCTGCTCCCGTCCCATCTTCGTCTGCCGCTCCTTACGTCCCGAGCAGCAGCGTAGTCGTCTCGGTCCCGACTGGTGGATACGGCAGCGGCCCCTCGTCCTCTGCAGCAGCTTCTGCTCCTGTTCCTACCCCATCTGCCGGCGGATCGTACGGCGGTGGTAACAGCGGAAACGGAGGACACGGAGGCTATGGAGGGCATTCAGGAAAGCCCAAGCCTTCTGGTAAGTCTGATAAAGTTTCGCACTCTCCTTCCTTCGACATTGTCGAGCAACGCTCAGTCTTCGATAACACCATCGTTTGTTCTTTCTTATGGTAGAGAAAGCTGACTGAAGTCGCAGGTCACGGAGGATATGGCAGTGGTAATGGTCATCAATCTGCCGGCCACGGCTCGTACGGTTCGGGCAACAAAGGCCATGGATGTATGTTTTGCTTGAAGCAACATGAACCAATCTCGTTTGCTGACTTGAAGTAGCTTACGGAAACGGAAACCAAGGCAGCGGTCATGGTCAGCAATCTGGCGGCCATGGATCGTACGGGTCAGGTAACAAGGGCCATGGTAGCTACGGAGGGCACAAAGGTTCGGGCAACAACAACAACCACGGTGGCTGTAGGTTTCTGTCCCGGAACGTGACAAGCAGACAGTGTTGGTATACTGACATCGAACAGCTTACGGAGGAGGCAACCACCACGGTAGCGGTAACGGTAACGGCTACGGCTCGCACCAAGGCAGCGGAAATGGAGGCTGTAAGTCTTTCCGCGAATGCGAATGGAACACCTGAGCCTCAATAGCTAACTCGCCGCAGCCTACGGAGGAGGAAACTCGAACAACGGTGGCTCATACGGGGGTGGTAACTCGAACAACGGCGGTGGCTGTAAGTTCTTCTGCGGAGCATACGATTCTTTCAAGACTAACATCTCGCAGCCTATGGCGGCCAGCAGCCCCACTCCAGCGCCGACGCTGCTATGCCGACTCCTACGCCTTCTGCCGGGGGTAACGGTTATGGCTCGGGTCCCTCTGTTCCTTCCATCCCGTCCAGCAGCGCGGATAACTATGGTTCTGCGCCCTCTGCTCCCGCTGTTCCATCCAGCAGCGCGGATAACTATGGTTCTGCGCCCTCTGCGCCCGCTGTTCCATCCAGCAGTGCTGCCGGCAATGGCTACGGCTCAGGTCCTTCCGCCCCGGCCACCACACTGCAGACCATTGCTTCGAGCGCCCCAGCCAGCTCTGCGTATTCTCCTGCTACTAGCGCCGCAGGCAACTACGGTTCGGGCTCTGGTTCCGGCTACGGCACTGGCAACAGCTACTAGACGGCCAGTCTATTCTTTTGTAATGTCGCTGGTATCGCATGATGCTGGAACATCTTCTTTGTTACATTTTATAGATCTCGGGTTGGGCATTTCATAGGCACGAACATTTAGATTGAACTAGTATAATGGAATGGAGCTAGAGGATAATGATATTGTTACCCACAACAGTTTGCAGCCATTGATTGGAAGTGACACGACTTGGCATTTCGCTTTCGCGTGGGTGATACTTTACGCGTAGAACCTTCTAAACTAGAATGTAAACGCTTCCACATAGTTTCGACAAGTTTGGTTGTCTTATCATAAATCAGTAGCTGCAAAACATGACGGATCAGTCCACACTATTGATTCAGGCGCCAAAACTTCTATTGGACTGGTCCTCGAGTCAACTCCGGATACCGCAGCCATCAGAATCGACTGTGTGCAGGGTACCGCCGAAGCGATCGAATCTTAAAGATATGTAGAGAGGTCAAAACCCTAAACCGGACTTATCGGTGCTTTACAAAGAATCCACACTCCCCCCGCCCCTTAATTTTCCATAGCTTTAGGCACCTTTCAATTTCAGCCTCCTAGAAAAACCTTGCAGCTTTCATTGAGGCTGAAGTGGAAGTGGTCGAACTGTTAGTACCAATGCCCGCAGTCGTCACATTCCCCAGTACGGTACCGCCGGCATCTGCCTGACCAAGCCATGTAGATCTCAAGCTCCAGACCCCTACACTTACACTGGCGCTCTCGTTTAGCCCGGCCACTCTCAGAAACATGAGATCAAGAGGCTGCGTTGGGAAGAAGACGCTGGTGGCGCCTAGTTCGCCTCCGTTCAAGAATACCTCGATGATGCTTCTGTCAATAATTCCAGAAATGTTCCACGAGCCGCTACTCGGATTGTATAGACCTGTCTGGGAGAACTTGGCTGTGAAGAATGGGTTATCAGAGAGTGCTCCGATATGGCCTCGGTTGAGCCAGACATCGCCAGAGGAGATGAATGTGCCTCCTGAGACAAATTCGCCGGTCGCCGACGACGTGAATGTAAAGTTCAAGGTTCCTTGAAGTGATGAAGCGTCGGTGAGGTTGGTAACGTTGGCCTCGAAATACAGAGCACCGGACTCTACCCCCGAATAGTCCACTACTACGGTACCGTTGCCGAGGCTAGAGTTCGACGCCAGCTCGCTATCGATGACTGAGGAAATATTGTATGGGTAGCTTATCAGGCTTAAGCCAAAGCGCTCGAGATCGGCGATGTAGTGGCCACGGGGTATACTCATACTACTCCGGAAGCCTTCCTGTCCAGTAGGAACGATGTTGGTGTATTGCCAATTACTCGCCCAATTAATACTGACTTGGTCTTGGTCTGACGGAATATTGTAGAAGAATTGACCGGCGTAGTTGTCCTTTGCAAAGTCGGTCAACTTCGTTGTCGAGTCGAGAGCTTCGAAATGTGTGCCATTGAAACTGCCGGGAAAATACTCAGTGATGGATCCCCCAAGAGGGGCACCAGGATTGATCGAGATTTGCATGACCCAGAGTGTGCTTGGCAGGCTGCTATTCTCACCACTAGTAACGACAGGAAGCTCGACCATATTCGGGCATTCGTATTGTAACCCGGTGATTCCATGATGACTGAAATTGCTTTCAGCTGTCCAGTTTATCAGATTGGGAGAAGAGAAGATGCCAATTTCGAAGTCGACGGGGTAAGCAACGACCATGACCCATCGTGCTGTCGGGGTATGCCAGATGACTTTAGGGTCGCGGAACTGTGTACTGTTGCTGTCGATGACTGGATTGCCAGAATATTTGATAAAAGAGAATCCATTGTCATATGAGTGTGCGATCTCTTGTACTTGTTTTTCTGGTGTATTCAGGGTATAAATGGCTACTACACCATTTGTTTGGTTTGGGAAGAAGCCAGACGTATTGTTCACGTCAATGACGGCCGACCCACTGAAGATGCCTTCACCCGGCTCACCCGGAAATATAGCAATTGGTTGATTGGTCCAATCATATAAGTCTTGGCTTGTAGCGTGACCCCAATGTACGTTTCCTGCTACAACATCGGTAGGATTGTCTGTACCATTTGTAAGCTTAGCTTTTGACTAAGTTCGGTTGCAAAAGCTTACATTGGTAATACAAGTGATAGAGTCCATCTTGGTCTACATACATGCCGTTTGGATCATTCATGAATCCCACAGGCGGACTAAAGTGGATCTGTGGGCGTAATGGTCCTGCATAGTTACCAGGGAGTGGCGTCCCCGTCGGTACGTTCGACTCCGAGTATGTTGATGAAGTTGTTGTAGCTGAGATTCCGTTGGCGGAAGATGCTGGGGTTGAGCTCCCATATGATGCCGCAGCTGTTCCTGAGGATGCTGATGACGCTGCAGGGGAAGTGTAGGAAGATGCAGCACTCGAACTCCCGGAAGCCGGCGTGGATGTCTGCGCAAGTACGATGCTCGCCCCCATAGAGGCAAGCACCGTCGTAAGGACCTTAGATAGGAAAACCATGGCGAGGATAGGAGTCTCTCAGATGACCACCGGAAAATGTCTGTCGGTGGAGCACAGCCCAATTGAGGCAGACGGGCATTTAAGTACTGTACCTTCGATATGACGTCTACCAAAGAAACTATGGTGTACATGTGAGAAGGCTTGGCATGCATACCATACTTAGCGCAGCTTCCGACCGGAAACTGTAAGGTCTGCGTGAACGGTGCGGGGAGTTGGGAGAATAGCGTCAGTTTCTGCGCAGCTCTAAAGTCTAGACTGCCGTGATGGAGGTACGATGAACGATATGAACGATCTCTGCGCTATAGCCGGTGCGCTAAAATGCAAACAACGAAGTTCCGGACAATCAGCCATCCTCCTCACAAGCTTGTCCTGCTTTACGTAGATACTTTGATAGGATCTGAGGAAGCGTCGGAGACACAATGGCCTTCCGAGCTCTGCTCCTGTTGCTTGAAGGACCGTCAGCGGCGAAATCCGCCTTGCCGGTGAAGGGCTGGTATTGTGGAGACAGGAGCCGAGTGAACGGCAGGTTGTTCGGGAGGATAGACTTGGTTATCACAAAAAGCGCGCAGCGGGCTGGGGTGCTCGGCAAAAGACTTTCAAGCCACCATGGTCACATGGCCCACCATACTGGGGAATCGCGCTAGTCCTTTCGGCTAACCCTTTGCCCTCTACCGCCCCGTTCACTGACCTCCGAACTGCACAACACGGCATGCTTCCAATTCCATCGATTGAAGGAGGATTATGCTGAGTGAACTGAGCGTCCAATCTGGGGCCTCTTGAGACGGCGAGAGATGCGCTAGCCATCCGCTATGTTCTCGCGCCTATCTTACGCTCTCTTCCAGCACTTCCATCACGCGCTGTTTGGCAACGTTCGTGGGATGGCTGTGATTTGACTTGGGCTGTTGTTGAGTGGTGATGACGCTTAGGCTGGAACCGTGGAACGCGCAAGCACGGACAGCTGCGCAGTCAAACTTTTCATCGCTCATCCGGATCTCACGTACCACTATGAGTAGGATGCTTTCGAGCTGACCGATGTGAATCATGCCATTGGAATCGACTTCGGAGATTCGTAAACGCGCATAGCTGTGTGTGAAGACCCCGGAAACCCTGAATCTAACAGCTTCAACGTCTTCCTATATGCTGATAGACTATAGGCGGATCAACAGCAAGACGCATGTCTTGGCCGATACCGACGGCGAACGAACCATCCCCATATACGTTTCTCTGACAGAAGAAGGACTATTGGTGGGGAAGCTGCGAGAAAATACTTGAAAGAACACCCTGAGCGAGTCATAACTGATTTTAGAAATTTCATCGGTCGCTCATACGACGAGGTTAAGGATGACCTGAAGCACAACCACTACGAAGTTTATGACGATGGTAGTGTGCCCGCTATCCGGGTACCCGCAATTCAGGCTGGCGGCAAAACGGAGTACAGTGTCGAGGAAATTAGTGCATTTTTTTTTTCTGGGCAGGAGTAGAATTGTTTGCGGAAAAAGCACTGGGCTAGGAGATAAAGCGAGCGCTCGTAGCAGCGCCTTTTAACTTCGACTGGGAGCATAAGGTACGCTACATTGAGAGATATGTATGTATGTTCTTACACGTTTACTTACAGACTGACAGGAAGCATTGAAGGCATCTCCGGACTGGATACGTTGCGGCCAACGAGGGATTCGTATGCTGCTGCGATAGCCTATGAACTCGATAAGCCCGCATCTTATGACCAGCGCCACATTCTCATGCACGAGGTTGGGACCAGAACCACGATGTAACGATATTGGCCGTTAGTGAAGGTTTTTTCGAAAATGTAGGCGATGCGCATGCGCATGCTTCCGTTGCTGCCTTTTTCACCGCAAGATTGATGGGTCTTCTGTCAGATCAGAACGACGAAGAAGAGGTTTTTTCGACTACGAAGTAAGTGTACGTGCGCACGATGCACAGTGACTGAAACTATAAACTGAACTTCTTGAAGCCACGCCTTGACTCTCACGGACGTGTCAACATTGCCAATTCAGTATTTTGTTACAGTTTCGGAGACGATTTATGGGTCAAGTCACCAAATCACCTCACGATGCATTATTCAAGTCCTGGATAGCAAACACTTCACTGGTTTTCAGTACACTACCAGAGCCCACCAAAACTACCTCAGTCTTGAGTGTCAGTCACTGTGATGCGTTTCGAGTCATGACTAACAATGTTAGGACCCCAAGGATCCTTCATATGAAGGGGTGCTGGAACAAGCCAAGCACGACCTTCTCCCTCAACTGCCTGATCAAATTAACATCGATATATCAGGTTTTAAAGACACGGTCACAGACTCAGGATTTGTATGTTAAGAGCATGTCAAGTCTGTGTACCTGATTAACCTGTAGTAGGGGGAGAGTGTCGTACCAAGCTTCCATCCCAGAAGTCTAATCAAGGAAGCACTCACAAAAGCCAAATTTAAGAAAAAAGTCCATCTCCGAAGCCGTCCTGATAAGAGGTTCAAATCGAATTCCCATCATCCATGCTACTGCGGAGGGCTACTCTGGCAGTGCGCCGGTGTTCAGCCTAACTGTTGACCCGGCCGAGGCAGTCGCTATCGGTGCGGCTATGCTAGGCCACGCATTCACCCTCGATGGAGACCCGCCTGTAGAGCCGTGGCTGAGTTACCTGGTCAGCATGGGCGTAGGCAAGTGGATGAACTAAGACAGATTTGGCTCACACTGTCTGCCAGGGTTTAAAACCTTCGATGGAGAGGGTGCCCTTCTCGTGAGAGATTGGGAGCAAACTTCAGCCTCATCATCTCAGACATCCACCACTGTGCACGAGGACCAACAAGAGGTCATTATCCAGCTTTGCGATTATTACGTTCAGACGCCTTTCGTAGCAGGTGCTGGAGCTGGAAATCTTAAGCGTGGTCAGCTTGACTCTGATATCGAGGAGAAGGGAGTGATAGGTATTTTACGCCTTATTAGGCTTCCAGCAGCACGACGTGGCACTGCGCAGGTGAGTTACAGCATCACTGTTGTTTACCGTCATTCCTATTCTGTGCATATTAATTAACGCTGTGATGGCAGATATAGGTCACCATCGACGAAGACGCGGACCTCAACTTACGCGCGGAAGCGTGTCACATAGCAAGTAGAAGGTCTGCTTCACGCACTCTAAAGAGGCTCCTTTTGCACAACATCGACCTCACGGACATACCTGGAGAACTTCCTGCCACACACACACGCTTGAGTCGTTGGATAGAATCAACGATCTGCACAAATCTAAAGACGGAGATAACTCTTTTAGAAATGGAAATACCAGTCAGACACGACGAACTAGAACATGTTCTTCCATGCTGCGATCAGCGGACACACCCGAAGGATCGGTAAAGCAGATCTCTGCACTCCACGTTACATTTCCTCATAAATTGCGCCATCCACTCGATCGCGCACACCTCTTGTTCTGTGACAACCACGATGCCGTTAAAGGATTGTTATGTGTCAAGGTCACCTATTTCCAGCCCCCCAGGCCTGAGCCTGCTCAGAGTTTTTCCATTGGCTCCACTGCAACAAAATTTCCAGTCAGCCAACCAAATGGATTCGGATCCCGAAATTAAAAGCCTCCTCTATTCCGATACATAATACAATACCGAGCCTGCGAAAACGAACTCCTATAGGTGCAGCACCTTCTCGTACGTTCGAAAGGATTGCCAAGTCGCTCAGGTAAGAATCGATACCGAGGGGCGGCTTTCGTCGGCTTAGCATGATTGGTCGAGCGACATGAGAGCGCGCCACGCACATGTCACGATGCAATGGCGAGCCTCATCAGACGTGTTGCATGTTTCGATGATGCATCAGTAGGAAAATTCTAGGCGAGGTGAGAAGAAAAATCTGTTTTTGACAATGTGTATAAAACTACCTCATTCCGTGCCTCGAAGGTTATCATCAGCACAACAAAACATCGTTACACTTTCACCAAGCAAACAAACAAACATACTACCTTTACATCCACACTACCACACTCTGATTGAAAAGATACATGGTTATCGGCCTCTCTCCAGCAAATATCATGTCGTCGTCTACTTCCACACCCATGACCTCGGGATTGAACACCCCAGACCAGACCCGCCCTTCATCACCAGTCCATCACGAGCACTCCCACAGCACAATGAAGAAGCTCTGGAAGGACCTCAAACACCATGTTGCCGAGCACCACCGCAGCGTCAATGCCGCGTATGCCAGCTATTACGCCGCCGGACACGGCATTCCTCAGCCCGAACGTTACGGCCAGGGCAACACCAGGATCTGAACTGAGGAGTATTTGTTGAGTCCAACGAATACGTTCTCGATAAGACATTGATCCTGGGAGGTATACGAACCAACAGTCGACCAAAAGTCGATAAAATCGACGACAACGACAAGATCGAGGAAGATTGAATGGACGAAATGATCTAAAAGTGTTTTTTATCATGCAAGATACCACCCTGTTCCTTAGGATTTTGCAAGCTCTTAAACTTCGCATTGCAACCATATCATATAATGTTTAATAAAACAACCACTCCTTCGCAATCGAGATACTGTTGCTCCCTTTTGATGTGAACACCTTGCAGATCATGAGAAGCTCTTACGATGTGAACATGGAGACTGGAAAACCATGCTTGTCTATGATCTGTATCATCTTCTCTATAATAATTAGTGCAAGGGCTAGGTAAGTGATCGGTGGTGAAGCGACACTGGACAAGTCCGCGGCATACAAGACTTAGCAAAAGCATACAAAATAGCATAGTGGCCGACACCGGATGATGAACTTCTTGATTCCATAGGATACCATGGATATCGGTCATGTATTATTGACGCGGGCTTATAATAGAATAGACTCAACAAGATCTAGGTTGTTACCAAGGTGATAACATACTAATAACACCCCTTCAGCTTGACGCGTTCAGTCGCTAGGGTCGGCCGCTGTGGTGGGTGTTTACTGCTGGCTAAGGGATTCCTGCATTCTTCCACTTTGCTGTTTCAGAGAGACCCAGTGGATAACCCTTCCACAATCTCACGTTAGGCCCGGCCGTGCTATCAGACCCTCGAACGAACTTATTTCAGTAGGTAAAGGCACTTATCGAAACAGACAGGTGCATGACTTGTCTTTCCGAAGATGGATTTGTCATCCTAGGTGGTGGGATCGAGGGATGTTCGGTACGTAGGTTTTGAGAACAGGAGAAGGGATAGATGGGGAAAGGGATAGTGTGGGGCTCCCGTATTCTTGGTATTGCAGTTTAGACTTTTGTCTAGATATACAAGAGCAATGTACCAGATACTCAGGTTGGAAAGATAGTTCCCGCTGAGAAGCAAGTGTCGAGTCCGTCCACATTCAGCACGCCGAACAGTTCCCATATACCTGACCAAACCTCACATAGCCACCCGAACCAAATCCTGGAAGGGCCTAAAGACCCCAATTCTAGAGTCTAGGGTTCTTTTTATCCGCTACGAGCGTTTAGAGTATCCACTAAGAGCCAACATATGTCCTACATAAAAATTATCTCTCATCAAGTAAGAAGAATAGCTTGTGTGCATATGCGCCTATTTTCCAAGAGAATTTCCCAAGAAACGTGACTCGGTAGCTTTATTGATATATATGCAACGCTATTTGCTACCCTATATTATCAGATGTATGCCATTGAACTTAAGACGCGCCTCTAGAGCAGACCCTTTTCTTCTGTGCATGAGAAGACATCCGTGAACGTCATTTGAGTGCAAATATCGCACTCCGCAGGCTATATGTTGATTACTGCAGGTGTGAACTCAAGCTCCTTCACAAATGGATCCTTAAAACTCTCAATTACAATATTCGATCTAACCCAATTCTTTGCCTGATTGATGTCCCTGCACTTCTTGTGAACGGAAAAGTCGACCTTCAGGGCTTCGGGCGGTGTACCCGGCAGCGGCTTGAGTATGAAATAAGGCGTCACGTCCGTCCTGCACACCAAGTCTTGGCGTAGGAGTTCAATGCAATGATCTGGGGGATGTCAGGTCCTCGGGTACGAAAAGAAAGGCTAGAAAAGAGGAGGATAGTCCTACCCACATGCTTGCGGCCATAGTCCGGGTCCTGTGTAAGAATCTGGGGCAAGCGGCCTTGCTTGTGATATTCCTCCTTGTAGCTGATTTGCCTCAAGACATTCTGCGATACGCACCCTTTTCGTTAGCGGACGTAGTTGATCCTATAAATAGACGTACCACGCAATGGATCTGATGGAAGCCCCAAGCAGACGCTGCTAGGCCGCCTGACTCCGTGTGATACAGTCTTGACATCGTTTCCTTGCTTATATTGAACAAGTGCAGCTTTTCCTTCGGGATAGTGAAAGCGCTCCCCTCTATCAACTCTTCCCATTGCCAATCGAGTTCTGGGGTGGGGAGCCCTCGGTAAGGGGACGGCTGCTCGAAATCGCCGAGGAAGTTCGTCTCATGATACTCTACCGCGTCGAAGACCGGCGCTATAGAAGTCAGCATTGGAACAAGTAGGCTCTCGAATAGCTAGCTGTTCGGGATCGATTGCGGGTCTAACGAACACCAGGTGTTGAGTTTACGTGTACACGCAGCGTCGGAAGGCTCCTGGTACTGCGACAGGATGAACAGCATCAAAGAACAGGTGAAGGCTAAAGCTTGAAGGAACCAACTCCACCAGCGGTTTAGGATGGTAAGTTTGGCGGTTCGCCTAGGTATGAAAACTCCGCCTCTTTTCTCATCTCCTAGGAGACCGTCCTCCGAATCATCTCGCTCAGCGGATGGGTAGCGAATGGTCATTTCAACAATGAGCTTTGACCAGAGCGTGTGCAAAAATTGAATGCATACAGAATGAGGTCTCTGTCTGCGGGACGACGCGCGTGTTTGAACATGCCCCGAGCTTTGCCGCTGGTCCACCATAGTCACGTGCTAACACTATCAGCAGTGAGCTTCATCCGGTATATTCTGACATGCAGGATTGATACCCACAATGCTCCTTTGATCCGATGTCAACTCAGATCATTCCTCACATGATGATCATGGCAGTGAACTGGTGTGCGTATCCGCAGGATTAACGGCGGGCGTAAGTCTGCATATGCAGGCTTACCCTAACCTTGGAAGGTTCTCTACTCCTCGGCAAGGATTATGGTAAGCAAGCAACCCCACCCAGCGAACAATCTTGGCGTCGGGAGGATGCGAACTGCTGCATCGTAACTGTGCGCATAGCGAACGATATGAGGTAGGACCATGGGCATTCAACATATCTTCTCCACATTCGCTCCGAAGCGTAAGCGATACCCGCTACTCTACAACAAGTGGGACGGAATGAGAAGATAGAAGTCCATGAAGCAACTTGAGAGGGAAAACGTTTGTATGAACTATCTTGGTATTCCTACGTGGCCTCATTGTTAGGCGAAGTATCGCAGTAAGTCAGTAGACTAAACACCTCAGCTTAACGTGGACACCGTCAAGTCCAACAACATTCGTTGCTCCGCTGTGAACTACATCACGCGAGTGTTGCATATCGGAGAGATACCGTGGCACATATAAACACTGTCCGTAATTGATCCACAAGCTGTTTTCGGATAGAAGGAGTGACATTGATTCCTACGATTACGGATGCGGAGAGCGAGAGCACGAATAAAAGATCATCGCAGCCTGTCCCAATTCAAGCAGCCCTTTCCACCCTGCCTTTCCCGCTCAATCAGTCAACAAAAGTCCATTTAGCCGCATGCTGCCCTCGATCAACCTGTCATCGATAAAGAGTCCGCTCTAGACTTGGACGCTCTAAACCTGTGTTAGAATACAGTCCATATTGCTAAAGATGCGAAGGCTTCTACCTTCAGATAATCAGTGGTACTCAGGTGATGGGCCTGCTTCCTCCTCCGTGGCGTCATCTTCGCCATACCATTGCCAGATGAATGAGCCGATCGGGGTGCGTGCCTGTGATAGAGTCAATCGAGTGATAAAGAGAAACTGTACATGGAAACTTGCCTCGATATCTGCCTTAATCCTCTCTCCCAGTGCATCTTTCTTGGTTACTGCAGCGGGGGCGGCGGCAGCCGAAGTGATCAGGCCCAAAGCGGCGAGGAAGATCGTTGAAAACTTCATCTTGAAAGACGTATTGATACTGGGTCCTCAAAATTTCTCCGCTACACCGGAGACTAGACAAAGTCGTGACGTGATGTAGCTAGAGAAAGTGGTAATGTCGCAAACTTTATACCCAACTTTCGAAGTTTTCAAGGTTGGTGTCTACAAAGTAGATGATGACCAGCCCGCTGGTGACTTCCTCCTAGGGTGATAATGCTGCATCTTGATTATTGTTTCTACAAGTTCAAATGCGTGAGCAATACCATATGTATGCTTACTGCGGGGCACAAATATACCACGACCAAGCTTCAAGCTATGTGTAAGCGCCAAAAATATCGAATGTATGATTACACATTGGAAGTGTAAGCGCTCAGATGGGCCATTCACTCTTTGATTAGACAATGCTCCAGCCCTGTCTCCATACCCTCTATCACTTTGTCTTATGCTCTTTTGTCGGTCCCCCATCACAATCTTCGTTACGAGCCTTCATACCCCCGCGACTTCGTAACTACCCTTTTTCCGACCATTTACCGGAAGATATGGGGATATTCAACTCCCGCAGAAAGGATGCAGACTTTGTCTATGAGAAGGCTTCTGGATCTTCCGAAGATGGGTATGCCAGCGATGAAGCTCAAGCATTCCTCACCAAGGATAGACGGCGACTCCATCTTCCCGAGCCTCGAAGATATGGGCTGTCCATTGTGTCACTATTGAGCTCAGCAATCGTGAATCTTCTGCTGGCGGGCTTTATAGCGTATCAGTACGCGCATCGAGGGGCAAATAGTCCTCTATTCCCAGAATTAGTCTACTGTGAGACTCACAGAATGTACCATATATTCAAACTCAATTTTAATCTTCAATTTTAGCGCCTGCAAACGAGGCCATTGGATACGAAACCAAGATTTTCACCAGTGGTTTCGGCGACCAAAGAACCAAGTACATGGGCGACAGTTACGAGGCCGACGAGGAATGGGCGAAACTTTACCCGAGAACTGTCGTTCGGATACCGAAGTCACAGGCCGACAGATTGGCCAACAAGTCTATCCCAATCGCTGGCGACGAAGATCACTTTCCCGTGCTCATCACGGTTTTCCACGTCATGCACTGCCTAGATTCAATCAGGCACCTGTACTTTGGCCATGACAAGAATATGGACCCTGATCCTATAATTAACGAGGCGGTATTGAAGAGGCCCCATATTGACCACTGCTTTGATTCTCTTCGGCAGAGCATCATGTGCGCGTCGGACGTGGCCCCATCACCATATAATTGGGTTCCCTCAAAAGGCAAAGCTCTTGGATCTCTGGGCGTACAACACACGTGCCGAAGTGAGTTGCCGGATTAATGTAGGAAGGCTACCACTGACGAGAACGCAGATTATGAGAAACTAGTTGAATGGTCGATAGCACCAGAGCGTGATATTCGGGGGTGGGATGAGTCGATCAAACCGAGCACTATTGACTGACTTACACGTACAATTAAGCTACGCTCTGTACAGTGAGGGAATTATTGATTGGCAGTAGCAACTTTCACCACAGTGGGAAAAATCATATAATTCTAGCGAGTATCTGAATGTTAGAATGCTTAACGTGTAGTCTTCTTCACTTTATAATTCTGGGCAACAAAACTTCAACATAAGCACTATCTGCTAGGCTTTGTGAGTTCTGAGACGGATCAAATCTGTCGCAAGAATCACAACTGATCCTAGGGGGCAGCGACATGCACACAGCCAATTTTGACACTTTGAGGCCTAATGGGACCGGAAGTACTGGGAAGAGCGCCCAGCTTTTTGCTCACGATGTTTTTTTGAGATAAGTGAGGGGCATCGAGGTGCATGTTGACCCCTGCTCTTCAGCAATATGCCGTCCTGCTTACCATGACGTGTCGGCTGAACTACAAGTAATCATGCAGCAGGGTAGCGTATAAGGCACGCATGGGTAAGTCAGTCGAGCATCCAGGTACGAAAGCATAAGCACTAAGTGTACCTAGGTCGTCATCATACCGGGAAGGCCTTCACCAAGTATGAAGAAGGTTAGCGAGCGCCGGACCTAAGGGCTTTCAACATTTGTCTAGTCTTTTTACAACTGGCTATTGGGTCATTGCTCATAGCCTGAACATCGAGTTTCACTCCTCCCACCCACGTAGAGGTATGGAGCCTCTAAGACCCGGAGACTACTTCCCAGTACCTTCGAGCCACGAGTCCCAAGAGACACTCACTTTGGCGAGTCATGATGATCGTAAGCCAAAGAAAATCTGCTGGAAATCGGCCCTACACTCTACAGCTTTCATGATAAGCCTCGCTCTATCGACGGTCCTCCTGCTACTTCTGCTTTCGCTTTCTACATTCATAGCCAGTGGCGCGAGCTCGAATTGCGGAAGCTCTCCAGCTGAAGCTGCCTCCAAGAATTGTAGATTCGATTTACTTGCCTTCGCGTGGGTACCGATACCGTGCTTTGATGCCGAGTAAGTCCCTCTCAAACACTGGCAATGATATGGACAATAGGACTTTGGAAGTCTATGGATCCCTCACTTAGAACTTCGCGGCACTATGGTATCGCAGTCACTGATGATTTGAACTTGGCAGATTGTATAGCCAATACGATCCCTATCATGATTTCGAGTTCTTCTATGACCTTGACCGGACCCGTCAAATATCGATCGAAGAGTTGAAGAAAGGAATCAATCCACGTGTTTACACATCGGGGAAATACCATCGGACACATTGTACCTACGCATGGCAGACGCTGCAGCGAGCTGTCCTGAATGGTCATCAGCTTAGTGATAATAAGACGCTGAATGCGGGACGTGAGTGAAATCATTTCCTGACAGTACGTTGGGTACTGACTTTGTTCGAAAGATTATGGTCACTGCTCGCACTATATAATCAATATTGACCCTGATTATCGGGCAAGGTTTTACATGGACTATTTACATTGCCAAAAGATGGGCGCGAAGTAAGCAGCGACAGCTGTAACATAATTCTGGGGGACAATTTTAAATTTTTGCGATTTGAATAGGAGAAGTGATTTCGAACATTGAAATAGAATTGAACTAATTTTCATGGCTTCTTCGCATGTGTCTCACAAGGAGAAGACGTGTCGCAAGATCAAACGCGCACGATTCAAGTTCATTTTGATTGGCAGAGCCATAGAAAGTAGCTGCCTGGAGACTAGCGGGCGGCTGCGCGCCCGTGCATAAATGACAGTGTGAAGTATTTATCATTCTACAATTCCCATATCTGCAGATTAGAGGCCCTCTAACATATTGTTGTGACTCTGCTCCTTCAAGTCATGGAGCGTTTCTATCTTGAGAATAAATCCAAGTACCACTCACTCGTCGATGCACTTGATCCTTTGCCAAAGCCTCGAATACCAAAAGGGATGTCAGGTCCTAATATCATCGTCAGTGCCAGAATTCGGCCTCTATCTGAAAACGAAATCTTTCCTTCTGCCGTTTTCCCTCGGGCGAATCAGAAAAATGTGGTGGACATTCACGATCTGTACAATCATCCCAAAGGCATTCCGATATTGAAGGTACATAGCATCCATCTCAACGTTAAGAGGCTATGTTGCTGATCTGGATGTTACAGTCCTCCGATTACCAAGTAGATAAACTTTTCAACATGGACTCGGCTACCGAAGAGATCTACAAGGAACTTGTCGTTGATCTGGTTCCATATGCTTGGAACGGTGGTGTCGGAACCTTGTTCGCCTATGGTCAGACAGGCTCTGGAAAGACATTCACGGTCAGCAGAGTGGAGGGGCTTATAGCAGAAACGATGATGAACGGAAAATTTGAAGGAAAGAGGGAGGTCTACATGACCATCATCGATCTCGCTGGAAACGCCGCATTCGACCTACTGAATGAGCGAGAACCCATCTCCCTCCGTGAAGATTCACTGGGCGCTACCCAGCTGGTAGGCGCACAAGAAAATCAAGTATTCAACGTCGACGACATGAAGGCTGTGGTCGAGCGCGCAACATCACTCAGACGCACAGCACCAACGCTCAAGAATCCCGCTTCCTCGCGTTCGCATGCAATTTGCCGTATTAGAATTAGAAACACGGAAAATGGCTCGGACGGTCTGTTGTACATGGTCGATCTTGCAGGGTCAGAAGCTGCTCGGGATGTTGCGGTGCATGGGGCGGACCGGATGCGCGAGACAAAGCAGATCAATATCAGTCTCTCGGTGCTGAAAGATTGTATTCGAGCAAAAGCTGAGGCAGATACTGCGACAACACTGCACAGGGAGAGGCTGGGTCCGAAAGTACCGCACATCCCGTTCAGACAAAGTGCGTTGACGAGAGTGTTGAAACACGTATTTGATCCTGCAAGTACTCGAGGGTGCAAGACAATCGTAATAGCTTGCGTCAATCCGAGTCTCGCGGACGTTGGGTCAACTAAGAATACGTTGCGTTTTGCGGAGCTGTTGCGCGTTCTGGTGCCGTTAACAGATGAGAGCGATACAGAGAAACAGTCGGCTATGCACTGGACGAACATGCAGTTGAGAGAGTGGATCAAAGAGAACGTAAGCTGAATCCATATGCCGTACTACTATTTGAACCGTAAAACTGACAGGGGTCTGGGTAAGGCTGGTAATCCCCCAATTCTAGGCAATGCTATGGCTCCGCGCGAATCAGGAGCCCAACTCTTCAAGCTCTCTAGCGAAGAGATTGAATATCGGTGTCAAAAGTGTCCAGGAGTCAAGCGGGAGCAGGCAAAAGAGTTTCGTTCCAAGTTGTGGCAGATGTACATCAGTTCATAGATATAAGAGGGAGGAGATGATTTCGGCTTTCCAATTGGAATGAGCCTGGCACGCGCGTTGACATCGCGATCAGTTTCAACCCAACTGCCTCAAGATGCGATCAAAGTTTACGAATAATGGACTTCTCTATTCCTCATCCCAAGGTGTATTTGAGACCAGGGACCCATTGTAATGATATATTTTCCTCACGTCCCTATACTCATACAGCTTTGCATCAGATCCACAGGTTCGCATATCGCCATATCCGCTAATGATTAATCCATGCACCGGGTCGGGGGGATGATGCTCAAACGTGCCATCTGCAGTACATAAGATTGCCTTTCCAAGTCAATTCAGTAACCAAGACGTCCTAACTTGTATAGTGCTCACCTCTCGTAGAAATTGCAAACAATGCGGCCAATGTGTATTGTCCTTCTCATCCATTCCTATATCCTTTCCCTCCCTAGCCTCCTGTAAAGCCTTGCGTATCGCTGCTAAGCAATGTAGCTGATGAAACCTTGCAGATAGTTAGCTTGCTCGTTGAAGAGCGTTGAACATGGACTTGCATGGTTATCTGAACGACGTTCTTGTGATCATCGTAAACCAGGGCTGATTGACCTGTCTCGTTCCAAAGTCCGTCATATGCATGATCCAAGGTCATGTAGGAAGTATTGCGGGTCCATTTTCTCTCTATTTCCTCTCCGTCTTCCGGATTAATGATAGAACAATCTTGATTGATCCACCAGAGCTTGGCGATGAGCAGCGATTGAACGACCACCAAAAGAATGATCAGCGTCTTTCTCCATGAGAAAATCGTCTTCTTCGGAGCTAGAGAAAGCTTCTCATCTTCCATAAAGTGAAGTTGCTCTATAAAGTCTACCTTTTCCTGAGAATTCCGCGCGCTGGCCATCATGTTTGGAAGTGGTCATCAAGGCCTGTCCGGCATGGTCAAAATCGCACTGCCAGCTCCAAACGATGTCAAGTAGAGCGACGTCTGGATTTAGCGGCAGATTTGATTACAAGTAGAGATCAACAGCTGCAATGCATCGAATCGACTGAAATGCCGCTTCTGTGATCGGGCTTCCAGTGGATGAAGCACAGCTACCCCGCTCCAAGGGCGGGGCTGCATTATTGCATCGGTATCGATTATGCAGGGAAAAATTCCTCTGGCCTCTTCGGCTTGTGCCCGTTTTCCTGCTTACACGTTATGCGAGCACGGCGTAGTAAGCCGCAGCTCTCGAGCAAGGTGCCTCTACGCTATGATAACGCCTTGCATACCTACCTAGGTAGGTATCTTGGCGGACAATCACACAACACATAGATCATGCAAGATTACTGCATTGATTTCTTTTCTTATTCCGCAAACGCTCACATGGCTCGCGACGTCTACACTCACATGCATGTTGTTCAATAAGCTTACATGCAGAGCTAATTCGAGGTATTCGGAACAGTAGCTTATCGAAAAACGACCTGAGAATGCAACAAGCAGCATACCATATCGTTTTTCACGTTTACTACCGTATGTTGCAATTCCCCGGATGTGATACCGAAGCTGAAAAATTTTACGTCTGATTTCCCCGTAGCCAGCGATGTCCAGTGTACCCAACACTACGATGTGGCCAGCACCCTTGAAAAGTTTCAAAGACCGGTAAGTTCTGCTTCGAGTACTGTCACTGCTAGGCCAAGAAAACTAAGACTAGTTCAAGTATGGTTTCTCCCTTTTCACCAATATACACAGAAGTGCCCGACGGCGAATCAGAAAAGGACTCTGAGAATGATTCTGGCTTCATCGTTAAGCAGGAACCCATTGCAGCGAAGCCAGACCGTCGCCCGAGGTTCCTTATAGCTCTCCTACTTCTCTCAATCGGGGTTGGCATAGGTCTTCTGATTGCCTCGATCATGCGCGAACCCGGAGATTCGCAAGCTATTGCTTCTGGACAAGACTCCCACCAACACAGCGCATCCATCTCCGTCGCATGTCAACCTTCTTATGAATCAACACCACATCCCAAGATGGTACATGACTGCGGTAGCGACATTGCGTCAGCCAAGGCCGCCGACTGCGTCTTCGACATGCTCTCCCACACCTGGGTTCCCAAGCCATGTCACGACTCCGAGACCGACGCGGAGTTCCGTGAATGGATCTTCAACCCAAATCGCACAGGCGGCGCATTCCCATACTTTCTTTCCAGCACATTGTCTGCCAATACGCACATCGACGGTATCGATGCGCTATCAGCCATACCCGGGGACACGTGGATATGGAGCCACGGAGAGGAACATGTTGGGCACTGCATATTTGTTGTGCGCAGAATTCATCGTGCGCTCGAGGGAAAGTTCAGGTGGAGCGATGATGTGGCGAATTTTGACCATACGTCGCATTGTGCGCATGAAATGTTAGAGAGTATACTGGAGAAGGCTCCACTGAGGAGGTTTGAGGGGGCAACGGTCACGCTGAAGGTGAAATTCGACAAGTGTACTCATTGAGAGAAGCAGAGTTGTTTCATCGACGCTGTTGCAGGACCGCGTGTAAGCGCACACCGCAGGCCGTTTTATCGTTGCTTACATACCTGCGCTCATCTACATATATATTGAGAGGGAGGCGCCGCTACATCTGCATAAATGGGTATTAGAATGGTAGGTGGCCAGAATTACGGATTCTTTTTGAGATATCTCCGACGGAACAGTGCTTCTATTAGTATGGATACCGGCTGATGGCGATTCATGTGGATAACACTTGAGTGCGTTGAGAAGAATGAATACCAATGTTTCATATACTCATACCATCGCGATGTACACAAGAGAAATCCTATTCAATATAATCTCGGACACTCTGCGCCTGGTGAAGAACCTTCATTAGGGCGTGAGACCATTTCGAAGCCGCGTCGCCAATCCCGAGATGTTAGATCAGGCACACTCGTACATTCCACATCTTCTTTGTGAGACGCGCACGCCGATAAATGTGTACGTTCCACCTTGACCCCGCGGCAATCAGTCCCTTCCCCAAGTCTCCCATTCCGTAACAAACGTTGTCAGTTCATCCCAATCCTTGCACTTGTGCTCAACACCAAAGCCCTCCACAGCCTTCAAAACAGGGTCCTGGATCTCAAGGGTCAAATCTGGCCTGCACATCAGTACCTGTCGGAGATAGTCGACACAGTGCTCAAAATGCACGGTATGCTTCAAGATATCCTCTCCACCAACTATTGTTTGCTCATTCATGCCATTATGGATTGCCCAATAGCCTTTTCGCATGCCATCCTTATGAAATTTAGTTTGGGCCCTAAGGAGGAACAAAGCAACAGAGGAGACATACTAAGCAGTGGATTTGATGGAAGACGGAAAAGACTGATCGTTCGGGAGCAATGGTCGGGTGGTTGAAGAAGCCGCCATGACGTGGAATCAGCGAGCGCCAGATGGCGTTACTCGTGTTTGAAGGTTCTCCGTAAGTGGCATCGTACTCAAGTACTCTTGAGATCGTTCTCACTACTTTCGTTTGAGCTCAAGGTGCTATTGATGTATAGGGACTACCGACGTTGGGGGTTGTCATAGTGGTCGTCAATGAGTGCAGAAGCAGACAACTGACCAGCATAAAAGCCAGCGCCACAGGCCACTAAGCATGACAGGAGCAGGATAGAAGGTTTTGCGATGCTAGATGACCAGCTCTTTCGAGGCCTTGAGGGTTGAGGTCTTGGGGTGTCTTCGTTGTCAAGAAGTGTGTACTGGTGGCCCTTCATCGAAGGCCCCGGTACACCATACATGTCGAAAGAGCTTTGGATGTCTCGAAACCACGCTGGCAGCCAACCGCAATTGCCATAGCATGGTGGGTCGGAAGTCAAATGTTTACCAGCTCAGGTCAGCAGCATGTCGCTACACGCATGATCACGGTGCAATTCAGTAACCAGTGCGGAGCTTTTTAGGGCCCTTGGCGTCGCGGTCCTCTCTTCCGCGATTCGGTGCACGTCTAGCTTACCTAGGTACCCCGCACTTGATGCTTATGCTCACCAACATTGTAGTAATGTATGCTTATGGTTTCATTGCATTAGGGCTTTCGCACGCAATTCTTTTGGCAAGACCTCCGTACGAGACTTGAGTAGTTTCATCATGAGTACGTAGTATGCCTGAGGGGATTGGATCTTCACGCTGACGGATGAAGCTATCGTGCTGCCGAACACGGAAGCCACTAGGAGGGAAGATTAGAGTGGTAAATCTGCACCGAGTTCCTGCGTTACCTCCCTTGACCGCCTACAGGATCATGTATATACTGCGATTCAACCTCCCATATAGCTGTAATGTTGGTAGTCCAGGAGGCCCACGTGCTGCTGTACACTTAGTTGAGCGAGCGTCTGCCCGTCTCCAGGGCACAGTAGGTCCCGACTATGTGCCAATAGGAAGCCCAGGAAGCAGTCCGCGGAGTTGGGAATACCTTGAGGGTACAAAGGTACATACTGACGCCGATCTGCCATGTAGTAGGAACCTAAGTGATCCTATTATCGCAGGATCCTTGGAACATACCGTAGAAACTCGTATGAAAGCACTATGCTAGTCCATGTTCAGAACTTATCGGAAGTTTATACGCAGTAGGATAGTGGACTGAACTGGCGAGAAGTGGTGTTCAGACCAATAGTGAGAGGCGTGGGCACGAACTGGCATAGTGCTTATATGCCAATTCTCAGAGTACATATGTAGTGAGCTGCGTACATATAACGCACCTCTAAGCGAAGCGCATGGGGAATCCTTCGGTCCTGGTCCCAGTTACCCAGAAGGATTCCAAACACTTTGCCTAATTTGATCATGCGCTCCCATACCCACTTTGTACTGTAAATCCTCACGGAAAAGGGTAATTGGTCCTATGCGGGTGCTAACAACAGCCAACCGCATGAGCTTAGATATATCTGGCGTGCTAAGTGTCGATCGAGGGCACCATTCCAGCCATTAGAGATCGAGAGATCACTTGAGCAAGAGGATATAGCCTGCGAAGGAACGATCTCTCTACAACGGCTTTCTCTTCGTGGTAGTTGATTTTGCTCGGTCCCTACTATACGGGACTCGTAGAGCCTCGTTGTCCTCTCTTCAGCGGTGGGGTTGTTCCGAACCGCTCCATCATTCGACGCCAGCTCAAATATGGTCATTAATGAAACTCAGCTTGAGAAGAGGAGACGCCAAAATCGGGATTCGCAACGGCGGTTCAGTGAGCAAGCTTTTCCCTCGGGCCGGACCGAAGCTGACTAATTGAGAAGCTGCAGGAGAAAGAAACAAGACAAGGCGTTCAAATTCGTGGGGCAATCCGAACAGCAGCCACGGGCAACAACTTGCAGCTCTCGATGATCTGGCAGCGTCGCTGGGCTCAGATACCGGCCATTTAGCATCGGAGCACCCCAACACGTATATCTCGAGTGAATACCAGAACCTTATTTCGCTTAAAGAGTGCCCGGAAGGATATAACGACTGGTCGAGCAATAAGGCGCAGTCTACCCCGCGCGAGGAGGTGCTGTACCGTCATGGAGCCCAAAGCAATGGTTCCAATCCTTTACCGGGAGGACAGATGAGCCTGCCTCCTCTTAATGAGCAGTTCCCACTGCATTGCATTTCCATAAGCGGCGAAAACACAAACACAGCTCGCCAGCAAGAGCAGCAGCAGCAGCACGACTTCGGACATACAAGTGCAGGCAGGAAAGATGGGATGGTTTCCCCTGTTTCACTGCTTGGTGCGGATCCACGCTTGGGCCCAGAGATTTCGAAGCCAAACCGGCCTAAGGAATTCCTCCTATCACACCCTGGACATACGGTGAGGAGAAGGCGTGGGTCCAGGGCGGAGCAAATGATATCGGATGTAGAAAAGCTCTACGAGTTTGGCATCAGTCTTTCGCTGTTTCCGGAGGACCCGTTACTGCGGAGTTCATTGCGGAGAATGAAGGAGCGGTTTCAGAGCCTGGCGGTGTTGGGGGATGTCTCTTCTGGTGAGACGGATCTGTACGACGGGGATTCTGCAGATAGAAATAGCGATGAAGAGCAAGAATATGGTGAATGAATGTGTGCGAGCTTCGAGATTTTCATCTTGGTCGAAGGAAGAGGAGCCCGCAGCGAAGAGAGGAGCACTAAAGCTATTGTATATGGTTGAGCGGCCGGGGGGGCCTAGTTTCCAGTGTCGTATGGACGTTAGTGGAGTGGATGTTACGGTCACATGTATAAATCCCAGCAAATGAAGCAGACGACGGCTTTCCTGATGGTAGTGGATCTGAATAAGCAAGCGCCTGTAATCGTCATTAGTTACTGCCATGACACACCTCTAGAGTGGAAGTCGTGGGCTGCCAATGAATCGCCATTTCATGAGCGGCGCTGTTGTAATTTCCGGGGCATGTTAATTTTTTGGGCACGCTAATGGTTCGATTGAATGCTTCGCCTTTGCATCGTGAGATGGTTTACTCTGAACCAAGATGCAGAATGTGAGATTCTATCTGTGAACATCCGAAACGTCGCTGACAGTCCAGACCGAGGTGTTCCAAGTTGTGCTCGATTACATGGCTTGAATTTGATAAAGCTTCCACAATCCGGTTTGGTGGAACGTTAGAAGACGTGTGGTCCTCGACAGTGCAATTCTGGCCACCGACCATAGGTTTCTGGAGGGAATGAAGACAGCGTACGATTGTACTCGGAAATGACCCCAACACAGGGAGATCTGATCTTGGAGTGAGAATCTAACCGTGCTGATTGACGTACCGGAGGCCTTATCATCAACGCCAATATCAAAACGTATAGATAAGTCTCTAGCTGCGCTTTCTCACGCTTAATCGCCTTCAGTGCGTACCGGAGCCCTGCATTACAGTCCTTATAATCACCCGGCGGGCCTATGTGCGCAGTTTTGCGCCCATCTCCGACAATTACCATGACCACGAATCCGAAAGCTGAAAGACGTATGTAGAACTAGCCTCTGCACCCTTCCCATAGTGAACATGTGATCAGCGAAGGTCGGTACCACTCGAGGCCTATAGCTCAAGTCTCGCAGCTCTCGTGGAAATAATAGCAGCGATGATCGCTCCTCGGGCATCGTAATCGACCAATATAGCCACATGGATGCAGATATTGAGATGAACAGCTTTGGAGAGATATCCCGAGGAACGGAGAAGCAAGCTGATTCGGACAAAAGCGGGGTCGCTGCAGGTGACGGATGAAATGGCGACCCTTGTATGTCTTCCCGGTCCGACCAGTCATTAAGAATCGCCTTTTCCTTTGCCGTTAGGTAGAATTCAGAGGGGGAAACACCTCGTGCTATCAGAGTGAACCCTTCAAGTGTTGATGACTGTCAAGCTTGAACGCTAATACTCATCTGGCTAGCCGTTCCGGGTATTCGATCTGCATACCCGTAAGTCGATATGTGTTTCATATTACACTAGCACAATGCTAAATCTTCTCTACCAGTGATAATGTAGCCAATCTTAGCGAGCAAGCAGTCGTTGCTGCCTACCATCGACGCGGCGTGCCCTGTCCCGGATCGCGCAGAACCAGGCATCAACTAAGGGGAGCCTAAAATTGTCTCTAGTCGGAAGGATCCGCGTTCTACAAAATCACGACGTGCGCTCCGAACCCCATCCGGCAGCATCTTTCTGGGTATCGTCATCAATTGATAGGACTGCTTGCAATGCCTCAATTCCGAACGACGAAGATAGCCGGCTCTTATCGCTCCACCACGATTCCGCTTTTCTGGTTTGTCCAAGCCGACGATGAGCAAAGAAAGAACACCGGAAAGGCGCTTAACGAAATTGTGGACTATATCGTCAAACAAAAGCCACACTTCAAACGGAAGCATATCGTCAGTGTACCATGGCTGCGTAACTACGCTCCTTCTCTAGCTGATATATTCGTCACGGCGCGCGGATTCGAGATGGGTGAGGGGCACGTCCTGGGTATTGATGCGCAGAGTCTCGAAGACAAAACCTTGTTGGTCTTGCATTGTGTCAACGAGAAAGAGCCAGAAATTGGGCGTGTCGCTCGGGAGGACGCAATTGCCATGCATCTACGAGAGCAGCACCTTTTCAGATACACACTTGCTGAAGCTTTTGGTGAACGTCCATGGGCCAGGATTCCCGTCCCAATGAGAAATTCGGAGCCAGAAGTTGAGGACGACGACATCCGATATACTCTTCCATCGCATATACCGAGCGATACGAAGCTTGAAGAGGAGAATATCACCCTGTTCTCGCTAATCCAGTTGACGGACAAGGAGATCCTAGCGCTTAGGCAGGACATGAGCGACACAACAAACGAGATCACAATCTACAACTGGCCACACGACACTCCTGCCTCGCAAGCCGAGACGTACAACATATTTCAATGTGTAAAGCCTGACCGCGTCGCCCCTTGTGGGCAGACCTTCGTCATGTTCATCGACGCCACGCACATATCGGGACCAGAGCGTGCACCAGTCGTCGTGGTGGCCTGCGAGTCCAGGCCTGATGGTATCGAAGTGGAAGGGCGGTACTCCAAACAAGATCGTATGCGCTACGAGCATATCTATCTCCGAGCCGAGGAAGCAAAGGAAGTCAAACACCTTTGGCCTCTGATTTGGCATCCTCCAAATCGCGGATCCGTCAATGATGTTGTAGTCAACTATCCTCTCTTCTATGGGTCTAGCCATCGCTTCGTCAGTAATGTTCCTACGCCTGCACCTGACTGGAAAAGTCCGGTTACGCGTTATCAAGACGCCTTCATCGCAAAGCCAGGTGCCCCAATCTGGGCAACTGGGGCGAAATCTCCCAACTTCGTAGTTTACGTTGTCTGTCCGGTCACCTCGGAGGAGCTTCGATATTTGCGTAGCATTGTTCGGGAGGAGATTGGGGATGCGGTGCAGTTCCTCGAGCTTAACCTTGTTACCCGAGAACTCCGACCTGAGAGGGAAATAGATACGAGCAGTCAGGAGTCTTTCGATCACCCCTGCACCCCTTTAGATCCCCTCCTCGTCTTCTTCGACTCCCCAAAGTATCGTGCCATCGCCGATCCTCCTTCTACGTTCGTTTTCCTCGACAACAATGCACTTGATAACCTCCTCAATGGTGCTAAAAATGGCTCCGTGCCACTTGCACATAGTCATCATCACTTTCACCGTGCGGAAGGTGATACCGGAGGTTTGGTCGCGGTCGAGGAGCCAGCGTATCTCTATGCGGATATATCTATCGACGAGGGCCTGGAGTCCACGCTGGCGAATCTTGAAGTTGGGAACATGTGGTTCTGGGAATTAGCTGGGATGTATAGCGACAATATGGGTGTAGCATTTTGGCCTGAGTACAAAGGTAGTATGACGAGAGACATGCTGAACATTGAAGAGTTTTAGTGCAGAAGAAGCGAATGGTAAGATTTTCATGTCAGACACTAAGTAATTGAACAATCAGATCAAATCCATCTATTTCCAAGACAAGGTATCAACCTAGTACAACCCAATATTCGCAACGAACATTGGGTCCTTGAAACATTCTTCGAAGAACTTGTTCATAGACTTTCTGTTACGTTTGTGGCATTGGCTTCAACGGAGAGCTGCCGTAGCTGCGATGAAGCTGATGGGATTCCAATTTCAAATTGCCGCAACTTCATGTGTGATAGGTAGCAGTAAACAGACGATCTGAAACCAAGCCGTCACCAGCCTCTCGGTTATAACGATCGCTTTGCCGACATACACATCCGACCTGCACTTAAAAAACGTCTGTAGGCCGCAGCCTTGGATCCATCCCACAGTGGCCGACACAAACAGCGGGGCTTTGTGGCGCAGAGTCTCCCAGAACCAGACCCTCTCCCGTCAGTAGGCATTAACAGGTTGATTTGAAACTTTTGTAGCCTGTAATGAGTCTCTAAAGCCGTTACCTAACACTAGATACAATATAGCCGTCCTTCTCGTTCACACGAGAGCCAGTCCAGTGTTGGTGTCGGCTACTGTTTGCACATGTCACCAATCAGTGACAAGGAGGACGAAAGCGACAGTGTCAAGATAAAGGACGGTTGCTGAAGCACGCAGGACAAAGGTGTGTCTCCCTTCCTCCAGTTCGTGCTCCAACATCAACATCTACCACATTCATCCATGTCACTGCGCAATTCATTGTCGCGGGAGTAGTTCGGACTTTGTTGACCTTGAACGCGTGGCAATCGCGATTGTACGAGTCAAGGACAATTCCCATGCCTTCGAAGGGAATGAAGTAGGACGATGGCTCCAGTGTACCGCTCTAGTGACTACGGTCCACGCGTCCAATGAATCAAGAGAACGACGGGGCCTATGTCAGTAAACCGATTAACAAGGCATTAACATAATGTGTTCCGCCAGGATGATCGGTTCGAAGCCTAGGCAAGGCCTAGTTACACCCAATGCGACGCGAGCATGTCCATTTAACAGTCAGTGTTTGTACATTGTTAAGAAGCATAGATCACACAGGTTCATGGAACCGCAGACGAGGTAGAAAAAACAGCTTAAATTTGAACAAGAAACCCTGGATGCCGTTGGCGGGGTATATGAACATCCAGAGACCTCTCTACCATTACCAAGCGTTCAAATCTCCATGGATGCAGTCAACCACCTCATAATCAAGAATGCAATGCCACTCCACCACCACCCATTTAATGCAGATGCTTACAAGAACATAGCAGCGAAAGCACCGACACCGGCAACAAACCCAGCAACCTGGTTGCTGCTAGCAGCGCCCTCGAAGTAGCCGCTCGAAGGGACGGCGTAGCTGCCAGTGCCAGAAGGCGAGGCAGCGCCGGTACCAGCGGGAGCAGTGCCAGAGGGCTGGACCGCGGCGTAGGAGGACTGAACGGGAATGACGCCAGTGCCGCTGGGAGCCGGGACGGATGGGTAGGGAGCCTCGCCGGTGGGATAGGGAGGAAGAGTGGGAGCAGCGCTGGGGACGGAGGGAGCGCTAGGCGTGTGCACGCCGTAAGGGAGGGTGACAGTCTCGGTGACGGTCTGGACGGAGCACGTCTCAGCACCGGTGTCTGCAGAGTGTCAGTTGATGCTTCGCGATATATAGCAGACATAGAACTTACCGTAGCCCTGGGCAGCGACGGCAGCGACGAAAGCAGCGACAGCGAAGAACTTCATTTTGACTGAGTGTGGAGTTTGGAAGATGATCCGAAAACGGAGAATTAGAAGCTTAGTATAAAAGTAAGAGAGGATAAAGAGCGTGTGGTTGTCTTTGTTAAAGAGTGGCTAGTGTAAAGAACACTGTAATTATAGTAAGATGCTTTGATCAAGAGGATGGAGAAAAAAGGCACAGCAACTACGCGCGTTGTACCTCTTATATCTGACACAAAGATGAGCTGCAGAGCACGGTTGTCCCCTACACGGTAGGAAGATACACCATCCCACGCAGCTTGCGTGGTGCAATTTGCTCGCCCGGTCGAGACGCGCTGTATTCCCCACCGCACAATCAAATGGACGGGCGGATAACGAATCAGGCATCCAGAGATAGTGGAAATCACCGCGCAAGTGATGATCTGCTTGTACCTTGCACCGGTTGCGGGCTCATTGGACGGAGCAGCCTCGCCGCAACGGCACAGGAGCCGCAATGCAACTTGTGCAGGCGCTGTGCACACAGCCTCACCCATTCATCTCCAGTAACCCCTACGACAGACGGCCTACCCCCTCAAGATTGCACGGCAGACCCGCATGCGGCCCACCAAAGAGCGCGCATCCTCCCTTGCATTCCCCTTGCGCTAGTCTGAAACCCCCTTAGGCGGCACGTGACAGGCCCACCTCGACTGATCCCGAAACAGCGCAGAGGGATCGGAGAAATGAATGACAGGGTCGCAATCCGTCCCACAGATGACCAGGCGGAGATAATGACTTCGTTGGCACGGCTGGATAAAGAGCGCCGGGGAGAACAGCGCGTCATTGTCTCTGGAAATTGCGAATTTGAGCAACGCAACAATTTGTGCCGTACCGTGCGATTCACGCAGATACGCCGCCTCCGTGTGTGGCGAATATCAAGAACGCGTGTATTCGTATCTTAGCCCTTTCCTTTCCTTTGCATCCATTGACACGTATTGATTTGCGAACGTGTCTTGGGGCTTCGCCTCGATGAAAATGCTCAATGACGACGTTGCTGGACAACACGCGGTCAGAGTGGGCTCTGGCAGGGGTATTCGGAAGTTTGTTCACGATCGCCGGCAGAGCCGCGTGGTTGAAACGACGACTTCGTGTTCGCCAATCTAATCTAGCGGGCATGTCATTTTGTGCACGCTGAAACGCGAGGCCACTCTCCGCAAAACATCGCACCTCTCTGCGAAACACATCCCTACCCCGAATAAATGACGTATCGTGCGATTGAGGGCAGAATAATTAGTGACCATGTGCAAAGATGAAGCCATCTTGGAATAGCTTGAAGCTCAAGTCGAAATTTGAGATGGACTTGCCAGAACTCTCTAGCTGCAATCGGATATAGCAATGGTTCCGTTTATCGTCAACGCCCTCCAACGCCGAGCTCAAATCGCAATCAGTCCTTCCTACAATACTTCTCTCAAGGAAACTATTTGACTTGCGACATGATTGTTTCGTACTGTTGCCCGGGGTCAACAGTCATCTCCGCCGCCTTCGCTTTGACGGCATTCAACATGCTGCGCTCAAAGTCGTCTCTGGCCCTGAGAACCGCTTCGACCCAGCCGATATGCAAGTCTGGGTAGCCGTTCTTGAACTGCTCGTACACATTCGGGATCCTAGACTTGTCTTCGGAAAGTAAGAGCACGAACATTTGGATGACGCGCCACTTCTCCTTGACTTCTGGTCCGCACTCGTACCGATTGAAGAATTCAAAAGCGGTGAAGAGGTCATCCTTGATCTTCTCAGAGAACGGATCGGCACGCTTGAATTTCGCGCCTTTGTTGCGGACTGCAGAAAGGTAGTGGATCAACAACTGATCTGCAAGTGACATGACAAGTAGCTCAAAAATGGCGCGATGGACGGCGTTCTCGTAGTCGCTCATGTAATCTGCAAAGGTGATGACCATTTGCTCCATGTCTCTTGAGCTGTACCAGTCCGCTGTGAACATGTTTTTAAGGGTGTCGCGGAAGTCGACGTAGAAGATCATTTGACACCATGCTTGGATGAATTCGGATGCGACGTCGACGTAGCTGTCCTTGAGGTTGTTGATTTGCTCTGTTAACGTCGGAGCGTAGGCGGCCGAAACAAGAGGGGTAACATCCCGCTCAAAGTTACCCAAGAAAGACGTTTGGGATTCGTCGGATTCATCGATGCAAATAATCTGGTCGTTTGCAATCGCAATGAGCCATTCCTGGAACTCACTGGAGCCCTCGGTGGAAGAAGTGGGTGAAGAATACTTCGCTTTCTCGGCTGCCACTAGCGACTGCCACATACGCTGTCGAGAGGACAGGGCCCGGAACATGGACTCAATGACTCCTTCAGCCACGTCTGTTCGGTCGCTGTTTTGTGCAATGCCGAGGTTCTGCCCCAACATCGTCCACATATCTGCCAAAGTCTTCGTTTGTAGGTAACCGTCGACGTTCTGGCTGATGTCGCTCTGATCTCTTTCTGCGAATTGTTTCTTTTCTGTATTGGCGATGTTGTTCATCCATTCTTCGACTCTGTCGATAATAATTTGCCGGTAATTTCGTACTAATTCAGGCACGCGGTTGTCGACCACGTGTGGTTGAAGGTCGTCTTCGGCGAAGCCTAGTTTCTGCATCTTGGCGTAGTACTTATCGACCCAGTTGATAATGGCAAGTAGGTACTGTGGTCCCAAACCCTCGTCATCTGCGATCCCTAAGAGCCAGTCGTGCATGTTCTTGTGGTAGATACTGCCGTAGGTCTTGAAAATCTTCCACTTTTTAGGCATCAAGTTCACCATGCCAAGTTTCACCACGTTGAGGTTGTTGAAGTACCATTTGAAGTATTTATCGACCTTTTCTGGATCGTCCAGGAACTTCCCATTCGCATCTTCGAAATTGGTTTTGCACACGAATTCGATCGACTTTGTGAATTTCTCCTTGTATCCGCGTAGCTCGGTGGAGCCGGCGGCAATCGACTTGAATCGCGAGGCCAAGTCCTTATACTCGCGTTGAGCATCCTGCAGTGCTTTGGCCTTCTTATCCGACTTCTCCTCCTCTTCGATGATCAATGCCAGCCTGACCACCATTCCGTCATTGCCGGACTGGACCAGCTCAATGAGATTAACGCAAGCTTCGCCAATATGGGTATCGAACCATTCAATAACATCGTCTAACCGGCTGAAGAGATCTTGCACTGTCACACCCGATTCCAGCGTCAAGTTGTCAATCAGTTCGGTCGAGGCGTCTTCGGAAGCTTTGATTTGTCTTATGGCATCATCCCTCACTTCACGCAATTGCGTAAGACCGTAGTGCACCTCTAGCAGATTAGGTTGGTTGGCGGGGTCTTCATCGTCTTGACCGAGCAAGTACTCGAGGTTCCCTATACGCTGCTGGAAAGTATCGATATCGCGCTTCATCTTCTCAACCTGTTCGAAGTTCTTATGCGTCTGGGCCACAAGGTTGATATGCGGGAAGTCCTGGATCATGTTGTGCGACTCGGCACACAGCTTGTCTATCTTCATCATCTCCTCCTTGATCAAATTCACCGCGCGCTGGCCCTCGGTGATACTGCTCATGCCTGCCTGCGTCACCTCGAGCTGCTCGCGCAGCCCGACGCGCAGCTGGCCATCGACGGCGGCCTTCTTGCGCGTGAACTCGGCCTTCAGGGCGGGGATCTTATCGAGGTCCTCGGGGTGCCGGAGTAGCTCGGCGAGCTTGGCCGCCGCAGATTCAACATCGCTCATGGTTCTGCTGCGAGTTCGGATTTTTGAAGTGTGCCCATAATCGGGCGAGTTGTGCTGTTCGAGGGGTGAGAGTCTCCTGTAACAGCTGCGGCGGGAGTCCGCGCTACTGCCAAGTCGCACGCCTTCCGCCGCTTTTGTTCCTCCCCGCAAACGCCACCAAGACTCACAGTTTGCACACATCCACACACATCCACACACACAGCCAACATGGCGGACGAGGAAGTCAACCTATACGACGAGATCGAAATCGAAGATTGTTTCTACGACGAGACCCTACAGATATATCACCACCCGTGCCCCTGCGGCGACCGCTTCGAGATTTCGATAGCGGACATGCGCGACGGCGAAGACATTGCGCGATGTCCCAGCTGCAGTCTGATGATTCGGATAATATTCGATCCAGTATGTTTGCCTCTTCTAATCCTAACGACGCACATTCTGATCCTGGTCGCAGTCAGATCTCCCACCAGAATCCAAGGACGACGCTTCGCAGGCGATTGCCATACCCGCTTGATCGTGCGTGCAAATTGTTACCCAACGACCCCATATCTTCGACACCTTGACGGTACTATTGTATACCCACCTATCCCGCGAACCCTTTCAAGAGTATGTTCACGAGGTATTCATTTTTCTGCATATAACGGCGGTGCATAACGAGGCGTTCGGATTGATTCGATAGAAAATAGACATCAATAGTTCACATATGCAACAAGATCCACTGAGTGCCTGTCAATAGTTCCGGTATACTGTGATGCCCAACCTTGGGACTGAGGACTATAAGTATAAGCTGACAGTTAGTCAGTCACATGTACAAACCATGGAACAAGTCCATAAAAAGACCAATAGATATGTGAGCCGAATACTTACTACATCCCACAATCTTGCGTAGTTCGGCTGGATCGCTATACTTGCGATATATAGCGCTGAATCAAGACGCTTCCAATATTTAACATATATGCATACACTTCCGTTCCCTTTCCCACATTGTGGAAATCGCAGAATGATCAGCGCGGAGCGCTGTCATCCTTTCCGAGGGCTACACCCAATTCCTGGCGCACCAGATCCGTGAGCGATGTGCCATCGCGCAGATAGATCCAGTCCCCAGCGCCGCCTCCTTCTTTCTGATGCATTGACTCTCCCAACACTACCCAGTCGAATCGTTTCGGCCCGGACACGGGTGAGCTCCACCAGATTTGCTTGTTCGGGGGTTGCTTGTTCAACACGTATTCGTGGCCTCGGGACTGGATCTTGACGTGAAGTACGCCAGCCTGGTGTCCAAATATCAGTTTTGGCCTTGACATTAACGAGGTCAACCAAACGTACCGAGTACTCTACGTCATAGTCAGGGGTTTCCTCCTGCTTCGCCTCCAGCTCACTCAACAGCTCTTCCAGGTACTCGTCGGCGCGCTCATGGAACTCAGAAGTGGAGACGTCGGTGGGAACGGTAGGCGTCTCGGAGTCCTCAATTTTGGGTGGCGCCGGGTTTTCCGACTCGGGCATGATACCCTTGAGAGCCATTGACGAGTGGAAGCTCCGAATTGCGTGGCTCGCGCCGCCATTTCTCACCGCTGCGACAGGAGCTTTAGCGATGACGCCATTGGCGGACGTCTGGGCGCGGAGAGGAGTGCGAGCTGCACGGCGGAGGGCAATGTGCCCGGCTCTTGATAGCGACTTCATAGTTGGTGATGGAGTTTGTGGAGAAAAGCTTAGTGTTGAGATATAGAATAGAAGTGGTTGGTGGGCGACGGGAGGAGAGCTTACACTTTAAGGAAGCTCGGGCCAGAAGGCGCTTGCCAATGATGAACCCCCGCACAACTCCGCAGACGCGCCGACCTCGTGAGACTGCCGTGAGCATCCAGCCATGATAAATGCAGTGCTGGTCTTCAACAATGCCGGGCAGCCTCGGTTGACGAAGTTCTACACGCAGCTGGTATGCATGCAACTTTTTCATACGGAATGCAAAGCTAACACTGTACAGGAAACGAGCGTCCAGCAGCGACTAATATCAGAGATATTCACCCTCGTCGCAAACCGCCCAAATTCAGCATGTAACTTCCTTCCGTACTTACTACACTGCCCCTACCATTCTATCACTAACACCCACCAGCCTACCACCTCTCCTCGCAAACAGCAGCAAATCCTCCACCCCCACCACCCCACACAACGACACGCCCTCTCTCGTAACCTACCGCCACTACGCAACCCTCTACTTCATCATCATATCCACCTCGACCGAGTCGCCCCTCGCACTCCTCGACCTCATACAAGTCTTCGTCCAAGCCCTCGATGGCCTCTTCGAAAATGTTTGCGAGCTCGATCTCATCTTTAATTTTGAGACGTTGCATGCGGCGCTCGCGGAGATGATCGTGGGGGGTGTGGTGGTGGAGACGCAGTTGGATAAGGTGATTGAGGGGGTGAGGAGTCAGGGACAGTGGCGAAGAGGCCGGTAAATGAGGGAAGGTGGGGATGGGGTTTGCAGGGTTTGGGAGGGAGATGGGAGTGTATGGACGGGGAGATGAGGAAGTGCACAGTCGTACTTCTTTCATACCCTGTGTGCATAATTGTATAAGCTTGGAGGATGGTGGAAGAAGTTTGCGAAAGCAGGCATTCAATGTGGGCATATGAACGGATCTTCGCCGGGCCAGTCTTACTGACAAGGCATACCTGCGTACGGTAGGATGAGGTGCAAGAGTACACGGTAGAGCAATCACCCAAGTGACAAATGGCGGGGGTTTTTCGGTGCGTGAATATGACACCAACGAACATGATACGACGTTTCGAAGCGAATCACCTCCAGCACAACCTAACGCATCGTTCACTTGAGTCACTGATGACACGGTGAGCTCGACGAGTGAGCGCCATGTACGAAGAGCGCTAGATTGGCTCTTGCACATAGCAAGCAGTGTTGTTCCACAGCGAGAGTCCAATGACATGCACGAAACGCATGTCGAAATTCACGTATACTTAGGTCAAGGCAGCTTGAGCGACTTCATAGTGCCGACACGGGTTCGCAACCTAGCCAACGGTTCATCGTCTCTACTTCCCGCTGCACAAGAAAGGGATCCATATACACGTCTCACGCCGATGGTACCCAGCTCACCACGCAATCTCGCCATCTTAACAGCCTTCTACTATACCCACCATGCCATGCGCCAATTGGCTGCGCGATCACTTCCCAGCGTAATCGCGCGACTACCAAAACGTGACTGCAGGAACACCGAAACCCCCCCTCTATACCACTCACAACTATGCATGCCATGATAAAGACGAATTTCCGGACGAGTTCTGGGGGAATTGTCGCAATTGGCTTGTAAAAATAACACAGAAGGGATACATGCGACGAGACGTCACGTTGGATGGGTCAACCAGTCGGAATCGCTCACGAATATGGTCATGGAATTGGCCAGATCAAACGCTGCACGCTCGCTTACCCGCACCTCCACACGGCATCCTCTCGCTTCGACAGCGCAAGTGGAACTTCCGGCTCGCTTGCGCAACTGACACTTGCACCGCCACAAGCCCACCCAATCATGCTCCTCTACAACATTGCCCTGCGCCTACACACATGCCGATTCGCGAATTCTCCATGCGAGCAGTGTGGCTAGTGAGGGGCAATCCACCAAAATCCCATGCTGCGCACCGAGGAAAAGAGACCCTGATCGGCGCGATCAGCATTGACACTCCCCGTTGCGGCAGTGGGCTGTGAGGCCTGCGGTGGCGGAAAGCAGCGTTGATCGCGTGGGAAATGGTAGCGACTTGCGTGTATAGACAAGGGTCGTTTTCTTGGAATATATGGATGGCGGTGGCCACCTGCATTGCCAGGCCCGTCACTTGCGTGTACTGAGAAATGGCTTCATAGCGCTGAAGAGCAGCCGAAGCTCATCCGTCTACTTTTTGTTTTGTTACAAACACATTCGCTACATGCACTCGCTAATGAAGGTGGTTGTGGGAAGCGCGGTCGTGGGAGGTGTGAAGAGCGCTGTCCCGAGGCCTCGCATCACACCCGCGCCCAGTGCTGAGTTGTTGGTCGAGAGGCAAGATCCTGATGCGTAAGTCACACCCAGCTCATCTCATCTGCTTCAAAATGCACAACGAGAAAGGACTGACATTGGGACCAGCATTTCGCTCGCTCAAGTACTGCTCACTGCCGTTCCCGAATCTCTACGCCAGATTGCTGCTACCAATCTACCCGCCGTCTCGAGCATTCTTTGGGAAGAATTCCTCGACGACAAAAGGCCCGAGTGGTTTGAAGAGCTGCCATGGGAGGTTCAGAGTTATCTGATAAGGAAGTTTGGACCACAGACTGCGTGGCCGACCGAGGCGCCGACGAGTGGGGGGTTTGGCGCATCGGATGGCTTCACTGCAACTGTCATTGTGACAGCATCAAGCGACCGAACAAGCGAGCCGACTAGGCCTGCGACTTCGTTTACGACTTCATATACGAGCGGTTCCTCACAAGCCCCCGTGTCAGAGTCATCTGCATCGCCGTCGCGAACCATCTCCTCATCGATAAACCTCGCTGAACCATCCGAAACATCCACTCCATCACCTACAACCGAACCAGAAGCCCCCGCATCCTCCAACAATGGCTTGTCCAGAGACCAAAAGATCGGGCTCGGCGTGGGCATTCCCTTCGGTCTCCTCGGCGCTGCAGCTCTCTTCTTGGCATGCTGTATGCTCTGCCGCCGTCGCAAGAAGAAGCACGTTGAAGGCTCCATCCCACCAGCATCTCCCGGTTTTATCCCCCGCTTCGCCTTCCAAGACAGATCCCATGATGGTGAGCACCGCACGTCGTTGATCCGACACACGAATCGATCTACCCCAGACGTCGGCGCGGCTTGGGACGACGAGGGTGTAGATCCGACACAAAGCATGACGGCACAGAATCCATATGCATGGAACGATCTTGGAGCATACAACCACACCAACACACCTGCCCAGGCCCCGCCCGCCGCGACCTCAGCGTACTCAGCGCTGGACAACGGTATCGAGGAGACCAACTACTCCAACGTCCCAGTCATGATGATGCACGACCCGAAGCCAGTCATGGCGCCCGCACTATACCACACGCATTCCTCGAACCGAGCACGAGGAAAACGAACAAGCTACACGAGCCTGCACTCCGTAGCAGAAATCTCTGAACCTGACGAAACGCTCGAGTCGCCGGTCTTAGGCCGAAACATCTCGCCCAACCACAGCCCGGCAAGGAACTTGATGCCCACACCACCTGTACCTGCTGATGCGCAGATCAGGCGGAAACCGTTGCCTTCGAGCCCGCCTCTTCCGCCGCTCCCAAACGCTCCTTCACCTGTAGCAACGAGCCCCGCGGCACAAGCAGCATCTCACAAATTGCTGCGGCAGACAATGCCCGAGCACAGTGGGAGCAGCTCTAGCGGTCTAGCATTAACCACATCCAGCGGCCTGAGCAGCAGCTCCAGTCTCGCTATCCACGCTGAGGCGATATCGCCTATATCGCCTGTTTCAAACCGCGCGACTAGCAACCCCTTCCACTACGATTCGTACGTCGAAGACTACGGCCCGGAGTACCAGTACGGCTATGTCGACGTTGATGACGGCCTGTACGGCGGGAATACCTCCCTCTCCCAGTATCCTGAGCCAAGGCGGAAGAACTCGAAGACGGAGTGGCCGTTGAGGAATATTGTAGGAGGGCAGCAGAGGAGGAGGAGTAGCCCGATCTGGGAGAAGATTTATGAGGAGTGAGAGTTAGTGAGGAGGATTTTCTAACTATGATGACAGGGAAAAACATGAATTTCATTTGTACAAGCACACACACGATACCACATGGCATTTGGGATGGCGTTGGAATGTTGAGATACCATACGCACGTTCCTTGTATATATTTCATACAGCATGAGAAGGAGATGGAAGTAAGCGATAGGTCGCTTGGAATAAAGGTACACCAGCACCGGTACTAGGTAGTAAAAACCTACATGAATGATTCAATCGGTCCTGAGAATAGCGTTGAGTATACTGCCGAGCACGCCACGTACGCGCTCCGAGTCGTCTTGGGCTGCCGTAAGCACGATGGCGGCGCTCAACGCGAAGGTGTAATGCTCTTTCCACTGGTGTTCAGGAAGGTAGCGACGGGGGAACCATGTTGCCGCTGCTCTGGGTAAGACGAAGAACAAGATCTCGAGCTGTTTTCGTGACTGCTCCAATAGGATGCTTGTTCCACAAAGAAGACAACCGCCCAAAACGCATAGCCCTGAATCCCACATTTGGGGTGTAACTGTCTTTGACGAGAACAACTTCGGGCCGAGACGTGTCCGAGAGAGGCATACTCCATAGTAGAAGAGGGCGATGAACGCTCCGAGAAACGCCGAGCTTCGGGACGCATCGACTAGGGCTTTGCTCACGACTGATCGAGTCAGCCCTACAAGGCGATCTCCCGGTCGACCGGTCTTCTTCACATGCCGAGCAAGGACAATGAGCTGCAGGGGTGCGTACATCCGAACTGCGAATACGCACCCCCTCCAGAATCGGCTCAAGGCATGCTTCTCGCAACTCGTACCACAGCCCATGTGGACAAGTTCACACGAGATGGGGATCGTCTTCGCAGGATCGCCGAGCTCTTCCGGTAGTCCGTAGTCATGACACATGGAGCCGAGTAGAGCTGCCATACCCGTGTCTTTACCGTAGACCCATATCCCGTACCTAATCAGTCAGCAACGCTCAAATCCCAGTGCCGTGCCAAAGACTGAGTGCGCCATATTGCCCTGGCATAGGTCATGCAGGAGCCGGCAGCACGTGGGTCTCTGGATTAACACTACGTACCGGTAGTCTGTTCCACGTACCTTGCATGGCGCAACGCGAGCAGAAGGCGATGGTCAAGCTCAGCGGCTGCAGAAATCCACCGGTTGTAAGTCTGAGGAAGGCGACTAGGGCTGTAGAACCAGGCATGCATGATAGTAGCAGCGGAGAAGCAGAACAATGCAGTAGGTGTGCTACGTGAAACGACTTCTTTAGCACTGCTCGAGGGTAGTCTACTATATATTTGACTAATTAGTACGTCGGCCGCTCGAATAGCAGCAAAAAGTGTCAAATCCATGGTCTTGCCCGCAAGATCTGTTCGAGACAATGACTTTGCATCGAGTGTGGAATCGTCCAGTTCCCTCGAGCCGAGCTCGGGAGGCTCGTCGAAGGGACCAGGTTGGACAATGTCTAGGTGACTGGGAGGAGCCAGGTCGAAGGAAACATTGTGTGGCCGGCTATTGAGCAAGTTGAAGGCCACGGACGCAGAGACAAGCGCAGCAGTGAAGTTGACCAGCAGTCTGGTGTATCGGTCACCAAGTCCACGCAAGCTGCCAATTTGCAATGCCAGTGTTCTGAGAGGTACCGACAGCAGGGTCGAGCCGCCAATGAGCGTAGCGCAGAATGCGGGAAACCGATTAGGCGACAGTGCCCGACGCAAAATGCTTACAATCTACGCGTTGTCCATTGGTATGTGTAGGGACATGGTGGACAACGGATCTTACCTGGAGCCATGCTGCTCGAAGGGTCAGCTTTCTCTTCGCCAAGAGCAACAGCAACCGTACTAGGCGAGGTCCGATGGAGGAGAGTAAACCGAGCACGTAGGCGGTAGCAAGCCTGCGGCGTGTCAGCTGGGGGACGCGGCTACCATGGGCTGGTCACGCGACTCACGGTTTCGCAAGTCTGCTGCGTCCTGCGTGTTTCGTCATGGTGCAGGGAAGATGTTAGGGCCAACGACGCGACCATTATTGTACCTGCCAGGGCAGGGCAGGAGCAACCGCGGGGAGATGAGCGTGACTTGGACCTCGGCGCACTAGACGCGTTTCCGCCCTGTGTTTGGTGGGGGAGTTCAGCTACCCCGGATTTGATGCGCTGCGGGTGGGGAGTGGGAATTAGGTTTCATGCGTGGCTGGGGACCTGATCATCAGGACGGAGCAGCTGCCCTTTTGGAACGGCCGCAACGTACACCGGGAGCCACCTGGCAGCGCGGATAGGGGCACACTCGGAGGGAACAGGCAGAGCAGAGACGGAACCAGGGCGACCGAGTGCAGAAGACTGGACTTCGGCCGACGAGGCTCTGCGCAGGGAATGGAAACAGAGGTCGAATTAGAGGTGTGGAGTGAATGGCTCGGGCTTGGCAGTGACGCACGGCAGCCGCGCCCGAAGCCAAGCCTCTCCAACGGTTCGGGCCCTCGACCGCGTTCACATGTGACAGCGAGCTCCTGGGTCCTCAACAAGAAGTACGTTTGCGGTGCGCGCAGTCGCCCTCAGCTCGACCAGACCGATTACACGTCGATAGCAGCTGCTCCACTGCGACCCAGCGCTGTCCCGACCCGGACTCCCAACTGCATTCCTTGCCCGCAGCCCGTCACACCCGCCTTCAACACTTGGTCGCCCACGCCCGCGGTTTCGCTCACCACATACCAGACACCTCCACACGCGGGCCCCGCAACACCACGACCCTGTTCCTGGCGACCGCGCCAGACCATGTTGAAGGCCGCCTCGAGCCTTTGCGACGGCGTCCCCGTACCGTGACAAGCTGGAGACCATAGGCGTTGGGCCGCACGGCGGGCTGGTGGGAGCTGGGAAAAGGGCCCTCTCGCGCGCAGCCATGGACGAAAAGGACCCGTCGCCCTTCGGCTGTATGTGATTATCTTCCGCTCCCGTAGAGCCTCTCTAATCATGTATAGACACGTTTTCAGCAGATTTCTTCGGTAACTCGAATGGCGACTTCGTCGACAATGGAGGTCCTTCGTTGCTGAGCGACATGGAAGCCCAGCAACTGGACAGTTTCTTCTCGCATGCAAACCCCTTCGGGTCCGACGCGGCTCCGTCAACCTTCACCTTCCCTTCAGAAACGCCCGATCTTCTCGATAACTTCTCTGGCTGGTCCGCAGTACCGCCAGCAACTATACATAATATTTCAACCACCATACCCGATCAAGCTCTGCTTCACGGCTTCCATGCCGAGCAGAACTTCACTCCTACACAGCACACCAACCATTTCGCCAGCACCGCCGACGATCTGCAGGCCGCGTCAACCCTCTATGCTCAAGCGCACATACCCCAATCTCTGCCTCTGTACCAGCACCAGCCGAATGGCCGGTCTCATAGTTTCCACGGCGTTCCTTCCCCGAACACACATACCAATGGCTACGGGGCTAATGGCCTTTCTCATGGCATGCCTCTTGTCGCTACCCCTGCGACATCGAATGGCTTAATGCATGAGCAACTGGCTGCGTTGTTGCCCCATCACGATGTTCCAGGTTCCATCGACAACACAATCACAACACAGCTCGCCAACAGCACTGCACGGGCGGCTCACGAGGCTGAGCTCCGAGAACGTACCCGACCTTCTCTGAAGAGAGCATATACGTATGGGACTGATAGTTCGTTCAACGAGACTGGATTCCAGCCATCGTCGAAACACGAGAGCGAGGAAGTTGTGACCAAACGGTTGATCAGAGAGCTGCATCATGCGCAGCCACTGGCTAGACCGGCCCCTGTCGGTACTAATGGTGCCATCATGCAATCACCTACAGGTCACATCCACATTCCACCTTCCGCCGGTGACTCGGAGAGTAATGAGGAAGGTGCGTCGGATGAATCATCCGCAGATGACGATGAGGAGAAGCGAATGAAGAAACGACGGAAACGGCCACAACCTGCGACAAATGGCAAGCGGAAGAGCGTATCAGGCGCCGTTTCGAGCAAGAATCGCAAGATGTCCATTGACGATCGGGCTAAGAAGCCCAGACGGAAATCCATGGCCGGTTCAAAATCTCAACGTGAGAACTTGACCGAAGAACAGAAGCGCAGCAATCACATTCTGTCAGAACAGAAACGACGAAATCTTATCAAGCGTGGGTTTGACGACTTGCACGATCTAGTCCCTGAGATCCGAAATGGAGGTCTCAGCAAAAGCGGTGTTCTTACAGAGGCTGCCAACTTTTTGCAGCTCCTCATCGATGATAATAAGCGATATTCTGCGCTACTCGGTGCAGATGGATGAGCGCAGGGAGCTTGGGAAATCTAGACATTCATTGTCCTGCCCTCCTATCCCAACCGGCGCTTTGGAAGTGCGTCAGCCAAGTCCATCCCTCCCTAATCTACCGCTCGACGTCGGATCTCCGCCAAGACGAGTGCCGAGGAGCATTCCTGTGACGCAATCCACCTTGGGCTGTATTGTTGTTATGATCTGTGCTATTTGCGATTGTCTATGTCAGTCACAATGGTGTAAGCGCAGAGCGTCGACATTTGACTTATGTCATCGCCAGGGCAGGCTGTGAAGCTCGGCATTCTGAGTACGAAGCTGTACATGCTAAACGATACCCCTCACGAAGCAAGTGTAATAAAGACAAATAGCTTGTTGGAGGATGCCTTTCAGTAGTGCTATTGATAGGGGCAATAATGCATGGAAAAGTAATTTTTTGTCTAGATGATACCTGCACTTGTCTATGCGATGTGTTGTATATAAGATAGGGTGATCTAGATGCGGACCAGAAGGTATCCGTAAGGCCCAATGTGAGCTTGTTGCCTGGTTCCTATCATCCAACATCGTTCCTCTACAGTTCAAAGCACATCATACTTAGGATTTGAAAAATTACCCGGTCTGTTCCCATAGTGGAGAAGTCATTCTAACACAACGGTCTGGTAAAAGTAGGACAGAGGACGACGCTGGAATATGTGCGCGGTGATACGGATCATCGCAGACAACGACGTGCTCTAAGTTATGCGTTTTATCACCAAACGCTCATGGATCAGGAATCTATTGTACAAGAGTACATAAGCAAGGTCGTCTCAGGCCTCCGGAAATTCGCAAAAGATAGAAAAGATGTTACCTTGACGAAGGCAAATACCAGGAGGGGGCAGACATGCTCTCTATTATGGTCAAAGACGGCACGCCGATCCAGTTCTCGTAGTGCATCGCCGGAATTGGGCTCGCTAGGATCCTTGGACTCGAAAACTCGGTGGCGTACACACCTTGGCGAAAGTGTTGAAGAGGCCCCGGGGCTGAGCATGCAGGACGTTTACCACCAGGATTTCAACTGGTATAGACTGAGGCAGAAGGATAAAGGTTTTGATTTGAGCCAGAATGAGATTATTGCCAATGCGGGGTTTTTTCATTGTGGCGGGGAGTAAGACCGACGGCGAAGGCGCTGTCCGGGCTCAAAACCAGACTCATCTGAATCCAAGGTTCGAAAAATTGATAGATGGATACGAAGTACTTTCCCCAAAGAAGCGGCAGTAAATTACCAAGCTACCACTGCGTTGCCGTATTTCAACGCCTACATCGAAGAGATACTATGTGTACATCGGTCGGTACCAGACGGGCCTCCGAGAATATTCCTACCAAGAGATGAAACTGTAGATGACATCTGGATCCCCAGAGGCATGACCATTTCTATAGGTCAATGGTTTGCGTGCCACAATGCTGCGCATTTCAAGCAACCAGACGAATCCCTACCCGAGCGATGGATCGATTCATCGTATGGTGACGAAAGTAAGAAAAGTGGTGCAGTGGTGTTTAATGGTGCTGAGAAATTGCTTGGAGAGGAACCTGGCGGGGTATAGAGATGCGTTTGGTGGCGGCACGGTGATGGAATTTTGATATTGAGGATGTGGATAGGGTAATTGGTGGAATCCGGTAGGGGAGGTAGATTGTAGGGGGCGTTCAAGGTTTGCGAGCAACAGCCTTTGATGTTGCAGCTAAGGGACATACGCAGAGGTTGATCTTTCCCACGGATGGCGCCTATAAGCACGATGCTTGCAGTTTCCGTCGCTTCTAGTTTCGGACGTTGTTTCGATCTGCTCCGGATTCTCGTAACTCGGGTGACATATACCTCCCCTCCTGTGTTCATAGTCCGGACTACGAAGCCTCAATTGTCCTCGTGTGTACTCGCCCTCCTTTCGACATAGACCCAGTTCCCCTCTTCAGTCTTCTTCCAGTGACAAGCATATATCCTCCTCCTCGTCACCTCATCATCCTCCACAATCAAGGGCAGATACCATTCACCCCACTCCTGATCCCACACCCATTCTACCCACGATCCAAGCGTTGCCAAACTTTCTTCCACACTTTTATGACCTTGCGCTACTATCTGCCACTCACTCGCATCGTCCCTCAGCTCCCACTCAGTCAAGTAGACATGGATCCTCGATGTTGGATCCTCGTAGTACCATTCAGACCACTGAAAGTCCCACTCCCACCTTTGCTTCGAAAAAGCGTCGTGCGGGGTCTTCGCTCGCTGAGGAAACCTTGGGATATCAATGGCACTTTCCAGGAGATGTATGGCATCGTCCAAGTCACTTAGATCGATCAAAAGAAAAGGATCCGGGCTAAAATATGGCGGTACACGCCATTGTCTGCGTTGCTTCAGTTGTTGCTCGAAGGAGGCAAGTTGCGCTTCGAGGGCATTGAGACTGGCGCATGTGGCTAAAGAGGTTGTTGCCTGCCCTGTTTGTGGAGCAAATGACTCCGTAGTATGCTGAGTTGGATATTCGCTGTTTTTGATTTCTAGGAATTTATACTGTGACGGATGCTCCTGAGAAGATTTGTAGGCGTGGATGCTGGTTTGTAATTGGATAATTGCGCCTGTGAGTCTGCTCCAAGCGGCATCTAGAGTCCCGGGCATGGTGGCCGGTATCCGTGCGCTGATATATGGTATAGACTGAAAAGAACTTGTATGGAGTGATCTACTTATTATACCTTCTACATGCACGTTAGAGGACGGTGTAGACGGTGGCGGAAAGTGCGGCGATGTGGCTTAGTCAGTGCTGATCTAGATAATCACAGTGCGCGCTCGACGGCGTGAGTCATCAAGATTGGTAAATAGTAGTCTTGGAGACACCAAAATATTGATCGACCTGTATCCGCGACAGTTATCGATGCTTTTCTGTGTGCACTTCTCAACTCACCAAATACTCGAGTACTCACCACCATTACAGAATGGCCGAAAGCGGAGATAGCAAAGCTATAAACAAACCCGAAATAATTGTACGGCCAGCCACAGATTCGGATATCCCCAGTATCGGCACCATCGGCGCTTACTACGTACTAAATACCGTCTCGACCTTCAGATATACCCCAGCAACGAACGAGGAGCTGTTGCAAGGTTTTCGTAACATTAATCAAGATCGTTTACCATACCTCGTTGCAACCGAGCAAGCTTCTGGTGCGATCCTCGGTTATTGCTACGCGTCTAGATTCAGGTCCTCCAAGATCGGTTACAGGCATACATTCGAGCTGAGCATATACTGCAACCCTGAACATGTATCAAAGGGCATTGGAGGTCGACTTCTAAAAGAGCTCCTACATGTTCTTAAAGAGACCAAGAAAGATGCAGGAGACGGTTCAGAAGAAGAAAAAGTTGAAGTGAGGAGCTTGATTGCATGCATGGCAGTGGATGAATCTGCGCCCGATGAGGGTATGGCATTGAAGCGATTCTATGAGCGGTTCGGCTTTGAACAAGCTGGGCGTTTAAAAGGAGTGGGCTACAAGTTTGGACGATGGTAAATCTCCATACTCAGTTTGACGTATCTTGGGCCGGACGTAAGCTGACACATGCATCAGGATTGACACGATTTACATGCAGCTTATCCTGTAAAACAAGCGACTCTACCAGGCTGCGCTACGACGCCAGTCTATATTGTAGCCTGATGAGCGCGTCGAAACTAGGAACCTTGGAATAGTTAATATTCCTCGATACAGAGACGTGAACCTCACACTCGCCTTGTGACAACTTAACCAGCAACAGCCGGGCTTTCATCGGTGACATATGCTTCCAACGTTTGAGATCAATCTGTAACGGGCCACGCAGATAATATGTACGTGTTTGCCAGACTTGGGTACATCGGATTATGTTGTTGTGTGCATGCAAAGGCAGGTGGTAGGAATCGTGGGCCTGTTCGTCATTTAAGTGGATGCTTTTTCGAACAACATTGAAGTGTGATTGTGCGTGGCTCGGCTGTAAATATCGATCCTCGTTCCGACGGTAAGAGGACGTCAAAATTTGCGATTCGCGGCAGATAGGATGACTAGAAGACCATGCGACGCCGCAAGTACATACGCACTCGATTACATGTTTCAGTTGGAGAGCAGGTGATAAGGAAGTCTGCGCGCACCGCTCCTTCCGCGCTGCACCGGCACGGCAAAACTATCTTCCAGCCCACATTTCGCCCTCGCTTAGAGCAGCACCAGCTTGGCGCCGCAACCTCAAAATAGTTGACCCTCAGTCCCGCTCACCACTTTCCACCCCGAAACACAACCACCACAACCGCCAAAATGACCAAGCGCACGAAGAAGGTCGGCATCACCGGAAAGTACGGAACGCGCTACGGTGCTTCCCTGCGAAAGCAGGTCAAGAAGATGGAAGTGAGTGCTGCTGCACCGCGAGAATGAGGGAGAACGATGGCTGACGGCAATTGTGATAGATCACCCAGCACGCCCGGTACACATGCCAGTTCTGCGGAAAGAACGCTGTCAAGCGTGAGGCCGTTGGTACGTTACAATGAGGTCGGCTTTGGATGCGGCGGGGCGAGATGCGAAGCAGTATCTGGCATTGATCCGCTTCACATCTGCACGCTGCTGCACTCCGACCCTGCCTCCAATCATCTGTAGATACGGCATTCTAATCTGTCGCAGGTATCTGGAAGTGCCGATCATGCCGCAAGACCACTGCTGGTGGTGCCTACACCGTCTCGTAAGACCCCTCCTCCACGTACCTATCTCTACATCCTATCGCGACACAGCCCATCCGGATCATAGCAATAAATCACTATCGAATATCACTAACTCACATGACGCAGTACTCCTGCCGCCGCCGCCACACGATCCACTATCCGTCGTCTGCGAGAGATTGCTGAGGTTTAAGCGGGGGAAGTGGCATTTGGGTGGGAGGCGTTCATCGAGCGTGTTTCATTATGCGGGCGGACAGTCATGTCGATAACGGAATGATGCGCTCCACGCATCTGGGTCCCGGTCGTGCCGGCCCTGTGACGATCATGGGTTTCTCGGGATTTTCATAAATTCAAATGGCATTTGAACGACAACGATCGATCACTCATAAAGCCCAGAGCGGTGACAATGACATCCATATGCTAATTCACGGGAATTGCTCACCACAGTCACTCACATCAATCTAACTGAGGTCTTTACGGCACCAGCAACTTCATTTGATAAGGCTGCGCGGTCTAGTAGGTCCGATTGTAGTGCCACACCTGGCGGATCAGTGGCGCTTCATCACCAACGGAATCTTCGCGAGAGCCCTCCTATTTCGAAAGCTTTCACTTGGATCGCCGTACCAACTCTCCTAAGAAGCACGCGGTAGCCAGTTGCGGACTACCGGACACCTATACTCTGTAAAAGTGGAGATATGTAGTTAATCCTCACATGCTGTGTCTGACATGGTTTCCTAACCAGTAATTGCATGCCTCTCGGGCGCCAAAACATTCGGTACATTATCAGACCAAGCTCCTGGACATCATGTTCCCTTCCCTTCCCTTGTCCACCCTCCACCACTTACAACCCCGGCACCGCCAAATCCTCATACACACTCCTGTTGAAAAACCTGTACACCCTCCTCCCCACGTCTGTCCCAATCAGCTTACACACCTCCTTCTCCCCCATGTTCGCCAACTCAATCAGACTCTCCACCTCGAGCGTAAGCGTCGTGACAATACTCTCATTGACCCCCCGGCAGCGCCCTTAGCATATCCTGCGTAACCTGGCTAAAACTGCGCATATCGTCGCCAGCCATTTTCGGATCGAGGCCGAGCTGTACTGCGCGTAAAGGATCTGGCTCCTCGGCCTGCTTCTTGAGCTCCATGAAGATCTCAGCTGTCTGGTAAGGGCTGGACGACCAGATGATTTTCAGGCGCGGGAACGCCAGCGTCAGCATGACTAGTTTAGACTGTAGGTCCGGTGCGTTCGCGATGCTCCCTGGGGCAGAGAGGTCGCTGAAGGGTTCTAGGGTGAACGACTTGCCGGCGTCGAACTCAATGAGGAGCATGGGGGACTTGTAGTGCTCCATCATGCTTTCTACTTGATTGAAGAGTCGACCGTTGGAGAAGGAGCCAATGAGGTCGCGGACGGACTTGCGCTCGACGCAGATTTCTGGTGTGAGCACGTAGTCGCCGACTGTGAGCATGCAGGGAACTACAACAATGGATTTGCCATGGAGGAGGGAGGGAAGCGAAGAACGGAATTCGCGGACGTCGACGACGACGCGTGGGGGCTGGGCCGTTGCGGCGAGGCGGCCTCCACCTGCTATACGGGTGTTGATTGTGCGGAGGAAGGACTCTTCAGGGGCAAGGTTGGCGTTGGGGTTGATCGTCATGGCCATGTTCCCTCTTTCTTTGATGAGGCGTGTGAAAGCGTCTTTCTCCCGACGGACACCAGAAAGGTAGCGCTGCTCTTCCACGCTACCCCCGTAGTACATGAAGAAGACTTTGACGGTGCGATCAGTATGTGATGAGCGGTAGACCTCGATACGGCGGATGAAGGCAGCATCAGGCTCGTACATGATTACATAGCGAGGCTTCGTCTCTTCGAGGATATGCTCATCGAGGTCGCCATCGTAGGGGTGTACTACAATTAGGTCGTTCATGTTGAAGAGCTCGTAGTAGTCTTCCATGTTGTCTAGGGGGTCGACGCCGACTTCGCCTTTCTGCATGGCCTCCAACTCGGAAGGCTGCAGTTCAGCCATCAGACTCGCAATGTGTGCATCGCGATCGCCAGCGGTTCGGATTGTGCCTATCTCAGTACGCGTCGAGGCAGTTCCCAAGCCACCGCCGCGCATTCGTCTACGTTTGTTTGGCGGTGGCTTTCCATTCCTGCCACTACCCACTTTGTTCTCTGTGCTGGTATTGATAGCTTTTTGGTTCTCAGAGAAGAGCGCAGCGCTGAAATTCGTGAAGTCTCGCTTCCACGTCAGATAATTGCGCAATTTGCGACGCATCAAGAATTTGGCGGAGGGCTCATTCTCGTCATGGTCTTGTTCGTCCTCAGGCTTGACATACATGATCTGTAAATATTCGCGGATCTGTCTGCACGTGCCTTGGTCGCCGCACATGATTAAAATAGCACCATTAGACGAATCTTGTGGTGTCGGGTTTAGATATGCATCTTGTTCGATTTCTTGCAGGATCTCGGCGAGCTGGGCCCACTTCGGTTGCTCCTCCAGGACTGGCTCGAGAGAATCCACTACGGCGTCGTTAGAAGTTCTGACCAGGTCGGCGTTAGAAATTTTGCCCTTGTACACCCGTTGCTTTGCTACCGTGAAGATCGTGTCTGCCGCGTCGAGGAATAACCACGGAGACTGATTCTGCTTTGTTGAGCCTGGCGGAGGCTGTGATGCGGCCAACACAGTGTCCAGGTATCTATTGAAGTCTACCGCATCATACGTCAGGAGAGCATGCAAAATCGTTCGTAGGAGGGTAAGGTCTCGCACAACCTGTCGCGTTTTAAACGTTGTCCGATGCCACACTGGGTCCAGCTGCCGTCTGATGATGGTATCAAAGTTCCGGTGTAGCGCACTGTCCAGCGTCCAATCCTCCATCTCGATGCCAGAATTACTCTTCCGCAGCTCGCTGATGCTACACTCAACACATTCCAGCACAGCATTTTGAATGTCGCGCATCGCATCGGTCATGGGCACTTCCAGCTCAATGACCTCAGCCTTCTTGCGCCCTTCGAGCGAATTTGCGACCGCAACATGATATCTCGGGTACAACGCGGGCTTTGACAAGAACAGATTCTTCATCATATTCGCCAGCGGCGCAAAGCCCGTAGTGAATGGTTCCGGGCTATCCGAGAACGCTTTCAAGAACCCGGACTTATTCTTCTGCCTGTATATCCTCAGGATGAACGCTTCAAGGCTCGTCGCAAGGACCTTCTCTGCGTGGAGCACCACAACACCCGTAACGGTCTCCGGATTCAGTAGGCCCGACAAGAAGTCGACGATCAGGATGCGCGACGTGATGCTGAAGATACCGCCCTGAGAATACATCTTCTCGCGTGTCCCCACACTCATCAAGTCTGTATTGACCAGGCTAAGCCCACGCGCCTTCGCTGCTTGGCTGACGGCCGCATGCTCCGCGAGCGCCTCGCCAATCCACACATTTTCGCGTTCGTCGGCGCCGACAAGGATTATCAGATTGTTTCCGGCGGCATCGTATGAGTGGAGGAGGTTCGTGACTATGCGCAGTATGCCGAGACCGCGTGCAAGAATTACGATTTCGTCGTCCTCTCGCAACTCCTTGAAGATGTCCTGCTGGAATTCCTGACGTCATCATTAGCGGTGCGGTGAATAGAAAGGCTCACAAATTATTACGAGAGGCAGCGACAACTTCACGGGGGGCTTGCGCATCGCTGGGCATTGGGGTCGTTATGGTTGTAATGAGGGATGACGTGCAGTGCAGGTGGGGCCAAGGCGACGTGATGAGGTTCGCGCCTGCTTCGCGAGGTCACGCTTTCTCGTTTCACACAACCGCTTCGTGTAGCTACCATCCCATTGACCACCTTCCTGGCAGCATTCTTTTCATCAAGATCAAAGCTCATACTCTTCATTCTTGTCCCGAAACTACGATCTGTATCATTCAAACATCGAAGCAGTATGTAGTCAGCGTCATTCAATGCTAGTCTGTAAACGGCGTGTATTGTATGAGCGACGGCAGAAGCGGGGAGCACGTGCCTATACGGGGTTGGTGCGCACTTGCTGTATGCCTAGATATACCTGCTTCATGAAGACAATCTTTTTTTGTACACTAATTCTCTTGAACAGGTTCGATCGCAACGGGAATTCGATTTCACATCTCAGCACCTGCTATCCAGTATCCGTCCCTTGACGAAACATCTGCTGGATATCATGCGCTTGCCCACCCTCATCGAATCGTCGGTGTTTTCGTGTGGCAGGCCGCTAACAAAGGACGGGTGTCACGCATCTTTCTTGATCAGATCCTTGGAAGAACAAAGCTACTATCCCGGAAGTCTTGGTTGATTGGATCAAGTTCGCTCAGAAGTTACGTTCTTTATCGCGATCCTGAACTTCCTTAACCGGTCATTGCTAGTACATCCTGTTGTTCTAAAAAGATGAATTGCAGGCCGAGGACCAGTTGGCTAGCATGGCACCCTTTCCCTGAGGTTATGGACCTCGGGAGTAATGTAAAGGTAACTAACGTAACAAATGACGTTTAGGGCTAGAAGGACGCGAAGGCTGATAGAACAAATACTAAAAGCCTGCTCAAATGGCTTTCAATGTCCCTTCTCACCTTTTTTGCCCACGCTGCTATAGTATCCCGACAAAGCATTGCAACATGCCTAATCCTATACTTCTGCCATAGAACGAGAAAAGAAAGCAAGAAAACAGAATTCAAGTACACAATGACAAAGTATGGAAATTGCCCGTTCCCATATGACTCTAGACAATTATACGGTCATCCTTAGTCACCTTCTTGGTTCACCTGGAGTGCTTGGGAACAGCATTCTCCTTAGACGTCAAATCTTCTTGCTATAAAACCCCTCCTAGTGATATTAAGACAATATATATTATACGGTTTCGTATATTACGCCACCGATCCAGTATCAGTCCTACATACGAGCGGAGTCAAACGGCCCCAGTCTACTTCAAGGAGAACCCTTGACTCCTCCCATAATTGCAGCCCAACGGATGCATGACACTCGTCTTTTAGGGCAATTGCGCTCGGAAACGATAGCTTGAGCATCTCTCTACGCAACCTGCTGATACGAGCTGCGCCTAAAAAAACGCCACACTTTCCTTGCACCCTTCATAATCCACCCTTTCTTCTTCTCCACACCCATCGCATGCGCCGCACCAGGCGTACACACAATGACCTGCTTCTCGGTGGGAATACACACAGAAACGACCAACGATAAACTCGACGTGTTCTGACGAACATAACGCTCAGGTGGAAGGAAGAATTCTAGGCTCTCTCTAGGACGCGAAGCGACCGGTATGAACGTGTAGCCCAAGGGTCCGTCTGACAAAGGACGAGGAAGAGCGACTGGGACGGAAACTACGCGGCGATGGCCACGGCGGGGGCCGGTAGTTTTGGCGATGCGGCCTGCAGAGGTGGGACGGGCACCGTTGACGCGGAGGATAGGTATGGATGGGGGAGTGAAGGATCGCTGAAGGTGGGGCGGTGTGAGGCTCGAGCCAGAGGCCAGAGAAAAGCGGTAGGTATTCTGGCTGGGTGGGCTGAGATGGCTTCCATCAACTGGAGCAGTTGCAACCTGCGATGTGTTGATCGCTGCTTCGAAAGATTCGACGAATTCATTGGCTTTGGTAATGTTGATCTCCGGAAGGATTTGTCCGCTGTTTCGACGAGTGTGGGCTGCTTTTCGAGCTCGCAGTGTAAATGATGGCTTTTTTTCGCTCATGGGTGCTAGGTCGGGCGCCATGAGTGTGGTTGGGGCAGTTGTGCTCATGGTTTCTCTTGTGGTTTAACCGTGTGATTGGTTGCTTGTAGAGTCAATTCCCGCGTCGAGAATAGGAAGCTTATAGGAAGAATACCATCATATAGAGGAGAAAGAAGGGTCCACGGACAGATTCGGGGAGGGAAGGGGGTTGCATAAGATAAATTGGTTGGAGGCGCATTGTTAAGCACTCGCTCGCACAATTCACAGCTGCTGCTCAATTGAAGTCACAAGTTTTCACTGTGCACAATGTTGTAGTCTCAAGAGGTGGAAATATGACTGAGGAAGTCATACTTCTCTACGCATACGTCTGCTAAATGTCCGGAGAAACAGCAAGCCTTTCGACACACATCTGTGCTCGATCGACAATATTAGAGTCGGCAATATCAGGCTATAAATGAGATGGAAGTATCCTACCTAGATTTAGCGTACCCCATTCGAACACGCCTTTCTCTTTTTAAGCATGGATCTAAAGCTAAGTAGCTATCGATAGTATGTCAAAGGGGAACCACGTTTGCTTACGGAAAACAATCCTATGCACAGTCGTAATCATCCATCGCCAACCGGTGGATGCTTTAACACCAACAGAGGCAGGCTCGTTTGCCACCGCTTCAGCTTGGATGTCATCGGTTTGCTGAATGGCAGTTGTGGCGTTTTCTTCTTCAGGTAAGTCAGTGCCGGGTAAACTAAACAGATGCGAATAGACGCGAATTGCTACGCATGCCAAGAACATCAGTACCAAGTTGGAGAGATGCCGTGCCAGACTGACGCAATTAAATCGAAGAACCCATGTACTGGGATCTCAGGTTCTTCCACCTCCGACATAGGCTTCGAGGCGTCATCTTCTAGCTCGGTCTCCTTCTGCAAAATGCTAGAGAATGTGCGCATGAGAATACGAACATTGCCCTGCTGCACAGAAGATTTCACTGCTTCAGAGTAAGAAGGGGGAGGAGTAGCTCAGAGCCTCGATCTTGGCATCGATGCATCGGTCCGGTTAGCTCTTCAATCCCAGAGAGACCGACAGATGTCGTACACATGCTAGGATAATTCGTGGAGGTGTTCTCGTAACACTCTTCAAGAGTCTCATGTTCTTCGTGTGCCACATTACGTTTGGGATTGGTTGGTGAGTGCACATTGAGTTCGAGCCAAGTAACACTCAGAGAAATTGGCAGCGGTGTAGGCTTGGGCTGCAGTATTCGCGTGTGCGCAGTGACTTGGAAGATAAGCGTCTCTGGAGAAGAGAAGGAATCCATGTTTGTTATCATATTGGCAACCGAGTTGAGTTTCGGGGTGTTCGGTTGTTGCCTTTGGTTCCACATGTTGGAGTTAAAGCAAGACGCGCTATAACGCAAGTGAGCCTCCCATTGTTTAGCGAACAATGTGGTACACTACTCGATTGTACACGCGTATTCCATCGAACAGTGACCAATCCTAAGGTTCTCGTGATGGCGGTTGGTAGAACCTCAGCCACGATATAGCACGTCTTCTGTCTTGTAACCTTGCAGGTAGTTATTCGGCCTTCTGCATATTGCCACACCTGTATCCGATTGTGACAGGTAGGTAGCACGGCGGATCTTCAGCGGTAGCGTTATATAATACTGTCCTGGATGTAGAACGAATTCGGATTCATCATATAGAGTGTATGACTACTGCCTAGTGGGGCGCATTGAGATCGGTTCACTAACCACTAAAAGCGAGTTTAAAGCCGGAGTTCTCATACTCTGTAGTCCTTGTGTAAAATAACATCAACGCGCATCGTTTATAGGAAAAGATCCCAAGCCTGCAGTATGGACTTCCTTCCGCCCTACATTGTCGACCCTGTCCGTGGTATCACACTGTTATCTTCTTCCATGGCCGAGGCAGTACCGCCAAAGAATTTGCAACCGATCTGTTCCCGTTGAAAACTTCCAACCAAATAGAAAACCTACGGAATGTGTTCCCAAACGTTCCATGGGTGTTCCTGGACGCCGGCCAGCGCTGGTGCACGGCCTTTCGATGGAAACGCTCAGCTTGATTCGGCACGGTCTCGCTTGCCGACCTGTGCTCGTCTCAGGACCTTCGGCTTCCAGGATCAAGTCAAGCCATCCGCTTGGTCAGAGGCAAAGTTGGAAGTGAAGTCGATAGACTTGGTGGTGGATCGGAACGTGTGATACCTGGAGGCTTCTCGCAAGGGTCGGCCGTCGCGCTTCGGTCGTCGCGCTTTGGTCTTGGTTAACCGGTATAACTGGGCTCAAGGGGACCTTGAGATCTTCTGTGGGCCCCAGCGCGTAGATAGCGTTCACGAAAGAAGCCACCGTATTCGTAGCGGATGATTCGGAGGCATCGGCATACGATGGCTATGGCGTCGTCTGGAAAGGATTTGCAAGGATCTTAGAGCCCGAATCAATCCCCTTCATACAGAGTGTTCAGACGGCTGCCAACTTGCCCGTGTACCTTAGACATGGAAAGGATATACATAGGCTAAAGCAACTTCCAAGATGAGCGAGCTTATCACTAACCCCTGTTTAGGGCGTACTCATTGGCATAGAGAACTGCTACCAGCCCTCGACTATCCTGCCGTTGGCGTAACAGTCGAAGTGAGAGTATATACTGGTGCTGATCGAGCTGGACAATAGATCAAGGGGCCGGAGCAAGTCGATGACATCGTTGCCTTTCTTGGCAAAGTTTTCCATGAGCTTGATGTATGCGAACAACACCCGGTAAGGCATATTTATGGATCAGCCTGGAGTCGAAGCTTGATCTGTGGTCGTCTGTGTCGGGGAGGTGGTCGATATCTGTTTGTCTGCACTCTTTTCACATAAGTGTGGCTGTGCTTGAGCGAATTGTCGCTCAGTCTTTCTTTTCTGTCGCTTAGCTCCAACCGGAAAACGCTTTTTGCTGGTACAGAGCGTGCATGTAATGGTCAAAATATCGGCCCAGGGTTTCTTGCCCCCTTTGCTCTCGTTCTCGATAGCCTGCGTTGCTGTACGCCCTGGTATGAGGACTGTATTACAGGTTTTGCATATGGTGCGTTTGAGCTCGGACGAAAGTCTCACTTGTCCTTTCCGCGAGACAAGTTGGAGATCTGCCCCTAGCTGTAAGGCAAGTCCAGAATGGCTTTGTGGTACACGATCGCTTTGTCCAGGATCCTTGACTTTGTGTAGATCTGATGCGCCGGCTCGTAGAGTCAGATAGGTGGCTGCTTGATACAGAAAGGTGCTCCGGACGTGTAGGTGCTTGTTTGGCACACCTTTCACCTTAGGCTGTTTGGCTTTGGCCATGTCAAGAGCAAGACGGGTTCGTGCTTGTGAAAGCAGCGTGGACCGAGACAAACCTTGGAACTGTGGCTGTGGCTATCGTCGGAGCGGGCTAGCGCGGCTTGGCAAAGCGCAGGCCGCTTTTTCGCATCAACGTCGCGCCTGTGCCCTCTTACCTTCTGCCTCCGTCGCACCCCATACTTTCTTCAACCCACCCCACTTCGACTGTGCCAGAGTCCCGAGTCTCTTCACTCAATATATTCTTCTACTTTGCGCGCCTTCACGTCGACCGTCCCGAGCTTCGACAGATAGCCTTGCGACTACGCACGAGGGCAACTAGATCCGACTCGCCCCTTCCTGCCTTCACAGGTCAACAACAGCACATTCGATCCTGATCTCATCATGTCTCACGAGGAGGATCTCATCGACTACTCCGACGAGGAGATTCAGCCCACCGAGGCACCCGTCAACGGCACCGCGGGCGCGGCAAAGGGCCTCGCCGCAGATGACGCAGCTGGCGACAAGAAGGGTAGCTACGTCGGCATTCACTCGACCGGTTTCCGCGACTTCCTTCTCAAGGACGAGCTCATTCGAGCGATTACGGACTGTGGCTTCGAACATCCTTCCGAGGGTTAGTCTAATCATTTCCCCCTCAGCCTTCCATCAACCTGAAGCGTCCGTCCATTTGCGCAACGAAGCGAAACCTGTTTTCAACGATATAATACTCTCGGGCACACGCAACTTGGCGGAGTGTTGGCCCATGTTTGTCTCAAACCGACCTTGAACGGTGGCGGTGAAGCTCACAGCAACTGCGCTGGCTTCGTGTGGCACAAGCGCTGTCCCTTCTTGATTGCCCGTATCGAAGGAAGCAAGAGATTGCCCGAACTGGATAGATCATATGAAGAAGGGACACGCTGCTCTGCTGGGAGGACAAGTAAGAGAAGGACGTGGCTGTCGTTGACTCGGCCTGCGCTTGCATGATGGACGGACGCTTCTTCTATCGTTTCACTTCGACAACTTTAAGAGACCCTTCTGACATACATTTTCCGTACAGTCCAGCAAACCACGATTCCCCAGGCTATTCTAGGAAACGACGTTCTTTGCCAGGCCAAGTCCGGTCTCGGAAAGACGGCTGTTTTCGTACTGGCCACGCTTCAGCAGCTGGACGAGAAGCCTGAAGCTGGCGTTGCCACCGTTCTAGTCATGTGCCACACCCGTGAGTTGGCATACCAGATTAAGAATGAGTACAATCGTTTCGCAAAGTTCTTGCCCGATATCAAGGTCGGTGTCTTCTACGGTGGAACCCCGATTCAGGAGGACATTCGAATCCTCAAGGACAAGGAGACTCACCCGCACATCATCGTCGGCACTCCTGGACGTATCAACGCTCTCGTTCGCGACAAGGTGCTCCGCCTTTCCAACCTCAAGCACTTCGTCCTCGATGAGTGCGATAAGATGTTGGACCAGAACGGTCAGTACACCCTTCCAGCCATTCGCAGCGCCGCCTGACCTTTTACGCAGACATGCGCAACGATGTCCAGACCATCTTCCGCGCTACCCCGGCTCACAAGCAGGTTATGATGTTTTCGGCCACTTTGTCCGAGGACATCAAGCTTACCTGCAAGAAGTTCATGCAGAGCCCTCTCGAAATCTACATCGACAACGAGAAGAAGCTCACCCTGCACGGTCTCCAACAGTACTACATGAAGTTGGAGGAGCGCGAGAAGAACCGAAAGCTGAACGATTTGCTCGACACACTGGAGTTCAACCAAGTCATCATCTTTGTGCGATCCACTCAGCGCTGCACTGAGCTCGACAAGCTTCTCCGGGAATGCAACTTCCCTAGCACTGCTGTTCACTCCGGCATCGGCCAGGAGGAGCGTATCAAGCGATACAAAGAGTTCAAGGACTTCCAGACCCGTATCTGCGTGTCGACCGATATCTTCGGTCGTGGTATCGATGTTGAGCGTATCAATGTCGCTATCAACTACGACATGCCCGACAAGGCTGACTCATACCTTCACCGTGTCGGTCGTGCCGGTCGTTTCGGAACCAAGGGTCTGAGTATCTCGTTCGTCAGCAACCCTGACGACGAGACTGTGCTCAAGGAGATTGAGAAGCGCTTCGAAGTGGAGCTCCCGTAAGTTCTCTTGCTTACCTGGCACAAATCTGTGGCTAACTTTTACATAGCGAGTTCCCTGCTGAGGGTGTTGACGCTTCGACCTACATGGATAACTAAGAAGTTGCCATATTCGTGCCTCTGAGGTAGTTAATTTGACCAGTGCGTGTTCTGTTCAATGGGATTTTATTGCTTGCAATTTTAACTGAAAGGTTCTTCCGAAAAGCAAGCTCGGCGTCGGACGGTCGGGCTCATGTACTGTAGTGGAAAATAAATGACGATTTGAACTTGCTTGTCAAGATTGGTTGTCGCTCACCGCTCTCCAGCAAGGTGGACTCAAAACAAATACACTTGGTTTAATTTCCTCCAGATTGGCGTCTGCTTTGGTTCTCGGTTCGCAGCAATGTATCATCCCCAAGCAATGCAACAGCAACATTGTCTGCCTTAAAACCAAACCCATACTCACTCGCCTATAGTACCGCCTTCTACTATGCCCACGTGCCCCTTCTCCATTCGCCCACACCCTTCGTCCGGACTTCCAAACCCGGGCTTCTCACAATGCCACAGGTGCTCACCGCATGAAAAACCTGGATCTAACAGCTTTGCCCATGTCACAGAGGAACTTTCCCCATGCTGCCTACAAGGGATGGTATGACGGGCGCGCCCAATCGCGCCATAGATTCGACAACGGACACGGGGTTACTCATCGGCGACCGGCGCACTGTTATCAACGCGTTTCGAGCTAATGAACCAAGCTTACGAGGGGGATGCACATGCACGGGGCCTGATGGAAATGTCGGTTCTGCATGGCCTCTGTACGGCGAGGGCGGGCGTCTACGGTAGTCGCACCGGACGCCGTTGAGCCATGGATGGATCAGAGGCTCAGGGCCCGCGAAGATCCGGCGGCGAAGCGGTGGCGGGATCAGAGCTTGGGTTTGGGGTTTGAGTGGAGGGGAAGGCGCGTGGAAGGAAGAGGGCTTAGCTGGGGGTGTTAAGGGTATACTTGGAGGCGATATTGAGGCGAGGGATGGTTTATCCGGCGAAGAGAGATGAGTGTTGGAAGATGAGACTCCAATGGCGCATAGTCCGCGGAGTGAGTGAGTGTTATCGAGTTCCGCATCAATAGTTCACAAACAGTCAAGGGGCAAGGGATTGGTAGGGAGGTGGCAAGTCGCTGCATATGCGAGACCGATATCCTACGCGAGCATGGTGTTGAGTGGAGTGCAGGTGGCAATTTGGTTCTGGCTTCGCCATAAGCACGGGGCAGTCCAGGTGCCCAGGGTGCTTCGGCATCCAAGTGCCGCGAACGATTCGAGCGGGCCGTCGCAAGTTCCGAAGATGACAAAGCGCGACGAATAGGAACGGGCAAGGCGTGGCAGGGCGTGGCAAGGATCGCGACAAGGAAGAGGCTCGTCTGGAACCTCGTCAAAAAGATTGTCAGTCTGACCGTTTTGTGATTCGCTGCATCGTGGGTCTTTCCTACGGATAGGTATTTTTAAAGTTCCCGTATCTTTTGACGCATGGTGATCATCAGCCATGATGCAAACCCCTTTTGTGTACATGTCGATGGCTCGGGACCGATAACCGCCGCAGCAACAGTACGGAGGAGAGAAGGGGAGAGTACGTTGTTCTACTTTTTGCGACGGCGATTTGGTTTTGGGAATTTTGATGATACCTTACCCGCTCGTATTCGTCGCATTGTTGGTCCAACGTTCGTCCGGAACACAAGCGTGCACGGCACGTGCAAATGAAGCTGTACCGTTCTGAGAACTATTCAGGAACAGACAGCTCCAGGGTGACGCGGCAACAAGGGTATCCTTCTGCTTGCTACTGTTGAATCTGACGTTCTTTGATATAGCAGACATTCTATAGACCAGGCACCGCTGCTCAAACGTCCAACCGCCTCCTCGGAGTGCAAGTGTTCAAGTACACGCGATCTTTTGGCGCGCAAATTTGGATAGCTCAAGCATGGTAAATGCGAAATGCGGTGTCGAAAAATTCGAACGTCCGAGCTCATAAGAGCGCAACTTGCATCGTCGATCTGGCGGGCGTCGCTTCGGCAAATCGCTAGTCGCTCCCAAGATATAACAGAAATAGCAGTCTACAACATGATGGCAGTGAGGAAGAGTGGCGAAAGTGGTAGCGGTAAGCTGCTGTATAGGCAATAATGATCTGCAGTGATGTGCTGGTTGAGTGCATGTAATCGTACTTGTACACGTCCATGTACGCTACCGTATCGGGAACAGATACCCAGATATCGGGATGGTGTTGGTCCCGGAGCCGCTGTCAAAAAGTCAGCAATGGGCTAAGCCGCACATCCCAATCGGATGGGAGGGGCCCGTAAGCGAACGCGAGCGAAAATCATGCCACTATTGCCTCGATAGCTAACTGATTGAAGGTCTACACCCGCGTGGTCGACGAAGAATCTCTGGGGTTCTGTCGCGAGGGCGGGTTAGGGATGTGAAGAGACTACAGCAGCGTCTGCCTTTGAGTATACAGTGTGGGGCAGATGGTGAGAAGTGTGAAACGTCACAATCACGATTGTCGCAAAATGGGCGGGACGAACTTGGGTCGGGAGGACCGGTGCAGATGCTGAAACGCCTTTGTGCAGCTTCCCAGTAGTGTGTCTGTGTTCCCAGCATCGCTGACGCAAGAGGACGTGGCTTGGCAAGCTTTCCTCGCCGGGACAACAGGTGAGATGGACGGATGGCGAAATGCAGATGATCGTTTCCAAAAGGCACAGGCGTTAGATTGCAATCACCAGTGGCGTTGTTAATCGACGTCTCTTATAGCAGCGTGGGTTGGTTGGGCTTGATTGGCTTGACGAGAAGCTCGTTCAGGGAAAAGTCGCGGGCGAGATGCTTCCTTGGTTCTGTCGTGCCCTAGTCGGACCCGACGTTAGCAGAGCCTTCCGTCCGGCTCTGCTGGCTCGGGACGACGACGACGTTAGCAGAGCTGCCATGGCGCGCGCCGGCTCCCAGGCCGATGGACGTTGGAGGCAGGCAGAAACAAAGGGGCCGGGGCGGCGAGCCGGCCGACGGCGAGAGCGGCGCGCCACATTGCAAAGCGACGCGCTGACGCAGGCGGGCTATTGGGAGAAGAGCGCATCGAGGAGCAGATTCCAGGCTGCCGTTGAGCGGTTCAGGGAGCGGACATTGCGAATGCACGGGGCACTGGCGATGATGAATGGCGCCTCGCGGTAACGCGCCCGCCAGCACTTGACTAGTGGGCTTGGCGGCTCCACCAGCACATCGATGCCAGAGCACCTCCACGTCAGGACCTGAGCTGGCGGGCTTCGCGCAGGGCGGGCGGCGATTGGCTGCCGCGGGCGCTCTGCTATGTAGACACCGGTGCGTTCTGCGCAAGGGGGGGGCGGAAGCCCGGCGTGCTGTGTAGACGCGTCGTGTGCCGGGGGGCAAGAGGGCGCCAGATCAGACAGAGGTCGGCACTACTGAGGTCGGCGGCGGAGGATCTCCACGGGCCACGCAGCTGCTGTCCTGGCCTGCCCTGGCCTGCTCTCAGATCAAAGGCCCCAAAGGGCCCCAAAAGGCCCAGCAGGCGGGTTCGAGGGGCGCCTTGCCTCGCGTGTCCAGCAGAATGTGCACTGCATTGCGCTGCACACGTCTGCTAGCAATGGCGAGCGGGCGGGCGTGCACGGCAATGACGCAGGCGGGCGACGCGCCCCTATGAGATATATGTATTCCTGCGACGATAAAGGCAGACAGGGCACGGCTAGCGTGCGTGCAGCGAGCAAGCTTTAATAACACGCCGTAGCAGAGCTCGCGCTGCTCTCGCTCCGCCGCCCTCCGCCTGCAGTCCTGCAGTGGTACCCCCGTCCGCCTCCTGCTGCCCTTCCACCTGCTCCCTTAAACTTGGCTACCGCCCGGACAGTCTCCCTGCTGGCTACCCACCCACCCGTCGTTCGTTCTTTCCCAGTGTTGCAGTAGTGGTGCCGACCGCGCCTGTCCCTTGGCCGCCCCGACCGTCGCGCCTCGCAGTTGCTGTCCCACACGCTGCTCTCGAGCGAAACACAGCACACAACGCTGGCGTCCGCCCCTCTGACCCGGTTCCCTCTTTATCCCATGCACATGACGCCCCTGTGAGGACTCGAACATCGCCGCACGCTCGTTAACGCCGCTCCATCTTAATCAGTAATACGCAATCGAGAGTTGCCCGTCCCGCCCGACTCGCTGCTCCCGCGGCATCGCCAACTTTCTGGCACTCCCTCCTCGCCGCACACTCCGCCCGCCGACGCGACATCCATCACCTTCCGCCATGGCGCCCGCTGTTCCTCGTCTGCGGATTCTCTCAGGTGCGTACCGCCGTGCCCACGCACCTTCCAATGGGCGTGCTCGTGCCACTCGTCCGCATTGTGACGACTTTTTGAACAAAGACGTCTCGACCAACCCCCTCGACAAAGCACACCGGCTCGCCCCGGCTAGCTTTTGAATTCCAGCTGACCCTACCTAGTTGGCGGTAATGCCGTTTCGGCGTTCCTCTCATGGCGTCTGCAAGCAACCAATGCTTGCGACGTCACCCTCGTCTGGAAGTCCGGCTTTGAGAGCGTCGCTCAGTACGGCATATCATTTAAGTATGTCGATGGACATCATCCGAATACCAAAAAAGCTAACCCAGCTCCAGATCTGCGCTTTACGGCAACGAGCGCTTCAAGCCATATTCAGGTATTTACCCATACCGTGATCTCGTCGACGGCGTTACTAATGCACTCCAGTCGTGCGAACCCCCGAAGATGCTGCACATTCTTCCAAACAGCCATTCGACTATGTCCTGCTCTGCGTAAAAGCACTCCCCGACGTATACGATATCGCAAACATCATCGAATCCGTCGTATCGCCTCAACACACGTGTATCCTTATGAACACCACAAACAGCCTCGGCGTCGAGTCTTACCTGGAGCAGCGGTTCCCAACCAATGTGGTCCTGTCACTGGTGTCTGGAGCAGAAATCTCACAAATTGGGGCCAGCGAATTTGAGCACAAGGGTGCGACTGATATTTGGGTCGGTCCTGCCAACAAGAACCCTTCGATTCCGCCGCAGATTCAATCGGATATGGCCGAAGCCTTGGCCATGACGCTCAGTTCTGGCCAGGTGGACTGCAAGGTGTCGCCCAACATTCGCCAGCAACAGTTTGAGCGCATGATTGGGTACGTTACACGCCCGACCATCTGACACATTGACACTTCGCTAATAGTGGTACACAGCGCCATAGCTTTCCACCCCGCCAGTGTGCTCTTCGAGACCCCCAACCACGGGGAGTTGCTGGAAAAGGTCGGCGTGCGTCCGCTCGTAACCGGTGTCATCGACGAACTACTTGCGCTTGCTAAGGCTCAGGGATGCACATTCCCGGCTGACTACCGGGAATCTACAGTCCAGCAGATGGTACAAACAGGCAGCACTAACAGCACCATGTACATGGATTTCGAAGCCAAGCGCCCGATGGAAATCGAGACTTATCTCGGCTCACCATTGAAGCTTGCGCAAGAGACTCAAGTTTCCGTTCCCCGCATAGAAACACTGTACGCCACCCTCCATCACATCAACATCGTGAACCGCACGAGACCCGCCGCAGCTCCTGCTCCTTCGCCTACCAACGGCGACCAACGCATGCCACCTCCTAGACTCTCTTCTGCACCGTTGCCTCGAGGACCCCCGGGACCAATGATGAACGGTAACGGTCCGATGAAAGGTGGCCCACGTCCTGGAAGTCGAGCTCCTTCTATGACTGGTGCGCCGCCAATGATGCGCAGAGGGCCTCCCTCCGGTCCAGCCAATGGCTACCCGCCTAGGCAGATGAACGGAATGCCCAATGGCCAGCGACGACCTTCTTTCGAAGGTAACGACTTGGAAGAATTTAGTCACTTGATGCTTTACGACAACGTGGCGGACGAGGGCGCTTCCGGTGCTGGGTACGAGAACGGGTTGAATGGACCTTCATCTTCCAACGACCTTGCTCTGCGCGAGAGAGAGCTCATGCTGCGACAGAAGGAGCTCCAGTTGAGAGAACAGGAAATGAACATGCGCCGTGGTCCACGTCGTGGTCCACCACCACCTCCGTCCCATATGGGCGGGTTTGATGAAGACGAGGACGAGGACGATTTCTTCGATCCGATGGCCTCCCGTGGGCCCGGTCCGATGATCGATCCCGACAACTTTGACATGATGAGCGTCACCTCAAAACGAAACCGAAAGGTTCCTAGTGCGAGTCAAATTCGGAAGAACCCTGAGATGGCTGGTATGGGGCCTGCTAGCGGAGGACGATCTCGCAATCCCTTTGCTCGCCCTGGCATGAACAAGAACCGAACCAGCACACGGATGATGGCTGACGTTCCCGGCCTACACGACTCAATCATGAACAACCCGCTCATGGGATACTCGTCCAACCGATACGGCGATGTTGATAGGGGCGCGATGGGAGCTCAATCGCGAACGAATTCACTAACGGCAGCCCGACTTGACGAACTTCAACAGGGCGGCAGCTACGGCGCCTACCCTCCGATGAGCCGTCGGACAAGCCAGTCTCCTGGCAACCCGCTCAGTCCCGGCCCGAGACCGATGGGACGCCCGTCACCGCCGAACGGTTATGCCCCAAATGGGATGCCGACTAACGGAATGCCGCCCAATGGCCGTCCGTCTCCTCCAGGTATGAGACAACCAATACCCCGACACCCTCCCGGCCACGGCAACGCAGTAGCACCGCATCAAGTGGAGCAATACGCTGGGGTGAGCCAAAACCTTTACCCGCCCAAGCCCCGTCCGCAAGTTCGCAGTCTGACAGGTTCTGCAAGCGCCAGCGCTGGGAGCGGTAGCACCCAACTAGATTCGGAGAACTCTGCGCACAGCAGTCAGAGTAGCCTAGGCCCCCGCCCGCCTCTCGGCGTCCGTTAATAGAGATCTGTTTCATTTCGCATCGGCTTGGAGTATGTTTGGAGTTTGCATCACCACTGTTTTCGATTCGGCGACACATTGACGAAACCATCTACTGGTTTGAAAGCTGGCGGTGCTGCCACGGACATATCATTCTTGGGTTTTCCATCACGCTGTTGACGGCTATCATCCTTCCTCACAAGGCCTTGCAGTCCTTGTTTACTACTACGAATGCACACACCGGACTTGCCTGACAGCGCGGCGGCCCGTTTGCCATCTTCCAACATGGAGCTGCCAGAGGCTGAGGGGCAAGGCCGAGCGGGGAGGGTATCTTAATGACGAAATATTAGAGTTGGATTCCAGGGAGGACACGTTTACACGTACACGTACAGGCTGACCTTAGCGCAAGGTCTTTCCTTTCTTTTCTTTTGTTCGTTCTTTATGTGGTTTCACCAAGTACATATTGTAGAAGTTCTCATGGGTGATGTCGTCTTTGCTTTTTCCGCAATGGCAGACTGGACGCCCGCTAATTCTTTTGCATGGGCTATCTCCCAACGGTGGCACTGGAGCTTTGGGTTCGGCTTTTTTCTCTCTATACATGCACATTGTTCTCTCGATGGGAGGGTGGACCCGAGTCTCGATGGACAGAACTGTACTATTTTGGAGGATGGAAAAGAGCGTTCGGGCATTGAGCGTGTGAAGATTTGTTGCAGGATGGGTGGAACAGATTCTGAGGAAAGAGCATACATAGTGGTTGGCGGATGGACACAAAACAACGTTCTCTTCTCGCGCGAAATTGGCGTCTTGAATCGTGCTGGTGAAGGCGTGTTGAGACCACAGGGATTGCAACTACGTCTACACAGCAAACCAGTTCATGCTGCAAGCCATCCGAAGATGAAATGTGCACGTGAGGAAGTGACGATCTGGCGAGGTTTCGTGTCCACCCCCACTCTCGAGGCTGGTAGCAGGTGACGCGCGCCGCTTATCGTCGCGCGTCAGCCGCTCCCGCACCTCCAGTCCACCTCCACAACTCCGCGCTCTTTTGTGCATACCGAATGCCCCTTATTCGGCATTCTGCGCGTTTTTCTGTTTCGTTTCAACAATGAGCCATGACTTGCACGAACACGAACCAGAAGAAGAAACCGCGGAGCATGAGCGCTTACTGGTGGACACTACTGATAGTGAGGCTGTCGTAGCCTTCGCTCCTCACGACAAAGACGATCCGCGAAACTGGAGTCCAACACGCAAATGGCTCATGGTTGCCGCCATCATTCCGATAGACCTGAGTGTTTCTTGGGGCGCGTCTGGCTTTTCACCTGCGGCATCGGATTTCGCTCGTGATATGCATGTATCCCCAGTGGTAGCAACGCTTGGTCTAAGCATGTACGTCCTCGGGCTCGCATTTGGACCTATGAGCCTGGCACCACTCTCAGAGTACTTTGGAAGACGGCCTGTCTACGTTGTCTCCTATGCCATCTTCTTGTTGCTGCTCTTAGGCACTACGTTTGTCGAGAATCTAGGAGCCTTCCTGGTACTGCGAGTTCTATCCGGCTATTTTTCATCCGTCACAATAAGTAACTTTGGCGGTACCATAGCTGACCTTTTCCACCATCACAATACGGGTCCAGCAATGTCCTGGTTTCTTTGGGCTGCGACAGGCGGTTCACCCACGGGATTTGTGCTCTTCTCAGTCATTGCACAGGGACGGTCGTGGCACTCAGTGTTTCGCATCATGTTTCTTATCTGCCTATCCTTCTGGATCATCCTCGTCGCGGCTCTTTACGCTCTCGGTGAAACACGACATAGCGTATTGCTGGCTCGAAGAGCACAGGCGGCACGTAAGACATCTGGCAGTGAGAGCGTTGATGTCCCCGATGAATTGAAGCAGCGAGATCCTATGCTACTGTTTGGCACAGCGCTGATACGACCCTTTCGATTCCTTATTACAGAAGCCATCGTACAATTCGGAGCGCTATATAACGGGTACCTCTACGGTTTATCCTTTCTCTTCAACGGCGTTTTCCACCTCATCTTCGGGCCGGATGGATATGGCTACGACACTGTTGAGATTGGCATTGCGTTCTTAGGCATCGTTCTCGGCGTCACAGCTGGCCTGGTTACCAACATCTATCAAGAGCGCTATTACCAACGCCGGGTAGTCCTTGCCGGCCAGCACGATGTTCCCGAGGCACGCGTCTATCTAGCCATCCCAGCTGCCATTGTACTCCCAACATCACTGCTTGTCTTCTCTTTTACAGCCAACCCATCCATTCATCCGCTCGTTTCGATCACAGCTTCGGCCTTCTGGGGCTGGTCATTCTATACGCTTATCTTAATGACATTGACGTATACCGAGGATGCGTATAAGACGTACTCGGCTTCTGCATTGGCAGGCATCGGTCTGGTACGCAATATCGCAGGCGCTGGATTCCCATTGTTTGGCCGGCTGCTGTTCGTCAAGGTGGGGAACAAAAACGCTTGCCTGATATTAGCGGCCATGTCGCTGTTTATGGCGCCGATCCCTTTCATCTTATCGAAACATGGAGAGTCTCTGCGTAGACGAAGTCCGTGGGCTGCCGCACATGAAGATGAGGACGAGGATGCCGAAGAAAGCTGATATGGTGCAAGATCGATGAAAATCAACACCCTCGAAGATATCGAAGAGCAACTTGCTCACAGTGTCGTTGTTGCTGTGAAAGACCATAAACCTGGTGTGTATAGAGCTCTCAAACTAGGCGAACCATTCGACCATGAAGTGGGGTCTCTGAATCCACGTGGACACTTGGCTATCGAACGAAAGCGTTCTTGTTTCTATTGGACCAGCCTCCTGATCTTCAATGCTCGTAATTCGAGCATGAGAGGAGCGTTCAGTCGTTGCATCTAACCACGGAGGGCCCTGAGCATCAGATGGCGAAATTGTGATTCTCACAGGTGTTAATCCGTAGCCGCTTAGCTCATAGCTTTTATCCACGTTGACGTTCAGTCTCAAATCCTGGTAATGCAGCTCCACGAGCCCAATTTCATCTGCCTCAGATACTGCTGGGCCATCTTTCTCGTGTCGCGCACTGTTCGGTAGCTCACCCTCTAGATGAGCTTTCTCGACCGTTCGCTCTTCATCCGCATGTCGGTCGAATCGCCATTTGATTATCCACAGACCAAGAAGGACGAGCAGCAACAACGCCGCTGCATCTCCAACGACAATACCCGCTACTGCACCAGCATTCACCCGTTGTCCTCTATGTGCCTCAGCTATCAGGACCGATTCTGTGGGGCTAAACGACGGCATTATCTCCTGCTTCACGTTTTAAGAGCGTCTGGTGCTACGAGAAATTGCCCCTCTCATAATCCACCTTCAAATTCGAATCTTGCATGAGCGTCCTCCCAAATGTATACATGGACTCGTTTTGCGCCCTTCTTATCGGAAAATAATCTGTCGCGTTGGGGTAAATGGGTTGAGAAGCTTGCAGATCAAATGCACTGTATGTATCGCAGCACGATGTTCACCCTTTCGGCTGGGTCGGCGGGTTTGCCGAAGCCGATGGTCTTGCTGGGGTTCTTGGATTGGAACTGTGTGAGCACAGTGAGTTGACGAGATACAAATCTGTGGCGTTGTCGTAGGTTAGGTGGAAGGCTGATTCGAAGACTAATGCCCCCTCTCATTCAGCATTCATCACGGAAGGTATCTTTCCAGGCGTACTCCCGTTGAACGACGTGTTTTGCCCCAATATGCTTTGGATGTTCAAGCTGAACGGCTTTTCGTCGTTCGGGTCGAAGCCAAATGTAACATTATCATCCACAAACTTCAACACGTCGTAGCCTCCGAGGTTTAGACTCGCCAAAGCCTGTCGTCTCCTGTTCCATATCAACCATCACCCTACTCCAGCCCGCTTGTCGGAACATGAGGGTACTTACTGCAAGAAGCACCAGCGGTGTACCCATAACCCGCGAATTACGAACGAGTACCATTGACCGTCGTTGCCGATGAACTCTTGGGAGGGGGAGCAGACGATTGGGGTAGCTGCCATGATGGGGATAACCAGGAAGACAAAGTCAAAGGGCAGTGTTCATCGCCCTACACCATTTCTAAAGCACAGCGGTAGGAGTATCGCAACGACAACCTCAGAAGAAGAAGAAGCCTCCTTTGAGGCTCAAGCAACCCACCGCACAGCTGCTGGCCTATCTCGCCGTGACGAGAACGAGCTGTCTTCTGGTACGAGGACTACATCATCACGGACTCTTCCAATGGAGAATTGTGGATCACGAACTGCCTCAAGATCGTCGGACAGCATGGTCACGCAGAGCCCTGGCTCCATTGCGTGCACGCTAAAGAACACTTATCTTCTGATTGAAGTAGCGTAACTCGTTGGGATGCCTCGCCTTCTGGTCATGCGAAGCGGCCTGCTGCAAATCGGTTTGGGCCGAAAATGGCCACGACTTCGACACTTCGCTAGACGCCACAAACACGGGGATGCAGACTATGCCGATGGTGGTCAGGTAAAAGTGCTCTCTAGAAATACACTTCTCCATATACCCGAGCCCACTGCCAGTCTGGTTGGCAATATGAGCTTGTCTAGATCAAAGCGGCACCCTGGCGCGGAGCTTCTCAATGCTGATGAGCTACACCGTACCCTTCGGGAAAATAAACAAGCGGACGCTGTTGATTCCCACAAAGTTGCAGCTGGCTTGAGACTTCGCGCTGATTCGAGACCGTCGCTCAACTCGGTACCATCTACTCTGGAGACGCGCACCCGATCACGCACTTCATCCATCCCATGTACCTCGGGCTCCCCCTAGTCAGCAAATACATCTAGCTCAAGCTTCATCAGGCCGCTAGTCATCCGACAAGAACATCTTGGTACTATTTCCTCGTCTTTCGTTACTGTACCTACATTTACACAGCGTCACTAGATGCCGAAGGAGGCGACGTCCTTCCCTGACGTGGATTCGCTATGCAAAGGACCTTGGGTGGTTTCGTAAAGCTGAAAGGACAAGGACCGTAGAGTTAGAAGAGGATGCGAGGACAGACATGAGCCAGGCCTAGAAGGTTTTGGAAATAAAGACATGAGTGCCACGCACCTGGGTTTCAGTCGCTTGCTTTGTGTAAAGCGATGCGAAGTAGCGTGTAGAGGGGACGAGAAAACGGAAAGCGCGGGCTTATACATGAAGGCTTCGTTTGGAGTGGGATAAGACGGAGGGAATAAGCATGTTTTGACGATGGGCTGACTGTCTGAGTCGGACGCTAATGTCGATCAGAGTTGAGGATGATAATAGTTAGCCGTGCCCTGACGTCTTCGATCACAATGACAAGAAATGAGAAAGCCTATTTGGCTATTCAGAAATCCTTGACTCATTAACCATGCACACCCAGCTACAATAGCTCTCGTACCGTATCATGCATCTTAGCATCACTCTTGAGCCATCGGCGTCTTCTGCCCCGGAATAGCCTCGATCCCTACGAATCATTAGCAGCCTCACGTCTCTTCACCTGCACCAACTCACAGTCATCATCCCCAACATTCTCATTCACCTTCCTCGACACACTACACTTGTTCATCTCCTCAATACTCTGCGTCTTCATCGTCTTACACTGCACATAACACTCCTCATCCAGAATATTCTGCAGCGAGTCGTCCTTCCAGCCGAATACATAATCGCCATGATTGCCAAAGCCAGTCCTGTACTTCGTTAGCACCCAGTATTCGCTTCCCCTCTCCCACTTGATCACTATGAGGGCGCACTTACGTGTCTCCAAACGACCATACGAAAGGTTGTGAGCCTTCAGCAGGCCAATCAGTCTTCTTGTTAAACGCCTTCGTCTCGAAAATCACCTCATACATCACCTGCGCCACGCGTACGGGATGCGATGCTGGACACGGGCCTTGGCTTTCAAAAGTACCATTCGCCGGGTAGGACATGTGGGAGATGTGGTCGGGACTGTCGAGATCGACGCCGTTCCAGCAGCTTCCTAAGTTTAGCTAATGTGCGCTGGGAAGAGGAAAGGGGCGGGGGGTAATTTACGTCGGGAAGCGCAGGTTCACCATTATGCCTGCGGGGCAGGGCTTTGAGGGAAAGTCTTTTGTTTCGGGATAGCGCGTGTTCATGTCTTGAAGGCATGTGTACGTGAGTTGGGGGTATCTGTCTGCTTCGGGCTTGGTTGAAGCCGTGGGAGAACCGATGAGCATGCGGAAGCCCTATGTTCAATCAGTCATTGCTGGGCAACTATCATGTCCAAACCAACCGGCTGAAAGGCTTTGACTTTTGCCTTTTGTTGGTAGTCCTGCATTAGAAGCCATGGTCAATACATCTCTGAAAGGGACATGGTCTAAAGGTTTGCTCACCCCAAGTGAAGCCTGCATATAGTAGACCGTCATCCCTCCCCGCTGGCCTTCGAACCCAACATTGCCCTTCTGTGGTACTCGCTTATATGTACCATTGCGGGCGCGAAAGAAGAGCGAGGCAGTCCAGTAGTTGCTGAAATCCTCTGTCGATCGTTAGTACGACCAAGCTTCAGTTGACCTGAGCGTCGTACCTGAAGGTTGACAAGAAGTGCAAGTCGATAGCTTGGCGAGATCATGATCCTCTTTGTACATGGAGGTGTTGAACGAGTTGCCTCCGATTATTTGATGGAGGTGAGGGGATGGTTCCATCCCAGGGTTGACCAGTGGGTCTAGTCTGTCTACTACGAGCTGCGAGCATCCGAAGCGGATCAGCGCATTTGAGGGCGCAACGAAGGCCAGAGTAGCGAGTGAAGTCCAATGCATTGTGGTGGGGTATGGTAATTAGCTGGACTGGTGAGAGGCAAAATGGGGTTTGGAGAAGAATGACAATTGAGGATGACCCTCGCCTTTATTGAGCACTCTCTGCGATCCGTAGTCAACGCATGGCTTTGATTGCTGCTGCGGGAGGATAATCTCGACCCTCTGGTATGTCGAGACGCATGGTATGGCGGCTGAGGATACGATCTGCATGGTCATTTATCTCTCCAGCTGCTCTCCGAGTGTGGTGCCCTATGGATGTGTACTGTCTGGTGAACTGCCGATGGTGCTGGTCGTCGAAGCTTTGGGTCTTATCTAGAAAGTATCGATGTAGTATACAGTATGGGCTTGCACGGGTCTGTCGCTGCGGGCCTCTGCAATTTAGCCGGGATAGATGGATGCGCATAGCAACCACACACTTGTCCGCACTAGGTTGGGACAAGTTCCTGCTCGTCTGGAGCAGTCAAGTAGAGTGAAAGATGGAACATGGTCAGCGGGAGACAACGGAAGACAATACGCATGAAGAGGTCGTCGATGAGACATGCAACGACCATGCACCAGTACTGCTCAGGCAACGGAGCAGGCAGTGAGCGAGCATTGGCGCATGCGAGTGATGAGTGATGAGGCAGTCAGCCGCCTACGTAAGATACAGTAGCCGAGGATGCGGGGATCGCGGTCTGGTAGTTTCCGGGGTCGCGATGTTTGCGCTCTGTTCTCGGAGAGGCAAGCCGTCTCGTTTCCATTGCCATTCTCGTGGCGCTAGGGAGCCGCCCCCTTCAGATGCGACGAGGCAGGCTGCCTCATGGCAACGATGCGATTGAAGCCGCCCGCATCGCTCCCTTGGCCAGAGCCGGCATTGGTCCAACCAGAGCAACGCGCCCCCGGCCCCTCAACAGCCTCCAACAGCTCTCATGCGACGCCCTCCAGCCGCCGACCCAAGCGCAGCGCGCAGCGACAAGAGCCCAAGTCCGCGAGCAGACGCCGTGCGTGCAAATTTCTCGCCATCGACCCACCACGTCTTCGGTGCCCTGGTCGTCGTGCTAGTGCTCGTTTTGCAGTTCCTAGCCCCGCGTCTGCCGCACGAGCTCCTACGCCTCACCACAAAGGACAATTGGGACAGCGCCTCGTCCGCATTCTCTCCACGCGAACACCCGCTTTCCAGAGAACCGCCCGTCTGTCCGAGGCCCTCGCATCGCGTCAAGCCCGCCGGCACATTCAACAAGAGAATCAACAGGAACACAGCGCGCAGCATGGCCTTGGCCGAGCAGGCAAAGCGCGTCGCGGACGAGTTCAACTTCGGCTCCGATGCCGTCAACAAGGCCGTCCACGAGTTCATACGGGAGATGGGTGCGTGCTACAACACACGACACGGCGAGCAGCCACTGACTGCTCATAGACGAGGGGTTGCTGCACGAAGGCACAGAGTTGAGCCAGATCCCCACTTACGTCACTGCCGTCCCCAACGGCACCGAGCAGGTGCGACCACCGCAACACACGACAAACACACAATGGCACCACTGATGCACCACAGGGCCTCTACATGGCTGTTGACCTCGGGGGCACCAATTTTCGTGTGTGCTCCATCCAATTGCACGGCAACACCACCTTCTCGCTCACCCAGAGCAAGGTCGCCATACCAAAGGAGCTTATGGTCGCCAAGACCTCCAAGGAGCTCTTTTCTTTCCTGGCCAAGCAGATTGAGAATTTCCTCAAGACTCACCATGAGGAGCACTACACTGGCCATATCAGGCGCAGAGACACTGGCGGCGCTGTCAAGGAGGAGGAGATCTTCAACCTGGGCTTCACCTTCTCGTTCCCTGTGAACCAAATTGGCATCAACAAGGGCCTCCTCATGCGCTGGACAAAGGGTTTTGATATTGCTGACGCTGTAGGCAAAGACGTATGCGCCCTGCTCCAGTCCGAGATCGACGCACTAGGCCTTCCCGTCCGTGTCGCCGCTCTCGTGAACGATACCGTCGGAACGCTCATGGCTCGCTCCTACACCTCTCCCGGAAAGACGGGTACGCTGCTGGGCGCCATCTTCGGCACTGGCACAAACGGTGCATACGTAGAGAAGCTCGACAAGGTCACCAAGCTCACAAAGAGCAAGGACTCGGGCGACTACGACAAATCGACGGGCGAGATGATTGTCAATACCGAGTGGGGTTCGTTCGACAACTCGCTACGCACCCTCCCTAACACTCCCTACGACATCGAGCTCGATGAGAAGTCTGTGAACCCCGGCATACAAATGTTCGAGAAGCGTGTGTCTGGCATGTTCCTCGGGGAGATCTTGCGTCTCGCTATCATCGGCCTCCTCAAGGATCCCACCTTCCCGCTGTTCCGCGACGAGAACTCGGCGCAGAACGACATCCACAGCACCACTCAGATCTACGACAATTCACCGATATACAAACAGTGGGGTATTGATACCAGTTTCCTCAGCATTTGCGCTGGAGACACCAGCCCTGGCTACAGGATGGTCAGGCAAACCCTGGATAAGGACTACGGTATCACCGCCGTGAGCGCCGAGGACGCAGAAGCCGTCAGGGCTATTGCAGCAGCCATTGGCCGTCGCGCAGCGCGCCTCGCAGCTGTTGCCATTGCAGGCATCGTTATCAACACGGGCAGACTAGACGCTACCAAGGGCACAGCAACAACGGAGCAAAAGACAGGTATAGACCCTCCGCGAGGCGACGCAGACCTTGCTGAAGAGGACGTCATCGACGTTGGTGTCGACGGCTCGCTCGTAGAATTTTACCCCAACTTTGAAGACCACATCCGCGAAGCTTTGCGCGAGATAGAAAGCATTGGCGCGAAGGGCGAGAAGCGCATCAGAATTGGTATCGCCAAAGATGGATCTGGTGTTGGCGCAGCGCTCATCGCGCTCGTCGCTGGTAGGGTAGCTGTAGACACCGAGTAGAGAGAGCATGTGACGTTGAGCGTCATGTTTGGGTAAAATGTTGGGAAACACGAATCTTCTTGCTATCATTTGCATATAACCTACAATCAAAAGCTACATGAATCCATTATCAGCTCGTTGTGCATGCATTTCAGCAATGTTCTAATTCGGGTTCCCCATCATTGTTCGCTAAAGTGCAGCCTTAGCTGAAAACTGCATTAAATGAAAGGTGCGCCATTGCTTGGATTCGTTCACGAGTGTGTCTTGTTCTTTTCTTGGGTGCTTGGTAGAAAGTAACAAAGCCTTTGTCTAATACGCCATCTTTATTGCCTCGATAGCATCCCACACCTCAAGTCCAATTCACTTCTTCCGTCCACTATGGTAGCAAAAGTATGTAAGTCCCAAAAATCTCAATCATTCTTCACGATGCTGCCTGCTATAGAAACCACCCTCTCTCAGCGTCACAGCACACTGCCTGGCACCTGAATCCTTTTACACCCCCCACCCCAAAAAAAAAAGACATCGGCCATATAAACTCTCATGACGACCTCGACACAGTTCGACTCACAGAATGCTGTAGCATTATACGGCGGGCTTCCCATTCACAGGCTGCTGCACAGTCGCCGTCAGAACCCGTACATCCCAACCAAAAAAAAAAACCCCAATGTCATGATCATAAAGAATTCAAAGCCTAGAGAGTCCAGCCTCTATAAGCACGCACAAGGCTGTATAATCCTTCACATACATCTAAGTGACTCTGTTCGTTCCTCGTCAACTCTCGGTTGCGAATCATACGAAAGCCACACACGGAAGATGCTCTCACTCGTTCAAAAAAAGGACGAATTCGCTTTGAGTAAAAGAAACATTCTAAGCTAGTCCTACGAAGTTAACCTTGCCCTAGGATTTCCCTACTAGGCCTATACTACTCTACGCTGAGTGTAAGCCCTTTGTTAAGCTGCTATTGGCTCTAACCCCCGGAACTCAAGATGCATTGATAGGAAAAGAAAAAATATCTTCAAATTCGTAGGAATTTGAAAACCACCCGATATGGGGGTCGAACCCATAACCTTGAGATTAAAAGTCTCACGCGCTAGCCAATTGTGCCAACCGGGTGTTCAGTTAATTGATGGAGTACATTTGAAAATAAAAATACATATACCAGAGTAAACGGAGCTCAAAAATGGCTTGCAAAAAGTGTACGGCGGTTGGGCGGGGTAGTGGGAAGCAGGTGGGGCGCGACGGCGCCAGACGCGTTGGACACGTCATCGATTACTGTGGAATGCGAACATGAACGCGAAAGCGCGCGTTTTGTTGCTATCTAAACGTAGAGCCTTCGAATGGAGCCGGACTGCTTTCGGGTTGCAATTATTAACCGGCTCGCCCTATGCAAGCTCTGCTGAGGTCTGCAAACGTGGGAGAAGTTAATGGGTATCCGCCACTCTGTGAGTATCTATAATGCTACGGTTTGACCCCAACACATTGAAGATCTATCGCAAAGCAATTTCTTCATTTGTCCGGGGAACTCTCTCGGAGTCCAAAGTGAACAGACTAGACGGCATACATCTCAGCATCGCAGTCGCTTTCTTGACGATGGTACACAGAGTTATAGTTTCTAATCTACGGCACCTTCGTAAACTTCACGTTTAGTATACATATAGTTACAACCAAGTAAAATCTACAAAAAAGTAGGGCTTACTATTCCGAGTATTTGAGAATAGCCCCTGGTATTCAAGAGCGCGTCTTCTAGATTGCTTATGCAAGCAAATTGCAAGTGTGGGCCAAGCCCCAGCACGCAAGCCTTCTCGTAGTTTCCTCGCAACACCATTCAAACTATAAAACCCCCACTTGCCCTGAAGACCCTCTAAAAACACGAAGGTAAAGCGCTCGTACGTCTGGTTAAAAATCAGCAATCAGAATAGTCCGCAAGCCACAACCATGGCAGAACTCAAACACCCACAAAACATGACCGACCTACAAACACTCTTCGCCTCAACCACGTACGTCGCCATCGACTTCTACGCCGACTGGTGCGGGCCCTGCAAACAAGTCGCACCTTACTTTCAAAACCTGGCTAAACAGCATGGCGTAGACGGCACGCTAGCGTTCGCAAAGGTTAACGTGGATACTGCGCAGGACATTGCGGCCGCGTACAGGGTACAGGCGATGCCGACGTTTATGTTCTTCAAGGAAGGGAAGCAGGTCGCGGTGAATGGGAACAAGGCGATTCAAGGGGCGGATGTGAGGAGTTTAGGTGCGGCAGCGGAAAAGTTGGGAGATTTGGCGAAGAAAAGAGCTGCAGAGAAGAGCGGTTAAGCAGGGTGAGCAATAGACGACAGATGTCTGAGAGGGATGCTGGCAAGTTCGTGCCTTCCGATGAGGAGCGAGGGGGCTTTTCAAGGGTATATTACGACATCGTTATCGCGACCTGAAAAGAAATCGATTCAAGACACGCCAACGCTACTCCGGTCGCAGACCTTTCCCTTCTACCTTCCACTCTAAATATCAACAAACACGCCGAAGACACCAAAGCCCTGCATCGCCGCTCCCGCTCTGTCCCGGAATTGACTTCCAATCCACTCGTTCTCGCCCGACCATGCTGTTGTTGTTTGAGACTACCTCGACCGGCTAGATCGGGTATCATGATCTGCATCTCTAGCTGTTCTTTCGCGCTGGTGGAGGCCGACATCTTGAACTTGCCGTTCTCGATCATGTGCAGAATGGGTGTGTCGACGGTTTTTTTTGCCTTGTATCTGATGATGTACCGCTGTTTTTAGTATTTGGACCTGATTCCCGTCTACGGCATATCTACGGTGTGAGGATTGGTATGCAACGGTGGGTTACAAGTACTCGATCATAGTACGAAATTGATGGTGGCGTAGCCTGTGGGACGATGTTTGGTTGCTTAGATAGAAAAGGGTGCATCTTGCACGCTTCATATTGTGGATGAGACTCACGAGGAGTCATAGAGGTGGGTGACTGTCTGCAAGCTGTGTCTGAGTGTGTGGCAGGTGAGTTTCCGTTTTTGGGCACGGCAATACTGTTATCTGTTCGTGAGACTAGCCGTAGACGCGCGTGGACTGTGAACGAGCTTCAGAAATCAAGTCACTATACTGAGTAGTGGATATGATTCACATGCAACGAGGTTCGCTGGCTGCTGTTGATAGCATGCGTGAGACATACGAAGCGGCCGGTTGGTATTGGTTGATGCCCGGAGAATCCTCCAGGCTCTGGAACAGCAAGACTGTAACCAACTCGCAGAGTACTGATGCAGGTCGATCGAAGCCTTGTAGAGCGGTCATTGTGCTCTGCAGGGTTCCAGAAGGGTTCGCTTGCCGGTACGAGTCCACCGCCAAACGGCACGGGTCGGCTCGATTCGGTGCAGTGCGTGTCCCAGCATTGACGACATTAAGTTAGTAGACTCGCCATAGTGCCGTCCGACAACCCAACAGCCGGTGCCATCACACCGTTTGATAGCCATACAAAGGTTCCCAACTTTATGAGCAAGGAGCGGTCGGCAGCCCCGTAGAAGAGTCGTGTGGATGACTTGGCTGGCGTAGCGTACATCCCCGCATCACGTCTGACTGGGGCATGGGCACGCGCGCATAGCCAATTGTTACGCGCAACAGTCGGTGAGGCCGAACAACAGCATCCGCGCGGGTGAAGAAGGATGAATTTGAGGTTATCCGAAAAGCCCGTCCGTCTCGCGCCCCAGATGGGTGTTGTTTGGCGCCAATGTCAAGCACGGTGGGTCCGGTAGGTGTGGTAATGTCGAATAACAAGCGGAGCTCGCGCAGAGCCGCACTACACCGGCTTCGATGGAGCTGTTGGCGGGCACGGCGGTGAGCATAAAGAATCGACGTCGTCTCGGACGGGCGCTCGAAGGATGCGTCGAAACGGAACGGATCTGAACCAAACCAAACGAACCTCGGGCGCTAAATACCACCCTAACAATGACACCTACCAGGCGCCGCATGCGTGAAGACATGGCGATACCCAACTGTGAGTACCTCTGTCCTGATTCGTCTGCGATGGCTGCCTGCAATACGGCTGCACTGCACCTGGGAAAGGTACACGAGCCTGAGGCTGACGCTGGCCTGAGCCACACCAGTGTCGCTGCGGAACCCTGAATGCCCCGCCGGCGTGTTGTCCCTCGCGGGCATTCTCGAAGATCCCATCACACAGAGCCCGCTCGGCGAATGGTTGCAGTCTTCCAACGAAGACATTCACGCGCGCCTCGCGCACTTCTCTTCTTTCTCTGACGGCCCGGGGCCATCTTCCGCTTCCGTCCCTTCGCATTCGCACTCGCACTCCGTTCGGAGCACCGGTTCCTCGATGGCGCCTGCTTGCGTCAACCATTCCGACGCCTCCACTCAAGCACCCTCCCTTTCCAACTTCTCCGATGCTACCCCGACCGAAACCTCCATCAGCACGGGGCAGGCCAGCTTTTTCACGGGCGGTGTGCCGCTGCTCGAGGACGATAATGGGGTGCTCGTGCGGCCACAACACACATGCCGGACCCCGGTGTACGAGTGCGCGTTCTGGTTCTTGAGATGCTCATACATCTCGCACAACATGGAGGAGTGGCATACACACTGCCTCAGCCACTTTCACGGTCACGAGCCTCCTTTGTCGGCACGATGTCCGTTGTGCGATTGGGAGTTCCATGGCCAAGACGGAAAGATAGCTTGGGACCATAGGATGGATCATATTGCGTATGTCCATTTCCAGCGCGGGCAGACCTTGAAGACAAGCCGTCCCGACTTCGGTCTCTTCCACCACCTCTGGAATAAACGATTAATCGACGACCAGGACTTGAAGGAGCTGAAAGGAGGAAACCACAATCTGACAAGAGTGCCAACCAATTATACCGTGACGGGGACAGGCCGCCGCGATAGAGACGGCCGGAGGCAGCGAGCACAACATGTTGGTGTTATGAGACGTCAGGTGCCGCGTACATGATGGTGCTCGCCTGCCATACTTACCACAGAAACCGTGCAGGTGGTACATAACCACCGACCGGTGAGCCACATTCGGATGTCCACAATGCTGGCCGGCTTCCTGCATCTTCGATACTTCAGCTTCGCGCCGTGGCCCGTTTTTGGGTTACATCCTTCTTCTCCACTCGATACCCGCTTCATAACTCTTGATTTAGCTGGAGTTCCCGCTAATTTGGTCGGCGGAGGGAACTGGCATCTTTGGCGTTCGGACGAAATTGATAGCGTTCTTGCGATTTTGCTTTCTAGCGTTGCTGCTGTATTAAACTGCCTTTGGACGACATCGGGTGGAGTGGATTGAACCAATCCAGTCCGGACCAAAAAGACTGTACGGATGAGCGGCAGCGTAGTAATATAGCGTCCTCAGAGGCCGTCCCTTTTTATATCCCGCCCTCGCATTCCTTCCAGCCAGCCCCCGCCAGGTCTTATTTGCCTGCTTTGTGGCCATAGCAACGCGCACTGCGATAGGTCACTTGCAGAACCAGCAGCCTTGCCGTCTGACCAGCGCGTCGCGAAAATCTCTCAGCTCTGTGCCGCGGGCATTTCAATGTGGATGCCTTGGACAGTATGCCCGATATGGTTTAGTGGTTACGCGATCGGGAAGGGCTATGCGCGTGCCGCATTGCGTGCGGGATGCGAACGCCTGCGTTCAAGGAAGTTGAGCGGAGAATAGGATGGGGTTGAGTTCAAGGAAGAAGGAAATTGAGGGGTCCAGGGTACTTCTGGTAACATCGACACTTGGAAGCTTACTCCAAGGTCTACTATCAGGGAAGGCGCGTCTAACACGAATTGCTCGTTTAATAAGGTCAATACCTCGAAGTGTCAACAGCTTGCTTTTGTTATTTTCCGTTTTCGTCCTGACTTTGCGGTCGTGATAGCATTTTATTCAACGATCTCACCCATTAAACATCAACGTCCGAAACTGAGCTCGGAACCCCGCCACAATGCCAACGAATTTGCAATGCTTTTCAAGGACGCTACGGCGCGAATTTTCGTACTCTAGCTCGGACCATCGCCGCTCAAATCATGTGGCGAAAGTCCACGTACTATGGAGATAACGCTCATTTAAGATGTCTTGGGGCGTCGTGTCATACACAAAGGCGGGTGGTGTGAAGAATATGTTTGTTGCCGCAAGCAATAGCGTCATGAGTAGCATAAAACCATTGAAACGAGCGGTTGGAACGTAGGATTACCGGGGTGCTATGCGGAGTGAACAGGCATCTTATCAAATTGTACAACACGAACGCAAAAAAAAATCCTTTAGCGAGCGGCAAGGGCTATGTACAATGACTATTAGCATGGCGTAATTACGGATTATGCTACATTCCAAGTTAACAATATGCAGCGCATGCCAACCAATGGTAACCCAAATTTCGGGGTGGAAGCATAAGTGGAAAACATTCCAATTTCAGCGTCTGCGTCAAAGCTATTCTCGCTGTCAGCGTCCAATTCAAGGGACGGCCTCGCCAGACTTTACCTGAAGTGATGTATCGTTAAGCTATGCTCTATCATTTCTGTCAGGCTTCTGTCCACACTCATATCTTAATCTATATGGACTTGCTGCCTCTTTCAAACTCGGGTTATATCTGGTCACGTACCGACCACGAGATCGATGTTAAATACTCAATTCCCATTTGCACCGCCCATAGAGCCTTTATCTCTGGAGGGATCTGATTTCTGTCTTCCCTTGAACAGCATCGCCCCAGACAGATAGTACTCCATACAATAGTCCCTTCATTTACTTTAAACGTTGAGACTATTTCCGTAAAAGCCATGTCATCTCATTCCATTCTCTGTGACATTTATGCCCTTCGCACAATGTTTTTTTTCGGCCCCAACGTTCCTTCGGGACATCTCAACAGGCTGGCATCGATAACAAGCCAGCCATAAGAGCGCCTTCTTTTGTATGTCATACCAAATCTCATCGCATCGCAACGTCGAGAGAATACATACATTGGCACAAGCCCATGCAAATTTTAGATGCGACGTCCTCCATTCTCGTACGTACACAGACATCCTTGGTGCAAGTCTAAAAGCCACGCCTGCCCACTCTCGCCTCCTATGCTTCATTACCTCCGAAAAGTCGAGGAAGATGTACGGCTTTCATTGTCAATCTCTGTGTATAACTTGATAACAATGTAGCGACTCCAGCGACCCAATCGGCTCATGCCTCACACCTGGCACATTGTCAGACGACGAAGAGTCTGATCTGTAAATTTATCATCTTGTGCACACCCTCCTCGTCACAATCTGAGTGACATTGGCGCTGCTTCACGCTTCGAAGCTGGGCCTGTTACGCCTCGGGACTGCGGTTCCGCGGCCTGGAGGCGTGTACACGAAACACCCGTCGAAGTGGACCACGATTAGAGCTGCGCTGGAGGGGTTGTACTGCCGTCAAGCAAGTGTCGAAATCAGAAAAGAGCTCGAGCGCTTTCATGGGGTTCCTGTCTTGGGAGCAGGCTGGTGCAAGGTTCTTAGAATACCGTGCGATTCGCGACGAACTGATAGTGCTGGTCATGAAGGTCTTCGTTGCCGATCGTCGAGTATCATCCTCGCCGCCAGGACTCTAAAGTTCTGATTTGTTGCTTGGGGTGGTGCATTGGTGGAGGCTTACGCAGTCCTCTGGTATTGACCGGCTGTTGACATAGCAATGGGTCACTGGGTGATCTCGTGTATCGTAGTATCTGGTCAATAGGATCTTTGGTGCATAGATGAGCCGCAGAAACCGCCATACACTTCCGGTACAAGCCTACCTAACTCCAGTTCCCAGGTCATTGCCAATTTCTTTCTCGTTACCTAAAGCAAATAAAAGCTGACACCGCAACGATCGCCTCGGATCGCCAGATTACAACCACTAGCGAGCGTTGTTCTTCGGCGGTGCCGTAGCCGGACCCTCGGGCGTAACATAGCACTTAGTCATGCCGCCATCGACGACGAAATCCGTGCCATTGACGAAGCTGCTCTCATCACTGGCAAGGAAAAGAACCGCCTGTGCCTGCTCGACAGCCTCACCGAAACGGCCAGTAGGGAAGTGCACTTCACGACGGTGGCGCTTTGCCGCGTCGTCGCCGAGCCAGTCCTGAAGCAGAGGGGTGCTGCACGCGTTAGCACGTGGTGAGCACAGCTTGAAGAAATAACTCACTTGAGCGGCGCTGGGCAAAGAGCATTGAAGCGGAATCCCTCCCTTGCGTGGACCATGGCCAACTCCCTCGTCATTGCCAGGACCGCGCCCTTGCTCGCGGTATAAGCAAGCTGAGGCGTCGCGGCACCCACAAGTGCGACGACGCTCGCAGTGTTGATGACGCTGGCTTTGTTCTTTCCATGCTCCCTGAAGCTCAACACAGCATGCTTGCTGCCAAACCACACGCCCTTGACATTGATTGCCTGGGTGAGATCCCAGATCTTCTCAGGCGTATCGATCGCGTCGGCGTCGTCGGCATGCATGATGCCGGCGTTATTGAAGATGACATCGAGGCCGCCCCAGGAGTCAACATGTTTCACCATGGCTTCGACGTCGGATTCCTTGGAGACATCGGTGACTTTGGTATCGAGCTTCTTGGCATCTGGGACCTTGGACTTGAGGGTCTCGAGGGCCTTTTCTAGGGCAGGCCCCGAGATGTCGGAGAGAAGGACATTGGCGCCTTCGCGGGCAAAGAGGATGCAGGTTTCCAGGCCAATTCCCCTGGGATTGCGTTAGCTGCTAAGGATGGGTGTTGGAGTATGAACGGGAACTGAGATCAGAAGGAAAACATGTTTGTCAATGAAGACAAGGTATGTGGTGTGACAGAACGGAAACGTGACTCTGGAAATGGAGAGTGAGGCAATCATGTGCGTTTGTGAATATGCGTTGGGGCCAGATCTTTGTGTACGCACCCGGCGGCTCCCGTGACGATGCAGTTCTTTCCTTCGAGACGACCCATGTCGAATGTTCTTGCTCTTGATTTGTTTGACAGTATGAGAGGTGAATGGATCTGTGGAAATATCAGTGGGCTGTATGAAACACGAAAACGAGCTTACGCAAAGCTCTTATAATCATGGATCTTATGACTAATTTTGGTGGGGATGATCCCTTGTGCAGATAGCAGGGTGTCGAAGGTCTCCAGTACTTACTGAGGTCGGAAATTGTTTACTTGGTCGATCTGCAGCTACCCGCACTAGGAGAGTGGTGTTGAAGTCTGACAGAAGAGTCGTGATGTGACTGAGGCTCACGGCGGATAGTGTCGGTGATAGTGGGTGCTTCCGAAGTCGGCCCTAGATATCGTTTGGTTAGATAAGGGGAACGCGTGCGACCCTGTGACGCCGCCATACACGCAGACATGTGTAGAATAAGCTAGCGGTGAGAGACTGTTGCTCCTTCGCTCAATTTACGTCTGCGAATGTCGACTATCTGGATTGTACGTGGGATCTAGGATGGCGATCTGTTTACGAGACATGCCCCTCCAATAGGAGTGCGGGGTAATTCCGTGCGAACGGCTTCACTGGGCACCATATTTTTCTCTGGAACGACTAAGTTCTATCTCGATCATGAAGTAAAAACGATTTGAAACTTGCTGCAAAATGTATCTTGCTGTTGATCCTATCCTACACTGATTTGACGTGAATGTGGGAGTTATCATGCAAGTCTCGATGAGCCATCGTCATTGGCCCGAGCTCCAGCCGCACACGACCAGCTATCCGTTCCAGAAGCCTTCAGACCAAACCGGCTTTATCGCTGCTATCACTCCTTCCTGTGTTTTGCATACATTCTCTTCTCGTTCCTACCATCCTCTTCCCCCTTCCGCGACGCCTTTTGTCGTTTCCCCTACCCACCGCAACCATGTCCGACACCGAGGAAGTGACCCTCGAGCACCTCCCCGAGCTCCTCAAAAACGACAATGCCGTCAAAGTCGCAGGCGTAGACGTAGACGGTGTCTTGCGCGGCAAGCTTATGGCGAAGAAGAAGTTCCTCTCCATAGCGCGGGAGGGCTTCGGCTTCTGCAGCGTTATCTTCGGCTGGGACATGCACGACCAAACCTACTTCCGCGAGCTGGGCATCTCGAACAAGGAGAACGGGTACCGCGACGTCATTGCGATACCAGACTTGTCGTCGTTCCGCAGAATACCGTGGGAGAACAATGTACCCTTCTTTTTAATATCATTTCATGACCCGGACACGGGTGGGAGTCTGAGCGCGTGTCCGAGGAGCATATTGAAAAGGACCGTGGACAAGCTGAAGGGGAAGGGCTATGGAGCAATGGCTGGTGGTGAGTCGTCTCTGTGAAAGCAGAACAGATGCTGCGCGTCGCCTTTCGACATCTGACTTTGAGTTTGGCAGCCGAGTACGAATTCTACCAGTTCAGAGCGCCGCAGAGCCACGACGGTCCCGAACGCAACTCCTCATCCACAGCATCGTTCCTGAAGGAAAACCCTGTAAATTCACTTCCTCCGCTCACAGAAGGTATGTTCGGCTACAGCATAACGCGGCCGGTCCACAACCAGGACTACTACTACGGCGTCTTCGACGCATGCGCCCAGTTCAACTGTGGCATAGAAGGATGGCACACAGAATCCGGTCCCGGTGTATTTGAAGCCGTACGTATATCCTTCTACAACATCTTCTCTATCACTAACAGCGTAAAGGCTCTCGAATTCGGCGAAATAACCGCCATGGCAGACAAAGCCTCCCTCTTCAAGCTCGTCGTCAAGTCACTCGGCTCCAAACACGGTATAACTCCCTGCTTCATGGCGAAACCGCGCGAAGGCCTGCCAGGCAACTCCGGTCACATGCACGTTTCCATCGTCGACGACTCCGGCAAAAACCTCTTCTACCGCGGCGAAGAAGACGCCTCCCCACCCTATCCAGACGTGCGCTTCCTAAGCGATCTCGGCCGCCACTTCCTCGCAGGCCTGATCGACGGCCTCCCAGACATCATGCCCATCCTCGCGCCTAACGTAAACAGCTATAAACGCCTGGTTGAGAACTTCTGGGCGCCCGTGACGGTGAGCTGGGGGCTGGAGCACCGCGCCGCTAGCATACGTTTGATTTCCCCGCCGACGTCTTCGGGAAAGGCAACGCGCTTCGAAGTCCGCGTCCCGGGCGCGGATACGAATCCGCATTTTGTGCTGGCTGCCATCCTGGCACTAGGCTGGCGCGGTATCGAGAAGAAGATGAAGATTGCTATACCACCACTGGGCAAGGGCGAGGATGTGGGCGGGGAGAGCGATAAGGGTGTCAGACTGGCGAAAAGCTTGAAGGAGGCGACACAGAGGTTTATGAGCAAGGATAGCGTGGCGAGAGAAGTTTTCGGCGATGAGTTTGTGGACCACTACGGAGGAACAAGGGAACACGAGATTAGGCTGTGGGACGAAGCGGTTACCGATTGGGAGGTGAGACGGTACATTGAGACGGTGTAAAGCTGTCTGGGTATCTGGAGGAGGGTTTTTGGTTACGCAATCTTGATATCCTGCGATGTCTTCGCACGTACATGAAGCCAAGAGCAACGCTGATGATTTCGTAGATATTAGTGTTATGTACGGTACGCTATGTGCGTCGTTCTTTATCCATACTCTCACACTCACAACCCAATCAAATTCTTTACGCCCGTAACTTTTCCCCTCAAATCCCCATACCCAACCCACACAACCCCGCACGCCATCTTCCACGCCCTCTGCCCTGCCCCCTCTCCCTTCAGTGGCAAATCCATCGGGCCGGGGATACTCGTCTTCGCCAACCACGGCCAGCGATCCCTCGTGACAGCCTTCTGGTTGCACACACTCCTCAGCCCCTCCTGTCCCGCAAACCTCCCGTAACCGCTGCCCTTGACGCCGCCGAAGGGAAGCTGCACCATGTAGGTGACCGCAAAGTCGTTGACGGCGACCATGCCCGCGTGGACTTCACGGACAACGCGCTCGAGATCGTGATTGGAGGAGCCGTAGACCGAGGCGCCGAGGGCATACGGAGTCGAGTTTGCAATTGCGATAGCCTCGTCTACGGAAGAGGTGCGCATGAGTGTGAAAACCGGGGCGAACAGCTCTTCCTGGGCGATTTTCATGGATGCGGTGACGTCGACGAGAAACGTCGGGGCGAAGAAGTGTCCCTTGGGATGCTGCGGGTGGACGTAGCGCTTCCCGCCGCATATAAGGCGCGCGCCTTGGGCTACGGCGTCTGCGATGAGAGATTCCAGACGAGAGAAGCCGGCGTCGGAGATGCAGGCGCCAATGTCAATGGAGGCATCGTCTGGGGAGGTGTTGAGGATGGACCCTGGGCGGAGGGCTGTGATGCGCGGCGTAAGTTGTTCGATCAAGCGATTGTAGACATTCGGGAGGGCAATGATGCGCTCTATGCCTATGCAGTTTTGGCCGGCGGACTGGAAGACGCCACGCATGAGGATGCTGGATACGCGATGAAAGTCGCTGTTTGATAAGTCGTCCAGGACGATGGCCGGGTCTTTGCCTCCTAATTCGACGCAAACTGGTGTAAGGGCTTTCGACGCAGAGGCACAGACATGGTGAGCGACTGGGCGAGAACCGATGAAGGTTATGTGTGCGATGCCCGGGTGGGAAGTAAGGTATTCGGCGACACTAGGCCAGCACACGACAGATTGAACGATATCTGAACTATGTCCGCAGGCGACGAGGGCGGAGGTAGCGATTGATGCGAAGTAGCTGCTGGACCAGGCCGTGTTCTCTGAGCCCTTTACGATGATGGCGTTACCGGCGAAGATAGACGCAATGACGGGAGATATAAGGTTGTGGAACTGCCCAACATTAGAAACCGTTGGATGCGATCGATACGTGAAGAGCTCACAGGGTAACTAGTAAACGTTAGACATATGTTGTATTAGTGATGAGGGAGCACTTACTTCCAGCTCACACAAGCCGCCACAACGCCCAGCGGCTGCCACATCACCTCATGCCACTTGTACGCCATCAACAGATTGCCCGGCCTACTCTCGTTCCTCAAACTGTCTTCGCCATGCGCAATAACCCACCTAAGCTTCTCCACTGTAACCAAGATCTCTCCCAAACTCGCATCCACCATCGTCTTCCCAGAATCGAGACAAGCCACCCGCGCAATAGTCTCCTGATTTTCCAAGACAAACCGCAACATCGTCTTGAGCACCTTCCTCCGCTCTGCGAACGTCGTCTGTGCCCATTGTATTTGTGCATCGGCGGCTTTGGCAATTGCGCGGTCGATCGAGGACGTGGTGGAGGGGTTGACCCGGCCCAGAGACTCGCCGGTTGCGGGGGCGTAGCATTGGATTGAAGAGGAGCCGGATACCTTTAGAGAGTCAATTGCATCCTCCACAAGAGGCTACAGTATTTCACCTTCATGGAGAGGTCCTGCAGCACCTCGCCCTTCCATCCAGACATGACCTGCTCTGGTGGTGCGACATTATAAGGAACCGCCTTCTCAGAGTCGCCGCGAAACAAAAAGTAAAAGAGACACAAGGTTGCGACACCAACTGCATAGAGCAGCAGAGGGTTGTAGTCCTGCAATCGCTCCATGATGCGCGTAAGAGAATGTGTTGCTGGACCCTGGAAGGTTTTCGGAGCGAACGCGACACCAGATCATGAGATGTGCTGGAGCCAATCAGAGCGCGGTGCCTGGCGGAACGGGGTCGCTCATTCTGCTTTTGGTGGAATTGGATCACCCCACAATAGGTTCAGATGTTGGAAAGAGCGTATGTTGTTTGTAGTTAATACTGATATATCAATAATGTCCGGTTTGGTACCTACGGTCATTGACTTCCAATGGCCGTGGCACCCAGGACATGAGACGGACAGCTTGCGACTTAATTCACTATACAATCTGGGCTCTACACTAGAATCGGTCTGATATGCAGTAAAATGCATGAACCCTACCTATTAGCCCTCTAGCTTGTTCGACAGAGGAAGTAATTCGCCCAATACTCGGAACGGCATCGCAGGTTAATCATCTAGACTCTATGTAGCTTTGGAACGTTGGAATGACCGTCATGATAGTTATTGTGCATACATGACCTACCCTATACGACCTACTTGATCGAACGAATTTCAAAATTGCGCAGGGTACGAATATACCTGTGGCGGCCGTTTTCTGTGAACAGGAACAGGGAGCTTCGGAATGTGGGGGAACTTAGGCAGTCAGTCTCACAGAAGCCTTCTGAGGGTCAGCCCCAGCCAGGCGTGATAACAGCAGAAGACTGGGGATAGTCTTTACCTAAGTACTCAAGAGAGGGCTTAGTACACGAATGGTGTTGCTCCCGACTGAGCTACACACGCTTCGACGCCATGCCGTGCATCATGACATTGGCGAGATTCGCCACCAGAGAGGAGGCGTTGCGGGCCGGCCAAACCTCGATTCGCGGACAAGCCAGCGGCGACACATCCGCGGCGCCACCGCTCCACACGGGTCGCTCAACGAATTTGCTTGTTCTGCCATCATGCCCTTCGCTGCACTTTGCAGCCGTAGCGATGGAATGACCTCATGAGGCCGCGCTGTGGGTGCGACAGCCAGTGTTGATGGGCGTGCAAAACTTGAAACCCGCCAATGCGTCCCAGCGTCCGCAGCCCCGTCATCCGCGGTTCTTCCCGCTGGCGACTCTTCGACCGCTTAGACGCCTTTCGATCGTCCATAGGGATGCGCCTGGTCATCATTATGCTGATGGGGTTCTGCTGTGAGGATTCGCGTGGTGAAAGAATGCATCCATCGAGATCGTTCTCCTAGTGTACCACAACATGGCTGTGTTCCGACCTTGGTGCTGGTAACACAACCGCACTTGTGGGATGCTAGGTCCACCATTCCATCCAGTGTGTGGTTTGCTAAGCATGACCCACGGAACAACAAAGGCATTGGCGGTGCGCTTCACGTGTTGACATGCACGTCTGCCAGCGTGGCGAAGCCAGAAGCCAAAATCAACTCCCGCCCAACGTCCCGAGTCTGAAAACCACCGGTAGCAGGCAGCCGTCAAGTGCCATGGTGTGACGGGATGCACGACCTTGTCAGCCAGAGCTCAGCCCACGCGGGGTCCGATCAGCGCGGGCGCCCATGCAAGCGTTTCCCGATATGTCGCAAGAGCCACTCCAGGATGCGTTCCCAGATGCGGGCGCGTAGACGAAACGTTGATTGCGGTATATGAAGCCAACTGCAAGCTTTCCCGGCGTGGGTGTCCAGTCGTAGATTAGAGTTGCGGGCAGGTGAGTAGACGTGCATCCGGTGGTGTAACCGTTGATAAATGAGCAGGTGCGTATCCTGTCGCAGGGGTAGGCGGCTTTAAGCATTGATCCTGGAAGTCGTTTCCGCTACCAGCCCTGCGGTAGATCAGTGTTGGCTAAATATGAGCAGTGCGTCAAGTGAGACTGCAGGCGGATGGGAGCATTATAGCGGCAAGCATGCGGCGTGATAAGAGGCCAGACACGTTGGCGACAAGGCAGATGTTCACGCGAATACGAGGTGATTGGGCGTACAATGCTCCCATCGTCAGCGTCTGCCTCCTTCTGCCTCGAGCGCATGCCCTGTTGATGCGCCGGCTCGAATGATTGCGAGAAACTTGAGAGGCCACATGGCGTACTTTTAGGTGCCGATAACCGTCGCCGCGCCTATGGCCCTCGACTCCTCTGGCACAGGGTGCACGAGGAGAGCTGTGGCAGTGGGGCCTGATTGATACAAGCTTCGCAGTGTCCACTTGGTGGCTTGACCTGGGGCGGCGCAAAAGAAGAGGAGCCTCGCCTTGGCAGGAATCGAATCTGGTTGCGCGCGGCTGGATCAGGCAATTCTGTAGGATTTGGCCGGAAAGGACCAAGAAGAAGCTCGTCGTCTCATCGTGCCCTGGACCGCGCCCCAAAATAACACATGTTGGCTGCCGCGCTTCCGGCCAAGAGCGCGCATGTCTCCGAATCAGACGCCTGAGCCACGCGAATGCTTGTCGAAGAAGCGTATTAGGGGGCGAAGGCTAGAATACATCATGGGTAGAGAATGTGCTCATGAGAGCTGTTCACGTTGTTCATGGCGCGCTTGGCGGGTCCTCAGGGTTCGTTCGTTTCCACATGACGCGCAGCCCCTAACTCCACCATGGCTTGCTCGGGCGCGGTCGTTCAGCCGGCCAGACGCAGCGTTTCACGTGGCTGCGGGCCACCAGAAAAAGCCCTGCTGCGTAGGCGTCGACGATGGCGCGACAGCTGCTAGACCAAGCTCGAGTGCTGGCTGGCAGGTACACGGGCGAGCAGCAGCAGCGTCCTCCGGCCTCGGCGAAGCTGAAGGCTGAAGCAACCCATGACCGACGCAGAGCACGCAGACGGTCTGACCCGAGGAGAACCCCAGGGGCCAGGCACTGCCGCAGGCTGCCGCCCCCAGGCCGGGCTCTGTGTCCAAAAAGACCCCAGCTGCAGGCTAATGCGCACAAATCACCGGCCCTTGTCAGGTTCGGGCAGGGCAGGGATGTGGCCCTCTGCCGGGCGGGAGGCGGAGAAACCAGTGCGTCACGGACCTTGAAGGCGAAGAACAGACCGGAAGCTTGGTGGGGACGGCAACATAAGCGGCTTGGGAGATCTGGTCCACTGTGGGCAGCCGCTCCTCGTGCTGCAGCGCCCCCGAGACACGATGCACCCACATCACCGCCCTCGAGCGGCGCTGTGCAGCAGTCAAGCGGGCCGGCGCCTCCCACTCCTCTGCGAGCGCCTGCGCCTGCTGCTGTGTGCTACCCCGGGCTGCACCTGTAGAGGTGGGCTTCGTGCATGCTGTGCACGCCTGGCAAGGCCGCGGTCGCGCTCACACGCCTAGGATGCGGGAAGCTGAGCGATCCGCGTCCAGTCCGATGAGTGGTCGTCGGCGCCCATGTCGCAAAGGAAGCCCCGCAACATCGCCCACGGAGCTTGTCTGGAGGTCGCGGCCATGTTGACCGTCGCCGACAGACAGACGCACGCCGCAGAACAGCGAGCAGCAGGCTGACGGATGCGGCACGCAAGCTCCGGAGAGGCGGGTGGAGGTTCTCTCTCTGACACTAGCCTCAACGGCGTCATGTGGGCGAGGCGACAGAGCCCCGATCGGCCAAATACAAACACTAGAGCTCCCAAGGAAGTTTCTGGTTCTGGTCCAGAAGAAGATGGACAGCCCGCGCTCGTTCTCTGGAGCGTCGATTTCCCTTCGAGGGGGCCGCCGTGGATGCGGAGACAGCTGCGTTTCGAACCGACGTGGGCAAGCGCGGAGCAACCGACCAGGCGACGAGGATGGCCCTCTTGCCAGCGCACATGTTTGGGTGGAATGGATCATCGCTCCATCGCCGCCTCCTCGCAGCTGAAAGAACCAGCAGGGCGGTGCTGGTGACGGGCCCGGGAATGGAAGCTTTTATGACCATGGCCTCGTGTCAAAGAACATCTGGGGTACCTCATCGCAACTGAATGCCCTCTGCAACGCGTCCAGCCGTGCCTGCAGCGGCCTCACTGCCCACTGCCTCGACGCCGGCGTGCGCCGAGCAGCCGTCGACCAGGGCGACAGGGCGGGCGATGCTTGCGGCAGGTGGCAGGCCGGCAGCAAGGAGAGTCGTGGGATCGCCTGAACTGGCCTGTCGTCTGTGTGGAGACGTGCGCCTGTGGGCCGCGGTGGTGGCTGCGCTACCCATGCACCGTAATCCCTGCTGCATGCCATGCCTTCGTCTACGCCATTCCCTAATCCATCTTACCAAAAGTCCATCTTGGCGCCTCGTGGGTTAGGGTTCTGCGACGTTGGACGGCGGTTCTTGCGCTCTCTTCGCCCTGCTCTCCCTCCTCCTCCCGTCTTCCCTCTCTGTGCCCATCTCTCACCATACTGTCCTCCCATTCCACCTCCACCCCTTTGCCGCTCCCATCGCGGCCCCGGTCATTACGACCACCCTCGCTCCCTCTGCACCTGCTTCGTCCCATCTGCGCTGTGTACACGCGCGCTCGGCGCCCAGTGCTCCGGCCAGCCTTCTGCTCGTTACCCCGTAAGTTCGGCCGGCGCGTCGCGTCTGCGCTTCAACTACGGCTCAGCGAGACATCTACTAACCTTCACTAGTCGAGCCTTCTCAGCTTATCTTGGCTGGCGCTTTCGACAGCAATTCGGGTTTTCATCCCGTCGCCGCTCGTCATCTCCCTCCTCTCGCTGCACCATCAATCCCCGCCTCAGACTCCGTGTCAGAGCGCGTGTTGGTAGCCCACGTCCGACATGGCGAGCCACCAACAGCCTTCGCCCACCACGGGCATGCCGCCGCACCACGGAGGCCCGCATATCGGCCATCCACAGCCGAACGGCCATCCCCAGCACATGAGCCAGCCGAAAACGCCGTCGCAATACCTTCAGCAGCTCACCGAGTCCGTCTGGACCAATCTAGGTACAATGCATCGCATAGCAAGCGAACTCGTGACAACGTCGCTAACGCGTCTTAGGGTCGCTGTCGGAGCAGATGCAGGACCTTGACGGCGCAATGCAATGCTACGAACAGGCCCTGAAGCACAATCAGTGGTCCATCCCCGCGATGCAAGGAATCGCCTGTATCCTTCGCACGCGCGACCAGTTCCCTCATGCTGTCGAATATCTGCGCACCATCCTGAAGGTCGATCCTGCGAATGGCGACGTCTGGGGCAGTCTCGGTACGTCGCCTGTTCAACTCAATCTGCACCACTTGTCTAACGCCTGCCAGGCCATTGTTATTTGATGATGGACGATCTCCAGCAAGCTTATTCAGCCTACCAACAGGCTTTATACCATCTGTCAGACCCCAAGGTATGTCGCATTCGGTGCGCTCTTTTTGCTCTCATGTTAACCTTACGAAAAGGAACCCAAGCTTTGGTATGGCATTGGCATACTCTATGACCGCTACGGGTCATTGGAGCACGCCGAGGAAGCCTTCTCCCAAGTGATGCGGATGGAGCCAAACTTTGAAAAGGCCAACGAAATATACTTTCGGCTTGGTATTATATACAAGCAACAGCAAAAGTTCAACCAGAGTCTGGATGTAAGTTTTGCGCTACACTCGAGCGCTCTCTCTAACAATTTCCAGTGTTTCAAGTACATCGTCACCAATCCACCCCGTCCCCTGACGGAAGAGGACATCTGGTTCCAGATCGGACACGTCTACGAACAGCAGAAAGAGGTATGTAATTTCCTACCACTCTCGAAGAGTTTATATTCTTATGTAATACACAGTTCGATTCTGCAAAGGCTGCGTACAGGCGGGTGCTGGAACGTGATCCGAACCACGCCAAAGTGTTGCAGCAGTTGGGCTGGTTGCACCACCAGCAAAGCAGCAATTACGCTAGTCAAGAGCAGGCTATTGAGTACCTCGAGAAATCAGTGGCTTCAGGTAAGTTTGGTGTACCATTGCGCAGGCTTTGTACCCATGCTAATTATATGATCAGATCAAACAGATGCACAGAGTTGGTATCTACTCGGGCGTTGCTACATGTCACAGCAGAAGTACCCCAAAGCGTATGAAGCCTATCAGCAAGCCGTCTACCGAGATGGGCGCAACCCGACGTTCTGGTGCTCTATCGGTGTGCTTTATTACCAAATCAACCAGTACCGCGATGCTCTTGACGCGTACTCTCGCGCCATTAGACTTAACCCGAACATTAGTGAAGTATGGTACGACCTGGGCACCCTGGTAAGCTCTCCCCCATCCCCCGTCTTTTCGTTCCACCTGACCATGTTATAGTACGAATCGTGCAACAACCAGACAGCCGACGCGTTAGACGCCTATCAGCGTGCAGCGGACCTCGACCCGTCTAACGTACACATCAAAGCGCGTCTCCAGTTGCTCCAAAACGGCCAGACCACTGCCGGCATGCCCAATCAAGGCAGTGCTCCCGCTCCGCAAGACGTTCACCCTCAAGCATACCAGCCTGCCTCCATTCATGGGCCCGCAGCTCCTCAGTGGGGCGCTCCTCAGCCCCAGCAACCTCCTCAGGGGCCTGCTCCTCCTGCTTTAGGTGCTTCCGAATGGAATCGTCCTCTGGCTCAGATCCGTGATCCGGGACTTCCTCCTCAGCAGCTGAACCCGTACGACCAGCGAGAGGGCATCCGCCCACCTGCACAGCATGGCGCTCAACGCCCACCAAGCCCATTGAAGCAGGAGCCGATGCGTCCTTACCAACAAGAGCCATCACGTCCTCCCACGAACGGTCCCGGTCCCGCTGGCCCTCCTCCACCGGCTGGCCTACGCCGCGGTCTGTCACCGTCCCCAAAGACTCACCACGCTGCCCCCAGCCCTTACCATCCTCCGCCACCTCAATTGACGCCTCAAGCGTCACAGGCACAGCCTCACCTGCCCCCGCATCAGCAACAGCAGTCTCAACAGCAGCAACAACAGGGCCCACCCCCGCCACCTCCCAACCGCATCTCGAACCCCAACTATGGTGCTCATGCCAACAACGGTCCTCCACCGCCACCTCCACCACCCACTGGATTGAATGGTCCGCCCAGTCAGGGCCCTCCGCAATATCCTCGCATCGGCAGCCCGGCTCCCGAGGTTCGCCCTATCGTCGAGAACAGGGCTGGATCGCCTCGTAACGGATACCAGGGCCCATACCATCATCCTGACCCATCTTCCGCTGGAGGTATCGCTAGTGGCGCTCCACCGCCTGCCTCTGCTCTCGCAGCTGCTGAGCAAGCCGCCCGTGACAGAGAAGATCGCCCTCCTACGGCACCGCCCAAGCGCCATCGGGAATGGGAGGACAGTGACCACCCACACCCCAAGCCACCCACGAACGACGAAAAACGCCAGAAACTAGAAGAACCCCATAGTCGGCGCCCATCTCCGCCTCACCGCATGTCGTCGCCGCAAGTCCCCCGCCACAGCCCGCAAGATGGTTCAGACCCTCGTCGCTTCAATGATGGCTACCACCCATCGGAGGCAGCGCATCACCCGCCTTCCTTACCTCCAATGCACACGCCACAGCCGCAGCCACCCCGCCTGTCTGAGACTCCTAAGCAGGAGCGCCCAGAGCATCACGAGCCGGCTGCTCGTCACATGGAGGTTGACGAGAATTATGATGACGATGGCGAGGAGAGCAAACTTGCCGCGGCCAAGTCTGAGCGTAGCAGTCCACGCGGTGCGTCTGTAAATGGCACATCCCATGCACCGACGCCTGTCGAATCGAAGCCGTAGTGGCGCTGCTTCTCAATTTGGGCCGTGCCATGAGCAATCCGCAATATTTCGATTCATTTTCGCTCTGAAGCATTCCCAATCCCGCTTCCGGTTCAGTCACTGGAACTTCGGCATTCACGATGTCTGAGCCGAACAAAGTTAGTCATGACCTTATTTTTATCGTTCGTGTATCGGCTCATATTGTCGGCATGTATCCTGGGAGTTGGTATTTTGGCGGCGTGCTTGGGGCAAAGATATCCAAGATATATGCGGTTTGGTAAGCGAGTTCATTATACTACGTGGGATGGCATTACTATCGGAGGACTATTGTACCACGACTGGATTGGTGGCCTTTTACATTTCTCTCATTAGAAGAACAGAATGCAATTGAATTCTTTACAAGATTCGTCAGTCCGAAAAAGAAAAAAAAAGAAGAAAAGATTCATCGTGAACACTTAGCTCCCACGCTTGAGAGGCATTTGCATCGTGATCTTGTTGTGGCAGGTCGATCGATAAATGAGTACCGACGCGTGCTTGTGCTGACTTCGGGAGGGCGCGTTTGTTTTCGTGGGTTGCGTCATCGGTTTCCCTCTCTCCCAACAATGCAGGTGACCATTACCCATCACCAGCTCCTGCGCACCCCGCGAACCCTCATCCCACGCAAGACTATCTTTCGCAGTCAACCCCATTTGCTCCAGACCGAGAAGCCCGCGCTTCTTTCATGCAACCCGTCTACATCCACTGCATTCGCCCTCCGCAGACCACGCACCACACCCGCATTCCATCCTTACACCCACTTCCACACGCACGCTCCCGTGAGAATGTCCGACGCAGACTACGAAGCGTTTCTCAACAAGGCGAATGCGGATACAGACGAAGGAACGGCGCAGGCAAAGACACAGAGCGAGGGGTACGGCACGAAGAGCGTGAATACTGCTGTGCCAAAGGCGCTGGAGAATGTCAAGGAAACGTACACGAGTGAGAGTGATGAGCCGTTTGAAGCTGTGGCGCTGAACTACGATGGAGATGCAATTAGTAGCCGTGAGTATTCCCTTCTAGGTGATGAGGCATGCATGAGTACGCCCTCGAGGCAAGTACGCGAGCCGCGGCGTCGCAAAATTCTTTACTATGGGACGATGTGTTGCTGCCAGAGGGTGGTGTCAGGGTCACGTCCACGGGTACTGCTGGCAGGGTGAACAGTGGACAAGCACCTAGAGGCTGGGTCATTGGCTATGTGTTGTTGACGATGTGGCTAACTTGGTAGCAGAACAACTCAAGACACTTGTGAGCCATAGCGACGAGGTCGAGGAGCTGAGTGTTAGCCAATGGGATCCGAAGGGCCACTATAAGAGCGTTGTGGATACGGTGAAAAGGGTTGTGGATGGGGAAGTAAAGGTGTTCAGGGTGGCATTGAGGGGCGCAAGAGAAGAGTACTATGTGGTGGGTGTAAAGGACGGGAAGGTGCTTGGGTTGAAGGCGCTGAGTGTGGAGTCGTGAGTGCATCGGAGTGTTACGATCTGTTGAATTTGTTCGATGAGATAGGGAGATGGCTCTACGATCTTACGAACCACGATGGGTAGGATTGTTGTTGGATATGAGTTTGGGAACCGCACGTGTATTCTCAGATCAAGGCTTGTAATGTCTGCTCTCTCTCCGGTTGCGGTTACGCGATGCTTCGTGCACAAGATCCTCATGGAGCTCGGAAGATGTTTCATTTCCGTCCCAATATAGTCGGGTCCTCAACGGTACGTATCCTGTGAAACAGACAGGGCATCAGCTGCGTCAAACAGCTTCAATGACGCGCATTGCAATACAGTCCGAAGCCTCGGCTACGGATCTACAATCGCCAGGGAGATCTCTGTTGATCAACGTTTACGAAGTTGTGATGTTGCATCCACCTTGCAAGGATGACTAGGTGGCCGCAAGTATGTGACATGATTATATGCATCGGTTCCCGTTTGCATGCAGCCGCTCAACAATAGAGCCCTGCCACTCCCAAAGGACCGAAGCATGATGATGGAAATGACAAGATACAATGAGGCAAATCTCTTCAGCTTCACTGCCCATCTGGCATGGAGCCCTAAGCCCCGAATTTTGCGGCAGGCCGTGGTGCGTGCGTCAAGGGACATTGATGGATGCGCAGAGGACGAATCAGCGCTAGGGTGTCCCCATCGGTCATCTCGGGCGGTTTGGCGCTTGCGATGTTTCCTCCGAGACGCCCAGCTGCACACCAAACCGGTTTCCGCACGGGCGAGTGAGCTGCGGTCCCTGGAGGCGATGAGACAAACGGCGAGATTGACCTCAGCGTGTGTCGCAAGCGAGTCGAGGTGCAAGCGAACGAGGGCGATAAGACATGGCATCTGTCGCGAAGGATCCTTTTGCGCGAGCTAAAGCGATCTCCAGGATTGCTACCCGCCGGCACGAGCCTGACAGCTTTGAACGTTTCACACGAGGCCCGCGGATGCTGCTGCACGACAGCTGCGAAGACTGGGCTGGACTGGACCCGCGTGGTGAGCTGGTGCTGGATCGTCGAGCGTTCGGTTGCTCCACCATAGGGGGCGGCTATGCAGTCTATTGTATGTGGTGCAACGCGTAATATCGAGGCAGAAGTCGTGAGACAGCACGGGCTAGCTCCATCAACACGACCCGGCAGCTGGTCTCTGCGACATGTGCTCTTTGTCGCTATCTACAGCGACGGCGAGGCAAGGAGGAGCCAACGGTGCATGCACTCCCGGACGCTGTGTATCGCTGGTTATCGTGCCTGAGTAGCGAGTACGGAGGAGCCCGCGGGTGGCGTCGACGAGGCTGGCGGATGGCGGATGGCGCACCGCATCTGCATTCGGCGCCGCGCTCGGCGACGGGGTTATTGATCGAGAGACAGCCCGACAGCTACATGCCAGAGCTATGCCAGACGCCCATACACAGTATGCGCCCGTCTCTGGCCGTCTCTGGCTGTCGCTGGCTGCCCGCTGTTTCCCTCGCAGCGGCATTAACGGGACGCTGGAGGGCAGCTTTGGGGCCACGGATAATTTTAGCAAGCCACCAGTCGGTGGACCACCTGCGTAAGCCGCACCAGGGGCGGCAGCCATTGCTTGGTGTGATTGGGGCGTCTTCGGTGGAGCTTCCAGATCTCCCAGGAGGTTTTCAGAGATAGACTAGGGTCGCCCAGGGCACAGGGGCAGAGGAGCGCGCCAACTTTTCGAGCTCGCCGTCGCACTGTCCCGGTCTGCAATCGACGCCTCTGTATCCTGATCCTGCTCCTGCTTGCCACTGCTCCAACCCAGCAGCGCCCCGGTCATTGCTGCGTCGCATCCACTCGCTACCTGCGCCTGCTCCAACCCTCCCACACTCGCTTTCCTGCCTCCGCGTGCTTGCTTGCCTTCACCGCGTGGCCTGCCCCAGCCCGGATACCGCCCAATACGTCAGTGGCCTCCGGCCTCTCCTTTGTGCTGTCGAGAGCACCTCTGCGCACCGTAATCGCGCTCCTCCACCAGCAGCAATACGAAAGCAGCTTTTGAACCGCAGCCACCGTGCCTGTGTCGGTCACGTCAGGACATTCCACTGTCGCCCTGGCACCGGGTCACCCTCTCGCTCCTGGAATTCGCCGTCTGCGTGCCACGGCATAGCAAAATACAACACGAGCTACACCAACAGCCAATCTGCCGCCCTGGCTTCCTCTCAGTAGTCGCCTAACAGCATACTCACCCCATACATTCGCTCACCATGGCATCGCCGCTATCGCCGCGGGACAACCCGCACATCCGCCTCAACTCGGGCACCTCCGACATCCTCGACGAGTCACCAGCACAGCGACCGACCACCGCTCGCCAGAACTCTGCCCGCTCGTTAACGCAGTCCATCCGCCCTGGAACTGCCCCGTCTCCTGCAAGCCCCGGCCTGCGATCACCGTCAGTACCCTCGCTGTACAAGAACGATGCTGTGGCGGCTTCTGCGGAGCATCTCTTGCCGCCAAAGAAGTCAAGAACGCGCGCCTTCCGTGACGAATCACCTGCCCCGGCCGTGTCGCGGAGATCGAGTTGGGATTCTGATTCAGTGACCAGTCGCGACTCAAGATACGGCCCGTTTGCCTCGCCCTTCGACGATTCGAGAGCGCCGTCGCGGGCGGGAAGCGAAGAGGATCTGAACACGCAGACTGTGTCGGAGAAGTTCAACATAACCCCTTCCGCAGGGCTGCTATTGTTCCCCGAGGACGTAGAAAAGGACGACTGGCTGCACAACCCGGATCCGAACGAGAAGAACGAGCGAGATTGCGACGTGTTTACGAAGAGAGGTCTCGTGAACGTGGGCGCACTGGTGATCCTTACCGTAGGATTGCTTGTATTGTTCATCGGATATCCTATACTGTACGTATTACTAAGAGCTGCGCAGGGAGTGGGGCTGACATGTCATAGGACCTTCGTGCACAACATAACTGCGCCTAGCAAGACGCCTTGTTCGAATAACCCACTCTGTATTGCCGGAAAAGAACACGAACCGTTACTAAAGAACATTCGCACAGGTCTCATTGACCCTGATACTCCTGAAGAATACAAGACGAGGAAATCACACAACGGCAAAACTCAGAAGCTAGTATTCTCAGACGAGTTCAATGATGAAGGTCGTACCTTCTACGATGGTGACGATCCCTTTTTCCAAGCCGTCGACATCTGGTATGGCGCGACGCAGGATTTGGAGGTAGGTCATCAGCTAGACATGCTGGGGGTGATTTTTCTAACCACATCTAGTGGTACGAACCGGACGCAGTCTCTACCGGCAATGGCACGCTCAATCTCGAATTTACCGACTTCGCGAATCATGGTCTCAACTACCGCTCCGGCATGATTCAATCGTGGAACAAGCTCTGCTACAAGGGAGGTCACCTGGAAGCCAGTATCTCGCTGGCTGGCAGTGGCGAGATCTCTGGTTTCTGGCCTGGTTTCTGGACAATGGGTAATCTTGCGCGTCCTGGATACCTTGGTACGACCGAAGGTCTCTGGCCCTACAGTTACCATGACGAGTGTGACGTCGGTATTACGCCCAACCAGAGTTCATACGATGGTCTGAGCTACCTTCCCGGAATGCGACTACCCGCATGTACCTGCAGTGGGGAGGACCATCCCAACCCTGGCAAATCTCGAAGCGCTCCCGAAATCGATGCTCTGGAAGGTTCAGTCGTCTTCCTTGGCCCTGGTCAGACAAATCCTGTTGGTTCAGTATCTCAGTCTCTCCAGATCGCACCCTTCGACATCTGGTACCAGCCAGACTATGGTGAGTTCGTCCGCATGAAATCGACGCACTCGCTAACATTGTTAGACTTTGTCGAGGTCTATGACCAGCGCGTTACGGAAATGAATGCTTACAAAGGTGGTCCTTTCCAAGAAGCTTTCTCAGGTCTCTCGAACCTCAACAATGACTGGTACGACGGCAAAGCATACCAGAAATACGCGTTCGAGTACACAACCGGCGATGATGGTTTCATTACATGGTACGTTGGCGACTCGCCAACTTGGAGCTTGTACGCCAACTCCATCGGACCGAACGGCAACATTGGTGCGCGCAAGATCCCTGAGGAGCCCATGTCGGTTATTGCCAACTTGGGTATGTCCAACTCATTCGCCGCCATCAATCTCGAGGATCTACAGAAGTTCTTCCCTGCTACTATGCGTATCGACTACATTCGTATCTATCAGGATCCGGATGATGATAACCAGGTTCTCACCTGTGACCCTCCGGACTACCCTACTACGCAATACATCAGGAAGCACCCGGAGCCCTACGCCAATCCGAATCTAACGGACTGGAAGGGAACCAAGTACGACTGGCCCAAGAACTCGTTCATGAACGATTGCAAGAGCTGAAGAGCCCGCAATTGAACGAGACCGTGTTTTTGATCGGATTATACCTCACTAGCTGAACGCGCCCATGAACACGATCCTATTGGACTACCGCTGCAACACGTGATTCCCACGCTTTTACAACAGACCACTTGAATCGTTATGGCACCTCCAACCGCGCGTCAAAAATCGTACTTTGTTGCATTTGCACCGGGGCCTGGCGTCTACCTATGACCTGAGTAATCAATACCTGCACCTGCGCTTGGAACTGCTACCGGCTAACACTTCCATCCGCTTCGACTTTTCTTGACATTGAACCTCCTTTGCGAGACAAGCAAACCTGACTTATCTACCCTGGGATGGTTATATTGCTGGCGGCCTTATTGCAAGCTATTTACGGCGCCAATGTATATCACGGCCTTCTCGTATGCATCGCTGTATAAAATTGGATGGACACCTTTTTGGAACTGGAACTTTTCTTTTTGACTTCTTGGACGGTTTGGACTGGCGCTGACCGAATCCCACTTTAAGAATTATAATGTTTTTCTTACTCTCGCTGCGGTAATTGCACGTGCTCAAGCCGTGTGAAGCAAGCTTCGGCGAGCTTTTACTGTTATGCGCACACTTCACTGCATATGTTGGATAAAAGGCGTGTTTGAAATTTGGGGCGGCAATGGGTCTTTGGATGGTGGATGAGAAATGCGATCCATGCATGTGCTTGATGGCTTGTTGTTAATGTTATCAAGCGAGGAGTAAGAAGGAAACTGGGGAGTTGGAGTGGTGATGGGGAGGGAACGTGACGTCCAGAGACACAGGACGTAGAAGAATATCATGACATCTTGAAACTACCGTTCGACGAGCTGATTTAGTGAAGTGATGATTGCCTTCACTACTATGCGGTCCAATCATATAGGCTGAGGATGGTAGGTGGGTAGCTGTGTAACTGACCGACTAAGCTAAGGGGAGCCTTAACCAACACCTTGGCTCACAAGCATGCCGGCTGTGACCTCCGTCTATGCGTGGATGCGCTCTATGGGCTAGACGCATCCGAGAACCTGACACCTCACATCTCAAACTTCCCCAACTGGTAATCGAAGAAGCCATCGAAAACGTTGCCACCCACATTTGCATTTGCATCTCTCCCTCCTCATAATGCAGCCTTCTCAGTCCAAGATGTTCTGGGCCGACACCGTTCTGGCAGTCACTCTCGAAATTCCGAAACCGGCAATACTGGAAAGCATCGAAGACGGTGCTACCGAATTTTGCGCAGCCTGAGGTGTTGGATGGGTATTAGGTAAGCTGATTTTCCAGCAGAGAACGTCATTAGATGGAAGAATCGACTGCGCGGAGGCGGAGCATGGATGGCCTTGCCATAAAGGAGATCAAACTTCCCGAAGAGGTAGCTTTTTGAGAAGGTGTTGATTGCGGTGTACATACTGCGTCTCTGTGCCGTGATTGGAGCAAGATGCAAGCCCATCCTGTCCGTTCTTGGTCAGCCTGCGTCTCATCGGAGCAGGGATGCTGGCCAAACTTCCATCTTCGGAAGTTTTGAAGGGCGTTGATTATAGGTTGCAGGTAGAATGGGTCACGTGGTCTCACTCAAGCGAGATGTCAACCTTCCAGGAACAGCAATCTGGAACCCGTCGAAATCCCACGAATCAATGTCGGTCACCGACGTGAGTTTTTGATTGGATAACGTTGTTTTCTATGCTGGCTTGGCCATGGGACGAGATGTAGAGTAGACTGTTTTGATTCGGTGAGATTGGGGAGATGCCGTATGAGGTAAGTTAAGATTAGGTCGCTGGGAGCTCTTGGACCCTGTGGGACAAACGTCAAGTGCAGCTTACTAGCGTTCGGTGCGAAGTGCAAGATGCTCGTGATGATCACTGGGTCGACGCTAGACTCCCGAGGTCGTCAATGTGACGGCTTGGCAAGAGAAATTGATAGGTAAAGGCAGATCATGAAGTCACGGCTTGAAGAATGGGAATGGCGAAATGCTACGAAGTGTAGAGCAGCCAGGGAGTTTTAAGGTAGAGGCAGAGAGGACGGTACCAGCCAGGAACATTGATCATGAGCATCCGAAAGGACAGTCGAAACATATCTTGTAGGTTGCAGCCTTTACTTTATGCTTAACAATGGCTACATGACCTTCACTTGCCTTCACCTGCATCTATCTATGAGCAATTTAAGAAACCATGACGAAACTATCACTTCGTTCTCCCACCTCACGGGGGACCATCTGCACTCTGCTCTCAATACAAATATCTTTCCTGCCTGCTCTGCATATCATCACCACAATTTGGATCTAGTCAAGCCACCATGGCGCCAACCAAAGAAGGGTACAAGCCTACCGCCAACACTCTTGCAGCAGGCTCAAAAGCAGGTGGCATGTTTGCCAAAATGCCTCGTGAGCGGCTACAATACGGTAAGTCGTCGGAGCTACGAATGCAAGAACAGGAGAGGTGGCTGACACGAAGTTGCAGAAAAAAGACCTGCAAAAGTCGTACAACTGCAACTCTATATTCCTACAAGAGTTTGAGGAAGTGATGGAAAAGTTCGAAGCATTGGAGAAGCAGCTGTCGCTCAAGGGCAACCAGTTTCAGCAGCTTCAAGCAGATCATGAAGAGCTCCAGGGGGGATTCAAGACGGTTGAAGATGAGAGACACAACGTGCAAGAATTGTGCGACAAGCTTGCTGGCGACAACGAAGAACTGTTGGAGGATAATACTGTGCTCGGAGAGAAGAAGTGGCCCTTGAAGACGAGTGCGAGGATCTCAAAGCACGATGTGCCGAGGAGAAAATGGACAGAGAGCACATGGAAGACCAGCGAGCTTTGATTGCCCAACTTCGTCTTGGAAAGAAGGACGTGGACCTGAACCAACGTATTCTTTAAGACCACCTGTATACCCAGAATGCAAAGGTCGTGGAAATGCAGGGATGGTGCGATTACTCGCAGCAGCAGAACGACCAGATATTAGAACTGTTGTAGGAACGAACATCTTCGGACACACGGATGTCGGATTTGCAAGAGGACAGCAAGAAGCAGAAAAGTAAAATCGCAGAATTGCAAAGACAGCTTGCAGAACTGAAGACCACAATTCATGTAGGGAATGAATCTCAGAAGCAGTTGAAAGATTATCAAGGGTATCGGTTTGGCATGACAGCTCTCACGGGCATGCCTGGGGGTGCCGAAACGACAGCGAAGGGCTCAAGGAGTCAAGAATAGAACAATTTGAGATATCCGCTGCAACAGCCTCATTCTTTCGAGAATCAGTGATGGAGCGGATCAGCACACTGGAGCCTTGACTAGTTGGTTACAGACCTGCACCGCAAGGTAAGCTGGATGCTTGGAAACCGAGTCGTGCACTGAGTTCAAGAGAGGAAGAGGCTACTTCAACTGTTTGGATCGGATGTGGTATGGCTTCTTCTTCAGAGTACGTGAAGGCGTGGAGCCTTGGGTTAGCACATAGTTCAGCGATAGTGCTAAGATGAAATAGATACATGAGAAGCAGTGACCTTAGGTCCAATTTGCAGGCAACAAAACTTATTTAGTCAGTATAGAATTTCCCTTTTGAACGCTGGGTATCGTGCGATCTCGCTGTCGCTCCATGAGAAAAACTGACGCACGTGCTGCTGACTAACATAACTTCTCCAAGCAGCCTTGCCAATCATCTCCTTCGCTGTTGCATCAACAATCCATCTAATCAACATACAACAATGGCTGAACACCCGTCTTTCACGCTCGCTGGACTCCGTAAGTAAGCCGCTGCACAGGACTACCGGCATATTGATTGACAGCCGGCGCAGTCTCGGTTGGCGGAACAGCCGGCTACCTCCGCACACGCTCAACCCCGTCGCTCGTTGCAGGTCTCGTGCTCGGTGCATCATACGGTTATTCTGGTAGGACATTATCCAAGAGTACACTCTTGCACAGACCTTGTTGATGCTGTTCCAGGCTACCTAATCAAAGAGAACAAAAACTATGGCACGGAGCTTGCGCTTGGGAACAGCGTGGTTCTGCTCGGATCAGCAATTCCAAGGATCATCAAGACTGGAGGACGGGCACCTGTGCCAATAGCACTCGGTGCTACGGGTTTGCTTGCTACCTACTATTACCAGAAGAAGGTGCGAGAGTTCAGGTACGGTGTATGAGCACTGCCGAGAAGGTGTCCCTTGTAAGATAGTGTACGATCACTCTAGTACGCGTTTCGGCATTAGTATCGATTGTGCAGAGGCACAAGACCAAAGCGCATCTCCTCTATAACCTTCGGATTTTTCCGTCTCTCGATAACCCTGCTCCCTGCCATTATCCGATGCTCGCCGACCAACGTCGGGGTTGCCTCCGGGATGCACAGAACGCGCCAATGCCGTACGTCTCCTGTTTGTACCTGTCCCTCCAGCGCTTCACCATTGCGGGAAGAATTATTGCAGCTGCTTGTTGTTGACCACCAGCAATGTGCTTAGTGCCAAGTAGCTGCGTCCCGAAGTGGGGCCTCAAAAGGTTGAATTGCCTGTTCCCGCGATGCCGATCAACGAACTACGAATGCCGTCAGGGAGAGCCTACCCAGATCAACAACAAGAAGCCAGACGCGAACCAAGCAACAATGTTGGGAGCCGATGGGAAATGATCGGGTGTACCCTAGTGATCAGACACAACCGGTCGCACGAGCTGCGCGGATCCGCAACGATTCTTCTGATGGTGTTCACCATGGTCTCGAGTCATGATTGATATGGGGTCAATATAGAGTTTCGACCACAGCGTCGGCGCCTGTCTTGCTAGATGAGGGCGGCCCGCATTAATGCCTGAGCGTAACCTCGAAAAGGTCGGAGCAGACAGATCGTTGATATGCCGCTCTGCCCAATACGTGTGACGTGCAAGGCAGGCAACTCGACATGGAAGGGCATGGGCGATCTTCTACATCTTGACAACGTTAGCCTCGCCGACAACATGGTCAAGCTGCTCTATTCCATGCGATCATCAGTCATGCCTGCCCACTCAGATTCCGTCGGCAGGTCGGACATGTTCGAAAGAAAGCTACGATTCGTTCTCTAACAAAACCCGATGTCTTGGGCCTCGGCTCCCTTTCGATCAATGCTGCAGAGCAGCAGAGGTTTGAACAGGGCTTGCAAACTCTCTGCACTCTGCTCCTGCGTCTATTACATCCCTGCATGGCGAAAGGGGCTTGGAGAGCCAATCGCACCACACTGCCGAGTATCTCAGCCCTAAGATATAAGGGCACAAAGCAGTCATAGTCCACAACGCTCGAACGCTCCCATTCGAGACTATTTTCCGTTACCCCCCAAACTTGCAGTCACTCTTTACACACTCAGCAAAGCAACAATGGGTATCGGACATCGTGCCACCGAGCTCATTCAGGTGCGCATCTAAAACCTAGTCACCTCATGCTTGACTGACAGGCGGTATTAGATCGAGGGGTTCTTCCTCGCTACAGCATGGATAGCTGTAGCCTTACGACTCTATGTACGCACGTTCATCGTCAGAGCCTTTGGCTGGGATGATGGGTGGATGCTCATCGCTCAGCTCATGCACACCATGAATTCGACGTGTGCCATTGGCGGTGCAATCACTGGCACAGGCAGACTTACGAAAGACCTCACTCCCGGTAGCATGATGAAGGCTTTGAGGGTATGTCACGCATTCCTATACATCCGCTGGGGACGAGGTCGTACTAACGCTCATTGCTAGTTCTGGTGGGTTTGTTACTTCGCGTACTGCCTATGTATGATCGGTGCTAAAGTCTCCGTTGGCTTGTCACTGCTCCGTTATACGCCCATCACCCAAAAAGTGTTTCGCCGCATCACATACACCGTCGTATACACCAGCGTCGTAATGGGTCTCATCTACGGCCTCCTCGCAATGTTCCAGTGCAAGCCTGTTCCCTTCTTCTGGACCAGAGCGCTTGGGGATACAAATGGTAAATGCATCAGCATGGACATCATCATAGCTTTCACGTATGTGATGTCGGCTATCTTCGCAGTCTGCGACTTTAGCTTCGCCCTCCTTCCAGTTTTTCTCATCAAGGGGTTAAATATGAGTCGAAACCAGAAGTTCGCTCTCATTCCCATTTTGAGCATGGCATGCATGTGAGTACTGCCAAACTTCTATACCTCGAATGGCCACTGATACTGTCGACAGTGCAAGCTCAGCAGTCATCGTTCGCTTGGCCTACGTTCCAACCTTTAGGGATCCTGAATTCTTATATGCTACTGTACCTATTGCCATTTGGTCCGAAATCGAGATGAGTCTCGCTATCACCGCTGGCTCGCTTCCCACCCTGCGCCCACTGTACCGAGTCGCCGCCAAGAAGTTCAGCTGGAAGACCAGCTTCTTCAGCGCACGCAGATCTGGTCCTGCCTCCAGAGCAACTGTCAATATTGGGGGTTCCGGACTTAGACTTGGCTCTTCATTTAGTAGAAAGGAGTCAGACTATGCTTCTTGCGGGGAGTCTGAGCGCAAGATTGTCAACGCGGAGAGTGAGGAGTTTGTGCTTGAGGACCGGAGGCCTGTGACAGGGGGGAAATTCATGGATATCAATAAAGAGATTCATGTTCAGGTTGACTATGAGGATGGAAACAAGGTCTGATAACATCTTCGTGTGGGTCAGAAACGCTGACGAAACAATGATAATTACAGACCTTTTGATACATGACTTTCTTTACGTCCAAGTTGCTTCACATCTCCACATCCATTGAAACTTCCAATAATACGGCTTGAAGCTGCTCAACCAGTGAGGGGCCTACATGCACATGGTGTGTTGTTGTGTGACAGTTCCAACCAAGGTGTCAACTGCCCCACTGAGATAATTGAGACGTTTCTCCAACCTTGTATCTACAACATCAGCTCTGGTAAGGTCGTAACTCTTTGAGATTCGAAAAGTGCATAGAGGTAGAACGGAGCATCCCAGAGTTTCCTTCACGAGTAAGCATGCGGAGGCGTACCGTATGAAGCTATCGGTTGTGGCTGAGCATAAGAAGCGTAGATGAAGGACAAGTCATAATGAAGTGAAGGTGGATGGCTACATTCAGAGATAGACGGGTGAGGGCGGGCGGTTTCCGGGACGATGAATCATCCAGTCCGTTTGTGTTCCTTCCTCACCCACTCTCACTCTTCCTCGCTTTCGAGTTGGCGAGCGAACGGACTAGCTTAACTTTTGCAGCGCCTTCTTGACCTTCAGCCGCCACTCTGTTCCACTACCAGCACTTCTGAACTCGCTCTTCGCAAGCTAGCTACACGGGTTTGCACAAAACTATAGTGGCTAACACAACAATGGCTCGCACGAAACAAACGGCGCGCAAGGCTACAGGTGGCCACTCTGGAATCGTTAGGCCTTCTCCCCTCAACACAAATTCTCCTCGCGAGCGCCTCCGGGTTGCGGTGAGTAATGCTACTTCAGAGTGTAGCAAAAGCTGACATACAGGCCCAGAAACGATCATCAAAGACCGCACACAACAGAGAGCTCGAGGTACATGGGATATGCGAGCAGTTGTTGCACAAAGTGGAAACCCTTGAGCAAGCGTTGGAAGTCAAGGGTGAAGAATGCAAGAAGCTCGAAGTAACAGTGGTAGCTCATGAAAAGAGAATCGAGGAACTGGTCGGCAAGGTTAACCTGTTCGAAGGAGGTTCACTTCCCACACACGAGGAGCCGGAAATTGCCGCAACAGCAATTCGACGATACAACGAGCAGATCACGCAACTCCGAAAGGAGGTCGAGGGGCTCAACTGTGAGCTTGCAGAGGGGAAGAGAAACTCCAAAGCCAACAAATAGGCGCAAGAGCAGCTCGACAAGATTCAGAACCAGTAGTTCGATATGGTGGGGCTTATGGGCGTACAGGGTAGCACTGGAGCGATGGCAAGGGACACGGTGAAGGAGGAGGCTATGGATCTTGGTGGCTGAGTGCGCTGATCTGCTCGGGCATGCCGGATACGTAGAGACCGAGGTTTTGCGCACTTCGGCAGCTGTTTTGGTCAGGCATAGCGCTCAAGGCATTGCTACGATTCGGTGGTATTGAACGGTGATATAGACTACTTCATGTTCGTATCAACTCGACGGTCATGCTACTCCGGTTGTTCAACTCAACCGGCTCCAGAGACGGATGCTTACTATGTTGCACTGTCTAAATGTTGTGCTGGGGCCAGAATGACAACACAAATCTTGTTGCGAAGGCTCCTCCTGCCCTTCGACTGTTTCTCATAGTCGCTTCACACGGCTCCTGTCCCTCGTTTCAAGTCAGCACGAATACCACGATGTTAGAGGAAAGTGTCCTCCAGTTTCAGCAATGAACACGAGACTGGTCTCGAGCTCTCTCACTTACAAGCAACAGAAGTGTGTGCAAAGAGATCCGGCTTCACCACAGTTCGTCGTTCGGTTATCCCCGCGCAATCCGGCAAAGCTCTGTTCAGAACACCAGGCGTGTCTTCAGGATCCTGTGATCTCCCCAGTATCAGTCGTCCACTCTGCTCAACGCCACTCTTACACCAATTCCTCCCACATTTTTACTAAAGTAGCAACAGATCACAAGAGCACATACAAAGGAAGCTGCTCCCCAGTTTAGGAAGGATTAATTATATTTATAATGGTGGGTGGACAGGCGCAGACCTAAGCACACATGGGGACAATGAAGACTTCAAATCTTCCAGCTATGGCGGAATCCGCTCGCTGATCAGCTCCTGGTCGGGGAGACCTTCCCTAATTTTGGAAGAATTGGGCGGACGAAGTCTCGCGTCACAAACGAGCTGGCCCTTGGCGGACCTTATCCTCAAGCCATCGGGTCTGCTAGTACGGTAGCTGGCATCCTTGAGGAATGGGTCTGAGAAACGGGAGTGCATGGGTTTAATGATTCTGACGCAGCGAACCCGCACGACGTCGAGGCTTTCATCAGGTTCCTGGTTCGAGAGCCGAAGAATTGTGGTATATTTTGGGATCCGAAAGACGCTGAGGGCAGAACGACGAGAGTGAATTATCTGGCGGATGGTAAAGGCAGTCGACTTCGAAAGGACCATCCAGGGTCAAAGTTTAAGTGGAAGGTAGACACGTCGCACTACTTTTGACGGTCTGTTTTGCGACACTAGTCCTGAACTCGTGTTTTCAGATGACTGCGAAGCTGCTATTGGTAGTGTGACGCAATGACAATATCTACGCTTCTCGTTTCTTAATCTGTGCCATTGTCGCTTTTCCTGCCCTGCTCTCATTTGAGCGCCCGATTTCATATGAGATCCACTCCCCAACCCCTGATAACTTCTCGATATCGACACCGGTCTTCAAGCCCAAACTGTGAAAGCAATGGATCAAGTCTTCGCTAGCAACGTTGCCCGTTGCACCAGGACTGAATGGACAGCCACCAAGACCAGCGACAGCGGAGTCAAATGTTCGAATGCCATGCTCGAGCGAAACGAGAGTGTTGACTAAAGCTTGCCCGTACGTATCGTGGAAATGCAGAGCCAGATCGTTCTTCTCGATCCCGGCTGCACTGAGCGTCTTGAGGAGCTCCGCCGTTTTGGGTGCAGTGCCCATGCCCGTAGTGTCGGCTACGGAGATCTCGTCTGCACCCATCTCCAAGAGGCTCACAGCAAGTTCGGCAACTTGGTGCGGGTCGACGTTTGGTCCCTCATACGGGCAGCCAAGAGCGACTGAGATGTACGCCCTTACATTGAGACCGACTTCCTTCGCTCGCGCCATTATCGGCTCGAATCTCTGCAGAGACTCTGCTATCGAACAGTTTGTGTTCTTTTGCGTGAACGTCTCGGTTGCCGCTGTGAATATGGAGAGCTCATGGACGTTCGCTCCTGCTGCGCCCCCGTCTGTGCCGGCTGTTGCTTCGCTGTCTGGAGATGGTGGAGGTGTGGGATATCCATTTTGTCCTACAGCCTTAGCTTCCCAGACCGATAAGAAATTGTCCAAGCCTTTGACGTTCGGGAGGAGCCATTGGTAGGTGATTGGGTGGGGAGCAGTCGGCGGAGATGCGAGGACATGTTCGAGGATCTGGGACGAGTTGGCCATCTGGTTAGACATGTGTCAGCTTATTCACACCTACCTTTCTGGCAGATAAGAGGATGCGCTATGTAGGGGGGATTGCGCAATGGAATCGAAGAGTACTGACCTGCGGTGTCCATTTCGGCGATACGAACGATCCTGCCTCAATCGTCTTCAAGCCAGTCTGTGCCAATCTATTTACAAGCTCAATCTTGGTAGCAACTGGTATGCTCTGCTTCTCGTTCTGTAGCCCGTCGCGCGGGCCGACCTCTACGATGCGGACGAAGTCGGATGACGCCGTCGCATACGTTCGTCTCAGGGGGTATCGTGCAGCCAGACGCGCAGTGTGTAGGCAAGTGAATTTCGAAATCATTGTCAAATGTTCAAAGGAGTTGCAAGGAACTGGTACGATGTGACGAAGGTGGTGTGAGCTTGCGCGGTTAGTTGCGGGGATTTTGCGGGGAGGCGTCGCCTCGGCTCGAAGCCTCGGACCGCTTGCTGTCCTTTGCTTGCTTTGCACACTGGGCGTCCTCAATACATTGTCATCTGCCTCACAGTCTTGTAGTATTCAATCCGATTTCTGCATTATATGCACAATGTTGTAATGTTGCGCGAGTCTTGAGCAGCACATAGCCGCGAAGTCTGATCTGTACGGACCCAGACTGATACATCATGTGGATAATCCAAGGTCGAGTGAGAAAACTCCGTCCTTTTTTTCCGAAGTCATCTGAGTCACTTCCTGTTTCTGGCTGGAGATGTTGATGTCCGGCGATCCGCGCTGTGTCGTGGTCGGCTCCATTGTATGTCGCACTTTCACGGTGATCTTGATTGGAACCATAATCGTTGCCAACGCTAGTATAAGATATCGAGACGATGGTAGCCATATCCAATCTTCGATATCTAGCTGAGCCAGTTTCGAGCGGAAGATCCATAAACGCCGAAGTACGCCAACCCGACCTATGCTCGATTCGTTCGCATATCTGAAAATGACTTACAAGTTCGCCTCCGATATATAGGCACGTGTCGCCAAGCTTGACGTCCGGCTGATCTTTGTTCGTTGATAGCTCTTCCAATAGCGGTTTTCACTGCAGAGCTGATGAATATACAAGGTGGGCAGGAGCTCTTTTTTAAGGCGACCAGTCGTGGCTGCGAAGCCTTTCATTTTCATATTACAGACAGGTGTCGCATCGCCTGATAAAGGCTGAGACTGTACTGGTCATATTGACTAGCGTACAGCTTTTTCGACTCATACATCCTTGGCTTGGTTTCCTACTTTTGCTGGGTATTCCAAATGCATGAAAAATGTCACAGATGAGAAATGTACTTGATCAGGTGCTGAGCGTTGAGCATGGCCGTGTTGTAGGAAAGGTATTGGCATGAGTCTCACCAGAGCAGGGGTGCTGCTCGATGCTGCGATACTCCGCGCGTGCATATAAGGGCTGCGAAGTACCTCGTCAGACGAGCTTTAGTCTAGTACCATCATGTCTTATCCAGTGCTGCCTGTGGGATTCGAGCTGGGTTCGATGGAGTGGATATGCAGCTGGAAAATTCGATGGGCGCAGAGAATACTGCCGGCCGGTGTATATACAAAGTAATTAAGACTGAGGTGGACTCATTGTCCAGGGTCGCTTCAACGCGCACAAGGAGTATTATATACAAGAAGTGAGAAAGAGCCGACTATAGTATGAAAAACTAGTTCTCAACGCGACAAAGCTTGCCATTCTCATTGGGCAGCCCATCAACGCTTTCAACCTTCCACCTCTCGCTACCCACAGTCGTATGGGCAAAGAAGACATCATAGGGGTCCAGCTTCGCCTTCAACTCAAGCAGACGCGGGTATTTGTCACCCCAGAATGCCTGCCCAAAATCCGGTTCTAGACGATCCGCTTCAGCGAGGTACGATCCAGCACCGGGGCTGATGTCCCTCCAGCGCTGCATATCGCCGCTCTGGAAGTCTTGCCGAGCTTTCAGGGTCTCTGCCGCGGTTCCGTTGGGATTCCATCGTACAGCTTGCTGAGAAAAGAGTATATTCTCTCGCCACGCTGAGTTAACAGCGTTGTCGGAATTAGCTGGGTCGACGGCCTTGATGTTGAAGTGTACTTGTACGCGGTTGTTCTCACTGGACTGGCGGAGGTTTTGGAATAGCTCGTCGCGCTTCTCTTTGGTCTCGAAGTTGGCGCGAGGGAAGAGGCGAGAGCCAGTGGTTGCGTTGATCTTGCCGACGGCCTCGAGCGGAAAAGAGCTCTGCCAGGCTTCGTAGTACGACGGGAAATGAGTGATGTTAGGATCGACGTTGACGCCGAGCTCCTCCAAGCGGGCCAACCAGGGTTGAAGCAAGGCTTTCGTCTCCTCGAGCGTTTTGTTCGGTGCGAAGAAAGGAGACATGCCGAAACTGAAGATTCCGGTAAAGACGTTAGGGATGAGTGTCCAGTACGCGTAAGTGCCGGCATCGGCGTTGGGAACGAAGTATTCGACGTAATCGCGGATCGCCGCCCAGAATGTCTCGTTGCCCATCTTTTCGGATGTGAATGAGAAACGCGATGCCGTGGTGGGTAAGTCGGGATGGGCTTTAACCGTTACTGAGGTTGCAACGCCGAACGTCGAACCGCCCCCACCGCGCATTGCCCAGAAGAGGTCAGTATTGGAGGTAGAATTCGCTATAACGTAGTCGCCATCGGCGGTGACAACCTCAAAAGCAAGCACTTGGTCTGCACCAGTGCCGTAACTAGGCCATGTTAGTGTCTAATGAGCATTGCCTTTGGGACTTAAACTCACAGCGAAGTAAGCGGAGAGTGACCACCGCCCTGTATGTAGCCTCCAAAGATACCCACAGTCTCGCCCTCGCCGCCAACAACTGAGTGGCCTTTCTCATGAGCAGCCTTGTAGATCTCAAAAGCTTGCACTCCGACTCCGGCTTTGAAAGCTGGACCCGAGTAGTTACCTTCCTTGTCCTCGTAGTTTTCGAAGTACTCGATGTCCTTGAAGTAATGGGTCCAGACACTCAGTGCGTCTTTACCACCAGATTTACCAAGGAAGTCGTGCCCTGTGTTTTTAACGACCAGTCTGACCCCAGTGTTGCGTGCGAAGTTGACTCCGTGCTGGATGTGCTCCGGCTTTGTGGCGTTGATAACATACATTGGAAACCCGCCTCTTGTGCAATTATGCGAGTCGAAGATGTTAGGGGGAAGACAGGTCATGCCCTGGGCTACTGGACTCATCATCTCCACTGCGTTGTCAAAGTGTGAGTAGGACTCGTTCCAGTGAGCCGTTACCTTGACACATTCCTCGGCGTTGTAAAGCGGTCCATTGTAACAGACTGCTGCTAGGGGGTCTGGTCGGTTCAGAAGTCGGTTGTCCACCAGTTTGTTCAAGCTCGCCCAAGCTGCATCGGATGGCCAATTCCGGTCGCCAGGGTATACTTTGCATCGTGATGAGGTATTGTTCGGAGTTGTTCCCGAGAGAAAAAGGTTCTTGACATTTGCGGTTACTCCTTTTAGAGTGTTGTCGACTGTCTGCACCACCTTCGCAGGCTTGACGAGGGGAGTTGCAGTTGCGGAGGCCGCCAGGAGGGTCAAAAGCCCAAGGGCTCTCGAACCATTGTGTTGCCGACCCATTCTGAAGTCCCGTTCCCTTGCTGCTGTGCGGCGAGCTTCAGCAAAAGGAGTGGGAGAGCTGACGGCAGCCTACCCTTTAAAGATTGTCAAGGAAGTTCTGGGCAGTTGCCTCTCGGAAGGAGCAGGTGGATGCAACGGGATGATCCTCCACTTCTAGCAAAGGGAACGAAAGAGTCGATCGCAACATGATTAAACGGCGTCAATAATCGACTTGACTCGGCGCGGCCAATGCGCCCCCTGTCTGCTTCGCTACGGTCGACGATCTTTTCTACAAGCAACCCGAGCCAGCGCGACTGGCCAAAGCACTCGTTCTCCCCAAAGGGGCCGACCCGGCGCGAGTGGCGTTAGAGGAAAATAATTACCGTTTGTTCATGCGGAGGTGGTCATCTTTTCCGTCGCGCATCCCGACGAGGACGGCTGCAGGTACGGGAGAGAAGAATCCTTTCGTTCGGAGGTTTCGACGTCCAGCAACCCATGGGCACGCGTAGTCGGCGTGTTGCGCGTGCCGTGGTGGCAGAGGGGGTGCATGGCGTTTCACCAGACTGACAGAAGGTGAAGACCAGGCTGCAGGCCCTGCTAGGCTGCTGGTCTGTTCACGCGGCTGACCAGACGCTAGCCGCTTGGGTACTTGGCGCAAACTCAATGGGACTCAACGACTCAGGAACCGTGTTGCGGAACCTTCCCCCAAGTCAGATCGCCACATTTGGATTCCCAATAGAGCAAGCATGCAAGCGGGAGGGCTTGTCACTTGGTGCCCGAGCTGCCAGCCGGCGCACGTAATCATCAGGCACGAGCGTGTTTAAGGAATCGAGGCCCTCGAGTACCCAAGATCGAGACTTCGCTGTCTAGCTTGACTTCTACAGACATATCAGTAGATCTTGGAAGATCTTCAGTGGGGTATCCGCCTATGCATAACAATTGAGTTCGTGAGTACTTCTCAGAGACGCCCTTGTCGACATTGACTGACCGTATCTTCAGTTTGGGCTTTCCCCTTTGGAAATGGGTCAGGGCCGTCAAGCGTCAGCTCTCGCTATAATCTGCGTCTTCCCCATACTCGCTGCAGTGTTCGTCGGCGCCAGGACCATCTCTCGTCACCTTGGGCAAAACTTTGGGTGGGATGACTGGCTCATACACCTCTCACTGCTGTTGCTGCTCGGCCAGACAGTGACAATCTATGAATGTATATCTAACGACTACTCGATCCAAGATATCCCACTGACATTGTTCAGACATACTCGTAAGCCACACTGGCTACCGGAGCAGCGAGATCCCCATACAAACCATTGACCAGCAAGTCCTTGCGAAGAAATGGAGTTTCGCCGTGCAGATGTTCTACCATCCCATGATGGGTGCCATACGCGCCTCCATAATCATGTTCCTCTTTCGAGTGAAGGATCAACGCTGGCACATTCGATGGGCTTTGCATGTTGTTTGTAAGGATGCAATCTTCCCTCAACCATCTTGGATCCAATACTGACTAGCGATCCAGTCTGGATCAACATAGGCTATCTAGGCTCAACTACCCTCGTGAACATCTTTCAGTGTGACCCAATCAAATACGCTTACTTGCAACCACAAATGGACCACAAAGACGCTGATGGCAATACAATCAAAGGCGGCAAATGCATCAATAGTCTCCAGTTCATCATGTCCAGCTGCGCCCTTAGCATCTTCATGGACTTGATCATCATGCCTATCCCCACTGCCATGGTGTGGAACCTCCAAATGAAGCGCAAAACGAAAATAGCAGTGGTCGCTGTCATGAGCATGGGCTGGATAGCGACCATCGCCTCCGTCTCTCGCCTGATAGTCTACTACTACCGCTACTCCCCCACCGTCGACCGCACCTACAACATCGGCCTCGTAACCTCCGTCACTGAGCCCTCCGTGGCCATAATCGCCGCCTGCGCCCCTGCCCTACGCCGCCTCTTGACCTTTATGCTACCTCGCTACTTCTCCGACGGTGCCACCTACCCTGATGGTACCTACAACTACGAGACGAACAACGCTACATACGGAAACACACGGCCACGGCGGTCGACGAGCTTTCCGCGCAATATCGACAAGGATATGGACTTGGTGATCAGGGAGGATGGGCAGGAGCAGGACGAGGAGTCGGTGTATGGGATGGCGGATTTGAGGGGGAAGGAGAGCAGAGAGGTGCTTGAGATACAACGAACGCAGAGTGTGAAGACGGGCGTCAGCGAGGGGACGGGGCAGCCATTTTGTGTGAATGCGACGCAACCGTTTGATGTGCTTGACCACAAGCAGTACGATGAGAGGCAGTAGACATTCTTTTAAGATACCCACGCGCATCAGCATGTACATTAGCTTCAATCGAGTAACGATTTTATGACCTCAGCATTCTTCCCCTTTTGCTGTCTTTCCCTAGCACGCATATCGTGCAAAAGATGATGCTTCTCTCACTGCCGTCTGAGACAACATAATGACGCCTTCAATATATCGATGGCATGGGTACTGGAAAAAGTTCCCATCGCGGGGCAGTCCTAAAGTTTATTGCGCCGCTCTCCGTCTGACGTACATACCAAGCCTCAAGCCTAGATGCAATGATAGCTGCCGCAAGCGGCCATGCCGGGCGAATGAAGCGAGGTGCCGTTAGCGCAATGTCATAGTCTCGAGGGCTGCTGGTTAATTCGATGTAACAGGTCTACAAGCAACCGTCACGTTTCAGAGTACGTATAGGCGGTTGGCGTCATCCGCTGTGGACCCGGACATGAAAGATGCGGATGCAAGTCATGTCGCGCCCACGTGGTCTTCTTTCGGCATTTTGATCACGTGCTGTTAGGCAACGTTCGTGGGAATAGCTTTGGTGTTGACTTGTTGGTGTTCTGTTGAGTGGTGATGCCTAGGATGGAACCATGGTACGCGATGTAGCTGCTTGATAGCACTGAGTGCGGTCCGTCCACGTGGTGACCACGGTCTCGAATGTCAAAATCAAAAGATGGTAGCCAAGAACACAATCAGGGTGTCGAAGAACCTTGGGTCGCTAGCGGAGATGCGCAACGAGCCGTTCGTACGCCTCCGTGAAAGGCAAACCCTTTGAGCATTGCGCCCGGGATGCCGGTCGGCGCTGGTCGGCAGCTCCTTATGAGAACCTCCGAACGCTGCCGCGGCAGTGTCACCGACATGGAGGAATAAATACAAACATCCAAATTGGATGTCGCTGTCGACTAGATGGAGGTGAGCAAGTTTCTAGGTATGATGGGTGCAGAGCTATCGAATCGAGAGCTGTAACATCAACGATATACATAGTTGTCTATACCACACACAACGGTATTGCGTCGGTTACTAAATCACAAGCTTGAAATCGATCAATGAAAATACTGTCTATACAACATGAGCGTTCCAGGAACTTATTTATCCTGCCGAGATGCATCTCGCCAACTTTTTTATTCCGCGGAAGCAGTGTTGAAATCCAAGTATACCTAGCCTGTAGAAACTTGTCCAACCAGTCCCACAAACTCGCGGAACTAAGGTGAAAGTATGGACATACATCAACGCAATCGTGGATATGTCAATTTCATATGTTCAAGTTCAATGTTGCTATAGGTGAACGAACAGCTTCGATTACTTTAGCAAAGTCTAGAAATTGAGCCGATAGTCAAATGACGCACTTTTATGACTAAGACTTTGAGAGGCAATGATCGATTCCAATCTCTAGTGAGGACGATGGTATTGATCTTCCAGTATGTTCTTGAAATTCGCATCCGAAGTAAACCCTCAAACGATTATCAGGTCACTCAGTTACGCGTGGAAAGATCAACGAGAAACTTAGAAATTCAACCGTGCCTGCCAATTGTCTATAGGTCGCGTGGAAGCTTTCTACTACCTATCAAGCATACCCATTGCCTCACAGCTGCTTTCTTAACAGCCCGTATCGAACACATCGAACGCAGCCCTTGACAAATATCCTCCCTGTCAACAAAACGGCCGTTAGCAAACGCATGAAAACCCCATCTGCGCGAGTCTGAAAAACACCAGCACTGCAACATGATAATAATGCATTACTCTGGTAGTCCTAGATTCAAAGCGTGTAACCCATGGTATACTACAAAATATCTTGTCCAACACGCTGTGTCATATGCCCTGACCAGTATATCCCGACCTCCATTTTCATGTACAGGGTAAGAATACCTTCCCCTCTTCATCTAGATCTTTTCGTCACGTTTTGAGAGTGTTGACCACTTCTTTGAGTGACCACATGACTACATCAACCCACGTCATATAAACTCTCACACAGGCAACCCCTCTTCATCCCCGTCGTCCTCCACCACACTAAAAGCCCCATATACCCTCACCGGGACCATAACCTCGAAGCTCTCCGCGGGCAGCCTCTCCGCCGCCGCCAAAACGATGCCCCTCTCACCGCTCTCCACTTCCTCCAGGAGATCATCCCAATACGCTTGTTCCCCATCCTCATGCAAGAGTCTCGGCGTGATGAACTCCACGCGGATCTTCCACTCAAGACTCACGCCGCTGGTAATGAAGTCTGGAGTTGCGGAAGGAGGGATAGTAGGCGAGAAGGATAAGCGCTGCGCGAAAAGGGCGTTCTCGGAGAAGGAGGCGTGCACTTTACGGGTGACGCGGTGTATAGATGCGTTACTCCTCAATGCAATCGCTGGGTCGACTTTCTCAGACGTCTCGAGCGAGACATGCAGCGAGTAGCAAGGAATATCAGCATTAGTAAAATCAATTACCGCGGACACTGTTTCGCCAAGACGGTATGCGGGGCGTGCGAGCATGATGACAGCGACGCGGCGCCCGCTACGGGCAATTTCGAAGCGGTTTGCGGATTGATTTGTTGTGCCGGTGAGATTGCTGCGCAGGATGACGAGATCGATGGATTCTTTCATGGTGTGCGGTTCGTCGAGTAGGGAGGAGGAGCGGCCGGGGATGGTTTCGGTGGGGGAGAGGAGGCCCATCGATGAGTTTTGCCGGGGGCGGTCGAGGAGATTGTCTACGTAATCTAGGAATTCGGTAAAGTTGGCTGTGTCTTGGTTTGTTCGGGTGGATGGCTTTTTGGAAGGAGAACTGCTTGTTGAATCGGGATTGACGGCGCAGGTTCGAGCTTGGTCCCGAAGGATGATATACGGAGACATCAAGTCATGCCCCAGTATCTCTCCACGGCCTAATTGCGCTTAGTGACTACTGAGCTGCAAGAATGGGTGTACATACTATTGACGCTGCCAAAGACACGAAAGGGTATCTCGACATGCTTCACTTGTTGATCTCGTGCCGACCCCGGCCGTTGAGTACCGATTGTGAGGTGGTAAACAACCTTCATCGACCGTCCCTTGTGCGTTGGAGGCAAGCCCCGTGGTAATGTAAAACTATAGGTGTAGCTACGACTTTCGCCTGGAGCCAGCTGCAGATCGACAAACAAGATCGACTGTGGCGTAGTAATTAACGGCACGGTTTTTGAGTTCGCGATCCCTCTCATTTCTCGAATGCTCGATGGTTCAGAAGCACCTAGCAATCCTCCTATGGATTCGCCGATATTTGACCAGCCGAGTGCACCGAACAAGCCACTCTCGCGCTTCGTGCGTTCGACACCAACGACGCCGCCTCCGCCTTGTCCGCCCACAACTCCCTTTCTCTTGACTTCCTCGAACGGTGCCTGATTGATCAGCGACCCATCTAACGTGAAAGACCCCATGACTTGAGCGTAGCCCATCATCAGAGTTTCAGGCTGAGTCCTTTGGTTCGGCGGAACCAATTGTGATTGCCGTCGCTGGTGGAATACTCTCGGAAGAAGGCGCGCAGTCTGAGGTACTACGTATTCTGACGCCAACGTCTCGGTAGAATTGTTACTCTGTGAATAGAACTCCCCGCTGCTCCTTGGGGTTCCATTCATACTGGACCCTGACAATATTCGTGCTATCGGGGACAAATTATCGGTAGGCTGTTTTGATAGCGATTCGGGAGGGAATCCAGGAGATATATCACGTTTGGGAGACGACTGCGCCCTTACGTTGGCTGCGGCGTCATTTTCGTCGGGGCGCTCTGGCGAGGGGCCATTCGGCGGAGGGGAGGCGGGGAATTTGAAGTTTTGCGAGAAAGATCCGGATGGTTTTCGTGAGCCGTTGCGGAGGGCAGGCGTGTTTGGGCCGGTAGCTGCGCCGGATTGTCTTTGAGCAGATCGCGCCGGCAAGGAAGAGTCGTGGAAAGGTTCGTGTATAGTTGGCGGAGAGCCTCCGCCGGAGCGTGGGGAGTAATGCGTCACAGAACGGTGTCCAGGTGACGTGACTTGAATATAATTAGCGAGCGACGTGAAGGCAAAGGGCCATTGGTACCTGGGAAAGGACTTGGCCGGCCCGGCACAACCTGGAGGCTTGCGGATCGGCCATGACCGCGCATCGGGCGTCGCGCTGCTGAAGCTGACCGTTCGTGGCTAATATCTGTAGCCGCATCCGTTCCCAAAGATATTATCGACAACGACTTTCCGTGTCCATGTTTGTGTTTGGGCGTTGCGCTCCCATTGTTGAATGCTCCGCTGTGGGGTTGGGGCGATCTATTGCGGTCGCCAATCGAGGATGCCGTTTGTACAGATAGAGCCGGTCGATGGCCACGCAGGTATTGTGCCGGGCCGCCGAGAGAGGTAAAGGAGGAATTGCGAGAGACAGATGGCCGTGTGGACGAGTGGACGGGGGGCAGCTTGCGCTGGCGTTCCCCACCCGGCGCAAAGCCATTTGCCTTTCGAATTGGCGATTTGTCGCGTCCCTCAGGCAGGGCCGTATTCTTAAAAGTAATTGTGCACTCAATGTCTTCGCCGGCGAATACGGTCGAGTTCTTCCATTGCACGAAGACGCGGATATTCGAGGACATGATCGGGGGCGCGGTGGACGACGCGGGCTGCGGAATGCGGGCAGCTCATCGGTAGTGATGCTTCTGCGACATGGCTCCAGCGGGCTCTGGTCTGAAGACGGCCGCAGTAAATTCGTTCCGAAGCCCGCGACACAGTCGGAAGGCTGCGATTATCTCAAAGGTATAGATGTTGGTTCCGTCATGCACGAACCTCGGCGGTAACGTTGATCCGCTCCCGCATAAGGCTTAGCCCCATAACAGGGGTTTAGGCCGGCACGTGGGACGACATTCACACCACGACCATCACACCACACTACTCATTTGCCGGGCTCCACTGTCAGAGAATACATTGTTGTTTGATTATTCAAGGAACAACCTGTTTCGACCAACCTTTCTATATCTTCTCATCGGTCAGATAGATCTTGATTCAAAAGTCTCACCATTTCAACTGGATGTAGTGTCATTTCTGCGTGCGCTAGTTGAGCGTTGATACTCTCTTTGTGTTTTTTCCAATGAGAAAGCCTATGGTCCATTAGTGAGCTCTGGCCGACCAATGTAGGAGGGCACTGAGGGCTACGACAACCTGCCTTTGATGTTATGGGGAGTATGAAGTTTACTGTGACCCCTCGAACATATTTGTAGCAGGAGTGTGGCTCTACTTTGAGAGCTTTAGGGAACACCATGTGCTGCTCAGTGCATCTCATCTGGTATGCATGATAACTTTAGTGGAGTGTGACGGGAAGGGTAGTGTCAAAGGGACAATGCCCCAACAAGTGAAAAAACGTATGCCACTTACATGCAGCTTTAAATCAAGTGTATGGAGGAGACAGACAGCATATATCTGGCTGACATGCTCACTGAGAACGTCGTTCGATACCGACCATGGAAGAGGTTGTGTAACGTGAAGGAGCTAGTCCAGAGATGGTCAAGTGCATCCAATGGTTCGCGACCCTGTCAGGGTCTGCCACATTTTCGATCGACAGTTCACAATATTTTTCCGACACTCATCGCTCCATGCCGAAAGACAGAAACCAGCCTTTTTCTTGGATCGCAGCTTGCATCGTGGCGCCCTAGTGTATCCATTGCGCCACCATGTACGCGCTAATGACGTATGCAGATCATGCAGATCAGTGTTTCCCTCTTCGATCTGCATTAAAAACATACGGAGGCCTTCCGATAGTTCAGCTCTCCTCATCACTAATACCACGATGTCAGGACAACAAAAGAATGCTGGCAATGCTAGCAAACAACAGCCTATCCCGGAAAATGAAATCAAACAAAACTCGTCCGTCTCGGCGAGCATGGCGCTCCAGGGGATGCAGAAAGCGTATGAGCTGAGACAAGCCGCCAATGCCGCCGGAGATCCGGATGCACGCGAAGAAATACTTGCAAAAGCCGTCAACAAAGAGATTGAAGCCGAGTCCTTTGGCAAGGCAGCAAAATATACGCGCTCTGGTACGTTCCAAGGTCTTGCTGCTGGTGCAGGTCTAGGTGTCCAGCCAGGCGTTACACTGGGAAAGTTGACGGGTGCTCTGGTTGGCGGTACCGTCTCCACAGTGACAGGCTTGCTCGGTGGTGGTGTTGGATCCGTCTATGGAGCAATGCATGGGCCGTTTTGGGACCTCGGACAGATGGCCAGCCAAGGTGTCCGGGGCATCGTTGGAGACTTTCCCAACTGGAACTCGACTCCAAAACAAAAGAAGGCATTGGAAAAGATGGTTATACAGACAAAAGAGACACAGGCGCCCACCCAAGAAGAATTGGAGAAGATGAAGTGTGACGACGGAGGGGCGATGCCAGAATCTTGGGCGCAATCTGCGAAGGATATGACAAGGTGGATGCCGGGAATGCCGTCAATGCCTTCGGTCCCCAACATGCCAAGCATGCCTTCGATGCCGTCCTGGGGCGGACAGGACAAGTCAAAGGGACAGTCTGGGGCGCCCAGTCAGAAACAAAAACCAAAGCCCACCCAGAAGCAGCAGACAACGCCTCGACAAACCAGATCAGCGACGCAAAAACAACAACAGGCTCAACAGAGCACAACACCGACGCAACCTTCCAAGGCCAAAGAAGCCCCGAAGCCCAAGGAAGAACCAAAGCCTAAAGAGCCATCAAAGCCATCTCAACCCAAAGCAACCGCCCAAGCCAACCAAGCACAGAAGCGTAATCCACCTTCCAACGCGAAACCCGCCAGTAAACCAGCAGCGACAACAAGCAAAGCGAAGCCGGCTCCGTCGCAGAATCAATCATCGGCGGCGTCAACCGCGGAGAAGAAGAAGCCAAGAAAGCTGAACAGGACCAGCGATATCAACGCAAAGGCCGGTTCAGGATCGCCACCTGAGAGGAAGAAGCCGAGAAAGTTGGAAAGGAAGACTGCTGCGTAATGTCCATGCTGAGGTGTGGGAGGGGTCTAATACGAAAGCACACATTGAAGAACGAATGCATGAATTCATGAAACACTTGTCGGCATGTCTGTCTATAGTGCATTTGACTGAGCCTTACTGCAAATTGCTACTTTTTGATGCGTTCTGCGGCAGAGCAAGCGTCCAAGTGTGAGTGGCTACTTTTTTGCATCTCACGTGCATTCTTGAGCCATTCACTTTTTTTTTTTTTTGGATTCTGTAGGTTTACGTCCTCTATACTGTTGCAATGTAATGCGTAATCGAAGATGTATGATTTCCTGAAGTTCCGGTTAAACCTCGCGATATGCCATGAGAGCACACGTCGACCAAGCGGAAGCACCGCGGTAGGACAGCGTTGTTATGTCATCATCTGATATACTTTCCGTCGTCCGATCGATGGATCTTCATGAATTTGCATGAGTGGTCGGCAGTGGACGGTGCCTTCCGGGCTGTGGTACTTGGGAGGGGTCATCAGTCGGAATGGTCACTGAAAGAAGTCGTGATCGCCTTGGACGTGCAGCAATTGGTTCGTAAAGCCAGGAAAGCTTGCGATAGCTTGAACTTCTGCAAATGCCAGAGCGTTATTTTACCTGTTGGATTTAGGTTAGCTCCTTATCAGCCTAAATTGGGGCCGAAACCTGCGTGTCTACCTGTCGCCTCAAGGTTCATCATACGTGCCGCCCCTAACCCGACTTACATCCCTTCGCAAGCACCAGAAACCTGAAAAAGCCACCCGCCCTGAGGACTCAAAGTGCTTGCTGTGTCTCCTGCGTTCTACCGTCTGCGTCATGCTGCGCGCCACTTATCGCGTCTTGAACGCGAACCTGACGCGGTCCAATGGGTACCCTTCCATCTCAAGATTCGCCGATGAACGAGCCAACATCACAACCATGAAACAGAACAAGTCCTCCAGCACACTCACGCCCGAGGAGGCCGAGGCAAAGCGAGCCATAAGAGAGGCTCGTCGTCGTTTCAAAAAGTATCGTGGATATAGCCACCGACAACAAAAACTGGACACCTGGAACGAACTCAGCCCTCCGCCGATTTCCGAGTACAGACTCACATTTGGGAAGCATTGGGAAATGAAATTAGACGAGGTACCTCTATCATATCTGGCCAAGTACTTGATTACACGGCGGAACAATGGATTGCTGGATCAGGAATGTCCGATTGTTCAGGAGGGTATAGATGACTATATAAGGAGGCACCCAGATGTAGTGAGTCAGGCGGGTCGAAAAAAGACGGAGCCGGTGGAATCGAACAAGTATGCCAAACAATCATCTACAACGGAGCGATCCATGAAAGCTATTCGGGATCGAGAGTCGCACCACGGTGCATAATTCTTGGGTTCAGCACTTCCCATGGATTTAGGCTATCATTCTCAGGCCATCTGTTTGGACTATATCCGAGCTAGCGAGCAATATTAGAGCTTGTTTCCCATGTTAATATGTACCGCTTTCGTCTGCGTGTAAGCCTCCAATCCTGCTTCTCCAAGTTCCCTACCAATTCCGGACTGCTTGACGCCTCCAAAGGGTACCCTGAAGTCACAGTCCTGGCTACTGTTCACCCACACCATACCTGCTTCAATCTCAATAGCCACTCGATGAGCTCGCTCCAGATCTTTGGTGAAGATTGATGCACCAAGACCATATGTCGTGTCGTTGGCGCGACGAACAACCTCATCTTCGCTTTCAAAGCTTGAGATTGTGACGACAGGTCCGAAGATCTCCTCCCGGAAGACACGCATGGTATCCTTCACGTCCTTGAATACCGTTGGCTGGATATAGAAGCCCTTGCCATCGCCGTGTCGCTTTCCGCCTGTCAATATGGTGGCTCCTTCCGACTCACCGATGTCGATGTAGGACAGAATGCGGTCGTATTGTGCTTTGGTCACCTGTGGTCCCTGGAATGTGGATTCGTTCCATTGGTCGCCAACTTTGGACACCTCTTGGATTTGCGCTTTGAACTTCTTCAAGAAAGTCTCGTAGATGCTCTTCTGTACGAATATCCTGGAGGTTGCAGTACAAATCTGGCCTTGGTTTGACATGATGCCGAAATGCGACCATTTGATCGCTTGCTCAATGTCGCAATCATCGAACACGAGCAGCGGAGATTTGCCGCCGGTTTCAAGAGTAATATTCTTGAGGGTAGTCGCTGCTGACTTCATGATTTGTGACGCGGTAGCTGTCGAACCGGTGAAAGCGACTTTGTCGACTAAAGGATGATTGACAAGCGCAGCTCCTGCCTCGCGTCCATGGCCGTTGATCAAGTTCACAACACCAGGTGGGAATCCCGCCCTATTGATGAGAGTACCTAGTACCAAAATGCTCAGTGGCGTTTGTTCTGCTGCCTTGAGCACAACCGTGTTGCCGCAAGCCAGCGCCGGGCCAAGTTTCCATGCTGATACGCAGTCAGATCTCAGTATGCGCTTGGCATAGGAGAGGATTGCAAACCTGCCATAGACAATGGGTAATTCCACGGGATGATTTGACCTATTACACCGATAGGTTGACGCAGAGTGTAGGCGAACTTTGCGGGAGTAGTGCCAATCGTCTGGCCAGATATTTTGTCTGCCCAACCTGAATAATATCGGAGCGTGCCGATAGTTTCAGGAAGGTCTTCTGTCAAGGCAACAGTGTATGGCTTTCCTATGACAAGGTGTTAATTTCACGCAAGTTCAGTAGATACAACGATAACTTGTGCTTACCGTTATCCCAAGCATCAATCGTTGCTAAGAGCTCCTTATTCTCCTCAATGAGATCGGCTAGCTTCGCCATCAATATGCCACGGTCAGTGCCAGGCAAGTGTTTCCATGAGTCGTGGACTAAAGCTGCTTTCGCTGCTTGTACTGCTTTGTCAACATCTTCTGCACTGGCAGCATGAACCTCGGCAATCTTCGATTCAGTTCTAGATAAGATCAGTGCAATGCGTGAACGATATTCAAGGCTCAAACATACGCAGGATCTATTGACTCGAGGAGCTGCCCGTTACTTGAAGGTACGATTTCGTTGTTAATAAATAGACCTATAGGCTGACTCCACTTGCGTCCATTGGGAGCCTGAAGGTCAACGTAGAGGTTGGACATGTCTGTGGTTGAGTAGACGATTTTTGATGCCGTTGAAAAATATGGGCTGAAGGCAAGAAGATACAGACACCTTTTCCACAAACTGCGTTCAACACAGCAGGCTCAGTAATTAACTTGCACTCGGAGAGTCTTCGGCGTGGGGAATCCCGACAGATCGCGTGGAAAGCGGCTAGAACAGTCAGTTTTCACAAAAATTCCAGAATTGGGACGCTGGGCGGTCTGCATTCATGCATACGTACATAGAGTGGCGTATTGATCTCATCGTGCATTCGCTTGGGCAAGTGATTCCGAGCCAATCGTTCCGTTTAAGACTAATCAAGCTCCGCACTAAGCCTATTCAAATTCTGACTGAGCAGTTCAATCATGCCCATGCTGCATGTGCTTGAGCTTGTCAAGTCAAAACTAAAAACTAGGGAGTAACTTCATGGAAGTCGCCGGCACGACGTGGGAGAGTCTCCGGGGTAAGTCGACTGTATTGAGGATGTTTCAAAGTCAAGAGACTTGCATGGACTATCATGTAAAAGTCTCCTCTCATATCTTGCAGCGCATATGTATTCAATCATACCAAGGTTTAACAATATGTAAAGGGTACAGTCAAAGTCAGGTGTAGAGAAAACTGATAATCGACATCTCGATCATTTCTATTTAGCATAAGGCCGCACGCTATGACACAGTCTTCAACCCCGCATTCTTCAACAAACCAAGAAGTTCTTGTCGTGTTTCACCCTCCAGCAGACCAAATGGTTTCCTTAGCCCGCCAGTCTTGATACCTTGCAACTCCATCCCTGTCTTGACTGCAGCAGGGTAGTTGTGTTCTTCCAAGAACGCGCAGATGGGCCAGATCTTTTGCCACAACTCCCTACCCTTCTTTAGATCTCCGTTAACCGCAACGGTATTCCAGAGCTGTACGGAGAGCTCTGGAATCACATTCGTTGCGCCCCACACGGAGCCTTTTGCGCCAGCAGCCATGCCGTAGAAGGTCAACGTGTCCCAGCCATTGAATGCCGTGATCTTGTCGGCGTGGCCAAAGAGAAGTTCAGTGAACGCGGGTGCGTTTCCGGAGGTGTCTTTCAGGTACTTGACACCAACCTCGGAAAGTGATGCAATCTCTTTGGGCGAGAGCGTGAGTCCGCTGGCTGATGGTATATTGTAATAAAGAATGTCCAATCCCGAGGTCTTATGTATCTCTCCAAGCATCTCCTTTAGCTGTTTCAAGTTGACGGGGTCGTAGAAAGGTGGCACGACCATGAGTGCGGAGGCCCCGGCTTTCGCGTGATGTGCCGCCAGATCTGTACCTTCCACAGTGCTCAATGCGCCAATACCTGCAACAACGGGGACACGACCGGCGGCGTATTTGATGCAGAGCTCAACAAGTTCTTTTCGTTCGGCTGTCGTTAGAGCAGTGAACTCTCCAGTCGTTCCTCCTGGTACGATGCCATGAACACCGATTTGGATAAGGTTGTCAATGTGTGCTTTGAGTCGGCCCTCGTCAATCTTCGAACTGTCGTCTGTGAAGGGTGTGGTGAGTGCTACTAGGATCCCGGTCAGGTCCTTGTGATTGGATGCGCTACCCATTGTGGCGGTGATACGTGTGATGGACGTTCGAATGATCAGAGAATTTTAGGGGAAATGGAAACAGTGTGGTTTGTTGAACAATGGAACGTTTGAGTGTTCTGGCGATTTTGGGAGAAATGTTTGTGCGGATGTTGCTTTATTACATTCGTCCGGACATATCAGCTACTGGTAGGCTCCACAGCCGCCAATATCCAACGCTGAGAATGCGCTGCTGTGGGGAATTCAATCTCAACTCAGAAAGCTATCGCGATTAAGAGCTACTGTTATTTTTCTAAGGGTTTAATTGGAGAACATGCGGGGTTGCACTGGACCTAGCACTGCACGGCTGGGGTCCCGCGCATCGTGACTAGCAAGTCGTTCCGGTGGGATATCTCCGCGCCCCGAATTCGGTGATTGTCGTGAGGCCATGTTTAGTATATGCCACTCGCTGGGGGAAATGAGGCGATAGTGACTAACATATCGGATCATGTGCCGCTCATGCACTAATTGCTCTGAATGTGTGGGCCATGAAAATCGGAGGATATGTAGCCATAACCTGAAGAGGACGTCAGCCTGAAACAAGTCGCAACGTTCCTACGCTCACTATTACTCTCCAACATGGCGAATCGTGCACCAACGCTTGATCGATATGTTTTTTCAATCAGTGACCTTCAGACGTATGGAAGTCGAAAATTGCCTAAAGAGTACGAGGAGTACTACAATCAGGGAGCGATGGACATGATAACACTGCGCGACAACGAAGCCGCGTTTGACAGATGGCGAATAGTGCCTCGCGTACTGCGAAATGTTTCGAACCTGGATACCTCGACCACATTCTGCGGAGAGAGGATTTCGTTTCCCTTGGGATTCAGCCCATCGGCTATGCACAAGATGGCTCATCCAATTGGCGAAGTTGGGACATCACGTGCAGCAGCGGACGTGGGCATTCCAATGTGCTTGAGCTCGTATGCTACCACATCGCTTGAGGAAGTCATTCAACACTCAATGGGAAACCCTTACATGATGCAAATGTGCGTCGTTAAGGACCGTAACATTACACTCCAGCTGTTGAAACGAGCTGAAAGTACGTGAAACTTCCACACGATATACATTCGAAGGCGAACTTGATACTGACGAGGCTTAGACGCCGGATATAAAGCATTATTCCTCTCGGTGGACGTCCCTGCGTTGGGTCGAAGACTGAACGAGATGCGGAATGATTTTACACTTCCTAAAGATCTAACTTTCCCTAACATCTTATCTGAAGGAGGACAAGAATTCGCTAATTCGGAGGAGGAAAAGGCGAACGGTCCCAAAGCATTTGGTAGGTTTTCATCCGTTTCAAGCTCGGAGACAGCCCCTAATCTGTAGCAGAGGATAATTTGGAATGGGAAGAGGCAATCCCTTGGTTGCGAGCGAACACATCGATGGAAATATGGCTTAAAGGAGGTCAGTCAAAACCGTAAAACAGGTTGGGTGATTTGCTGACTTTCCCAAAAGTTACCAGTCCACAGGATGTAGAGCTAGCGGTCGAATATGGTGTCGACGGTATCGTTGTATCAAATCATGGCGGCCGCCAGCTTGACAGCATGCCGGCGACGCTAGATGTTCTTGAAGAATGCGTGGCAGCAGCGCGTGACAGAATACCGATTGCAATGGACGGCGGAGTCCGCCGGGGGTCTGATATCTTCAAGGCTTTAGCGCTTGGAGCCAAATGCTGTTTCGTTGGTCGGATCGCCATCTGGGGTCTCGCAGTAAGTTGCTTTGCATGTTCGTGGCTCATGATAAATCGCTGAAAATCTGCAGTATGACGGCCAAAGAGGGGTCGAATTGGGTCTCAAGCTCTTGCTGCACGAGTTACAGGTCACGATGGCTTTAGCAGGGTAGCTTTGTCTGTCCCCAAGTACCCGAGGTGGCTAACAATTCGTAGATGCCGAACGATTGCCGACATCTCCCGTGCTCATGTCCGACGCCTGAATTGGGATGGAGCGCTTGCAAAGCTTTAATATCTTGTCGTAAATGCGATGGTTGAGGAATAGTTTGTTCCGGATCGTATGCATGAGCAGTTCTTTCTAACGCTAGCTTTTCGAAAGAGTTCTTCAATATAAAGTAACCCACACATCTTGTTCCCTGCAGACGTCGACCCACGTAGGCTGGTTCGATGTCGATCTGGATGCTCTCGATTGATTGGAGCCGACAGATCCAGGGTCTGAGTGGAGTGTACGTTCATCATGCCGCTTCCAGACTTCCTTCATGACTGTCATGGAAATGTTGAATGTCTCAAGACCACATTTTTCGAATCCGTTGTCCAACCATGCCATGAGCAAAGTCCTATTCTGGCGTGACAAAGCCTCGCACCCCGCGATAAAGGCAGGCCAAGCAGAGCCCGGACCTGACAACCCTTCGGAAAGGAGCGCTTCGTCGAAATCTCTGAGTGACTGAATAACAGACCCAACGTGGCCTTGTAAGATAAGTGGGTTGACATTGCGAATGCGCCGGTAAAACAATATCACTAAAGCTGAATTCATTGCTTGCATCATGTGGTAATTTACCGGCCGAGGCATGGCGGCCGTGCCGTTGCCTTCGGTCTCGTCGGCGCCCGGATCTCTCAGAGCCCATGAGCAAACGATGTGCTCTAGGCGGCTGGAGCGCTTGTTTAAGAACTCGAGGAAATGGCTGTCCGTATCTTTTCCGTATCTCGCGGCATCTAAAATGTTCGCTAAGCGAGTCGTTTGTGAAATGAGACTTAGCCAAGTCTCCGATATCCCGTAAATTTCGTGATACATGGTATTGTGATCTCGTCGTGAGTCGTTGAGGTGGATGTCGTGCAGCCCAATCTCTCCTTTTGACTCTTCTATATCAAGGTCACTGTCGGATTGGTGAGGTTCGAGCCGCAAGAAGTCGTCCAGTCGAGCGTTATGACCACTCCTAGGAGGGGGTTTCTCCACCAATTCCGAACCAGCATGAAGCCTCCCAGCTCGATAGGCGGCGCTCATATTGTCGATAACAGAGCCGTAATGCGTATAATCGTGGAGCACGTAAGTGCTTTCCCCAACCACCCGTATCCATGAGTAGACATGGTGCAGGAACCGACATTTTCGAGATATCTGGCGTTTCGCAAGGCCTTTCACCCTTATTAAACGCTCTGCGTCTATAATGTAGCGACGTGCATCAGCATGGTGTCCGGAAACTGTCTTTGGAGGTTGTTCGGTCAGTCAAGAAGAGACAGCTTTACTGGAGAAGATAACTTACCGCGCACGCAAGCATAGCTAAGATTGCCATGAGTTGATCTTTGTACTTCGCTTTTGCTGGGCCTTTGAGTTCCTCGCGAAGTGATACTTGCATGTGTACATTTGCTTGGCTCCGCAGTCGAATGAAGAGACCCATCCAGTATTCAGGCTCTTTTGTCGTTTGACCAGAACTCACCGAGAGATGATAAGCTGAGCATGCTAATATCCCGTAAAGATTAGCCGCATTCGCATGTTTCAGCAACCCGGTCTGTAGGAATGTCATCTCCGAAAGTGATCTTGCTGCTTCCGATAACTGAAAAATGGTCCATGGCGATTTCGCATTGGATGGCATGAATGACCATCCAGGAATGATGAAGTCGTAAAAATGCTTCAAAAGAAATTGGGCTTCGGTGGGCGAATCGACTTCAGCTAGGAAGATTCGATGTTGTTCTATTATTCCTACAGCAGCACCTTGAGGGTGTGGTTCGTTGAATGTTTGTGCAGAGGCTGAACTTAGGGGATAGTCCAAGGGTGCTGGGTCTTGTGCACGCAGAGTCTCTTCAGACAAAGCTATTCCGGAATCAGGCTGAGTCATCCCAAACTCATGTTCGGGATAGTGCGCAGCATACTGAGGCATCAAGAGACTGTTCCCAGTGTCAAAATCGAGCGAGAACAGGTCAGACCATTGCAGACTGTCGTTGATGCCAAGGATTGGATCAAACCAGTCGACGAGAGCCGGTACTGGGTCAAGCACATTGGTTGTTCCATTTTCGTTTGTCATTTGGTCACTATCCAGCACGCTGTCACTGGCCGTGGGGTCCATCTGTGGCCTAGAGGGGCAATCAACTGGCGCAGGTTCGGCAGGGGCTTCCATTGCCGGAGCCACCATGTTCAGGACGCCAAAGGGGCCGATTACAATGTCTTCTTCATCTGTCTGGAGACCTCGTGTTCGAGCATCGATCCGTGCAAGAGATGCATCTACAGAACTTGAACCGAAACATTGTCTTAGGCTTGTGGACATGGACGCCCTCGATGATACTGCATTTGCAATCAGATCAACAGATCCCGTGGCAGCATACAACGCATACATACCCGAGAAGAGATGGTGTCTGGTTGTATTCTCACCAGCGACCTCATGTTCGAAGTGTCCGGTGCCTGCTGTAGAAAGAGTCGCGGGCGGCAACCATCGGACCCCTTCATCGTACCCTTCACAAGTCACATTGATAGCTCGACAAGCAAGACAGGCAGGTCTGATCTGATCGCATTTGACGTGCCGCCTTCTACAAGTCTTGCATCCACCGAATGAATGTGTTCGGCGACTTGGTCGTTTTCCGCGTCCAGCTCCGGGCATTGTGGGTCAAAAGCGATGACGTCAGCGTTCTTGGAGGGTGGGCATGGCCGACTGATGTGCATGTTGAGGCATACACGCGACACTTTCACATATGACCATCCACTTTCGAGGATATTTTCTTTCGATCTGGAATTTCAAGGTGGCAAAATAGGGCAAGTGGCTCCAGTCGGTTAGCAATGGTTTCGGAATCACCTTCCTCTTCCGAGAACAGGACGCTAGCTTAGGCCCCACGCCCTATGTTGAACACAACCTTGGGAGGCTTTGAAATCGAGCTTTGGGTTGATGCGATCAAAAGCTCTTCGTCGATTGAGAGACACATACTTTGATACCACAAAATTATCCAATTATGGCGAGAATTCTATTGTAAGCTCTGATCATGGCGCAGACAGAGGATCAATGCTCACTCACGCGTAGGACCGGTGGCACTGGCTACATTGGTGGGGACGTCTTGTACCGACTATTGTTGCACGGTGCACCCAAAAACAGCATCAGTTGTCTGGTTCGGGACCATGAGAAGGCCAAGCAACTGTCAAAGATCTATCCTGACGTCCGCATTGTGGAGGGCGACCTAGATGACGTTCAGCTCGTGGAGAAGGAAGCACGTGAAGCGGACATTGTTGCGCATCTGGCAGTCACTTCCCATTTCCCAAGCTCTGAAGCGATAGTCAGAGGCTTGACTCAGCCGGAAAGGGGCCGGAAAGGCTATTGGATCCAAATATCAGGCGCCACGCTGCTCGCTGCAGACGAGATCAAAGACGGAAGGTTCGGATTCGCGACCGATAAGTCTTATGACGATGTCAAGGACATCAAAGACATCCATTCCATAATCACCGCCAACCCAAAGAGACTCGTTGACAATCTGGTTCTTGTCCAAGACAAGATCAACACTGCACTGATTGTTGGCCCCCATATCTACGGACTTGGGAGAGGGCCTTCGCATACCCGTAGTGTAAGATCCGAAAAGAATGACTGATGCACTTCAGCCACAAGCTCATGTATACAGGTCCAAGCACCAGAGATTGCACGGGCAACGCTGAAGCTAAAGGAAGGCTTCAGATTAGGTGAGGGGAAAAATAGGTGGAGCAATATCCATGTGAACGATCTGAGCGACCTGGTTGCATCTCTTGTGGAAGCAGCTGCTGAAGGCGAGACTGCCGACGGACAATGGGGTAAGGACGGCATTTACTTCCCAGAAAACGGGAACATGGTAAGCAAGTCCTTTCCCCATCGAACTCAGCTAATGGCCTGCTAGACCTTCGGAGATCTATCGGCGAAGATTGCGAAGGAAGCTCAGAAGCAGAGCCTCATTCCCAAAGGTTCTGCCGAGAAGGTAATCGACGCAAAGGAAGCTGATGCGCTTTCCGGTCATGCATCCATTCTATGGGGCACGAATGCCATTATTAAGTCTTCAAGAGCGAACTCATTGCTCCATTGGAAGCCATCGCGACCATCGCTAACATATGAGATCCCTGGCATCGTAGCGAGAGAAGGGCAGGGCCAGTCAAATATCTGAAGCAATGTTGAAGAATATAAAACACCAGCTTCACACATGTTGCATCCCGTCGTTTAATCTAGGCTGCGAGCATTTTATTGTTAGGACTGCATTTGGAGTGGAAGCCACGTGTGCCAGCATGGTGAGCCTACAATGGTCCCAAGGCGCTACCGTGATTCTAGACACCTATTATCTAGGAAGTGAAATCCTAGCCGGTGGATTTACTCCAGCGGCACTTTGTGCAATGACATTGTGCAAAATTTATTCCTGCGTTGTGTATCCACATCAAGGTGACACAAAACGCATTTCAGTTCTATATAAACAAACCTTGAAATACGACTGAGTATGGTAAAATCCATAGAGCAACCTTCGATTCGACCTTGCAAGAGCAGGAGATCGAAAGAAATGTCCAAAAATTTGAAGAAGAACGTCACCTTTGCACCGCTGGCTAGCGCAAAGGTGTACTTCATTGCTCGGGGGCAAGGCACTTGGGACAATGGTCAAATGCGTGCCGATAGCCCTACACCTTATGAAGTTGCAAGTCTTCCTAGATTGGCGGCACAAACTCTAGCGCATATCGAACACAATGAAAAGACTGGTACGGATGTGAAGCGCAAGCCGCTTGTACAGGGAACACCACATATCGACGCCCAGAATGGTGCTCAATCTGCTCGGGAGCCTACTCAGCCGAGCGGTAGTGCCACTTTTGATGCTTTTCTCCCACAAGAGAAGCTGCTTGACGAGCACACGCACCGTAGGCCTAACACAAAGTCATTCGGTTCTCTTGCATCTCTGAAGAGCTTGAGTAAGAACTTCAAGCAGAAGATTCTGGGAGATAAGAACAAGTTTTAACAGGCAACTTGTTGCTGAGGGATAGTCTCATATACCGCATTTCATCATGGCTTCCCATCGTTGGCTAGCTCCAGTTTCATGCCATACGTGCAACTCACCGTCTCCTGCCCACTCTTATCAAATTGGTTTTCATCACTTTCAGCTAGTATAGCAGACGTTCAACCCTGCGCTTTCTCTACACATTTGGTACGCTGCGTTTGCTTTCTATTCTTGAAACATACCTCTAAAAATTCGTTCGAAACACCCAATATTTGTATGACTGTTCGAAATTGGAAACTACTTTCTGTGTCATGTGTACCCGCGGTAATGCTTGCCGATGCAGGCCTGCGATGTTTTGAGAATCCAGGTATCCGTCGAGCAGAGACAACTCATCTGATTGGATTGGTTCCTCGGCCTGACAAACCGTAGTATGGGTAATTGGTCAGTTGACTTAGAAGATCAGCAATGACAGGTGGGAAAGCAATCTTGACTTTGCTGAGGTGGATCATGCGTCAAGCTATAAGGAGTGGGGCCGCGCTGGTGGGACCACGCTGTAACAATTTACGGACCACAGATTGGCAGAAAGGTGAGAACATATCGAATGACGGGCCCATGTACGTGTTAGGTTCTGGCTGTGTTCGAGCTTGTCAGATGGATACCCAGTACGAGGAGAATTGTCCGATCAAACATAAAGTCAGCGCATCGTAAGCTGGGTACCAGATCGGGTCCTGTTGGGTATCAAGCTGTCTCAATCGTCTCGCTATGAGGTAGATACTCAAACACGCAAGCTTGATCTACAAGCAGAAAGACACTTTCTCTTCAGCAAACTTCCTCTCGGCCAAGTTATATCAAGGAGGCCGTGCGCCTGTTCTATCGTGTTACCATCTCTTCTTCAACTGACTCATAGCATAACAAAATAACAGTTTGTAGACTTTCGATGTGGCAGCGCCTCACATATCCGCGCTTGGAGAGTGGGACCATCCTACGCATGAATTTCATTAAATTTCATTACTCCAAGAGCACGACTCCAATCCTATCTCCTTCGAATATAACTGCCGATCACGGCAGAGTATGGAAGCCACACAACAAATTGTTCAACACGGGTTTCACAATGAATAAGAAACCGCAATTTCCCATACACACGAACTTTCTGCAGGGTCCTTCTAGGAAGACGTATCTGACCAATCTGACCAACCATTTCGAAATAAACATTACGGCAAAACAACTATGGGAGTACGATATCTTGAACTTAGACAAGAGAGACCAGACGAAGAAGAAAGTTAGGCAACTTTTCGATAACGCGATTTCAGCATGGTCATTTTGAACGAAAACAGAGACTTGTTCGCTACAGACTCTCTTGAGACGATCATCTCCTGGATCCCCTTCATCATCAACTACCCTCTGACGTTCATGTAGAAGATCCGGGAGATCCAAGCGCGCAAATCGATGACACGAGTGCTATATGGACTGCAATTGACGTTCCAGACGGTAGGGACGGCCAAAGCCCTATCCCGGCGCGCTTTAGCCTGGTTGCGAAGCTTGACATCCGCTAATCATTGACACAGATTCATGTGCTCTGTTACGCGTACTGCCGAGCCACGACAAGAGTATCCTACGCCACTCCCGCATATTATGCAGACCGTCTATGTGAACGCGGCCGTCTCTACATGCCGAATGTTCTCAACGGGAATAAGGAAGCCAACACAACTACTTTACAGAACGCTAAGAACGGGGAAGTTCAGCGGCTTGAAAACGCAAGAAATGCACAGTTTCGCCCGAACAACGCTGTTGACTACGATTACGAAGTTCACGGCGCAAAGAGTCAAGAGGAGGCTGATCAGGAGAAACAAGACCTCAGCACTCTTGACGACTTCATGCGCGCACAGGCCTTGACATTTGCGCAAGCGGAGTTTTATGCGCACAAAATAGATGCGTACAACAACATTGATATGACCGGCAACCTTTGGCCGGATTCGAGTGGATAGCATATGATCTGGATGTGAGGCTTGCCGATGGCTATGCTTTCATTTCCTCCCTTTCTTATCATGTTCTGTATCTTCTTCTCGTTCATGTCTCACTTTTGTTTCGTCATGCTCTCATACATCTCTCCCTGTTGTACTTGCGATCTCTACCAATTACCCTTGCGTCATTCTGTATTCACTTACCAGGCCGCATTTCTGTTCCGTCTTATCAACGCTTCCACATTCTTTGAGCATCTACACATCCTAGCAAATGAAATCTATACGACGCATAGGCGCATCTAACGATGTTTAATGGCCTTTTCTTACCTCCCAACTCTTGACCGCAGACACTGTTATTCCCTGCGGAAGAGACTGTTTTCGCGTCCTTAAAAACGGCGGAGGAAGATGTCCTATAGTGGCGCGGGAAGGAGGGCATGCACAATACGCAGGAAGAGCGAAATGCAGCGAACGGGGCTTTGCGCGGGTAGCTTGCTGAGAGATTTAGGGATGTAGAGCGGGTGACGGTTGGCGAGAGGCAGATAGTGAGGTTTAGCTGGGGAAGGCTGGAGAGCCCGGTGCATTTGGAGCCACGCATGGGGAGTGATCGGGTGTTTATGACGGTGGTATTTGAGAGTGAGAGGGAGCTGAGCAGTCTGTGTAATTAGGGGGGCGGAGTTTGGCGAGTTTAATGGGCTGTAGGAGAGCACATTCTAGTGGAGGTAAGATATAGCTTGCTTGCGATCGTGGAGGCTGCATCCCGCTAGTAAGTTCTGATAATGCCTGTTCGATCCCTGTGCTGCTTTATCCACCCTTCCCCGCTCACGCGGTCTCATGCCTGCATCTAATTGTTCGCCGTCCTGTCGTTGTAGTAATGGATCGTCTGGTCCGCACAACCACTGGGTGTCTGGTATGCATAGTTCCCTAGATTGATATACATTTGCTGCCCTGTGCACACATACCACGCACTGGGGTTTGGCCGGGTCACGTCCGACACACTCCACTGCAAATCGTCGCCTCCGAACTTGAACGTTCCGTATGTGTTTTTTTCGGCAGTGAAGCTCACGGCAAGAGACGCGTTGTTGATGCTCCGCGTCTTAGAGACTGTCGCATAAAGCAGTTTGACGGCTTCGCCTGGTGCGGAGACCAGCTGCACTAATTGTCCATCCTGAACCTGGAATTGGCCTGCTGTCGTGTAGTCGCCAAGAAGGGCGGGACCTGTGGCATACAGTGGCTTGGTCTGCATGTACTTGTGGTAGTTGGGCGCTGCAACGGCACGAATCCAGTAGTAACCGCTTTGCAGCGTTGTCCCCGGACCGCTGCCGGCTGGCGTGCCTGTCGCGACAGGAGTCTCGGGCGTGGTGGGGTCCTCGGGTACAGGATCGACGGGCACGGCACCGGGTTGGCATTGCGAGTAGTATTCACTGAGGAATGTCAGAAGATGAGATGGACGAGTGAAAAGGAGCTGACTTGATAACAACGCAACCGGACCCAGTGGCGCATTGCGTGGCTCCAGAGTAGCTCATGCCACCGCCTTCAGAAATGGTTAGCTATGGTTCGCATCTCTCGGTCGTAGGAGGGGTACATTGCTGCCAGTCTCCTACAATAGCTGAGGCCGTGCCAGACAAGGCTGCCATTATGGCCGCTAAGAAGCGATACATGTTGATACTAGATAGACCAGGGAAAGAATGATGGCAGGCGAGAGGGTTGCCAAAGGCTACAGTGACCCAGCGCGAGTCTCATCGTCTCCTATAGCGGTATATGAACCATACTGTGGCCGATGCTGTGTGCACGTGTTGCGTTCAATTTAGTTTTCGCGATGTATTCGCCGTCGGACCGTGGCAGCCGGTGAAATCAAATAGATCAACGACCGGGGCGCGAAGCGAGCCTAGGAATCTCCATATAGACCACATATACCTCGCCAACCAGGAGCCGGCCACACTTGGTAAGAAAAGGCCGCTGGTTTGTACCATAGTGTGGACCTTGATTGCGCGTGGTACCAAGCTACATGCTCGGACGGAGTTCGTCGATCGGCGCAGAAATGTTGCAGTAGTGGAAAAGAGGATCATCCCATTTCATCTCGACCAGTGTTGTAGATGGCACGATGACGGGTTCCTGAGTACGTATGATGGGTGATCAGACTGTTTCTTCGACACCGCCGCCGACTGGCTCCGGCCTCATTGCGAAAAGGATCTTGTACTTCACAATCTCTACGATCTCCAGCTCTTCACCGGCGTTTACCGCTTCACCATCTCCCATGACCACATCCTCCACATTGGGGGTCTCTCTCTTCCTTATCACTGCGAACGGCTTTCCCAACCTCTTGACCTCGCCCGCCATCCTTTGGTTCTTGCCCACATAAAAGTACACCCTCTTCATCCACTTCGTATCGTCCTCAGCGTTCAGATCAGGATTATATAGTGGGAACACGAGCTTTCCAACTTGGGTGCTGGACTGTGCGGCTGCGGGCGGGAAGCGTATGTCGCCCTGAAGTTCGAGCAGTGCAAGGCCGGAGGGTGTGCGGAGGAGGGGGGGAAGCGGGTTGGAATCTGATGCGGCGGAGGCAGGCGCGAGCGACCGTGGGTGAAGAGGGATGATCGGCATAATACCTTTCGTTTCGAAGCACAGTTGGATTCTGAAGAAGACTGACGTGATCAATCGCAGAGGAGCTGTTAACGAGTGGCACAGTGGACAATTTAGTGGGGCAGCAACGCGACGCGTCTCGTCCGTGCACGCGTTGCCAGCCTTTATGCATCCTCACCAAAATTCGAACAGAGAATGGGCGGATCGTCATTTGTCGTACCGCATGTCTCGATGATCACATCTTTCCGTGGCATACTCTCTAGAGGCCACTGCATGTTCAGGGCAGTTCATCGCTTGGTGGCTGTGCAATCGTTCACTACCTCAAGATGTGCCCTCACGAGTTGATTGGTTGTTGACGCACCAGCCACTTGACTAGCACCAGGGGCATGACCCACCAACTTCGTCACGCACCAACGCGTCTCGACTTAGCTTCCTCACGCCGTCTCAGCTGCACCAGTGTGTCTTATGCTCAGACATCTCCCGAAAGCCTCGAAGCAACTTTAGGGCGATTGAATTCTCCACAAGTGATCCACGGGATGGAGGCTGAGATTGCGTATCCTGGGTGACGTTGCCTCTAATGGTTCAAAGCGAAGCTATCGATATACAAAACTGCTATCCCCCAGGAAGCGCCATGTCCCGATTTGTGTCTCAAGCAATCATTCTCTCCTTCAGTCTGTCGCTACGATGCATTTCTTAACATCCAAGCTGCTGCCTCTGCTCTTCGCAAGCGTTGTGACTGCACAGACAACAACATCATGTAACCCCACAGAGAAAAGTACATTTCCCCATCATTTGGATTGACCATGCTCAGATGTGCAATCTCTTGTACCTATCAAGCGCTGACTATGTCTAGCCTGTGCAGCGGACACCGCCCTCTCTTCGTCAACATACACCCACGACTTCGCCACAGACGGCTTTGACGACGCGAATTGGAACATCACTGCCGGAAACGTAACGACAACCTCCTCGGGCGCGCTCTTCACCATCAAGGAATCCGGCGACGCTCCCACCATTCGCAGCAAGTGGTACATCTTCTTCGGTCGCGTGTCTTTCATCATGCGGTCCTCCCCCGGAACTGGCATCGTCAGCTCAGCAATCTTGTTGTCCGACGACCTCGACGAGTTGGACTGGGAGTTCCTCGGCGGCGAAGCGGACGTCGCGCAGACGAATTACTTTGGGAAAGGTGAAAGTAGTACGACGAATAGGGAGGTGGATGTCGCTGCGAGCGATAGCCAAACCACATCCCACAACTACACGATTGTATGGAACAAAGATAGTACCGAGTGGCTTGTTGATGGCGTCGTGTTGAGGACGCTGACCGCTGATGAGGCTGTTTCGGGCGGTAATAGTTATCCGCAGACACCCATGGATGTGCGTATTGGCATTTGGGCGGGCGGCGATAGCAGCAATGCCGAGGGCACGATTGAGTGGGCGGGTGGGGAGACGGATTATGGTCAGGGACCGTTTGAGATGGTGTTGGAGAAGGTCGAGGTGGTTAACGATAATCCGGGCAGTGGTTATACATACGGTGATACTAGCGGGGATGCGGATAGCATCGAGGTTGATGAAGAGGGCGCGACGACTTCTGCAACGTCAGAGCCTTCCGGGACGAAGACAAATACTGCAAGTGGTAGTGCTGGTGGGAGTACGGGCACGGCGACGGCGACGCAATCGGGTATGTGGTGGACGACTAGTGCGGAAGCACTTGTTTCCAAGTCACAATCTGAGGGACACCAGGTTTCTGTGCAGAGCACATGTTTTGCAATAGTACTAAGCGTATTGCTGGCGCTACTGTAGTCTTCACGCTATAGCACTAGATCTTCAGGTCGAGCAGTATGAATATCGCGCTCCTTCCTATACGATCGCAGCGAGGACATTATCAACAACGTGCAGGTAGAAAGCATTCGCCCTGCCCTGGCTCAACGCAGTGGCCTTGTACTGATAGCAACCAGGTACTGGAAGACCGGTAAACTCATTAGCACCATTTGTATGGGATTATATGTCCTCGCTTGAAAGCGTAGCCCCACTGTTCGGATTTGTCGAAGTTAAAGCGATCCGAATTCCGCATATGCTGGAGTGATGGTAAGCAACCTAGGAAGTCCTTGATGCTGTAGTTGCTGCCGCAAAGATGCCACTGAGGGGAATATGTATCGTCCGTATTACCTGCCGGGACGCCACCAAACAACGAGCTCAGCTCCGCAAATGCGGCGTGAGATCCGCCATGAGATTCACCAAAGCCAAGTGCTCTTCCCGATCCAGTAAAGTCGTTGGCAGTACCGCGACCGGATGAAGACAATGGTATGCTGAGGTTGCCTACGACCAAATTGGGCCGATGACGACAGGCTGTGGTAGTGTTCAATTGCTGAAGGTGGAGTGTGTGGAGGTATGCCGAACGAGGACTTATTGACTGATAAACCCAGGAACGATGCCGATTCAATATTACCATATGGCACAGGAGGCCGCGCAAATGAATGACCGAACCTCGAGAGCCGCCCTTCTTCGCTTGAACCGGGAGCATTCACGATATATGATTCGAAAATCGCCCCGAACTTTCGCATGGCGTTCTGCAGCTGCTTTTAGATGATTCTTAAGGGCTCATGCCGTTCTCCGTACATCATGGTCCTGTAGCTGCTCGCTTCCGACCCTACCTCGGCCTCTGACTTAGTCCAAGCCTGTATGGTCTGGAGGATCCTGTTCGCCTTTTAATCCAATGATATTGGACGACCTCTGACCAAAGAGTGGGTGAGCTGTTCGCATGTGCCAATATGGCATGTTGAACGGTGAACGTCCGGATAGTCATTGTACGCCTCGGAGCTGGTCTTGCCCCTGTTATTGCCACGATCTCTTTCTCGGCCTACGAAAACAGATTAGTACCGCATATGATGGAACTGTAATTCTGACTATGCTTGCGAAGGTCCGTTATTCCAAGATTGTGGGGCTAACGCCACATGTCTTGGACTGCTTCACCTGGCGTAATGTAGTGCAGGGGATTGTCACCGCAGACTCGCCAGGCTCATTGTACCACGGATTCTCGCAGAGAATCCTGGCTTGAACAGGCACGAGGTGAAGTGAGACAGATGCGCAGTGCACCGACGTCGTCACTGAGAGTGAGTCGCACCTATTCGCTGCCTCTGGCGCTGACTCGATGTGGACCTACCGATGAAGGCAGAGCAAGCAAGCGGCGTCACCAAGATTACTTCTAAGGAAGTACACTTGTCCTCATCGTCCATCGAAGCAGGCTCTATTAGAGAGAGCCACGTACTGGAGATTTACTAGGGCGCCCTTACACGTGGATCAGCTGATCTGAACGCCACAGGTGGAAGTCCATACGGAATGATCTGGTCTTACGGAGTATGGTGATCTCGAACATCCGCACTCAAGGCAACATACCATTCGAACGTCAGCGAGCTAACGTACTAGACGCACGAGCCTGGTTATGACAATCGGTGACAATCACTTATACGAGCAAAGTAACGCGGCGTGTGGCTTCTTTGAATTGCTGTATGGTTTACTCTAGAGCGTTGACGCACGACAGCTAAACCCAACTTTCCATCTATACTCTCAAAATGTCTGCATCCGTAAGCTAATCGCAGACGACAGGTGCTACCGAACGTGCGTGTACTTGGGCTCATTCCTAGCTTCGTACACGTAGCCCGTACCGATACAACGACTTTATCGCGCGCCTTTAGGTCCTCCACCACGATTCAAGCGTCTTTCAAGAATATACAAGTTATCGACTGTGCGTTCCAAACCTCCTAAGTCACATTTCCAAAGTACAGTGTATTCCAGCAACAGCGATGGAGGGGTATCGTGATCGAAGGGAAAGCGGATGCCATCAATGTCGCCTCAATGTCTTCTCGTCCCTTCAATTGCTCTTGGTTCCAATGGATATGTCGCGCCAGCGCAACACCTTGCTTAGTCCGACTCCTCTCTCGTGTTCCCGCCGCCAAGCCAGGTATTCACCTGCCCGCTTCTTCAACGCTCTTGGCGCTTGCAGATAGTTCTGGTCTTTTGAAACTACTTACTGATCTTCTTCCACAAACAAGCATCACACATCCCTTGGCTCCTATTCACCACTTTATGTTCTAACCCATCTTTCTCTTTACAAGGCATATCCAGTCTATTGCTTTCTGACACTTTGCACAGCCGCAACATGGCCTTGGTGCCGGGCTGTGGCAACGGTTTCCAGCACCCGCATGCGTAGAGGGTGTAATGTATCTCGCACATGGGAGTCCGGGTCAAGATGCTTTAGGGGTGAGAATCGCCTAGGGTGGACTTTGCAGATGCACGTGTAACAGTCGGTCGAGAGCGTGTGTTGTAATGCTGATCGGGTGCGATTCTTCTTGCGTCAGGAACTTGCGCTGCTTGATTTTCCTCGTTCATGAATTTGGCGCGTCGATGGGTATGGATCCAGGTGTGCGCTCCCGAACCTCGCAGAGCCGCGTTCGTGATCAAAACGCTAGAATACAAGATAACAAAACAGTTCCAGGAGGGTAACAGAAGGAAACGGAAAGAACAATAGAGAGGACAGGACCAGCCAACCCCGCTGCCCTGGCCCAAAACCTTTGATTAAATTGCGTCGCGTACCGCTGAAAAAGCAACGAGCCGCCTCCCAGGGCAAGCTCGCGCTCACACGCACGACGGACAACAACAGAAAATGCCACAATCCAGCGCCAGGAACGCAGATCCCCGCATCCAGCGTTGCACAAGCCCTGCGTCTTCCAGGCGCAGGGGAAGTACATGCTCCCCTTACTGCCGCAACGACGGACGCGAGCCAGCATTTCGCTGTCGCTCGTGGATGGCGACCTGGACGAGATGCAACCAGGACGTCGCGGCTCCACCGAAAGAAGAAAAAAGCACCAAGGAGGAGGAGCAGGACGCGGGGAAGTTGCTGGTGTAGCCGGGCGCAAGGTCACTGGCCGGGGAAGCTGCGGAATACGAGCACCAGGGTGGTCAGTGTGATGGCCTCACGTCGTACCGCCGCAGCTTCGACGGTGGTGCGAAGATCGAACCATGACAGTGACATTCTCCTTCACTAACGTACGCCTGTCCCTGGTGGGGAAGGGCCCGTTTCGCAGGCGGCGATCGACCTCCCGAGTTCCTGCATTTGAATGCGAATGCGTATCCGGACCGCTTGGAACAAGGGGAAGCCATTCTTTCAAGAATGGGAATGCGCTTCGGGAGGGCAGTTCGGGACGAGCCGAACGGAGACCTGTTTCATGGTCTGGTGTTTTCGGTTTTGCTCATGCATGCGCAGCGCAATCGATCGTGTCCAGGACGGTGGGTGCGCCTAGTCCTTTTCGGGCCTTCAACAAGGCGTTCAGTGTTCCACAAGATTCAGCCTCGAGGCTCAAATCCATGCTGTACTATGACAATGGCGACGCCCGTGGTCGCAGGGGTCGCGCATCGCTGGTGCATATCGACGGGGCTCGCTAAGGGAACAAAGAACATTGTGGAGCGAGATTGGGAGGAAGCGCCACCGAACCAAACCGGGGAAGAGGCGCAAAAAGCAAATCCCCATACGAGATCGGCCGCATAGCGGGCTGGAGTCATGCAGCATGGATGAATACGAGTCTAGTCTTTGGACAAGTGCGTGGTGGTCAGTGTTGGTGCGAAACAACACCCAGACATCACTCAACATGTACATCTCTCCATATGCACCCTAGTTTGCCTACACCTGGAGAGGTGCATGGCATTCTCCAAAGCCGCTGTTGCCGCATTGACAGAAGTAGTGGCAATGTTAACACAATCTTGACAAGTAGTCGTTCTGCCCTTGTGTATCAATGATAACCGACAGAATCGTTAGTGGGAACTTGTGGTATATTATATATCTTCCACATTAGAAAGTATGATCATCATTCCGGTGACTCATGCACATACACCGTACAGCGCTTCTCTATGACCTCTTTCCGAACACCTTGTCGAATCCAACAAGCGTAAGCCTGAACCTCACATTGTCATTCTTATACACCCTCTCGACCGCCTGCTTGCATCCCTCCTCACTGATGTCGAGGGTCTCGACCCAGCTCTTGATGTTTTGCTTGCTCGCAAGTTCCAACATCTCCTCCATCTCAGGCCTGTTTCCAATATGGCTCGCACCCATGTAGCATCCATTCGGCGCAAACGCCTTTGCGTCCAGCGGCTGCAGCTTGTTGTCGGGGAATCCGACCATGTGGAAGGTACCGTTGACCTTGAGGGTGGAGAAGTAGTCAGGGAGGTTGAACTTGTCGGTTGCGTCGGCGCAGTTGAGGATGATGTCGAATTGGAAGGCCCAGGGCTCGAACCACTTCTCCTTGTTAGTTGAGATGAAGTTTTTAGCGCCAAGCTTGAGAGCATCGTCTTTCTTGGATTCCGAATGTGAAATCACATAGGTTTCGGCGCCAAGGGCGACGGACCAAAGGACGCCGAAGTGCCCGAGACCGCCCAGACCAACGATGGCGACCTTCTTGCCCTTGCCGGTGCCTAATCGCTTGAGCGGAGAGAATGTGGTGAGACCGGCGCACAGCATCGGTGCTGCGATTGCAGTATCGAGGTTGTCGGGAATCTTGAAGGTGAAGTACTCGTGAGCGCGGATGTGGCTGGAGTAACCACCCTGGGCGATGGTACCATCGGGGTGAGGTGCGCCATATGTGTCGATGGCATTCGGGCAGTAATTTTCCTGGTCCGCCTTGCAGTTGTTACATGTGAGGTCGGCGCCAATCTGAGCACCAACACCGGCACGGTCGCCAACCTTGAGGTTCTTGACCTTGGAGCCGACCTTGACGACCTTGCCGATGACCTCGTGGCCTACACATAGCGGAAGCGGAATTTCCTCTCCCCATCCGCCGGAGATGGTGTGAACATCGGACGCGCAGACACCGCAAGCATCGATGGCGATATCTACATCATAATCTTCGAATTTCTTGAGCGGCAGCTGTACGATATTAGAGAGCGCTAAATACCCGAATGCAATGTAGTACCTCTTGTCGCTTGAAGTTGCTCCAGTTTCCGTTCTTGATGTCTGTGACAGCAAACGCATCGGTGGTCTCAGGGTAAGGCATTGTGGAGATTGAGAATGGGTATCGATAAATTGGAAATGAAATGTAGAAGAATATTGTAGCAATTGTAGTATGGAAGAGAAATCCGCAGTGACTGTGGGCAGAGCGCCCTTTTCAATCGCCCACTAACCGTCTGCGAGCGTTCTCTACTAGCAGCAGTGTTGAGAGTGAGGTCATGGCCGATAACAATCGGGTCCTGTCCCCGCTATCGCCCTACTTGTACTGTATGTTGATTGGGCGCAATTGAGCCGCTGGGTTCTGTAAGCCGCTCGTGGACCTTCGTCACTGAAGCGTCAACGACTTTGGAACATCATTGACGTGTCTGTCGACCCGTATGCGCCGGTCTGGACCCTTGAAGAGTGTGGAGGTTGTCGACCGTCTGAGCGTAGGCGCACCGAGACGGATTGGTTTCTCAAATCCTTACAGCTCGATCATTTCGTCACACGTTCCAAGGTTCTTTGATCCCCACGTGTTCAGGGTCGACGTCATTCGCGCGGACGTTCCGAAGCTGTTCCGACTTCCGAGAGGGTTGTCTTGGCTGCCCCGCGACGACCACCACACATGCATCTGGCAGGTGCTGAACAGACTCCCTAACTTTCTCAATGTCAAGCACAAACCTAACACACTGTTTGACCTGTGAGAACTCTTGTCAGCAATCCATTCGCGGCGCAAGACGTTCCCGTGACAACCCAGTAGTGAATACCTGAGCTGCACAGGTATACCGAGGTTTGCACCATAGCCATGGTTTCGACTCCAGGATAAGACCTATCCGAGTGACAAGAGTGCCATCTTCATCCTTGACGCGCACCTGGGTAGTATTTACCCCGCGTTTGCGGGGTAGCTGTTGGATCGTCGACCGGCCTGCCCGTTTAGGTTACCCGCGAGAGGTGCGGACTTCCTTTACCAGGTGCTTTTGTCTCGCGATTGATCAAGCGCGTACGCGCAAGGCTTGTGATTCACTCTTGAGGCCAAGTTGGCGAAGCGGCAGCTTTAAAAGCGGCAGTGCCGCGGATTGAGGTGGTGTTTTGACGTCTCATCAAGTCACGGGCGCCCTCTTTTTTACGCTGGGCCTTCTCCTCGTCTCCAAACACCTCCAGACAATCTCGTCACGATGGCGATGGCTAACGGCGCGACAATGAAGGCAGTGCGCTTCCACGGCCAGCATGACCTGCGATTCGAGGATGTCCCAGTCCCCATCGTGAAGAAAGGCCAAGTGAAGATCAAGCCGGCGTGGGTTGGAATCTGCGGCAGCGGTAAGTGTGTCAAGACCTTACGCCTGCAATAGTACTTATGGACGCGATAGACCTACACGAGTATCTCGGGGGACCTGGACTGTGTCCTACAACCCCACATCCGATCACTGGCGAAACTGTCCCCTTGACATTCGGTCACGAGTTCAGCGGAACGATCGAAGAAGTTGGCGAAGGCGTAGATGCCTGGACGGTGGGCGACCGCGTTTCAGTGCAGCCGATCATCTACGATGGGACTTGCGGTGCTTGCCAGGACAATCTGCACAACTGTTGTTGGAGCAATGGCTTCATAGGATTGAGCGGTACACGATCCAGTAGTTGCCTAACAGTTAGAGCGCGGCTGACACTTATAGGCTGGGGCGGTGGTCTTTCTGAGCACATTGTGGTACCAACATCTGCCCTGTATCGACTTCCCAAAAACGTTCCACTGCAAATAGGAGGTATTTAGCTTCGTATTCTGAAGTTGTCATGTGCTAACGAACCAAGCCTTGGTCGAGCCGCTTTCAGTCGGGTGGCACGCTGTCAAGATCAGTCCCTTCAAGAATGGCGATTCTGTCTTGATCCTCGGAGGTGGACCCATCGGCATCGCCGTGATGCTCGCGCTCCAAGCGAAAGGCGCAGACAAGATCATCGTGTCCGAAGTCAGCCGGAAGCGTCAAGAATATGCGAAATCATTTGGCGCGCACCACATCCTCGACCCTACGAAGGAAGACGTCGTCAAGCGATGCAGAGAGCTCTGCGACGGCCAGGGTGTTCACGTCGTGTTCGATTGCGCTGGTGTCCAAATAGCGCTAGATGCAGCCATAGAAGCCACGCGCGCTCGAGGGGACAATCGTCAACGTCGCCATCTGGGAGAAGCCGTGTACGATCACACCGAATCTCTTCACGTTTAAGGAGCGGCGATACATGGGTGTTGCGACCTTTCAGGTCGGCGATTTCCAGGAAGTCATCGTAAGTGCCATCATCTATTTGTCTGGGAGGATATCGGAGTTGCGCGTCAAGCGATCGGGCAGTTCATGCGTGAAAGCGGTGTCGGAGAATTCGATATGGATGTAGCTAACAATCGCGCAGGACGCCATTTCGGCCGGTAGCATGAAGCCCCATCAAATGATCACGGGTCGAATCGGTTTGGACGAAGTCGAGGAGAAAGGTTTCAAGGCTTTGATTCATGACAAGGACAACCAGGTGAAGATATTGGTGAAGGTCGGAGGCGATGATTAAATCGATGCAGTGACGAGCACCTTGCTGTCGAACTACCCGCGAACTACGTGCACACGCACTAGGGTTGGATTACCTTGTAGATTGGTACACTTTCTGTCGATTTAGCGACACACATTCAGTAGCATACTTTGGCGATACCCAATGGCCGCATTGTTTCGACCTCGGTGCATTCTCACGAGGGTGGAGGCTGCGTGAAGGGGTTCCGGTGCGCACCACGTGAGCACTGGGCAAGCCTGCGAGCTTCTCAGAAGCCGCCTTGGTGCCGAGCATGTGTTGAAATGCAGGGACAGCGGGCAGCAACCGGTTTCGGTGCGAAAAGTTGCGTTGCATGTGTGCCGTGACGTTGAGCAAGACCAGCGGTGGCTCTGCGATCGAGGCTTGTTGAGATCTAGGCCCATGGCATGCCAAGCGCGAACGATGGGCAGCGGGCACACGAGTGGCCTGCTGCATCAGAGGAAAAGCTGGGTGTGGCTGCGCCGGGGTTCTGGCGAATCATGTCTTGTGATGGAGCGAACAGGATCGGCGACGAATGACGTCGGCTGTGTACAGAAACAGCGACCTCGCGTCACGTCGGGCCTTGCACCTGGGCACGGCAAGAACGAGGCTGCTGCGTCATCGCAGACGCAAACCCACATATATGGCCCCAGCCATGCGACATGTTCAGCTCTCTATCAGCCATACCTGCGTCGATCCTATAGGTCCTCCTACCTCCTTGCAATCCCTCTTCTTGCTACTTTGGACCTCCCTTCACCATGGCTCTCGGCGGTGCGGCTCTTAAGCTGTTCCAAACCATCCTCTATGCCATTGAATTCTGCTGTGCAGCCATAATACTCGGCATCTACAGCTACTTCCTCGCGACGCTCGCCGACCGCGACCTCACCATCTACACATGGGCCAAGGCAGTTGAGGGCATGTCAGGCGCCGCAGTCCTGTACACCATTTTCGCCGTTCTCCTCACTTGCTTTCTGGGTGGGAAGTCGTTCTTCGCCTTCCTCGCCATCATATTCGACCTTCTGTTCATGGGCGCTTTCATCGCCATCGCTGTCCTCACGCGAGATGGCGCGCACAGCTGCAGCGGCTATGTCAAGACGCCGCTCGGAAACGGCCAGTCCAACGACAAGCAGGGGTTCGACGACTCGACCGGCAATCAGCAGTATACGTACGCCGTGTCTTTAGGTACGGCCTGCAGACTCAACACGGCCTGCTTCGCCGTCGCCATCGCAGGAGCGTAAGTTACGACCTAGTCAACATACCAAGAACCTATACTAACGATTGCAGTCTTCTTTTCCTCGTTTCTGCCCTAGTGCAGATTGCTCTTGCGCGCCACCACAAGAAGGAGAAGCGCTACGGCCCAAGCCCAGCCAATAACTATACAAGTGGCCGTGGCCGTGGCTTCTTCGGTCGTGGCCGCAAGAACAAGAACGCTGGTCTCCGCGATCCCGAAGTTGCTGCTGGTGCTGGGACTCTCGCTACTGGTCCTGCCCATGACGTGCGCCCATCGCATGACACCGCCTACACTGGCTCGACTGTCGCTGGTACCGCTCCATATGAGCACAACAAGCCCCTGACCGGTGGTTACCATACCGCTCCTACCGGTACCTACGCGCACAACACCGCTGCCACCAACTACTAGGAGTAGTACGAGTCGAGTCGTCGCGATCGCTCCTTGAGATTAGGCATGGAGTGGTTTGGATTTTTTTCTTCCTGTAACGATTATTGATATTGCGCTTTATACCAGAGGAAACGATGCATCAGATTGGAACTGCTTGTTGGGGGACGAATTGTTGCATGATACGGATTACGAACCTAATACATAATAATGAAGTTAAGATGTCGATTTTATTATAAGGTGAAGCGTGATGTGGCATAACGAGTTACGGCACGCTTGTATCTCCGAACTACTAACCTTCCGTACTCGTTGCGCAGACTATGCCAGGGGTATATGTAGACACCTAAGCGCCATGAAATTCAACATAGGTACACGTCCAAGTTCCGTGCACCAATCATGATGGTGCAGAGCGCCACACACCAATTAAGCATCGTGACATTCCGCCTATGCCTTCCCCTTGCCCCTCGCACCCATCCCAGTTGGCCTCCCCTTCTTCTTCGGCCGTTGTTCCTCTCCTCGTCCATCCGCAGCCCTCATCCGATCCAGCTCCCTCTTCAGCGTCTCCTCGAGCGCCTCGTTGCGCCTCGTCAAGAGCATAACATCATCGCCATTGATGACCTTTCTCCCGCCATGCTTTGAGAACAACTCGAGGTCTTTGGCAGCATTCTGAATCTGCGTGTAGACGAGCTCTGTCAAGGCTCCGATGAATTGTGGGGTCGCGTTGAAATCTTCTGCGCCTTCATTATCGACGAATTGTCCAATTGTGTACCACAGAGCGGATTTGAGACGCTGGGGAGGTTAGCTATGCATCTATGAGATTTGGTATGAAGCCGAGGGTTTAGGTACCTCCTCGCGCTCATTCGCTTCGTCATGATCAGCCATTGCCGCAGTGGCGACGAGAGCTTAAGTGGGCTGGTGTTGAGGATGTTTGCGACGCGTGAGAGACGCGTCGGCCCGATGAGGCACCGATTGGTGAAGCTTTCTTGATTGACCGCCCACGGTTCTGCCGGTTGAGACCCGCTGCGCGATTTCGGGGTTGTGAGTTGTTTTCGGCTCCGACTCAATTTCTTCTTTCAAGCGCATTGAGGAGACGTATATAAGAGTGCTGCGCGTGCGACTACTTTCGCGCCTGCCCCAAGTCGACGCAGTAAAACAATAACGCCTACCGAAGACCACAATACCGATTCAGACACCAGCGCATCGCCTGCAACAAGCACCACAGAAAGCCAATTTTCATTTACTCGTCCTTAATAGTCGTTGACACACGTACGCCACTCACAATCACAATGGAGAATATACAAGAATTTGTCGACAGCCGCCTCCGCAACTTCCTCTCCTCGTTCTCGCGCCTCAAGCCCGAAGGCTGGATCCGTCTCGTATGGATCGTGGGCGCCTACCTCCTCCTTCGTCCCTACCTCATGAAGCTCGGTGCCCGCGCACAGGAGAAGCAGCACGAGAACGCCGCGGACGCCGCTCCCACAGACGCAGAAGTGCACCCCAATGACCTACGGGGGGGCCAAAAAGTTGGTATTGCGATACCGGGCGTCGACAGCGACGACAATGAGGAAGAGAGGACTGAGGCTAAGCCAGGGCAATGGGGCAAGAAGGCTCGGGCCAGGCAGAGGAGGTTCATACGTGACACGCTAGAGAAGGAGGAAAAGCGGCTACAGGATGAGCAGGAGCAGGAGGATCTAAGGGAGATTGCTGATTTGCTGGAAGACTAACTCTACACCATGACGACGATTTGGATGGCGATGTCCGCGTGGTCGCTGTCACAAGCTGTGCGAGGGTCGGTTATGCAAGGCGGCTCCCTGGATTGCATGTCAGAGGGGTGGAGACGACCGAACGTCAATGACTTGCAGTGCGCATGAACACCTCGGGTACCTGCATTCCTGCGTTTCTGAAGCACCCGACAGGTATGTGGCGTCCGCTGGCTGAGCAACCGGATACTCGCTTCGAGCAACAGAGCGCATGAGAGCATCAATCAAGCAGAACATTGATCAGTTATAGGTGCCATTTCACTTCGAACGTCGTCGCATCCAAGTTTGCTTTTCTCATACTTTTCTCGCACTTCTTTCTCGCTTCTCAAAGGTCACGTTTTCCCTTCCCAGCTTACAATTTCCTCACTCGTCAACATCCCCACCCTTGGAATTCGACGCGTACACAGGCCTACCCGTAATGAGGAGACCACCTCTCATTCCCTTCCCTTGCTGCACCCCTTAAAACGCACTCACGACCATGACCCAGCCAAGCCCTCAACTGTCCATGGTTCCTCCACGGCACCATGGCTCCCCACTACCTCAAGCGCACACTATGTGCACTTCCGTTGTTGTTGTTTCCGGGGGCGCTCTCCCACATGCAGATGGAAGAGCCCTCCCCGCTCCGCGACCCCCACTCCAATCGCACGTCTGAGCCCAAAGACTACAACATCCTCACCCCTCTACACGCCGACGGCAGCGACTTTGCCTGCAAATTGTACCAGTGGAACACTCCCCTTACCACAGTGGCCACCTATGAAGCTGGCAAGACGTACCCCCTTCGACTACGGGGAGGTGCTACGCATGGTGGTGGGAGTTGTCAGGTCAGCTTGAGCTGCGATTACACGCATTTCAATGTGATAAAGAGCATGGAGGGCAATTGTCCAATCGAGAAGGACTATGAGTTTACGATTCCGGAGGATGTGCCGACGCAGGAGAAGTGTTTGCTTGCGTGGACGTGGTAGGTTCTCCCTCTTGAGGATGTGGTAGTGGAAGGAGATGCTAATGGGAAGACGTAGGTTCAACAAAATCGGCAACAGAGAAATGTACATGAACTGTGCTGTTGTGGACCTAGTCAACTCCGCCTCCACCTCTTCCTCTCGCCAACGTAATTCCGCCTCTTCGACTAAATCTTCCTCCAGCGCGGCTGTAGCGCAGGCCGCCCTGTCCCGGTATCCGGACTTGTACGTTGCGAACCTGAAGAGTGTGAACGACTGCGCGACGAAAGAGACGGTGGATGTCATGTTTGACAAACCAGGCGCTGATGTCCTATATGGTGATGGGCTTAGTGCGAGTTCTTCGAGGATTAAGCGGAGGAACGGGGCTTGTACTGGTGTGGGGAGGACGACTGCGGCGTCGAGTGGTTCGGACTCGAGTAATTCTGGGTTGTCTGCTGATAGTTCGGCGTCGAGCAATGCCGGGTCTTCTTCGAACTCCGGCGACTCTGGGTCTTCTTCATCTTCCGGCGGGTCTACTGGTGGCGATGATGGGATGTGGCATCCGGAAAAATATGGCGGTTTGTCATCCTCTGATAACTCTGAATCTTCATCCTCAGGCAATGCTGGCAACTCTGGCTCTTCTTCATCCTCAGACAACTCTGGCTCCTCACCATCTTCGGGCAACTCTGGATCTACAGCTTCGTCAAGTGGCTCCATGGGTGGCGACGATGGATTGTGGCATCCAGAGAAGTACGGCGGTTCGTCATCGTCTGGCAACTCTGAATCTTCGTCCTCGAGCAATTCCGGGTCTTCATCGTCTAGCGGCTCGACAGGAGGTGACAACGGACAGTGGCATCCCGACGCCGGCTCCTCACAGTCATCGAGCAGCTCTTCAGATGGTGGCGATGGGCAATCGCATCCCATGGCTATCAGCTCAGGCTCTTCCTCGTCCTCCTCCAATCAGGCGCCGAAAACAGAAGTCGAGAAGGAGCTCGCCGCGTATCTCAAGAGCCTTAACGATGCCCCCTTCTCCAGCGTTTCGCCTGGCGAAAGAGAAGACATACCCAATCCAAACGAGACCAAGCTATCTCCTCAAATCGATGACACGGAACGCAGTAGAGCCGGCCAATTCTTCCAGTACAGTCCCGATCAGGGCTCTGATCCCAAGTTTAGGACGCAACAAATCTATTCTCGCGAGCCGCCAGATGACGAAGAGCCTACTGGGGCTCCGGACGTACCTGATTACGACTTCATCAACCACCAAGCTGAACACTCCTCGGAGGACGACTCAGACTCAGACTCAGATGATGAGGGGCCCTCGTCGGATCACTCGAAGAATCCTGCGTTCGATGTTGAGGAAAGTTCGAGCGATGCTGCCAACAGGGCTAGCTTTTCAGATGATGATGAGGAGCTGCCTGGTTACCTGAAGGATATTATCGGCAACCTTAGTGATGACGATGACGATTATGAGGATGATAGCTTTGGCGATATCTATGATCGTCAGAAGGAGGCCAAGAAGAAGAAGAAGAAGCAGAAGAAACACAGCTCATCGAGGTCAATGAAGGCGAAGCATAGCAAAACTTCATCGTCAAATGCAGAATCAGCACCTACGGAGGTGCCGGAGAGCGAGGCCTTCACATCGAAAGATGCTACCACGCCAACGGCCGACTTCAAGCCGCTTGCTGCAGAGGATTCTGCTGCTGCACCTACGGCTGAACCTGGGCCGCAAAGCAAGGCTGATGCCGTTATTGCAGCTCCTATCAACGGAACATTGTCGGCCTTCTCGTTCCCAGATCTTACAGCATCTCCTACGGAGATTCCTACAGGACTTCCTGCAGAGCTTTCTTTTCTTTTTGCCCCTGCGGACTCTACCATCTCCTCTTTGGAATCGTCTAGTGCTCCCCCAGACACTATCATTCCACTTGCTGAGCCGTCTGTAGGTGTACCATCCACTCCTGCAGAATCATCACACAGCCCAGCTATTTCCGACGTCGCAGCTCCCGGAGGAGACTGCACCCCTGGATCTTTCCTGTGCAATGGTGATAAGCAATTTTGGGTCTGCGGCCAATTTGGCGGGGCTAAGTGGGCCTATGGCGCGCTACGCGACGTCTCTCAAGGTATGACTTGTAAGGAAGGTAAGATCGGTCGTCGTGTTCTCAACAAGAGAGGTTTCGGATGGTACATCGGGCAAGATGATGGGGGCTGGGGCTCAGACGATGATGAAAGCCCTCTTGATCCCATCATCGACGCGATAGACACCCTCATCAGCACCGTCCCGAAGCTGGCTACGGGCAGCAAGAAAGACAAAGATAGCTCTGACCAAAAGAAAAGTGATGATTGGTATCAGCCATACAACTTGGTTAAGCGAAAGCTCGGATGGTGGATCTCCAGCAGCAATCCAAGCAATGACGTCCCCGCCAACCCACTCGTCACCATCACCGATAAGCTGAAGAAGCTCGATACCACACTCGACTGGACCATCAGTGACCTGTCGACTTCAAAGGAGAAGGCCAAATCTCAAAAGCGTAGCTCGGGCTGGTGGCTTTCCTTCGGCGGCGGCGACTCCAACGATAAAGGCCATTCTTCCTCCGACAAGAACGACACTGATCGGGATCCTCTAGATGACATCCTCTGGAAGACCGACGACCTTGAAGAAAAGTTCGATAAGCTTAAGAGCCTGTGCGGAGACGACAGCAAGTGGAAGCGTGGTTGGGGTTTCTTCGGCCAGTATGGCAAAGATGATATGAATAAGGCAGTTGTGAAAGGCCAGCTTGGTGACCCCTTCGAACCTATCCTCAGCAAGTTGAAAGGCTACATTCGCCTTGTGAGGAACCTGCTTCCGAAGGATAAGGGACACGTCCGGCCGTATGGAGGAGGGTATCAACAGCAGCGGCCGAAGTTTCCGTGGGATAAGCAGGGAAGTAATGGCTGGTATGCTAAGCGACAAATTGATGCAGGGGAGGCTGGCGATGGTGTTTCAGATCCTGGAGACTTTGGTGACTTCCTTGGAGACGGTGTGTTTTCAGATCCTGTCTCCGATGGGGATGTGGAAGAGGAAGAGGATGATGATGAGGGCCCTTCCCGTCAACCTTCGGATGGACCTTCGGATGGATCTGGTCGCCCATCCAGGCCCGAAAGGCCAAACCGGCCCGGCAACGACGTTGCTACCATTCCTGATGATTTCCCCGAAGATGATGATGAGCCGCTGGGGCGAGACGGAGAGCAGCATGTCCCCAACCCGGCTAGCTCCAAGGGCTCCAAGGCTGGAAATCACACTGCAGGTAAGTCGTCCCCTCCCCAGAACATGGGTAACGGCGCTCCTTTGGGAACAAAAGATGATATGGGCGCAGTGTTTACGCCCCATGAGGTCGCGCTTGTTCCTGGTCGCGATGGTGTTAACGCTGATAAAGGAGTTGCTTTCGATCCTGTTCATGACGACGGTGAGGATGAGGATGCGGCAGATAGCGACGATCCGATCGGTACTTCTCAACTCGACATCGATCAGCCTCAGCCCGATGGTCCCTCAGCCACTATTCCCGACGACGATGACTCTGAAGCCGAAGTTCCTAACGCCTTTGATCCGGATATTGCTAATGTTCCCAACCCCTTCGCTGCCGGCGGTGACTTCGCGCGCCCTGGAGACGCTCCAGACGACCCTCCCTCTGATGACTTCTCCACACTTGCTGACGACAACGATGAAGACGACGCCAACACTTCAGACTTTTCCACTCCGCCAGACGACGACGAAGATGACACTGCGGAGGACACACGCGATGTCTTCGCCAACTTGCCTCCAAAAGAGCGAGGTCTTCGCAAACGCCAGGATTACGGTGACGATGTGCAAGTCCCGGGATTCTCCTACAGTGATGGCGGCGATGGAGGTAACGGCATCGACGGCGTTGAAGACGCTGTTAAGGCGCTATTTGGGAAAGAGGATGACCAGAACACAACGGGGCTCGAGGATTCAAGCGCAGGTGAAGAGGACACCGAGAGTGGAACAAGTTCCGCTACGAAACAGCAGAAACCTTCTGCTGACGATGCTCCCAAGGACGCTTCCAAGGACGCCTCGAAAGATACATCCGATGACGCCTCGAAAGATACCTCCGATGACGCCTCCAAAGATACATCCGATGACGCCTCCAAAGATACATCCGATGACACTGAAGACGCAGGGGACGAAAAAGAGGACGCCGACACCGGCGATGACGATGCTGCCGAAGAGGAAGACGACGACGCTGACGAAGAGGAAGAGGATGAAGACACCTCGAAGAATTCGACTGAACGTAGATTCAGGCGCCAGGATGCTGCCCCAGTCACCCTTCCTGGTGGCTTTAATTTCAGCGATGGCTCCAATGGCGGTGATGGTGTCGATGATGACCCTACAGCTCTGTTTGGAAACGAGCCTTCGGATTATGACAAAGAATGGGGGGTTTCCGAAGAAGCTAAGAACCAGTCCCAGCCATCAATCGCTCCAATGACCAAGCGAGACGATCCTGTGCCGGATGGCTTTGCCTTCAGCGATGGGTCTAATGGCGGTGATGGTGTCGACGATGACCCTACTGCTCTATTCGGCAACGAGCCATCGGATTACGAGCGACTCTGGGGCGTCTCTAACGACGCCAAGAATCAGCCACAGCTGTCAACTGCTCCTATGACGAAGCGAGACGACCCAATACTTGATCCCAACACTTCGGCACGTGCCGGCTTCACCTTCAGTGATGACTCCAAGGGCGGTGACGGTGTCGACGAGGACCCTACTATACTCTTCGGCAACGAGCCATCCGACTACGAATCCAAATGGGGCGTGTCTGACCAAGTCAAGAACCAGGCTCAGGAGGAACACCCTCAACCACCGCGAGAGCTATCCTCGACTCAAAACCCTCCTCTGCCCCTGCCAGCGTCAATCAAGGGATTGAAGATCTTCTCTCCGGGACATGTCAAGCCAATTGCGCCTCATAACCGTCTGGAGGTTGGTAGCCCCGAGCGATATGATTGGGGAGACAGGCGAAAGCGACAAGCTGCCGCTCCGGTTCCGGCTACTGCTCTCCAGCCTGAAGGTCAAGCTCAGGCTACTCAAATCGCAGCTCCTCAGAATATCATCCCTGACGACCCAAACACCCAAGCACCAGCCGGCTTCACCTTTAGTGACGGAAGCAAAGGCGGCGACGGTGTCGATGATGACGTTACCGGTCTTTTTGGGGACGAGCCATCTGATTACGAACAGAAATGGGGTGTTGATGAGAAAGCTATAGAGGTCAAGACGAACCAAACAGCTACTCAGCTTGAAGATGATGCTGGTACGACCTCTGAAGGGGCATCTGTCCAGCCACCAACTCCGCAAGCCCCGGCGGCTCAGCAGGCTCCTCCACAGAAGCAGTCCTCTACCGTTGAAGCTGGAGCGCAAAGACAGCAGATTCCGGCCCTACCTGCACTTGGCAAAGCTAAAGCTCAAGGCGTCCGTCTTCTTCCGGTTGCTGTTTCCGATCTTGTTCCTTCTCCATCTGCTGTGCTCCCAGGCATCAACAGCGTAATCAAAGCCACTCCTCTAGGCTTCCCTAACGACAACGCGCCACCTACACCGACCGGATTTGCTCTATCCGAGCCTGATAGTGTTGCTCCTAGACCTGTGGGTAAGCTCAAGGCTACGTCGGCTGACAGCCATGATTTCCCAGATGCACCAGTTGATGATTTTGATGAGCCATCTTCGTCTGCTGTATCTCCAGGAATCGACGGCATAAACGAAGCCACTCCTCCGGACTTCCCTAACGACAACGTGCCACCTACACCGACTGGATTCGCTCTATCCAAGCCTGATAGTGTTGCTCCTAGACCTGTGGGTAAGCTCAAGACTACGTCGGCTGACAGTCATGATTTCCCAGATGCACCAGTTGATGATTTCGATGAGCCTTCTCCAGTGGTCGGTGCTATTGGCGAGCCCCAAGCGAGTCTCCCGCCGTTGAAGAAGGCAAAGGGCAAGCCGGGTCCCCCACAACCGGAAGAAGATGCAAGCACAGCAAGCAGCGTATCCGTTGAGACACTTGACGAGCCCCAACCCAGCTTCTCACTGTCTGTAAAGGGGAAGGCCAAACCGGCTCCTGGTTTCTTTGACGACCTCGCTGGCAACCCAGGACCGCTAGTGCAGGCCAATGCTGTTCCTTTGGAGGCTCCTGAAGCGGAAGCCATCACTGGACCTGTCGGCAAAGTACGGCCATCCGGACCGCTTGAGAAGGCTGCAGCTAGCGCTCTACCCAAACCCAGTGGCTTAGATGTCACCGCGGATCCGAGTATCTTGGATAAAAATGGTGGACCCGGAGGTCTTCCACCTACCGTAGGTGCGTTAAATGCAGCCGGTGTAAGACCAGGTGTTGGGCTGGGTAATGCGACTGAGAAGGTATCGGAAGAGCACTTCCCTAGCATTTCAGTGACGGGTCCGACACCCTCTCTGGCTACTCTTGGTCCCGATGAGGTTGATTCTGAAGCCGAAAGCAGGGCAGACGAAGAGAATGGTTCTGGAGATGCTGACTCGGAGGAAGACGACCCAAGCGACGCTACTTCCGCCGATGATGACTTCGAGGAAGACGAGGACTCAAGCGACGCTACTTCCGCCGATGATGACGACGTCGAAGACGAGGACTTCGACGACAATGATTTCGACGCAGATGCTGAAGATGAGGTGCCCAAGGAAACACTCTTCGTCATACCTTCACCAGTACCAGCTTCTGTCAATGCATCCGCTCCATTCAACGCCACTGCTTTGGCCTCTGCAGTCAAAGCGGAAGTCGAAGAAGCTGTTGAGACACTCGAACCCACTACATCAGCGCCATGGCGCGACGGTATCTTACACCAACCCGCAGGCGTCCTCCCCACTCCCCTAGGCGAGACCAATGTCGCCGCCTCCATTCTCCCCTTCTTCCTTGGTCCTGGGCCCGTCGTTCCCCCAGGCGTAACTCTTAAATGGCCCGGCCCTTTCAACCTTCATCACTTGCCCAGTGCTACCATCCCACCAGTCTCACAGATTCCAAGCGTGAAAGGGTCTGAGCCGGCGCCTTCGACGCTGCAGTCTGTGACTGTTCCAGTGATAGGGAACAAAGGAGCGCCACTGGCTCCGCTACCGACACCCGCGGTTGTGATACCTCCGGTGCCGTTGGGTGCGCCGTTGGCGCTGCCGGGTGTGACTGCGAGTTGGCCACCGCCGTTGCCCATTGTAACCCCAAGTCCGGGGCTTCTAAAAGGGGCGATGGCAAGGAGGGCTGCTGTTGCGAGAGATAGAAAGGATGGTGTTCAGAGGGCGTAGGTGAAAAAGGTGCTTCGGAACGGTGATGGCTGAAGTGCATGAGATGGGAAGGAAAGGTATTTTTCTAGGCGTTTGTACTGTCTCGTTTGGTCATTGCATGTATGTTGTCATTCATTCTTACAGCAGTTGTTTGTATAGCATAATGATGATTCATGTTTTGATGATCGATGTGTCCTGTACTGTGTGCTTCTTCTTGTCTGAATCGCTCGCCAATCGAACTCAAACTAAGCCATAGTTGTACTGCCTATTCCCCTCTCAGTAGCCTGATCTGCTCATTCCTGCTGCCATTCTCAATGACACTCTCCACACTGACACTTGCACCTGTGGCCTTGCTATATATCTCAGCCAAGTGCACAGCTGGCATCAGATCGCCTCTGATGTCCCACCATTCTAGATCCTGGTCCTCGCTCGCGTCAGCGCCAAAGACCTTCTCCCAGGCATGCGCAACAATCTTCTCCGCACCAGTGATTGACAGTGCAGCCTGCGGTTCCACCTCAGCGAAGTATTTCGCCTTGGCTTTCTCTTCGTCATACGCAATCGGTATTCGCGTAGCACTACCAGAGGGCATCAAGATCCTAGCATCCTGGTTCGCAGAGATACTCTCAATGTTGTTGCACAGCATATCCAGCATCAACTGCGCTATCTCATCCCCCAAAACACTATCCGCAAACGTAAGGTCCACAGAGAACATACCCTCGCTCACAGGTGCAGTCCAAATCCATACATCCGCGACATCATGAGGCGGACTGTAGCCCGTCATTTCACTGCCTGCGCTAGCAGATAGCACTTCTCCGAAGAATTGCTTGCCAAAGTTAGTATGCTGGTGTATAGAGCTGAATCGCGTCGCTTTAGGCCAACTGGTGCAGCGCTCGATGATCTGCCGCATGCCATAGTTCTCGTACGGCATGCTAGCGAGGTGCTGGTCTTGTACGAAGCGTACGAGGTCGCCATTCGTCCAGGACGATTGGAGTGGGACGCGTACAGGGGAGGATGTTCATGCAGGGGCCGACAACGTGTTGTATGCCGGCTAGTGAGCCGTTGCGGCCGGAGACGACCTGGCCGAAGACAGTGTCGGACGTGAGTGCGAGGGAGGACAGGACGAGGGCCCAGGCTGCTTTTACTGTAGTGGCGAACGTGACGCCTTGTATGTTGAGGGAAGAAGGCGTGACGGCGCGGCTTAGCATACGGTTGACGGGGTTTTTGTAGGGAAGCTTTTTGTGGCGGAGAATATTTGTCATGTGCGAATCTCTAAGAAAGGCCGACCAGAAAGTTTCGCATTGGTGGGGATCCTGTTTGCGCACGTTGTAGATGAAGGAGGAGTAGGGCTTGCTGTTGGAAAGAACGGAGCCTTCGTAGGCGGCTTTGATGTCTTGAAGAATGCTGGGCAAGCTTATGCCGTCGTATTGGGCGTGCGAGATCCGGAGCACGAGGCAGTGGCTGTTATCGCGCTGCTTAACGAGGATAAATCGCATCATGCCGTCTCCTAGGTTGACCGGTCGGCCCATATCTTTTTCGATCAGAGCACGAGGTATAGCCTCGTCGCTGGTCTTGTCTTGATATTCGTAACAGGTGTAATCCGGCTCGTACAATCTAAGAACCACCTGCAGCAAGCGCTGGTTATGCACGACCAAGACGGTTCTCAGGATTGGGTGGCGTGCAATCACCGACCAGCAAGCATTCCTAAGCTCTTTCATGTCCAGCTTCGCCTCGAACCTGATGCCGAAATAGTTTATGTATCCGCGAGTTCGAAGGTGGCCAGCCGCCAGAGTCCAAGACTGGTAGTCCGTTGCTTCGAGCACGTCCTCGATGTTGTCAATAGGCTGAGATGCTTTTCTTGCGACATTCTCTAGTGCGGCCTTCTTTTGGTCTTTCGTAAACACAGAAAATGGCTCGTACGCCACCTGATCTACCACCTCTTCCCACTTCGCGGCAGCACTCATGGCTCTCAACACCGGCTTCTGGAATATCTCTCTTACGAGCAGAGTGATGCCCTCTTGACGTGCAGCAGCCGTCAGTCTTACTGCGGAAATCGAATCACCGCCAATTTGTAAGAAATTATCATCCATGCTCAGCGTTTCCTCGCCAACGCCCAACACCTTGCTCCAGAGCCTTCGGATGCTCGACTCAATCTTGTTTGATGGCTTTGTCTTGATCTTGTCGCTTTGCGCAAGTTCTATCGCGCTGCGATGTTTTTCATTGTCCATCTCTTTGATCCATTCAGAAACCCTTCTTCGGTCCAGTTTGCCGGAAGCGTTAAGAGGAAGGTCTTCGAGGACGATCCAAAAGGTTGGGATCATATACTTGGGCAGCTTGCTTCCAAGCTTCTCTCGAAGCCGTGAGATCTGTGAACCGACCTCCTTCTTCTGATCTCCACCAACCAACACAAATTCAGCGCCTCCAAGCGTCTTATTGATAGTTTTCAAAGAGACAACCGAGACCAAATGCTCCTTGCAAGGACCCGCAGTTGGCACGATAGCCATCGCCTTGTTCACTTCCTCATCAGCGCAGAGGTGATGCTCCACTTCGCCTAGCTCCATTCGTTGTCCATTGAGCTTTACTTGATTGTCTTTACGCCCGACAATGCTCAGGGTGCCGTCAAAGTTGTACTTCGCCAAGTCGCCCGTCTTGTACATTCGCCGACCAGCTCCAGCCCACTTCGGTGCTTCAATGAATGCAGCTGCTGTTTTCGCGGGATCGTTCAGGTATCCTCTCGCTAAGCTGTGGCTTTCCACGACCAGTTCGCCGATGCAGCCGGTGGGGATCAATCTGTCGTGATTGTCTGCCTCTACGATCCATAATTGTGAGCCAATGCGGTGACCGATGTTCGAGGGGTCGGCGTCGCATTTCAGACCAGCCGCATGGTTCGTCCAAATGGCACACTCTGCGGGTCCATAGCTGTTTGTGAGATGTACGTGTTCGGCCCAGGACTGAATATTGACTGTCGTTGCATGTTCGCCACCTAGGATTACATATTGGAGTGTCGGCACGCTCGCAGGGTTCACAAGAGACGCAACTGTCGGCGTAAGGAACAGCCAAGTTGCGCACATGGAATCGGTTGCGCCCGCTAGATTGCTTAGTCGCTCTTCTTCAGTTGGCACGCATACGCAACCTCCATGCATCAAAGTCGAAAAGATCTCGCCCATGCTCACGTCGTAAGTATATGCGGCGAATTGCAGTACTCGTGCGTTACAATTGATGTTGAGGGCCGGAGCATGAGAGAGCGCCCCAGCCGAAAAAGCACCGTGCTCCATTACTATACCCTTCGGGGTACCGGTACTACCACTGGTGAACACAACAAATGCTGGGTTTGACGGAGGCACAGAGGGTAAAGATCTATTGAACGCGAAATCTTCAACGGAAATGCGGTCAATTCCGATCACATGATCAACTAAAGGATAGAACATATGTTGGTGTTGAGGGCTAGTCACAGCCACTGTTGCGAGAACCTCGCGAGCTATGAATGCCTTGCGATCTGGTGGGTGCATAGGGTCGACGGCGACGTAGGCTGCTCCCGCCTTGAGGATTCCTAGCATGGCTATGATAGCCCATGCTGATTTGTCGAAGCAGAATAATACGTATGTCTCAAGATCAACACCAAGATTTCTGAGATGGGTCGCAACACGTGTCGACAGCGTGTCGAGCTCCGCGTAGGTGAAGTTGCCGTCCCAGGAGCATACAGCGGCAGAGTTTGGGGACTGTCTCGCTTGATCAATGATCAGGTTGTGCACAGTCTTCGTTGTCGTGGGTTTGACAACAGTTGTCGGATCGTTCCATTGCTGCAATTCAGCAAGATCAATTGGGGATGTGATGTCGATATCAGCGAGAGTCTGTGTGTTCGCCTCGGATAGCTGTTGTATCACATGCGAGAAATGTTCCAGCATCCTTTGGCCTCGCTCTGCACTCAATAGTCGATCATCGAGCTTAAGTGTAAGGCCGAGAGTGCTGCCAAGGACGACTTGGAAGACTAATGGGTAGGTCAGGAACTCATCGAACGCAAAGTCAATCGTATCACCAGTGCGCCACAAATCATCCGCCTCGCTGCTCTCCTGCTTGGGCTGAATGACGAGCAGATTCTGGAAGTTGCAGGCGTCATATGCTTCGCGGGTAAACTGCTTGATATTCTGAAGACCAGTATGCTCGAACGGCATCATCTCGACAGCTTGGCGCTGTACGTCGTCCAAGAAAGCGTGTACTGTTTGATCTCGCGAGACTTGAATGTGCACCGGTACTGTTGTGATGGTCGGCCCTGTCATCGAAGCAATATCCTTGATTGGCACGTTTCGACCAGCTAGCAAGGCTCCGAACAAAGCATGGTCCACTTCCGCATATCGTGAGAGCACAATAGCCCAGGCGGCTCTGATCAAGGTGGCAGTTGTGATGCCTGAAGTCGATGAATTGCCCGGAGCGAAATCAAACACCTTCGTGACAGTGACATTCGCCAGAGGTTGAATGGCCGAGGACTGTACGGGCGGGAAGTTTGACAGGACCTTACCCTTAGGGTACTGCGATTGCCAGTATGTGATTTCTGCATCTTGATCCCGGCTCTCGAGATACTTTATGAAGCACGCGTAGGGTGGTGGCGTAGACAGGCGGGACACGTCAGTGGCATGGTAGATGCGGGCTACCTCTCGCAGCACTAGCGGCAATGCCCAACCATCGTAGATGGAATGATGCGCTGACCAGACAAAATGTGTTTTGCCGCTGTCATCATCGACAATAGCCCAGCGAGACAACGATTTTCCGTAATCCATGATGTCAAGCTTATCAGCTTTCAAATAATCTTCGAGCGAGCCTGTAGTCGTCCACTGCAATTCATCGTCCAACACAACTTGCAACGAGCCGGAAAGCTCGGTGTAAATGATTCTCGTGCGTAGTATCGTATTTCGCTTGACGCAGATCTGCCATGCTCTCTGGAATCGCTCACGATCCACTGACGGCGGCAACACAGCATTCCACTGGAAGTTATAGGTACCTGGTTGACGCACCGATAAGACCATCAACCCTTCCTGAAGCGAGGATGTCGGATATATGTCTTGCACAGATTGCCGAGGAATGCTGTATGTCTTTTCGAGCTTCTCCAAGATCGCTTCCAGAGGCTCCAGTCCACGAAGCAGCGAGAATGCTTTGAGATCCTCTGCAACCCCTTCCATCATCTTCGTAGTGATGGAAGACATGGCGCTCAGAGTAGGGTTCCTGAAGATATGGTCCACCATAATGGAGATACCAGCTTTGCGCGCAAGAGCTGCTAGCTTCATAGCTGAAATTGAATCTCCTCCTAGACGCAGAAAACTATCGTCGCATCCGATTGATTCGACAGGTATGCTCAGGACGGTTGCCCACATGCTCTGCATCTTCTTCTCAATCTCACTGAGTGGCGTTCTTTTCTTCACGTCAGCAAGAGAAAAGTGTGTGATCTCTTCGTTTGTGAGGGTTTCGGCGACTGCGTGCAGGCGGCGGCGATCTGTCTTTCCTGAACCTGATAGCGGCATCGAATCCAGCAATATGAACATTGTGGGAATCATGTATGCTGGCAATGCGTCCGTAATAGTGCTCGTTAGAGCCATCAGGTCTGAGTATAGTTCCAAATCGATGCGACGAGTCTCCGGTTTGCCTTCCTTTTCTTTCCCATCCCTGCAGAGGAATGCAGCAAGCACCTTCGTATTGTCTCTACGCGGCAGGCGAATCTGGTGGACGACAAGATGCGCAAAATGGGGTAGATTGCGCTTGAGACTGTGTTCAATCTCGCCTAGCTCTACTCTTTGGCCTCTGATCTTAATTTGGGTATCCTTTCGCCCGATGTAAAGTACTGTGCCGTCTGGCCTCATTGTGACAATATCACCTGTCTTGTACACTCTCTCAACAGGCCGTCCGAGTAAGGCTTCATCAAGCCACACCGGCCTCTTGATGAACGCTTCCTCGGTCTTGTTATTGTCATTGAGGTAGCCCCGAGCGACAGTTGGGCCTTCTATTAGCAGTTCTCCGACAGCTCCGATAGGGACCAGAACATTCGTATCGTGGGCATCAACAACCCAGTTTGCACCGCCAACGGCACGTCCAATATTATCAGGTCGATCAGACTCTGTAATGCGATCGAGTATAGACGAGAACACACATGTCTCAGTTGGTCCGTAACCGTTGACAAGACACGTTTGGTTGGCCCACGCCTCAATGTTGTCTTTTCCCAGAGCCTCGCCTCCGAGAACGACAGTCTTCAGACATGGCACTTGCTCAGGTTTAAATGTGCGGACTAGAGACGGCGTGAAGAAGGCCCAGTTCGCTTGTAGCTGGTTTATGGCACCGACAATATCGTTCATGCGCTGCTCCTGAGAAAGAGGACAAATGCAGCCGCCGTGGAACAAAGTGTGGAATGTTTCTAAGATGGTGGAGTCGAAGGCGTAAGACGCGTATTGCAAAACACGCGAACTGGAATTCATGTTGATGCGTTTTCCTTGCTCCATGGCAGCCGTACAGACCCCGCGATGTTCCGTTACGACACCCTTGGGCTTGCCAGTCGATCCAGAGGTAAACAGGACATATGCAGTGTTCCTAGGAGTAGCCTTGTTGAACGGTGGAGAGGCTTTGTTGGGAAAAGCCGCGACTGTTTCAGGCGAAACAGGGACGACCTGAGGGGCGAAGGTGCGGCAGAGATCTTCACGAGAGGCAGAAGCGAGGACCAAGTGAGCGTTAGTGTCTTTAATGAGTTGCTGCAGACGCTGAACCGGGTGGGTGGCATCCATTACCACGAAGGCACCTCCTGCGTACAGGACCCCGAGTTGAGCCACAATAGTCCACGCTGACTTGTCGAAACAGAGCGGTACAAGGACTTCGGGACCCACTCCTAATACTTGCAGATGATGCGCAAGGCGAATAGCATGTTCGTATAGCTGTTGGTAAGTGAATTGAGCGTCCCAGGAATGTACGGCCTCGGCGTTCGGCCGTGCCGCTCTCTGAATCTCGAAGAGCTGATCGATGCGCGTCTCCAGGCCCGCGGACACAGTGCTATTTAGCTCCATGATGACTCGTCGATCATAGTTTCCAAGCAGATCGAGGGATTTCAACGGTCGGTGGTCGGGTGTTGTGACAAGTTGACCAAGCGTCTGCTCGAAATTGGCGAGCATAAGCTCCAGCTGGTGAGCGTCAAGAACCATCTCGTCATAACTCACTGCAACTTCCACAACGGAACCGTTCAGGTAGCATTGAAGCGTAAGTGGATATGATACCAGCTCTTCTATTTGATCGATAGGAGTCTCGATCCAGAAGTCCTTTGATGCAGCGATTGGCCTTCGGTCGTGGATAACAAGCAGATGCTGAAAATTGCACGCATTTTCAGCTTCGGGGGCACTTTGGGCGATTCGCTGCAAGCCAACGTGTTCGAAAGATTTCATGTCGCTAGCTTGATCGCGGATACTGCTGATGAACTGCTCGATTGAGGTATTCCAGTCTATATGCATCCGGAGGGGGACAGTAGCCAGGGTCGGGCCAACGATCGTGTCAATACCTTCCACTGGCACATCGCGACCCTGCACTGTGAGGCCAAAAGTAATATCGTCAGTTCCAGAATATCTGGCCATAATGATTGACCACGCAGCCTTGAGGAAGACTGGCAACTCGTACGAAGTGCTTTGTTTTGCCGGAAGTTCGAAGTGCGAATGCAGGATTTGGCACTTCCCAGGCTGATGCGAAGCACTCGGCAGTCGGGGGAAGTCGACTGGCGACGCACCAGAGAGCTGATTTTTCCAATAAGCTTCAGCTTCACCTTCGTTACTCCTTGCAAAGTAATGCATAAAATCGGACAAGCTCGACGATTCGACTTTGAAAGAGACTGCCTCATCTTGTACAACTCCTTGGTACACAGCCTCAATGCTGTTGAGCAGAAGATTTATTGACCACTCGTCGTATAGCACATGGTGTATAGTCAGCAGGAGTTTAGGTGCCTCTTCCGATTGTTGGACAACACAGCACTTCAGCAGTGGCTGACCATAGGCCATGGTCATACTGCGTTCCAACACCCAGAACTCAGCCTCAGAAAGAGTTTCTGTGATATCGATGTCCTCCTTGATCACAACCTGCATGGAGCCAGTGGACTCCATATTCACAATCCTTGTACGCAATATCGGTTCTTTTTGAGCAACCAAATTGACGGCCGTCTTGAGAAGATCGACATTGACGGACGCTGGCAATGTCCAAGCGTGTCGTTGACGGTATGAGCCCGGTCTTTTCATGGATAGTATCATGAGCGACTCCTGCAGAGGCGTGCACTGGTAGAAGTCCTGGACTGATTCCTTAAGAATGCCGAACTGCTCTTGAAGTTGATAGTAGACGCTCTGCGAGGACAGGTCCTCTGCTGCTGCTGCCATGTCACTCAGTTTCGGGTTCTGAAAGATCAGAGCGATAGTGAGATGGATCTCGTCTTGACTGGCCCGAGAAGTGAGTTGAATCGCACTAAGGCTGTCGCCGCCCAGTCGGAAGAAGCTGTCATCCTGGCCAATTCGTTTGGGTTGCAAGTCTAAAACCTCCGACCAGATCTGTTGGAGTTTTTTCTCGATACGAGTCGAGGGCTGTAGTTTTGGTCCATCCGATAGTGAGAAGTGAGCTAGTTCGGGTTCGCTGAGGCCAGAAACGACAGATTGCAATCGTGACACATCAGTCTTGCCAGACACCGTGAGTGGCATGCACTGTAGTGGGATGTACATGGCGGGGATCATGTACGATGGCAGCGCATCGGCAAGCTTGGCATCGAGTGCTACCAGCTGGGTGGTCAAAGGCTCGGCAAGACGCGCCAGAAGACTGTCGTAGTGGGACTCCAACTCGGTGTTCCAACTTAAGAACGCAGTGAGAACGGGGCCTACTGATCGGTTCTGTGGGGTTGTCAATGCAACGGCAACATCCTTCAGTCCAGGCAAGTTGGACCTGATAGCATTTTCGATCTCGCCGGCTTCCACACGCTGACCTCGGATCTTGATCTGCGTATCTTTGCGGCCAACAAAGTGTATTGTACCGTCGAATGCCCACCGCACCAAATCACCCGTGCGATACACCTTCGACTCACCAAGCCCCGTCCACTTTGGTGCATTAACAAATGCATTCCTAGTCTTCTCCTCGTCATTCAAATATCCATTCGCCAAAGTCTGGCCCCCTATTAGAAGCTCCCCCACAGCCCCAACCGGCACTGGCCACTTGATGTCGACAGCATCAGCAACCCACAGCGAGCTGAACCTGAGCGGCCTTCCAATGTTGCGTGCGTCAAATCCCCCTCTTCTGCTGTAGTGTAGACTCGTAACTGCGATCGTGGCTTCCGTCGGGCCATACGCATTGATCAACTCTACATGTCCCTTCCACATCTCGATGTCGCGCTCGGTGATCGCCTCTCCACCGCACACGATGGACTTCAAGCTTGTCAACTTCTCCGGCTGCAGCGTCCGAGCAAGTGAAGGTGTCAGCACGATGTGGCTGACCTTCATGTTGTTGATTACAGGAGTAATATCTTTCATGCGGTCGTGATCTGATATTATGCACAGACAAGCACCCGTGAACAGTGCACCGAAGATGTCTCCTAGCATAGGATCAAAAGTGTAAGCGATGAATTGAAGGATCCTAGAATTGCTGTCCCATCCCCAGGTTTGGGCGATCTCGGGCACATTAGTAGTAATAGCGCGATGGGGGATCATGACGCCCTTGGGTATACCCGTACTTCCGCTGGTGTATATGAGGAATGCGCTGCTTTCCGGATCAACAGCCACGGAAATCGGTGATGTTTTTGGAATTGTAGAGGCGAGCGACTTGGAGAAGTGAATGAGTTGTAGGCCAAGCGCACTGAGTCTGCTGGCTTGATCTGGCGCACATATGATCAGATTGGCGCTGCAATCCAACACCATTGTTCGTACGCGGTCAAGAGGATGGTCTGGGGAAAGTGGCAGGCCCGTGCCCCCAGCTTTCAAGATAGCCAGCATGGCGACGATAGCCCACGCCGACTTGGAGAAACAGAAGGGTACAACAGTCCCAGGGCGCACACTAAGGTTAATCAAGTGCTGGCTGAAGTTGGTGGAGATGTCGTCAAGCTCGCTGTAAGTGATCCTCCCCTCGAAACTTTCGATTGCGAGTGATTTCGGAGCTCGTGCGACCTGGTCTGCGAAACGTATGTGCACCAGCGCACCAGATCCAGGCCGCTGCAGAGGGGTCCATGATTGAACTTGACGCATGTCACGCTCACTGAGTTGTCGCACGCTATCAACATTGCCTTCCGGGTAAGACAGCATCTGCTCCAAGACCTTCTCAAAAGTCTGCGCAACATTCTCAGCGTGCCAGTCGCTCATCCTGTCCGCCCAGTAGCCGAAGTGCGCTTCGGCATTTTCGTTGTCCGAATAAATTCCTAGAGAGATGTCGTACTCTGTTGGATCACGGGAGCTGATGCCCTCAAAAGCAAGTGCCAGCTCGTCACTTGTCTTCTTATTGCCTAAAGCTTGAACTGAGATCATGGAGTTGAAAAGAGGCTGATCGGATAGACCCAGTGCGTGTTGAATCTGGGCCAGAGAGCAAGCCTGATGCTCGATGCCAGAGGCATACTCGGACTGCTTTTTCTGCACTAGTGAGGAGATGGTGGCGGATGGGGAGAGACGCGTACGCGACACCATCATGTTGATGAACGGCCCGATTGTTTTCGTGATTCCTAGGACAGCAACATCGCGGCCGGAGACGAGATAACCGTATGCTACGTCTTCGGCGCCTGTATACAAACGCAAGACAATGCTCCACGCTAGATGAAAGACACTAGACATGGTGACTGAGCATGTTGCGCAGAACTTGCGCATTAGGCTAGATAAGTTGCCGAGCGAGAGATGGATACTGCGAAGAGGTGAAACGGTGTCCTGGACGTCGTTGATCATAGGGACATAGCATGGGACAACGTGCTGGAGATACTCTGACCAGTACGTGACTGATGTCTCCATTGGCGTCGAGTCCAAGTACTTGATGTAGTCACTGTAGAGCGGACCAACGCTGAGTGGCTCTTTGCCCTCGTAAGCCTGCGATAGATCTCGCAGCAACACGCCCACTGAATCTGCGTCTACCAACGCGTGGTTCGCATCGAACCTGAAGAAGATGCTACCTGAATGGACTTGACATGCGATGAAGCGGTGGGGGGGCACGCTATCGGTATACTCCAACACTGGCCAATTCTCAAGCAGACTGACTGCTTCCTCATCGCTCTCACAGCTGAGCAGCAAAGTGTTTGCTTTGCACTTCGCGAGAACGAGCTGGTAGAAGACGCCGTTTGGTATTGTGCGATCTGTGAAGACTGTGCGAAGCATAGCATGCGAATCCACGACGCTCTGCCAAGCTTCCAGCAGCCTTTGCCTGTCGACGTTTCCTGAGCGGTTTGAAGTGACCTTGAAGGTGAAGGACGTTTTGTATGTATCAGAGTTCCGTGTCTGGGACAGTATCAAGCCATTCTGCATTGGAGTTAGAGGGTACAGGTCCTCCAGGTCGTCCAAGCTCGTCAGTCCAAGGTCTGGTAGAATGGTTTCTTGAATATTTTGAAGTGCCCCGTATGTGAGGGGCACAAGAGGGAAGTCGATCAGCGTCTTCTCGCTCGCCATTGTAGGCAGCAATTCAGTGATGTCGTCCAGCGATTGGGCATAGGTACCCGCCCAACGGAGGACATCCGCCTTGCGTGCCATGCGTTTGTTGTACAAGAACTGGAACGAAAGGATACCTTGCGCGACCGTGGCGTTGATCTCGAAGAGCGCGAAACGTGTCAGCTTCTCGTCGAAGTCAGACTGCGCGGCACCCTCTGGAAGAGCCTGCTGGCGTAGCAAGCTGTCTTCACGTTCGAGACCTTGGAATTGCCCGAGGTAGTTGAACAGCACCTCCATAGAGCCCGACTTGCCGAACGCTTCTTGCCCTTGAGCTGTTAAGTACCTTGAAGCAAAATAGTCGAAGCCATTCCGCGTAATGGATCGCCGAACGTCTTTCGTTTTTCGCACAATATCGATTACGCTGTCTCCAGATACCGAAATATGCAAAGGTGACATCGTAGTGAACCACCCAACTGTGTTCGACACATCGAGGCTCGAGTTCCAGGGTTCGCGTCCGTGACCCTCACTAAAGACCGTCGGCGTCGCTCGGTCTGGGAAGACAATAGCGAAAGAATGGAACAGCGCAGCCAGGAGTATCTCAACGGGCTCAGTTCCCAGCGCAGTGTGACATTGTTCCAGTAGCCTCGTGCTCACATCCTTCGTCAGCGGGAACTCGTGTCGCTCCACATCAGCATAAATATTCGCTTTCCCTTCCATATCCCAGTACGCGAGGTCGGAGCTCTGGATCTGGAAAGGGAGTACAGTGTTGACATCCAGCGAGGAGGCGTGCGTCGCCTGTAGTGCCAGCCATGATTGGAACGGCAGGGAGTCGGAAGTTGGGAGATTGCGGCCGAGCAGCAGCTGTTCTAGATCTTGAAGTATGATGCGCCAAGACACGAGATCGATGACCAGATGGTGCGCAACCAGGTACAAAAATTGACCATCTCCTGTCACGTTGAGCAGATCGGCCGAGAACAGTGGTCCAGTATCAGGGTGAAGACGGTGCTGCGAAGCTTCCATGATAGACACGGCCAGGCTCGACCTCCTTAAATCATGGGACGCCGTATAATATCGACCGCGAGCAGTTCTCTGCACAAACTGCCGCCAATTGCCTTCGGCATTCTTGAGGTAGTGCGCGCGAAGCATAGGGTGACGTCCAACGATGGTTGCGATCGCCTTTTCCAAGTTCTTGTGCGTTATTGGTCGATCCACACGCAAGTAGAAGCTCTGATTGAAGCGCATGTCGGGAATACCGCCCATCTCTTCGAACATTAGTTGGATGGGTGAAAGCTCGAACGGCTTTTGTGATATCTCGACGTGTTGTTGCTGAGTGTTTCTGATGGACTTGGCAGCTTGCGCCATTTTCGACATTGTCTTACTGCGTAGAATATCTGTCATTTTGAGGGCAATACCCTGTGATCGGCAGCGGCTGACCATCTGCATAGCTAATGTACTCATTAGTAACTTATCGCTCTGGTCTCTAGAATATTGATCTGTTACCTGTGATCGAATCTCCGCCAAGGCCAATGAATGACTGTGTCAGAGAGAGCTGCTTGTTTGGGATGTTGAGGATCTCGGAGACCATCGTCCGGATCTGAGATTCCATGTCAGTAGCGGGTTGTGAACTTGCATCGCTCGTCAGGTTGTCATCCGTGGCAATGCGATGATAGAAGTCAGTTCCCAGACGTTCAACCCACTTTATGACCCTCTTGCGGTCGAGCTTGCCTGATGTGTTCAATGGCATAGCTTCAACGACTATCCATACGGCCGGGACCATGTAAGATGGAAGTGTTTGGCCAAGATGATCTGCGACTTCTCGTACGTGGCCAGCTTGTAGCGATTGATCTACAATTTGCAGGGCCTTGCCGTTGCGATTATGGAAACGTAGTGCTGTAAGCGTTACGACCGCAATCAAGGTCTTCTGGCGCGGCCCTACTGTGGGCATGACAACGACTGCATCGCGGACGATTCTGCTGGCATCTAATTGATGCTCGATCTCACCGATTTCCAATCTTTGACCGCGCACTTTAACTTGCGAATCCTTTCTGCCCAAGTAAGTGTGGCTTCCGTCCTCACGGAGGCGTACAAGATCTCCAGTCTTGTAGAAGCGGCGCCCAGGTGCCCAGCTCGGCGAATCGACGAAAGCAGCGCGCGTCTTCGCAGGTTCATTAAGGTACCCTCTTGCCAGCGTAGGCCCCTCGAGGAGAAGTTCACCGACAGCACCCATAGGAACGAGCCGGTCAGCGTTGTTGCGGTCCGCAATCCAGGTAAGTGCGCCGACGCCGTGTCCAATGTTGGTCGCATCCGTGACGTGAGTGTTGATAGTGACCAGAACGGACGCTTCTGTGGGCCCATAAGCATTCATAAGCCTAACATGCGGACCCCAAATCTCCACATGTTTCTGGGACATTGCTTCTCCACCGAGCACTAGCGTCTTCAAACCAGGCACTTGTGACGGCTCGATGATAGTCACAAAACTTGGCGTGAGAAGAGTCCAGTTGACTCTCATTCGATTGATCGCGCCCACGATCTCCATGGACTCGCGTTCTTCGTCCGTAGGGATGCAGATGCAACCGCCCTGCATGAGTGTAGTCAGTATGTCCATTACACTTACATCGAAGACGTAACTCGAGAACTGCAGTACGCGACTCGAGCTGCTGATTTCCATGGCCTTGCTGTGGTCTCGAGCGCTCGTGGCGAAGGCCCTATGTTCGATCATGGTGCCTTTGGGCTTGCCTAGGTGAGAGGTGCAAAGTTAGTCGAGTCGTATCTAATTCACGCTTAAGGAGTTTATACCGGTTGTACCGCTAGTGAAGATGACATAGGCAAGATTCTTCGGCGTTACTGTTTCCTTGGCTAGCGGTGTATTAGGAAACCCCTGACATCTCTTTTCGTCCACAACAAGAGTTTCGCAATCCAAGCTACTGAATAAACTAGCCTGATTCTCCGAAGTAAGGATCAGCTTCCCATATACGCCCTTCGATTCGATGATCTGGCGAATTCTGTATTCTGGATGCCTTGGATCAAGAGGAACGTAAGCCCCGCCAGCTTTCAGGCAAGCCAGTATAGCCACCACCGCCCATGTATTTTTCTCGAAGCAGATGGGCACGACAACCTCAGGACCTACACCTTTTCTCTGAAGCTCGGCTGCTAGTCTTGTCGAAAGACCATCCATTTCTCCGTACGTCATCGAGCGGTTCGCGTTGCAGATGGCTTCGGCGTTTGGCGTAGCCTTGACTCTCTGCTGTATGACATGATGGATGCATACGTACTCTTCTTCGACTGGGGTATTGTTCCATTTTTGTAAAATTTCCCGGTCGCGGCTACTGACGGATTCCAATTCTGAAAGCGGGCCGTCGACCGAGGCGACTTCGATCAGGGAGCGTATGACCGAGGTGAGAGAGGCCAAGGCGTTCCTTGCAAGCCAGTCACTTACCCTGGGTGACCAATATGCGAAAGTGATGTTTGGATTGTGATCGTCCGCTTTCAGGGTGAAGATAATGTCGTATTCGGTGGGATCGTGGAAATGCAAAACGTCGAAGAAGAGTTCGCGACGTTTGGCTTGGGCATTGCGGGATTGGAATTTTGATATGGTGGACGAATTATGTAGAGAGGACATTGCGGTATTGAATAGGGGAGTTGCAGCGCTCAATCCGATGGTATGCTGGACACGACCCAGCGATACGTGTTGGTGGTCCAGAGATTCGGCGTACTGATCGCGAGTCGCATGGAGGAGGTCGATGACGTTGGTAGAGGTAGCAGCATCTACGTGGCATACGAGCATGTTGATCAAAGGCCCCACGATGCGATCTACTCCCTTAACATCAACGTTTCGTCCGGAGACAAGATACCCAAACGACACCGAGTCAAGCCCAGAGTAGCTATGTAATACCAGCGCCCACGCAGTCTGCACAAGATTGGGCAGTGTCACACCCGTTCTAGAAATGAAGTTCCGCAGCAGTGGCCGGATGAACTGGAGGTCTGCCTCTAGCTCTCGCATTTCCTTCACGGCCACCTCACTTACGGAGGCTACAGGGAAGTGACAAGGACTCGCCTGCGACAAGCGGTCTTCCCAGTAGCCCAGAGCGTTGCCAAGCGATTTAGTTTGCAAATACTTGATGTACTCGCTGAATTGCGGTTGATTTCCGAGGTTCAGACCACCGTCGTATGCTAGACGGATGTCGTCGAGGAGTACGCGGAGAGAAGTTGCATCAATCATCGCGTGGTGGAAGTCCATACGGCAGTAGACCTTGCCACTTGGAGTTGTACAAATGACGAATCGATGGAGTGGCTTGGTCTTAGAAAGCTTCATGTACTCCAGTGCTATGAGCGTAGCAGGTCCACACTCGTCTTCGCAGCGGATTCGTCGGGTGAAGCCATTGAACGATTTTAAGACGACCTGATCGTACAACCCTTCTTCCGCAACACTATCTGCAAAGATGGTACGGAGCATTGGGTGGTAAGCGATGACCGTTTCCCACGCAGCTTGCAGACGGTCTACATCGACCGGGGTCTGGCGATTGGTAGTAGTCACCTCGAGCGTCGCGTTGGTCTCGTAAGCACCAGCGTGCAGTGCTTGTCCGACAAGTAACGCTTCTTGCATTGGCGCGGTTGGGTACACGGCCTCGATATCGCCAAGTTCAAACAGGCCCAGCTGTTGGATCCGCTCCGTTCTAAGTGTCTGAAGTCCCTTGTAATCAAAACGCAGCAGGGGATAATCGCTAAGTGTTTTCTCTAATTTTCTCCCTGGTAAGAGCGCCGCCGCGTCTCGTAGGGTCTGGTCATAAGCTGCCCCCCAGCGATAAATAAAATCGATATGCTTCATCCTGTCATTGTACAAGATGCGAAATTTGAGCTTCCCATCGCTGGTGTGGGAAACCGAAATCTCCAGCAATGACATCCGAGGAACATCTCGTCCCACAGCAGGCTCAAGCTCCTCTATGTGGGGCTCCTGTAGCTGAAACAAGGTATCTCCGCCCTCCAGCTGCTGAAATCTTCCCACGTAGTTGAAGAGGAGCTCGATAGAGCTGTGGTTCTTGAATTTCTCCCGTCCGTTCGCAGTGAGATAACGCGAGGTGAAGTACGGCCAGCCGTTCTGAGGAAGCCGTCGAGATGTATCCTTCACAGCTCGTAGGGTTGTGACAATATCATTATCCACGGGCACATTAATTTGCAGCGGCGCGAGATTAGTGAACCATCCTACGGTCGATGAGAGATCGATGTCCGCGCTCCAGGGCTCTCGACCATGAGCTTCTCTCCAGACAGTAGGTGTTTCTCTGTCTGTGAATGTCCGACAAAACGAGTGAATAGCTGCTGCAGTGAGGATCTCGACTGGCTCGGATGAGAGGGGGCTGTTGCAGTCGCTGAAGATGTGGCTCGTAGTGTCTTGATCGAGCAGGAAAGTGTGGCATGCAATATCGCCGTACAAATTAGGTTCTTCTGCCATTCCCCAGTAATCAAAATCTGGGTCGTTTATATCGAACGGCAATGCCACCTGTGGGTCAATATGCTCGTACGCGTACTCAGCTTGCAGTTTTGTCCATGTCTGGAACGAGAGAGGAGTACCATCACTGGCATATCCTACAGTAAGGAAGTCTTCCAAGTCCTTAAGAATAACTCGCCAGGATACGAAGTCAATGACCAAGTGGTGCGCAGCGAGCACAAGAAAGTGTGAGCTATCTTGCAACTGCAAATAATCCATTCCGAGAAGCGGGCCATTTTCAACGTCTAAGCCACGCTGGCACTCAAGAAAAGCTTGACCTACATCCTCTTCTGAAGCTAGGTTTTTAATGCGGAATCGAAAAGACCCAGCTACGTTGTCGGTTATATGTTGGTACCACGCATCGCCTTGCCGATCAAACCTTGCGCGGAGCATGGAGTGCTTCTTGACTGCCGCTTCGATCGCAAATCTCAGCTGCGGTACAGACACGGGTCGCAAAACTTTTAGCAAGAAGGCTTGATTGAATTGCGTCGGCTTCTGTCCCATTGCCTCGAAATAGAATTGCTGGACTGGAGAAAGCGCAAAAGCACGATTGAGCTCTTCATTCGAAACACCGAAGGCCGTCGCTGTGTTGTCCATGGTCTCCACAAGCTCCGAAAGTTGTGCAAGACTTTCGCTGTGCAATATATCTTTGACAAACAGCCTTAGTCTTTCCGCGCGGCATCGTGACACGACCTGCACTATTATAATTGTTAGTGCCTTTGATTCTATCGTGTAATTGAGTTACATACTCGCTGTAATTGAGTCACCGCCTAGATTGGCAAATGACTTGTTCATGGACAATTGCTCCTCTTGTTTGTTGAGTACCCGCGCGATGATGCTGCGGAGCTGCGTAGCGATTGGAGTGTCAGGCGCGGTAGTTTCGCCTTCCACGCCAACCCCCATTAAGGCGGAATAAGCCTCGGAATCAAGAGAAGCTGCCCACTTCGATACACGGACGCGATCAACCTTTTGCGAAGTATTACGGGGGATGGAGTCCACGATTACCCACACTGTGGGCACCATGTAGCTGGGTAACTCGTCTTGAAGCTGTTTGCGTAGCTGATCAACTGTAGGCTCGATGCCTTTTCGCTGATCTCCAATAATAAGCTTGAAGTCGTCATTCGCAACAACTACCTTGTCTTGCAGAATTTGAAAGGACAAGATGGCCATAATACGCTTTGTGCCGTCGGGATCGCTAGATAGAATGACCATCGCGCTTTCCACATCACTAGAATTTCGCAAATGATGTTCGATCTCGCCTAGTTCAAGACGCTGGCCATTTATCTTGGCTTGCGAATCCATTCTGCCCAGCACTTCCAGGCTACCATCATCGGTGTATTTCACAAGGTCACCAGTGCGATACATCCTACGCGGCCGATCTGTAGGCTGCTGGTTTCGAGTGAAAGCAGGATTCGTAATGAACGCTGCATCAGTCTTCTCAGCGTCGTTCAAATAGTAGCGTGCAAGCAATGGGCCCTCAAGAAGGAGCTCTCCACTACACCCGACAGGGGCCAAATTGTCTGGATTGCCTGGTTCGACAACCCATAGCTTTGTGTGTAGACCATGACCGACATTGGAGGGTTGCCCGTTCTTGCCAAGTTGAGGATTCAAAGTAGCATACAAAGTCGACTCGCAGGGACCATATCCGTTGTACATGTACGATACGTGATGTTTCCATTGATCGACGAGCTTCTGTGTTATGAGCTCTCCACCGAGAATCAAGGTTTCGATCATAGGTACGCTGTTCGGATCGAGGGTTCTAGCAGTTGTGGGCGTGATACCGATCCAATTAGCTCTTGTCGCTCTGACAGCACCAGCGAGGTCATTGAGGCGCTGAGTTTCCGAAGGTACGCACACGCACCCTCCTCTCGTGAGTTGTGTGTAGATATCCTCAAGACTCGCATCGAACACGTACGCACTAAAGTTTAGCGCACGAGTTTGCGGACCGATGTGTAATGCGTCTCCGTGTGCCTGCATGCCCGTGCAGATGGATGCATGCTCCAGAACGACTCCTTTAGGCTCACCGGTAGAGCCTGACGTATAGATGACCAAAGCAGCATTAGAAGGATGCACATCTCGCTTCAGGGTCTGGTCAGGTTTAATGAGCCGAGAGATACGCTTGACCGAGTCTGCATCAACAGTGACCAAATGCTGGATGTCTTGAAGGAGATTCAAGAACGCACTGGTAGTAAGCACAACAGTAGCCCCAACGTCCGCGAGGATCCTCCGGATGCGGCCCTCCGGGTGGCTAGGATCAAGACAGACAACAGCGCCGCCAGCTTTCAATATAGCGAGTTGGGCTACGTGTGCCCAAGCAGATTTTTCAAACATCATGGGAACAATAACCTCCGACTTCACACCAAGACTCTGGAGATGCAGGGCAAAAGTAGTCGACAGGTAATCAAGCTGGCTATACGAGAAGTCGCCATCCCATGAGCAGATAGCTTGCGCTTCTGGCTGGGCACGGGCAACTTCCTCGAACAATTGGTGAATACAGGCCATCTTTTTGGGCAGCTCCTGGTTGTTCCATTGCTCAACAAGCCGCAAGTCATACGGTGATACTAGTTCCAAGTCGGCCATTGTTACGGTTTGACTCTCGGTGTTCAGCTGGAGCAACACATGTTGGAACTGCCGGATCACCCTTTCCATTTGAAGTTTTGATATGACGTTCTGGTCATATTCGGTATGGATGACAATTCCGGCCTCTTTCAGCGTGCATTCGACCATGACCGCGTAGTTTTCAGATCCGGCGGTCGCGCGGAGACTGAACTCTAGGCCTGTGTGTCTCTTGCCATTCTGATCGTCGGATGCTAGCTGAACTACGAGAAGGTTTTGAAAATCTGGTACAACTAGTGTATCCTGGCCCCAGCGTCTAATAGTCTGGAGACCGACGTGTTCGTATGGGATCATAGCGATCATCTCATCTTGCGTTCGCTGAAGGTGCTGGGCGAATGTATGCGTGCGGTCGATGGAACATCGCACTGGAACCGTGGCGATGGTTGGCCCAACGATGTCACTTATGCCAGTAACCGGGGCATTGCGGCCAGTCAAGGTGGAGCCAAATACCACATCGTCGGAGTCAGAGTATCTGGCAACAACAGCACCCCATGCAGCTCTGACTATAGTGGCAACGGTGATGTTGGATGCAACCGCGCGTTGAAGGCTCACTTCAGAGGTCAGCGTGTCATGACTCGGACCTGTACCGGTAGCCTGGTTTGCCTGAGGAAAAGGCGCGATGTTCGCGCCTTGAAGATACGAGGACCAAAAGTCTTTCGATTGTATCGTATCAGTATCCGTGACGTGCTTGACAAAGCGGTTGAAAGACACGTGCGATGACAGGGCATACGTTGAGTCTCCGTATAGGCGATCGACCGCGTTCAGTATTAGTGCCATGCTCCAAGCATCGTACAGTGCGTGGTGTATAGTCCAGACAAAATGCCACTCCTGTTGAGCTTGACCAACGATAGCGAGTCGGGACAAAACACTACCATACTCGACTGAAGTAGCTCTGTCCCGGGCGAGGTAATCAGAAAGGTCGCTTCCGGATCGCCATTCGACACTTTCTTGACTAAGCACAGCCTGGACGGTGCCAGTGGACTCGAGATACACAATCCGTGTGCGGAGGATCGGAAACTCTTGGGCAACATTTTCCCAAGCGGACTTGAAACGCTTGATATTCAACCAAGGAGGCATCCGGCAAACGCATTGTAAGATGTATGATGCCTTTCCAGTGAAGGTGAGGGCAAAGAGACCTTCTTGGAGAGCAGTTGTGGGATATAAGTCCACTACACTTCTGGCGTCTACGTCGCACTGCACGGCAGCTGCACGCACAACGTCGATGGTAGAAAGCTGTTGTGGAAGCAGCTCGAAAGGACTCAAGTCGAGATCCATCTCGCCCTCGCCAATCGGCAAGGTATTTGCTGAAAGTTCCGCCAACGTTGGCGTAATGAAAATGTCGGCTACTGTCAATGCTAAGCCTGCTCGTGTGGCTACAGCAACAAGGTCCATAGCCGAAGCGGAATCACCGTAGAGGAAGAAGCTATCCTCGGGTCCGAGCTGTTCAGGTGCGACGGAAAGAACTTCAGCCCATAACAAACGCATCTTCTCCTCAGACGCTGTCAATAGCCTCTGCGCTTCTACACTCGTTTCTATCAAGATCTCCGCTTCGTCACTAACATTAGAGGGCGTGGAAACACGAACCCATGTGTCGTCCACCTCTGATGAGCGAGACTGAGGAAGGGCAGAGAAAAAGGCCAGCAGGTCTGTATGAGCCACGCTTCCGTCGGCGGAACGAGGCATGTGAGATAAGGGGATGAGCGCAGGTGGGCCAAGGCCCGGCTGGAGATTGGTAAAGAGCACTCGTCTTAACTCTTCGATGCTATTGCTCACGTGAGTCCTCTCATCCAGAGCAAGCGCTTCCTCGGGAAGACCATCACGGTCAGACATTGTGAGGAAGGCAATCAGCCGCTGATAACGGCTGGAGGAATGATTCAGGGTGACCATTGTGGTCGCGACCGCAGAGACACCGGGAAAGTTGATTGATATTTGCTGTTCAACTTGATCTAGAGAGATCCAAGTCCCATAGCTGGACTCTGCTTCCTGGTGCACAGCGGAGCCAGCTTTGACAGGCAGATGGACTTGGACTTTGGCAGATTCTTGTATAGGATCCAGAAGTTGGGGTAGTGAATGTGGCTGCTCCATAATGCTAAGGACGGTTCTTCCAAAAGTACTCGCAAGCCCAGCCGACAGGTCTCGAGACAAGAGCTTGGGGCTGCATTGAAACGAGATGGAGACAACGTCTCCGGAAACATCCACGTCCACTATGATGTCGAACTAAATTTCAGGGTGTCAACATATCGACACAAAAAGGAGTTAGCCAGGACCAACTTACACGCGCATCATCTTTCGGAGCCCCCAGAGAGTGCTGGTGGGCTGCAATTCCTTCACCGTCACGTGATACGCGAAGGGCGGTGTTAATACCAGCTTGTGGGGCTGCCTGAGCTTCATCGTCCGCCGAAGACACTACATCTTCTATCTGTTGCAATGCTTGCACCGCTTCTGCTGCAGAGAAGCCACGATCGATGTTTGACAAAATCCTTGTGCGTTGGCCATGCTCGAGATCCACGAAGTTGAAGACGACGTGATCACTTTTTACAAAGCAGGCGAGCACCAAGGCCCATGAAAGCTGGAACAGGCTCGCAGGATGAAGTCCGTTACTGTCGCAGAAGAGTTCAGCCTCGAGCCCAACATCCAACTGGAATGCTACGCAGTGCAATTCTGCGTCGAGATGTACACGATCGCCGTGGTCTGGGGCTCGAGAGAGAAGACTGGGGAACATGCACAACGACGAGGAAGCGGGAATTGTAGATGACATGGTTTACGGCCGCGAGGTAAGGGGGGGCCTTAGGAGGGAAAGAATATTGAGATGCTGCTGAGCAGAGCAGACGTTGCAGCATGTGTATGTTGCGAGAATGAGCGTCAAAGGACTATCTCGTCTAGGGAAGCATCGATTCCGCACGAGAGGAGATGGCTCCTCCACCGGTGTGAATGCCAGGGCCTGACACGCCACTGCAGGGACGACATGGCTGCAACTTCCAGAACGCCAGGCGTCGTGCGGTTAACAGAGGTAGATAGCGGTTCAGCGCGTGGGAGCCGGGTGCAGGTGCAGGATGCGCGAAGGATGGATCGTGATGGGTAAGACAGCGGATCGGGTGCCATGTACGGCGGTGGCGGACCAATGCCCAGCACTTTCCACTGGTCCGCACGCGCTTTCTTACTTGGCCGTCCCCAAACAGCAGGTGCGACCCACTGCGGTCCTCGCTGACCCTCCAAACCTCTCCTTGAGTGCAACCTCACCTGTCCTAGAGCACGCCATCCTTCCTCGTCGCGACCAAGCTCTACAATCAGAGCCGTTCCACGACGATGGCCACGGAAGAGCCTCCACCCGCGCAGATAGCAGCCGCTCCAACGACCGGGCCGCCTCCCTTGCGTTTGTGCTCTTGGTGCAGCACGCCGAGCAGCGTGGTCAAAATGCGGCTCCCACTATTCGCGAGGGCGTGTCCCAAGGCCACCGCTCCGCCGTGCCGGTTCACTTTTGTCGCCTCAATCCCTAGCAGGCGCACATTCGCCAGGGCGGCCACGGCAAATGCTTCGTTGATCTCGAAAGCGTCGACCTCATCAAGCTGAACAGCTGCTCGACTTAGGGCTTTGGGGAGAGCTAATGCAGGAGCCTATGGGTTGAAGCACATCAGCACATTCCCTGCAGTTCCGGCTGGTTGGCCCCCACATCCCCTACTTACCGTTGTAAAGGCACCTGGGTGCGTTTCTGCGTCTGCCCAACCAAGCACTCGGGCTACTGGGCTTACACCCAAGGCCTGAAGCTTCGCCTCGGAGACCAGCACGACTGCAGACGCCCCGTCAGCTAGCGCAGGTGAATTTGCTGCGGTAACAGTACCACCGCCTGCTGCCGAGGCGAAAATGGGCGGCAGATGTCGCAGTTTCGTCTCGTCAAACTACCAAGATGGGGATTGATTAGTTAGTACACACTTGGCGCCAGGCCAGGATCCGCTTGCGTTAGGTCGGCACGGGCTCACCTTGCAAAGACATTCGTCTTCTCGAACCAACACAGGCCGTTGTCCAGGCGCTGCTACCTTGATGGGTGCGATCTCCTGACGAAGGAAGCCTTGTAATGTTGCCGCAAGCGCTTTGCGGTAGCTATCAATGGCATAGTCGTCCTGCTCGTCTCTCCCGATGCTATGCGTTTTTGCGCAGAGTTCTGCCTTGAGGCCCATGTGCTCTTTGTTACCATAGGCGTCCGTCAGTCCATCTGTAACGACGCCGTTCGTGGTTCGCTTTCCATCAGTGTAATTAGGACAGCCTGACATCGATTCAGTTCCGCCAGCGATAACAACGTCAGCATACCCCAGCTGGATACTTTGAGCGGCTAACGTGATTGCCTTCATCGACGAAGCGCACACTTTGTTGATGGTCGTGCACACTGTAGTTACCGGTAACCCGGCTCCCAGGGCGCATTGGCGAGCTATATTCTGCCCAAGCCTGGGTATGCAGTCAGCCGATCGAGTACAGCAAAACAACGGAGAAAGGGCAGGCTATACCCAGCGGACAAGACATTTCCCATCAAAACTTCGTCAACATCTTCAGGTTTCAGACGAGGGACTCGGGTCAGGGCCGCTGCTTCGTACTTAGCACAGGCCGCCTTCGCACTCACACCGCCAGCTGCCCTACCTTTGATTACATGAGAACCCAACTCTACTGCAGTCAACGACGAAAGCGAGCTATCACCAGAATCAGACTCTGTCTCCGTCATACTCGGAAAATAACTCACCCTTTAAACGCACCAATGCCTGTGCGAACGCTGGCAACAATGTAAACTGGAGGATTGGCCGACATGTCCAGATGAATCTGTGATGCACTCATGCTTGAATCAGATAAACGGTTTTGAACGACTCTGTAGCCAGCGCTATCCGCTTGGGGTAGGTGCACATGCATGTACTACTGGGATACTTATCCTTGATTAGAACTTACCGAACCAACGCGGGCGGCTCTTAGCATCGATACTGGGAACTCAGACTAGACTACGTACGTAATTGGATTGGAACTTTTCGCACGAGATTACGCCCGAAAAACCATGGCATCACCATTGATTTTGATAACGTTGTCGTTCCTCGCTTATTCGTAAGACTCTCGACGCCCGGCTTCCCCTCGGACCGCTACTTACATGGCGCAGTCCTGGTCGTCAGGCATCGTGCTTCGGTGGCTTTGGTGACCTTGAAGAAAAATTGACTTGCAAGGAACAAGACCTTACCCATACTGCATGTTCTGTGCGCTGTTTCACCTCTCAAGCTTGGCTTCGATGTTGGCCGCTCCGAAGTACTCAAAGTATTACCACAACGTCGAGAGCAATAGTACTGTTGAGGTGGTATGGAATTAGATACAACGACAACTCAAGACAATCGAACTACAGTCTACTAAAGCCGCGGTAGGTTATGGTGGTAATCTGGCAAGCATACTACAGAGGCCCTGCAACAGATGAAATTTCTTTTCCCTAGTCCAGAGGAATCTGATTTGCTATAGCCGGTTCACATCTTTGGCAACGCCGCCTTTCACGGCCACACACTACTCATATATTCAACAACATGCTCTATGTTATCTGCTTATCCCTCTCTGTCAAATGCTGGTCACTACTTTCAAGTATGGCTGAGCTTTACAGTCTAGAATCTCAGCATTTCCCCAAGGCACGATCGTTTCGGCGCAGTGAGCGTTGATGAGAAGACGATGAGCCACGTCACTAAATCGATTTACTGCTTTTAACGAAAACCATGTTGTGGTTTTGGGTTCCTCCACAAGCGGGGAACCGTCAGACTACGCTACTTGCGGGGTACCTTACCACAAATAACAACTAGTGGAGAGTTGCCACCATCGCATCCCTAGTGGCGATGCTTGCATAGAAACTCTTTCTCAGTTACGTTCACTGTCAGAACTGGAAACCACCAGATAAATTCCATCCTATATTCATGATTGTAGCATCAAACCAAACATGTTTATACAGACCGAGACCTTCTCATTCAATGTCCTCTATGAAGGCAACCCAAACGCTCCTCTCGTCATCCTATCCCACGCATTGATGGCAAATCTTCATCTCTGGGATTCAACAGTCCTCGCCCTTCATGTAGCCGGCTACAGCACAATCCGCTACGACCACGTCGGCCACGGATCCACCTCGCGCCCAACAGAAAACCAGATCGGAAAGCTCCACTTCGACGACTTTTGCCTCGATATTGAACGAATAATCTCCGCCGTCGCCCCCGAGAGAACACCATTCGCAATCATCGGGTGCAGCATGGGCGGCGTGCTTGCAATCCGCTATGCGATGCTCCACCCCGGACGCGTCAAAAAAGTGGTCAGCTGCGGTGCGCCAGGGATCAACAGCCTGGAGGAGTCGAAGCCAAAATGGGCAGAAAGAATTGATTTGTTCACGCGTGAGGGCGTCGCGCCCTTGGCGGAGTTGACGGTTGAGCGCTGGATTCCTGGGCCTTTCCCTGAAGGGGTGAGAGATGAGGCGTTGAAACAAACGCTAGAGTGTACTCTGGAAGGATATCGGGCTTGCGCGGATGCGATTGTGAATTATAAGTATAGAGATGAGCTGGGGAAGCTCCAGACGGAGGACGTTATGATTCTTGTTGGGGAGAAGGATAGCGCTATCGGACCGAAGGAATTGTCGGTAGAGCTTGCAAGTGAGATAAGGGGAGGAAGATTTATGGAGCTGAAGGATTGTGGGCATGTTCCTCCTCTGCATAGACGGAAGGAGTTCGAGAAGGTGATTGTGGACTTCTTTGGTAGTTGAAATCAGGAAGGTTCGCGTATGTAGTACGCAGAGATCGATGAATGATGAGTAGAGACTCAATCGACTAACAAGTATACGCACAATCGGGTACGGTTCTCCCCATCATATTCATATCAGTGGTTTTTCGAAAAGAATGCCCCCACCCTACCATGGTTCACATTTTAAGTTCTAGCTGAAGATATGATATTTCTACTCTACTATTAGTTAGAACACATTAGTATGCTTGTTTTAATAGCTTAGTGCCCTATTTTAACGTAATTCTGGTTTTTTAACATATATAATCAGTCATTCAACGCTATGCAGCTAATAAGAGGCGGTGAATATATCACACAATTGACAAAAACGGAAACCTGTACTGTGGTAGGGTGGGGGCATTCTTTTCGTAAACGATAATAATGCGAATGTTGTATATCAGTGAAAGAAGACATAAAAAAAATGAAGGACCACATTATACAGCCCAGGTCTTTCCGGTCGCTGCTGCTGGCATGATCCGCTGCTGGAGTTGACTGTAAGCAACAGTCAGATACATCGGGAGATAATGCTTGAATGATTAGAAACCTGAAACTGATGAGCTTTCAACCGTTTCACTATACTAGCCGCCCCTGCCCTGTCTCTATAGCCAGGCGTTAGCTTCGAGGCAGAGAATACAGGCCAAGAGATGAACTTCAAGGCATTGCTGAGTAAGTAGGTGTGTCTTGGGTTTGCGATGAAGATGCTAACGTTGAGGTAAGGTCCATCAAATTCGAAGTTAGTCGGATATTTCTTGCACAGCACAAGGCTCGGGGGTACTATACTCGGCAGCCTGATGTGCAATAATAAGACTGCTTTAATGCGCCGTTCGAACTTTGTCACAAGAACTACTCCACATTCTCGTTTCTTCTCAAATCATCACCCTTCCGCATCAGTTCCACCTTGTCCTCATCGTTCACTAACTTCTCCGCCAACACGTCCTCATCTTGTCTCCCCGCTTCCAATCCTGCACAATTCAACAGGAGCTCCCCAATAAGGCGTTCTGCATCCACTGTACTCCTGGTCAGCGCATGATCATCGCCCTCGAAAAGCTTCAGCACGCGATCCCCGTTCGGTCCATACTGCGTGTACAATCTTTCCGAGCAGGTAAGTTCAGTGTGCGATCTCCAGTCCCATGCAGCAAGAGCAGTGGCCTTGGTGCAAGCGATCGAATGCCATTATTTTCCGCAGTCTGGATCGCGACCGTGGCGCAGCCGACGACTCGTGGATCTTGTCCTCCTGCCGTGAAGACTGGGGCTCCACCGAAAAACCACCCTACAAGCGCGAATCTGCTAATTCTGTACTGCTCTTCCAATGCTGTATAGCAGCTAGCACATCTGCAAAGCAGTAGCGGTTGCGCGCTGGAAAGCGATAGTCAAGACGTAGAGCTGGGACAGGCCGTTTTAGTGAGGTAAATTTGTCCGCAAGAGAGAGATGGACGGAGAGTGGACCTACCACGCCTCCCCCTGCACCGCAGGGTAGGATCGCTACAGTGCTGGTTGGGGATGTGGTGGTGGAGGCGGGGAGATGCAGAAAGCCTGGCACGGCGCCATCGGGGCCACCTGCATCGACGATTTTATGGAGAGCGGTTGTTCGACGCAGAGCTTCGCGGCATGTGGTATCTATCAAGGGCTCCGACTCGGCAACAACACTAGTAAACCCTTCTCTGCAACAGCTCCCTCTATCACGGGGTTGTCTCTCCGCCAATCTCTTACACCCTCACACCTCAGGACTATGGAGCTAATTCTCAGCGCAGGCGCATATCCAACGGCTGGATCTAGAGAGGCAAACTACCGCATCAACTAGCTGCTCGCAGTATGTCTCTAGAGAACGGAAGGCTATGGGACTGACGTTGGGCGTTCACGTAGTTGTTAATGTGGGCGGGGTGTTTTCTTTTTTTCGCCGTCGTGGTGGCATAGGAAAAATTGATAGAAAAGTAGGCGATATGATGGCTGTTCTAGGATCGACACGCTAACTATGTTTGCTATCATGTCCTACTTTCCTTGAAACGGTGGCATCACTGTATGATCGGTACACATGAAGTAGGTATAAGGAAGTGCTACATGTGCTTTTCGAGTAGGTGTTAGTAAATGATGTAAATCACGTAGGAATTAACGTTAGGGAGAAACCAGCGTTCAAGCACGAAGTAACGGAAACAAACAGTGGATGCCGTCGATTCATCAATGCAATGTAATCTACACGAGTATTCCATCGGCTTGGTAGCCTCATACTGGCATCATCGCAGGCTGACCCGTATGTGCGGTAGCTGTATGCCATTATCCATCATAGCATCATGCAAGGGCATGCTTATTTGTTCAGCTCGTCAGCCCTCTTCTTGAGCTCCTCCTTGCTCGCGGGCTCGGGAAGGTTCTCGGCGTGGACGGGTCCCTACGGAACATTAGCACAGCTTGAGCTGTGGTCGAGCTAAGCATGACGTACGGGAGCAGCCTTGTGTGCGAGCGAGGATAGAGAGCCGCCAGAGGTCGCGCCGGTATCTTCCTGGTGGTTAGGATGAGAGGACGCGTTCGAGTCAGAGGACTCCTTGGCGACTTGGTCGGTGATGCCTGGAGGACGATTGTTAGCATCCTCCATCTTCATGTGAGCGCTCTCGAACACGGCATAGTGACCCGCGTCGGGTGCCAATAGAAGGAAGGTTGACGTACTGCCAGTGGCACGCTCTTCGGCGGGGTGGACAGGCATGTTTATTGTTGTTCTTGCTGTTCGGTATTTGGGGTAGCTAACGAAGACGGCTGTTGGTCCTCCTTGTCGTCAAGCTTTAAGCTATTAAACTGTTCTGTAGGTTCCTTATTGTCGACTTTGATCTGAGAGAAAACGTCGACTTTTTGGGCGTAGTAGTCTTTGATCAGGTTGATAGTAGTCTTGGTGGATGCTGGGGGTGACATGTTTATATGCGTCTCGCGCGGCTCAGAGGCTTAGCACGACGTCGTCGGTGACGTAGGTCATGTGGAGGTGTCTATTAGTGGGTGGTTGTTGCCCAGGCGCATGGGACGCACTAGGTAATTGCGGGGCAGATATCACGTGGATAAACATTCACCCACATCTCAGCAGCTGCGACTAGGCACCTGCCCATGTATAGTGATACTGCCTGGACTGACTAGAAAGAGTTTTTTGGGTGAGGTGTAAAATATTGGCTTCGTCCTAAATGATCGTCACGCGGCGCGGTTTCCATTTCACAACTACAAGTGTACCTGGTCATCGTACTATTCACGCTAGGCTCACACAGTACTCTCAAGTGACGGAGCTAGCTGTGTATGTCGATGTTTCGGAGGTTCATAATCTACGGTCAGGCCAGATTGGCTTTGGATACGACTGAGCATTTATAGGGGCTTCTACGAGGCACGAGAGCAGCAGATGTCTCAAAAAATAATATTGTCTCCAGTAATCAACTGCGAAGTACATCTCGTCAACAACAGTCGATGTAGGAAAGGTAGGATGGGTGCGGAAGGCCCATCCGTGGAAGCTACTACGAACAATACTCGTGCTAAGATGGGTCAAGTGGCGCGCGAAGCGAACAGAAGGAGCCTAGAGAGACATAATTCGAGTATCTAATAGTTATAGAATACAGGTTATTTGACTCTGCTTCTATGCGTCGACGTAACATCACGGATTATGAAGGACAGAACCGCTCCACGAACCCAGCTCCCTACTTATCATTTCCGGAGCATCTCTAGCCACTTGGATTTTAATTTTCTTGCTTCCTGGTCGCCATGATACTAGCAAAGCTCGTATTTGGAACCGCGGACGTATTTTTGCAGTCACACGGGTGAGATGCTGACGTTCAGACAGCGATTTTCGACTTCATACCTAGATTCGACTGACGTCTCTGCGAAAGTCAATGCAGCCGGGAAGTTTGGCTTCAGCAACCATTCGATTGATGCTAGGCAGACCAATGGAGATGGAGCGACAGCGGGGAAATCGAGGTTTCAACGGGACGGGATTGGCTAGTGCACGTGATCATCGCTCGAAGGCTTGGCGTCAGGCAAGCTCGCCGCGTGGAGCTGTTGCGCCTAAAGGTCCGACAACATCTCAAGCCCGCGAATACCAGCTCCACCTACTGCATCTCTCCGTCGGTCGCTGCCCGCTATATTCAGCCTTGAACATACTCCACCCTTGACGTACACATAATGGCCGACCGATACTCTTTTTCGCTCACCACCTTCTCGCCTAGGTAAACACCTCTCGTCCAGTCTGGGAAGGCTAGAGCTAACTGAAATCTAGTGGCAAGCTGGTGCAGATAGGTACGGCTCACACCAACCTGATTCCTATAGAACTTAGCAGCAGAGGAACACGTGGACTAACGGGGCTTTAGAGTATGCCTTAAATGCGGTCAACCAGGGTGTAACTTCTCTTGGAATCAAGGGTACGTTTGTGTCTATGCATTAGCCCCTACATACTAACGCTTTCCTCAGCTACAAACGGCATCGTTCTTGCAACCGAGAAGAAGTCGTCCTCGCCGCTCATCGATTCATCGTCGTCATCGAAAGTCAGCTTGATAACTCCCAATATCGGCATGGTCTACTCAGGCATGGGTCCGGATTATCGCGTGCTCGTCGACAAGGCGCGCAAAGTCTCACATACCGGCTACAAGCGCATCTACAACGAGTACCCACCGACGCGGATATTGGTCCAAGACGTGGCGCGTGTCATGCAGGAGGCGACGCAGTCTGGTGGTGTTAGGCCGTACGGAGTCAGCTTGCTGATTGCGGGTTGGGACGACGGAATCGAGCCGGAGAAGGAGGAGAAGCAGACTGAGGAGGAGGCAGACGTCGAGAAGAAGAAGATCAGCGGCAAGACCGGCGGCATTCTGAAGGGCGGACCTAGCCTGTATCAGGTAGACCCCAGCGGCAGCTACTTCCCATGGAAAGCGACGGCCATCGGCAAGAGCGCAACAAGCGCGAAGACTTTCCTCGAGAAGAGGTACACCGAAGGCTTGGAGTTGGAGGATGCTATCCACATTGCGCTGCTCACGCTGAAGGAAACCATAGAAGGCGAGATGAACGGCGACACTGTCGAGATCGGTATTGTTGGCCCGCCAGAGAACCGATTACTCGGCTTCGAGGGTGTGGAGGGAGCTCAAGGACCCCGCTTCAGGAAGCTGAGTCCGCAAGAGGTTGAGGATTACCTGACGAACTTGTAGAGCGCTGCAGGAGTTGGGGGTAGCATCTCGGGTGGATATGTAATGATAGACCGACTGCCGGCGCTCACGCAGGCTCGCTCTGGCATATGACGAACACGAAATAGATGGCATATACCATACATATTTACGTTCAGTGTTAATCGCCGTGAAGTAAATGCAGCTCGAATAGCAGGACCTGTCTTAATCAGGCTTAGTGCGGGATGCACCTCCCCTTGCTCTGAGGGTTTCACTGCTTTCTTTCCCTCCGACTCAACACGGATATGTGCCCACGAGACAAGTTCATGGAGCCCCCGAACGGTTCTGGCGATGTTGATGCATCTCTCGACTCCAATGTCGAGTTTCCTGGAATTCGACTTCGTGCCTACCAGGCTGAGATGCTGGAAGCGAGCCTACAAGCGAACATTATTGTAGCCTCGGATACAGGCAGCGGCAAAACGCATATGTTCGTGAGCCCACTATAGTTTTGATTTCTGTTCGTCTTTTCCCAAATAACACTTCATAGAGCGCTGGCACGGACAGCTGCGGAACTGGAAACCTGTGATCCCTCTAAGGTGTGCCCTTCCTTCACGGTGACTTGTGCGACTGGTGGACTGACATGAGCTAGCTCATTTGGTTTCTCGCACCTACTGTAACACTATGCGAACAACAGTTTAGCGTGTTCAGATCAAATCTCCCAGCATACGAAACGCAACTGCTTACCGGAAATGACGATGTCGACCACTGGACTGACCAGACTACCTGGGACGCTGTGCTGGCTAACGTTCGTATTGTTTTGTCGACGCATATGATCCTTCTCGATGCGCTCACTCATGGATTTGTTAAGATGAGCAAGTTAGCTCTGCTCATATTCGACGAAGGTTGGAACCCTTCGAGGATGATGCTGTACATGAGCTGACGCCTTCTAGCTCATCGTACGTTCTTCGACTTAAGCTGGCTGCGAAATTTCGGAGCGCTGATTCTATAGACTGCACCAAAAAGCACCCTGCGAACCTGATCATGGCAAATTTTTATTTACCGAAACTTCACGAGGATGTGGATCTACCCATGATACTTGGGCTCAGCGCAAGTCCGGTGATGAAAGCAAAAGCCAGTGACGAAGCGCTTGAGTGAGTAGTGAAGTGTTTGGGTTTAATGCTTCTGACTAGGACAGGGAGATCGAGAGAAATCTGAATGCGATCACCAAGACACCGAAGATTCATCGTGGGTTCTCTTAATCGAATTGACGAGACTGGTCGTCACGCTCATTTTTCGTTAGGTTCTGAACTGCTCCGCTTTGTGCACAAACCTCAACTCGTTCGGTTGGATTATTCGCCGGTAGTAAGAAGAGATTCGCCCTTGTACACGGCACTCAATTTACAACTAATGACATACGACATGCGCAGTGATCCATACCTGCTAGACTTAGTCCATAAACCTAGCAAGTCTCGCAACGTGACGATGAATTTTGAGGAGACTATCTTCAAGAAAAATACGTATTGTTACAAAGAGCTGAAGGCTCTCGTTGACAAATACGAGGCTACCGCGGCAGAGCTGGGGGCTACTGTAGCTGATTGGTGCCTGCAACAATGCATCGCCCAGCTGCACAAGCAGGTGAATCACAAGCCCCCACAACGTTGACAACACGTAATTTGACAGTGTGGTTAGATTCGCACTTCAGACCAACTGCTCGATTGGTCGCATGCGGAAATGGATCACCTCCGAAAAATCCTCGGTCGTCTGCCCTTGCCCAAGGACTACGCCTCTAGACCCTTGTCGCTTGACAATTTGTCGCCTAAGGTTCAACTTTTAGCTGATCTCCTTGCCTCAGAAGTCAATCCTAGCTTGACAGCTCTCGTTTTCGTAGAGCAAAGAGTCTGGGTAGCCGCTCTTGCCGAGCTCATCTCGATTCATCCGAAACTACGAGGCAAACTTAGTGTTGGAACTTTCGTTGGAAGTTCCATGTCTGTGAGAAGGAAGTCCGGCATAGCAACCATGATCGAGCCCAAGAATCAGCAGGACACTCTAGACAAGTTCAAGTCCGGAGACATGAACTTGATCATTGCTACTACTGTCTTGGAAGAAGGTATCGACGTATCAGCTTGTCATCTCGTTATCTGCTTTGAAAGCCCCAAAAACCTCAAGTCATTCGTACAACGTCGAGGGCGAGCGAGAAGAATACAGTCCAAATACATCATCTTCATGGCTGACGAGGGGAGCGACCGAACTCCGGCGAAATGGGAAAGACTGGAGAAAGAGATGAGGGACACATATGAGGACGATTCGCGTCGCATTAAAGAAGCTGAGGAGAGAGAAATGATTCACGAGGAAGGCGATCGATTCTACAGAGTCGCAAGTACAGAGTAAGTGTTGTTTGCACAGACTTCGCTTGTTTGCGCTACTAGAGCAAACTGACTCATGGATCTACAGTGCCTTACTTACGCTCGACAACGCTGTACCACATCTCCATCACTTTTGCGACCTGCTCGGTTCCGGTCCTTATTATGATCCTAGGCCACAGTTCACACTCAAAGACGACGGTGGCAATGTTGCAGCTGAAGTCACACTTCCGCTTGCAGTCGATCCTGCCTTAAGAGTAGCACGCAGCCTCAGATCCTGGAGAACAGAGCGCATGGCAGTGAAAGATGCAGCTTTTGAAGCGTACAAGATGCTCCATCAAAGTGGGTTGGTCAAGGACAGCCTTCTGCCAGTAAGAGAAGATAGGGATGCCCTAGCCGCAGAATCTGACAAGACTGCATCACTAATAGAGGTATCTCCTTCTTTCGATCCCTGGCTTCCGATTGCGAAACGTCAAGAGCAAGACCCGAATACATACCACCGCACCCTATTAGAGTTCCAGGGTATCCAAGAACAAGCCTTGTACATGACCTTTCATCTTCCCGTACAATTGCCCGCTCTGCCTGACCTCACGTTGTTCTGGAACGAATCCAAACGTATTACGGTCAAGAGCCACGGGCTACAAGAAGTCGAAGAATCCGATGAATCAATCAGACAAATGCGTGGTATCACTCGGAAAATTCTGGCTTCGGCACATGGTGTGCGCATCAACCAGATACGCACCGATTTTCTCTGGCTTCTGGTCCCTTGCCTCGGATTAAGCGCAAGACCACATGGGAGTGACTCCAGTCTCAGGAGTTGGGATGTCGAAACAAGTTTGGTCGAATCGGCATCGGAATTGATCAATCAGGGCAAGACTGACTTGAATCAATGGGGTCAAGTCGAGGTCCGAGGAGACGAACGAAAATGGATTCCAAAATTGATTGACGCATATGAATCTAAGCCTACCCTTCGCCTCACGCGGGTACCCAAACGACGCGACTTTCTTTATCCTGTACCGTTCAGTCAGCGTGGAAACGAGGCTTACACAAGCACAGAGAAGTTTCCTGCTTCCGAATGTGTTGTGGAGATGCTTCCTCTCGCCTATTCTGTCTGCGCAATGCTGATGCCAGCAATCCTATACCGCTTTGAGAAGTACCTGGCGACGAATTCACTACGTCAGGGACTTCTAGCCCCTCTGTCATTCCATGAGATTGACGATCTTCCTCTGATAGTCCAAGCGCTGACATCGTCAAGCACGGGAGATGTTGCGCATTATCAAAGGTGCGTTTGACCGAACGACAAGGCTTGCTCTAGCATTGGAGCTTGTTATCATGTATCTTCTGGAGGCGATTGCTTTCCATCTTCCTAGATCAATTGGTCGTCGGCTAATGAGAGCGAATTGTAGACTTGAGTTCTTCGGAGACTGCATTGTGAAGTTCATCACTTCTGTTCATCTTATGGCCAGTAATCCGAAATGGCCAGAAAGCTTCCTTACAGCAAAGAAAGGCAAGCTATCCCTGTTCCATTCGCAGCAGCACCTGCAGTATCTCCCAGCTTGTCCAACCTCGACGTCTCCTCTTAACATATATCTACTTTTCCAGTATGCGTCCATAATTTACTCATTCTGCTGACACCTTCGTACAGGCAAGATTGTGTCAAACATCTTTTTCGCCCGCGCAACTCTCTCCGCCGGCCTCGACAGATTTATCATCCGAAAACGCTTCACAGGCGCGAAGTGGCGACCCCGCTATGCGGCCGACGTCCTCTCCGCTCCTCCGACACAACATCATTCCACAATATCCTCCAAAACCCTCGCCGACGTAATAGAATCCCTCGTCGGCGCTTCCTACCTTATAGGCGGATTCCCCAAAGCCCTGAACTGCATGCAAACTCTCCTCCCCCTCGAACCATGGACGCCCCTCCCAGAAGCCAATGAAATCCTCTACAACGCCGTACCAGCCGACATAGACATCACCGGTCTCTCCACCCTGGAAAGTCTCGTCGGCTACACCTTCACCAAGAAAATGGCTCTCCTAGAAGCGCTTACCCATCCGTCCTACAAGGGCCCTTTGGCAAATTGCTCCTACGAGCGGCTGGAATTTCTCGGCGACGCAGTGCTGGACTACATCATTTCTCGACGTCTGTACTCCGAGGTCCCGGAGCTTGGACACGCGAAGATGCACAGCATACGCACCGCGATGGCGAATGCGGCGTTCTTGGCTTTTAGGATGTTCGAGACGAGGATAGCGGAGGATCGCACGATGCCGGATATGAGGAAGGAGGTGCATTACAGATGTCTGTGGCAGTTCTTGAGATCGGATGCGTCGGCGTTGGTTGTGGGGAGAAATGCTGCGATTGTACAGTATGATGCTGCGAAAGAGGCTATCAGGCATGCGCTACACCATGAAGGAGTATTCCCGTGGCATATCCTCGCTTTGACCGACAGTCCGAAGTTCCTCTCCGACATCGTGGAGTCGGTCATTGGGGCTATATATGTTGACTCGCACGGGGATATTGCTGCATGCGAGGTCCTTGTCCGGAAACTGGGGATTTTGGACTGCTTGGACAGGATTCTAAAACATGGCGTGGATTGCTTGCATCCCAAGGAAAGATTGGGTATTCTCGCTGTGGAGAAGGATATACAGTATTTTAGGGTCACGGCAGGGGAGGATGAGGTGGTGGGTGGCGCGAGGAGGAAGTATAAGTGTCAGGTCAGGGTTGGAGGGGTGGATGTGGGTGATGTGGTTGAGGGGGTAAAGAGGTTGAATGCGGAGACTGTAGCTGCATGGGAGGCTTGCAGGATTCTGGAGGCACGGAAGAATGAGGGGGTGGATGGGGATGTAGAGATGAAGGAGGTGATTGAAGATCCGAGTGAGGATGAGGAGTGGTTTGATGCGGAGGGCGGAGTTGAGTTGAGTGATGGATAGTCTTTAAAGACGTTGAGTACTTGCATCAGGCCATCTTGGCCCATTGAAGATCATCTTGCGGATCTTCGCCAGTGGAGTACTTGCATGCGACCATGCATTTCACTACCTGGCCGTGATGACTAATTTATCAAAGGCGGGCTCTCATCATACAATTCGCCAGCGACAGTTTCAATCCTCTGGTTCCGATCAAATGTATTATCAATATAGCGTTGACACTTAAGAGCAAGTGCCAACTGCTCTGGAGGAAAACTCTACAATTATTCCTACACTACGGTCCTCCAGAGCGACATGTTTGATGCGGAACATCAACGGGACATATATGGGATTACGAATTCATGGATATATACCAAGGCCGTGCGAAAACATGAAATACACCAGAGATGGATATGGCGTGCACACGACTGTGAATACGTGTAGTTCACTTCCCAATTTCCTTACCCCTGCCGGCCACTCCCGCTTCGAATTAAACGCGCTCCTAAACTCCTCCGTGTCAGCCGCAGACGCCGCGATCACGAGATTCAACCTCCAGAAGCATACCATAAGAACATATGGCTCCCCTGACGATCTCGCCAACGATCGAGAAACCGACCTCAAACTCACGAGCACCAGAACCGATAAGCACTACGAGGCCACGCTTGCGAGTATCAAAGCGGGGAAAGACGCATAAATTGGATAGCCGATTGCAGTATCACAGGATCATGCTCATGAGATGGCCAATGCGGCGAAAACGTCAGTAGGAAGGGTTGCCGTCGGTCAGCAGGGTCGGTGGGCGCCCCTGGTCCGCAAGCTGGAGCGGTTATGCAAGGTGAAGAGTAGTCAGTTCACCATGTATAGGGGTTGGACTTCTTTGCCGGGTGCGTATTTACGGAGAGGAAGATTGAGGTGAATTCTATGACAATGTTTCTAGTCACATTCTTTCTCAGCCCATCAGCAGCTCAAAGCATGGTGACCAGGTCGCATAGCTTCCCCAGACGCCACTCCAAACGCAATCCTCAATCACCAACTCCTCGAAACCACTCCCTTCCCGAGAACGCTTCATCTCGAATGGCGCATCGATCTCGAGAAAAAGGCCAATTAGGGCTCATATCGCTAAATCGTATGATTTTGGGGACTGGAACGGCGTACGCCAATACTATACCTGCTATCAAAGCTCATGGGTACTAAACTAGTAAAGTAGAGAAAGTGTAGTGGGCTTGGATTGAGGAGCAAAAGGAAGTCAGTGTTCGAGTGAGGTCGGTGGGGAGAAAGCTGTTTGCATTTGCTGATGCGGTCGAGGAGGGTGGGTTGGGCTTGAGAATGCGGCGAAGAGGGCGAGGCAATTAGAAGGGTGGCTTGTTGGAGCTGGGGTTTGATTGCAATCTTCTAATGTTTGAATGCAAGAGCTCGACTCGAGACTTTTTTCCGACCAGGTATTGGTTCTAGAATGAGTCGATCGCTGATTTCGTCCTTCATGGTTGAGTAATATGCTGAGCGCACAGTAACTGTGTGAGCTCCATCTTCAACCTTCTGCCTCTGCTCAGTCTGTTGAACTGCTGTTTAGAACAACGTCTGACGAATTTAGGGTAACTCGCATGAGCCCTCTCTACGTTGAATCTGCTTCGTTGATTCTACTCAAAGGGCGACCAGGCCCTTTATATAGGCCTGATCGCTTGCTAGTTAATACTTTGTCTATGTTTCACTTGAACCCATCATCTGATGTGTGTCAAGCTGATTGCCTGTCCAACACTCTAATCATGAATGCATACAGTGCATGGCGGGCGGCATAACGGGCATGAAAATGATACAAATACGCACCGCAAATTGCCGTAGTTTCGTTGAGACATTGCTGTCCACCATTACGAATTTCAGATATCATTATTCCATGGTCTTATGTGAAGCGATGTCTAGCTATTTGGCACACACAGCGATGCAACAATTATCTACCTCACAAATTCTCTCTCTCTCTCAACACCATAGTCCCTCGAAATTCCAAGCCCAGGCGCATATAGATAGGGGGCCTTTGACGGGGGCAAATCATTCGAGGATCTTCAGGTATTGAGTTTGCTATGTAATTCGCAGTATTACTATCGACGTATAATTGGCTATTCATTGTTACCCCTATGCTAGCTACAACTCGATATACTTCCCCTGTCCAAGGATAATTTCTGCGTAGTGTGGTTTAAAACCTGATCGTCGTTCCGGGACAGTCTCCACGTAATCTCCAGCTCCTTCGGTCCTACCTGGCATGGCCACACGTAACAACAGCGACGCACGCGCCCGACCCACTGAGACGCACCATACGATGCATTTGCTTGAGTACCGAAGCAAGCGAGACTGTCCACGGCACATCCCGTTGTGTAAAACCCAAGCCCACCCTCGAGCCCCGTAATACTTCGAGGTGGCGATGAGGTGGCGGACTCTCTTGGCCCGCTCCACCCCGAAACGTTGATAATGACTATACGTCCCAAGGATGTTATACTATGTAAAAGAACGGGAAATACCGGGACGATCTGAAAGGGTGTACACAGTAAGGAGTTCCACATTGTCCCCTGTATGATTCACGTGAAGCAACAATAGCCAGTGTCGTCGTTGCAAGTGGAGCTGTCATTTTCGGCACTCTACCTTCGGGGCACCCGAGGTTTTTGAGTTACGCGTGGAATCAAAAAGTGGTCAAGCGCCGAAGAACTATGCCTCATTTGCTCACCATCCATTCCAATTTTCTACTTACACGTGACTAAAGTACCTTAGGTGCCCCGAAGATAATAAGGCAGTAGACGCACAACATACCGGAGGATCCTCCGCGAAGCTCGCGGTGCGACTTCGACGCCGTCCGTTCTCTGAAAGAACATGATGAAGCACACCGGAGCGCAGTCCGAAGTATTCTCCGCCTCCATTCTTCCTCCCGAAGCACTACTGTGTACGACATCTGCAAAACATAACAGGGTCTTCCCACTGCCACACGTGGGAAACTTTCCCATCACAATGCGTAATTCCCAGCAAACCTTGTTTCATCCCGTTCGGGCCGCGCACTTGGCCCATACTCTCCCGAGGTTTGGCCCTCTCCACTCCACACATCGGCCCGTCCACGTGCGCGCGACAAAGCGCGAACTTTCTTTCGTCTTCACGTAATACGCAACACTGACGACAAGGGTACGTGCAGCGAGTGGAGTGGAGTTTCACCGGACAGTGCGGGAAGCACCGTATGAGGGATCCACTGTGTCTGAGTGGCGCGACATAACCTCCGATAGGAAGGTAGAAAGGCAAAAAAGCAAGAGATCGACCTTGGAATACTTTTTCGCGTGGTGATGGCTACATGTGGACGTGGGTACGTCTTAAAAAAGCAAAAGCGGGCCTCGATCATGTGAAATAAGATAATAAAACCGCACGTATTACACACCGGGTAAACAAAATGTAAGACTACGACACCATTGTCAGCACCTGGCGGGAGGCTCTTCCAGGTGTTGGTATAAAGTTCCAACCAGCTCGTACTAGAACAAGCGAACCCCACCCGCAACGATAGCGCACTTCATGCGCGCCATGAGTCGTTTCAAACGTTGTTTAGACTTTGACAGGTCAGGAATGGCTACTACAGATCGCAAAACGCCTACAGCAGTTTGGAATACGGGTTGACCGGGGTGTCTTGAGTAAGGTGCGATTCTGCATTGATCGCTGCGAGTAGCTGCATTGAGGATTCGTACTTCGGACATTCCCCTCCTGTTGAAGGTACGGTTTCTCAGCTGCCGAGAATAGCCATTCTCTGTTTAAAAATTTCTGATAGGTCAGGCGTCGTCTGATGTGCTTGTTCGAGGCTCGCCTGCAGACGAGCAGATGAAGACGTCCAAAGCCAAGGGGCCGTCGTGATACAGCCACAGTTATAGTCCACAGAAATGAGGACATTCGTAGAAACACCAAGTAAAAATGGAGTTGGGTAACACCAAGCAATTCAAAAACTCCAATATGCAATCCCAATACTGCGCAAAACTAAAGCGTGGTCCGAACCTGGGATGATCCGCATTAGCCTCAATCAACGGGTGCGTGCTTGAACAGGAAAGATACACTCTCGCCGTTGTGCGTACGCCTGCACGCTTCCGCAAGCTATCAGATGTCAGCGATGGTCCGAGGTAAATCGACCGGTGCTACTTACAGTTGGACTAATATCGATCGTCTCAATGCGATCGCAGAGCTCCTTCTTCTCCTCGTGGGGAACCGTATTGGTAACGACGATCTTCTTTAACTTGCTTCCGTTGAGCGCGTTAATAGCGTTTCCGCTAAGAATACCGTGCGTGACGATAGCAATGACATCCTTAGCACCATGCTGGATGACAACGTCCGCGGCTTTCGCCAGCGTTCCGCAGGTGTCGGCCATATCGTCGACAATAATCGCAGTACGATCGCTAACGTCTCCGACAAGGACCATCTTGGAGACTTCGTTCGGTCGCGCACGTTCCTTGTGGATTAGAGCAAATGGAAGATCAAGGCCGTCTGCTATCGATGTTGCCCTGTCTATACGTTAGCACGCATCAGACTTTGGTACCTCTGAAACGCTAGCAGCCCTTGCTTGGCTTGGCAAACACCAGGCTATGCAGTGGCGAAGATCGCGGCTTTCCGCATGATCTTGAAATTGGGGCTGAAAGCGAGAAAGCGACCGTAGCGTGCAGGAAAAGAGCCGTACCTTTTCGCACCGCCAGCATCCGGACTGACGATGATACACTCCTTGACGTTCAGATTGTCCTTGATCCACCTGAGAGTACTAGGCTCCGCATATAGATTGTCCACCGGAACGTTGAAGAAGCCTTGGATCTGACTAGCGTGCAGATCCATCGTGATGACATGGTTACAGCCGGCCGTTTGCAACATATTCGCCATGAGCTTCGCCGTGATGGGCGCTCGCGACTTGTCCTTCTTATCCTGTCGCGCATATGGAAAGTTGGGTAGCACGGCGGTGATGCGGCGTGCAGAGGCCGTCTTGCATGCATTGATCATGATGAGGAGCTCCATCAGAGCATCGTTGATATCACCCGGAGGCGTCGATTGTATGATGAAGACTGGGCGATCCAATTAGCGCCCGTCTCGGCCAACGTTCTGATATGGAGTCGGAGTATTGCTAATGAAACTTGGGGAAGGTGCGGCTGCACACATACCATCTTCGTCTCTCACGGATTCGCCGATGGTCACAGACGTCTCCTGGTTCGAATATTGGAGTACCAAAATCTTGGTGAGCTCAATTCCAAGTCTGCGAACTCGTCAGCAGTCATATCGAAGGTGCAACAATCCCTGCTCAGTCTCTGTGGCCAGCGGGGTAAACAAGGATAGTTCGAGCTGAAGCGGTGATTCGACAGAGTCCGGCGTGCAATCAAAGCTACCACGGTGGGGGATATGCGGCATTATTCGAGCGCGTTGACTGGTTGAAGCATCCGCTGCGGAGGAGTGTTTGAGGTGCAGCAGCGGGCCTACGTACCTGCTGGCCACAAGATTTGCAAGCTGAGGATGGCTATTGCCGGTCAGCAATTTGATGCTATTGGTGGCCATGGTTGTGTGCGAAGTGTGGTGTATTGACTGCGTTGTTCGTTGTTCACATGGTGAAAGCTGAAAGTATCGTCGGACCCAAAAATTTGGCGGAGGTAGGCGTCCCCGCAATCGCAATCGGAGCTCGGCGGATACTTGTTCCTAGCGCACGGCACCAGCCACAGTGAACGCCACACGGCAGGAGAGCGTGCTGTGAAACAACGTCCCTTGCACCACAGCTGGGCTATCGTATACGTGCCGCTTCGGCGCTCTCCTTGATAAGGTGCAGTGCCCCCTTAGAGCACGTCTTGTCCGTACTGGATTTTGAGCCGCCAGAGGGATCACTGCCGCATCCTTCACTGCTTTGTAAATGATTTGAAGCTTGGAATCCCGCAATGATGATCTCACTTGCCCGTGCCGTTGTGAAGGAGTGCGCCCTGCCAGGATGCCTGTCGGCGAACGCGCCGGGAACACTCCCACGAAACACTCGAGACGGATACTAGCGCCATCGCCAGCCTTCTAGTCGCGCCTATTCCCTCTTCTGCTATTGTGCCGCCATCGTCGTTTCCAGACGTGCCGCTCCATCGCCACAATGGACGCCTTCTGTCAGGCCGTAGACTTGGGCCGCGACAACCTCCGAGGCCGTCGTAGGACTGAAAGTCACCAATCTATTGACGGTGTCTTGCGACGTCTCAACTGCAAGTCATCCTCGGACAGTGCAGCATAATGATGTCGGGCAATGTGCTCACAGAGCGAACCCCGCAGAGTGATGTGCACTTCATCGGAATAATAACAAGCTTGAAGCACGTTCGTTTGCAGTAAACTCACAGATCCCTGCGGGTCCGGACATCTTTGAATTTCTGATACGCTAAAACTGCATGCTACCTACCTCGCCAGGCTGCAAAGTGGAAGCTTCTGAAACGGCGCCATGGCCAAGTTGTACTCCTGTCTTCGCCAAAGAAAAATCCCGTAAGCCCCTCTGACTCCTGAGCAGACGCATGTAGTGAAATGTTTCGAAGTGAATGCTGCTCGCGGGTATCCGGTGCAATAATACAAAAGCAAACAACGCTTAGCGCAGGGTAAACCGTGGGTTGAGTAAGGAAACGACAAAGAATGTAAAGGCTTCAAACGCGGAATGAGGTGCGACCGTGATAGATACATGGGAGAAGAGAATATAAGTCGGCCGTGACGACATACCACTATGCGAAAAGAAAGGAAGAAATTAATGCTGGTAAATATGACTAGCCGTCAAGGATTAGAGGCGTGAAGTAATGCCGTGAGATTCGTGTTCGTTGAGATTTTGGGAACGCGCGGATATTCAGGTCGTAAAGCGTCTCAGGCTCAGTAAGCTTGTTCGCACATTTTGCCGATGGCATGCTCGATATCGGAGAAAAGATTGAGGACATGACCGTCCGCGTAGATTTTGATCGACTCGACCTCTTTGCGCTCGTTGCGCAAGGGACTTTCCACTTTGACCGGACTCCTCGGTGGCGTCGTTTCAGAGCTGTCGTGTAGTGCAGCCGGGTTTAGGACTAGGGCTGCAGCCACGTGCTCCAGAAGCTTTTGACGAAGCCGCAATCGTCGATTCTCTGCTTGCTCTAGCTTGAGAATGAACTCATCGATGGAAACATCTAGCTCAGCCAGTGCCTCCTCCTGCTTGAGCAACGACTCGCGCGAGAAGATGACCGTGTTTCCTCTCTTGAGATAGGAGATCATGCGACTGTGTAATTTTTGGCGACCTGCACGCAAAGACTTGTAGGTCTTGCGCAGGTAATCACAACGCTCATCAAGAGCTCTCAGCTCCTATGAAACAGGGTTAGCAATGCATATCGATGTGTTCAGACAGATGAGCGCGTACCCTGGACATGGAAGCAACGTCACGCTTGTTCATGACTTCGAACTTCTCGGCTTGTGCGGATGCCTGCTTGTACAAAGTCTCCTTCTCCGCATCGTGCATGCGACGTGAAGCGTCGGCGACTCGCATACCCTTGGGCAGTTGCCAGTTATCGGGTGCAGGCTCGTCGTTTGCCTCTGAGGTCGTACGGCTTCGTGACCTCTTACTAGCTCTTCGGACAGGTCGACCACGGTCCATTACCGACGACTCGGATAGGTTCCTGTTGTGCGAGCTGTGCGCGGCGATGGGGTCGCGCCTTTCGATCTTGGGTGATGCTCGATGGTCCAAGGCGCTGGATGGAGAAGCAGCACTGAATGGGTTCGAGATTGCTGATAGAGGCGTAGGCAGTGGGCCGTTCACGTTGGGTGATCGTCGGTTCTCGAGGGCACTCATGGGGGTCATGCCGGCGGAAGTGGCTGTAGCAGGGGTTGTGAGTTGCGATCGACTCGACTTCGTGTTGAGCTTGAGGGGGCTGGGTGAACCCTTGCGTTCTGTTGCTGGTGACTTGGGAGGAACCTGCGGAGGAAATTCCACATCCTCCTGGATAACATCTGTATCTACCTTCAAAGCCGGCTTCGAGGTGATGCCTGGACTGAGGATGGGTGACAGTGGCTTTCCGTAAGTGGCGGGTGCGTCCAAGCGGTTAGGCTGTTCCGGTGTGGAAAGAGCGAAGGATGGCTGCTCTTCCAGTGCTGGGGAAGGTCCCGTGACGCAAGACATCAGGGCATCGCCGAACGGGCCAGCTCGCCAGTTTGTACCTGGAGCGCTGCTGGATCTTTCATGGCCGAAGACCTCTGTTGATGCCTTGCGTAGGGGTGGTCGTCCCGGGATGGTGGCTGTTTCGTGTCAACACAGAAGGCAAGCGGCAACTGGCAGGGTCGTCCTTACGCGAGTCTATAGGCATTTCCTGGACGGTTGTCATAGTACTGCCCAGCTCGGGCACGCTGACCTTTCGTCTTCTAGCTAGAGAACCGCTTCGCTGCCAAAAGGGGACAGTTTCTTGGGATACAACGGTGTCGCTGAGCGACGAAGAAGAGCGGGCAACGGACAAAGCAGAAAGCTTGTCAGATGCAAAGATGGGCCGTGACTGGACGGCTGGGCTTTTGGAGGGCCAGAGCTGATATCTGGACGAGGTGCTGCTCTGTGATTGTGGGCTAACAAGGGACGGGCTCTTTTCCAGCAGAGGAGCAGAGTCCGCCGAGTTGGGGTCGGCCTGAAGGTTCCTCAGTGACTTTGAGCGACGAGGCAGATGGTAATTCATTGGCAAGGAAGCAGTGATTCTGGAGGGCACTTACGGGCGACAGGAAGGAGGTTTCCATGGTTATATAAACGGGCGAGGATGGACCGGCAGCAGGTCGCATGCAATTGGCAATGTGTGTCATGGCGGATGTTTGAAGTGGCCGTGGGCCAGTTCTTAGGAGCAAGGTAGGTGAGACTCGGAGGCGGGCATGTCAAACATAAGAGACCCTGCAGTGGGGTCGTGTAAATAGGCAGGGCTTTGGGTTCAGTGTGGCTCGCTCAAACTACGATTGCTACCTGCACGAGCGAGGAGCTCCCTGGTGGGCAGAGGTACCAATGGCGAGCGAGCGTCGCCTAGGCTCTCGGGGCCGTGTCCAAAGATTGACGCGCTTGGGGTGAAACACGGGCCTGACTGCCCACGTCTGGCGATTCGTGGGGAACCTGCAGGCACCGCAGGGAGCAGAGTGCCGCGATGCACCGTGGTTGCAGCATGCCCTGTCTATAATTGGACCTGGTATGGAGACGGGCAGCCGGCGAGGCAACGGGCGCGCGCGCTGGGGACGGCCGTCCAGAGGCTGCATCTGCGGAGCAGCCCCAGTGCGACGAGGTGCACATGACGGGCGGACGCAAACCTGCCCTCTGACCGGCGCTGGCAGGTCTGAGGGGCGCTGGAGATAGACAGTAGGGCCATGGGCAGCGCGACCATGGGCGGCGGCGCGAACCCGCAAAGGGTGCAGAGGCCGCTCGCACGGGGAGGGCGGCATCGTGGCTGACGAGATGAAGGTTCAGGCTCGGGTTCAGGCAGACGTCGCAGGCGTCGAGCCGCTCAACGGCGCATCCAGACGCTCACGACGCTGGTGCCGGCGTTCGCATCCTCTCACGGGCGGCGGACAGGCGGCTGCTGGACGTGTTGCGCCCGTGGCAGGCTGGCAGCCCGGCGGGAGGCTGGTCCATGTCGCCCACGCGAGCCTCGGGGCCCTGCCCAATCAGCGCCGCCTCGCCTGGGGACGGGACGGACTCGCAGGGGCCCGGTGGCGGCCAAACAGCAGAAGTTTCTAGGGGACAAGACTGCTGTTTCTAGTCCTGCTCGTGGCATGCATCGTCACCCGCTGCCGTGGTACCTTTGGCGCAATACACAGTAGTGTCTAGTCTCGTCGTCTACCTGTGTCGCAATAGTGCCGTCGGCCGTGGCGCCCTGCTCCTCGCCGTGCCCTCGCTTGCACACACCTGAGGCACCATCGCAATCTCCTCGCCTCGACCGTTGCTCTGCGCCTGCCCGTCGACCACTTCTTATGACCACGATGCCACACATTAAGACCGGGGTTCGAGCCTTCGCAAACCTACAGAAACGGCACCTAGCGCCCGAAGCGTCTAGTGCCGCTGAGCAGCCTCAATCTCCAGCAACCTTTGTCACACGCGCGAACCACGGCGCCACCTTTCCAATTTAAAAAAGACACTGGACCCGCCGCCGCCCGGCTTCGCTGTCACGGCATGGCATCGAACAAGACTCGCCAAGCTTCACTCCTCGTCCGCTGGTTCACCTCGACCCGTCTGGGCGTGCCCCGACTCCGCTTCATCGCCTTGCTCCATTTGGTGCCATCCTTTACGTGAGAGACCTGCAGCCTTGGTTGCCCATGCAGCTAACGTTATCTCCATCACACTGCACTTGTTTGCCGTGGCCAACGGTCCGCCGATCGACCCTCCCGTTGCGCTCTGGGGAGCGCCCTTTCGTTCAGCACCACGTGCAGACTGCCACCGTGCGAACAGAACGTCTCACCATGTGGCTGACCATTTATTTTGGGGACGCCATGGTCAGAGCACATTTCCTTCCAAGCGAGCTTGTGGCCCTTGCTACCCCGGACCGACCAGAAGATGCCATTGATAACCCGCTGCCCGCTCTCCACCGAAACTTGTCTCTGGCGTTTTGGTCTCTGCTCACTTGAGATACGTCGTACATCCCAATACCCCCAGTTCTTTTGCTCGGATTGTCGGCAGCCAGCCCGGTGACGATGCAAGTTCAACATCCATCGCACGCCAAGCCTGCGATATGACAAGCTTTCGATAAACACAGCTGCGGTTCTGGGCTCGTGCACAGACTACTGGTAACTGATTCACGCCGCAAGGTTAATCACGCACGATCGGCATTCTACATGCTTCAATGAACTTGTTGCCGGCATACCGATGCTCTTATCATCACTTCTCACATGGTCGTCGTCCACCATCTCAATTTCGAAGCGTCGATATAATATTGACGTGTGAAAAGCAATCTCAGTCTCCGTTGAGCGTTGCATGCATACATCACACTGTGCATCTGCGGCAGGGATCCTTCGTGGCTGGCACTGATACGGAACATACCCCACAAAAAAACGTACGTTTTTCATCGGTCTCACGTACGGGTAAAGGATGTGACGAGCGCTCCAGCGGTGCATTTAGAAACACATGCCCACTAACAATTCTTTTCTCCTCCACCAGATCTGCTGGCTAGGAACAGATTCGGCGTCGCTCGCAGCTTTCGAGTCAGTCTCTGCTCACATGCATTCCTTTCGGAGATTCGCTTCATGCCGTCTTCGCCATAATGCATCATGATTTTCAGGAACGCTCCTCGCGAACCGTCCCGGCGAGGGTGCTGCGAAAGCCACCCGGATCCTCACCTTGGCGTTTGGGCCTGTCCGAGCCAGGGTACGATGAGCTTCGGATACTCTCCCCGATCATTCCCAGCCCTTCCATTAAGGACTACATATCCAGCTGTGGGATTGCTTGACATGTCACGTACTCAATCTGCTCCTGCATGCATCCGCACCCAATTACTGTCCATCAAAGAAAGTGATGAATGCAGCAGGCTACTGGCACGAACAATGCGTTGCAATAGAGGATTCCTTCACGGCCGTGATCGCAAAGAAGAAAAACCATATTTGTCACATAGCATCAGTGCACCCGCTTGTTGAATTCATAGAGCGCATTTGGTCACATCTAAGCGAGCTCCTTCACTTTCACTCATACAATGTCAGCGCCCATTTGCGGACGGAAACATCTGGTCGGGCGGACTAGAACGGTTAAAGATCCTGAAAGTCAAACTGAATGTCGAGTATAATATCGCTGTTAAGCATCCGTCATTCATCTTAACTACTCGACCAGGCCGACCCTGTCTGTCATATTCTCCCCCACCTTGCGAAACACGAAACGAGACGACGCCTGGTCCTTGGCAGCAGAAACCTGTGATGGTCACGTTACTTGAAGCTTCCTGCTACTATCAAGCTACCTTCATCAGTCACTTCAAGTTTGATGGGTCAGACATTGGTCGCTTCATACGGCTCGTGGCGATGGGCAAGATTTTCGCTCTCACGCCATCTGCCGTCACTGTCTCAATGCACGCGACTGAAGTCTTGCCACCGTCATGGTATAGGAAGGATGCATAGATTGACACGATCAACACCGTCTGTAACTGCGGCTGCATTCATGCTGCTAACGTGAATGTACAGATCTGCGTTGTAACGCCACTTGTCTACGCGTCTTGGAAAATGGTAGATGAGTGCTGCAGCATGAGGCGATATCTGCCCTACGTTCGTTGCAACAATGTTTTCTCTGTTACTGGACGGATCATGGTGGTTTCCACCGCTACACATAGTGCGCTGTGCTATAACTCGTCACTGTCTTCAGAAGTGTGCCCTTCCTCAGCCTGAACACATGTTGCAGCAGAGTCCCTGATCCCGAACACCTTTCTTTCCAGCAAATCTATCCATTGCTCTCTTCAAGTCAATCGCTGTAACATGTTTAAGGCACGCTCATGACAGCCGCTGCACGAAGTCGCAGTCTCTCTCATCAGCCGAACCTTGATCGGTGAGCAGGCGGCGACCCGTGCCGCCTTACACAGCATCGACCGTCAGCACCTTGTTTGGACCCTCGGTGACCCCGAGAAATCCCCTTCTTCTCATTTTTCTTACTTCCCTTGTTGTCGTACATACAACGCCGTCGCATTTCTCTTCAACCTCGCGCTTTTGATTCGTTACCAGTTTGGGACCATGATCCCCTCCCCTTGACGACCTTATGCGTCCGATTTAACAGATCAGCCGTGGACCCTTAAAGGCCAGAGCCTACGAATCGGCAGCGCAGTGCATTACTGCTATCGATAAGCTCGTGTAGACGTACAGCGACTTCCAACACTGTCCGCCCGAGGATAGTCCAACCAAGCTTTGCACACCAAAAGCATTTGAGTCTGATTCAAGAATGGCATCTCCAGCCACCACCTTCGTCCCGGCATATCCGCGTCCCTACCACAACTGGACACAGTACGGCTAAAAGCCTACCACACCTCACTCACCGCTCATACGCATCTGCAATGCTCGTCTGCGTCTAGCCTCGAAAACCTCAACCCGGCCGCGGGAGGCGAGAGTGGATACATGTCGCAATCCCGCTGGTTGTACCACGCAGCCTAAACAATTCTCCGGCGCAGCGTCGTCCGTGTCGCAAACCGCATCGCGGTTTCTACTGCATCTGCTATGCTGCGGCTCTTGTACATGCCGGCCGCACATGACCTTCCTACATTGCAGCGCAGCGCAGTGCAGTAGCACCATCTGCAACGGCCGAGCCTGAATCTACATACCTTACGAACCTGATATGGACTGGAATGTGGAGACGGCGTGGCCCTGCAGCAACGCAAGTCTGCCGACTATTGACCAGCCATCCCGGGTAGGTGGAAACCAAACGCATGTCTGGTCGACCTACGCATATATGTTACATGAGGTATGCTTTCTGCAGCGAGGATTCCCCGCAAAGATGCACGGAGAGGATAGGCTGGGTGTAATATGGTGATCTGGGTAATAACGGCGACCAAAAATCCGGTCGACACCACAGATGCTTAATGGAGCTGAGTTAATTTTCCCGGTGGTGTAGTTGGGAATGCGGGGTGCGCTTGCACTGGGTGCTGGCACTGGGCGAGAGGCGAACACGAGGTTGTCAACCCTTGGAAAAAAAACGCGGTATGGCTCTCTAAACGCAACTAAGGTAAGGGGTGCAGTAGTCCCTCTCTTCACGCCTTGATAAGCCGCGGTCAGATAGCCATGCTCGTCTCACTGCTACCCTGGTGGCGTCCTTTTGAGACTATGTTGGGGAGCACGACCGGGGTGTATACTACATGTGTACAAGTAGATTTGGGTTTTCTAACCGTGCAACTGGTACATTTATAGTACAAACGTATGATACATACAGTGGTCTACAACTCTAGAAGAACGTCTTCGCTCGGTACCGCCCTTTTCGGTGACCCCACCATCCAGAAGGAGTACGAGCTCCGCTTCGCAACCTTCGCACCTACCGGACATGGCGGCGTGTAGCGAAACCATGCACACTAGATGGCGCAGGAGTCGGTGCGAAACGAAAAGGTGCGTCTGGATTTGGAAAATCATTTCGTCTTCGCGTGCTTTTAGGTTTGAGATGGGTAAGTCTTTTACCGCAGCTCCACGCCCAGTTTGTCGACGAGCTCCCCACGGAAGCGCTCATGCAGCTCGTTGGCCTCCTCGTTGGTGAGCGTGCGCTCCAGGTGGCGGTAGTTGACGCGGTAGCACACGCTACGGCGCCCGGTTTTGGGATGCACGAATTCATCCGTCAGGCGGACGTCCTCGACGACGTCGCCGCAGACCTCGCGCGCGATCTCCATGACGTCGTTTTCGTGGAATCCAGATGTAGATGTGGATGCGCTTGGGGCGGCGCCGCCGCCAGCGCTGCTCGACGTGCGCAGCCAGAAGGACACGTCCTTGAAGCAGGCGGGGTACTTGCTGAAGGGGACGAACCGCTGGGGCGGCTCGGCCGCCTTGAATTGCGACAGGAAGCGGGTGTCCTGGCTCCAGAACAGGCGGATGTCTGGGATGCCGTACAGCAACATGGCGATGCGCTCGAGACCGAGGCCAAACGCCCAGCCCACACGGTGCGAGACGCCCGCGTTGTTTAGGATGGACTGCTGCACGATGCCGGACCCAAGCACCTCGAGCCAGTCGCCCTGCCAGAAGACCTCGAGCTCCCAGGACGGCGAGGTGAAAGGGAAGTAGGCTTCCACCCAGCGGACCTTCAGGGGCTCTTCTGCAGAGCCTGCATCTGTGGAGGCGGACCTCGCTGCATTGAATATTGCGACGACGACGTCCTCGAGGGAGCGTTTGAGATGCGCGGCTATGGCCTCTGTTTCGTCGGCGGAGTGGCCGTCCTGCAGCGGGTTGCGTTCAGGATGGATGGTAAGATTCGGGTCAGAGACTTCGACGGTGTGTTTAGGGATTTTCTCCACGTTCTCCCAGATGACTTGGGCGAGCGTCTTGCCCTGCTTCTCGGCGAGCCGCCGATCCCACGTCCGCGCGCCCTCCATCTGGTGGAACACAGGGTAGTGACTACGATCGATAGCATCCCTCCTGTACACGTCCGCGCTGATCAGGAATCCATCTGCTTCATCTTTCCGAAAGGTATCGGCCTGGTGCGCGGAGGTGTGTGTCCGGAGCACCGTCTTCTCATTCAGGTAATACGTGTCTGTCCTAGAGCGGCCTACATGGTCCGGGGGAAAGCCCAAAGAATCAAAGTTCTGGTGGGTAGTGACGATGGGGAAGAGTGAGTTGTGTGTTTTGTAGCCTGGAAAGCGGGATTCGATGAGTTGGCGGGTGATGGTCAGGGGATGGTCGGGTTGGGTGTGGAGGCGGCGGGGAATGGCGGAGAGGATTGTCGAGGGAGTGTTCATCCATGAGTCGGTTGAGTAGGTTTTTCCTTCGACGGTGATTTCCTTCTGAGAAGTGCCTGGACATACTTAATAAACAATAGAAATACGGAAACGTGCAGATAGCAGTAGGCTGAAAGAACAAGGTAGAGATTGGACTTCAGTAGATATTGACGTGAGGACAGGGAAAAGTCTATGCTCAGGTAGAGGTTTGCATAGGAACATCATCAAATCTGGAAGAAAGAATACCGACAATCGATACTGCAAGGTATTGCTCTTGGGGATGTAATCGAGGAAGGAAAAGTCACATGACATGCATGTCCTTACCTGAAGAATTACATCTCACTTGACACGACCGCACCCACGGCGACCAATGTGACCTCACTGCCCCTATCCTAGCTCTTGCTCCCAATTGACGGCATAACGCCGTGGACAATGGTGGTATCCGCATGTTTGATGGATATCCAGGGCTATCGTACAATGGCGTCTCCTTCCCGACGCGTCTCCAGAAACGCACGCGACGCCAAGCTTTCGGGGCCAAAATCTGAGCCGATCTCAAGCTCCGATTTTCCAATGACGTCCCACCGTCTCGTAAGCTACCATCCAAGGTTCCTATTCCCGCCATAACCCCCCGCGCCTCTATTAGAAGCCTTTGGCAGCGCGCAAAGCGAATTGGCAGGCTACATGCAGCTTCAGTGTAGAACGAAAAGGGCAAGGGAATTATGCCGGCTCTTGAGAAGCAGGTGAGCGCGGAGGAAGTGCGGAAGAGTCAGGATGTGAAGAAGAAGCCGATTCACTATCCGTTTTGGTTTGGAGGGAGTGCGAGTTGCTTTTCGGCGTGTTTCACGCATCCGCTAGATTTAGGTGAGCTTCGATTTCTCATTCGGTGTAGAACCGCAACTGACAATTCGGCAGTGAAGGTAGATCTGCGTGTATACTAGCATCCTGATTATGCGCTCACGCTGCTGCAGGTCAGATTACAGATGCAAGGAACCCAAGGCCCGCGGCTGAACATGCTGCAAATGTTCGGCCATGTCGCAAAGACAGACGGCATCATGGGCTTGTATCGAGGAGTATGCGTCCGCCTTCGTATATCCTGCCCTCAGCTAACAGTCGCATAGCTATCAGCCGCGCAACTCCGCCAGTTGACCTACAGCATGACACGCTTCGGCGTCTACGAAGCCCTCAAAGACCGCTTCACGACCGCCGAGACCAAGCCCTCCTTCCTCACCCTCGTAGCTATGGCGTCCGTCTCCGGCTTCCTAGGCGGCATCGCCGGAAACCCAGGCGACATCCTCAACGTCCGTATGCAGCACGACGCCGCGCTGCCTCCCGAGCAGCGTCGTAAATACAAGCACGTTTTCGACGGACTCATACGCACCGCGCGGGAAGAAGGCGTAGGCAGGCTCTGGCGCGGCGTGTGGCCCAACTCTTCGCGCGCTGTGCTGATGACGGTCGGACAGCTGGCCTCTTACGATGTGTTCAAGCGCATGCTACTAGAGAAGACGCCGTTACAGGACAATCTCACGACGCACTTTAGCGCGAGTTTCCTTGCGGGTTTCGTCGCGACGACGATATGTTCGCCTGTCGACGTTATCAAGACCAAAGTCATGGGGTCAACGGAGCACAAAAGCATCATGAAGATCGTAACAGATACTACGCGTACCGAGGGTTTGCGCTGGATGTTCAAGGGCTGGGTGCCTAGCTTCATCCGCATGGGCCCGCATACCATTCTCACCTTTGTGTTTTTAGAGCAGCACAAGAAGGTTTATCGGCAGCTTAAGGGATTAGATTGAGTCAATAGATGTGAGGATGGAAGATGGAGTACATACAAGCGGTTTGCATAGTGCCGCTTTTTCCAGGTCAGCTCTACTGTTATTGTGATACCTATTGCATGTCGGCGTGTACATTGTCATATAGAGAAGACTAGACGCACTGGCAGGGGCCCAAGCTAGTGTTTAGAAATCATTTACATTCTTCAAATGCCAAAAAGTGGTTCCAAGTCATGGTGTTTGTGCCCGCTCGTCTCATCATGCGACAGAGAGGCTTGTATGGGATCGAAACAACGAATAAAGCACAGATCGCATTTGATATTAGTCCGTTGAGAAAGACGTGGAGCCTGCAATAAAGGAGATAGAATTGCGTATCATGATGTGGTAGACTGCGAGTATTTTTATACCAACAAATACCTAGAACGAACATCAAAAATGCCTTGATACACATCTCTACCTTAGCATGAATTGAATTGCAAACGCCCTACCCATTCTCGTAACTCTAGATAACAGGGAACAATCTTGCACAGTACGTAGGTGGAAAGGAGCCTCAAGGACAGTGTACTTTGAAATCGCAAGGATAAATGCGTACCTACAAGAGTTGAGAAACTTAACCATGCTCTGCAACATGACGCGTACCACAACTTGTTCAACTCGTTCCGTCATAGCCTGAATCATGAACACGATAACGGTGCTGAGATGCCAGAAATATGCCATCCGCACCTGAGTAACGAACGACACGTGTAACAAATCCACACTATCGAAAGCAAATATTCCCCACCAAACACCAGTAAAGATGAACGGCAGGTCGTAACAACATTCCCATACGATGTGGATAATTTCGCCTTACTGTGCCGTCAAAGGTAAGTATCGTGTCCGTCTCTGCTACTATTGGGAAACAGCTAGGTAGGACCAAGGGCGTCATACAGACCCGAAATTTGAAATAGACCCAAGCTTTAATCGACCTACCACCGTAACGGGGTTTTCCACAAGGAGTCACAGGTGTACCTCTGGATGGAGTCGCCGACCGTAAGAGCGAAAGCTCTCAAGCGATCGCTCTACAAGATGGTCGTGTCATCGCACTCAACTGTCTCTTGTGAGTTGTCCCATTATACTTGTGTAGACTACATATTGTACATATCCTTTGGTTCACATGTAATTCATACGATACTGTTACACTGTTGTAAGTCTTTAATTGTTTGCTCTCCTTCAACTTGGCCTGTCCCTGAAGGAGGGCCATTTAAGTATCTGTGGGTGCTGCGCAGGGATGTGCGCAGGTTCGGGCTCGGTAGCAGAAGTGTCTTTCGTCGTCTTAGGGGTTGATTCTTGGGTTGCATCCAAAGTCTTAGATTCACGGAGAATGATGTTGGATGTTTGTAGCGATTTGGAGGCGTCGTCGCGCTTGGGAGAGATCAGGCCGTCTGCTTGGGGCACACCACCGTCTTGGTCTGTGGCTGAGACGGTTTTACCGCCCTTCACGTCAGTCCAGTTCTTTCTTCTCGTCCCAGCGCCTCCGTCCCTCTGCCCACCAAGACCCTCAAGCGCCTTCTCCCAGCTCTTATCCTTCGTTTTCTCCCAGTCTTTACCTCCTATATCCCTCTCTTGCAGCAACTTCCTCCTCCATTTCCCCATGACGACCGGCCTCGCCCGCCTAGTCAACGCGTTCAACTCGCTATCCCTCCACCTCTCCCACCTCCCCTTCTTCCTCTGCCTCCGGTCAATTTTCTTTTCCGCTTCTCGCAATGACTTTATCTCATCCCACTGACTAAATGTCTTCGCCCAGTGACGCCACTGCTCACCTTTTTGGCGGTCTGGGGTGACCGTGCGCGGAGGCCGGGGTATATGTTTGAGGGATGAAGTCAGGATACTGATGTGTGAAGCGATGGCGGAGAGGTGGTGGGAGATGGTTGAGGGCGTGCGCGTGGAGGATTTGATGCCGAGTGAGGAAGGGGAGGGGTAGAGGGTGGTGAAGTGGCTGAGGGAGGTACGGAGGGTGGAGAGTTCACGGAGCAGGTGGGTTGTGTCGCGTGTCGGGGAGGGGGTGATCAGTTGAAGATCTGGTTTTATGGATGGCGATGGTGGTTGCGGGGGGTCCTTTGATTGGCCGGTCAGGGTGGAAGAGAATTCGGTGGTCGTGTTGAGTCCTCCCTTGTAGAAGCGTTCGATCAGGCTTGCTGGTGACTCAGATGAGCGGGAATCACTGACGAATGCCAGGCCGCGGGCGTGCCGCGTGATATCAGACTCCGGCACCGTGTCTTCTTTTGCGTCTTGGGATGATTTGGTCCAGAACGCCTTGCCCTCGAAAAGCCGTTGCGCGGTTGTGGACACACTCGCCACCCACTTCGGCGGTTTCGTTTCGGTATTATAGTCGAGTTTGACATGAGCTCTTCCGCTTGGATGTGCAATGGTGACAGTACCAGGCATGACCTCTTCAGGCGCAAGCAGCTGCTCAACAATAGTGCCCGGCATTCGCGCCGCCACTGCGGTTGTGAGAGCTCCTGTCAACGGTATAGCCGAATGTGGTTCGTTATCAGAGATAAAGCGAACTATGATGTCCATTTGCGAGGGTTTCAAAGTCGCACCCGACACGGTGTCATGCTGGGAGCTCTGCGATACGATGGCAATCTTTGGGATGGTGCGTGGAACCGCCTGCTTGGAGTGTGCAATGCCCATGTCTACCGCAGCAGCCCTACGAATGTTCTCGAAGAGATCCAATTTGTCTCCTTGCGCTTTAAGCTCGTGCGGCAAGATGGTGCCTGGTACACCGATGGTGTCTGCGCGGACGAATACGACTGGCACTGCGCCGTCCACGCAGGTGACTTTAAATCCTTCAATAACGTCGACACGATTTCCTGTAGGAAAGGTTTTGCCAGTGGTACTGCGAAGAGGATCCTGGAAAGCCAGACTGATCTTAGATCCTTTCCCATTAACACCATCGACAACATAGCTGCCCGTCACAGCAGCTTGACCTCCAATGACAGCAAAGGTGCACTGGACCAGCTGCATTGTATTCGTGTTTCGTATGGTGATGGTAACATCACCATCTTTTATCGCGTAGACATCGGAGGGGAGCAGCCGTGCATTGTATGCGTATGGGCCGACGGCACTAAGCATATTCCCGCAGTTGCCTTCTACGTCGAGGTGTCCATACTTAGTATCCATACTCACAAAGGTGTAGTCTATATGAGGGTTCGTCGTTTCATCTTCCTTCGTCGTGAGGTACGGTTCAACCAAACAGATCTTGCCCAAGCTCGCTGTGTTTTTGACGAGGCGGTGCAATTGCTTTCCGTATGCCTCTCCCAGTCCAACAGTTCCCAGAACCTGTCGAAATAGGCCTTTCCATGTTGCGTGATTGCTAGGTAGGTCCTGCGGTTGTAGGATGACGGCGCGCGAAGTGCCGCCGCGATAGTATGCTGCGCGGAGCGCCGTCTGTTCCGGTGCTGCGGTGGTCCTGGGCGAAGGCTTCGTCGATGGAATGCGCCAGACGGTCTTTTTCAGGCGCAATTGGCGTGGAATCGTCGGTCTCATAACGCTCCAGCCATCGAATCAATGCTTGCATGCATCTCAATGAAATGTCGGAACGCAAGCCGAGGACCGGTGGACCCTGTCACTTGTCGGCCCGCACGTTCCAACCATCTCAGAACTTTTCCTGAGCTCCCCATCTAACACTCGCAACACCCACATCATCTAAGCTTTCCATCGCGCCTTCGCCCTTCTTGCTCCGCATATCACACATTCCTCAACATGCTCCAAAGAACGCTCTTCCGCGCCTCAAGACAGGCAGCCCACCCCGTCCGGCGCATACAACCCGCCTTTGCCCCCATCTCACGAGCAGCGCCCGCCATACGGTGGTACTCTGATGCCGCGCCCGCAGAGGCAAAGAAGGAGGGCGAAGCTGCAGAAGCGAAAGTAGACCCCTCAGCGCAAATGAAGGAGCAGCTGGAGAAGAAGGATAAGGAGATTGTTGATCTCAAGGTACATCTCCACCCCCAGCAATCTCCAATCTCCCGACATACTGATGGACGACGATAGGATAAATACCTCCGCTCTGTCGCCGACTACCGCAACCTTCAAGAGCGCACGAAGCGCGAAATCCAATCCGCCAAAGACTTTGCGCTCCAGAAATTCGCGCGCGACCTCGTCGAGTCCGTCGATAACCTCGATCGGGCACTCACAACCGTCGAACCCTCCAAGTTGACCTCCCCAGACGCAAATTCCGATCTTGTACAATTACACGACGGCCTCAAGATGACGGACAGTATCCTGATCTCGACGCTCAAGAAGCACGGCTTGGAGAGGTTTGATCCGAGCGAGCAGAATGAGAAGTTCAACCCCAATCTACACGAGGCGGTGTTCCAGACGCCGATGCCGGATAAGGAGGATGGCGTTTGCTTTCACACGCAGCAGAAGGGGTTCCTCCTCAATGGCCGCGTGTTGAGGGCTGCCAAGGTCGGCGTTGTCAAGAACTCATAGACTCACCATCGCTACATCGTAGATGGATCCTAGAGAGCTGACATTGATTGTTCGCTATTTGTACGAGTATTTAAATCTGGGAAGGCTCATATGGTTGGACGCACGGCGTTGCGTTGCGTTGTTCACGCGCTACTTCTCGACATGTGTAAATATTCCTCTCTCCGCACATTTTTGGGAAAAGCATCGTGGCAAGGATCGCCACTTGTATTAGCATTGTAATATTCCAGAGGGAAGGATAGGGGTGCCTTGCAATGGCATATAGATGGTATCAATTGCAAATGTGCCTCTCAATCTGGGCTTTGAACTTTTGCTCACGTAGTTTTGCTCTTTTCGACTTCCATGCGACGAATTGAGCTTCCGGTGCCGTAAACATAAACGCCTTCCCATGCTGTGTTGTACAAAAGCTCTCTTTCTGATAGACGAAAGTCATGACGGATGCGCTTGAGAGGAAATTGCATCGTCGCATCGTCTATAAACCCTTGACCTGCATCTACCACCCAGGCGCTCCGCCATATGGTGTAGCGCCGTAAGGAGTAGTACCTCCAGCGTAAGCATTGCCGCCGCCATATCCTGGCGTCGTATAACCGCCATCATTGCCGTAACCATCGTTACCAAAACCACCGTCCATGGCCGGACTTTGCGCTCCGTCGAGGCCGGCGTTGGCTTCGTCAACGCCAGTAAGCTCCTTGATTACGGAAGCCAACTTCTGCTGCAGCACCTTGATACCGTTGTTAACGATGGCGTCGGGTGAGAGGCCGCCTACAGTTTCTACATCAAAGAAGAAACGCTCTGGGACGGCATCGTAGTTGAACGGTTCGTCTGTCTTCTCGGGACCGCCGTCAAGGTCGATACGCACTTCGTCTGCAGGCCTATACACGTCAAGTCAGCATGTCATCTCCAGATCCTTTGTATGGGAAGTCCAACATACCACTCCTTCTTCGGGTCATCGCCCTCATACCACAGATCCAGGTGGTGTAGCTTGTTGGCAGGGTCGTACTCGAACCCTATTGCCGCGCTCGGTGCCCACTTCGCATGTTCCTTCGCGATGCCCTTCTTCGCTATACACCGCATATCAATTGCCTGCCCCTTCCTTAGCTTGACGATACAGCTTCCCAGCCCATCCGCGTCCGTGATCACCGGCTGTCCCAGCTTATCGCTCGGCGGCATACTCTCAATGACCAGGTCCCGCGCATAGACCTTCATGACATCATTCCCCGTGCACTTCGCCTTCAGCCTCAGCGTTACCGAACAGTTGTCACATCGAGAGTCCTCGCAGTCACAGTCTCGGAAGTCCACCAACTTATCTACGTCCTCTGCAATCAGCGGGGTGAGACCCAACCGGTGGGCTATGAACTCGTCGGCGAGCACGGAGGTATTGTCGATAACTTCTACGGTGTCGATCGCGAGTGTGGGCACCTCGGCGAGCATAACGCGCCGCAGCGAGTTTGCGGTCTCGAGGTTCCAGTCGCGAACGATGAAGTAAGCGCGCTTGTCATTTGCCTGAGAGGCGTCAGTGCCGTGCCAATACTCGTCACGGGGATAAAGAAGAAGACAGGACGCACTTCCAGCATACGGCACGTAGGCTCCTTTGGGCCAAAGTCGTCGATATCCATATTGAAGCGTGCGGATACTGGTCGAGCGAGGCTCTGGGCGGGTTGTCTCTGTTGGCGCAGCAGGCGGAGGGTCGAGGCGCTGGGAGAGGTAGACAAGAGAGGCGGAGTGCGTAAGGTGAGTGGATGCGCTTAGGTAGAACGCTCTTACCTGAGATTCTTTGATGTTGAGGCGCACGGGCGCACGGGCGCACGTGGAGAGCGGCGAGGTTGCGTACGGATTGGGTCTTAGCGTACTGGACTGAGCCACAGCAAGCGCCACACTTCTTGTCACCACCGCTCCACCCTCACGTGAGTGGTATGTGAAAGGGGGAGGCTATGTGGGAGTGTGTCACTTACCGAACACGTAGACAGTCCTCGCACATGAGTAGGGCTATATCCGGTATACATTAAGCGGCGAGAAAATTTGCCAACACAGTATGATTGTAGGCGCAGTATGATACGGCAGTGAAAAGTGGATAGCTTGCGTACATAGTACTGCACCATCATCAGAATGTTGTGATCCCAAGCTGTTCTGTATTCGTTTTTCGCCGGGCTTCCGTACACATCCACAGGTATTCCGAAGCCACTCTATGGACACCCCCGGGGCCGTTCGTATAGCAGATGACAGACAGCCTAAGATTTGACGATTTGGTTTAGTCGTCTCTCGACTAAGTCTTCGTGTAAACAGGTGTCCGGACAGCAGCGAAGAATGATGAGAAGATTCACATATCGAGGGATCTTTCCGGTGCTCTAGATGACACGGTTACCAAGTGTCTAGAAGTCATCGTGTCGAACCGCCCATCGATATGAGTAGACATCGTAAGAAAGAGTCCAACGTAACAGGTACTAGAGTAAATCTGGTGCAATCAGATGCTTTTCTTACGCCGTGCATACCCTAAAAAGAAATCTGAGATGTCTTTGGTGGGTTCTGAAACCGTCAACAAGGGCCACGGAAGATGTGCATTGTAGTACATGCATCGGTAAAGATTTTGCCGGGACAGGAACCGTGCCGTGTTTGTCAAGGCAGACTGAATGGTGGCTTCAAATCAAGATGCACGGGCAAAGATGCCATAAGGAAAGTTATAATCTTGACCATCGTTGTGGGGTGACTAGCGACGTGATGTGCTGTGCAGATGATCGCTACTTTCCTTCCCTTGATTCGTGCACGACTATGCTGTACTCTGGTCCGCAGTGTGAGTGCCGTAGAAGACCCATACGCCGCCCTATAGCTGTTGACTGCCAACATGATGGGCGCCTAGACCGTCTGCTACATCCCCAACAGAACGCCTATTCAGTGTCGCGGAATGCAATGTCCAAGAGAAGAGAGGTGAGGGGTGATGAATCAGCCTTGCATTACTAGGACATGCTTTCGCGAAACCGCTTTCTTGTCCGATCTTGGGCGCTTGGTGGTCTACGTACTGAATTGAGCGAGCGGACCTCTCGGGTAGCGCAGGTACGCAAAGTAGAAGTACGTGTGTTCGTTGCTGAGGAGTTGTCCTTTCCGAGGCTGAGTTCGGCAAAGCGGTCGTGACTGCTTGCGGCATCAGTCAGCCAGACAGGCTCTCTCGTGGCCGCAGCGAAATCATCAGGTCGAGCATGATTCACTGACGACAGCCGCGCGGTCCGCCGAGCCCCGGTAGGTTCTGTTGGAAAATCACAATGGGGGCAGTGCAGGGCCGAGAATGTGGTGGAAGAGACAAGGAGGTCGGCGGGGCAAACGTCACCCTTGGCGAGCTGCTCCGCCTCTATGGCCAGACGCTTGCGGCAAGAGCGACAGCGGCTTGCATACTTAAGACATACAACAACCTGAACTCCTCTGCAAAATCCAGAGAACCAGCAATATTCCGACACTGCTACTGAGCATTCCGTAGTACTGCGACTTTACTAAGGACATGGCTACCAGCATACCATCACCGCAGCGGTCGCGCACTTCCTCACGATCCAAATCGCCACTTTCGCTGGACCTTTCAGATCTGCCACCACTGGTGCAACCGTCTCCGCCTTCGAACACACTCATAATCACAGTGAGTGCAGTTGCTCCGCTCAGTCTGAGCATCAAACTAATCCACTACACAGAACCTTGTTGAGCCCGAGATCTTCCACCCTTCAAACCTCGTCCAAATACGCCAAACCATCAATAACTACGCACCTATCCACACCTGGGCACCTCTCAAATCCTTCAAGCGCGTCGTCGTTTCTTTCTTCGATGTTGAATCCGCAATCACGATCCGGCAAAAGGTGGACGGCGAGCAGATTATGGGCTGCCGTGTACGGGCGTACTTTGGCTTGAACACACCGCTAAACCCAAGCGACCAACATTTGCCCCTTCCGAAGTCCGACAAGCTGTTCTTCATATCGCCACCACCATCGCCTCCTATGGGCTGGGAAATGCGCAACGAGGATGCGCCCAATCAAATAGTGCATGCGGAGGATCTGGCGGAGGCTTTGGCGAAGCTACATGCGGACCACCGGGAGCTTCCTACACCAACGGACGATGAGTTTAGCCCTAGTGCTAAGAGACGGAGGACCGGCAGCTCCGCGATAATTTACCATCCTGATGACCATGGCGACAGCCCGAACCTTCCGGCCATTGCTGTCGAAGACACGACTGCGAGTCCGACGATCATGACACCAGATGCGATGGAGGGCATAGAAGGCCCGATCTCCATCCAGAAGGCCCAAGGGAAGTTCGTCTCGACGTCGAGACCTCCTGTGGAGTTGATGCACTGATTTACTTATCTCTCTTCTGATTCTGTATTATATCCAAGAAAAAACCGCGGTGGCAATTGGGCACGGATGGCGTTGCTAGGGTGTTTCTCATACAGGGTGATTCCCAGGTTCAGTGGCTTTTCTACACGTCTTACAGGGAGGCATTCGGGTAGATGAATATGGGTACGCGCAGGCTTCTCGTAATATCACAGCTAAATACGTTGAACTCAGCATGGTTTACCACATGTGACAAGCAATCTCGCCTTTGAACACTTCCTTGTGTGAACAGGTTCACGTGTTTGGCATCGTCCCGAGATCCCTGATATTGAATGATAAGTTTCGTGCGATACGCTTTGCTGCTCGCAATATGCTAAGGGCTTTGTTAAGGACAAGTGTTATGATCACGTGAGGGCATCGTCTCCGCTGCTCCAGATGTTGTCGATCGACAGGCTCGGAGCTCCGTAACGGCCGGTACAGCGTAGGCGGTTCCCTCAGGGTGCACATGTCTCTACATACCCTTCAATGCCTCATTCAGACTGCACATTAGTACAGCCGTTGCTGAGAGTGTACGCTGAGCGTGCCGAGGTCCGGCAATTTGAATCAACATACAGCGTCCCTTGGAATCTGGTCAGACCCAGGGTGTCTTTCCAAAAGTACACATTGTCTTATTTTCATCTTCGTAGAGCCGGATAGCGACAGGCTCAGTGTATCCTGGGCCCTAGTGCTTCACGTGCATCGGCACTACGGCAGAATGTATTGCCGCGCACAAGCGAGGCTTGGCCACGGATCTAGCGTTTGGCAAAAGTTCGCACAGCACAGCGACTTTCGATAGTCTACTAACGTTGCAGCAACCACCGGCCATCGCGACACCGCCGTCAAGATGAAGCTCAACATCTCGTACCCCAACAATGGCACACAGAAGCTGATCGAGATTGAAGACGAGCGCAAGCTCCGGGTCTTCATGGACCGCCGTATGGGCCACGAGGTTCCCGGTGACAGTGTCGGCGATGAGTTCAAGGGCTACATCTTCAGGATCACTGGCGGCAACGACAAGCAGGGCTTCCCGATGAAGCAGGGTGTCATGCACCCGACCCGTGTGCGCCTCCTTCTCTCCGACGGTCACTCCTGCTACCGCCCTCGCCGCACCGGCGAGCGCAAGAGGAAGAGTGTCCGTGGCTGCATCGTCGGCATGGACCTGTCCGTCCTCGCCCTCAGCATCGTCAAGAAGGGCGATGCTGACATCCCCGGCGTCACCGACGTTGTCCACCCTAAGCGCCTTGGTCCCAAGCGTGCCACCAAGCTCCGCCGCTTTTTCGGTCTCAGCAAGGATGATGATGTGAGTCCGCTCATAGCTTCATCGCCAATCCTCTACCTATCTGTAGAGGGTTGAGTCTGAGGAATGAATGTTGACGAGATGTGTAGGTCCGTAAGTTCGTCATCCGCCGCGAGGTCCAGCCCAAGAAGGAGGGCGCGAAGCCCTACACCAAGGCCCCCAAGATCCAGCGCCTGGTCACTCCTCAGCGCCTTCAGCACAAGCGCCACCGCGTCGCACTCAAGCGCCGCCGCGCAGAGGCCTCTAAGGACGCTGCCGTAAGTTCAACATGTTACTTGAATAGTATGCAGAGTTTAACGTAGAACGCAGAACGAGTACGCCCAGATCCTCCACAAGCGCATCACTGAGGCTAAGTCCGCCCACGATGAGGCCAAGAAGAGGAGGGCTTCTTCCATGAGGCACTAGATTATGTCTATGAGTACATGAGATTCTGGGATGATCCTTTGGCGTCGGCTCAAAAACGTGGTGTGGGTTCTCATCTGAATGAAAGCTTCGGATTTCTAGGCATGGGTATAACATACATGGTACTGCATCTTGTAGCAGTCGGATTTCAATGAAGCAATTGTATCATCCTGGTCGTGCCTTTATCTTTATTTCGAGTACATCCATTCATACGACGAATGCCTTGCAATTCCTCTTGACCAGACTTCGATGTCCCTCGGAAGCATAACACCACGATCACCGTCCACGATTTATACGAAGCAGAAATAGTCATCCTCAGACCCTACACCCTATCTAATCGTCGGCCCACTCTCCCTCTCAATCCCATGCAACCCCTCCAAGATATCACTCCCACCAAGCAACCCACTTGCACTCCCCACCCCTTCTTCCCCCAGCCCATATCTCGTGGAACCTGATCGCCGCATCGCTCGCCGCCACAACAATACACCCTTCCTCCAGACCCCTCCTCCACCACACCCCATCCTCTCCTGGCGACCTAGCATCGGCCCCCGCATCCGGTCCCCCAGGATACGGAATCGCATATAGCGCGCGGCTCTCGTCGAACCAGGGCACCGCAACGACCTGCTCGCAGCTAGGCCACGCAAAGACGGCGATACGGAACGGATGCTCAGGCTGCGCGAAGCCGAAAGTGGCTGCGATCTCGCGGCGTGTCTGACTCCAGATGAGGGAGGTGACTTGGGCTGCGCAATCGATGGTCGCAAGACAGGCGCCGGACATGGTGTGGTAGAAGTGTATGCATCGATCATTGGACCCACCTCCGATGGCAAGAAGACCGCGCTGCCAAGGACAGAAAGCGATGGCCTTTACAGCGGCGTTGAGTTCCCACTTGTGTTTTGCTTGCGTGCTAGAGACTTGTAGGACGGTGCTGCGGCCGGGAGCTACGGTGTATATACTGTCGCCGTCGGGGCCCTGGCGTACATTGACCGTGTCGGGGGTCTCATTATCGGCGTTGGGGCTGTTGAGGACTTTCTTCGTTTCATAGAGGTAGCAAGCATTGTCATTACCGCCGCTGGCGAAGAGTTCGCCATTGGGTGACCATGCGAGACCGCATATTTGCTGAGAGTGAACCGTTAAGCGAGCCAACAGTGTCATTGCCCCATTCCATCCAAAGATAGCGCTTTCTGTTTCGGTCGGCCATTCAATGCTGTAAAAGTATATGTGGCCTGCCTCGTCTCCAACAAGCAGTTCTTCGGTAGGCACTGGCATAGCATTGTCGCGTAGTGATGGCCTTTTGACGATAGTTGGTCTAAAAGCAGTGCAGGATATAGGCTTAGGTTGCGTAGCATCGAAGCGAGGCTCTGCATCGAACGGACTCCATAAAGCAATGCGACCGTCTGCCCGTGCTACAGCTAAGATAGCTTGCCCGCCATGATTGGATGAGAAAGATAGGGAGGTAACGTGTTGGACATCAATCATGCCAGTCGTCGACAATATGTTGAGAGATTCTGGCGTATCAACCCCCTTCCGTTCTGACCAAAGATGGACGAAGTTTCCTAAGCCTACTGCGAGACATCTTGCGTTATGTGAGTATGCGAGAAGCGAACAGTAGTAATCGTCTCGTAACTGAGGAGCGTCTAGGACCGTGTATGATGTCAGTATCTGATCTTTATACATCGAATTGCTACTCATCTGAAAGGCAAGACTGGCACAGGTTTTCTCGCAACACTGCGTATACGTTTTACTGCTATACACCCTCGTCAGTACGTTCAAGTGTAACAGAATGTGACCTTCAACCAACGCGGTAAGTTACTATCCCTAGTCCACGAATTGTCTTTCCAAACGTGGACTGTGCGTGCGGCGGATGGAGGGGTGTCTCTTGAGCTTGCGGTGCTGTGGTTTCTAGAGGATATCGAATGATCGAGAACGCGGCTCATCTGGTCTATTTCGAGCGCCAATGCGACTCGCCGTTCGTACGCTTCCTGCTCAGCATCTGGATCTGACCGACTAAGAAACATGGACGTATAAAGTGGTGCATTCGTCCCGCTTCCTAACAATCCACCACTGCCATTAGACACCCCCAGCACAGTATCGCTAGCAGCTGAAGGTCCACCCACGTTCCAGACGGCGCTTGCACTGATCTGGCGGGTTGCCATTGGTATAGTCCCACGACGAAGGCCAGGGTTTATGCGCCGTCGGTTCAGGTTTGACCGACCAGTAAGCATGGCATGCGTTTCTCGTAGACCTCGAAGCTCTTCGTTCACCCTGACCGATCGGCGAAGGCGTTGGCTGAACGGATCAGGAACGGAATTCCCACCGGGCAAGGTTCTCTCTTCGGCAGTCAAGCGCTCTTCTGGTTTGTTCAGATCAAAGCTTTGTTTTGTAACATTCGGTGGCCGACGCGGCGGAATAAAACGATCTGGTGCATGGCTTGGGCGTCGGGGCGCCGTCAACGACCCGCCACGTGCTACCCATTGATTGGGACGTAATGGAGAACTAGCAGAGCGAATTGGAAGCCGACTGAGTAAGGATGGAGAGGACGTGGGAATATTGAGTAGAGGGTCCACTGGTTGTAGCAAACTTCGCGGACCGGGGTCGGGTGAATCGGGGCGGGTGGTTACGGAAGAAGTCAGTTCTTCCTCTGCGCTCAAATACAAGGACCGTGTCGAGGTATGATCATCACTCGCTCTGAAGTTGAGTGAGCTTCTGCGAGGGACCGAGGAAGCGTGCTGTTGGGACTCGCAGACTTGACGTGTAGTAGAATCACCGAAAGAGCAACGAGCGTCAGGTAGAGACAAAGGAGCGACTTCCGAAAGTTTTGGATCATCGATGCGGACGGAAGGCTTCTTGATGGGCGATCCTTGGTATGACGGTAGCGAGATAGCGTCCGGACTGAATTTGGGAGGGTCTGTAAGTTGAAGAGCGGCTAATCGGTTGGCGAACTTGGGTTTCGTCGGAGACTCAGGAGGGGACTCGAGACTGCCATTGGATTCATATGTGCGGGTGAAGATACGATTCCATGCCTTTGGCGATGTAGGCGTTTTCGGGGACAGCCAGCCTTCAGTACTGACAGTTTTCGTGGGAGATAATGGTGGCGTAGCATATCCGGAATCACAGGACCGTGTGTCATCTTCAGAGTCAGTCATACTGCAGAAATAGGGCGGATCGAGCGAGTTAGTGGCTTGCTGAGCTACGGATCTCGAATATGTCGAGATGAGCGAAAGTCAGCGGCACAGGTCGAGGGAGGTCGGCTGAGGGGAGCCTGAGAGCCGAAATGCTGCTGGGTGATTATTGCTGCTGGGTTAGTATAGCAATACGTTGATCCTGTCTAGGAGGTCGCAAGGTTTGGCGATCCTCGGGACTATCACGAAGAGCACGTCGCTCTTGGAAGGTCGGAGGGACGCATGGGAAAGAGCCTCGGGCGGTAGAACTTATCTCCGGCGGGCGCGCGAAGAAGCCGCGAAGCTCATGAGTTCCTTGCGCCTAAACGCAAATATCAACATGGCAAGCGTGAGTGACTGAAGAAAGAGGTCTCTACGAGTTATTAACTATCGAAGCACGGAATAACGCGCGCGGCGGGTACGGCAGTGCGCACCGAAGAAGCCCGGCAACAACAGCTTCGCGACGTGGATGCATACAAAGAGCTCGTGGACCTCGTCAGTACGAAGGTGAGTAGCCCGCTTGGGTGCCCCAGGTCGGCCCAGACCGGCCCAGAATAGCTCTGTAATTACTTCCCTCGAAATTGAAACCAGGACAGCTCTGACATGTGAATATTACAGGTCACCGAGAGACAATACACACTCGAAGTTATTGGGTTGCTTACGAAGCTTCTGAAGCAGAACCCGGAATACTATACGGTTTGGAATCATCGTCGACGGGTTCTAAACGCCCTGTTCCCTAGCGACCCCGCGGACGAGTCGTCTAAGCATGGCGTCAACGACCTACTGCAGAACGACCTACAGCTCACATTCGCACTGTTGCGCCAATACCCAAAATGCTATTGGATATGGAACCACAGGAACTGGTTGCTAGAGACAGCTGAATCGCAGCAAGGAGCTGAAGTGGGCCGTCAATTATGGTCTGGGGAGCTACTGCTAGTAAACAAGATGTTGGGCGCCGACAGTCGCAACTTCCATGCATGGGGCTATCGAAGATTCGTAACAGCTCAGATTGAGCGCTTGACAACTTTCACAGAGGGAGAAGCGCCGCGTTCTCTGATCGAAGCAGAGTTCGAATACACCAGCAGTATGATTAGGTCCAACCTCTCAAACTTTTCGGCGTGGCACCACCGCAGTAAAATCATACCCCGCCTGCTGAACGAGCGAGATGCCAATACCGACGCTCGGCGAGCTCTTCTGGATTCCGAGCTAGCACTGATATGTGAAGCTATCAACACTGATCCCTTTGACCAATCCATCTGGTTTTACCACCAATATCTCATGTCCACTTTGTCTCCAAACTGTCCTTCCAAAGATCGAATCGTCTTAAACCTCAACAATGGCGATCGCCAGCGCTATTACGAGAACGAGATGCAGTACATCCGCGAGATCCTGGGGGATGAAGAGGACTGCAAGTGGATTTACGAGGGTCTGCTATTTCTGGCGGGCGCGTACTTGGAAGTCGACGGCGGCACGAAGGTATTCACGACGGCAGATATGCGGTCGTGGTTGGAACAGCTGAAGAGGCTCGATCCGTTGAGGAAGGGGCGATGGGACGACCTAGGTCAATGTTTGAATCTATGAATTAATAATAAATTGGCGATGCTATGGCTGCTGCTTTGAAGCATCGGTGGTCGTCTGAGTTGGCGCCTGTGCCTTTGCGGCGCCGTTTGCGTTTCCTTGCGATGACCAAGCCCAAAACCCCATCATAGATGAGATTCTGGAAGGGGTCGCGGTCTCGGTTTGTGCCGGGGGATGTCCTGTTTGTGGAGCTGGAATTGAGCTCGATGCCATTGGAGACGGTCCATCGCTTGGTAAAGCAGATGCAGATGTAGATCCAGAAGCAGCATTAACGTCACTGCTCGCATCAATGAGAAATGGCCATCGCTGTCGGGTTGCGATTGACACTTACCGGTTGTATTCTTCCTGCAGACGTCGCCTCTGTTGCTCTTTAAACTCTTCTCCGAACGTCGCTATGCCGATTGCGACACCTGAAATTGTAGCCAAAGCAATCGGAAGAAGCCGTCCCGCCATATTGCTGGGTGCACAAAAGATAGACCAGAATGTGCGTTGGGGTGAAAATGGCAAGCGATCAACAGTGAACGGTGCGGCGCGAGTTACGTAGCTCCGCAAACGCGCGTTAAATAGCACGTGATCATGACGACGCGGACGCGTGTTGACTCGACGCGTCGTGCAACCACCTGCAGTTTATATCCGCCCCACCACCAACTGCACGCCCAACGCGATGCCGACAAGCCCCAATGTCCACATGGCGCGTCAAAGGATTCGTCCAAGACTCGGATGAAGAAGAGGAGGATATCGAGTCATCGACCGCGAGCTCCATTCAAAACACCCGACATTCAATCGATGTGCGCGATGGCAATGCCAGTACGGGATCAGATCACGGCGAGGGCCGGCTTAAAGCAACTTCCAAGAGAACGCTTTCCAGGATACCATATGGCCCGAACGATGGACCGACATCCCCGCCCGATGAGCTACATCACGAAGGGCAGCCCATATACGATGCACCGACCGCGGTGACACAGGCGGTGGAGGCCAGTCCTCGAACTCAGCCCGTGACGCCTCCAGTAGTCTCAACCACCAACTTTGATATCGAAGCGCAGACCGAGAGTCCTGATCCACTTTTGGGCTCACCCACCCCAAACGCGAAGCGTGTTTACAAGCCTTCGTATTCATCTCAGATTCTTGGGATGCCCAGTATCTTGCAGTCGACTGAGGAATCAAATCACAGCAAAGTCGACGATGGCAACATGCAACATGTGTTGCTGCTGGACTTTTCCGAGGATAGCGAACTTTCTGATCCTCCTTCTGACTTCGACGAACTGCATCCGCAAGAGAACGGGCCTATTTCACCAAAGCCGAGGGCAACGGAGCATTTCGATCTGAATGAAATTCTTCCAGGTTACGATGAACTGGTTCCGCAAGAGACAATCTTTGCCTCACCAACGCGTAGGGCCACGGTACAAGTTGTGATTCCGCGCTCTACGGAACGAGAACACCAACCCAAAGTGTTCGATCGATATGTCGAACGATCTTTCAGACAAAGAAAGCCAATTCAGATGCATCCATATCTGCTGGAGGGTGAAAGATATCGTCGGAATTTGCAGGGTAGGGGGGTGAAGCCAGTGCTTAGGCTGTTGTCGCCACCGCAGAAGTCGCGTGACAACGGCCAGGAATCGCAGGAACAGGAGTTCGATCCTGATAGAGGTTTGGCGCCAAATAGTTCTCCTGAGATACTTGTGTCTACTCCCATTGTTCGACGACGCACCGAAGGCGACCAAGTGACCTCAGGTCAACGAAAGCTAGCTCGGCCGCATCAGCTGACGTTTGCTTCTACAACCCACAGCAGCGCGAAGAAGAGAAGACGGGGCCAGCCGCCACGCCCGTCTGCAGCGACTCCGCAAGAGCCGATCGTTGACGGCAACTCATCCATTACTGACATGTGGACTGTGCCCCAATCGCCTCCGTATTCAAGCAGCCCTCCGATCAATCGGTCCCGGTCCACAGTTCATCGAGCAGCCAAGATGTCGACCAATCTACCTGTTGCTGATTTACCTACGCCTTCAAATTCGTCTAGTCTGCCTGCCGCACCCGATATAGAGTCCGATGAGGAGTTGGTTGCTCGCAGCATGCCACGTTTAGGTCAACGAGCGCATGAACCCATCGGAATTTCGAGCGCCAGTTCATCGTCAGATGCTGAAGTTTCAGAGGACGAAGCTCAAGCGAGTGACCGTGAAATACAAAAGGTGGGAAAGAGAATAAGAGGCGTTCTTCCCGCATCCTGGCTCCGTCTCGATCTCCAGGCGCAAGAAAAGCGCGATAAACAGAGAAAAGAGCGACTGTGTGCACTTCATTCCCCGGGACAAGCGGAGCCTCAACGCGGTGTCGCCCAGAAAGTCGTCAGACGCCAGGCCACACCCTCGAGGTTAGGAAGTCCAGATGCATCTAATAACCACGTCATCGAACTCTCGGATGAGTCTGACGGAGACGTCGATACCCCTGCTCCTCAAACGAGGAACGGCCAAGAATCAGCCCACGCGGCTTTTCAAACAGCTGCTGTGTTTGATCACCGATATGCAGATGACGACTCAGATACCATGGAGAACGACCGCTTGCATCTGTTCACCCTTGGCGGAGGCAAGAAACGAAAGAAACAGTCGAAGCTGACGGATGTGTTCGCAGCATCGAAGCGAAGAAAACCTGCAAGTGAAGGTAATAAGTTTGGTAAAGCATCCTCCGAACAGCACACAGCTTCACGACGGGCGCGACGAACGCCGCCACCTGCTCTCAGTATCCTGGATGTTGACCAGTCGCCTTCCAAACGTCAAGCAGTACCATCTTTCTTACGGATCGCAAGGCGACAAGCTCGCCGAAGACCAGATTATGCTCGCCAGTTGCCAACTCACAAATACATCAGGCTGCATACTGCGCAGGACACACATGATGCCAATTCTACTCTACGAGAATGGAGACGCAGTGCTATAAGGCCGAAGACCAATGTTGCACAGTCCAGGCGTGGGCCGATACCACGCAGACCCCTTAGTGATCTAGACCAAAATCAACAGTCGACGCCCGGGAACACCGACATGGTTCTGGGGTCTAAAAGGCAGTCACTGGCGATGAGGCAGGAGTCAAGCTCTGCGAGATGTCGAGCGGTTGCATCCGGGCCCTCGGACATCCGCGAAGAAGAAGGTAGCCGTCGAAGACATATGGGTGAGCAAGATGCATCTGCCTCATCCCGAAAGAAGCAGTTATACCATAACAGGCCACGCTTTCTCCCCTTCAGAAATGCTCAATTGGAGGGTCCCGAAACAGATCAAGGGCCCGACAACCGCAAGGTTGCCTTCAATAGAGGTTTGCAAAATGTCGCTCGGCTATTCGATCTTCAGCAACCATTCCTTGGACATTCTCGAAATCATCAGTTAACTCGCTTTCTTGCTGACGACGACATCACAATCTCGCCTTTGCCAACAGCAGAAGATGTAGACAAGCACGTTTCAAAACTCCAGACACCAAAGCCGCCCGGTTCCAAGAAACGTCTCGTTCGAAAACCTTGTGCGCAGCGTGTCGATATTGAAACCAGACAGTATCGTCAACCCAGTGAGCCAGTGGTGGAGGACTACCTCAAAAGCGTGCCGAATCCGCCTGCCCTCGATTTAAGGCCTGTCCAAGCAGATCGACCGTCACTCCAGGGTCTCGGTCCACGTGGCACTCGGTATCCTACTACCTTTGATACTCTGCCTTTGCAGGATGGTACATATTTTCATGTGTCTACCTTCGTTGGTTCCGGCGCGTTGCATCGAGCGTTGGGTGTCAATAAGAGCAATGGAAGAAACATGGATGAAGCAGCAGGTTATTGCAACCTCGATTTTCTCGAAATGTCTATCAGGTGTGGTCCCTGGGAGGAAAGTCTAGTCGCGCGCCTCACAGATCTCACGAACGACATATGGAATGCTGTCACTAGCCAGAGTGCGATCGATGACCATTTGGTATTTCAAAGGAGTGGTTTCGACAGCGCCTCCAACATCATCCGGTCTCTTGTTGACTACGTTTCTACGCATCTTAGCTTCCACGATCCTATCGACCGAAATTCCTTCGTCATCAAAATGGAACAATGGATTACGTCGATGTTCGAGAGTATTATGTCGAGCAGCCTTGCAGATGCGAAATCATATCAGCTAGTGAAAGCCAAGCCGATGGCACTCCTACTAGTTCTTACACTACAGGTTCACAAGGTTACACAACATCCCGCCGTGGATCAACCGGCCAGATCGGACCTCACTGCGCTGATAACAAGTATCGGCAAAAGTCTTGTGGGATTTTTACTGGATCACGTGTCAGAGCTCAATGATTTCCTGGAAACCAACAAGCGGTACAAAGTGCGTGAGAATGGCATACAAGATTCTGATGTGATCGTCGAGAGCATCGTCATTTGTATGCATGCGCTTTCGGAGGCAAGTATACCAGGAACTACATTTTGGGAACTTGTGAGCCTGTCACTGTCACCAGCGGCCAAGAGAGCAACTCATCTGATGGAATTTGAATCTGTGTGGGGTACTATGTTCACTCTGCTACCCTTCCTTGAATTCAACGATCTTGGAATACCTACACGAAGCCGACGAACATCATTTAGAGGAGACAACTGGATGGCTATCAGGGTCCTGCTGCAACGAACGTTCGCGTTGTACCCTGAGACGTTGAAGGTGGACAATGCTTCTCTAGACGACTACATCCGTGCGATCATGACAAGATGCCACGAAATCATCCATTCTTGGCACTGGAATCGCTGCGAGCCGGTCTTGTACGCCATGTTTGATTTCTTCGTAGCCAATAACAGACTGAAACATTTACGAAAAGAACAGTCGAACGGTCCGGCAGTGTTTCTCGAGCAGGTCGACGATGGATCTTTCCGCCGCATTGAATCAAATGCGAGATCTTTTCATATCTTCCTCAAGTGCTTGTATATTGGTATTCAAGGCATGCAGAACTGCTATGCAGAGAAGAAGCTTCGCAGCGTTGTTTTACGTCTGATACCAAACCATGGACGAAGCCATCCCAAGGATCAGCCACTGGAAGTTGAGAGTTTGGAAGCGTTGGAGAATCATCACGACATACTCTGCACGCTTTACCGAGCTTCTCCGCTACCATGTCGGCCCAAGTTAGACTTAATCAAGAACTTAGTACACCATGAAAACTCGCATCGAGAGGCCTGTCGTATAGGTATCCGTGCCTGGGCGAACTTGGCAAAATTCCAGCTCTCAACCAGCGAGCCGTACATTTCCCTTCAGCCGCTCGCTGAATGGCACCGGGAGATCATGACGCAAACGTTAAAGCAATACCGGCTAGCAAAGACGGAAGCGGAGGAATACCTCAACTCTGGTGCCCGCAACAAATCAGAAGCTACCTCGCTGATGGTTAAACAAACAATGGAGAAAAACCAAGATCAAGTGATTGCAGCACTGAGAGACTGTATTGCAGGGCTGCGAAAGGCTATTGGCGTCCGCGATAGTCAAATCCTACTCAAAGAATTCCTCATGGATGCTGGCCTGATTCAATTGCTCGAGCTTCCGCATCTCCAGGATCGGCGTCTGGTAGTCGTGATCCGGGACGCTCTTGGTGTGCTCCGAATGTTTGCAGGACTTCCTCGCCAACGACCTTGCGAAAATGTTGTTTCTGAGCAAGACGAAGAAAGTCAAGACTACGGTGACTCCTTTGATCTTGCTGACTTCATGGAGGTAGACTCCGAAGTGCATCAACCTGACAATTTCCTCCAGAACCCACTGTGGCATTTACTTTCCAATGCTTTCGGCGCTGAGGCTTCGCCGGACGACAACATTCTCATGGACTGCATTGATACCTGGTGTCTCATCGCCCGTTCTCAAGTCGTGCTAGGAGTTCGCTCGTGGACATACTATCTGGATCAGTTCAGCCAAGTATCGTGGCAGCAACTTCGGCGTACAGAACAAACGCAGAAGTTCCGCCCTTACTTCATGGCTTCAATCCTGGGATGTGATTCGAATGCCTATTCTCAACATCGCCTTGATTTTTTGAACGCATTGCTGGTGTCACTAGTGGACCGGGAGTCTATGCTGAGGTTTCAATATCGGCTGCTCAGCGCCATCGTTTGTGCCGTTCCCGACGAACCGCTCCTCAAGAATTTACCGTTTTACAAGGAGAACGAAAACGGTTCGCTCGATGTAAATGCTGATACTGTGCGGACGCGGAGACTTGCGTTGATATCTAGCATTCTGGCCAACATGCGCGACGACCTCCATAATGCTATTCACGAGGGTGTGGGACGTATCGCAGAAGTAAAGGGCAGTTACGCTGCCATATTGAAAGACTTCATGAATGCTATGAAGAACAACTACCATCAGCTTGGCTCCGGCACAATTGTGACTGGCGCATATGTGCAATTTGTTCAGAAGGTCGTTCAGTTCCTCCAACAGTATACGGCCGATATACATCCAGTGCTCGACTTCTTCACCAATTCAGTTGCATTTCCGCTTCCAGCAGCTGATCCGACATACGTGGTGGGCCGTCTGTGTGGTTACGCACCTAAACTCTCCCAGCCGGGCATTTCGAAACAACTTTCAGTCTTCGTCCAAACAGTGGCACAGCAAGCCGCCACTGGAGGTCATCAACCATACCTGGTCCACCAATTACAGACCGCTCTTTGCACGGACGAGGCGCCTCCGAAGGATCGAGACGCCTTAAGAGATGCGCTTCTACAAGGCATTTTCCCGGCGTACATTGAGGCCGCCTTCACCTCTGCCATTGGCTTCGTTATTGCACAGCCAATTATCCAGTCTCTGGTTCCAATCATCGAAGCAATGCGCTTCAATACCAGGATCTTCGATGACGCCAATGTACGAGCAATTTGCGACTGTTTGCTATCAGTCTCGCACGCGTTCATTCGAGGCACTGAGCAGCTGAAAGACAACGACGATAGATTAAGACAGCCGCATGTCCTCCAAGCCCTTGCTCTTATGTTTCAAGTCGTCGTCCCAACTGTCGCGCTACTAGAATACATTTGTGGCAGATCCGCAGAATTGTTAGCGAAGTCCTTGGTCGTTGAATATTTCGAGAGCCTTGCTCTTTTCGTCGGCGAGACGTTGCACGACTTGACGCCACAGACGAACCCATTGTACGGCAGCGATACGAGCAATCCTCTGACAAAACACACTAAACTGCTCCCCTTCTCTATAGACGGGTTACAATCTGGCATTGATGCAAATTGGAGCGCCGGCGGGCAATGCATATATTTCGGACAAGGGCACGCAAAGCGTGAGGTTTTAGTGGACTGGAGTACAGTGGAGGAGGCAAAGACGAACCTCATCACATGGATTGAGGAATTTCTTGCTTGTGTTTCGGCACAGACTGATGACGCACGATATGATGAGTCTCGCGAAAGAGAGGCATATGTAGCCGAGCTTGACGTGTAGCCCCGCCTTGGTTTGTTTTGACATTGCGTTGCACTAGCGGCATTGAAGGAGTTTCTGGGTATGCATGATAGATTACGATTGCAAAGCTAATGGCCTTTCTTGGTCCTGCTATGAGCTCAATTCCATCCTGACCACCTCGACAGACGTCAATATCATACCTGTAACAGATCTCTATCATTCTCAAACCACCTCCCCCATCCACACAGTAATTCCTAGCTCTTCCCCATGGCTCATCCAAACACGCGTAAAAACATGATCCACCAGACTAGCGAAAGTTGTACTCACTAGTTCAAAGTAAATGATCTAGCGATCAGGAATAATAGTATCTGCAAGGGTGTTTGAGCCGTCCTCTTCAGCAGCGGGCAGTATCGGAGCAGAATTGACTTCGAAGCCAGATGCCTTATCGAGATCAAGGATGTGTGAACGTCTATCAAATATTCCCTACGCGTAATATTCATCGAACAGCTCGACGTCCTTGTCCAACGTTACCTTCGTTTTCGATGCTCCCAAATGCGCAATCGTCTCACCCCTCACCACCTTGTTGAACGTTTTGTCAAAGACCGCACTCTTCGGCATTGCTATGGATCATCTCACATCGGCGATCTCCACTGTCTGATTTACCGCACTAATTGGCGTGTTGCCCTTCAGCCACTGCTCTGGTACCTCTATGGCGCTTGAGCTCGCCTGACCTGAAATGAGGCTCATGATAGTATCTGATGTTTGAGGATGAGTCGACTCCTAGTATTATTGCGGACTACGAGGTCTCTTCGTGTGACCCAATAGTGACTATGAAGCTGGTTACGTGATCTGAGAAGTAGAAGCCTCCAGCCGTACCGTGCGGTAGGTCCAAAGCTTCAGGTCTACCATACAACAAGCTCTCCCGGAAATGCGGCGTCTATTGCTGTTGGCTCTGACCCCAACTCTCGGAGCTCGAAACCAGATGCCAATCCAAGCGAAAGCGTAACTCGTAGACGTGCATTCTTCGGCGCGTCGAAGATTGCTCGCGGCAGCGGAGCAGCCCACCCCTGTACAAGAACTTTGGCGAAACCGGAATAACCCTGGTAGAAACCACTAATTTGCTTCGGGGACAGGTACGTAGACGAAAGTCCAGTCTCCTTAGAAATTGGCCGCTGCAGGAGCCCTCGCGGCTCGTGCGCTAAAGCCAGATACCAACACCGTTACCGGGAGCAGTCTGACAGTTCAGAAGACCCACGACCGGGTTCTGATTTACACTGCGAAGTCGGAGTGGCTTTTGAAGCCCTTCTTTAGTCATCTCAAATGTTTCATTGAGGTCTGATGTGCTGCTGACGATTCCAGAAGAGTTCTCGAAGGCGCTCAACCATGAGATCGTGGGGATCCCGAGCAGATATCGTATGCTCGTTCGTTTTCTGGGTGAATTCGAGCTGGAGACGGCAAAAGGGCTTGTCTCCTTCGCCGTATATCAACGGCATATTAACGCCTACAAGCTCGTGAAGACAACAGGCAATGTCCTCTGGTCTGGTGGTGTTTCTGCATGATGCCCAACTGAATCTAGTGGTAGCTGTACTAGCTTCCTAGGTACTAGCCCGGTCCAGAATTAAGTTCTCGTCGACTCCTATGAGCGCGCTAATGCTGGTAACTGCACTTCACTTTGTTCCAACGAAGATATTGTAGAAGTCGATCACAGCAGGCGCCAATAGCTCTTGCAAACACCAACCACGGCTGAACCAGCGGATGTACTACAAAGAGACGTCTGTGACACTGAAGCGATCTAGATTAGAGTGAGAAAGAAAAGCGTAACAGATTTCGGCATCCCAATACCACGTGTACATGGACTGGATCGCCTCACTCAGCTCAGAGCTGCCTCTCTTCTCGATGCAGCAGGTGTCGATCCACACCCAATCATATCCATCGCGTATGGCTTGCTAACAGCACTTGACTATCTCTCCGTAGCCCTGCATGCCCTTCGCACGATTTTGGAGGATGTCGTCGAAGGTGACCTCGCCGTCACCCCAGGTGTGCGATAGTATCACTTATGGAGGAACTTGCTGAACAAAGTTGGGCAACATTTGAGTTTTTGTGTTCAGCAGTCGCATATTGTAGATTTTGCAGTCAACATCCCGCAGTTGTTTAAGTCATGTCGAGGGAAGGACCATCCTACGCTTATGTGTTGCGTGCAGAGGTGTCTTTGGCTTTCCGTGCACTTGGCCGTGAATAGCGGAAGTAGCCACAATATGACGGGAAACTGGTGTCGTTTAACAATGACAGTTGTGCTCACTCGGTTGCTTTGACGTGGGAGTCTACCTAACGTGGAAAGCGGAGTAGAATGCCAAGTCCTCGAAAGCGGTGGCGGCTGGCAGAATTTCGCGCAGCCAAAATATTCGGAAGTTTACCTCTCCACCCGCAACATTGCGCACACGAGTTATCACGCACGGAAAGGTCACATTTCTAGCGGGATAATACGGGATTGTGCTTCTAGGACATCAAACCGCTTCCTTTCTCCGATATGGCCTCGAAACCGCCGACCAAATCGTTTGCGCCCCAACCAAGACCGAAAAAGACGCCCGTGGACGATGCCGAAGCGCAACTACAAGCCGAATATGCGCAAGCCGCAGATTCGCAGTACGGCCGCGGCCGGAAAATCTCCACAAAATCAGTAAAAGACAAGAAATTACGTGCAAACCTAAGAGCTCTGGAGCAGAAAACTAAACAGGCGACGCTGCAAGCAAAACAAGCAGAAATCCTGCTAGACAATGAGGCGGGACTAATAGAACCGGAATATGAATTGGAACGAACATATAAGGTCCGGCAAGACGACATACGAAACGAGGTTAGCATCGAAACTGCAAAGAAGGGATTTGAATTGCGACTGGACGCGCTGGGCCCGTACGATGTATGCGACTATACGCGAAACGGACGCGAGCTGCTCATCGCGAGTCGCAAAGGCCATGTCGCAAACTTTGACTGGCGAGAAGGAAAGCTAGGCTGCGAATTGCAGCTCGGCGAGACAGTACGCGATGCAAAGTGGCTAAACAACAACCAGCGCTTCGCCGTCGCGCAGAAGAAATGCGTATACATCTACGCAGGCGATGGTGTGGAAATCCATCAGTTGAAGAAGCACCAGGAGGCTACCCATCTGGAATATTTACCTTACCACTTCCTCCTCGCATCCATATCAACAGCAGGCATGATCCGCTACACCGACATCTCCACTGGCCAGATGTTGTCCGACCTTCCTACGAAACTCGGCCCGCCGACCGCACTCACCCAGAATCCGTATAACGCAATACTACACGCAGGCCACCAAAAAGGTCTCGTCACGCTGTGGTCACCCAACAGCCAAACGCCCCTCGTCAAGCTCCTCCCCCACCGCAGCCCCGTCCGCGCCATCGCCGTGGATAAATCAGGTCGCTACATGGTGTCTGCCTCTCAAGACCGTCAAATGTCCATATGGGACATCCGCATGTTCCGCGAACTGCACTCGCACCACCTCAAAGCCCCCGCACATAGCATTTCTATCTCCGACCGCAACCTAACCGCCGTAGGCTGGGGCTCGCATGTCTCAGTCTACAAGCCCGACCTCTTCAGCCTCTCCCCCGAAAGCGACGTCCGCGTGCCGACACCGTACATGAACTGGCAGGGCGACGGCATGGGCGTCAGCAAAGTGAAATACTGCCCCTTCGAAGACGTGTTGGGCATCGCGCACGCAAAGGGCTTCACGTCCATCCTTGTCCCCGGTTCCGGCGAACCCAATCCCGACTCCCTCGAGCCCGGCACCAATCCTTTCGAGACTCCCAAGCAGCGCCAAGAGGCCGAAGTCCACGCTCTGCTCGAGAAACTCCAACCAGAAATGATTTCCTTGGATCCCAACTTCGTCGGCAACCTCGACCTCGTCTCTCACGAACAGCGGCTGGCGGAAAAGGATATGGACGCCAAAAAGGAGAATAAGGTGGAGAAGCTGAAGAAGAAGGCCCGGGGGAGGAATAGCGCGTTGAAGAAGTACCTCCGGCGCCACGGACAAAAGAACATCATCGACGAAGAGAAGGTTCGCGCAAGGGAGGCGCTGCAGAGAAACAACGCGAAGCTCGCTGCAAAGCTGAAGAAAGACCAAGAATCATATGGTCCTGCGCTTGCGCGGTTCGCAAGGAAAGGGTAGTATTTCCTAGGTGGTAAATCAAAAGTGCTTTCAGCATCAGCGTCTGGCGTTTAGCATCAGGTACATAGGGCGGTTCGGCGTTGATAGTCCGGGTGGATATACCCTCGTGTCAGATGGATGATATTGTGTTGGAATATATACAGAAGAAACGATGAAGGTGCCCTGGCGAAACCCAGAAGTCGTCGCTACCTGTAGCGCCTGGGTATGAAACTCCATATACGATGCTAGGGAACATGTCCTTCCTACTGTCCCACCCGTTCCAATCTATATCCGGGTATCTCAATGCTCTTGCGCCGGTCCACCCCGCATAAAAATCCTCTTAGTACCTCCAACCTTTCCCAGATCCCCAAATGAAGCTTGCCCTCTAACACTCGTTCTACTTTCGTTGCGACTCTCGCTCCGGCTCTCACTACGACTTTCACCCCTTCCATTATGTGTTTGGTTTTGTGGCGTAAACTGATTCATCAAATTCCCACTCACGCTACGCGCTTGTTTCATCATACCCTCAACCCATTCAGCCTTTTCGTTGTCTAGATCAATCTTCTTAGACTTCGGACCTGCGAGACCGACTTCCTCACCACGCCAAGAGCGACGGCTCGAATCTGAGGCGGGGGTTCCAGAGGTCTCGTTGCTGCTGGTTGGGGTGGGCGTAGGCGACAAGTGCGGCATGGGCGGTGGGGGTTCGTTTGTTGATATTCCCGTTCTTGTAGATGGTCTGTTGGGCGTGGTGGTCGGGCTAATGACCTGGGAGCCGCCACTGGCACGCCTATTACGGCTGCTCATAACGCTTTCCGAGCGGTTGGGTGACAGATCAGCGCCAACTTCCAGACCTAGGATCTCGAACTGGCCGTTGCTAGCTGTTCGTCGTCCATGGTGCTCAGCGTACTGTCGTAGGTACTCTCCAAGGTCGGCCCAACCACCGCCGACGCGGACCATGACGCGTTCGCCGTTCTCTCCTACACGGCGGATGAATAGCTTAACTGGATGTTCCTTGCCAGGCTGCGTGAGATGATACATGCGAATGTCGTTGTCGCCTCGTAGCGACGCTGTCGACCTTCTGCCTGAGAGCGCTTTAGCTGAGTCGAAATCTTCCTTCACGGGTGATAAGGTAAGCTCGGGAGATTTCATGCCGCTGACGGAACGCGCAGCTCGGAGATATCCCTTACTACCTTTGTGAGACACCGCCCGTGAAGCCTTTGGATTACGAGCATCCGCTCCGTTTCTTGAGGTGAGACGGATGTGTGCAGGAATGGTAGAGAGGACATCGGATATTTTCCGCTCGAAGTCGTCGGCGGTGGTTGGGGTCGTATGAGAGAATTGTGTGGGTGGCCATGGGGCGCGCTCTTCAACAGATGATTCGGTGTCATTCTTTCGTCGCTTCGGCATCGCTGCGTTGAGAGCAGGTCGAGGTGCCCTCGACGATCTGTTCGTGGCATTGCGTACAGAGGGTGACGGACTGAAAGCACTAGGCGGACTTGAAGAGTACGAAATATCTGAAGAAATAGACTCCATGCTTTCTCGACGTGAGCGAGGGGTGTGGGGTCGAACGGGTGTGTGCTGGCCATCCTCGCTAGTGACAATAATTTGGGACTCAGTAGGGCTTGTTGACTCAAAATTTGACTGCGCAACTCCCACAGTATCCTCTCCGATCTCGTTGTGTATGACCGTGTCGCCTTCTTCGAAGACGGATTCGTCCTCCAACACATCGTCTTCTGTTTCCGTATGTTTCGACGTTTCATCAATCGCCGTCTCCAATACAGGGTAATGTTCATCAGTGGTGTCCGGCTTGAACTCTCCGTCTGCACTGCTTGCGCTATCATTCTTCTGGACCAATCCTGCATTTTTGTCGGCCTGTGTGGTTGGCGCAACATTGTCGGAATGTGCCACGAGCTCGCCTTCCAGCACCATAGATTCACCGCTTGGACCGCCGTGCCTTCGCACGTCAAATTCGATGACCTTTCTCCGTGATTCCTGTGTCCATCTCCCAAAGTCTCCTTCAACGCCTTCGAAAACATCGATCCAGCGGTCTGGCAAGCAATCTTCGTGTCCTTCCAGCGAATCTAGCATAGTGTCTAACCGGCGTCCCAGGTCGCTGACCCTATCTCGCATAACTCCAGAGATTGTGTCCACTGTTTTCTTCCACGTATCAAACGCATCATCGGATGGATCCTTCGGTGGGCCGAGGGCTTCCCAGCCCAAGCGCATCGCCTTCTGTGCCGTTTTAAGATCGTCGAGATATCGGGGCGCTTCGCGAAGTACGGTCACACGCGCTGTCCATGTCTGCAGCCGCTCTTTAAGCTGAAAGTGGTGTGGAAGAGCAGAAATGAGTGTCTGGGTGATGAGGAAGTTGAAGTCGTCCATGGGCTTGTAGCTGCTCCGGCTTGCTCCATAGCCTGCAGAAGAAGGTCGCGATCTGCTCCCAGGATGCATATCCAGTACATGGCCCTTTAGCTCCTCCACATCCAAGCTTAACAAGTCGTCGCTGATCTCATCCAGCCGGGCTTCGTGGGCCTGCACTTCGACTGAGAGCAGCGAACCCCAGTATTCGAGCGGCGGGATCTCGTCGGCAGCCGGCGCCTCCTTGATGTGCTCCTCGATGCGCGTCTGTAGGCTCCTCCGACGCCGCTCCTTGTACTCCTCGCTGGGCTGCTCAAAGGAGCCAGACCATCCCCACTGGCCAATCTCGTCACACCAGTTCTTCAGACGCTGCGCTGCCTTGGCCACGCGTGCTCCTAGGTCCCTCTCGGCAGGTGTAAGGTTTTCGATGCACGCGAAGATCTTGTACTCGTCTCGTGTGACATCGTATGGCATCGGTCTTTGTGTAAAAGCTCGTAAGGTGGTGTTGGGCGACAAATCGCGTAGGTGACTCTCGTCGGCGCTTCCCAGCGCGCGTCCCCTACGGCCCCCTGGGGACATAGTGGGCGATGAAGGGCGATTATATGGTGATATGGGCGCCAGGAGGCGCGGTGGGCTCGACAACATGACGGCGATGAGGAAACAGCGACTGGGGCATTAGGGAAGCGCGACGGACCAACGGGAGGAGCGACGTGGCTGTGCAAACCGAGCTTGCTGTCCTTCCTGTTGCTATACCTGTGAATGTTAGCCGTTAGTCCATCCCCTTAGACCTGTCTCTGTTGACTGTCTCTGCCAGCCTGACTGTTTACCCGCGACAAGGCGAGCTCCACAACGGACAGCTAGGCCGGGGGCTCAATCGAGCCTAGCTTCATCATCACCAGCGAACCACCACGACCACGTTGACGTCCCACGTCGGCCTCACCTCGCCCTTCTTGCTCAACACGACACAGCGTACCAACAGACATTCCGCTCATCGTATTGCACGTATCCCAAAGTCTGCAGATGAACAGATCGGGATTCCAGTCCGACGTGCTTCGTTCACCTTCTACTCCGCATGTCGGAGTATTACCGGGCTCAACACAACATGCAGGCGGAGCCAGGAACGGATCCCGGAACAGAGTACAGCCGCGCTGCGGCGTGGTGATGTCGCTATCTTGAGTCCAAGCCGCCGTTGTGTGCACTGATAAAGTACCCCTCAGGAATCACCGTCATGCCAAGGCGATATTAAAAAGCTTCACCCCGCACAAGCATACATACCACCTGCCTGTTTCAGGAAGCCTTGCCCGTTGGTCATTCGGAACCACGTTCAAGTGCAGAAGACGCGTGCTTTGCAGCGTTAATCACGTCTGCCCTTCGCGCCGGAACCGACACAAGGAAGGTGATAATTGACGTTATCTCTCCGAGGTTTCGTTAAGTACTTGTTGCGTCGTTGATACTTGGAAGCCTCCTGGTGCTCTTTGTGCCCACTCCGTTTTGTGTCGACCGTGCTGCACATCATGAAGGTACTTTATGTACTCGCTCTTGTAGTAGGCGTGAATGCTTGCCAGAAAGAAATAACTGCCAGGCACCCGCATCGACGTACAAAGAGACAGGATACAAACGTCACCTTTCCACCACTACTGGATGTCAACGAGCAAATATTAGTGAACTCGTTCGACAATACAACAATTTCAACTTGGTCATATTATTACGGTGAGTCTATCTTGCCTGCAAAGAACGTCATTGCTGACTATTTTACCTTAGCGTGAGTAGGATTGAAATGATGTAGCACCGATCGGCATGCTCATTGGAAGTATAGACACGGAGCGCATCTCGCTGGGACAAACGAAAGCGTAGCCCAGTGGACAGCCGACAGATGGGCTGAGAACGGGTGGACATCTAGGCTTGACGAATACTGTAGGTTTGGTCGCGTTATAAGCTGCAGCATAATTAATGTCTACAGATGTCTACCTGAACTACCCGGTTTCACATTCACTGACCCTCACATACGCTAATGGTAGTACATGGGAGGCATCCCTCGAGGAAGCTGTTTTGGCGGCGGACGAAAGTGAGTAATTCCACGCTCACTTGTAAGCACACAGCATCTCTAAACCTTTTGTAGCAACAAGCTACCCTAACCGGATACCGACCTTCCATGGCTATTCACCAACCGGCAATGCCTCAGCCGAGTATGTGTACGTTGGAAGAGGCCAGCAGGTAGACTTCAACCGCTTGAAAGAGCTCGGCGTAGAGCTTGAGGGCAAGATTGCTTTAGCAAAATATGGCGGGCCGTTCCGCGGCCTAAAAGTCAAGAATGCACAAGAGCACGGCATGATCGGTGTCATTACTTTCACGGATCCTGGCGACGACGGTAATATTACTGAGGCTAATGGCTACGCTGCATACCCGGACGGACCGGCTCGCAACCCCACTTCTGTGCAAAGAGGAAGCGTACAATTTTTGAGCACTTATCCTGGCGACCCTACCACACCTGGTTACGCATCGAAGAAGGATTCACCTCGTGCAGATAAGAGCAACAATGTACCTCGAATTCCTTCTCTGCCAATCTCGTGGTTGGAGGCGCAGCCAATTCTGCAAGCTTTGAACGGCCACGGTACGAGCGGTTCAGAGGTCAACCGCACGAAATGGGTTGGAACGATTCCCGGCGCGGACTATAGCACGGGCGTAGGTTCCGGTGTCTCCCTCTCCCTCTCTAACGTCATGAAGGAGAATTATACCACGATCTGGGACGCCATCGGCATTATCAACGGCACGAATCAGGACGAAGTCATCATCCTCGGCAATCACCGCGACGCCTGGATTGTGGGTGGCGCGTCAGATCCCAACTCCGGCTCCGCCGTCCTAGTCGAGCTCTCCAAAGCCTTCGGCAAACTGCTCCAAACGGGCTGGAAGCCCACCCGCACCATCATCCTCGCCTCTTGGGACGCTGAAGAATACGGCTCGATCGGTAGCACGGAATGGGTAGAGGAATATGTTCCTTGGCTCAAGACAGCAGCAGTCTCGTACTTGAACGTCGATATCGCCGTGTCCGGCCCGTATCCTTACACAGACGCGACGCCAGACCTTCACCAGCTTGCGAGCTCTGTGATGAAGAAAGTAATCTACCCCGTTCCTGACTCCGCCTCGCAAACCCTCTACGACGTCTGGCAGAACGTCTCTGGTGAGTTTGGCGTCTTGGGTGCAGGATCTGACTACGTCCCTTTCGTACACAAGGGTGGCATCGCCTCCCTCGACCTCGGCGCCGGTGGCGACGCAGATTCTCCCATCTACCACTACCACTCCAATTACGACACCTACCACTGGATGTCTACGTTCGGCGACCCAGGCTTTCACACGCACAAGGCTATCGGTCAGTACCTTGCTCTTCTGGCGTACCATCTGTCTTCGGATATGGTACTGCCTCTAGAGCCCGCAGATTACGTTCCGGAATTGGAGTCGTACCTCTCAGATCTAAATGATACGATCATATCGGCGAATGCGAGCATCGATATCTCTGCCCTCGTTTCCGCAATCTCCACCTTCTCCTCCGCAGCACAGGACTTCAACGCCCTCCGCTCGCAAGCCGTGCTCGCTAACGACACCACTCTCATCACTGTTGTGAATCACAAAGCGCGCGATTTCTCGCGGGGTTTCGTCAGCCAAGGCGGCCTGGATGGAAGAGAGTTCTACCAGAACCTTATATTCGCGCCGGGCCTGGATACGGGGTATGCGCCTGTTACTTTCCCCGGGGTCACGGAGAGTGTGACGTTTGCGAAGGATTTTGGAGCGGCACAGGATTGGGTGGGGAAGACGGCGGATGCCATTCTTGTTGCGGCGGGTATACTGGAGACGTGAAGGGATAAACGGGTGCACAGGCTAGAGATAGTTAGATAAGCGGCGTAGTTGATTTGGGTAGCAGACGAGCGCATCATTCACCCATAATAGAAACCTCCGCAATATCACTTCGATACACTAGCCTTACACAAGCTCCCAAGCAGCCAACCTCCCAATTGTCTCCCCGGCTCCCCTCACAATACATATGCGCCCCTCCTTATCCATGCCCTTACCCTCCTCTAATTCCTCCATAACGCGATGTACAACGAGATTCGCAACTGCTGTCGGCATCCCCTCAGCAAGGTTGTAATTCCCCGTTGTGACAAACCCAATCAAGTCCTCTTCGTCAGGCACGATAGGATAATCTTCATCTCCCGCCTTAGGTGGACCGTCACGCGCGGATGGAGGCGGGAGGAAGCTGCGGGCGAGGTCGTGGCGCTGGTTGTGCCCTGGGAGGTTTTGATACGAGGGAGTGGCTGTCCTGGAGTGTTTGGTGCGGGTGGAAGAGGGGTTGAAGGTAGGGAGAAGGGAGAGCCATTCAGTGCGGAGGTTGGGATTGTTGGTGGGTAGACGGTAGATACGGGCGCATGTTGTGGGCGTGCCGCGCTGGGTCATACTGATCTTAACGGTGAAGAGATGTGGTGTAGACGATGATACTGATGGGACGACTTTCCCTGCTAGTAATGCGGGGGCGTCTCGTGAAGGTAGCTGGTGGAAAGGTGAGTGTGAGGGCTGGTCTTCTGTCCCCGTCATAGACAGGGCTTCGCCATCCTTCTTTAGAAGCCTCTCCCACTCGCACGCCCAAGGGTCGCCTAGTTCACCCTTCCTCCCGTTACCCATATCGATTGTAGACCACTCGATACGCTTCCCCTTCGGCCGCTTCGTCCACTCATGCTGCCTCACCGCCCGCTCTTGCTGCTCCCATCTCCAGCCGGCGTCACATCCAGGAAAATCGAAGGGAAAGCTCGGCAGCGAGCGTTCGAAGGCTACCTGACGCCTTTCCTTCAACCCACCAAATCGCGGGTTGCCGCCAGTTGTCAAGGGGTATCGCATGAGTCCTCGCCAGACCGGTGTCACGCACTTCCATGGGAGGAGCACAGTCCAGGACTTGCTCTTCTTCGAGGTGTAAACTAGCATGGGGATTTGGGGGTCTGTTGCTCGTGGCTCGGGGTATCCGCCGAATGCGCCTTCGGTGCTCTTGCGGCAGTTGATCGATTTCTGGGAGGAGAGAGAACGTGCTGCCGCAAGCCTTGCGTTGCGACTGAAGAGGGCAGATTCGTTTTGGGTCGCATCGACAGGCCACGCAGCGAGCAATTCCATCAATGTCGTTTGCGACTCGACATCTTGGGCTCGTCGTGGTTTGCGTGGCGGGTCTCGGAGCCGCGGATCGCAAATGGGAAATGAGAAAAGCGCTCCTGGTGGAAGGACACCGGGATCTGAGACCTCTGTTAATGCTGGCCAAGTCGATTGAGGAGAGTTTTCGTCGGCTGGAGAGCTCGGGTGTAAGATGGAGCAAAGGCTTTCCGCGGCGCCGGGGCCTACGATCTCGATCGATCCGATCTCAAATCGAAGGTCCTCCAGAGTCACTGCCGGCTTCTGTACCTTCGCGATCCGTATGACCTCATTCCATAGCTGTAGGAATGCGCAAGGATGAACCCGAATGAAAACCTTCCTCTTCGTACTGCCTTCCTCCGCTACGCACCATATGATCGTAACATACGCAATTCCCTGTGGAACGTTTCCCTCTCGTTCGTATAGCCAGCCGTCCCATACCCTTGAACCGGTTCTCCATTTCTTCGCCTTGCCTCGATCCTGCCATGGGTCTTCTTCGCTCTCTTGCGAGAAGTGCAACCCTTTCAGCAGACCCAATATGCTCGCTTCGACGCCCTCCAAGCTTATGGTGGACATGTAACTCATATCCCAGGCCACAGCGCCCCTCAATGCCGAAGCTCGGTGGGTTAAGCGATACGCTTTTACAGCTGGAGCTAGTGGTATCGCAAATCGCCAGAGCGGTTCGGTCGGAGGTGTCATCCGCGCCCGTTTCGTATGCCAAATATGTGTTGGAAGCCACGTCTTGTTCTGCTGGCGTCGGCGAAAGCGCGAGGGCGGTGTCTCAGGTGTAGCTAGCACGGCAAAGTTCCTCTTTGCCTTTTTTACAACGTCCTTCTTGGTAGTATTCGTAACCTTTTCGACCCCCGTACCCTCCATAGCTTCGTCCGCTGCATCGCCGCCATCCTTATTCTCTTTCCTCCTCCTTTTACGCTCTTCCCACATCTTCCGACTCTTCTCGATCCCCTGTTTTCGCAACCACTTTTTCTTGCCCTTCCCCACCCCACTTCCGCTCGTTCCCCTGGAAATCGGCGTGTTGTCTTCAATTGCTTCCTGTTTTGCCCTAACTCGCAGTCTCTTCGGTACCCGCTGCGGATTATGACTCGCCGTCCTGCGCCTCAACTCCCGGGGTACATCCTGAAAGGCACGACGCGACAAGCCCTTCTTTGCAGCGCGCATTGCATTTTCAAGTGAGTTGATTTCGTTTTGGTGCGAATTGAGGAAGGCCCTGAGATTGATCTCGCCGTTGGGGTACGCGGCGTTAGTCGACTTGGTGGAGATGTGGTGCGCGTGTGCTCGTTGAGCGAAGCGCGGACGTTTTGCGGAGGGCGCAGACTCGGAAGCGGGTTTGCGCTTTTTGCGATTGTTATCCGACATGGCGATGTACATACATGTATATGACTTAGTATGGAGGCTGTCGCGAGACGACTTGGAGGTCCCAAAATTTCGGAAGTTTCCCCCGTACGCGTGGGGTTAGCGTCATCGCGTACCCACGTGCATCTCTCTTTCATCACCTTGCACAATTTGAACAGTCGCAGAACATTTCTACTCATGTTGTCTTTCCTACAAAGACGCATCTCTAATAATTGGACCTCGACCTCAAGCGCCCACCGTCGCACAAGAACCTCTTCCATCGAACAGGATGCCTCGTTCAACATGCGCGCCATTCTACAGACATAAATCAATATTTCTCTTGCATATATCACATCCAAACCAATCGCACTCTTCCAATCATGGAAGACAATATATTATCACGATCTACACGGCGCAGTAATGGCCGCATACGGTATGCTTACACGTTCGCCTCCAAACCATACCCAACCATTATTCCTGGCGATGGTCGCTCGTTAGCTTCACGGGATCACTACAGCCTCGCAAGTTGTATTTGTAGTAGGCTAAACATCGGCCGAGCTACAGTGATCGACCTTATGCACAATCCCGCTACGTCGTAGCCGCACTGTGATCCCCGAGGGTATCGTCTGCATTCCAGCCCGGCCATAGAATCCCTTCAGCCCATGTTCTTGCGAGTCCCTCACCCTCGCTGAATACAACACCATCTCAAAAACCATTCGGTCACTCATGATTTCAATCTTTGTGCTCGGCTACACCGTTGGCCCACTGCTCATCGCGCCTCTTTCGGAAATGTACGGACGAGCGCTCGTCATCAATGCCCTTTCCTGCGAAGTTATGAGATCTATTGACGTAGTTGAATAGAAAACGAAATTGGAAACGTGTATTCTCATGATTACTGCCCATACTCATACATCGTAACAGGTACTGCGTGTATCCGCCAGCGTCCAAATATCAGTGCTCTGCCCAAGAGATATCGCCGAGAACGCCTAAACCCGCCCAATGCTCGTCTGTAATTCCACAATGATGAAAGCAACATCCAAAAGCTCATAAAAGTGCTCATCATACGTCTTTTTCTTGCATAGAAGCTTCGGTCTATGCGCGATCTAGTCGCTCCTCAACATGCTCTCCACTAGGTCGCCTAGCGGTCCCCAGAAGTCCTTGCTCCCACTCGCTAACCCATGCTCGTCGATGAATAGCACGTAGTGCTTGAAGCTCGTGTTCAGATGCGGCTCAAGACCCAACTCGATGACGACCGGGTAGTGATGGCAGTAGATGTGGGCGTAGACGCGGTAGAGCCGCTTGAACATATTGCGGATGAGGGAGGCGAACGATTTGGGAAAAGGTACACCGATGCGGCTAGGAAAGTGGGCCTCGTTGTCGACATTCGCTTGGATCCACGCCATGAGGTGCTCGATGTATTCCGGGGCAGACATCTTGGTGGGCTTTTTAAACGCCTCGTTGTCCTGCCACAGATATTCGAATCTGAGATCTTCATTAGTAGGTATGGTGAAATGAAAAGGCGCTCGGTGCATACTCGTCCGTAGCTTTCATCTCGGGGCAGCTCTGCGGCGAGCAGAACTCGGTAATGGAGCCATAGAGAAGGTTGATCTGGTTGTAGAAGTCGACCACTTCCACCTGTTAGTGGCGGACGTCATTGACCAAGCATTTCCCATACCATTGACAGCCAGCCACTCGTCCTTGTCCTCTCCCTCTGGTAGCTTGACCGCCTTCCTCAGACTCCCACTCCCCAGCGTTGCCTCGGCATATTGCTTCAGCTGCCAACTGCTTGTGCCTCGACTCGACTTTTGCGGCTTGAACGGTGCCCTCTGTGTCCGCGGGTTACTATATGAAGAAGAAAGTAAGCTTATGCCTCCTTCAGATTGCGCTGCTTGTGCATTTGTGTCGGCATTGGAAATTGTGCCGATACCGCTGCCATCTTCATGGTCTTTACCAGAGCGGCTGCGACCACTGTTTGAAATTTGCTGCTGTAGGGATGGCCCTTGGCCCGCAGGTACCGACTTGTAAGAGTAGTTGGAATAGTCTGGAGCCATGGTCTGTTGCCCACGCTGACGCGGTAGACGAACCTGGTCGAGGGCACTGCTAGAGGCTGCTAGCGAAGAGACACCCGTCGCATTGTTCTTAGTAGACGATGCGCAAGGTGCTCCTGCCTGCTGTGTCCGCAATGCCTTCCCAGCGCGCTGCAATGGGCTCTTGTACGCTGTCTGCGGTAAGAGGAGAGAAATGCCGCCATCAATCTTAGCCCAGGCGTCTCTGGTGTCCCCTTTTTCGGCTCGGTCCAGCATATCCATCCCAAGGTACATGCAGCTCTGGCTCTGGGCAAAGGTGAAGACTGGTTGCAGCGGTTTCGGTCTTGCTGGGAAATGAGAGTGCGAAGCGTGCAAAGCAGCGGTGGAGACGGGTGGAACGAACATTGTGGATATGAAGCCTGACATCTTCTACGACAGCGTTGTTCTAGATATACCTGCGTGATCGTGTTGCGCGGTAGCCGCTTCGCATTCCGTTCGTTAGCAGGGTGACCGGCAAGCGCAAGGAATGCACAAACCTTCACTTGCGAGTGGACAAGATGAGAATGACGCTAGGAGGGACTGTGAATCTGAAATCAGAAGAAGGAAAGTCGCGAGAGCTTGGAAGTTATTGGTATAGACTGGGGTGAGTGTTTGGTTGCTGGTGCCCCGCGATAAACAATCGACGCCACAGCATGACTAAGCCTCTAGCCACAATTAAGTGCTCCTTTGCCTCTCTGCTCTTGCCTGCATGCCACCTACTCGACCAGGTCCTATTTGGTTCATGTCTAAACTTAAGGAGCATTTGGATACAGCAGCTATGTGCAAAGCGCGACTAGATCCACGTTCTCATGACTCTAGCGTGACGTCAGCAACTTGCCCCCCCTGAGTAGACCTCTGTCTTGAGAAGATGGGCAAAGTCCTCCATGTACACTCTATAGTCGGACTCACGCCGAGCAAGGGACCAAGCGTCTTGTGCATCGTTTCTTTCCTGTAACTGCCCAGGAAGCGTCTTTTCACTCAACACAGCCACCCATATAGAGCATCCTGGAGGGCGCTTCTTACACTGAGCCGCAACGATCAGGAAGATGTCATCGCAGGCTCAAGTCCCATATGGCCCCTCAGTACATGTCAGACACTCACGTATTATTCTACGGCTACGAGCTCCAGCTGCCGGAGTCTCGGCTCCAAATGTGGTATCCAGCCTCCTTCACCGATCCTCAGTATCCAGGTAATATTTCCGAACAGCAGAGCATGACGTGATGCATGCGAAAGCTCTCCTAATGTCGGATACCGCGGTAGCGAGGCGCATCCTCGATGCTGCAACTCCAAAGGAAGCCAATAGCCTCGGAAGGGGGATCAAGCATTTCGATGGGGAGCTCTGGAGAAGCAAGGTGGATGAGATCGCTGAGCAGGCGAATTACCTAAAGTCTCACAGGTAGAGGAGTGTAAAGATTTGCTGCTTGCGGCCGATAATAAGGTATTAATTGAGGTTTCACCTGTTGAGAGGAATTGGGGAATTGGCTTTGCCGCGGGTCAGGCAGAGGGCAAGAAGGACTGGGGTGAGTCTGCTTGGGAAGGCTCTTATGAGGGTAAGAGATAGGTTAGGAGAAGGTCCGGAGTAATCTGGTTAGGAAACGAGAAGAGGATGCTATGACAAGCACGGAGAAAAAGCATAGCAAGCACAGCTTAACATGGCGGTGAAATGGTAAAAAGAGATCTGCGAAAATCCGCTGCTTCTTGCCCATTATCAGAATCGAACTGATGACCTTATCATAGCGGCTTAGTACTAGTGATACGCTCTACCACTGAGCCAAACGGGCTTTCATCCGAAGATTGAAAGCTGTGCTGAGGACGTTTGGGCTGGAGTTTGAATGATATAAGAACCACTACATTGGGAAGGACACTTCTAAACCCAACGTCAAGATGGATAAAAAGTGAGCCCCTTGATATCATGATACAACCTCTTCATTCGCTGGAGTCCAGGCTCAGGGCTCAAATTCTCCGTTGCTTCCGCTTGCAACTTGTGCTGTTGTGGGTCCTGCCGAAACCTCGGCACAGATTTCCACCGCAAATATGAGCATACCTCAAGATCCTCATCCAGAATCCTTATGAAGGAAATCTGCAAGGTAAGCTCTTCATGTGCACTCAACAGGCTCGGTGGTGTAGTTGGTTATCACGTCAGTCTAACATTGGTTAGCACACTGAAGGTCCCGAGTTCAAACCTCGGCTGAGTCATCGCATGTACGATTCGCTCCTGCTCCTGCGTTCCAGCCGCAGGCCTCCTTTTTTATGTCGAAGCGTTAGAGCGCCCGTTGTTGTCGTACTAGTCAACAAGGACAGTATACAAGCCTACTCGAACGTGTTCATGACTGGACCTCGGAATCTAGTCCTTTTTCAAGTGAACATAACGAAACTGACTCTGTGCTTGATGACGACATTTCCGAGCTGGCTGGACAATGGCGGTATGACCAACAGTTGGTGGATCTGCTCACGAAAATGAGACGGCCAAAACATCAAGTGCCAACCTAAGAAGTTTGAGGCTAACCCGAAGAACTGGACTGAATGGGGTTGTCTGATCGACTACTGCCTTTCCGAACAGAACAAAGACGTATGCGAAGTTGAATTCAGCATGGGCATCATGATCGTGGTCATCGTCTCCAACATCATCAAAGTGATCGCAATGACGTGGGTGCTGTTGCGGTATAATGCCGAGGATATTCTTGCGACCGTTGGCGACTCTGTCTCGAGCATTTTAGAACGAGAAGATGAAATTACCAGGGGCATGTGCCTTGCGGGCTGGCACGATATTGACCGCGCTTGGGGATATCCGGGGACGGGCGTACTGCAACAGTCTCGAAGGCAACGCTGGGCCAGAACAATCAGTCATTCGGAATTACAACTCTTAAAGCTTCTGTCAGTTTTGGAGACGACGGCTTGACTGTTCAACTGGTAGAAGACGCGACTTTACCAAGGTCGTTGATCCAACTGCAGGATAATGTGTGATGTCCGAGCTTCTCTCTCTGAGGTAAAGCTCGAGGATCCCCAGGGTTACTTGGCCTGATTCCTAACTCGTGAATGTGTCTTCTGTTACGAGTTGGAAAATTCTGATCATACTCGACACTTCGATTGTGGTTGAGCCTACCGCCACTACACGTGTCTTATGGTTTAAGCAAACGTACGTGCAACAGTACTGCTATTCAGAGCGCGGCATTCGTATCTTTTGTGGTCATATGCAACTCGCTTCAGATCGTTGCTATACATCTGACCTTGAAGGAGGTGTCGTCTGATCATCTATCAACACAAGGTGGTGCTATCTCTTCCTTTATGTAGGGACCGGATCGAACCACAGCTGGGCGATGTACACGGGAAAGGAAGCGCTTTGCGCAAAACGACTTGGTAATCCACCCAGGACAAGACGAGTCTGCTAGGCAGTGGAGCTATACCCGAGGACGTCAAGGATACAATGGTCGAAGCAGGATCGTTTTTGCTTGTGCTTTTGTAAGTGTTGACGCCAACCTCTTCAGGACATCTTCTTACCAACGTTTATAGGAGTGTCTATCGGAGCTATGCTGGTTGCTGTCATCTTCCTCAGCATCCGTGTCAGTCGAGCGAAGTGAGGAGCAACTGCGCATACTCAGTTGTCGTTCCCCATGCAATTCTTCGACACCCGTAGAGTCATCTTCAACACTTTTCTGGCACATCTGCCCCAGACTGGCCTTTCGATCTCATATTGGGCACTAAACCATATCTGCACATCATTGTGTTTTTCAAGAGAATGGGAAAAACCTTGCAAGGAAGCGGAGAGGACTCCGTGTGACGAACCGGATCGAAGATCAGCGAAACGCCTTCTTCCTCTAGCTATCGTATCGATGGGCCGCCACTCACATTCATGCCAGGGCTTCTACATTGGTTACTCTCTCAATCGATCTTTCCTGTTCGATAAGACATCCGCGACCACGGTGGTGCCTTCAAATTCAGTCTCTCCAAAACCACGTGCGGTTACTCGAGTCTGAGTCTGCTCGTGTATCTCGTGCGTGTTGCTACTGTGCTGCTACTCCTCTCGAAGCGTCACATGTTGCATACTTCCAGCCGGTCATTGTAGCCTAGCTATAAGCGCAGCTTGTCACCCTCCTCCAGATGATAAGGACTCACATCTTACGCCGGTACAGTAGGCATGATTAGGAGCATACATGGTGGCGAAATTTCACACTGCTCAATCACTAGTCAGGAGGTGACTGTGCCGGTACCAGGAGAGCTGTATGCTTGAAGTAGATCTAAGGCGAACGCACTAGAAAGGATCGTGCAATGGTAGTATATGCTTATCTAGTATGCGCATGGCGAGAGCTATTGGGATAGTAAACGCAAGTAGCAATACGAATGGACACGATATCTAAATGCCGAGCTCCGCAAACACTCCCATTGTGAATATTTCCGAAGCAACCTTATAGACTAAGAGATGTACCATACTATTATGGTCCTGTTCACCTATACTATTGTAGTATTTTCTGCTTTTTCCTCTTCACACAAACCATAGGGAGAAAATGATTCAGAAAATAATTGAATAAATTATTCGTGTACCCATACTATAATAGCAAGCTTGCCAAAGTGTCCTATTAGCTACGGAGGGGTTTCCGTGATTAGCTGGGTGATTTGAAGCTTAGGGTAGCGTGCGAACATGTATGTTCCTCCATCCTCTACACCATTACCCGTCATCCATCACCCATCACCCACACAAGCACCTCGGCATCATTTATTAGAACCTACGCGCATCACATCTTCCTAAACCGCTTGGTCTCAACAGTAGGGGGGTTAGGGTAGATGCTCAGAGAGGTAGAACTTCTTTAAGTATTCCACCGAGCCAGGTCATGTGCAAGAACTTCAAGATATCCTTCACGATGACCTCCTATCATGTGATGAGCCTTTCACTATCATGTGATGAGGCCTTCACCACGACCTACTCATATGATAAGACCTTCACCGTGACCTTTTAAGCTTTGATAGTATAGAAACAGCTTGTGCTAGATGGGCAAGGTTCTTTACTACTAGGGCGGAAAAGCCGCATTCTATAATATAAAAGCAGTCTCAATGTCTATAGCGAAAGCAATGGGTTCCCGTAAAAGCCGATTGTTCTCTCACACGCTCTAACTCTTCACCCTCGGCAGTGGTCAATGGTGGAAGAGTAGTATCTTTACAAAACCCTGAGCTGGCGCCAACAACTATGCTCGCGCACGAAAATCATAGTGCCAATTGGCGCATAGCCATAGAGACACTAGACCGACAATCCATCGTTGACTATATCGAGCTCTCTTCAACCGGCACTTCTATCAAAGTTACCGAGAAGATTATCACCACACATCGAACCCAGCTCCCCCTCACAAAACGGGTCCTCCAGAAATTCCTGCTATTCCGAAGGCCAGTCATCGAGTAAGCAGCAATGTCCTGCGCAAGTTTCATCGACCTAGAAGCATTCACCTCCTCTAATTTCATGCTCGTTTAGATTCGAACTCGAAACAATTTTATTTACACTCTGCTCTAGATCCGAAAGCATTCCTGGAGGCATACAAGGAATGTGACGAGAGACAGAGAGCCGGGGACGCAACCACGCATTTGTGTCATCAGTACTGAGTCTAACAACGCGTCTTTTGATTTCATGCTGTGGCTTTTTGCCATGCATGATTCTAGATTGCGTTGCTAGACTGCTCTCGAGTAGTGCGAAAGTCGGATGCGCATTTGAAGGTGGGGTGACGACGGTTGTCGCTAGGCTCCAAGATCACGTGTGGAAGGTCTTGCGTGATGCATGATCTACTTTGGTCGTATAGCGTGTTTGTATGGAGTAAACACAGTACGACCTAATCTCCAAATACGACGGGTACACATTCTCCTCCAGAAGTCTTGCTGCGACCTTCCGCACTATTCCGATTGTCGATTGTCACAGGACGTTACAACCCTCACTACGAGTCTAGACACTGAACAAACATGAGAAAAGTGAGCTTCGTGACAACAAAAAGAGTAGGGGTGTAGGGGTAAGGCTCGTGGAAAGTCGCCCAGGGACAAAGAGAACTATATCCGTTTCATGGCCTTGTCTGCGAAATGTGAATGAAATTCCAGCATGAGACATACCAGACTAGTCTGGTAGAAGCTCTTCTTGGTGGGTGTACGATGCCGGAATGGCTATTCAAAAAAATGATCACACACTTTTGTGGCGATGCATCATCTGAAACACAGAAGACGTGAACAGAGTATTCTCGTTTCTGCTATCACGATGACGTCAATTACGTGTGTTGTGTGAGATTGTAGTATTATCGTTACTCCGACAAAGTCGGTTTAGAACCCCGAGATGGTATCTTCCTATGCAAGCTAAGCATCACTCAAATTCGCCGCAGTCTTCGGTTCCGCCCCCACATTACCAAACATGTCTCTTTCCTCCACACCAGCTGCTCCAGTTCCCACACGCGAGATCTTGAAACCACCTGGCGCTTTGGTCTGGAATACACCCTTGGGATCGAATTTTCTGGCGGCCGCCCGGATCTTCTCCACATTGTCGGAGCCATAGCTCGCCAGCGGGTCCTGATATGCGTCGGCGTAGTTCATGAACTGCCAGTCGACCAAGCCGTCTTTGCTCGCGGCGAATTCCTGCATCTGTTCGCCGTAAGAGCGTAACAGGGGTCTCGCAACAGCTTCCTCGTCAGCCGTCTTGACGGCGATGTTGAACAATAACATGATGGCATTCCGGTCAACTGCGTCAAGACCCATGACGTTTCCGCCTCTCTCCACGCTGTGCATCGAGAAAACGGTCGGAATAGATTGGAACATGCATTGGGTGATGAAGTCGGGGTCATTGGTCGCTTTCCACTCGTTCACGAAGGCTTCATTGAGCTCGACAATCTTGGTGAAGATTTCGGCGTCGTTGGCGAAGGTCATGGTGAACCAGATGTCCCTGCAAAGTGTCAGTGTGGTAGACAAGCGTGTAGCATGGATACGGACCGATATCCAGTAGCTTGCTCGAGCTCATCTGTCAGTGCCTTGTGGCTGTCTATCCTCAGAGTATCAGCGATACGGGGGATGGCCATGAAGTCATCAAACCCGACCGGTGCCTCGTCACCCTGAGTGTCCTCGTATGCAGCCAGTATCACAATGTCAGCCATGGCAGGCAAGTAACTCCAGAATATGATAGAGCTCCCATCAGGATAGTTGTTGATATTGTCGGTCCACTTGACGTAGGCTGCAATCTGCTCAGCAGTGGCCGACTTGTTGTAAGTCGCAGTGCCACCCCACAGGTTGCCAGTTTGAAAGGCGAACATGTCAAATCTGGTAACGATGCCGAAGTTGGCAGCAGAGCCACCTTTCAGAGCCTGCCAGAGATCGGGGTTCTCATCTGCGTTCGCATTCACTACCTCACTGGAATTCTGTCAGTGGGGCTTCGTCGTGAGAAAGTCGATATCTTAACCCACCCATTTGCAGTAACGAGTTCGAAGTTCTTGACATTGTCGCATGCAAAGCCCTTTCGAGCAGTAAAGAATGAGTTGCCTCCACCAGTCAAAAAACCAGCAACGCCGACACTGCCGGCCCTTCCCCCAGGAACAGTCCAGCCATCAGGATCCAGTGCTGCATAAACATTCATCCATCTTGCTCCTGGTCCAATTGAAGCGACTGAAGCGTTCTTGTCAAGCGAAACATCTTTCATGAGGCCCAGATCGACTGTTACACCATCGTTGATGTTGTTTGAGCCTGCCCATACCGTGTGTCCTCCAGAGCGGACAGCGAACTTTGTCGAAGAACAGCTTGCACCTGCCACGAGTGTATTCACTACCTTGACTACGTCCGAAGTGCACGTTGGCTGCACTATGCAGTACGGACTTAGTTGCGCGCTGACGGACCAGTACGACTCAGTGCGGTTGGAGTACTCTGTCGAGTTGGGATACAAGACGTGGGCTAGCCCAGCACCTTGGAGAGCTTGACACTAGAGGTGACGTTAGTATCAACTCTGGGACATGAACCCAACCAACCAAACGAAAGAATTGTCACTTACGCACGTACTGTTCTGAGCCAAGGCGGCAGGGAGACCCAACAGTATGGCAGCGACCTTCAACATGTTTCAGACTTCGGCCCGTGAAGAGTGGGAAAACCAGTTGTCAAGCAGCACGGTGGAAGGATTGCGCAACCTAAGAGAGAGCTCACCGAATTTAACTGTGAGCGTTATTCTTTACCTGACTCGACTGATTGCCACTCTTTGCCATCCTGGTACGTACATACCAGGCACATTGCACCTAGCCGTTGACGTTCTTCGAAAGGGGAAAATTCTACGATATGAACCAACCGTTTTCTATCCGGATGCGATACCGAGGTAGGATCATCCTGTATCTTTCCTGAAGGGATGGCGAACCTTCAGCCCCCGCCCCACTACCCTCTCAACCCCTACCCGTTCAGAGTTCTTTGCTACCAGCTTGATAACTTCTAAAGGAGATGTAAGCAATGTATTATAATGTACTCGTTAATGAACCACAAAAAGTTTTCCAGCTTCACTGATAGTTTGATCCCACACAGCTGGGTTGTTGGGCATCCTAGTCTATATTGAATGAGCGTTCACGCTCAATGCAAGATTTTACTTTGTACCAATCCACGTCTCCACAATTACGCCGCATAAAGAATGATAAACAGGCAAGAGCTGCAACACATCGCGAGGCGCTCATTAGAGAAGCCCGACTAGGGGCCTAACAAAATGAATACCTACACTCATGCAGACCCGGAAGCCGTGCGCGCGTATCTCCGGCCTGGGGTGTTGATCCTTCCCCATGGCCCCGAACTTGCGCCCGTTGGCGGTAGGATCAGGACCCCGTTTATTCTCCGACAAAATTGACTCACCTACAATTTGGTCGCGACAGAGTCCCGGTCATTAGTACGCGATCACATAAGTTGGGCAATAACTTTCGATCTTGGAGAAATTACCATACGCTTGGTATCTCCCAGAGGTCACGAACATGTCTAGTTTTTACGCGTGTGCTTGACCATTTCCGTAGTTTCGCGACTTTTGCGACTACTACATTGCACCATGAAAGTAGATCATTTCTCCAGTACATGCCACTCTTTCCTACAGACTGCCGGGATGCCCTACTAATGGCTTCCGCTTGTGGGTCACCGGAACGTACGATGGTGACGACAATCTCAACACCTGGGCATCCAACGGTGCGCATGCATACATCCGCCCACGCCCGGTCCGTCTATATAACGCTATTGAGCTGTGACAGCTTGGCAGCATCCAAGGGCCCACCAACCTGGAAGGGAGATCCTTGTCCATTGCTGCTCGATACGAGGAGGACCGAGAACCACAGTGATGACTTTCACCGTGGATATGTAGCTCGCATAGAGACGCTTGGGTACTTCTTCTCGGAAGACTTCTGTTCGAGAGGTCATTGATACAGGACAATAGAGCATTGTCGGCATATACACCATTTGGTCCTCAATGACGGCGTGTTTTGTCGCACGGGAGAAGCCATGACTCGGGATGCATAGCACGTTGGGTACCTGAGCTCGCAAGCATTTCACGAAAGGCGTCCCAAGGGATTATAAAGCTCGGGTCACGGGTGAGACTGTGAAATGAACCGTTTTACTTAAGCTAGTAAGCATAGGACGGCACACTCACTGATCTTCAGGTTTTTTTCCTACAACAGTCACAGACCGGAGTCGTGCCGCTGTGAAGTTTCATGCAACCATGCAGCATAGTGGGATTATTTACCAGTCCATTTGTGAAGAGAATGCAGACCGTTCTGGTGAGCCCGGGGTGGTTTAGAGACGCGAAGGGACGCGAAGGATTTCTGATGGTGATCGAAAACATTCGTGCCTCATGCGTGTTAGAACGTAGAATAGATCTGCATGTTGTGTTAAGCCTGCTCCTCGGACCGTTATCCTGACTCCCTTCTCGACTCCCGTTACAGCGCGCTATAAGTCAGTTCAGTTGGCTATCTTTCTGTTCCGATATTCTTCTGGGTGTCTGTAACCGCGTGCAGTGGTGAGTCCGCGGAACGATCAACCTCCGCAATGGCGAACATTAACGGAACCATCACCGTCCTCGCCCCTCCCGATGGCTATGTCGTCGACCTCGAAAACCCCAAAACACAATACGTGGTTGAGTCGTACACGGTTGTCGCAGTGGAGATGACATTCTGTTTCCTCTTTTTGCTTCAGCGGCTGTACACAAAGATCGTAATCATGAAGAAGTTCCAATTGGAGGATGGTACGTGGCTATTTATCAGCGGATGGGAAGCTTTTCACTAACTTCACTGTGTAGGGGTGGTCATCTTTGCCTGGTTCTTCTGTATGGGCACACAGATTTGCGGGCTTTTGGGGTTGGCCCACGGAGCCATCGGGCGACACGCTTGGGAAATTAGCATTGAGAAGTATGCATTCTACTCACGGGTACGAATTTCGATTTCTCATCTCGTTGGCCAATACGTAGCTGACGTATCGAACAGATCATCCTCGCTGCACCACTTCTCTACGCTATTGGTACTGCAGCGGCTAAAATTTCACTCGCTCTTTTCTATCGACGTTTGAACCCTAATAAGGTGTTCCAAGGCTTTGTCTGGTTCACTCTCTTTGTATGCCTGGCCGCGTACACTGCCATATTCTTCAGTTTGCTGTTCGCTTGCAAACCCATAGCAGCAAGCTGGGACCCCTTGCTTCTTGCTCTTCCAACCACGGTCTGTCTCAACCGCGGCGGCATATACCTCGCTCAAGCTGTCATCGGAATCGTCACCGATGTCTTACTACTTGCGCTGCCGGTACCCACGGTGCTGAAACTTCAAATGCCTAATAAGCAGAAGCTTGGTTTGGTCGGTATCTTCGGGGTGGGATCAATGTAAGACTACCCCCTGACATCTTCAGGAATGTCATTCTCTAACAGTAGCAAGCACTATCGTTACTTCTATCGTGCGACTGATAATTCTTTTACCCTCTCTGACGACCGCGGATCAAACCTGGGTTATTGGCGAAGGTTTCTTATGGATGTAAGCCCCCGTGCATCCGCCTCTTTCGGATTTCCACACTGACTTAGTTTAACAGCTACGTTGAAGCTAACCTCTTGATAATGTGCTGTTGTCTGTCTACCCTTCGGCGTTTCTTCAAGCACTTTGCACCCCGCCTGATTGGCGAGTACTCATCCGGCAGCAACAGCAAGTCCCACGAGCGCGGCTTCTCGCGCAACCACGCGCAGCGTACTTTCGGTAGCGGTGGCGCCAAACGCACCCTTGATACGCTCATGAACACGAAGAACGAAGACAATGGTATTCCGCTGTCGTCTTTTGATGACATGGATAAAAGTGGTGGTAAGATAGCAACGAAGGCGAAGAACATGGGCAGAGACAGTGATAGTGAGGAAGCTATCCTGTTCGAAAGAAGCGTTCAAGTGACATACGAGAACCGTGATGATCAGAGCATGAGCGGGGGAGGGCCAGCGAGAGGCTACGAAGGGACTCAGTCCCATCAGCCCAAAGTTTGGACTGAGAGGAGAGCGCCTCATGCTCACTGAGTCGTAGACAAGAAAGATACCCGTGCGAATATTTCAGCCCTGGTGGCATTTGACCTTTCTACTGTATCAGATATCACTGTTTACATCGTTGACGCTTCGCTCGTTCTCACCCAATTTGAACTCTACGCGTGTTCTTGTCATGCGCTATCGACGCATTCCCGATCCTACTTTTACACAGTTGTGGTTCCAATCTGGTGTGTTGAGCCCCATACGATCATCTCGCAAATCGAGGCGCTCATATACCGTTGGTACGTGTTTCCGAGACGTCTGTGTTTTATCTAGCGACTTTGTTGTTGAATATATCTAGGGTGCTCGGGTGGCGCCGGATTAGCGTGAAATGCTCATGAGACGGCGGTCATATTGGTCATTCACTATCCTTTGTTGGCTTATCTTGCATACTCCTTGTTGCACTATACCTCTTAATCTCAGTTGCAGTCTGTGGTTGAGAGTGTAGATAAAAGAGGCTACATCCAAGCTTCGCCAAGATATTGTAACTTCAGAGGTAGGACTAGAAGGCGTGACTAAAAACTGTAATGAGCCGTGAGCAATATCTACCAAAGCTGTTATCAGTTGACCTAGAAGAATCGCAACCTTAGGACGAATATGAGTAAGACTTACGTTTGACAAAACCAACCAGTGGTCTTTGATATTTTGAAAGATACACATTAAGTGTAACTACCTTGCTAAAACTTCTGTTCGCTTAGTGTACATGTTTGCATCTTAGAACACACGCCAGGACAACATGGCAATTATAATTCACGTTCGGGATAGAGGTTTTGCTCACCGTCTCTACTCGGAACTCGTGACCCTCATGCCCTCCAACACAACAGGAATATCACCAAAAAGATACGAATATGCCTTCGTCTCCTCTTCTGCCGAAGGCCGACGCTCCCCGTCCATCGTCTCTCCACCTTCCCTCACAGCCCGATAGCTATTGAAAAGCCTATCCGCTGCCTCACCGATTCCAATCGTACCCAGTCCGCGATACCCATCATTATCAGAACCCGAAGACGTTCGCGAAGCAACCTCCGCCACATCCATCAACTCCTGACTCGCTTCGTCGTCCTCGGAGAGTTGGAGCCTCAAGCCCGCGACCTCGGTTTGGAGCGCTTGCTTCTCGTGTTCGTGCTGCATGGCTGCTTGCTGCGCAGCGGCGGATAGCAAGCGGGGCTGCTCAATCTTATAGGGCTCGGGGTTGGAGGCGGGCTTGCTGAGGGAGAGGGAGTAGCGGAGTTTGTGAGACAGGACATGGCGCTTTGAGGGCGTGGACGGCGTGCGGAGGGTATCTGGAGGAGAAGTACCTGGAAGAGGCGCAGTGCGAGGACCCAAGTCACGGAGGGAATGGAAGACGGAGTTCCGCTTTCGCAACTTAGAGTGCTTAGACGGTGTAGTAGGCTCAGCAGTAGAGTCGCTGCGAAGAGGTAGATCCCATGTAACATTCAGGCGAGGAGTATCAGGACGTCCGCTCCCAGACGTCTCAGGCGAGTCCTTTCCCTGAGCAGAGACCTTCGAACCAACTTGCTCCTTCTCCTGCTTCGACTGAATGCTAGCGGCTAGGAGCTCCGCGTTGGCGGCACGCAGGCGAGCGATCGTCTCCTCCTGTGCATAAGCCAGACTGCAAAGGTTAGAGAGATGGAAGAGCTCTACCTCCTTGCCATTTTGAAAAAGACCTTGGCTATGGCAGAGCTCCTCTGTGTAGGTCATTGCTTGTTTGAGCTGTTCTGACTGAGCATCTGCGTTGTTGGACGTAGACGTACCTTGAGAGCCAAGGGCATCGCGGACGATTCGTTGTTGTAGCTCTTCTTCTACAGCCTCCTTCAGCTTGGTCATCTCGATAAGCTCGGCCATGTTCTTTGCGACGATATAGCGCTCGTGCTCCAGCTCGCCGAGCAGATCATACACCTGCTTATCGAGTTCGTGTAACACTTGCCGATGCGTAGAGGCTAGATTTTGCATATCGCGATCGTGGTTGAAACCATCCTGCGTGAGCCGCTCCACGTCACCCTCAAGCTGCTCAATCAGCGCGTCCTTGACGATGCCGTCTAGTGGTATTGGTCCGCTGTGGGCGTCATTAGTTTGATCATTACGATTCCGCAGTGAATTGATGGCCTTCACCAGCTCATCAATACGGCTGTTATCCTCGCGCACCTGGTTTTTGAGCTCAGCGACCCTGCGCTTCAAGTCAGTGTTTTGGTAGACAAAACGCTCGATCTTAGTCTGCTGAGTATGGATCTGAACCTCTTGGTTACCTGACAACTCCTTCACCTTTTCAAGTTCAGTAGCACACTTCTGGAGGTCTTCTCCGAGGCTTTGGACGAGATACTTGTGGAAATCGAGTAGCTCTTGCACATCCTTGAGCTCGCTAGACCCCGTTAAGAAGTTTTCCGAGAAGCGCACAGAGGCCCCTGACATATCGGATTGTGCAACAGCTACCGGGCCCCCTGCGTTCGAAGAAGAACGGGAGCTGCCATTACGAAAGCGATTCCACATGATGGTCATCAAGGGTTTGAGTTGCCTTTGATCGAGGATGTAATTGAAGTCTCTGTATATATGATCTGCGTTATACATTGTAAGGCAGCACATCGCTTTCAGTGGACTCGTCGACTGTAGCGCACGTTGTGCATTGTCTTCAAGGTCCGATAACAATGCTGTAAGTCTAAGACACGCCACCAGGGCCGCCAAGACTGGCGAATTAGAGGGTACTTCGTGGGTCATGATACAATGTACAATTGTTGTTCGATGGACGCGGCGGGCATCTGCCGTCTAGAAATCTTTAACCAATGTCATACTGCTGTCATCCGTGGGACGTCTATATCGCTTCCTTAACCAGCTCGGTGACCTTGTGTTCGATGCCCTTATCGTCTAGACCTGCCAAATGTGTCAGTTGAGATCGTCTTTCTCGTTCATTGCAGCTGTCCTACCCTTCAGAGAAACTGACTTCTCCTTCCCGAATTCTGCGCCTACGTCAGCCATGACCATACATGCCACTTGTCTGTCCGATCCTCAGAATTTATGCCAATGCCGCATTTCGACAAAGCCCGCCTCTTCTCCCATGCCACAACTTCCAGCAGTAGGGCTCAACGTACCGTATCGTGCATAGAGTTTGGGCTCGGTGCCGTTCGCTTCTCGGATCAGGATGGGCGTGTACGGGTTGTGCTTCTTCATTGTGGGGTAAGATTTGGTGAGAAAGCTCCTAGAAACCATTAGCCATTTGTCCCTCCCCAGTTTCATACACGATGTCGGTCTGTCTTTGTTGTTGCCACAATCGTGTCTGTGAAAGAGTTCTCGGTCGATCGCATACCTTGTAGCCGCGCTATGTTCGCTCGTCTGACAGAAGAGGAAGCGCAACTCCTTCAGCTGCTTCGCAAAGCCGTATTTGGACGCCATGATGTCGTTATTGCGATTCAATGGCAGTGGTTCTTCCAGGCGCACGAAAGTGATGTCGAAGCCGCAAGCTCAAGCTCCGCGCGCCTTCCTCCTTGCAGCTAGCCAATCAGCGCGCTCACCGACGTAATCCCGACTTTCGCGCATTGCAAACTCGCCGGCGCCCGACAACGGCTTCTCTGCAACGACTCGCACCCCGTCGACATCGCCAATTGCCTCCTCTGCGCTGCGCAGATAAGAAGAAGAACCCGGAATACTAAGAGAAAGCCAACATGTCGTTCCGCCCGGGCTCCCGTATCTTCAACGCCTTCCGGCCCTTCTTTCGCCAGCAGAGGAACCAGTCGACCGCTGCGCCTGAGCAGTCCGGCTTCCAGAAGCTATGGAACAGCCCCGTTGGTCCTAAGACGGTGCATTTTTGGTACGCCATTCCTTTTGTCACCAGGTCATGCGACAAGAGCAATGGCAAAGCAATGCCACGCGACCTATGAATCACCATCCCTTCTTAATACCGCGCCCCAACCACCAAATCTCCAAACCAAGCACAGCGAGCAAGCAGAAAGAAGAGATGCTAATAGAGTGAATTACAGGGCCCCCATCATGAAATGGAGCATCGTCATCGCCGGTGCGTCCGACCTCGCCCGCCCCGCCTCGCAGCTCTCCCTCAACACAAATGCCGCCCTCATGACCACAGGCCTCATCTGGACCCGCTGGTGTTTCGTCATCCGCCCTAAGAACATCTTCCTCGCCACTGTAAACTTCTTCCTGTTCCTCACCGGCGCCACCCAGACCACCAGGATATTGATGTGGCAGCGCAGCGTGAAGGACGCTGAGAGCCAGGCCCAGGCTGAGGGAAAGGAGCTCAAGGAGGAGCTGAAGGATGTCGCGACCAAGGTTGAGGGCAAGGTTGAGAATGCTGCCAAATCGTAGAGGGGTAGAAAACTGACGATGTGGATGGATGGATAAGGACGGATTCCTCGATCGAGCTCAAGGTCAGGATCACTTGCGACGGGAGGATCGCATATCAGTGGAAATAGTGTGAGTCATATTTGTCTTCTGGATCATAGGAAGTGCACAATACATCTTCTGTTGCAGCAAGAAAGTGGAATGACACTGTGAACGGTAAAGCTCAACGAGTCACTTTGGGCTGTACACCAACACAGTGCACTACCACAAAGCTGCATTCGCAATTCATACCACGATACAAGATACATGAGCCGAACTTCTGCAGCCCGCAATTCATCATGGCAATCTTGCTGTACAAACCCCGACCATTACATCTAAACGTTGATTTAATTCTAATGTCTTGTAAGTCGCTCGAGAATCCCTTCGCTAACTGCCAAACATCTAAGGACGGCGCTGGCGATGTCCCTGTCCATCCCAGCCCAGAAACTGATGACTTGGACCACCGAACCCTATACATTGTTAATTTCTCTCAACCATTTTCTCTCCAACTACCAATGGCAACTTACACCACGGACACCAGCAGCTGAAACAGCACCGCCAATCACACGCATCGCAGAACCCATCCGGCGCAAAACATCCCTCATCCTCGAAACACCCCTGGCACGTGGCCCAGTACTTGACGCCCGGCGCCCACCACTCCCACTTATGCATACCAGTGTACCTCGACGGTGGCGGCACGTACCTGCCCGCGACCGGCGTCTTGACAGGGAAGTTGAAATGCATTGGGAGTTCGCGTTCTGGCTCTCCATCCTGGGATGGGCGCGGGTTGTACGGATTTGTGCCCCGGTGGCGGTTGCGCATCTTCCCGCCTGGTAGGGAGCGCACCGAGGGGACCTTTGTTCTGGACATGTTGCGGATGTCGAAGGGCTTGCGGACGGGAGGTCGATTTGAGTGGTCGCCCTGAACACCATCGACGGAACTGGTGTGCTCGCCAGACGCGCGCGCAGGATTGGAGGCTGACTTGGGCCTCCTGCAGACTACGTCAGTCTCGGACGTGCTAGCCATGCCAGCCGCGCTGGCGGAGGAGTTGTTAGCATTAGGATTGGCCATCGTCGATGGACTCGAGGGGTGAAGAGCTAGCGATTGGATAGTAGCTGATATAACAATGACAATGGAAGATGACAGCCGAGCAATGGACGTCGGTGGAGGAGAGAGTAGTCTGCAAGCAATGTGGGTTTTGTCTTTTGAGCAGCTGCGGCAACGGTGAAGATGTTGAGTGGACCTTCCCGTCACTCCTTCCTTCTGAAATGGCTATCGTTCCAACGAGGAACGCACGATTCCCACCTAATAGTAAAGAGACAGATGAAGGTCGTTCTTGAGCGTGGTATAGCACCACGATGATAGTTTTGGTGCCGTGAATTACCCCAGGAAGGACTATCCCCAAAGTTTCATCATATAGTCGTGGCACCGCAGCGTCGAGGTACATGTTCTCCCTCGTGCAGGTGGTTCTCAAAATCCACACCCTACGCCCCCTTATACCCTCTTGCACCTAACCAGCAAGTCCAGAACCACCACCATGAACCCTTGCAAATGGTTTGAAACTCAATGCATGCTTTGTCACTCTTGTCTTCTCCTGGCGCTGCGCCCGAGTGTTGGTATTATATGTATTGTGTCGGCATGTCGTGTGTTTGTTGCGAGGACTGACTGTTGAGCGAGACGACATGAGAGTAACATCGTTCGGTCGATGTCCTCCTTGTATATTATGCGTAGACCACATCCGCGGAGTGGATGCCACCAGTCTCAGGGCGTCTCTGGGAATTTCATCAGTCTCGCGACTTTTCCGTAGAATATCATCACGGCCCCAAAATCTGAAAGTCGCTCGGACATCGTCGAGTTGAGTTGCTTTTCGACCCCCGTCGCGAGGTCCGAACTGCCCATCGAACCTGATCTTTTTTCAACAGCTCAACAATTCAACAGTTCAGCCCATTGCAACTACTGCACACACCCGCGACGAGTGCCCACGCGCCCACCATGCAGCTCCCCACCAGATCCACCGCCCAAAGCCCATTGCAGCTTGACCAGCAGCTCTTGTTGCCGACATCCTCGCTGTCTGAGAAGTCGTCGTTACTGCCGGCGGGTACGTATTGCATTTCGGGCATCATGGATAGCTCTTTCTTTGAGTTTAGAATGCGATGTCGTGTATCGTTGCGCGAGTAATAACAGTAAGAGAGGTTAACGAAGTATGTGAAGCCTACAGTACAAGGAAAGTAAATGTGCAAGTCTACACAGACGGCACCGCAACTATACCCATGTCTCCGGAGTCCACTCGCACGGACTCGGGTCCTTCAAACAAGCATATTATTAGATGATCGGACCGCAGCCGCGCCGCAGTTCAGCGCACTGTTGCACGCACAGCTTGCGAAGTTTACGGGTTATGGCGCGGACATTCTCAAAGGAGTCGGAGGCTGAGCCACGATCATCACTGGCGCCATCCGGTCTCACAGCCCTCACACAGCACGCCTAACGAATACCCTTTACTTGATTTACCTGGAAAATTTGTCTATTGCTCGAATAAATGCATGCTGCGGGTATCTCGCGCGACCAAAAAAATGACTAGCAAAGACTACTTCTGGGTATACGCGGGAGCGCCGAAAATTACATAACATCGTGTCAGAGGGCAAAAGCAGGACGGTCCGGAGAGATGAATGCGCAGCAAAGATTGCTCCGCATATCAGACCCGGATAACAATGTTGATCCCCAAACCTTTTGCCTCGCGAATGCAGCACGCGAGACAAGTGCGACCGACTCGCCCAACGACCGCGTGGAAGCCTTTCTCTGCACACCATGAACGAGTAAGCAACTCAAGGTCGTTCGAGGCCCGAGCGTCCAGTACGAGCACAATGCCCTCTTCGCCTGTGGGAACAACATCTTCCTTTTCTTCTCCGGGCGAGTTTGGTGCTGATGGTGCCAGTGACGTGTGCACGTGCGATGTGAAAGGCAAAGAGAATTTCTTGTCAAGAACATCCGTCGCCGGCACAATTTTGTACTTGTGAGATGTGTGTAGTGGGTGCGCATTCACCGGCTCTAACTTGGGTGACAATGTTGAATTCGGATCTTCGTCTGATACGGCAAAATACATACGGGTCGGCGCGATGCTTGGCGAATCCGGCGGATGCGAGAGCAACGGCTCGAATCCATGAGAGTTGCGGCGGATGAGTTGCGAGGATCTATTGCTACCGGTTCGGCTGCTGTGGATGCTGCGTTTGGACGATGTGCGGGAGAGTGACGCGGTCTGCGAGCGCTTCAGCATTCGAGGGACGCTAGGGGCTGGAGAAGCTGAGGGTGGGATGCATGGCCAGGAAGTGACGAACTGTACGTCATGAATTAATGTCAAAGTATGCGTACTGCGCGCCAGCGACGTGAAGGTGACCGAGGCCACGTGGGATTCCGCCTCGGCGGTTAGGGTGGAAACGGCGTCGCTATCTCGCAGCTCTGCGTTGACAGGGGTCAAAATCCATGATGAAAACTCGACAGCTGGGATAGGCGGGGTCGCGGCATCGCGAGGCATGGTGAGATCCTCTGCCTTCACCGCTGATTCATCAAGATTGGGAATAACAGCGGATTGCAACATCACAAGGTCCTCTTGGTGTGCGGTTCGAGATGGCTCTTCGGGACGTAGCTGAGTGCTGTTAACGGCGTACCAACCATCAGCAGAATCAACTGGCAGCTTGGAAAAGCTGATCCAACCCATGCATTCGACAGCGCCGTCCACACAGCCCATCACGCGAGCAACAACCGAAGTCTTACTCCACCATGTCCTTTCCGCATATACGAAGCCACCGTACAAGTTTGCGGAATCGCCAAGAGCGGCAATGGCTAGCTTGTCGTTTTCCAGTAGGGTGGATATGAGGAAGTGCGAGATACCTTCTCCTGGTAAAATAAGCCCGGTCAGGTAAGAACGGCTCAGCCAACCTCCGACATTGATGGCGTGTTCTGGGCTATCAGCTTGTGCAAGTAGTGTTGTTGAAAGTGGAACCTGGAGCGATCGGGAATCATTGCGGTTTAGCGATGGCCTTTGTAGGTTACCAAAGTAGCTATCCAACAAAGTATTGGAGCGCGGCGTTGCCAGAGGTGTTCCATAAACGCTGATAGATGCAGGAGTGCTTGGGTCCAATACTCTTTCAGTACACGGCAACGCCTGATCGGGCGTTGGAGCAACTTCTGGAGTGGTTATCTTCTGGGCCAACTCGGCGACTATCGAATCAATACCAGGCCATTGTACTGTTTTTGCAAAATGTAGGAGTCCAGAGAGCTGTCGAGCTTGATGTTGTGGAAGCAGAACTATGTCGGACCTGACTTCATCTTTTGGTGCACTCGAACCAAGAAGTGAGAACAATCCTTTGGACTTGGAGTCCGGCGCAGAAGGCCCTGCATTATATTCTTTGAGAACCAGGATATTCCCCAGAAATCGTCGCGCCAAGACAAGATCCCAGTCCGTTTTGCGCGTCTTAAGTTTCAAAAAACCCTGGAAGTCCTGAGGACTGACATGCAGCTCGCGTTTGACGTCATCGATTTCCATGCTTGATATGGCGTCCAGGCGAAGCAGCAGCTCGCAGGCTAAAGTGATTTGCAGAAGCAGGATATCTCGCTCTGTCCACAATAGTTGCGTGTCAGACTCGACTTCAATTTCGGACTCGCTCCACAGGAGCTGGCCAAGTCGTATCCGCCATTCGACCAGACTAAAGTCGAACCACACTCCTTTCAGGCGGAGGATCTTGAGCAGCGTGTCGATCTGAACCTTCATACCAGTGGGATCATCCGCAGTGCTGTCATACCCTGGTGGTGTAAGAAACTTCCCGAACAGGCTCGCGTACAGATCCCCAGGAGCTTGGTTATTGAGAATTGTCATTCGTTCGGGGCCGTCATGGAATGCCTCCATCAGATCACCGAGCTCGACAAGACGGTCGTGTACCATTGCCATATCGACAGGTCTGATACCAAGTCTCTCCGGGTTCTGCTGCATCAGCTGCTTATTTCTCATTCCCTCTAGATATACATTGCTCGTCTGTGATTGCTGGAGATCCGTGATGAGATGGTCGGACTGCGGCAGCTCGAGGAAGTGTGCGAATCCGATGGTTCCCTGCGTACGATCAGTACGTGGCTTAAGTGCTTATAAGGAAAGCTGCTTACAGGCTCGATGCCCTGGGCACTCAGCATGCTCGGCACCTCCACTACGTCTACATGATAGCCTTGGTATGGTTTATCCTGGTCCAACGACTGCTGTAATGCGGGCAGTTGTCTGTGAAGTGTCGCAGTAGAGAAGGCGGGCTCCGCGAGTTGCACAGAATCCGACACATCCTTGATATGCAAGTCAGCGTCCCATGGGTAAGATACCCTGGGAACAGCGTGCTTGTCCATTTTCTGAACGAAGAAGTTGGGTGCACCCGAGAAAAGAGAGTGTATATGTTCCTCGCTGAGGTTGTCTACGTTCGGCGGCTCTGCCTTTTCGGTTTCTGCCGACGGCGTTGGCTCTGGTGGGGGCGTGGGCAGCGGTGCCTCGTCCGCCCCAGCGCCAGAGCGTTGGACATCGATGGAACTGCTCGACTTGGCGGGTCTTGTAGATTCGGCAATCTTGGAGTCTCGAGGCGGTTTTGCAGGGCCATCTCTCTTGACAGCGACAGGTATCTTTGAGACAAAGGGCGCCATTAGCTTGCGTGATCATAGCGGGGTGAGTGAGAGTAAGTGGTGGGCGTACAGATGCAGCAGCAGCCTCCTTGTCGCTGTCCTCTGCTTTCTTTTGCTTTCTCGACCTGAAGAAATCAGCAAGCCTTTGTCGCTTGCCCTTCTTCTCGTCGGCTTTTGCTACCTGGCCGTCGGCAGCTATACTCTTCAAGCGTTTGCGCAGCGGCATGTTGAGTTTGTTGGGTCGTGTAAGGAGAAGGCGTGATGCATGCTGGCAAGGGACGTTTGTCGAAGGCGCGTCCCTGGCAGTGTCAACAGTACCAGGCGGGCTGTCTCATCAATGCTCCGGACGATCGATCAAACAGGGCAGCCATCCTTGAGCCTGGAACACGCCCACGGCGGGCGGAGCTGTTCCCTGTCACGCATCCCGCCCATCGTCAATCCACGCGCATGACGACCTATCGCTGGCCTCAGATGCGCGCCCGCGACACGCGCCATTCCATAGCTGCAGCTTCCGCGCCCATTCACGCCTCTTCAATCGTGTCCGGCCCTCTCCTCTTCAACAGGTACCATGTAGCCTTCGTTTCAGACGCGCAAAAGGAATCAGCTGACGAGGCGGCTGTTCGCCCTCGTAAACGAGATTGGACCCATTGTCATGGAAGGCGGCAGGTTTCTGGAAGCCCAGACGCCAAGCGCAATTTGCCGAATCCTAACCGCGGGGCCATGGTCATGCCGATCCGCCCCCACCCCGTTACGCGACCGTCGTCCTACAGCCTGACAACATCGTCCTGTAACGCACCGAAGACATGTAGACGCTTCGGACCCCACATCTTCTGTTTATCGTGCTCCTTCCTGTTCTAGGGCATCGCTTCCAGATGCCCAGGTGATGGCACTGTCACGTGGTTCGGAGAAGTCCACGGGTTCCATGAGCATCAAAGCTGTTTAACATGGTGCATGTTGTTTGCGAGCACGATACAAGCCATGATGACATGGGTTGTATAGAAGGCGGACGAGTAGATCACCTTCGAGTCGCAATGCTCACGGTCGACTCGTGTACATGCTTGCGGCGAGTAACACAATTCAGGGTGGGGGGGATAGCTTCGTGGCAGCATGGCTGCTGAATGCTGTAGATGCTCAGAGCGGCATCTTGGAGAGGATTGGTCTTGCGAATGCCGTGGAATCCATCGAAGCTAACAAGGTGCAACTGCTGCTTGCGGGGACGAGAGAATCTGTGGAAGAAAGCTTATGATGCCTTCGTCACAAGGGTGGTCTGCACAGGATTCAAATCTTCCGACTCAGCTTTGCGGTTTGGTGAGTCTGACCGTACGATGATGCGATTTCCAATGGCCCCTGGATCTGCTTGGTCGTGGTGGTAACATAATAGGAAAGAGGCCGGACAGTACGTGGGCGCTACCGCCGACGACATCTGGAAGGCCTTGCTCGGCGCAGGAGAAGGAAATTAGCAAGCGCACTCATCCCCGTCTTGAGGACTTCAGAAAATCACTCGGACATGGTGACCAAGGTGTGAGTGATCATCTTGTTGGAGCTATCGCAGATTCATCATCAGTCGCAAGGGCACATCTACCCGCGCAAATCAGAGACTGGATCGAAAATCCCCCTGAGCGAGTTATCGGCATCATTCTCAGCATTAAGCTGGTCCCCTGGCTGCTGTTACCGTACCTGCCGTTCTGGGCTCATTTGGCTGCACTGCTGAGGGAGTCGCTGCGGGTCCGCTCCCATGCCTGCTTCCAACATAACCCTGGGCTGGAGAGCCTGAGCTCACGTGGACAGGCTCTGCTGCAGCGAGCATACATTCGGAAATAGGCAATGTGGCCGCTCCAACCCTGTTCGCTACGTTGGTGAGTGCAGGTGCTGGAGCGTCTGGTCTCGCGGCTGTTCAGTCGATCGTGGGAGCCGTGGCTGATGTTGCTGTTGTTGCCGTTCCTGCATTTGTGAGCATAACGGAGGAAGCAGAGGAAGATGCACAGAAAAGCAAGCTGTAAGCTAAAGGGGCGAACGCCGGATTCATTCATGCGCGCAAAGGCCACTGGTAAGATCGGCAAATGTAAACACTCGCCCTGGCATTGGTAGACAACACGTTGTACGCTATACGGATATACGCGCACACCGTATGCCGTATTGCAAATACGAACACGAGACGCTTCCATAACTTAGACTGGGCTACCGGGGATTTAGATTAGCACCTGCACAATGCCAATTGAGGGCTTCCTTATTGGCTTGAGTAACCTGCAAAAGTTGTTGATCGGCAAACCCAAAGGCATTTGTTTGGAGGGGTCCTGCGGCTTTTGCACCGAAAATGCGAGGCTGCGAGAGCGGGACCGAGAGCGAGAACGAGAGCGATGCTGATGTTCAATGAGAGCCCAACCATTGGATAATAAGCCCTGTGGTACCGTTGATCGCCACGGAGCATAACGTCTGGTGCGGGTCCTGCCGCCCGCATCCTGTTGTGTCTATATTGGCAGATACATACGGCGGACATGAGGACTAAACTTCCTACAGCTAGACTTGCGATCTGGTGTGGGCGTTTGAAACATGCGTCCTGCCAATTTGAGCATGCAGTGTCTACAACTAGAGGTGTACTTAAAGTACTGAGTGGCACCTTCGAGTAGGCCTCTACCACATTTTGAGTTGATTCATCGGTCACATCGTTCAACTATTTTCCAGTGTCTTCCTACTCTTCTCATACCATCATGAAACTTACAACACTGTTCACGTATCAGCTTGCAGCTCTCTCTTCTGCTAGCCCTCATTTCGCGCGCCAATACCAGACTGCCGATCCACACGATTGGATTCCTGCAGGTCCCAATGATTGTAATAATTTGCTCGAATGCTGCACTCTCATCTTATACTAATAGAGGTACAGTTAGAGGACCTTGTCCGATGTTGAACACACTTGCCAATCAAGGCTTTTTGCCTCGTGACGGACGCAATAGTAGGTACCCATATCCTAGATCGGCGTAACGCAACAGCAAATGGTCATTCAAGCTTACACCACGTCGCAGTCACTAAAGCCAATGCCGTTAAAGGCCTCACCGGTGGCTTAAACTTCAACACCTCCCTCGCAGAGCTTATGTGGGAGCAGGCTATCATCGCAAATCCCGAACCAAACGCGACATTCTTCACGCTTGATCAGCTGAACGTGCACAACGTCCTCGAACACGATGCATCCCTCTCGCGCACAGACGCCGCCTTCGGTTCAAACCACATCTTCAACGAGACCATTTTCAATACGTCCCGCGCATTCTGGACTGAAGACACAGTCACAGCGAACATGCTCGCCAACTCGAAGCTCTACCGTCAAATCGAGAGCAGGGCATTCAACCCAGACTATAAATTCACGGCTACGACTGAGCAGTTCAGTCTAGGTGAGGTAGCAGCGCCTATCATAGTTTTCGGCGACACCGAGAAGTTCACCGTGCCGAAGAATTTCATTGAGTACTTTTTCCTCAACGAGAGGTTGCCTACAGAAGTTGGCTGGACGAAGAAGGAACATGTCACGAGCTTGGAGGATATAACGAAGGTGTCGCAAGCAATTGGTAAGGCGACGAGCTTGCTTACTGGCGGAGGCGAGACATCTGTCAAGGCGAGACGCGGGGATTTTCATGCTGGAATGTTCTAAAATGGTGGCAACATGGGGTCTGCTTCGGACCCTAATCATTGTGTGCAATGTATTTTACTGGTGCAAGACGAATCATTATGTACGAAGGCACATGAACCAAACGTCTTTTGTGAACAATATTTTGTGTCCTAGGTGAGAAGCAGTGCTGGTGCGCAGGCTAACGCGCGATGTAGAGTCGAATCTGAGCTCACAGATTGAAGAAGAGAGGGTTAGCTTTCCTCAAATTTAGTGTACTAATGAAGTGCCACAAAGCGCACCGGCTCCAAAGCAACGTGCACAGTGGGAAGAAGACGAGCATCTCGGCGAGTCACTAGACGCTCCTACGTGCTCGAATGACAGATTGCAGTAGAGTTCAAGCATGCATCGGGCGGTGAGGCAAGGAAGGAAAGAGCTATGTTCAGCACTTGCTCGACAGTCTATTTCATTCTTTTTTGACAGACTCACATCTCTCACTCGGAAGTCCAGTATAAGAGTGAGCGACTGCATGAACGACTATCCGTTGAAATGTTCGCAAACCGAAAGAGCCTTCCTAAAGCCTTGCGCCACTGCGAAAAAGTTCAATGTGAGTCTCGGCTTCAAGGTGAATTCATTCAATGGCTCCTCATCGTCCCCGCCTGGTATCACTTCTGAGCTTGAGACAGGCAAGTATGTAGGTCGTTGTCTTGTCTTCTGCATTTACTTATTGGACATGCATTTTTGGTTTTGCAGACACATTTGACGGATCGGTGAGTCTTGTAATAGGTGAGACGGCGGTTGGACTGAAGCCAAGAAACAAAAGGGTGGTGCTTGTCCGAGACAAGCAGAGAATTACTTGGTTGTGCCTCACTATCTTGTTTGTCCATGTCATCTTGCTTTGCGGGTTTTTACTGGTGGACAACTGACAGGAACAACCCTCAATCCTATTACTATTCGTCTAACCTCTTAACAGAAGGTGGCGCTTTTGCTCCATACAACTGGACGACTATCAAATTTATCAACGATCTATTTTCATCCCTATCGTGCGTTCCATAACATCTCGTCAAACATTTCTACGGCACAAACCTTGCGCTAATTACGAGTTTACTTTTGGCCATGGGTGGGCACGCGTTCCGTTACCTGCACTGCCCGCGCATACCGCCTGAGTTATACCTCCAAGTTCGCGAGCAGACCACCGGTGTATGTTGGGTTGAGTTGCTTTTCCACCTCAATGCGCGTGTATGAGCTAATAAGCTGTGCTAAACATGGATAGGCTCTCTACAAACTCTTTAAACATGTTGTTGTCCCGACTGAGATGCCTGCAAAGCCTGATTATGGCGACATCGATTTCCTCGTCTCCGGCTTCCTGCTTGCTCCACCAGGTGCCGCCCTCGATTGGCAGCGTATGGTCGCAAGAGTCAAAGATGCGTTTGGTACTCCACATGGTAAACGTGGATACTTGAACCCGGACGTTATGTTTTTCGCGATACCCAAGCCTGGCGAGGAGCACGTCTGGATCCAGATCGATATTAAGGTATGCGACGCCGCTGACGACCACGCTTTCGCCTGGAATCAGGTCCAGCTTGACTATGCTAGCGGGTTGAAGATGTTGGGTTCGCAGATCAAACCGCTCGGTTTAACGATCAGTCCGACCGGTCTGCACATTCGCGTGGCAGAGATGGAGGCAACGAATCTCCCAGGCAGCCTCGTCTGCGTGACCAAGCAACCTGCCGACGTGCTCAAGATCTTGGGACTGGATAAGCGGTTTCTCTACCATGGTTTTGCTACTACAGAGGAGAGTAAGTAGGGTGTATGTATCAAAATTCAGATCTCGAACTGACGATTGATAGTCTACCGATACTTCGCTTCCACCTGGGTCTTCAACCCAGCACATTATGCCGCACGACTCGAAGAGAGCAAGTATCGCGACCATCTCGAAGATCGTTCTGGGCCATGGGTCTCCTTCGTTACCGAATGGCTACCGCAGTATTACCCCGGCTATCGTCTGCCCGACCAAGATATCTCGCTCGATGAGTGGCGCAAGAATATGAGGGGGCGCGATGCGTGAGAAGGTATTCACAATGTTCCCCTGAGATCGCCCCAGATTATTATGTCAAGCGTGGTACGCATCTCAAGGAAGTCGAGGAGCACCGTCTACAGCAGCTGCTCATGGAGGTTATTCCGGTGGGACAGGACGGTTGGAACGAGAACATCCGTCAGGCAACCCTGGACATCCAAGAAACAGCTCCAACAACACCACAGCTCGAGCCGACCATGATTGGCGACGTCGCCCCGACATGCACGATACAGCAATCTGACAGCGAGCTGGCAGCGCCAAACGGCACCACCTTGGGATATCCACCGACCCCTCCGCACACGCCGCCTTCCTCCTTCAGATCTGTCGAACCCATGACGGCGAGCCACATCACCATCAACCCAAGCGCAGACGCTCTTTCAACGCCTCTCTACCTGCCCTCACTCCCACGTACCCCGCCCCTTGGCTTCACAGCCCACCCACCTCCCAGGGACATGTCGCCCAGCGCCAAACTCATCTGCCTCTTTCGGTGGACGCACTTCTCCCCAATCACCAGCGCGCCCTACCTGTCCCGCTCACCGCGCGAAAAGAACTTCTCGATGTCCTGGAGTGACAGTGGAGCGACCGATGCAGTGCTAGCCCAGTGGGTGAAGGAGATGTGGTGGGGCGTTTGGGTGAGGCAGGCACATGTCAACTATGTGGGCATGTGGAAGAGACGATTCGAGAAAGAGGATAGGAAGGCCAAGGAGGCGAAGGCGGAAAAGGAGAAGGCGAAAGTCGGGATGAAAATGAAGGAAAAGGCGCAGATGGAGCTCGACGGTAGGAAGACGAAGATCTTAGAGAGGCTGAGGGTGATTAACGGGTGCTGACTAGGGTATTGAATAGCAGGACTTAGGCTGCACTGGCGGAAATTGCATAGGGAAGGACAGGTTTGCGGCATCGACAGCGGCAAGCGGGACGACTCAAGTCGACAGTAGCCGATCTTGCTCATTGGATTGGGTTTGAGCGTGGTTATTGAAGAGATACCTCCAATTGTTTGCTAAAATCTTGCTTGTCGATCTTCCGGCGGACATTATTTCCAATATGTTTATGTCATTCATAACATCATGAGGCTGCTCCAAGGCAGCGTGCTTTGCCCATCTCTTAGGAACGTGTCTTTCCCGGTTACCAACGGTATTTCCCTCTTCTGTTCTTATGTCCCTTCACATCATGGTCTTCGCAAAGTGCAATCCCTCTGCCCAATGCCACAGCCGGGCATCCACCCTCTTGCCCTCCTTATCGTACCGGATCAATCGATCATATAGCTCCTCTAACGGCACCACTACGCGTTCAATGAACTCTCCGTCATCTAGCGCCTGTTCCGGCTCCTTATCGATCTCTTTGAGCTGCACCTCTACTGTCGCTAACTGCATGTTCGCTGTGCTCATGCCTGGGTCGCTCACGATTGTTGGGCTGAGGTTGATCACCTCGCCCCTGTAGCCCGTCTCTTCATGTAGCTCGCGCAAGCTCGCCTCCTTAGGCGTCTCCTTCTCGTCGATTAGGCCCGCAGGGAACTCAACGCAGACTGCGTCTACTGGCGGGCGGTATTGCAGGATGATAATTGTGGAGGGCGGGCGATTGGGGTGTCGGATTACTGTGCTGATGGCGACGGCGTCAACGCCGGATTTGCCGCGGGTTTTGCGCGAGGCGGCTTCCCATACGCGGGGTTTGCCTGTTTGGTCGGACCAGGAGATCTTTTGGAATTCAATCCTGCATTGAAACAAGATTAATGATTAGCGAAAGTAGCGGAGTGCGATAGCCCTTGCTGGATCTAGAGATTACCATCAAATGACATTGACATACCACTTGGCTTCATTGGCCGGAAGCGCGTCTACCGACGTGATCTTTGGTGACTGCGGCATGTTGTAGGCTGTAAGAAGCGGACGACGGGTGCTGAATGGGCTGGCGACCGGGGTTCTGCACACGCTGCGGCAATAAACTCGGAGATTGCGCTTGATTAGGGTGGAAGAGTGGTGCAAATACATTGATCTGGCTATGCTAGCTGTGCGTCAGAAGGATGCGTGATGGATAAGCTTCCCCACCATACGTCATCACAAGACTAGCGCGTTTTCGACTCGCGTCATCACATGACATCTCCAGCCTCAGGGGGTCGTAACTTTCAGAACTGTGATATTGGATTTCGCGGCTCTTTATATTCCAGCCACCTTCACGTAACGAGGAATCGATATCTGCGGTATTTTGTAGAGTATTGTATGTGTTGAAAAGGGATTATGACTAGTGAGAGGCGTACCAAGGTAGGGAGCACTTTGGGTAAAGTTGTTCACATAGGCATAGGAATGCGATACTTTCCTTCATGCATGTTCTTAACGAGGGAAAAGCCCTGTAATCTTGCAGGCTAAGACAATCTCTTGATGAAAGCGTGCGCCTAGCTGCCAGGTGGTATGACCAGATGCCCATGATGAACTGATATGACCGCTGGTAGCGTTTTATCTGTGGGTTTGCTGCTCCCACGTTGACCTGCGCTTGTTTCTCGCGTTCCTCTATCATCTTCTACCTATCTTTTCGTTTCCTATCCTGCTGTGCCTACTTGGAAGCAGAGGCTTCTGCTAGGGTCTTTTCTTTTTTTCCTTTGCCTTTTCCTTTTCCTTTTCAACAACATCTACCAGCGTCTTAGACTCTTAGTCATCACCTGAGGCGCTGACAGGGGAAAATTGCCTACCTTTCTTCTTCGGCCTGAGTCGCAAGATCGACGCGTTTCGTTTTACCTTTCCTTCACCGGTTGATGTAGTACTTATTCTCTCCAGCGGGCGCCCATTTAAGGGCTTGGGATCGACTTGCTGAGGTCGCCGAGGTTTACGCCAGTGCTTCTCTGGTATTCGGTAGGATTTCAATCTTTCACGCTGGAACTGTCTTCTGAATCCTCTTGGAAGTCGGAAAGACCTGCTCGGTCTACGCTTAGTATCAGACGTAAATGATTCTGGAAACTTAAGTCACTGCGCGGGCCTGCCGATTCGTCTGCACGCTGATCACAGTTACAACGTCTGAATAAGTGAAGCACTAGCTAAGACGTACCTGTAGCTTAGATTTCTCAGCAGCAGAACCGCATCCCTGAATGCTTATACGCAAAACCTCGATCGATCCTTCGTGATTAGACCAGCACAAGTTCCCGCACGTTCCAGCGTCCGCGTTTGGTCAAGAGCTCCAAACGCTGAAATTCGTGCTCCAAGTCTGCCATCAAATGTGCACAAAGATGCATCGAGGCTTGGATCGTATTCGTCGGTGCCCCATCGCTCGCCACCGTGTTGACCGCTTCTTGCATTATGCACCTTATGACGTCGTATTCGGACTGTTTCCATCTGAGCATGAAATAATGTCTTCGCTAGTTGGTGCCCTGTTCAGAACAAGAAGTCAGCTAACGTCAGAATGGTACCCACGGCCCAGAAATCCAATGGGACCCATCTCCTGAACCAGCTTTCAACCAGGCTGAGGGTGCCTGTGATGTCGTCTAGCAGTGGCAAAAAACTCCACTGGACGTCAAGCTGGTTTAAAACATTATGTTCAGCCTGATAAGCTAGGCTTCTTGGGAAAAGCAATGAATCCCTGGCACAGTTGCTAAGCGCTGTAGATAAGGCCGCCACTACTATTTCAATTGAAAGCCATACGATGCAGTGCACAACCTCAGCCTGAGAATCACGATATCTCATGTTCTCATCACCATCGTGCCTGCAGACTTTCTTTCCAGTATAAGACGATGAGGATGGGTTATAAACCGCAAGGCTACCACAGGCTCGCATTGGCGATGGGTCTGAGCAATGAGCAGGTGATCTTCCGCAAATCAACGACCTGGAAATACTTAGCCTGATGAGCCTGGAGTCAGAGCTGATTGAGCTGTTTGGTGATCCGAAAGCAACAGATAAGAAAGTCCCTTCAAGATACGCCTCGAACAGGTTCCGTTTTTAATGGTCATCAAATTATCTTCATTCAGACTCGTTGTATGCTCGCTGTTTGCGCTTGTTCTATAAAATTCGACACGCCCCATTGGCAGCAGCAACGAATCAAAGAGTGTCTTCGACACGCCCGCGATTCCAACAAACAGCCTCCGCTTTGTGACTAGATGGATACCGATTATATCATCCAGTCTCCTAACGTCCTTAATACGATGTGGCGAAAGATCGCAAACTACCAGTGTAGAGCTCCGCTCCGCGCTGCAGGACTAGAACAAACCAGTATGCTTCAAATTCACTATGGTACGATCTTGAATTCTTTTGTGGATAGATTGCACGCTCGTCAACGATGTTGATGTGGCGAACGGGAACATAGGGTCTGACGACGAATGCTTACATGCGAAGGGAGCGTTCTTCCTGTCCTACCGAATGCAAAATGGGGGTATGATCGAAATTGGGGCTAATTGTAAATTAGAAGATGTATGAAGACTGAGCTGAGTGTGTTTCTCACGGATTTACTCACAACTTCGAAACATGTGCCAACTTGCAGAACTTGGATATGCCATAACGACCTGCCCCTTCCAGTAGCTTGGCATCTCGTATAGAGCTAGAAGTGGCCAGGCTCGAGACACCAGCGACCTATCAGAGAGCTCGCTCCAAATGTCGCTATCTCGACTGCATATCATAAGTATAGCCGTGTTCGCGAAATGGCTGGTGGTGGCATGACTGCAGGTTCGCGTTCGCAGCTCGATGTCTGGTAGCTGCGCAGCGATGTCTCACAGCTTTAACAACTCGAAGCAATGAACTCAACTCGTAATACACATGGACCTTGCTGCGATCCCGGTAAGTGAAGATCTGGGATTGGTAGATGAGGTAGAGTTGCTGACGACGGACAAATCCAGCCGGCAGCGGCGCGTACTACTCTTGATAACGGCGCTGAGCGCGATCCTCCTCCTGCATACAGTGCAGCTCACGAACCTTCTCCTCCGACTTACCAAGATGGCTCTCAGTCGCGGAAAAGCTCCTCATCACGTTATGGCGCGTTTCGGAATCGGCTTGTGTGGGGTGTACTATTGACGCTCATCACCGCAGCTGTGATAGCGACACTGGCTGCTGTATTCACCCTTCAAGCGAAGAGCCACGTAAAGCAGAGCTCTAGGCACGTGTAAGAATAATCGTTGGTCAAATTCAATGAGCATACGGAAAAACGAGAGAACGCCTACGTCGCAGGATCAACGGTGCGACGCCTATACGCCTAACTATCGAGCTTCTCAAGTGGAAGGTGGAAACATCTCTGAAAATGGGTACGACCAAGGCCCGCAATCTAATTTCGTCATGGCGAAACGAGGGAGAATGGAGACTTGCCGATTTGATAAGCCAGTGCTCGCGGGTAACCTTGAGGTGAGGATTGTTGTAAGCCATGATGCAAAAAGGTTGAAACAAGCGCTGCAATCATCGCCGCCAGAACATCGCGCTCGAACTTTCCCCTAGCGGCGATCCGACCTCAAGATCTTAGGTTCAGACTCTCTACTGTACAAGATGCCCCTGCTCATTGCTGGCAAATGAAGACATCTCGTCATTCCAGGCACATTGAAGGACTCCACTTGAATAGCCTCAACAGTAACAAAACCACATGCTTTCACCTATAAAAAGTATCGAATCTGTAACAAATCTACAAGAATGAGCTATCATCGTAACCAGGGTCCAATCGCGTCCAACCACACTCCCCAGCATAGTCAGCACGCGCCAACTACCCGGGCACGCACTGCACACAAGCCGTCTAAGAGCACTTGCCCCAATTCTTCTGGCACCAGTTCGCCGCACCGCAGAAGTCAACTCCTTTACCACAGAAGTTGCTTCCCGAGCAGCACAGCCCACTCCCACACTTCTTGTTCACAATCGGACCACACGTCTCGCCCTCACCCGCCGTACCTGGCGTGCCTGTCGGCAACACAGGCTTCTTCTCGCTGTCGCACTTGCCGTACCCAGCCTGGCATCCCGTCCCGCAGTACAAATTCTGATCCTGGATGTCGTTCTTGGGCCCGCAGTGACCGGCGGACGAGCAGCAGCGGTAAAAATACCCGCCAAGGCCGGCGCCGGGGCAGGATACACCGCCCTCGGCGTGGCCACAGACGTCGATGACGGGGACTTGGGAGGCGTAGGGGGAGGCGGTGGAGGTCGCTTTGGCGGAGGTCTTGAGAGTGGATGGTGTCGTGCCCGAGGCACAAGAGGACCCTTTGCCGGAGAAGGACTTGAGGCAAGTCTTTGGATCGCAGTAGGCGGCGCCCGTGTCGCACTGTTGGATGATTAGAAGATGGACTTGGGGCTAAGAATCTTGACGGAAAGACGGACCCAGCCGTATTGGCTACCTGGGACGTATGTTAGTTGCTGTCGTGGGGACTGTGGGATGACGACGAACAGCATTTTCCAGCAGCGCAGACTTGGCTGTTATATTTCGGTCCGCAGTTCTGTGCCACGGCAACAGAAGCCAGCGAGAGGAGAGCAAGAGCGAAAGCGCGCATTATGATTATATTTAGTAATAATGATGTTTTCAGACTCAAAGTGTCGAAAGCGAATGTTGAGTTCCCGTCGTCTGACGATAGACAATGACAGGTTCAGATCGATAAGACACCAAAGAAGCTTCCCATGACTGCGATCAAGCTTCTCTTTAACCCACGGCAGTCGCACCTCCCTCTATTGTTAGCTTTGTTGATGGATGGCCACCCCCTGCCCCGTACCAAACATTCGAGGGTGTCCCGGGAGCCGCGCCGACAACTGCACGCAAGCGCAGAGCTAACGGACACACCAGGCCCCTGTCAAGTGTAGCTTCCGCCAGCCAGGCTGAGAATCCAGCCTTCGGAACCGAACGCCTCCCCATGTTGAGCATCGCTGGAAGATAGTGTGGTGGAGCATATCGTGAAAGAGTGCCGCTGAAGCAGGGGTGGCGCTGCTAATTTGCTTGTACATGGTGGAAGCTTTCCCCTTGTTTAACAGAAAAAGGAAATGGCCGTGTTAGCGGCAAGGAGGCGGCCCAACCAGGAGAGAGCTCGTTAGCCCTTCACTGGTAACTAGGATATGGAATCTCGCTTAGTCCAGTCATGTGCCAAGCAGCCATGTGCCGACCATAAGTTGCAACTCCAAGTATCTTTCTTGACTCCGGCTGCGCTTTCGGGCCACAAGCGGGCTATCTCGATTTTCTGAGGATGCGTGCGTCGCTGGCACGTTCATGATCGTTACTCGGTTCCGCGATGTGGGTTCTGGGCAGGGTAGGACCTAGTGACGGTGAGCCCTTTTGCGGAGATCGGAGCAAGGATCCGAGGCTATTCGATAGCTTCTCTGGAACACACGGAACACGGCAGCAAGACTGCAGGCTTACCTCTCAGAGTGCTGTCGTCAACAGAGGGGTGCAGAAATGTTGAATTGATTCGCGCATTATCGTACCAGTGGCTGAGTCGAACTACGAATAATGCATTGTCCGTTACTTGACACAGTATATCGATTGATGTAGTGGAATAATGGCGGGGACTAGTAATTGCGTGAAGCTAGTGTGCTGCACGTACTCTTCGTGGATCGTCATGTCTACTCTTCTCCATCCCAAGCTTGTCTGCAAGGTTCGTCATTATAACACAGTCACGCGCTTTGCACGCAGGAGAATTGGACTATCCCTTCTCGTCAACCGGAGAAGTAGTGTTGGGCTTCCATTCAAATCAAATTTACTCTCCAGCCTGGATAAGGTAGCCACCATCGACAGGGATTGTCTGTAGAAAACACATCAGACGCAAATCGCTTACGTTGAGAACAATTACTTACCTGACCATTGAGGTACTGGCAGCTGGCACAGAACAGCACTGCAGCAGCCATATCACGATCGTTTCCGGGGCGCTGCGATGGCAAACCTTGTTTGTGCTCCTTTGGCATCTCACTCTTCTGGTTGTCGTCCCTACTCTCTCCCGTGGTCATCTCACTAGGGAAGACGCCAGGTGCGATGTTGTTCACCCGGATCTTGAAGCCCATCTTCGCGATCTCCGCTGATAGCATCCTGTTGAGGTGGATCTGAGCTCCTTTGCTGGCATTGTAGCTGAAGTGGCCCTGGGAAATTTTGACAAGACCGGAGATGCTGGTGATGTTGATGACAGTACCGCTGTAGCCGTACTGGTGCTCGCTAGCCTTCTGCAACAGAGGTAGGAAAGCGGTGGTCATAAGAAACGGACCGACGACATTGGTGGCATATACTGAAGTCCACTCTTCAACCGATGTGGGATCAAGGAGATTCTTCCGCATCTCTTCAGGAGACTCGTGATGTGTCTCGGTCTTGCCTGGGGCAATGCCAGCATTGTTCACGAGGATGCAGAGACATTTCTCGCGGGACTCGATCTCTTTGACGATTTTCCTATGCACGTTAGCATCCCATGGTGTAGCATCGATGGTATACAACTTACTGCACACCCTCCTTGCTTGCTACATCACCCTGAAGTGGGATAATTTGACCGGCGATATCCTTCCCATGCACCTCAGCGACCTTCTCGAGCTTTTCTTCGGTCCTGCCAACAATGTACACCTTAGCTCCGTTCACAGCCAATGCTTGTGTGATCATCAGGCCAATGCCTGATCCACCTCCTGTTACAAGCGCAACTTTGTCCTTCACATTGAAGACCTCTCCGAGCTGTAGATCGGCGTTGTTCGACATCTTGTGATATGATCGTGCGAATTGGTTGTATGGTTTTTCTGTTCGAAGTTGCGCGGTTGTGTGAGATTTGTTTTTTAATGAGGGGGATGAATAGGTTGATATATGTGCGCGTGCTGCGTGACGACTCGTTGACGTCAGATGAACGCGTTGGAGGGAAGGAGCAGAGCGCGTCAACGTGGAGGGCTTGAGGTTGAGAACCATGATGTCGTTTGAGTAAAATTATGGACTAGTTGCATGAGAGTACTGTAAACGGTGATTGCATAGCGACGCGACGTTGTGCTTAATGGTAAGGAGTAGTTGACCGCACAGGCCCTGACCAACGTGAGTGTTACATCATCGGTATAACTGCTGCGAGACACTCTATGCGACCTTCGGTGTGGAGAAAAACCGCAGGTACTGTATGTAGCGGGACGCTATGAAAATGAAAACTAGATTGCGATGTTAGCTGTTACGTGGGTGATACCGATGCCCACAGAGAGCCTAACCATACTGGGGGCTAGGGTGCCGTATCTCTCAAATCCCACACACCCACACATGCCGCACACTCTGTGAGAGCAATCACATAGTTCAGATGTTGGGCCACTTGCACGTCAATGTTTAGAGCCGAACACCAATCAATACCTAGGCAAATAGGCGCATTTCCACGTGACATAATCGCGTTCCTTTACCTTACATTTGGGCATTCTCAAAGCTTTTCCACAGCTACATGACTCCAGCTACGCCCATTTCAAGCCGTATGGAACCACTATGAGTGGCCGCGGGACCCTCAGTCTGTTCTACCTGCCGCTTCAGGAGCTGAATGCCCGATAGAAAACGAACATCCGCAGAAGAGTAACCGAGTCATCGCAGCGAGCGAAGCTTGTCACCTCAGGAAACTAAGGTGCAATCATTGTCGGACTTGAATCGCGCGTTGGAAAGCTTGATAATGTACGGTGTTTGGGGAGGGCACCGACATGCGCCGCGTGGAATGGACGTAGGACGGTTTGTAGCTACCCCGAGACCGTCGTACGAGTGACGGATCGAAAATTCGAAGAACTTTGGAAAAATCAATCTGCGCACGAAGAGGTGATTGATTATATGAGGAACCTGTCAGTACAAGATGCTTTATATCGTCTTCTTCAACGTCAGAGAGCTGGATGAGATGTCGGATCACTGGTAAGCCATGTCAAAGACAAGCTTGCTGTGAAAACTGCGATCAGATCCGCCAAGCCGACTGAGATACGAGCTTCCATATACACGTATATCCCAGCATCGTTGCTGACCACCGGGAGCCACTACCCGGGCTCATTGATTTATGAAGCTGCTGCCTTGCAGCCACGGTCGGGCCCATTTACAGCTACAAGTCCTCAATGCAATGGATTACTGGGACAAAACAACACATCGAAGTATCAAAGTCAGTACGTCAAGCCATAACATGCAACAGCATTTGTTGAGCCTCGGCTGGAACATGCGAGATCGTCAGCATGGACAACCGTCTGCAATGATGATGCACTTCTGTGACAGCTACTGGCTGCCTATCGCACGCATGGATACCACCCTTTCCCGGAATGCATGGCCTAAGTGGACATGGCAGATGAGGAAACACAATGTTACATTAGCATATGTATGCGTCAACATCTGCGTCAGGAGTTACCATGATGCTCTGGCTGTGCCTCAGTTACTGTTCCACGAGAATCATGAATCGATTAAGGTACTTGAGCATCTGGGCTATCGAGTTGTCGCCGAGGCAAGGTGAGTTTTGTTGGTCATCAATAGTAAATATCGTAACCTCAAAATGTCCCACACCGTTTGTCTACGAAGTATGTGGCCTAGATAAGCTTGGTAAAATATGCATCCAGCAAGGCATGGTTCTCGCTCGAGGTCTACCCTTAATTAGAAGGAACTATGCATATACGTTCCGAACGAGCACGTAACGCCAGCAACTTCACCGCCGGGGGCCTCTTCAACATGGACAGGTATGTACACTCAGTTTCCAAGCACACTTAAGAATCGGATGATGGAGGCTGATGGTGGAGCATTGATTACCTTGCCTGGCAATTCTTCCGGGACCACTCCGGGACCACACGTTACCGCTCCACCCTTCCAGATCCGTACCTTGACGCAGTTTCGTACAGCGAGACATGAACAATGTCAATCATGCGCCAGACACTGTCGCCAACGTGATGTGAACTCGTCTTCTAGACTGTATCTGAGTTCAGAGTGATCCCCAGCGAACCATGCTATGCGTCGTTTGCCAAACAGGCAAGATGATCATGAATCAAGTAACCGCGTTTATAGACGGATTACCAAGGTCGTATAAAGATCCTCCTGCAGTTCTATTGCTGAATAACCTTACGCTTCCAGCTCCCTTCCCCATGCAGCGAGTTTCTTTTCCCTCTATCATACGAGTTCGAGGTACTTCATATTATCTTATTTGACGACGTACTGATGTATAAATCAGCCTCGATTATGATTTGCTCGTCACGAGCACGTGGCAGTCCTTCATTTGTGATCCATGGGACAATCTGCTTCTTCCATGGGCTATTATTACTGAGGTAAAGCGCGATCTGAATATCTGCATGCGACTGTACTTTCTACTCCACGGATTCGAAGGCCCAAACATTTACGTGATACCCCCTCTCTAAATCTGGCTTCACGTCACTGCAAGGCATAACGATGAGCAGACTTAACAAGAGCTGGAATATACCCAGTCGACCCTTTTCATGGTTATGCAGGGGCTGCGGGAACAAGGCCTCAGTTATAATGTTGCGAGGATAGTATATCGCGTGATCAGGAATTAGCTTCGATCTGAAGAAGCACGACTTCTGCACGGCATTATAGTCGCAGACACAGAGCCTGATGATCAGGCGGATGACACCAGTCAGCGTGGGTTCCCCGAATCATGGATGTGTCGGAGAACCCGGCTGCACAGGAGCTGTCAGTGTTGACGAAAGGATCCTTGAAGGTTGACTCGGGTGAGCAGTCTTAGAGCGAGCCTGGAAAAGTCCGGCTTTGGCAACATGACATACCTAGCTTTATGCATGCAGGCATCTGGAATTTAAGAATAAGTGTCGTGTAAAAAGCCTATTCGCCGACCCTGGGAAATATCTGCTTTGATGTCGTTATGAATGCTCCGACGACCGGACCAGTAAATCGCACCCGAACTGACCTGCGTTCTTCCATCTGCTTATCCAGTGGCTCGACTGTGCAAAGCGAGCCAACCAAACACTTCCGCTACCCGACAGATATTCTAGCGGTGCAGTTCCACGGAATCCGGAATTAAACGACAGAAAGGCATTTGCACTGACAGGCCATTAGCAGCAAGGCTAGCCTATGCTCCGGTATAGAAGACGGCGCTAGGTATGTATGAGAACAGCAGCTCAGACCTCATCCTTTGACGAAGGGCTCAAGTATGGGTTTATAGTCCTGGATATAGGTCCTGGGTTAAAGCGATTGACGGGAGAGATAAATGAGTATAACATATGGTCGTAGTGCCGAGACGAGAAAGAGCTGTCCTCCTCCGTGTAGAGGTCTTGATTGCAAAAAATGACAACATCGTGTCAGAAGGACGTGGTAGTCATCATCATGATGTTGGCTCAAAATACTGCCGTGAATTTGCTTGATTGGGAAGGCTGGTTACTATTTTCTTCCTGCCGTTGGTAGGCCGGCCGAACCTTCCGAAGCTTCTCGGTGTACCTTCCGACGTGGCTCGAACAGGAAAGTGTGGACCGAAAGCTCAAGGGAAGGCACGTCCAAAATGCGTTGGCAAAAATATAAATGCCGAAGACACAAACTCGAATTCGATGAGAGCCCAGTTAGGGCCGGCGTCACCTGCAGAAGAAGAGCATGTGACCGAAACTGGCTAATCGATGACTATGCAGAAATATTGCCTTGACTTGGTGTTATGTGAAAATGTACGAGAAACCTGCACGTCAATCAGCGTATTTAGTAGCAAGTAGATGTTCGCCTGGGATGCAGAATGCCGCGTGGGGGAGTTGTGGGTTGCACGTGCTGGCAGTTTTCGCGCAATCTGGACAACTATTGCCTGCATCGTTCATTGGGCGCTCATTTGGCGTTCATTCACCCGCAGCTGTTGTGTTGGGCAGCGACACATGACCCAGAGTCCGGAGAAGAGCGAAACAATGAACCAGAGAAGCGTATGCGATCAATGGCATCGGTCAGCCTTCATTCTGCGGGTTGATGTCTCGACTCTGATATGCTTGAAAACCGCACATGCTTCCCCTCTAATGCATAGTCGAGCACAGCCTCCGACGCCCATTGTGCAAACCAAACCGAATTCCGAGTCTATGACCTCCGACTTTTAGTGGACATGTCGCGTGCATTATGAGAGAAAGGAAAATTCGGCCGTCCAACAACATGGGTATGTCTCCGTGCGCTCCGACGAAAATTTTGGCCCTTGAGGCTAGCACCGAGCACCGAGCACCATCTCCTGGTCCTACCGGTGCATCGTACATCGATCGAGCGCATCAAGCAGCTCCGGCCTGCTCGCCAAGGCCTGCCGGGCCTGTTGGTAGGTAAACCACTGTCGTGAGCGCTTGTGCATCTCTGGCCACTGTGCCTCCTGCTTCTCAACGGTCGCTTCGAAGAAATGATATGAGGCCTTGGGAGCTTGAGCGGTGAGCTGGTCGGGTCTCCGCCGCTCGGCGATGAGGCCGAGGTCGTAGTTCACTTTGACGATGATGCCGGCCTCTTCCCAGGCTTCGCGTTTGGCGGCATCTTGGGCGGTGGCCTCGTCCGTCTCCCAACCGCCTTTGGGGAGGACCCAGCCACCGCGTCGCGTGGACTGGATGAGGAGTACGTAGTACTTGTCGGAAGAAAGCGGAACAATGCCGGCGACGAGCCTTTCGCCTTGGGAGCCGTACCCTGGGCATCAGTCAATATTTGGAATAGGAAGGATGTGAGAATCTCAGCCAGGTAATCCGCGAGGCAGATTGCGAGCATATGTAGACTCACGCTGGTTCGTGCGGCCGGTGCGTGACTGCATGGAGAGCTGGTGGGCGGCAGCCATGGCGACCAAGGTACCTCGAGAAGCACTAATGAGCGACGTGGTTGAGGCAGCCAAGCAGAGGCACAGCGCTGGACCAATGCTCTGGACAACGGCGAGGTGCAAAGGAGAGACGGGGCCCCGCAGCGGATGGGGCGTGAGCAAGCACAGCAGGAGGGCGGGCAGAGTCTAGCTGGGCGCCGGGTGCTGTGTTGAAGCGTGAGTCAAGGGAGAGAACAAGGCTGCGCTCAGTCCCGCGGGGGACGGGGCTGAGGATGCTGGAGAGACCTGCGCAGGGAGAAGAGGGCGAGCATCGTGGATCGTGTATGTGTTTTAGGTGATTTGGTCAGGGTCCGTAGTAAAAAATGTGGGAGACTAAGGGCCGCGGGAGCTCATCACCGCTCGTCACAAGTCGCCCGCCCGACTGGTCCGCCAAGCGGGCTGCAGACCGGGGCCTGCTCATACGGAAAGGGACACAGGTAGGGATGGGCCATCTCCATCGTGTGCATCTGGAGCGCTAGAGCTCTGCGGCGTGCAGTGTGCAGTCGACGCGGGGCACGCGAGGCATCTGCGCGGCGGCCGCTCTCGCAATGACGTTGGGCCGGGCTGCTCATGGGTATTTGAACCTCCGCAGGCGCCCAGTAGCAGGCGCATCTGAGGCCTCGTGAGAACGCTGATCGGATCGCTGGAGCTGCGTGGCATCCGTGGCACCAGAACAACTGCCAGGGCTGCATCTACAGACGTCGGCCTCACTTGACGCTTCTCCGCCGCCGCCGCCGCCATTCACCCTCGGCGCCTCGCCCGCCCCAGGAGGCATTCTCGAGCCCGTCGAGCCCGCGCCGCCAGACACCGCGTAGCGCAGGCCACTCGCGGTACCGCCCGGTCGTGCCTCTCCCAACGGCCTCGAGCGCGCCTCGAGATTCCTCGACCCCCTCCACCGCCAACCGCCCGAGCTGCCCCCACCGCCGCGCCCGCTCCCACGCTTATGCTGCCCTCATGCAGTCCCTTGTGACGCCCTTCGGTACGTTCTGCTCCAACCACCGGGCTCGTCCGGCGCTCGTGCTCCTCTGGCTGGACACGGCTGGTCTCCGTCCAACGTCCTTTTGCACTGTTGAACACGGTGCTGATCTCTCGGCCACCGCTAGGCTACAGCGCTGAGTCCTGCGGATATTGCAAAGATGCCTCAACGGGCCGCCGCACGCAGAATTCTCGTAAGTCAATATTTCCATACCGCTGCCGTGGGCTGCGCGCTGTATTGGCAAGTGTCGGAACCACCGTACCCACACGGAGCAATTGGTCGCGAAGCATCGCCCGCCCAGGAACAGCCTCGCGCGTCTGACATGTCGGTCCAAGATGAATGCTCCCTCCCACGTGCTGCATCTGCAATGCTCCACACACAAGACAACCGTGTATCAGCCTATCCTGGTCCGAAGCAAAGCGGACGCCAAGCGCGCCATCCGCCAACCGCTTCACCAGCACCATGTAGCCGCTGGAGACGTCGTCACTCAGTCCATGCGACGTCACTTATTCCAACGCCTTCCTAGCCTGGTACCCCGGGAGGATCCGGGGTCATGGCGGTCAACATCCTACCAAATGGTTACTGACTGTTATTACATAATCAGGAGCGAGCTACTACTTCTCCTCCAAATCCTTGACGGTCGACGTCTATCAGGGCCTGGTAGATCGAGGCTGGAGACGGTAAGCTCGGCAACGCCTGCACGACATCCCGCCGTCAAGCTTTGCTTTTGCTGAAGGTTCCGCAGATCTGGGACCGTCTTCTACAAGCCGGACGTGCTGCGGCACTGCTGCCCCCATTACACGATACGGTAGGCCGACCTCTGAAGGTATTACAAGGATCGTCGACCACGTGCTAACTTAAACCAGCCTGCCCGTAGCATCATTCGCACCCACCAGAGATCAACGGCAGGTCATCAACCGGTGGAATAAGTATGTGCTTGGAGACGAGTACTCTAAAGAGGCTGCCAAGCTGTACCCAAAATCGAAGGCGTAAGTTTGTCAGTCCGCATATGCTTATCTTCTCACCCTTTTCCAGGGACAAGGCCAAGCAGCGCAATGCCTTCGACCTGCCCGGCGCTGTGCATGAGAGTGAGTATGCGAACATCAAGCGGCCGCCAGAGCCCGCCCACCGCTTCGAGGTGACACTCGAAGAGGATAAATTTACCAAGGAGAAGTATGAACTCTTCCACAACTACCAGCAACACGTCCACCATGAGAAGCCCTCGGAGATATCCCAAACCGGCTTCAAGCGCTTCCTCTGTGACTCACCCTTGCAACGACGAACGACCCAAGTGAATGGCAAGGCCCAACAGCTAGGATCGTATCATCAATGCTACCGACTGGACGGCCGACTCATCGCAATGGGCATATTAGACCTTCTGCCTCATTGCGTCAGCGGTGTCTACTTCCTCTACCATTCGGACTTTGAGAAGTGGAGTTTCGGGAAGCTGAGTGCTCTTCGCGAGGCAACTCTAGCGCTGGAAGGCGAGTACCAGTATTACTACATGGGCTTCTATATCCATTCCTGCGCCAAGATGAGATACAAGGGCGAGTACCGACCGCAGTATGTACTAGATCCGGAGTCTCTAGATTGGAATCCTCTAGAGGGCGAACTCCGTGCTCTGCTCGACAAGAAACGCTATGTCTCCCTTTCGAGAGAGCGACGGTTGAAAGAAGCCGCCAAAGATACCGGTCGTGATGTTGTAGTGTCGACGGAGGATGGTATGGACCATGACTCCTACTCCGACTTTCCGTTCCCAACAGCAAAAGAGGCCAGTGATGCCGTGAGCGAAGGTGTCTCGCTGTTTGACCTCAAAGTACCCGGTGTGATGACCGAAGAAGAGATCGAGCAGCATTCGCTTGGAAAGCAGCGTATCTCTGGCCGGGGACAAACATTCGTAGCAGAGGTAAGTTGGTACGTTGTTCACTCAAGCCATGCCTAACAGCTGCAGGATCTGGTGGCATGGGAAGCTGGTGACATCCGTGATGGGTCTTTCAAAGGCATCACAGCTGAGTTCGTTGCGTTCCTGGGACCCGAAGTTGCGAAGCAAGTCGTCATAGGCTTCGGTTAGAGATGGATTGTGAGCAACCACACCTAGTTTATGAATCCATGAACAGCGTTTGACCGAAGCATTACTCATCGCGGTCTTCGTATCCATACTAATCGAGAGGGACAAAAGCAGAACGATATCGTATGTTGGTGAAATAGTACGGGAGTGATCGGACTAGCTCGATGAGGGATCGCTTGCCAAGGATGATGCCCGCTCCGCATTGCATTTTATTTGTTGTGCCCGCACCACCGAATACATCCGGCACACCAACATGTCTGAAATATCACTTATCGTGCGCCCTCGTGGTATGTGTGGTAGCCTAAAGATACATTGCCCGTACAGCTGACGGCATGCAGGTCGCCCGATCAAAAACCTCCCCGAGACCATTACCGTGCAGGCAGATGGCGTTGCCAGCCAAATCCACCAGAAGATCGCAGACGCATCTCGTTTCTCTATCCACCGCTTGAGGGTTACGAAAGGCAGCGATGGCACGCCAGTCGCCAACACTAGGGAGACGACGGTCCACGATACGGGCCTAAGGAACAAGAGCGCCATCGATGTGAAGGACTTGGGTGAGTGACACCAATCGTACCTTATTCCGCAATCTAACGACAGTGGCAGGTCCTCAGATCTCATGGCGGACCGTGTTCGTCGTCGAGTACCTCGGACCCCTCCTCATCCATCCACTCGTGTACTACGGCCGCTCGCTGATCTACGGCACCTCGCAGCCCCCATCTGAGCTTCAGAAGATTACCCTCATTCTATGTGTACTGCACTTCCTGAAACGCGAGTACGAGACATTATTCGTGCACCGCTTCTCGGCCGCTACGATGCCCGCACGCAACATCTTCAAGAACAGCGCACACTACTGGGTCTTCTCTGGTATCAATCTGGCGTACTGGTCTTACGCCCCATGGGCGCCGACCGCTGGCAAATCGAACCCGCTCATCACCTACACTGGCATTGCCCTCTTTACTATCGGCGAATTGCTCAACTTGTACACGCACATTGTGCTTAAGAACCTCAGGCGTCCTGGCACCACCGAGCGCGGCATTCCCAAGGGAATTGGTTTCAACCTCGTCACATGCCCGAACTACTTTTTCGAGATCGTCTCGTGGATCGGCGTTGCACTTGTGAGCTGGAGTCTTAGCACTGTCGTATTCATCGTGATTGCGGCTGCGCAGATGGGCGCTTGGGGCAAAAAGAAGGAGCGCAGGTACCGCAAGGAATTTGGCGACAAGTACAAGAGGAAGCGATTCGCTATCTTCCCAGGTGTCTTCTAGCCTGCTTCCTCGGCCCTCGGGGACTGGCAGCTCTGTAGCACAGCTGAAATGTCTGTGGAGGACGCAAGCAGATGGGAGGACTAGATAACAAAAGGATACGACGATGGCGCAAGGCTGAATCATAGGCTGCAGGGTGGACGCACAAGGGACAGATGGCATGTTCGCATGAGCAGCTCCACCGCCATGCATGCGCCATGTGTGTCGCGCAATGACGCCCGCTGTACCCACACAGTACGTAGAGATATTGAAGGCGCGTCAATCATGGCTTCCCACGAGAAAGCATTGGCTTCGTTCTGGCGCTCGGTGCGACCGAAAGGGCGACGTTGCAGATACGGGCCGACAAGGCTGGCGGTCAACATCACCCCATGCGTTCAATTGAGCAATGTTGAGCCGGTTCTCAGCCCCCGATCGCCTTCTTTCAGGCACGACCCCGGCTGCGATGCCACCTGCCCTGATGTCGCGACGACGGTGGCTCCCAAAGCTGTATCCTAGCCGGGTGTGCCTCATCCGCATCCGCGCGAGACGGACTGGGAGCAGCTGGCGCCATCCAACGACGCGTCCTATGCGGCATCGCGCGGGCGAGGTCTGATAATGCTCGGGCGATGATTGGCCGCCGTGGCGAGCCGAGGGACCCCTCTTGAACTGGTGGTGGGGACGCCGTCTGCGCTTCAGCTGGCGGACGGGCTGAGATCGGTGGAGGCAGTCAGCCACGGCAAACACTGCTTCGGCTGAACCGCAGAGACGTATAAGAGCTGCGTGTACGGTGCCTGCGCTGGCCGGGAACTGTTGCGTTGCTGCTATTGCGAGTGCTGCATTTCTAGCGAGCGAGCAAGATACCCCTGTCGCATCCATCGATATTGTGCTTTTTATATCAGCCCTGCCGAGTTCGTTGCTCGTCAGCGTGGGACGTCATTGAGCACATCTGAGGGGCTGTCTGTGTACCTGAGTGTATTCTTCGCGCCGTTCTGCAATTGCTTGGGCCAAGAACTGGGCTGTTTATATTCTTACATCCGTGGGGTCGGATTGTCAAGGTATGTGAGCTCTTGTATACCCCTCTTCGCGGGCATTGCCATCCACATGTCTCTCATTGGGGTTAGGAGTTGTTCCCGTTGCTTCCGTTTCTTTCGTCCAACGTTGGATGAGAAGCGAGGGCTGGGGATATTAGGGCCCTTTCCCGCCTAGAACCGTGATCGGGTTTGAATACCTCGATACATTGCGAATCACAGTTCGATACTAAGACTCAAAAGTTCAGGAGCCCAGTTCAAATCTACCATCGCCATGTCATCACATTCATACCAGAATAACGTCGACACGCGGCCCGGCACTACGCCTCCGGAACCAGACGAGCTCTCCGCATTGGACAAATTAGAGAAGAAGGTCGGCGGTCCTTTCAGGAAACTAGCAGACGTTTGGGGTGCGGCCATGGCGCCTCTGCCAACTGGGACTGGAGATGGATCGAAGCTGCAGCCAGAACCTACGGACGAGAGCGAGGCGTTGAAGAGGATTGAAAACAACCTGCGAGATTTCGCGAACTTCGGCTTCAGTGATTATGAGACGCTCACAAAGATCGTTGCGAATAAGATATCTGGCGAGCCGCAAGATGACAAAGAGTATATGATGGAAGCTCTAATAAAAACGGCGGCTGATCTACCGGATGGTTCGACGATGCGAGATAAGTTGACGGGAGCTTTCCTCACACAGCTTTGGAATGACCTCGAGCACCCGCCTCTTTCCTATCTTGGATCGCAGTACCAGTACCGTTCTGCAGACGGCTCTTTCAATAGCCTCGTGCACCCGCAGCTGGGTGCCGCGAATATGCCGTACGCGCGGACCGTGAAGCCCAGCATGATGCAGACGCCGTGCCGGCCAGACGCTGGTGTCGTGTTCGACAGCGTTATGACAAGGAAGCATGCAGAGAAGCATCCGAACGAGATATCCAGCGTGCTATTCTACCTCGCTTCCATCATCATCCACGACTGTTTCCGAACGGATCACAGAGATTATTCCAACTCGCTCACATCCTCATACTTGGACCTGTCGCCGCTTTACGGCAGCAACCAAGATGAGCAGAACCTCATGCGTACATTTGTCGACGGCAAGCTCAAGCCCGACGCCTTCTCAGAGCAGCGCCTCACATTCTTCCCTCCCGGCGTAGGCTGTCTCCTCGTCATGTTCAACCGCTTCCACAATCACACCGTACAGAACCTCGCCCTCATCAACGAGGGCAACCGCTTCCCCAAACCCGTCGCCCCGTCCGATCCCAAAGATGAGAAGGAAGTCGAAGCGTTCAAGGTGCAGCTCGCAAAGTACGACAACGACCTCTTTCAAACAGGACGTCTCATCACTTGCGGCCTCTACGTCAACATTATCCTTATCGACTACGTCCGCACGATTCTGAATCTGAACAGGACAGATAGCAACTGGCAGCTGAACCCAAGGGCGGACATCAAGGATCTGCCGATTGGTGTGGGTAATCAGGTTTCTGCGGAGTTCAACCTAGTGTATCGATGGCATTCGACCATGTCTACGCGAGACGAGGAATGGACGCAGCAGCTGTGGGATAGGATGTTTGGAAAAGGAAGGGACCCGAAGACAGTTGGAGCGCGCGAGTTCCTCAAGAAGCTGAACGAAGAGTACCAGAAGACGGAGAAGGATCCCGGGAAGCGCACCTTCGCTGACCTGAAGCGCGAGGAGGATGGCCGTATTCCAGACCAGGCTCTGGTTGATTATTTGGTCTCCGGCATCGAGGACTGCGCCAACAGCTTTGGGCCCAATCGCGTGCCGGCCGTCATGCGCGCCATCGAGGTGCTCGGCATCGAACAGAGCCGCGCGTGGAACCTAGGCTCCCTTAACGAATTCAGGAAGTACTTTGGGCTTGAGCCGCACACGAGCTTTGAGGACATCACCTCGGACAGGTATGTTGCGGAGCAGCTGAAGCATCTATACGACCACCCCGACAAAGTCGAAATTTATCCTGGCATCGTCGTCGAGGATGCGAAGAAGGCCATGGCGCCAGGCTCTGGCCTCACACCCTCGTACACCGTATCCAGAGCAGTGCTATCGGACGCTGTGGCACTTGTTAGAGGCGACCGTTTCTACACGCGCGACTATAACCCTCGCACGCTCACAAACTGGGGCTACGCTCAAGCAGAATCCGACACGGCCGTCGACAATGGTTGCGTCTTTTACAAGCTCATCCTGACCGCCTTTCCACAGCATTTCTCCAACGACAGCGTGTACGCACACTACCCCCTGACCGTCCCATCCGCAATGAAAACCGCCCTGTCCCACCCTACGGTCAACAAAGCGCATCTATACGACTTCTCCAAGCCGGTCTTCACGCCGAAACCCATCCCAGTGAGCGAGTACAAGACCGCCGTCGCGATCCTAAAAGACCAGGAGACATTCAAGGTGACGTGGGGCAAAGCGCTGGTATACCTGATGGGCGACCCAGCGAAAGACTTCATGCTCACGGGCGACGGACCTAAGAACGCCATTTCTCGCTCTCTCATGGAAAAGGCACTGTACGTGACGGACTGGGAGAAGGAAGTCCGGTCGTATTACGCTTCAAAGACGCGAGAACTTTTGGGCAGCAAGAGCGCCAAAATCGCAGACTTCCATCAAGTCGACATCATCCGAGATGTTGGTAACCTCGCACACGTTCATTTTGCGTCGGAATTGTTTCAGCTCCCGCTTAAGACAGCGGAAGAACCACATGGCATATTTACCGAGGCGGAAATGTATCTGTTGATGAGCGGGGTGCTGGCGCTAATTTTTTTCGACGCAGACCCCGTCTCCTCGTTCCCTTTGCACATTAAATCTCGAAAAGAGGTAAAGGTGCTGGGTGAGTATGTCGAAGCAAATGTCACCTCTATCTCCAAGTTTGGCAAGGTACACGAGCTGGTGTCCAAGGTCTGGCCTTCAGAAAGCAAACTGAAGTCCTATGGACTGCACTTCATCCAAAGATTGTTGGATAGCGGGATGGAGCCGAAACAGCTCGTCTGGGGCCAGATGCTCGGCACCGCGGGTGGGATGGTGTCTAATCAGGGTCAACTCTTCGCGCAAATCATAGAGTACTTCCTTCTTGGCGACGGGCAAAAACACTGGACCGAAGTCCAAACCCTCGCTGCCAAGGACGACGATGCTTCCTTCGACGCCCTCTCCCGGTACGTCCTCGAAGCAGGCCGAATCGCTGGCGAAACAGCTGTCGTACGGGAGGTGGTCAAGAATACCACATTCACAGACCACGGTAAAGAAGTAGAGGTCAAGAAGGGGGATAGGCTGTTTGTGAATCTGCGCGCTGCGTCTCTCGACGCTACCGCTTTCCATGACCCAGAGAAATTGGATACCACACGCCCGCTGGACTCTTACATCCACCTCGGCACCGGACCGCACGCTTGTCTGGGCGTGCGGATGACGAAAGTAGCGCTGACGGCTATGGTGAAGGAGGTTGCGAAATTAAAGGGGCTGAGGGCTGCGAAGGGGGCCCAAGGGAAGGTGCATAAGGTTGAGCGAAGGGTTGGAGAGGGGGACGGAGGGGTATTCCATGCGTATCTGACGGAGACGTGGGACCGGGTTTGGCCGTTTCCTTGTGCGTTGAAGGTCAATTGGGATGATTGAGAAGTTTAATCGTAACGTTTTAGTGGGCTTGGATGATGGTAATGTGTGTATGTAAGCTTCGTTCTGTAATGTGATGTGTCTTTAGAACATCCATAAGGTGTGCGTGTATTCGTACAGTCTCCTCCGATTCTGGACGCTAATCTCATGTACTGTTAACCCGGGATAGTACGGTACAGGGCCAACCCTCAGCACCTTGACCTAGCACAGCCTCTCAAGCCCCTTTAGTCCCAACCTCATCCTTCTCGCTCGCCCTCTTCTCCAACTCCACCATCTTCTCTGCCTCCGTCTTCTCCTTCCGCCCACTTCCCCACAGCGTTCCCACATTCATCTTCTCCATCATCCAATCCATAGTACTGGCCTCATTCTTCCTCTCGATATCCTTCTCCAGCTGCGCCTTCTCTTCGTCTTCGTTAGTAACCTTACCCTCCTTCTCCTTTTGCGCTTTCTTCTCCATCTCTTCTACGGCTTTCATTTCGGTCTCTTCCTGCTCGACTTCTACGAGGTCGATGTCTTCGAAGCCAATCTTCTTCAGGATGCTGCCAGTGAGATAGCGGTATTGGATGTGTCCGTTCACCATTTCGGAGACGTCGACGTTTTGGACGCCGTGTATTCCCAAGATGGGTTGTAAGCCTGCGACGCCGAGCTGGATGCTAGACGTGCGGTATAGGAACGCGAGGATGTAGTCGTTGGTGGAGAAGACGTTGACGACGCGGCCGCTGACTACGCTGCGGATGGCTCTCCAGTCTTCGGCATCGGACGGACATGGCGAGCCGAGGAGGACAATGTTCTCGATGAGACCGAAGGCTTTGCGCTTTGCGAGGGTCTGCAGACAGGAGAAGATGAGGCGGGCGCCAAGGGAGTAGCCGATAAGTGTTATGGGGCGCTCGCCTTGGACTTTGTTGATGAGGGCGTCAGCTAGGACTTCGCCTGCCCTATCGGCACGGTACTTAGCTACGGAGAAAGGGTTATCTAAGATAGATGATAGCTTGAGCAGACCGAGCGGCCAGAGACCCGCAGCGAGGGCGCCGAAGACGGTGCGCTTGATGATTTGGCCTTTGGCGTAGGACCATGCTGCGCTCTTGACGAAGCTGTCCATGGAGTTGCCGAGCTTGAGGAGAGATTCTAACTCCCATCGCAGAGCGAAGCCTTCGATTGAGGGGTCCACGTAGCGCCATGGAACGACGACTTCTTCTTTGTTGGTCAGCCAGCCTGAGATGGCGATTGCGACGCGTAGACGACGAAATTCTTTGTCGAGCTTCCGCGGGCGGTGGAAGTTGTGGATGGGAATGAATCCGAAATCTTCGACTTCGCGTGCGTAGTCGTCCATGGCCTGGCTTGTCATCTTGGCTCCGTACGCGCCGAAGAGACCACCTACTAGAACGGATGAAGATGCGAGTGTACCTAGATATCCTGCTGCTGCCGTAGCTCCGAGGCCGAGTCCTCCCATTACGCTGCCTATCCCTGCGGCCAGAAGAGGTGCGGCAAGACCGCCTGTGACACCGATCAGGGCTGCGCCAGCGACGCCAGCGAGGCCGACTTTCCATTTCCGCGCTGTGCTCGAGGACTCTGCGGCTTTCTTCGTTTCGGCTTCAGCGCTGAGCTGCTTCGACGCTGCTTCAAGAAGCCCACGCGCAACAGTCTCCTCGTCGTTCTTCAGGACCGAGAGCTTGAGCTGCAGCGATGAGGTAAGGTAGAGTAGTAGCACACGCGAATGCGCCGAGTACGTCTCCAAACTAAGCACGATGAGTACAAAAGAGTGCAGCACAAGCTCCCTCTTCTCCTGATCCAGCTGCGTCAGCACCGTCTCGACCGGAGGGTACAGCTCCCTAAACACAGCGTCCTCGTCCTCGCCCTTATCATCTATGCCACTGAGACTCTTCATGCCGGTATCGCTCCTCTTGACTGTCCTCTCCACATCGGCTTCCTTCACCTCCCTGCTCTGCTGCTTCGCCTTCTCCCTCGAGTTCACCACCTCGCCCACCCTCCCCACCACCCTGCCGCGCCACTCATCGAAGTACTTGAGCATCGCCTTCTTCAGCTCCTGCACTTCTGGCTTCGCGAGTTCCTTCCTCGCATCTCCCTGTCTCTTTTCCCTGTCCTTCCTCAATTGCTCCTGCTCCTTCCTACGCTTGTGCTCCTTCTCGACATCTGCGTTCTCGATGTCCGTCGGCGCAGCGGCCAGCGCTGCTTCTTCCGACTTTGCGGGTTTCGCGTCTGCAGGCATTTCTTCAGGGGTGAATGTGTCGAGGAGAGAGTTACGCATCGTCATGGTGACTGTGGCGATCAGGAATGTGAGGTCGGCGCATTGGTCTGCTGTGAGCAGCGTCGTGAGGGAGGTGTCTTGTTCTTGGGATTGCGATTTCGAGCGCGAGTGCCCGAAGGGCAACTTGCTTGCAAAACCCTCCATGCTGGTGTTATTTCGAGAAGAAGTGGTTCTTCGAGAGCCACGGTCAAGTCTGCGGCATGGTCTGGATGCGGATGTTGATGTGCTGCCAGGATGACGTAGTAGCGGGGCGAACCCTTGCTTGTCAGCCGCAGCCCTACGAAAGCACTGGAGCCACACCACCACGGCTGAACCCGCGTCCAAGCGACCGCGTCTTGTCTTCGCAGGTCGCATCGTTCTTCAAGGTCGAAGTCCATTGGCGGTTGAGTTGCCGCAGTCTTCGACACAACTTCAGTTGACTGCCTCTCTGGGAAGCCTTTCAGTGGAGTCAGAAACGTGAAGTACGCGAGAAGGACATTTGTACCGTACCAATCCTCACTTCGCACTCTTCCAAGGCGATGCAGAGTCGCAAGCCCATTGGTGGCTAATGACCCAGGGTATCCAGCTTCGTGCCCGTCTAGGCAATGCCTTTGCAGTCAAGTTCGGTATGCAATGCCGTGCGAATTCAAGAGACGTGTTTTACACTCGCCGGACAATTATGCCGTACCAATTCTGACCCCCAACTCTCCCCAAACTGATTTCGTCCTGTGGGGATTTCACAGAGCCGCAACCTATTCGTGGCTATCGTTCCACTGTGTTCGACACCTTGTGAGCTCCTGCCTGGGCAGCTTGTTTGCTTGGAAACGGATATGCAGTGCCGTGCGAATGCAAGCGACGGACACTGGTTGTATACACTAGCAGGGCATGGGTGCCGGTACCAATCCTGACTCTGGGGGCTTTTAACAATCCGCTATGAGACAAGTATGCCGTACGAACCAAACCTCATCTTGGCACGCTGAACAAGACATGTGCAAGGAGCACGAAAGCGACCTCCGGGAACACGTCCCACAAGGGCCGTCTGAGTTCGGTATATTCATCTACTAACCACCCGCCCTACCGAGTGGCGTGGCATTCCTACCTCCAGCTGGAAAGTTTCTCGCGCTCAAAAAGACGCCCTTCACTGCCCGTATATCGTTCTTCAGCACGTTGATCTGGTCGTCCTTCCCATCGCCCGTCTTAGGTAGCCCGCATGTGCTGCCGTATAAGCCTCCTGAGCCCGAGTAGTACTGGCTCTGATAGCTCATGTCGCTCAGGTATGTCTGAAGATTCGATAGTTGCGTCTTCAGTGAGTCCGAGGAAGCATTGTCATTGGTCCGCGTGGATGAGAGTTCACGTAGATGCGACGTCAGGATCTTGAGGCGGTTCTCGTGGGCTTTGACTACACCTTCCCTTTCGGTCGCATCAGATGATTTTGAATCTCTCCGTGAGAGTGTGGGCGACGTTTGTGTGCCAAAGTCGCGGTGGTATAGCTCTGTGGGGTCTGAATCGGCCTCTGATATATCGTCCACTACATCAGAGACATTTGGCTTCGTCTTTGTCGCTGGATCGACTGAGGCCGAGTCACGTAGGCGTTCGTTCAGTTTTTCGAGCTGCTCCTGTGTATGGCTCGCGAAGTCGTGCCGTGACTCCGTGAGGTTCTGGGTCATAGGGCCTATTATATACTTGGAAAGTCCATATACTGTCGCGACAAGACCTCCGGCTATGTACGCGGTATTGAGGAGACGGCGCGTCGTAACGAGCGGGGGCTTTTCGTTAGGCTGCGCGAGGAACTCGGGGTATGTGACGATGGGTGGGATGTCCCGGGGTTGCGACTGCGGTGCGGGTGCTTGGGCGGGTTCTGCGGGAGCTCTTGACGCCCATGCCTGCTCCCCGGCTTGTGAGAAATCTTGCGATACGTGTTGGGGACTCTCCTGCGATAGCAGCTTCTCAATGTCTTCTGCCTTCACGCCCTTTGACCGTAGGAAGTCGACCTTCTTCTCGTGGGGCGCATCGCGAATAGTAGGGTCGTCGAGGAACTTGGATGCTTGGTCGACCAGTGGTGAAGCATCGAGCACAGGTGCTTCTGCTGGGGCTGTCTTTTGTGCGGCGTCTTCGGTTGGTTCCTCTGTGCCTGGTGCTGGAGCTGCTGGAGCTGGGGCGCCCTCCGGTTGCTGTTCCGATGCCGGCTGCGTGTCTGCTTCTGTGGGAGTGGGAGCTGGACCTTGCGCGCGCTGCCACGATGGTATGCTGGGCTTGTTCGACATGTTGTTGGCCCCTCCAGACGGTGAAGAAAGAGTGCACGCAACGTTCAGAAGGAGTCAGAAGCAAGTAGAGGCGACCGCGGAAGCACGATGGCTGCAGCCGAGGTCTGGGGAAATCAGGCGCCTTGCCCCTTTGGGCACCTCAACATTCTTGGAGATGGGCAGACATCTGGAGCATCGGCGAACCCGCACGCGCGCTCCGCCCTCGGCCCAGCGTCTTGTCCATCTATCGCACGCGATATATCACTGTATCTTTGCACATAGTCTCGAGCATGGCTGATCGCTCAGCCAAGCGCTTACGGCGGCTCAGCACCGATTACGACGAGTCCGATGGAGCAGGCGATTGGAGAGACACAGGCGCTCACAGCACTGCGACCAGGTAAGTGGCTTGCACGCCTCGACTGCAACTTCCCTTCCTAGCGGCGGTGCGACGTGGGAAGGCAGGCGCTCGCCAAACGTGAATATGCGCAAACGCCCATACATCGTACAAGCAACAGGCGACCCCTCCACCTCGCTCACCACTCCACCGTGCCGCCCGTAATCCCTGCCTGCCTTTGCCCTAAGGGACGCACCGGCGACAGTCTGTTGATCCTGCGCACTTCCACCTTGCGCTGTGCCAACTCACCCAGCGACCCGATACGCCAACACCACTCCAACACCATGCCTCGCCTGCGATCCCGCGCCAGTCTGACAGCTCCCAGTGCTCCTGCCCCCACGGCCTCTTCATCTCGCCCTAGGCGCAATACCGTCAACAAGGCCCCGCCTGCCGCCGTCATTCAGCGTTCGTCCCCCGAAGAGTCGCGCCAGTCCTTGAATCTCACAGTCAAAGCATCTCCAGGCAAACTCCGCGAAGCCACCGGTGGCAGGACATCCACAGCCGTCAGCTCCCGCAACATTGTCGCGGGAAAGCGCGCACGCAACAGCAGGGTAGTACGTGAGGTCGACAGCGACGACGAGGAGGAAGATGAGGCCGAGGCTGAAGAGGTGGACGCTATGGATGTAGATGACGAGGAGGACGCTGAAGGCGAGGACGACGAGGATATGGACGCCGAGGGAGAAGAGGACGACGACGCGGAAGTGACTCCGGCTCCACGAATCGTTGTACCAAGCAACAAGAGTGTGCCTGTGAAGCAGAAGATCGCCCAGGACTCCGTGGAAGCCAAGGAAATGGCTCTTGATGATGATGACGACGAAGAGCTTTCGGAACTGGACTCGGAACTGGAGGGAGATGACGAGGACGCCGAAGGCGAAGACGATGATGCGGACGGGGAGGAAGACGATGAGATTGCCGTACCCAATGACGATGAGGAGGAGATGGACAGTGACGAGGATCTAAGCCGAGATCAAACGCCGGATTTGAGCAAGATGACTCGACGACAGCAAGCCATGGTTGTGCAAGGCGCTGACGAGTCACTCATGGCCTTGTCGAATGAAGCCCAAAAAAAGAAGCATTTGACGGCAGAAGAAATCACGTCACGAAGGGCGGAAATGGCTCGTCGACGCAAGAACCTCAGCGAGAAGCGCAATGAGGAGGAGAAGGTATGCGTCAACTTCATCCCGTTCAAACAGATATGTGAATGAACCGCGCTAATCATCATGGCAGGCGGACACCATCAACCGTCTTCTTAAGAAACAACCACCGAAACGTGGGCGGAAATCAATGCTTGCAGAAAACAACGAGGATGGCCAGGAAGAGGAGGATAAAAGAGCAGAGAAGGCAAATCCCATCTTCGTGCGCTACAAGCAGACCGCCCAGGGCACCATGCTTGCCATACCCGAAGAGTGGTTACAGGCCCCTGCGGGCAGTCTTTTCAGTGGTACGGTCGCCAAACCCATATCGAAACCATGGAGTGGTCGCATGGTTGAAGAGGTGTCGTGACAAGCGAAATTTGTACGCTAGATGGGAGATATGGTGCATTTGCCGGCGAATGGGATATTACATTCAAGCAACCCGCAATAGATGGTATTGGTGGGGGAAAGCAATTGATTGATTAGCTTGCCCAGAGAAGGCATTGATTCCACGCGTCGAAATTACACCACGATGAGAAACATCAATTGACGTGCCCATCTGACTGTTCCTTCGTCCTCACCCCCAAATGGGCCTCCAGGCCCCACGCACCTTCAAACACCCATCTTCCTCCCTCTCTTCCCATCCAGAACCCTCTCCTCCACTAACCTCCTCCCGATTCTCTCCTCCCGATTCTCCCCTCCCGATTCTCTCCTCCCAACATAATAACGCTCCCCACACACACCCTGTTCAGAACACTCTCAGCACGCCGCCCAACATACGTCCACGTACGCCTTCCAAACGCCTCGTCCCCTTTCTTCAACTGATCACACCACACACACCACACCCACGCTTCCAAGATCATCCCCTTCCCCTACCGTACAATCACCCACGTGCCGCGCGTATGGCCTCCTGGGCCATCGGTGAACGCACAACATCGCAGGACTAGATTTGCTGCTTATCTCCCCATACAACATTATTCTTCTGGACGAGTGGGCGCTTCTTTTTGTGCCTGTGAAAATGCGCTCGGGCGCCGTAGGCGCAAGCAGTATCACACGTCACAAACAGTATAAGTCGGTGACGGGAGATGTTTGGGTAGTGTAATCTAGCAGGTTTGGTGCATTCTGTTGCTGTCTGAAGCATAAGACTGTCATCTTTTATCCTGATGTTCGTCTGCCAATTTACAGATCCCCTGAACGACGAGCACTACCGCTTCCACTTCGAAACAGATCAGATTTGTGTATGCTTACCCATTATTCGCTTACTTGCTATGCCAGACGAGCCATAATATGAACCATGCAAAAGGCTACTCTGCGGAGAAATCGAGGTTGCCCGCGAATACAAACACCAGATCTATTTCACTCACCATGCCGATGCCGACCCTTGCAAGGAAGCGCAAGAGTTACCTTGGTTCATCTGCCCGTTTGCTCCGTATCATAAAAATTGTTTACCGCGTGGAGTAGTGTGTTGCCTCCAATCCTCCGACAGAGACATGATCAACACGGACGCACGACAGCTACATTATATCAGTGGTATATTTGGCACCGAAGTGTATTGTGGCTCTAACCGTATGATATCGGTGCCTTGTAAATGTACTTTTGGTATAGATCACTATCAACCTTCTGATTACTGTGTTCTAATTTGGAGCTTTTAGCATCCCCCGTCATCCGTCCCCGCACCTTCTCTCCTGTGATGCGCATGCGAAGAAAGCCCTCGATTTTCTTCTAGGTAAATACCAGCAGTGTCCTAACACACGTAGACTGCAGGCTTCAAAGGACGTCTATGGCAGGATGTCCTTCAAGGCTTGATGCAGGCCAGTCGGAGAACCGACTCATCTGTCTCCTTGACACGGCAAGGTCTCGGCGATCAAGGTTTATATACATCTCTTTCGCACCATTGGCCAGAAGCAGCCTTTGATGTAAACAAAGAGAACCGAATCGATGTTACATAACGGAAGGCACTTATCGATTCTGCCCAAACCATTTCAGGATGTTGTATTCGTCACACGCACAATTGGTGTCTGGTACTTGTGGTCAGATTCACTGTGTAAAAATTGATAATATAATGCCTTGATAAGCTTCACTTACTATCACTAGATGTATATTACAAGATAGTAAAGCTGATTAGTAGATTAAGGCCAGTCGCATGAGTGATATAGATAGTGGAGCGACATGCACTATTGCAGCAACAGCTACGGACAATTAGCGATGACGGTCTTTTATTCGAAGGGACTCTACACTATTATTATCGTTTGCGCAAAGAATGTGCCACCTCCCACGGCGCTGGAATCAGATCTCGACCTAATATATTTACTATAGGGAGTAAGGTATTAGTCTATCTACCCTAGCACGCTTATTTTAATAGTTTATTACCCTATTTTAGGCTCTACCAGACCTAATAACGCGAGTTTAATAAGACCTAGCCAATACATCACTCCCTATAGTGAATATATTGGTTGAGAATTCTTGATTTCTTACTCCAGAGCTGTGGGAGGTGGCACATTCTTTGCGCAAAGCACCGATATAACTCCGGTGTATCAAAGCAACAAAGCGACTAAATGCGGACTCTTCAGGCAGGGACAGTTTCGCTTACCTGTTCCCTGGCCCCTACTAACGCGACAGCGGAGAGGTTTGTGTCCACGGTATCGACATAGCTCCTTTGAACTTAAGGGGTTAGGTACCTAGGTATGTCAGGATCGGCATCCGTCACCGCGTAATATGCACTTTAGTGGTACGCAGCTATTCTAGGAACGCTACAAGGGCATAGCATGCGTACCCTAGCGGCCTACCTGAGTGGGCCGCTAGATGGTAAGGTAACAACTCTTCTATTATCAAACAAAATCTCTATTAGCGCAGACTTCAGGAAGACGAGATGCGTTAGCGAGAGCTTGAATTTGACAGCGAAATGCCAACGGATAACACGAGGCACCTGATACGACTGGAAGACCCCGAATTATGCTTTTCCTGGGCTGTGTCCCGAATACGTTACACTAGATGCGCAATAACCAAAAGGTTAAGATGGTGGCTATTTCAGGCGTCCCAAACCAGTTGGGCCAAGTCTTGGGTGACCAAACTATTGCCGGGCTGTGGCACAATCGTCTCTTGGAGAAGTTGTGTTGATACAGAACATCTGAGGTGGACGAGCCTCCATAGGTGCTTTGCAAGCCTACCAAAAGGAGATATCCGACTTGGAGCTGGGTAAGCGGCAACGCAATCATCTGAGTCAGTAATACCACAAGAGATCACCGGAATTGTGTTGAATGTGAAGAAGTAGACTCATTGATTCGTAATCTACGTACATAAGATAGACTTTATAGTCTATAGATATTGTTTGTAGGAGTCATGTGATGGGCTTCCAACCAACAAATTGCCAGGGAAAACGGATATAGAGTGAAGTCAACAAGCGAGATATCGAGGCCAGTGCGTCAGGCGAACTAGAATACGCCTCCCTCCGGATCCGATGCAAACCCATGTGCGCGACTTTCGAGCCTCATTACAGCAGTGACCATAACACTAGATATCATGCCTTTGGTGTTCTTACTTTCCGTAAAATGTGGCGGGTTTGCAGGTGATGAATCCCCTTATCGCAGATTTCAGATTACACTGGATGACTTCAGATGGGAGGGACACGTCGTGGTCATATGATCACCATACAGCGATGTCCTCATCACATGTAAGCTGATGATGAGGATTTGGACGGAAAGAATTGTGTAAAAGGTCTCTTACTTGTATCGCACCGAGGATGTGATGATGTATTCGAGAGCGGGAGTACTCACAGGCCAAGGTAATTTCACCGTTCACAAAATACTTCGAGACCATGAATCAGCCGAGAGCAGGGTGTTTGCTCTCACTTAGATGAGCAAGTAACCATGCAGATGTATGTAAGCATTTATGCTGGCACTTACATAGGACAGAGGCAGTTGAGCCGCTCTTTCGAGAACTGTGCGTCCAGATGAATGAGTACGTTGTGGTGATCAGAAAGCGACACCTGTCGGCACGCATTGGACAGAATAGGAGCGAGATGCATACTTATCATCTCCTACACTCGAGTTTACTGATTCGCAGACCGACGTGGTGCACGAGACTATTGTTAGTTCACTGCGCATCCCTCCAGACGATATACCAATGAGGCTGAGAGAATAAGCAAGACCATCCCTCGTCTATTAAACAAGGCTTAGGATTGTGGTGAGCTGACCCTCTCGTTCAAAGCTTCGCAGGATGTTTTCGGTCCCCACTTAAAGCAATCCAACAACCCAACGCGGAAAGAAGTCAGCAGCTCACCTAGCTCTTACCTAAGCCACCACTCGTCAGCCTCACCAACGCGATTCAGTGTACCGTCCCTTGCAGAAAGATTCGTCATGGCGTTTCTTTTGAGAACACTTTCGAAATGTATAAGCACTGCTCGGCTCCTACCTCATGCTTTTCTTCAAATTCTGTGGTGACCCACAATGGACGACGATACACAGAAACCCCAACAAATCGTCTTCACCATCCCCGAGCTCGTTGAGGACATACTCTTTCAAGCCAGACTCCCACCTTTGGCCCTCCTCCGCGCCCGCCTCATAAATTGCACAACAAACCTCGTCATTTGCTCCGCGCAATCCTTGCGGCGCGCCCTCTTCCTCGGTGCCAATCCAGACAAAAACAACAGCACATTCACCATCGAGATCAACCCTTTGCTTGAAAAATTGTTCCCACCCTTCATGCAAACGCATTTTGCGCGCCTTCGCAGGAGACGAGACGCCGAAACCGCGCTCGCCCTTGGGTACTTCGGGGGGCCCGAGGTCGGATGCGTGACGGATATGGCGTATGCGGATGCAGCGCTTTTGCCGACAATAGTAGAGGCGGAGAGGTGTAAGGGGAGAGAGTTTAAGTGGGCGTGTTTGGGTAGCTCGTATGAGGGGCCGTGTTTGCATCTCCCAATTGTAGGGAAGTATGGTAGGGAAGAGCATTTAAAGGAAGTGGAGGGAGGATTATGGCGGAGGATGTATGCGACGAGGCCGGCAGTGCCAGTGCATGTTGTTGAGATGAGTGCTTGTGGGGGATTGGAGCATCTGTGGGAGTTTGAGGCGGGTACAAGGATGGGGGAAATTATGGACGGTTTGGTACTGGTAGAAAGGGGAAAGTGCGCGAGGAAATAATATGCGTGGAGCAGAAGACCGAGAGTAGACTGGTGACAGCTGTGTTGACCCAGACTGTAAAGCACAGCGGCCGAAGTGCTGGAGGGGTTGCGTGATGCATGTCGTACTTCGGTTATATTTCATAATGTATGGATAGGAATCGTGGTCTAAGCACATAGGTTAGTCGTTCCATCATCGAGCTTGCTACTTCTTAAGATTCCTGCCATCGTCATTCGATGCCCAGCCCGTGCCGCCCGAACTCCATCTCTCAACTGCCCAATAGCATCTAAGAGAAGTCTTCCTCCTTGCTTTCAATGGCACCCTTGATCCGCAAGAGCAACGTCGTCTTCCACTTGTCTAGCTTGCTCAACTGATCATACTGGAACAGCTTATCAGCAAACACCTCTTGGTCTCCGTCCTTGACCGCTTGCAGCAAATCCACCAATAACTGATGCTCCCTCTGCTGTGTGAAACTCGGATCAAGCTCGCGGTACCTATCAAACGCCGTCGATGCGCCAACCTCATCTCCAGTGCACAGCTGGCAGATACCTGCCTTGAGCAAGTACTCCTTGACGGACCAGCGCATGAGATTGTTGTTGATGGAGGATTTCGCAACCTTTTCGTAGAGACTGATGGCGTGGTAATAGTCTTTACCTTCGAGGGCGACGAGGTCGGCTGTTTTGAGCCAAAGCTTGTTGGCGAGGGCCTGTTTAGAGATGTTCTTGTTAGGTATATTCTGGGATGTGGAAAAACGGGGAACAGGGTGGGGAATGTTTACTTCGGCGTTATCCTATAGAGCATGTCAGCAAAGTGGTATCTATACATAAGTGAACCAGGGAAGACGTACAGATTCGTACCAACCGGCAGCTTCCTCGTACGCAGCAGCCGCACGCGCGTTGTCACCTAGCTCGACTTCGAAGAGCTCGCCAAGGTTCTGTTTGTGGGTTGCTGCGCGACGGAAGTTGCCTTTACTGCAGTAGTGTGCGATGGCCCTATCAAGACACCGTGCTGCCGCCTCAGGGTCGTCTTTCCGATATGCCTCTGGCGAGCATTAGTCTCACGTGACCCCTTATTCAAGGGACTGCAGGCATACTAAAGGCTTCAGTGAGTGTGTTTGCTTCATCATCAGGCTCGTTCAGGTTCTGCTTCTGGACTTGCGCTGCTTTCTCAAACGCTTCGCCAGCCTCCTTGCCTAAGTGGTGCGTTAGGAACTGTTGCAAACCCCGTTGCTATGTTATACAAAAGCTGATGATCGTGCGGTGTTCGGCTTCTTCTTACCCATTTTTTGCATCCTGAACGCATTCGCCGCAGCGGTGAACTGATCAGCTGCTGCCTCATCTATCAATCCAGTCAGCCTCATGCACCTCTTCAATTCTCACGTGAGATTCATACACTTCTCTTGCCGACCGCCAAAGAAACTGAATCCTCCGCCCGCCTTCGAAAGGCTCTGTTCTGCCTATTCTATTCATCAGTCCTGATACCTGGCATCGTGGCGGTGTTTCAGAGCCTCCCCACCTGTCGAAGCAGCGCTCGTGGGTCGCCGGCCATATTGAGTAGTTTACAGCGGTTTCTGGGTATCAACTGGTTCTTGCGTGTATATTTAAGTGATTTCTGGCGTTATCTTGGGGATCAGGCGCCAGCGCTGAGTTGTGGTAGAAACAGGTGGCTGACGCATGTGTCGAAGATGACGCTCTCATTGTGGTCCGTGCGGCGGGCTGTTGGCTGCGGGAAAGCCTCGGCGGTGCCTGGTTGGGTAAAGCGGATCCTCGACTTCATTGCTTTGTGGTTGAGCATGCAAGCTTCAAACTGATCGTCCATCCCTGAAACTACCTCATCTTCCATAATGTCTCTAAGACGAGCCCTTGTATTGTCGCGGTACATATCGCGACAGCTCCAGCGACCGACAACTCCTTTCTGTACCTTATCCGGACTGGCACAAGCACCAAACACGAAAGAGAGATTTGTGCCTGTATCTGCGCCGATGAGCTTCGACGACGTCGAAATCGCTCTTGAAGGCGAGCCCACGTGGGATGTTGAATCGCTCCTGCCTCCAGAAAAGCAAGCGCCAGATGCCCCGAAAATCACCTCACAACAGCTCAACCACCTCCTCCGTCTCTCGGCCCTGCCGCTACCGAAGTCCCAAGAAGAAGAAAACAAGATGCTTTCGACGCTTTCCGATCAACTCCATTTCGTGGGGAAGATACAACAGGTTGACACGATGGGCGTGAAGCCGCTGAGAGCTATAAGAGACGAGACTGCGGCTGCTGAAGCGGAGCAGACAATCACGTTGAAGACGCTGAAGGATGCACTCGCGAAAGAGAAGGTCATTGGCAAGCACTACAAGCGCATACAGAGGGATACCACGCCGGTAGATGCCTCCAATGCTGAACGCTGGGATGTTCTGGGCTCAGCGGAGCGGAAACAGGGAAAATACTTCGTTGTGAAGAGCGAGCGCCCTCAGGAATAGACTGTTTACTTGAGCTCGAAAAACCGCGATGCGTACCATCTTCACGCACGAGGATCTGGGGGCAATCACGGCATGGGTGATGCACCAATTGTATGTTCTTCGCCTCGCAATTCCTGCTCAAATGGCCTGAAATTAACAACGCATCCAGGAATTTCTCTGAGCAATCGACGATCAACAGGAACAACGCTATCATACAACGAGTGAGCTACTCCTGAACCTATCTTAGGGAAAGGTGCCGAGCAAAGGCACATCGAGCAGATTGGAATACGGGAAACCATGGTAACTGCGCAGCACGTTCTTCATCTCTTCAACTCGCACCCGCAAGCCGCACAGTACTTCACAACCTGCATACCCGTGCAGCAATCGCAAAACGGCCTCTCACCAAGATCATCCAGCTCTGGTGTTACGAGCCGTTCCGTCTTTGGCGTGGCTGGAGGAGTGGTAAGGTCTATCGCTACGTCCCTTTTTCCAAAGTCAACCGCGACGGAGACAGGCCCCTGCATGATAACGACCTGGGCTTTTGACTTTGGAGACGACCTTGGCGTCACGTGACTAACATGCTTCTGATGCGAACCAGTCGATGTCGATCGACGATAAGATCGTTGAGACGAGGCCTTGTCACTTCTCGAAGACGAATGGAAATGTGATTGGCTTGGTGTTGGAGCAGGATCCTGACCCTTCTGAGTGGACTTGGTCGGAAAGGACACGGGAGAGCGCCGACGAGACTCGACGATTTGAACACCTTTCCCATCGTGGTAATCGATCTGGCGATACACTGAATGCCACCTTGCCGATGGGTAGTGCGCGGTTGACCGCGGTGCTGTGTACGGCGACGACGACGACGACGACATAGTGAAGGACAGGGAAGATCAGGACAGCAGCAACAAATTCCAAAGACCCATCGAAGAGTCCGAAGTTATATTGGAAGCTTGTTGGGACCGACAGGGGATGACAACGTAGCGGCGTGCGATGTCCTGCTGGTAGGAAGAGTGGGGAGTAAGAGTGAGGGGGAGATGGAAGGGCGTGCGCAGTTATATGTGTCGGGGGTGCAGGCCGCCAAGACCACCACCCACCCTGCCGCATCAGGGCTCCTTTCCTGCCTGGACCCGGACCCGAGGACCTGCGCATATGCCCCGATCGATCGTTCCAGCCATGCAATGAGCGACTACATCGAAGTTGGAACAAAAAGAATCGCTTGCACCAGTTTTGGAGTTGCGGTGTACTTGGTGGTGGTTCATGGCTCAAGCATGGGCGGCCTCTGACAGAAGATGTCGGTACCACGCAGCGAAGCCATCGCATGATCTAAGAGCTCTCCTGATTTCTTAGATGCCTATAATGGTTCGATGCATCGGGTGTGCACCGGTCCCGTCCTCGACCTCGTCGTGGTCAGCGAGTTCTTCACAGTCTTGTCGCCACGCTCATGAAATTCCTCAAAAGTGACTTGAATAGATTTTTGATTGCACCTTCGACAGACACACGCAGCTTCAACTCCCTCCCTATCGCGGTGCATGAGTTCTGCGGTCCCAGTTCTCGCTCATTCGGAGGGTTGATGTTGAGGGTGCTGACATAATCCTTCGCTTACATAATGACTCACAACACGTGAATATTCCTCCTCCGGCGCTCAAATCGGGCAAATCTGGTGCTCCTGCAAGCTGAATGTTACGATCGACAAGCCCTGGCTGATTGTAGTCTGTCAAAAGCAGCACGCTTGTTGGCACGAAAGAGCAAAGAGAAATATGTAGTTGCAAATTAAGTTACAGTTATGCTGGGTATCGATACAAGCAAACTCCGCAACGCCTCTTATGCCGCTTGGCTATCACTTCACACAGTACCCTCACTCGTCCCTCTCCGGTACACCATATCTTCCAGCTAATGGGTGACCGTCATTCCACAAACCTGACTTCCTCTTTCCCTTCTCTTTCTCCTTGCCCTTCGCGCTCCTCGCTGGACTACCTCTCGCAGGGCTGCCGTGGACGATCTCACCGGCCTCGTTGCGTTTCACACGTTGCTCGGGGGGTACTTCGTACTCTTCTTTATAGATGGGCTCATCGTCCGGGAGGCCGAGCATGATGTTCTGGAAGTGCTGGCGGCTTTGCGCAACGCTCTGGATGGGTAGGTTAGACGATGTGCATGCACGTGAGTAGGATGAGTAGTGAGGGTTGCAAGTGTGATTGGGAAGTCTAAGCTAAATTATTATGGAACGCCGACAAAGGAGACGAAAAAGTGCAAATAAGTCGACGAACCTCATTCCTCGCATTTGAGTGCCAAACAAGCAACTCCAAGCTCCCCAGAATTTGCGCGGCCTGCTCGCGCTTCTGCCGTGCTTCATAGGGCTCGCCGGCCGTGCTGGATGCGTATGATTTGCCGCGCGCTTGCTGCGAGCGTTGCGCATCCGTAAAATGCTGGTTCTGGTTCAGCATTGTGTTGAAGTATTGCTGGTTGTGCGGCATCATGAGCAAGCTGAAGGGAGTCGCAGGACAAGGCGAGGTCTACTGTTTGTAGTAGGCGCGTCGTTGTCGTTGACCTCGCTGGGCCCGATTAGGGAGCGGGGAGCAGGGGTCTGGCTAAGCGAGTCGGGGGGAAGCTTCTTTGTCCGGCTCGAGCGACGAAGACCATCACTGTTGCTCTGGCGCGAGGAGGGCGTGACTTTCGCCTTCTCGGCCCGCTTGCGCTTGTTCGGGGGAGAAAGCTTCGGGGAAGAGACAACCGCCTTAGGACTCGCACTCCCCATGGACATGAGTAGTGTGGCCACCTCGAATTCCTTTTCAGCCAGCGCCCGCTGCTCATCCTCCTCTTCCTGCTCATCCATCAAATCTGTGAACTCGGCTAGCTGCGAGTCGTTCCACTTGTGCATTCGGTCATATCTCGAGCACTCCTCCTCATCCACCTTTTCCACAAACTTGGCCTTCTTCTTATGCTCATCTTGCTTCTGCTTCTCCCTATGCACACACACAGCCAACTTCCACTCGAGCTTATACTCCGGATGTGGCTTCATTAGCTCTGGCTCCTTCAGCTGCTGCTCAACAAGCATATGATCAAGCCCACGCCAATTCCCCTCCAGCGCGCACCTCATCTCCCAGTCTAGCAGGCCAGGGATGGTGGCGAAGTCATCATCATAGAGCCAGTTCCGACGATATTTACGTTCCCAGTCATAGAAAACGGTTTTGGCGAGCTTTTCATCCTTCTTATCGCTCTTCCATCCCCTAGTCGCATCGTTATACTCCTTCGTAAAATTCTTGTAGTGGGCCGCTTTATCAGCCTCCCCAGGCTTGTGAAGCGGGATCGTACAGAGATCCGCTTTAGTGACCTGCTTATGCTGGTAACGAGCACTGGGAATAATGGGAAGCATGGGAAGCATCGGCGGTTCCCTCCAGGCGTGTTTAGTGCCCTCGCGATACTTGAGGGTCCAGTGTGTGGCCATGGGTTGACGCGAGTTCCTGGAACCGGCTTCCTCTTGGACATGTAGGTCAAAGAGCTTCTTCACCTCGTTTGCGCTTTGGAAATGCCATGAGGGCAGAGGGAAGACACCAAGGGTGAGGGGAGTCTGTTGCCTGCTAGGTGGAGGAGAAGACATGTCGAAGGTTAAAGAGCTAATTGAGGATGTTTTGTTTAGAAGGGTGGGCTTGGGTGAAGTGGTGGTGGTATGTGGTGTGCTTTTTTCGGGTAGTATCTTGTGTGGTAAGCCGTTGCTAAAGGCGGGTTGCGTAAATAATATGCCGTTATGCGTAAACGTTCCACGTCGAGCTGTGCTGGGTTGACGGAAAACAGAGAGGGCAACGGCCTTTTAACAATGAGTGGAAAAACGGGTCTGGAGTGCATAGCACTCGTGCCTTGGTCCTAAATGCCTTTTTTACGAGTATTGCTGGAACTTTCACACTGCATGACCAAATGGTCTTCCCGAGGGATTGCGCTCTCGTAAAATGCTATTATCAACCTCGTGTTTACCGCGGATCACGACCTCGCAGAGCAGGCCCCGCCTAGGGCAAGTGGTCGATGAGATCGCATGCCGAGTATGGCCACGGGCTCCAGCGTGCGTACCATGCTTTGTGGTCCAATGTATGTTTGCACTCGCCACCTAGACATTGAGTGTTGAGTCCATTCGACGTGAGTTGTACACAGGCAGAGCTGTGCTCACCATCTCTCAAAGCATCAGAAATGGGAAGAGGCCTCGAGTCCTCTCAAGATACGAATTCATTATATAACGCGAAGCTCACAACATATCATAGGTTCCATAGGTGCGTAAGGGGTTCTGCTCTTGAAAAATCCGAGATTAGACCTCAATCTGGAAGCAGCAATTGCAGAAGTTCATCCAGAACATGGTAAAAACAAACGAAATTCATAGTTACCCGCCGATTCCCAAGGCGTGGTTAAGACTTGGCGCCAGTGCTCCGCTCCGAACGACCACCGAACAGCAATTGTTACTAAGTACGGTCCACTGCAAGCACCACCATAATGAGCCCTAAGTTCGGTCCGTAGATTTGCAGCAAGCACGTCGCAGCGACGAGCACGCTACCTTGGAAGCGCGTGGTAAAAGTCATAGACAATGCTAATTCAATCTCAGCGATCGTCACTCTGCAAGGCCATCCTCGTATCACAATCTCAACATCCCCCGATTATACTTTAGATAACGCTAGCGGCAAGGTAGCGCTGCAGGAATACACCACTTCGATAGCAATATTTTAATCAGTCATAAGTCATCGGCCGCGTCCACATCTAGCACTTCAACATCCTTCGCAGGCGCGCCTAGGGAACGGCATCCCTGATCTCTTACAATCACCACTTTCCTCCTTTAATCTCTAGGCAAGGCTTTCTCGTCATGCCGGTTTCTATACTCCCTACCTATTCACGGCTCAATCGCGGCACTTTCCTTCATACCGTGAGCACGTACCGTGATAACAGCCCTATATATCCGCCAGACCACCTCGCTATAATCAGCACAACCATGCCCGGACCTCAATAAGCTAGACCATTCCGTTGTTCGCGACTCAGATCCTGCATCGGATCGCTATTGCTGTGCACCATACGAAAAGACATAGAGCAGCTCCAAATTCGGGGGAGTGGGCATATGCGGTGCATGTTAGGTTTTCGCAGGTTGTTGTACAGGTCTAGATGTAGTACGGCGAAAAGCTGAGCGGCAGGCTTCCTCGAGCTTACGTGCCAGCTGGGATCAAGCCAAGCTAACGTAGAAACGGAGTCCACAACAGTAGTGGAACAGAAGCCTAGAAAAGGAATGAAGTTCACCATTGTCTGTGAGTCTTGCTCCAACAAGTGGTATTTCTTATCCTATCTTTGATATCTCCAATGCTAGTCAGATATTCTACTATGCCCCGTCATATCCGCACGTACGCGCAACCCCAGTGTCCATCTGATTGTTATTTCTACCCACATGCACCGGATGCTCATGCAAGAAAACCAATGCCAGTCATAATCGTGAGTCGAAAAAGCCACCATGCCAAAGCCAAAGCCAATTTTCTATGCCAAGAACGCCGACCACGTGCTTTTGCCCCCAAAGCCTCGTCATCCTACCAGCGCTCGCCGGTCGCCAAGCAGAGACCCGCCCGCCTGGCCACATTCAGGTCACCTATCCCCCCACGCCCTCAATGCCGTTGCCGCCTTCGATGCCGTTGCCGCAGGCGCTGGCGAGATAGAGTAAGCCCTGGCGACTGAAGGAAGTGGCGCCGCACCATGAGATCTGGTTTAACCCGCCTTGCCCGGCGCGATAATTGGGCTCGGCGCGCTGCCATCGACCTCCTGATGCTCGGCCTTTGTACCCTTACCTCTCCATGTGCTGACTGCCGGAATGTCCGCCTTGAGCCTCTCCTCTTGCGTCGAGTATGCCTTAGGCGTGAGTTTGATCAGCGTGTGGAGCGGGACCTCCATCCAGGGGCTTTGCTCTTGCGGCACGTTCATGAAGTAGGCGTAGATACAACGGAGTATGGCTTGATGGGTGACGATCAAGATGTTTTCGCTGCGCTCCAGTTCCATGATGATGGGTTCCAGCCGTATGACTACGTCGCGATACGATTCGCCGCCCAGGTAGCGGTAGTTGTATTTGTCCTCGTCACGCTGCGCAAAATCTTCTGGGTACTTTTGTTCTATCTCGGCGTACGTGAGGCCGTCGCATACGCCAGAATCAAGCTCGTCGAGTGCTTTCCATTCAAGTTTCTCAAATGACAGAAATCGCGCGGTCTGGATGGTTCGTTTCAACGTAGACGTCCACACTGTGAGCCTGCGACCATCACCGACAGATTTCGCAACAAGGCCAGGTAGAGCGTGCGCATATGCATCGCCTCGGTCGGACAGGTCAGCGTCTCCTCCAATCTGACCCGTCAAGTTGTACTTGGACTCTCCGTGCTATAAGAATTAGCATAAAACATGTAAGACTTCGACGGACATTTACCCTTGATAGCCAAATCGAGCGAGGCTTTATGTGGAGGTTCATCAAGTAATATACTACTCGACTCTGGAGGTAATCCTGAATCTGGTTGATAATGACCTGCTTGCCGACATCGATCAATTTGACATAGGTGAGATCCCGCTCGTCTTCATCAATGGTCTCGTACACCTTCTCGTAGTTTCGAATCCGATTGCGGAAATCTGCTGCGGCCTCTTCGGGGTCTTGCCCTACATAGTCTGGTGACGTAGTCTTGACTTCCAATATGTTGCTCATAATCAAATCCTCGTCATCGCATTTGGACTCAACAAACAGAGTTTCGATGTTCTCTTTGGAACAGCGCTCTTGTATCCAACGACGTCGGCTCTTGGTTGAGTTTGTTGCATCCAGAATCGCGATCAGACCGCGCCCCTCGGCAAACCATTTGCACATGTCATTGACGGCAGCTTCAGCAGCTGCTTTGCGCAAGCGCTCTCCTTCTGGGTTCGAAGTATCGAAGAATTCGGCGGACGGGTTCGGCGTCGCGGTGCGGCGGTATTGGCCGACATTGAAAGTTTTAGCCTTGATGGACAACCAGTGGAGGTAACGAACGACTACACAGTGCAAGGTCAGCGAGGCTCTTCTAGTGCGAACACATCAGTCGTACCTTTCTGTGCAATCAAGCTCTTGCCCCGCGCGGGTAGTCCCACCATGACGACGCAGATGCGCGTATCCTCGGCCTGCACACCAGCTCCATTAGTCTTTCTGCTCGGCTTCACGAATTCTCCGGCAGGGACAGCGCGCATGTTGGGCGCGTACACGCCATTGGTTCCCGTCATGGTGCGCAAAAAGAAGACGGGCCTCGATCAAAAGGTAAGGGGACGTGGTAGCTTTTACAGCGTGCAAGGTTTCCACGATAACTGCGGGTCGGAACTCGGCCAAGACTTTTCCCAACGGCGGCAACTGGTGGGGAGGACGTCGCAAAATCCGAGTGTGGTTGCAAGTCGGATACTGGCGGCGAGGGGCAATTGCGCGTTTGTCGAATGTTGGGACTGGTGTTGCAGGCAGAAGGGTGAGGTTGCAGGGCTCTGAGATGGGGGTCGGCTTTCGAGAAGCGAGAGAAAGTGAAGCTTGGGTTTGAAGATTCCCCGCATTTGGACCGCGCTTTGTATTAGAGCATCCGAGAAGGCCCAGGACGGCGTGCCAGAACAGTAGGGCACTCGCACCAGCGCGTCGTCAATCAGCGTGCGTGTGTTGGCTGGCCTGGCGGCAGGGAACCGCTTGCTTTGTGCTTGGAGCTTGCGGGTGGGCGGATGCCGCTGGCAGCTCAGGAACGGGCAAAGCTAGCTCGCTGCTGACGATGTGAAGGAGGAAGTGCGTGGGATGCAGTCAAGCAGCTAGAGCTGCAAAATGGCGCAATGGAAGCAGGCGGGGCGGCGCGGGCCCAAAAGTTTTGCGCGCCCGTATGCTCGTGTGCGTCCGTGATGGTGACGTCCAATGCCGTAAATTGCGTTGAGCCGGCGTTTTCCATAGAGCCCTGATGCGTCGCGGCCTCTTCTCGCCGATTGCCGGGTTCGCACAGAGAGGCCAGACCACCAGGGCATCGTCTCGAGCGCCGCGGGTCCAGTGCAGGAATGGAATCGAGTGGGATCATCGAAATGCACTTACCGTGGAGATGGAGTAATTCCTGACGCGCGCCATCTTGGCTTCTTTCGCAGACAGACGCTCTGCGCTTTCGTTGCGTGCGTTCGCTTGTATTTCCACCGGGCGATTGCGGCCTGCGGGCTGGTGGGGCGATGGCGAGTGTACAAGTGTCGAGCCGCAACAGACGCGAGATGCAATCGCTGCGTCTGCGATCTGCCAAGTAGATGAAGTCGCAAGTCCGGAAGGAAGTAGTCCAAGGAGTCGCCACTACTTGTTGCGCCGAGCGCGACTTCGGCTGCCACAAGCTGGCGATGGCTTATCAGTACAGCACAACACGGAAAAGCACCGTTTGAGTCGCTAAGCCAACTGCAATCCCTACCTCGTCAGAACACGTCAGACCAGTTTACGCTGTGATCCACGGAACGCTGTCAGACAGTGCTGTCATTTCTCTACCTAACCACCTGATGCCTGCCACCCCCAAGGTATACCTCAACGCGATGCGGCCGTGGTCGTGAAACGGTGGGTATATAGCACTACCAGAACGAACGCTGGCATCGAGAATGAGAATGCACATGCAAGCCCGCATAACCCAAATCCGCATCGCACGTCTAGTCAACTTTTACTCAAATTGTTAGCCAACGACAAGATGACTCGTTCAAGCGGACAACTTCGTCAGCCCATTGACGGCTCGGAACACTTCGTCTCCGCCGCTCTTCAACGACAACAGCGCGGCGCTCGCGTCTAGACGTCTTTTCAAAGCTGCTGCCGTCCTTTCCTGTCCACGGCTTCCCATGCCCTCGTCAACCCAGCGTATTTTGTTGATTGTGAAGCTCAGCCCGTCATGGTTGGAGCTCTTGCGACTCGTAATGCCGTATTCGGTCGTCCCCGCAAATTCCTCGAGCTTGGGCAGCATCAAAAGCTCGATTTGCAGATCCATATCAGCGGGTGGTATGACAGGAGCTACCGGAAGCTTTTCCAGACTATCTTGGGCGTCGCTCGGATCGTTGGCCTGCGACAGCCGAGGGTCCAACATCTTCACGTCCACCGTTTCGTCCCACTCGCCCCGAATCCATCCAGAGTGTATCGCAGCAGCTATCGGATCCGAATCATCGCTGTAGACACGCGCTCCCCACAAATGGCGCTGTAGTACAATTTGTTGTCTCTGCCGCGGCTTCAGGTAAAAGCGAGGTACTCTGATGGTGTATGTGCAATTGATGGGATTGATTGAGAAGCGGGGAAGTTTTTTCGGCTTCGACGCATAGCCGAATTGATCGTCCAGGAATGAATTAGGCTTGGGCAACTCGGTCGTAGTTGCATAGAGCTGACTCCCGAGATGCTTGCGGGGTTTCTGTGCTGCCTCATCTAGAATGTGTTGTATATTGTGGACTTTGGGGGGTGGTGGAGGTGAAGATACAGAAGGCTGGAAAGACCTCGGAGCATGATGATGGTGGTGTGATGCCCCATGGTAGTGGTGACGGTAATGTGGAGCGTTAGAGCTCCCATTGGTCGCTTGCAGGCCTTCTTCATCACCCTTATGATGATGGTGGTGGCTAATGAACGGTCAGCATGGGTGGTCAGATGTATATGTCAGTGAAGGCTTACTGGTGAGCGTGCGCGTGGTGGTGATGATGGTGGGAATGCTTGTTGCGCTTGTTGCCTCGCATGCCAAGGGGTGTGTTCCGTCCATCGTTGTCTTCTTCGTCGAAAATGTCCTCATCCTTGACTCGTTTCAACTTTCGTCCATTCTGCGAGCTCACTCGCTGGAGACGAAGGTGTTCGTTGAGATCGGTCCCGGGAGGGAGCGTGTCTTGCGCACCCTGCGGCATCGGACTTCCTCTCGATGGCGTTGAGCTTCCCAAACCACCAAGACCAGAGAACATCCTCCCAAATTCGCTTTTGACATGTGGGTCTTTTCCGATTGAGAGTGGTTGCGCTTGTGCACCCTGTACGGCTTGTGGAAGCGGGGATGCTCGGCCAGTGCGGCGGTTGGCGTCAGGTCCGAAAACCAGGAATGATCTGTTCTGATCATACATGGAGCGACCCAGATATCCGCTGCCTCCAGAAGATAAAGAACGAGACAACTGCTCGGATTTGTGTCTATCGATTGAGGTAGGATCGGATGTCGGTGGCGCATGGTATTGTTCCACAACCCGATGGCTCAGGTGATCTAGGCTCCGTCCACGAACCATGTCTTCAGGGCCAGGGCCACTGTAAGGCGATGGGCCTTGGGGTGGTGCGGAGTAGCCGCCGTACCCACGGTAGAGCCCATGTGGCTCCTCCCTTCGGGGTTCTAATTCTCGTGCGGTTTCTTCTGGCAGAGGATGACGCCACAGATTGCGTGTGGGCTGCGCTCCGATGGCCCCTCGAGATACATTAGGAGGCCCAAAAGCTGATTGGGAAACAGGTTGGACTGTTGACGGACGGTCCCGGTCCGATGCAGAACCCGGTGCACCACCAAGTCCAAGCTCTGCAGCACTGGGGCGCGAATGGTGACTTTCACCTAACGTTCGGCGCCTCTCTTCAGGGGGCCCGTTTGGCGTACGTCTCTGCCCAAAGATATCGTAGCTTGTCCTGATCTCATGTTCTGGAAGCCCAGGGCCACTGGGCTGGCTGCTAGGTCGAGGCGGGACGGTTGCAGCGACCTGTCGTTGGTCCCTTGCGTGGAGATCGCTCAAAGGAGAAGGATACGGGTGCTGCGCTTGGAAGACCATTGGTTTGTAGGGCTGCGACGTATGCGAGAGCGCGGGACGGCCCTGATCCGGAGAGCCTTGAGATTGGTTGTACGCCCGCGGAGGTGAGCCAGCGGTATATGTGTGACTCTCGGGCGCTCGTGAGGTGTTATTACCATACAAGTGTCTTTCTGGAGACGGCTGACGACGGAAGGACTGGAAGTCTGATCTGGGTCCAGACGGAGGGCCACGCCTTGGCGAAGGTGGTTGCATACTGTGACTATTTGTCGATGGCGTTTTTGTAGGAGGTGATGGGTGTGATTGTGACGTCTGATGGGGCGCACCGGTCTCACCGCCTCCGATAAGGGACGAGATAGACATGCTGCTCCCTGGTCGGTGATGCGCGTGGCCTAACCCAGGGAGCTCGCGGTTGCCTCCAAAAGCTGAACCGTATGGCGCGCGTTGCGGCTGCGATGCATGATTGTGTTGTTGATGTTGCTGTTGAGGCGACGATGGGGGTGGCATGTGTGGTCGCGCAAAGGATGGCGGTGGAGGTGGTGGTTCATGTGATGAAGCTGCCGAGGGTTAGCTGGCGTCGAACATATAAGCAAACAGCGTAATGTAGTCTCACCTCCATAGCGAGTTGGGGGGCTCGCGCCGCCTAGTGAGCGTCTGCGCGACGCATCGTAGGGGTACGGCGACTGATTTGGCGTAGCGTGCGAGGAGCTCATTGACGGCGGTAGAGGGCCGTTGTGATGATGGGAGGCATCGACAGCATGAGGACGCGCTAAGTGATCGTCAGAGTAGTTCCGATACGGTTAGGGGAACAGCATGTGGAGCAGGGGGAGGTTCGCTTAGCGTGCCAGCAATGATGCATGACTGTTTTTTGCGCATTGCCAGCTCCAAGGCGGATTGTACAGACGAGCGCGGTTTGCAACGCCGCAGCCACGGATGAGCGTTGCCTGTCTTGCCACTTGGTTCGCGTCTCAAATGGTGCAGTAGCTTCGCCGGTGTAGAGTAGCTCTGCCAAGTCGGTCTCGCGGCCACGCGACTTGCTCAAGAGGCATCTGAGACGGAGCGGCAGCGTCCAAGACAGCAATAACTCGCGTGTTGCACCAACGCGCAGAGCCCACAAGGTGAAGCGGGGCGTACCTGAATTTCCCCATCCCAGTTGTCTCTCGCTCGCTGGCGCGGTTTCGGGACCCAGCACTCCATAGCTACTTTGGCGAGCATGCTGTGCGTTCGTGGGAGGGTAGAACGGGTCGCGGCGAGCGGAGGAATAAGGGTCGGCGGCGAAGGGAGCGTGGACGGGCGGTTGCGGCTGGGAGGCAGGAGGATATCCAGCACCGTGTGGAGGCGGCGGCGGCTGGTGGTGGTTCGGCTTGTGGATGGGCGCGTACGGGCTCGGGTGCGTCTGGCGGGCGTCCATGTTGTCCAGCGACGAGGTTTTGCGGACGTGTACTCGAGCGCGAAGTGGAGGAATGCTCGACGAGGCGGTGAATCACTGGTGTGAACAGAGGTATTCTGCCGGCATGTTGGGGACAGAGAGTGGCGCGGTGCCAATGGGACGTCTTTCTCGCCTGGGAGGAAACCAGAGCGACGAAGCGACGAGGAGACGAGAATCCACATGTGCAGGTGCATTGGACTCGGGTCATAGCGTCAGTGGAGCCTTGCGACGTGCGAAAGCCACAGGTCGCTCCCCGCAATTCCACCCTGGCGGGCGGCTGGGTCCGCCGGGCCAGTTGCTCGAACAAAGACCCGGTGACGCACAGTCGAACCCGACTGAGCATGTGCGATGCGTTGCCGCTGGTCCTACGAGCAGACTGCGCGCGTGCATCGCCTGCTCCTCGCCCTGGAGGCCCTGTGCTGCCACAGCCGGGGCTCCCTGGGCACGTAGCCATTCGTTTGGGGCCCACCGCCTTTTCGTTCTGCGCGGCACGCTTCCGATCAGCCTCCTCCATGGATCAATGCAGGTCCGGTGGCCCCGACTTCACCGATCTCACATGCGTCCGTGCATTGCTTATCGCCGTCGCGCCTCGCACCTCACGCGCGCACCCGCAGGCCGCGAGGGATATAGCTGATGAAGCCGTTGCGAGCCTGCCTCCGCGCTCATGCCTCTCCCCATGCCTGGCTCTACCTCCCGGGAGCTGTACTGGGCCCGCATCAAGACCGTCTTGCACGCCGCTGATCCTCGCGTGTGTGCGGCCTTCTGGCTCTTCGGTACGTTTAGTGTAGCCTCGGACGGCAAAGCTATGGTGATGCTTATTACAGCCTCTAGGACTGATCAACAATGTACGTCGTGCACCCGCTTCCACGCCGCTTGCTTCCTTGGCATGTATTCTGCCAGCATGGTAGAGCACCTCGTCTTGATGCACAAACGCCTCAGACATGTCTAATCTACATGCAGAGCTTACTCGCCGGGCTCTACTGACGTGGCTATCTTTTAGGTACTTTATGTCATCATCCTCTCTGCTGCACTCGATCTCGTAGGTCCCAACGTGCCGAAAGGCCTGGTCCTCCTCGCCGACGTGATACCTTCATTCGTCACCAAGCTTTGCGCCCCCTATTTCATTCACAAGATACCCTACAACATTCGAATACTCGGCTTTTGCGCCCTGTCGGCATGCGGTATGCTCGTGATTGCTCTCACACCTCAGCTGCAAGATGCAAAATCCATCACCATAAAGATGTGTGGCGTCATGCTAGCTAGTCTGAGCAGTGGAGGAGGAGAGCTCAGCTTCTTGGGCTTGACGCATTACTACGGGCATCTTGCTCTTGCGAGCTGGGGTAGCGGAACTGGAGGGTGCGTATTCCTGCAGGTCGCGGTCCGCGTTCGCACCAAGCTCATTTCTAACCGGTCGCTTCTCTCTCTCACAGAGCCGGACTCATCGGTGCCGGAGCCTATGCCGTTCTCACAACAAGCCTTCAGATCAGTCCGCGAGACGCCTTGCTGGCATTCTCCTTCCTACCGGCGATAATGCTCGTTAGCTTCTTCGTTATACTTCCCCTGGGCCCACTTCGAGCATCGTCAAGCCAGCATGCCGGCTATGAAGCAGTTGACGAAGATGACGCACTCGATGAACAAGACGAACTGGATACACATCCTGAGAATGCGAGTCTACTAGCTTCTTCCATGCACTCGGCTTCTGGTCGCAGCTTCACCTCAGCCAAGGGTAACGGCCGGTCATCGGCATTAGTGGGCTTCAAGGCCAACCTCAGACGCGCGAGAGGCCTCTTCTTTCCCTAGTATGTTATACTTCCCCCGTAACACAGTCAAAATTTCTGGTCTAACAGATCAACCAGCATGCTTCCGCTGCTCTTGGTATATGTTGCAGAGTACACCATCAACCAAGGCGTCGCACCTACTTTGCTCTTTCCTCTCTCGTCGAGTCCCTTCGACGAATACCGGTCCTTCTACTCTACCTACGGTGCTATCTATCAAGTTGGTGTCTTCATCTCACGATCATCTACTCCGTTCGTCCGAATCCACCAGCTTTACGTCCCCTCCTTTCTGCAAGTCGCGAATCTAGTCCTCCTCACATTGCACGGTGAGCACTTCCCTCACCTGCGGCGCGCGAGACTCGCTGTGATCTGACAGCGCACCCAGCAATGTTTAACTTCCTCCCCAATTTCTACGTAGTGTGCGTGATCATCTTCTGGGAAGGGTTGCTTGGCGGCCTGGTCTACGTCTCGACGTTCGCGGAGATCACGGACAACGTAGCTAAGGAAGACCGGGAGTTCAGTCTGGGAGCGACGAGCGTGAGCGATTCGGGTGGTATCTGCATCGCAGGGTTCGTGAGTATGGCTTTCGAGCTATGGTTGTGCAAGTGGCAGGTCGAGCACGGTCGCGACTACTGTAAGCCGCATTGAAATCACCCTTCTGATGCAGCACCTGCCAGCGCACCACCGATTAGTAACCTAGGCACTGTGTCGCCTCTGGGTGTACTAAGGGTCTCACATTGATTGGAATCGGACTGGGTTTCGAGGGTGTTCGAGTGTGTATGGAAGGTTCGCAATATCCGTCCAACGCGTTTCAGGGGTGAAGCTCGCTTGCCCTTTCTGTTAATAACACGGTGACAGCAGTCGCGTCCTTAGTTGTATATAAACAAATTACATACGGGTAGCTGCAGCCTTCTCACGCCCCACAAAACCTTCATTCCAACCTTCTTCTTCACGTACTACCTCGTTGCAAGCAAGGGTGTCGGATCAAGCGTGGCTGCCGTTCCCGCAAGCTGCGGCACACATTCGCGCAACCGGCCACATAAAGATCCCTCGGCTGTTTGTGGTTCACCAAGCCACATGCTGGTCTTGCTCTATTCTTCGGACGATTATTACACTGGATTAAGATCAAAGATCTCGCTGTCGTGCTATCTACAAAGAGCATGCGAGCTCCGACTCTGTGGCAACCGCAAACGAAACAAGCGACAAAGAGTCTACAGATTTCATCTGGCACATACTCAAGACCTTTCCTTTGCACGCCGTTCCTCCAAACTTACGACTCTCTTCACCTTTCAGAACAGCTCGTGCGGACAACGAGGCAATGTTCTTGAAGCTCGCTGCCCTCGCTGCCCGCGTACCCGATCTACACGCTTTTCACAGGCGGCTCTTGGATGCCCGGATTGAACGGAATCTCAAAGTTAATGCACAACAATCACTCCATGAATATCACGTTTCCTTCGCTCTCAATCAGCATGACAGAGGAAGCCGAAGCCACACGATATTTACCAGCCCTAAAGCCCATCCATGCAATCAAGTTGCGCGCTACGAAAACTTCAACGCCGATGGCCTACCCAATTCCCATCGCGCAAGATCAAGCGGTTTCCTGCTCTAAAGACATGCGAACTATTCAATTCACGGAAGACTCTGCGAAGAAAAGGTCGGTACTGTTCGTCAGACATTCGAAAGAACACTAGACATATCCTGGCGAATAGAGACCGGTCTTGGACCGCTTGGAAGTTTCGGGCCACCGACTCTACGCTCTACTACCATGCCAACAGATAATACCACTCACGCTTCATAACACTCACACCCAGTCCTACAAGAACATGGCCCTACCTCGCTTGGCAGCCAAGCAAGCAGACCATTTCCACGCAGTACCGAATCTGTAGAGTCGTTGGGAGAGTACCAGCAGAAACCGAAGAATGAGGAACGGGATGTCAGGCGGTGCTTCCCAGGGGAAACGTCACTGCACATCTTCAGCTGAAGTACTTCGGCGAAGAAGACTTAGACGACGGCAATAGGAACGATACTATCGAGATTGGTCTTAATAGGAAGCCTTACGACCATAATGATATGCAACAAGGCGTCAAGTTTGTCAGGAGCATCCAGGCATATTCGAACGTATCTGCAAGTGAGCATACGAGGCAATCGTTCATCAGAACTTAGCATTTTAGTACTGGCGTACTGATCTCCTATAAAGTAACGTTGACTGTCTAGCCTTTTACCCTATTTTTAATACTGACGTTGCTCATGCTGAAACTACGCCTAGAACTCAGTATTTGATGATCCGAAAGCGAACCAAAGTCAATGATCACTGCTATCTGCCTTATAGTATTTTGAATGCCAGACCGGCCCTTACAAACCGTCAACGAGCTATAATCATTGAATCCGGCGATGACTCCAAAGTGTCAATAACAAAACTTCGCAGGACCAAATGAGTAAAGCCCGTTGCAAACAGCAGAAACGCTCGACGTACCCGGCGATCCTCCAAATACATCTCCGATAATGATGGAGACGAATTCGACAAAAGACATTTTCAAGTCTCGAAGGCGAATGCGAGCTATTAGTGGCATGAAAAGGGCTATGACTACTGGTGTTTCCATCCAAAACCCGAGGACTGGCACATTAAGAACTCGCATTCCACCATCATCACCATGAAAGAGCTTGGAGGAATGGACATCGAACAGCAGCAATACCCGGTTGAGGTAGTCAGTCAAGCTTAAACACTGTATTCGGATCGGTATCTACTCATACACTCTAGATGGTCAAGAAAGGCGTGACCCGTGAAATTCACGATACTAAAGAGTCGTCGGGTTTCATGCAACAGCGCGTTATGCATAGAGACACGGCTGGGAACGGGTGTCTTTGGCCAGACCATGTTCATCTTCAAGAACGAATAGCGCCGTAGTATCCGCGACTTCGACCCCTGATGACTTGTCAATGCTCTCAGCCAGACATGCACTTCTCCGATGATAGGAACACACTTCATCGCAACCGCTCAATCTGCTCAATAAAAAAACAGGGTCAAAGTTACAAGCGAGGCTGAATCGTCACATGCAGCAAGCTATGTTGGCATACATGATCAAATATTGGCTTGGTATATGCAGCAAACAACGGCCACAGCTTCAGTTTTACAGAGGAGAATTCTTAGCGATTTTCTTTTACTACAAGAGCTTTACGTTCCAGACGCACCAGTGAGAAGCAGCGTGAGCTGCTGATAGACTTCAGGTTTCAGATACAAGACTCGTTGGACATCTACAATGAGGCGGTCACATGACTAACGCAGGCATCGATTGATACCGCAAAAACCGGCCTGACGGATGACCACCTCGACCGGATTTCTACGAAGTCAACGATCTTCACAATACGAAGGTCAAGCGGACGTGCTGCGCCGACTCTTTCAGCTTTACTGAAATTTCAAACCCTGATATACCAGACGTTGACGATCATATGTGCAGTCTGCCGTCGGACAAACTACCGGAGCCATTCGCAATCACATCCTCTCCAACGAAACATCCGAGCTCAGGCTCCACTACCGACCATCATTCACCGGGATCGCTCTTGGAGGCTCGATGTGCCTTCTGTGGCAAATAACATCCCAAGGATTTCAACCTCACATCCTGCGATCACGTCGCCTGTTCGTTCTGCGTTGGAGAAGCTCAGAATTAAGCGTGGCCTCAGCATCCTACGTGCCCGGCTTGCACGTCTTTGATGAGGAATTCGACACCGCTCCACTGTTCCTGAAGAAGTTGTGACTTGCGCTTGCCTAGCACGTTCAATACATTAATCAGAATTCTGACGGCTGAACCGTTGTCGATATCAGGGGCATAAGAACATTCCACACGGAAGCTGTGGGATGTCCGTATGAAGCGTTCTATGAAGGCGAACCGAAATGCGTTGATAATGAAACCATTGTGATCTTTTCCTATGTCTTACATAGAGGTTAGCGTTTTCAGTTCAAGGGTATCAGTCAGTGTTGGTCTTCTCTGCTCAGTAATGCATATAGGAACCCGGAGAAATCTGGCGTTTTAGCATCCGTTGCATGCCCCGGCGTTATACCACTCGAAAAAATCAATCCACAATATATTGCAGCGCTTGTGGTCAATGGACAAAGTATATCAGATTTTCCGCACAATGCCTTATATAGCTAGAATACACGTCTCCACTCTTCCTTCGACCTCCGTTTGGCCACACAGTAATGCCATGAATCATATTTACAAAGTGTCCTTAAGCAGCTTATTCATTCTGGCCATCTTGGCGGAGACGGAGAGATCGATGGTGCGGTCACCGATCTCGACGATGAGTCCACCGCGAATGTCAGGGTTGACCTTGGGGACGACCTTGAGCTTCTGGCCCTGGGAGACGTATTGCGACTTGCTGACGGCAGATTCGAGGCGGCTGAGGGTACGGTTGTCAAGCGGCGCGGCGCTCGTAACGGTCAGCTCGACCTCGCCCCGGTACGCGCTCATGAGCTGGCCGAACTTCTCGACGACGCCCTCCAGCGCGCCCAGTCTGTTGTTGTTGGCCAGCGTCTCAAGCAGGTTCTTGATGATGCCGTCCTTGTCCTGGCCGAGGTGCTTCTGGAGCTCCGCAACAATCTGTTGCTTGTCGGTCACGGAGAGGGTGGGCGCGCCAAGGAGAGTGGTGAGCTTCTGGTCCTTTTTGAAGACATTGCCAAGAGTGTCGAGCGACTTCGCGGCCGCGTCAAGGGCGTTGGTCTTCGCGGCAGCGGTGTACTACACGGAGCAAAATTTATTAGCAGGTGCTGTGGGAGCCATTGGCAACACTGAGGGGCGATTGAGCGGACATAGAGGACCAATTGGACGAGGGAGTGATTGTAGGGGACGCACCAGGGCAGAGGCATAGGTTCCGTCGATGCCAAAGAGCGCAACGGGGGGCTTGGTCTGGGAGCTGCTCGGGGCAGCGGCGGCAGCGTAGGCGCGGGTTGCAGCAACGCGGGCGGCGATTGGGTTGCGAGGGGCCGCGATGCGCGCGGCGCTGGTGAGGGCCCGGCTAGAGAACATATTTGGACAGGAGGGGAGATGGCGGGCTGATGCGTGTGGAAGCTCGAGATGGGTGGTTGTTGGACTTGTGAGGTTCTTTCCGGGCTCGGCGAGCATGCGCTAGGGCGTTTTCGGAAAGGTAAGGTCTGAGCTTTAGTTGTGGCAGCTGCATGAAACACTGTTCCTTACAGCACGAACTTGAGAAATATAGCTGCCACGTTGCTCTTCCTTTCAACTTCCTGGTTGTAACGAATGATTTGCTCGCTACAGCACACTTCAAGTGGCAACTAGCACACTCTCTCCTTCGAAAGAGTGCTCGAATTCGCTGGAATCCATCGCAAAACTGCGAAAGAAAAACTCTCATATGTTATACAGTACGGCAAGCGCTGTGTCCATCGGTAATCTGATCCTTGTCCTCACGATACGTGTCTTCTTTCTTGACTGTCCAAGCTCCTGAAACTTTCCACGGCTAACACAATGTGCCCTTCCGGGACTGCGTATGGCAATACAACTCGCATAAGACCGAAGACGGGTTAATCCTCCGCATGCAACTGTGGGAGGATCTACTTATAGAGAGGTATAGCTTTTGCAGGTGTTATCTTAGAGTATCCTCAGATTTAGCTCATATATATAAGGGTGTAGAAGATGTAGGAGGATAGAAGTAAGGAAGGCGATGTAGAATTTAACTACGCAGCTCTTAGTGCTATTAAGTAGCTATATTACGTCCTATATAGTTCTATCCTAGGCATCACGGCTTAGAAGAACACTGCTTAACAAGTTATATATAAAGCTATTCCCACGAACGTTGCCTAACAGCACATGATAAGAAGTGCCTGAAAGAGAACCCTTCCGGGAGCCGCGTGTAGAATACACGCATTTTCGTGCTGTAAGCCCAGAAAGGCCCAAACTGAACTAATATCTGCTGGGTATAGGCCGACAGTAATCTTTCCTACACCTGACATCTGTCCCTCACTATAGACTGCAAGCCAACGGCCTTGCTTCACTTGTATATGTCGGACACCAAGGTAATCTTATTGGTGACCGCCAATCGAAATTCGCGTCACGTACTCTAGACACTTCACCTTCACTATCTGCCTCTATATATATCGCACTCGTTGTCCACCTGGTCTTCTAAGTTCCAGCAACCCCAGGTACCTCATCGCCCAGCATCCCGGTCCCTCGGGTGCCCCCTTAGAGCAACATGATTCCTTTTACGAGCGGTCCAAAAACACCACCGCGCGTTGGCGAGACCACAGGAGGCCAGCTCTCGCCTCCTTCGACTGCCTGCAAATCACCCGCTACACCGCAGCAGTGGAGAGGCACTGCCGCTGACCAGCTGCTTACGCCTCCATTAACAGGCAAGACTGTCCGATTCTTGGAAGACGACGACTCGCGAACGAAGAACAAATGTCGTCTCGATCGCAACAAACAGGACGAATCTGCGCTCGCCGAATATGCCGATTTGGATGATCTTGGCGATCTCAGCGATATCTCCATCTTGGACGAAACTCCTGCTGCTTCGAACCCTCCTTCACCGACGCAAGATCCAGTCAGCTCACAGCCTCTCCGTCCCGTCATCAGGGACGATGCAGCCGTCAACGCGCAGCCCAAAGCTTTGGGCGATACGACCTTAACCTCTACCGAAAACACCATCACTGTGCCGTTCCCATTTCTGGAACTTCCTCTGAGCATCCGCAAGAATATCTACTCAATGCTCCTCGTGGTCCCGGGCTTGGTCTGCGTCCGCCAAAACCACACTTCCTACCATAACGAAGAGAAAGCTTTCCTCTACGCAGAAGCCCGCTTGCTGCTTCCCAGAATCGCCTACGCGCTGCCTCAGATCACGGTCGGCGGCTTCAAGGTCCGGTTCTCGCGCTTTCGATATGCGAATGCGGCAATCTTGCGCGTGTCGAAGGAGGTACTTGCGGAGGCCAGGGCGGTGATGTAAGTGGGCTCATTGTTCGTGTAATGGGTTACTGACTCTGAACAGGTATGGGGAAAATAACTTTGAAATCATCTGTCCGAACCTTGAAATGAGTCCTCCACCGGACTACAAGATCCCGCTCTTTCCCCGCGGGTGCGCGCGCCATGTGCGGAGCTTAAGCATTCGGGTGCGTGCCTTGTATCCGCTCAAGTGGCTTCTGAACGGCGGTTATGGCGACATAAAGAACGCGTACCGCGGGCTTGAGATGTTAATCATTGTTTTTGAGATGGAGAGTGCAGCGAAAGGCGTGGGCAAGGTGCTAGGTAAAGGAGAGGATGAGAAATGGGTTGCGTACGGTGAGTGTCCTTCCTTTTCCTCTGCAGAGAAATATCATGGACGTCGTCGTATGCTTACACTGTCTTCTAGTTACTCGCCTCCACACGCACCTCAACGCGGCCCTCTTCGGCTCCTCTCTGTCGCGACCTCTCCACCCCTGCCATCTCCCATGCTGGATCCACTTCCGCGTCCTTTTTGATGGCGAGGCTTATGACGACTTCACTGAGCCCACCACGCACAGCATCAATGTCGGCCCGGCATCTGACAACACGAGCCTCACTGATGCAGCCAAAGAGCGGTTCAGAAGGTACCACCTGAAGCGTGGGTTGCCCGAGGCTTTTGAAATGTGCAAAAGGGGTGGGCGCTGAGGCACTGCAAGAAACTTGTGTTCAGCGACTCGACAACCTAGCGCCAACTTCTGAAGCGCATTTTTTATCCTGCGGTACAACTAAGTCGAAGAAATGGGGAACATTGGACTTTCGAGATATTCCCTGCGCTACCGTTGTTTCGCACTCTTTCGACACTTAAAGATTATCCTAATCGTTAAAGAGTCACGCACGATTTCAGGAACATCGGGCATCTACACTTCGAATTTCCATATTTTCTCTTTAGCACTGTGGGTCGCAAAGCAGTCTGGCGAGAATGAGATCGTACATAGAGCAAATGCTGCAATTCTGGAACATGGGGTTTTCGATTGAGTGAGGCGGCCAAATGTCTTTGTTCTCAGTTGCGGTCCTTCTCACAAATGCAATCTGCTTTAAAAGGAGGGAGTGAAACATGCACACGTAGTAGTGGTCAAATGCGCAACAGTCGCTTATTGCGCTGCCTTTTCATGAGACACCAACTGATGATGAATTGTCGAACGCAGCCTATTAGTAAGACATCATCAAAGTGCGATCACTTAAACTGAAGAACCCATGATTCATAAGCTCGTGGTATCTAGAAGCGGCATCTCATGCCATATCCATTCGGAGCACTATGCAGACCAGATACGTGAATAAACCATTTTGACCGGACCGATGCACCGAAGAATCCCCAAAGACAATCCTCTACTTCCTGAGGAGACGCTGGTAGAAAGCAAGCTCCTCACCCTCGAGGATGTAGCCGTCGCAGCGGCCGGACTGACCGGGGCGCGACGACACAACGGCGAAGACACGACCAGCCTCGAACTGCTTCTCGAGAGCATTCTCGACCTTGCCGGAGGCCTTGAAGCGGTCGGCCTGCTTCTTCTGGACGCTGTTGGACTTCTTCTCCTCCTCCTTCTCGCCGGCCTTGGTCTGGCGCCTTCGGCCGAGCGACTGGCCGTAGTGGGCCTCGAACCACTGCCGGAATGGAGCGGCATCAATCTGGACGACGGCGGACTTGGTAAGGGTGTTGGTACGGACGAGCTCGTTGTTGGAGGGGTGGTAGACGACACCGATGACACGGGTCTTCTTGGCTACACCCTCTGAACCCCACGAGAAGTTGCCGGAGTCGAGGCGCAGAGCACGGAACTTGCGGTTTCCGCCGCGGGTGCGGACAAGATGGATACGCTTAGTGCCAATACGGGTATTGGCGGGCTGGCGACCCTTCTCGAAAGCCCTGCAGCCATGTTAGACATGACTTTAGAAGCGATCGGTTTATGCATACCTCTTCTTGCGGTAGTATGCGCGCTTCGCACCGGACGCGGAGCGCTTGTGACGGGAGTCGCGGGAGATACTGGAAACTGTTAGCCTTTGTTATTGGTAGGAAGTGCGGACAGTAGATACCCCATGATTGCGGTTGTTCAGAAGTGCTGGTAGAATAAGTTAGCCAGATGTCCAAATTCCAGTGCCAACGAGTCCCGCTTCGACATCCAAACTCCCCTCCGCCACCATGCCTTGTGACCACCGCTACCATGAATTGTACAGAGATTGTCGAAAGTCGTAGTGATTACTTCGTTAGATCTCTACAGGGTCGCGTGTGGTTGAATCGGCGAGCAGCGCAGGGTAGGGTCGATCGAGACATCGAAGGAGCGAGGCATCGAAGCTCCCGATCTATTGAGAACGTACCTAATGTCGAGCCTTCTGAGTGCAACGGTTGTCGTGTCGGCGTGGGGTTGTCGTAGGATAGAAGTTTGGTCTGGAGGTTTTCGGTGTGCGCCTAAGCGAGCGCTTGGCGTCCAAGCCGGAACAAACTTTTCCCTAGCTCTCGTGTTAGCGTCGTTGTTCCCTTTTCATCTGCACTAGTAGTGTAGTGGCAAATTGCTACCAACATTGGACACGCGGGTGGAAGGGATGCATCGAGCCTTTGTTTGCTTATGGAGACTCCGTCCCTTCACCGCACTTTTCTCTCTCGGTTCGATAGCAGGCGTTGGAGGATCGCCATTGCCATTAGACTCGCTACCACAAATCATCGGCTCGGGGGATTCCTCGTACACTCATTAATCACATCATCCAATAATTCTGCATACTGCATTACCCTCTCGTACCATGCCTTCTTTCATCACCTCGCCCGATCCACCAAACACCCATAAACAATTCACTAAGTGGCCTCGGAAAACTCGCCTGCAAGGACCGGCGGCACCATCTGTTCCTAACGATGCGATGCGCTGTTCCTACTGTGACATGCGGTAAGGGTTGAAGAAGCAGAAATAATCCGTTGCCATGTAGTGGCGTTCCCTACGAGTACGCTTTACGGCACCTATACGATACGCAATTGCAATGGCTAAGACGTAAGTGAAGGTGATTATTCCGACGATGCTGCCGGTCGTTGACGGCCCACTGTCTCGACAAGGCGAACGAAGCGGATATGGTGGACATATAGAGTTGAACATCTGGAGCAATCGTCGCGAAACTTGTTGTTGAGCTGATTTAGGTGTAAATCCCATCTGCATTACTTTCACACACATCATTTCCTGGATCTTCGCACTCTTTGGTACTTATAATATGTACCTTTGGCGGTCAAATGTCTATCTTCTTTGCCCTAGAGCATTTCGCAAGCGACCTTGCCTTCAAAGACAGACTTTTAACAAATACCATATATGACTAGTATACACTGAATAACGAACAAGCCTATCATGTACAACGGTATTTTTTGTTGACGATCATGCAGTACACATGGTATGGGTTACAGCGCTGAGCAAATTGAAGATGCTTATCGTCCGAACGTACCTTTGATTACCCAATCTGCCTTGCATAGGTTTCTGCAAGCGATCACGCCGCCTTTTGCACGAGACCATGAGAACATTGCGACTAGATTACTCGCTTTTTTCACTCGAAGATTTCTACCAAACATCCACTACGCCAGTAGATACTGGCAACGTGATACACCCCTTCCGTAACGCCTAAACACCTTCCTATGCAATCCCGCCGCTCTTCTTTCTATCACGAATCGCATGGCCATGGATTAATTCAACTCTCCTACCACGTCCCCCTCAACTGCAAATCCCTACTCGAAAACCCTAGCCCAATCTCAAACTCCCCCTCGATTGGCAACACCCAATTCTGCCTCCCCGCATCCCAGTAACTCAGATCCTTCCTACTCAGCTCAAACGTCACCACCTGCCTATTCCCACCTCCCCCATGCGCGCTCCCTTTCACCCCCTTGACAGGCACCTCCTGCTGCGCCGGCACATGCACTTTCTCAAACCCGCGCAGGACGCGCACAGGAAAGTCTATTGCCTCGCCGGTCTCGGGATCTTTGTAATTTTTGGGAAAGGAAACGTATAGCTGAACCACGGTCGCGCCGGCCACAAGGCCGATGTTCGTCACGGTTGCGGAGACAGTGATGAGCGTGGTGTAGAGGTCCGGATTGCCGCCTGGGCCACCGCCGGCGTCGGAAAGCGGGCTTTGGAGTTGGGATGCGAGGATCTTGGATCTGTGGATCGATTCGGTGGAGGTGAGGTACGGGTAGATGTATTTCTCGACTTTGTGGAAATTGGGCGGGAAGAGCGCGGATCTGGGGTCTGGGAGGATGGTTGGATATGTAGGTGGCTCGATGGTGTTGGATGGGCGCGCTGCAGGCAGGGGCGCTTTGCCGCCGTGGCCGGAGATGAGGAGGGAGGAGAGCTGAAAAGTGGTGTATGAGAGCCCATAGCCAAATTCGTAGCGGGGTGCTATTCCTTGCTTGTCGAAGTGGCGGTAATCGATATACAGGCCTTCTGAGAAATTCTGTTGAGGCGTAAGGCCTTCGACGGGGTTGGGAAGGTATTTGATCTTGCTGCCGGGTCCATAGTCTTCCTCAGTTTTGGCGATTGTGTAGGGAAGACGACCTGAGGGGTTGACGTCTCCGAAAATGAGGTCTACGAGCGCGTTGCCAGACTCTTCGCCGGGGAGGTTGGCAAGTAGAACGGCCTTCACGTTGGGCAGGTCAATAAACCTTTCCATGGTCACCGGCCCAACAGCGTGAATCACTACGACTACATCCCCGTTGCCTTTTCCGCAGCTCCTGGAAACGTCTCGGATGAGCTGATCGCCGTTCTTCTGTAGATTCAAGTCGTTTCGATCACCACGAACATCTATTACGCGTCAGCTTGAGCACTTGATCACTACTGGAGTCATGCCAGGATGTTGTGTGCTTACCTGACCATTTCAAGTACCCCTCTCCAGCGTGAGCGTTGGCGAACACAATGCAGAGGTCCTGGTCCTCGATAACTTGTCTCTCTTTGGGTAGAGTGTTCTCAGGCCAGTCGGTGACGTAGACTGAGTCGTTGTTGAACGCATTGCGCAGCGCAGAGAGAGGCTCGATGAGGTACGGATATTCGACGGCACCGCTACCCCAACCAGAAGCCAATGTGCCATCGTTGCAACTCTGGTCAGGGCAGTTGTTAATACCATCGCGGCTGAGGCGTGCGTCTTCACCAAAGATACCGACACGATACTTCGTGCCAGCCTTACTAGCCTTTTCATGCTCCTGCCATCCATCCCGGCTTAGGGGTAAAAGGCTTTCCTGGTTCTTGAGGAGTACTGTGCCCTCTACTGCGATCTTGCGTACCAGAGTGCCGTGGAAATCGTCGCCCTCGCCTTGCACATTGATGAACTTATTCACAACGCCTTTGGTGTTGTCCGAAGGGCTTCCTTCGTAAATCTTGCCGACCTCGTCATTCGTCCAGGATGAGAAGTTGGGCCCATCGTCGGACCACTGGTCCTGCCCGACTTGGTACCAGGCGGCAACAATGCGAGTAACCATGTCGTCCACACGATCAATAGGAACACTTCCGTTCAACACCGCCTTCGTAAGTTGAGCGCCCCACAAGCTGTCTCCGTCCGCCCATTTGAGACCATCTCCAGGCATCGACATGTCTAAGCCAGCCAGGGCGGCTGCTACACCCGAACGCTGAGCAAGCCAATCACTCTGAACGAAGCCTTGGAAACCGAGTTCGTCCTTGAGGATACCGTTCATGAGCTTACTATTTTGACAGGCATAGCTATTATTGACCTGTTTTGAATTAGTAATGTAAGTTGAGTCATATTTAGCTGATCTATCACTAACCTGGTTATACGAGCACATTACAGAGCCTACGCCAGCCTTCACAGATTCAGCAAATGGCCAAGCGTAGATTTCGTGCAAAGTGCGGTCATCGATGTTACTTGAAATGGCGTTTGGCAGACCCCACTCCCACGCTTGCCGAAAGTGTTCCTGTTCGTTGAGAATGAAATGTTTCGCGGTGGCTATAACGCCCGCATCCTGTATGCCCTTGATCGTCTGCGCAGCCGCGATGCCTTGGAGTACCGGATCCGATCCAAATCCTTCCCAATTCCGACCTCCAGCAGGCATTCTCCCCAGGGGACCCATCGCAGGTCCAAGCAATACATTCACGCCCTTCAGACGTGCCTCTTGTCCATGTGCCTTTCCTCGCTGGTACATTAAGTCCTTGTTCCAGGTCGCGCCCACGGTGACTCCCGCCGGAAACGCTGTGATATTGTCCGCGAATCGTATGCCGAGTGGGCCATCCTGAAGGCACAACGAGGGGAACTTTAGTCGCTGGACCGGCCCTGTGTTGCCCACACACATCCCCATGCTCCACCCCACACCCGTCGTGATGTTGACCTTCTCCACCAGCGTCATCTGCCGAATCATCTCCGCCGCTTTCTTATAGCTCTCGGCCCACGCCGCATCCGCACCACCCTTGGGTGTAGGGTACCACGGCGGACTCATGCCATCTTTCACCAGTGTCCTCCTGTACGCCCACAGCCCACCCGCAGTGAACAGTAGAATAACTGACGTTACGAATACCAAGAGCCAACAACACCATTGCCGTATGCCACAGCTTCTACCCGGTTTCGGTCTGAGAGCAAACTTCTCCGCCTCTTTCTTGAACGAGGGTTTGCGCGTTCGCAGGTCGCCGGAGCTTTTCTTGCGCTTGAGGGTGCCCGCATCATAATTTAAAGGGTCGTATTCTTCTAGGTCTTCAAAGGAGGAAGCGTCCGAAGCGAAGGATGGGCGCGAGGGAGATTCGTCATCCACGGGAGCGTCGAGCTTGGAGTATTTGCCCCGGCGGAGCTCGTGGAACTCTAGTGGAGGCATACTCGCGATTTCAGGAAGGAGGGATATCAGAGAGAGGAGACGGCTCGCGCGTAGAGGGAGTTAGGGTATCGACACAACGGCAGCGCGCGCCTTAGATGGCGTTCCGACGGCGAGACATGGAGCTGTATGATGCCACGAGCAGAACGGAAACGAGAGAAACCCTCTCGGATCACAAAGGAAAGGATATAGAAGAGGCAGTGAAGCGGGCAGATGTCGCACAGCAAGTCGTGGCAGCGCAGCCTGTCTGTCTTGAGTCTCACGTCCTCCGGAGGCTAAAGCGTAGCGGGACCCTTGTACCCCTGATCCTGGCCGTTTCGCCTCTCCACCAATCCTGCACTTGACCCTGCAGTCACACTACCAACGTCTAAGGTGCACCCAAAGAGCCATATGACATGAAAAAAGCGTTTCATTCGTGACAGAAGCGTTTTCGACATGGCCCAAACGCCTTTTACGGCTGATATATACAAACATATTACCAAGCTCTAGGATTCGCTTCTCCAAACATGACCACGCTTCATGCGCCGACCTGCTTCAGGATACCCTCAAGGTTGATGCTCTTGGGACGCTCTATGGGCAGACCCAATGCCCTATCCCAGATGAGTTGTGCGAGAGGTCCTAGACCACGGCTGACACCGAAGGTTGCAGTGTAGTACAGCGTCTCGTGGAAGCCGTAGTGGTGGAAGAGCACACCAGAGGAGGAATCAACGTTGGGGTACGGGTTCTTGGTCTAGTTGATTGGTCAGTATCTTGTCAACAGCAGTAGTTGCCGAACTTACCTTGCCGTGCTCAGTAAGGACGCCAGGCGCGACCTCGGAAGTCTTCTTGACAAGCTGGTAGACTGGGTTCTTCGCGATGTCTGGCCGCGCGTCGGCAAAATCCATCAGAGCCTCAAAACGCGGGTCTGGCTTCCTCAGAACTGCGTGACCGTATCCTGGGATCACACGTCCAGACTTAAGGACACCCCAAAGAAATTCTGTCACGTCGCCCTCGGTAAAGCTGGTGCCGACCGACTTCTGCATGTCTAGAATGAAGCGAAGCACCTCTTGAGCCGCCAGACCGTGGAGAGGTCCCGCCAGACCCTGGAGACCAGCGCTGTACGAAAGGAAGGGATCGCTAAGCGCGCTGCCGACGAGATGTGTGGCGTGGGCAGAGACGTTGCCTCCCTCGTGGTCACCGTGGAGGGCAAGATACAGACGAAGAAGGTCCTGGAAGCCTTCGTTTTCCTTTCCGGACTTGCCCAGCATAGCAGCAAAGTTGTACGCCCAATCCTGATTCACATCGACATCAGCTGGTAGCGCGCCTCCGCCGCGGTAGGCGTTCTGGTAGATCTTGGCAGCGATGGTGGGCAGCTTTGCAAGCAGACTAATGCAGTCATCGAAAGTCGGCTCCCAGTAGTCGACCTTATTGATACCCTTCTCGTATGCCTTCGCAAACTTGGACTCGTAATTCAATGCTGAGACTGCGCAAGCGAACTGTGTCATCGGGTGCAGGTCCTTGGGGAAGTCATCAAGCATCTTCTCTACGAACTTGGGAATGCCAGCTTTTTCAGCCAGCTCTCGTGAAAGTGCACGGGTCTGAGAAACGGATGGGACCTCGCCGGTAAGCAACAGCCAGAACATGGCTTCTGGAAGCATCTCGGTGCCGGAGGTGCCCTTGGGAAGCTCCTGCTGGCAGTCCTTGATGGTCTTGCCGTGGAATCGGATACCCTCATTTGCGTCAAGCACTGAGCCCTCCCAGACCATGGCCTTCAATCCTCTTCACATACGTTAGAAGCGAATTGCAACCGCGGGAAGGCATGCGCACCTCATTCCACCCAAGGTGTTCTCCACCTTGACCACGCCGAGCTCCTTGTCGGCATGTGCCTTGACTTTCTTGAGCAGCTCCCGCTTAGCAGGCAGAACCTTCTTGAAAGTCTCCTTGAGATCCGGCTCGGAGGACGATGAGTAGCTGCATGCTTGCACTGTTGGTAGGATGCGTTAGCGCAGTGCGGAGAGGGTGTTTGCGGGGTCAATTGCTCACCAGAAGCAAAGGGACGAGCCGCCGAGGGCTAGAAAGCTTCAGTTAGCTCATAGTGAACGAATTGAACCTTTTCCGAGCTCACCTTCACAGCTCGCAGAGCTCTTGAAGTACGTGCGCTCAACGCCATGGTTGCAGCTTAGGGAGGGGTGGATGGCAGGGATGTTACGTGCGGGGAAAGGCTGGCTTGACGTTCAAGCTCCAAACAAACAGCAAAACCGCACAATTGAGCTGTGAGTAGCAGCAGTTATAAAGAAAGCCAGCAAAAGATCTACGGCAACGCTCGGCGTCTAGCCTTCACGAGACATTGCATGTCCCGTTGATGCGGCGGCCACCAGAGCTGCCCCTCGGTAAAGCACGCATGGGGGTTAGCGCTGCTGGCTATCCTCGGCCTGTTCGACGGCGTGGAGAAAGTTATCCCAGGCAAAACATCCTGGCGCTCCGTGTCGAACGAGTGGCGCATCGGCCTGCTGAACACTGTCTGCCCCGCGTGCAGAAACGTGTGTTTGAGAACACTTGCGCTGAACTGGCCCCGCCAATTGTGTGGGAGTCGCCTTCCATCGCTTTTGAGCCCGAGATTCGCACTCGGTAGCTCTCCGAGCTTAACAAAACTCGCCGCTCAAGAACACCGAAAAGCATAAAAAAGACTTCTTTCCAGTGCTGCTGACAGTCTAGCTTCTTCGCCATGCTGCGAACAGTTGCACGATCTGCAGCGCGCCAGAGCCGGTCTCTGAGATTATCGAACCGAACACCACAGCTCCTCCGGCCTGTCTCCACCACTGCGTGCCGCATGTCGAGCTCCACGCTCAAGCCAGTAGACTCGCCAGTCTCTTCAGCCCTTCCGGGCGACTCGTTCCAGCTATTGCCGGAGGCATCGAAGGCTGGCCAGGCGGAGGATGCGCTCTTCGAAGAGCAGGTCCAGAAGGTGAAGGACTGGTGGGCGTCGCCGCGGTACAAGGGGATCAAGAGGCCATATTCGGCAGAAGATGTCGTGAGCAAGAGGGGCGCGTTGCAACAAACATACCCTAGCTCGCTGATGGCGCGGAAGCTCTTCAACTTGTTCGAAGAGCGGGCGGCGAACGGCGAGCCTGTGCATACAAGTGCGTTATTCCTGCTCCTCATAGTGAATGCAATAGCTGATGCGAAGTCTTCAATCCATAGTGGGCGCCATTGACCCTGTGCAAATGACGCAACAAGCGCCAAACCAAGAAGTTCTATACATTTCTGGCTGGGCGTGCTCCTCCGTGTTGACCACCACACATGAGGTGTCTGCTGATTTCGGAGACTACCCATATAACACCGTCCCAAACCAGGTGCAGCGACTGTTCAAGGCGCAACAGCTTCATGACCGCAAGAACTGGGACAACAGGAGGAAAATGACCCCAGAAGAGAGGGCCAAGACCCCCTACCTCGACTACATGCGCCCTATAATCGCAGACGGAGATACTGGCCACGGCGGTCTGTCAGCGGTTATCAAGCTCGCCAAGCTCTTTGCAGAGAACGGAGCTGCCGCTGTTCACTTCGAAGACCAGCTTCATGGCGGCAAGAAATGCGGCCATTTGGCTGGGAAAGTGCTCGTACCTGTTGGTGAACACATCAACCGTCTCGTAGCTGCACGCTTCCAGTGGGATATGATGGGTTGTGAGAATCTGGTCATTGCGCGTACAGATTCCGAGAGCGGCAAGCTGATCTCGAGTGCCGTGGATGTACGCGACCATGAGTTCATCAAGGGTGTGACAGAAGAGACCGAGCCGCTCTCGGAGACGCTGCAGAACATGGAGGCAGCAGGTGCGCCCGGAAGCGAGATCGATGCGTACGAAGCCGCTTGGGTGAAGAAGCACAAGCTTGTCACCTTCGATGAAGCCGTACAGCAACACCTCGGGAAGGAAGGCTCCTCTATCGATGGCTACCTCAACGAAATCAAGGCAAACCCTGATCTATCGCTCCTCAAGCGTCGCGAGGTCGCAGCGAAACACACTAAGTCGCCCGTGTACTTCAATTGGGACATTCCACGAACGCGTGAAGGCCACTACCATTACAAGGCAGGCATGGCCGCGGCGACCAAACGTGCGAAGGAATTCGCACCCTACGCCGATCTTCTATGGGTTGAGACTGCGGGCCCCAACGTCGAGGAAGCCGGCAAGTTTGCTGGCGAGATCAGGGAAAAATATCCGGGCAAGAAGTTCGTCTACAATTTATCACCAAGCTTCAACTGGCTAGGCCAAGGCTTCACAGAAGAATCTCTGAAGAGCTTCGTATGGGATCTCGCGAAGCACGGGTATGTCGAAAATCACGGACCATGCTTTACCAGTGAATGCTGACCAATCTCCAGATTCGTCCTCCAACTCATCTCTCTGGCCGGTCTGCACTCGACCGCAACAATCACCTGCGAATTATCCCGTGCGTTCAAGGACCAAGGCATGCTCGCTTACGTCAACCTCGTCCAAGCCCGAGAGAAGGAGGTCGGTTGTGATGTGCTCACGCACCAGAAGTGGAGCGGAGCGGGCTACATCGATGGTATATTGGGCTCGATACAAAGCGGGAGCAGTGGGAGTAGGAGTATGGGCGAGGGAAACACGGAAGCTGGTAAGTCGTGCTTCGCCACTGATTGTGAAGATTTATTAACGCGATGCCAGGCTTCTAATGTAAGAATACAATTGAATCTCGCGACAATTGTTGAAACAATAAATGCTATGTCATACAGTGAAGATAAATCGCGCCTCATACGATCTAATCGTTGTAGACGTCCTGACTAGACCTGGCGTGCGTCTGCCGAATAATCTGCATAGCGCCATTGGTAGCACAAGGAGGTCGGCTATCGGAGTTTACAAGCCGGCGCATTGTTGGACGCTCGGACGTGCTGCGATGCCACTTACGTCCGCAACGGGGGTGAGCCCATGTTTGGCCCGCGCGCATTGGATGATACAAATATCGTGACTGGCCCGCCCGGCTATCTTGAACACTGCCAACATTCGTGTCCACACTGATCACCGTTCTATTGGCGGCCCCCCCCCCAAAGACAGATATAGCACAGCAACACAAGCTCCGCAAGATCAATTCGTACATATATTGCGTACGCTCGCTCATCGGCATTGCGCAATCCACGTCCAACCCGAATCTCACGGTCTGCAGACCGCAGCCATGACATCCTATTTCCCACACACCTCCTATGCAGAAGACCAACCCTCCTCCCACGCAATACTCTACCTCCACGTAGCCCGCGCTTCCGCAATGACCGGCTCATTCCTCTCCTTGTTCACAGCACCAACCTCCCTCCTCCTCTCCCGGTACCGCCACTCCACCCCTATTACCCTAACTACCTTCCTCCCTCGACTTCTTACACACTCCAGCCGCGGTCTCGTGATCGGCTCTCTCTTAGGCGTGGCAGCGACGTACGGGCGTATGTTCGGGAGGGAAGAGGTAGAGTGGCAGGATCGTGCGTGGAGACTGCAGGAGAACAGGGGGGAGGAGGATACAGATGCTGTGAGCTTTGAGGCGGGGGGTTGCGGGGGCGGCTGTCGCGGGTTTGGCGGCACGATCGGGAAAGCTGGCTGGTATAGGAGCAGGAAATTCTGTGCTGGGAGGATTAGGGCTGGGGATGGCGAGTGGAGTACCGTACATGATCTTGACATTCGCGAGGGGACGGAAGCCGGCATGAGGTGTTTGCCTTCAATCATCTGCAAGAGGCCGAGTTCAGCGTGAAATCACGGTCTTCAGTCCAGCGTCAATTATCATTGTGCATTCATGTCATTGGCTCTGATATTGACCCGCGCAGTTCTGGACATTTGATTTGTTTCGAAATCCAGCGACTCTACTTCTCCCATGCTTCCAGCCAGCCAGGACCCTTCCTCTTCGCCCAGTGCACAAACGCCATCAGGAAGAATCCGACATGCACCAGTCCAACCATTACCTCCAAAATGTAGCCATATATCATATCATGCTCCTCGGACGTCACGCATGTCGCGACAGGACATCCACCACGGTTTGCGTCATGTTCGACAATTGGATTGAGAAATAGAAATGCGCTCCAAAAGCCAGCGATTAAGCCAGCGAGTTCGCAGATCGCAAGATACATCGACGGCAGGCGGGGAACGCGCGGCTGCAATTCCGGTGATGAGGTCGACGCAATGGCGGGAAAGAACAATGGAAGATGATGTATAAGCAGTGTGGGCTGTGGGTTGCTAAGTGAGAGCAGTTCAAGTGTGTTGAGGAGGAGCGAGTATCCGACCTAAATTATATCCCAATTTAGACTTCGCCCCTACAGCTCTGAATACAGGACTTACCACGCCGTAGAGCACCTTCACCGTCATAAATTGCTCGAGATTGGTGTCCAGGATGCACACGATAATCAACACGCTAATGTTCAGGATGATGGCGCACACTCGGAAGAACATCTGCACAATGGCCTCAACCTCGGGGTAGCGCTGCCGGTGGTCCTGACATTTGCAATCGTCCACGACCTTAATCTCCTGCGCTTTGAGTCCATGTGAGGTGATGGCGGTTGTGACTTCCCAACCGGGCGGCACGAATCGCTTTCTGGGCCAAGGAGAATCGGAATCGAAGAGCGAAGAAGCATCGAGCGTCGAATGTGCGCGATCTCTGGAGGCGTCTCGCGAGATGCGGGCAGAGGTAGACATGGTGAGTGTGGTGGTGCTGCTGCGGGCTCGCATTGCGGGTAAAGAGCGAAAGTTATTTCGTGGGCGATTGCGGGCGTTTGCAGGTGAACGACGACGGAAGGTGCTCGTGGCGCCAAGACCTGGACAGTGACTGTCCGTAGTCGAGACTATCTTATCGCTGAACAAGAGCACCGAGGACATTTGGAAGAGGCTGATATAGCATTTGGACTGCGAAAGGACTGTCACACCGAAGTCTCAGTAAGAGTGAGATCTTCATCATGACAATATGCGACTAAGCGCCGCAAGATATATCTTATATTAGTCCGTATGTTTCAGCGACCCACCGCCTCACTGTCTTTGTGTGGGCTGCAGCTCTGGGCGACGTTCAAATCTAGTCGACTAGCGAATGGCAGGAAGGATTGCGTACATCGAACTGCTGTAGGAAAGTCTCTCCGGTGAAACCAGAGGATGAGACTGGTCTCCAATGTCTTATTCACAGTTCGTGTGAGTAAAGTGAGGGTATCTGAAGCTGCAGACACTTCATCACAATCACTACAAGGCAAGTCCTGTTGTTGATAGGGAGAAAAGCAGGTTATTCGATTGGTCTAGCTCGTCTGAGGGAATACTAGGCTACCGTACCGTGCCTCCAGAGAGAGTGCCCATGGACGGCTGGTAGGATACTATAGGTAGCCCTGGCTCTTATAACAGTCGTCGTTGCGGTTCCGGCTGCTTGGCAGCCGCATTGGATGTGCACAGTGGACAAATGTATCAAGAAATTGCATAGGGCGGTTAGCGGATAGACTACATCCACAGAATATACGTAAACCCCATCTAATGGCCATTGAGAAACGTTGAAACCAGTTGAGGGCCGCTATCCTAAGTACAGTATGTCTTCCGAACATGTTTGATAAACCCAATCCCTCGCAGGAGGCAGCCAACAAGGGATGAAACATTCATATAATAGACGTCAGAAACATCTCATTTCATGAGGAAGTTCCAATCAGATAAGCCAGAGTGCGCCAGGCTGACTTTGGTATGGCTTTCGATCTGTCACGCTAGCCGAAAGAGGTCATAGGTCCCCTGCGGACATGAACGCTAACACCACAGCTAGACTCCACTTGGCTTAGTATGGAACGACCGCCACCGGTACTAGACAATATCTGTGGGGATACAGCGTCAAGGCTTAACAATAAGGTCATGTTGCATTATTATGATTTGTCGATTGCCGGTGGTTCTCTTTTGCGGTGAGGATTGCAGTATATGCGATACCATAGGTATCAGCGAGATGAACAGTTTCGATTCGGGGACTAGCTATAAGCGGTTGCAGGTCCCTGAAGACGGCGTGGAGGGAGTGGAGCGCTGAGAAATGCACACCTGATGTCTCATGGCGTCAATGTAGTACAGACAGAAAGCATCTTCTATTAAACTATGGTGAACTCCACGAGACCCCTCCACAGCCTTCCCCCAGACTGGTACGAACACTGGCACATCTTCCTTCCTGCGCAAAGATGGAAGCTCCAGTCAACGGTGGGTACCTGCAACGCCCCGGTGGCTGGTGGGAGTACGTCTTCATCTTCGTCCTCTGCTCAACCCAACTCTTCTGCCAGATCGCGCTCGGCTATGTCATCATTCCGTTGGGCCTGATTAGCAAGACCTTCAATCAGGATGGCTACGAACAAGCTGCCGAGATGAACTGGCACGCTGCAGCCTACAGCCTTACCATAGGGTCCTTCATCCTGGTGTCTGGCCGAATTGGCGACATCTACGGCTTAAAGAACGTCCTCGTGTTCGGCTGGATATGGTTCGCAATGTGGTCACTCATTGCGGGCTTCAGCGCATTCACACATTCGGCAATTTTCTTCGATGTGAGTCGGGCTTTTCAAGGCATCGGCCCTTCGCTACTACTTCCAAATGCGCTAGCTATAGCTGGGCGTACGTATGCTCCTGGGTTGAGGAAGAGTGTCATCTTCTCCCTCATCGCTATGTGCGCGCCGTTAGGTGGCATCATCGGCGGGCTGGCGGGATCGGCACTCGCGCAATATGTTTGGTGGCCGTGGATTACGTGGATATCCGGAATCGGATGCTTTATCGTCGCTGGCACTGCGTACTGGGTGGTGCCCCAGGATCATATCAATGGTTCGTCTAGAAAGATCACTTTCGATTGCCTCGGATCCTTCTTTGGAGTCGGTGGGTTACTCTTGCTCAACGTCTCTTGGAACCAAGCGCCCATTGATGGATGGTCAACCCCATATGTCTACGTTCTTTCAATCGTGGGCTTACTTCTTCTTGTTGCCTTCGCATATCAGGAGAAGAAAGCAGAACATCCCATCATGGACATTCGTATCTTCAATGGACGCGTGGCCGGGATCCTGGCTACCACCGGCCTTAGTTGGACCAGCTTCGGTATCTGGTTTTACTACATCTTCCAGTTCCTCCAGCACATTCGGGGCATATCAAGCCTCGAGTCGGCACTTCGGTTCGGACCTGGGGCCATTTCGGGCATGGTAGCACCTCTGTTCGTGGCCTGGTCAGTCGGCAAAGTTCCCACCCCATGGTTGATGGTGATATCATCATCAGCTTTCTTCTTGGGTGCGCTTCTGTTGGCAACGGCCCCAGTTGAACAGACCTATTGGTTCAACGTGTTCTGGTCCTTCGTCATTATGCCATGGGGGTATGCCGCTTTCTGCCTCCAACTCTTTTCCGTATCAATGTTGACTCTTTTTGTAGCATGGACATCTCCTTCCCCGCATCAACACTGTTCCTCAGTGACTCCGTTTCGATCGAAAATCAAGGTATCTCCGCGTCCCTCGTCAACACAATAATCAACTATTCGATCGCTATTGGGCTAGGTATCGCGGGTACGGTTGAATCGGAAGTGGTGAAGGGAACATCGCGGGAATGGATACTTAAAGGTTATCGAGGGGCGCAATGGACGTCTGTAGGCCTGGCTGGCTTCGGGCTCGCAGTGGCTCTATTATTGGCATTAGGGAACCGCCAGAAGAAGCCAGAGAAATGCGAAGAAGACGTCTGTCAAAGTGAACAATTCACCTAGATAGACAGCTGGAATTGAGAATGCACATAGATAGACAGCTGGAATTGAGATTGCAAGAATGTAATTGTGTTTTAGTTCGATGGGGACAGAGCGTTGAGACGTACTCGAAAAAGAGGATTAAACCAAAACACTCGATGTAGATGATCCTCGTACTGTCTCATGGATGCGATCTCATTGGCCAATCTGAAGTCTTCGATCTGCGAGCAAAAATAGGATTGATCTTCGGTAGTGGTGCTCTCAAGAGCACCCACAGTCAAAACCCACAGGTGTATGGTTGGGTCTATGTCGGAATAGTGTCCAATTGTCTTGAGAGCTTCCTTAAGCTTGTCGACTTGGAAGGTTGTCATGACAGGACTTATGCCAGATTGTCTCCGCAGCTCTGCTAGGTATAGTAGGGCTCCCGCACGCAGGTAGGTGAGAAGCGCAGATGTGTTGTCGGGCATATCTGCCGGTAGCCGAAGGGACAGAAAGAGTCGCGCAACAGGCTCCACGAGCAAATCCATCTTCGAAGGTTCGTCCAGTATTGCAGAACCTGGGTTGGTATGCACAAGCGCCAAATAGTTGTTCAAGTCTTGAAGGGATTGGTACGCTTGTCGCATTGGAATGCGATGCTTTATATCCAGAGAATTGATGAGAATCAGGAGAGATTTTCCAAGGGTCGTATGAGTGAGGGCTGGAAGTGGCATCATTGTAGGAATGAGTGAGGATGGAGCTATACCGAAGGCGTACGAACCGATAGAATCGATACTATACCAACAGTTAACGAATGTTTCTAGAAAGATTGATCATGCTACACACGACTGATAGAGGCGCATAAAGTCGTCGCTGATGTCGCTTGTCCGGGAAGCAACGATATTTCGAACGGCAGCCATGTGCATGGTATAAGTTCCCAAGTCATTAAGAAGATGCGCGTAGCAGGCGAACATTAGGATAACAACAAGGTGCTCCTCGGAAACGGTGTGTGTTACATTTCTTAACCGCTCCCGAGCTATGGTAAGTGCTTGCGCATGCTCGCTGATCGCCACCCGCTTCAGTCTGTGATGTATCTCCGGCTGCCACCGATATAAGTGGGTAGCGCAACACGCAAGCATTTGGTGGAAGGCAGCAGAATCTCTAACGCAGAGTGGATACCATTTTTTCTCTGTATACACGAATATAGCTGGGTAGGGCATCGGAAAAAACTGCAATATCGTTAGCAGGTTCTTGGCTGTAGAATCTATCACATAAGCACCGTGGTGTAAGACAAAGCGAGAGTCATCATTGACGTTTACCAACGCTGTGGCTGTCGAAAGTAGAGCCCTTGGAATTCCTAGATCGTCGGATGCTTCTGAGGTTCCTTCTTTCGACCCAGGCGTGGCGCTAATATCCCAAGCTATAGCTTGACCCGGAAGAAAAATGGCACGCTCTCCTGGAATATCCAATATCTTTCATTATATGCTTTCGCATTAAAGTCCTCTGGGCAGCGGTAGGACGGCGCGTGGTGGGCGATGTCGTAACGAAGGCCCATCGCCCTTGGTCCGTCGTGTTCTTCTGGGATACCATTGGACAGCGTTTGAATGCCGATAGGCGTTCATTAGGGAGGCTCAAAGGTACAGATTCCTCTGGGACTAAGTAGAAGCACTGCGTAGGAGTTTGGAAATAGTTTGGCTTAGAAATATACCCTGTCGTCATTTCGAGATCAGTCCTGGTCGGGCTAGCCTACGCTATACCTTACTCAGAAGTCAACAACTGACACCCCACCCCAACACCACCACCAATGGCGTCTAGTGCGCCTAATATTGATCAGAGTCCTCTTGCATTGGCTTTCCAATATCCGTTATCGGTGCTTTGCGAAAAGAATGTGCCACCTTCCACGGCGCTGGAATAAGAGATTCGTGAGTTTTCAGCCAATGTAGTTACTATAAGGAGTAAATCATTAGCTTATTTACCATAGTACACTTATTTTAATAGTTTAATACTCTATTTTAGGCTCTACCGTGCCCAAAAGATGAGTTTAATAAGATCTAGCTAATGCTTTACTCCTTATAGTCACTATATTAGTTGAATTTCTGATTCCAGCGCCGTGGGAGGTGGCACATTCTTTTTGCAAACGATAATATATATATACTTGCCACCTTGTCGCTACTTCCGCTCCCATTGGGCTACACTCTTAGGCGTGTACCCGAGGTTCAGGTCACCAACACGCTGTATCGAGTTTGTTTCCTGTGTCGCGTAGCTGGCGTCCCACTGCCATCGCATGCTGAGGATGAGGAACTATGAAAGCCAGCTATTGGCTCATCATTGTATGGGGCTGTGATATCTGTATGGTACTGGTTGTTGACCCCACACATCTGGCATTGTAAGAATGAAGATAGCCAAGACATGCAGCTATTGTAATAGGCAGACTGTATTGACCTTGAAGAGTCAACTGAACAAAGATGACTACCAATTAGTTGCACTATTTGTCCGATTTTCCACCGCTCGACAATTCCTTAGCTGAGATCCGTCTCTTCGATCTCCAGCCCAGTAGACCAAAAGACTAAATGGAGGGACGTTTTCAGGTCTGTAGTGTTGATGACACAAAGTTCTCGTATGAGGCGCTGTCTTATGCGTGGAGAGATATCGACACGGTGAATCGGCTACAGGAACGATACCATAAGAATTAGTAGACAACCGGCAGAAAATTCCTCAAACCGTTCCAATAGCATCATACGCTTGCAACTGTATGACGACGTACGCAGTCTCCGGATCGACGCTATTTTATTAATCGGTCGGACGACGGTGAGGAAACGCATCAGGTCGACATGATGCGACAGATATGCAAGCAGCGTAACCAGTGCGCTACCTGGCTAAGGTTTCTGGGTCTTATATTATCGCGAGCGACAGAAGGTGTTTTGAAGCTGGTCACTTGGATAGCAGGCAGAAGAGATGATCCGCCATCTGTGAAAGACTTCGCACAAGCAACCGATGCCCTCAATACATTCATCGCTGTGGTGGGGCCTCATCTGGACTGTTCAGGGAACACATCTTCCTCCTAAAGCTACTATCTTAGGACCTTCTTGAGATTTCTTGGAATTTTCTACACGAGGCTGCAATAAGGCTTAGAAGGTACCGGATGGAATACCCGGCGAAATCAGGGATAATAGGTCGCTCATTGACATTTAGTCCGTACTGAACGGCCTCAGGTTTTCTTTGCACGACTGCCCTCTCCCTCCATCTCCTCTGTGGTACAGCAGATTCTGTCAGTGACTGACCAAGGAAGTATTGGTCTTGTCCCGATAATTTGAGATCTGGGCAGGAGTTATGGGAGGTGGGTGGCTGTCGGTTTCCGCTCACATTTGAGTCATGCGCTCGGTCAGATAAATCTGCGGATGGAAAGCAGACCAGCTTGGAAGTTGTTGCAGAGGAGCCTGCTTTGTGCATGGAATCATGGTGGTAGGAGCGGTAGAGAGAAGGGTCGGCAATCAGTTGGAGATGCTGTCGCAGTGAGACTCTAGCTGTCAAGGTGGTGAAGCGACGCAAGACAAGGAAGCTGTCATCCAAGGCTACCAACGATGGGAAGTCACAGTATCCGGCAATACTTCCAGGTCTTCCTGTGAAAGTCCTGTGAGACATGTGAAAGCTTAGGGTTTTGCGACACTGCGGATGAGCATAGATAGCGATGATATCTTGACGCTACGCGTATGGTAACTCCTAAGCTAGATAAAACGAGTATGTTTATTTGCAAGAGTCTCTAACTGGGGGCCAGCTCTTGGGGCTATTCAACAAGGTATTGGCTACTCTGGCTTAATTGCAGCTGCTACTAGATTAAACAAGAAGAGACGTTTGTCCCCGCTAATACTCAGTCCAAAGATCCTCGCTACGCCTAGTGAGGCTACAAATCATTGGACTACTTTTCTACCTTAGAAGCAAGTGGATCCACTCCACAAGTCTACCTTAGTTTGCCTCAAAAAAGGCTGGACTGGATCAATCTCAGACCTGTCTTGCCGACATTGCACACCACAGCCGCACTGGGCTCAGGAATGGGTGTTAAAGCTTTCCTTGAATTGATGCCGATAATCAATCAAGGTAAGCCATTCACGCTACCTCTCCCAATCTTCCGATTCATTCCACGGTCAACTTTGTGTCCCCCCCACAAGTGCACATTTCTTGTGCATCTGCTTCAATTCAAGCATATTCTCCCGGATATCGAGGGCCACCTGTGTGCTCTGCAGCAGCTTCAGCTGCATCCTGATTCCCTCCTGGGACGAGACAACGTCGGGCCATGCTCCTTGGTAGAGGTAGATATTGAGTACTTTCCACAGCATATAAAACCTGAGCGCCTTCCCCTAGTTCAGGCGCACACGCTTAGCGGCGTGACTGTCCTCGTCCGCGTTGGTGACTGTCGTAGCTGACTTCGATTCATGCTCCTTCGTCTTGTCATTATCCCCATTCTCCTTCTCTTTCTTGCCATCCACCAACGACCGCGGATGTTTCAAGTCGTGGGGGGCCTCGATCGAGAATGAAAATACCTCGCGGCGGGACTTGTGACGAGCCACTGCCTTGACCTTGTCTTTCGGATGTTCTCTATTGTTGTCCTCTTCACCATCAGAGTCCGCAGCGACGTGTTTGCTGACCGCCTTCTTCATGCGCTCCTCACGCTCTTGCGCCTTCTTGTCTGACAGCGAGAAGACGCTCTCGCGCTCGCGTGGATGCTTCTTGTCTCCTTCCTTCTTGGCTGTCTTCTCCTTGCTCTCCTCTTCTTCCTCGCTTTCTTCACTGAAGTTCCACATCAGTTCCAGCTCGCCGCGGACGAGAGCTGTCAACCACAAGCTTCCCAACACGCTAGGAACGAGGTACAGCAGTGCAGGCTGTGCATGGCCCCAGATATGCATAACACTCAGGGTAGCAAACATGCCTAGAATATACCCAGTTAGACTCGCCTTGAAATAAGTCTTCGGGAACGTAAAAGGCGGCTCGGGCTTGCCAGCTTCTGAAGCCCACAAAGGCCGACCAAAAAAAGAGTGGCTCCAGAAGTGATCACTCCACTTTCCGGCAAGCGAGAAGTATTTGGGTTTCTCCACCACCTCGCCTTTTCCCTCGATGGCATGTGTGCACTTTTGGCGGCGGAGATAGAAGACGAAGAGGTCGAAACGGAGAGCGAGGCCGATCATGATGCCAGGCAGTACGACGTCGCCGAGACCGAGCATTGCGTACTGAGGTTTATCGGACACCGAGTCGGCTGCGTCCGGCCTAGGGAAGACAAGCTTAATCGGAGCGTCGATACTCTTAGCGACGGTGACCATCATGGGTCTGCAAAACTTAGCAAAGGTCGATCTTCTCCAAGACGAGTACACTCACGTATAGAAGACGAAGTAGATGTCGTAGAAGAAGAGTGCGCCCAGGATCAGGCTCCCAGTCGCAAACGTTGTAGGAGACATGAGCTGCAGCGCAGCGTAGGAGAAGCCAAAGCCGATGAGGTTGGTCAAGTACCAAGGCTTGTCCACGAAGTTGAAAAAGGCCCAGACAGCGACAGAGACGACCGCTCCAACCATGCCATGAGGCCCGAGCAGGAACTTGCCAGCGAAGAGACGATGTATGTAGAGACGAAGTGTCCATTTGTTGCCAGGCATCGCTCGGTCTGACCAAAGAAACCTCTTCGCGCCCTCTGAGAGCGGAATGTAGGACAGGAAGCCCGGAAGAGGCGATGGTAATTGTTTCTTGTCCTTGACCTTGCCAGCGACCGGCACGGCTGCCTTCTGCTTCTGGTCTACATGGTATAGCGCACCACTGCGAGCGAAACGGCGAGGATAGATTATGGAATGACCAATGTCAAGGGCGTCTGTGACGAGGCGCGAGACGGCGAAAACGCCGAAGAGCGCAAAGTACCAATTGAGGATGAGGTTCAGATAGTGCGGGTCCTTCAGCCATTTGAGCAGGAAGTAGAGCCCCGCAAGTGCACATCCCGCGAAAAGAGGCATCATGATGGCATCTGTAGGCGCGAGGCCCTCCATCTTATGCTCTTCCTCCCCTCCCTCTTCATCGTCTTCATCGACGTCTTGATCCTCTTGTTTGCTCTTGCGCTTCGTGGGTTTCGCGGCGGATGACGGTCGTGTGAGCGAGGCATGTGCGCCCGCGTATATGGGAAACAACGCCGATGCGATCAGGTGCGTATATGTCGGTATCATAGGCTGGACCTGTGTGAATGCGTAAGCAGCTTGCCCAAGCACGCGTGCCCCCAGGCTGGGCTCCTCCATGGTGGTGAGGGTAATGGCGAGTTCCTGTGGTGCGCAAGATGGGGGCCTGTCAACAAATAGGCTACTGATACGACAGAAGAAAAATTTATGCTCGCTGTGCAGCACAGGCAGTAATTGAGTGAAGGGACAGTGCTATGGTGGGTGAAGAGTGAAATGTTGCAACTGTGGACTTTTGGAAGCAAACAACCTAGGCTGACGCAACTAGTGAACCGCACCTGTGGGAATCTCCCCGCGCCATCCAAATATGCAGGGACGCTGATCCTCTCCCGTACACCTTGGCCTAACACTCGGGAAAGAGAGCCGGTATAACCTCAGAACTTGAATTTAAACATTGGGATGGTTTTCTGATATGTGCAACATTTTTAATTGGCTTGGCTTAGGATCTGATTCTTATCTGTCCCTCAATTATACACAGTCCAGCTATCTGTACCTCACTCTACCCATCCATCTGCTGTCCACCTAAAAAGAAAAGCTATGAGACCGCTTCGTATGCGTCATGAGAGTCGTGTTCGGGATATCTGAAATATAGATACAAGCGAGGAAAAGGCGCCGAAGCGAATCGGGAGGCCCATGGAAACGGGGCAGTCTAGGTGTATAATAGAAGATTACAAAACAGTATGTGTGGGCAAAAGACACGGACAGAACGCTGAGGTAAAAGAAATGGTGTTGAAGTGGAGCAGGCCCGCTGTCCGCTTTCGATATCGAGATGTCGCTGCAAGGAAAGAGCTGTTGGTAGTGTACAGATGAGTGTGGTGTTGCCGTGAGCAATCAACACTGTGTTTGATATTGTCTAACGTTGTCGTTGGGCGCGGTGAAGTCTCGGACCATGTCGAAAGACATACCGTCGACAAGGACGCTCCGCTGGGATTGGACCAGAATGTCGTGCACATTGGCCAGGTCGGCCCCTTCGAATGGTGATATTGCCGGTATGACTTTGTGACGTGGAGGGGTCACCGCGGCTATGATGCGATCCTTCAAATCCGGTACCTGGGAGAGAGGCGTCTTGTGTTCGAAGTAGGATCCAGTTGAGATAGAAGATAAAGAAGGAGCCGACGATGATGAAAGGAGGGGATACTCTCGATAGGTCTGATGACGGGTAGTCCTCGTCTCGTGTCGATGAAGGCTCAGCGCGTGTTTCTAATGGTGCGGGATTGGCTGGGAAGGAGAAGGCCTTCGCAGTAGATGGCTTGTCTTTTGCATCATCGCCCATTGGCGTAGATGAGAAAAGGAACGTCGCGTCATTCGTTTGCTCGTAGTAGCGCAACACCGACGGTGTGTATGAAGCTTTCGGGGCTTCTTGGATGTCTGCGGTGTCAGGCAGTGGCGGTGCCTCGTCATCGGCCTCATCATCCGTTGAGCTCCAGGCGGAGAAGGCACTCCTTGCAGGTGGACGTATACTAGGTATTTCGATTAGACTAGGCGCGCCTACATGGCGCTTCATCGGCACCGGCTTCGCAGGTGACAGAGCAGGGCTCCTTAGAGAAGGGCTCCGCACAAAGGATAGATCGGGACATGACCTGGGTGAGATGGATGTTTCGCCGGGTGTGTATGTTGGTATCGAGTTCAGCTGGGACTGGATGAATTTGGCCAGTTGAGCAGAATAGTCTCCTATAGGACCGGTAGTCAAGGTGGGATTGCTGGATGATTCTTGCAGACTGGGTTGGTTAGGTGCAACAATGGTGGACGTACTCCGGTCCGTAGCATCAGATGGTATCCGAGCGTGCCTAGCGGGCTTGGATCCGGGTGGCGATAAGGCGTCCCTATCAGTAGCTTCTGAGACTACTGGGTGTTGGACGAGGTGACCAATATGGTCTTTCGGGTTGAATGTTTGGATGTAGTCTCTCCTTGAACGACCGCGTTGCCGGTCAGCCAGACGGCTGCGCAGTGCCGCTCTTCCCTCTGCTAGGATAAGTTCGGCTTCGGGGGTGGAGCATCCCAATGCATCCGAGATTGGGAACGAGTTGCTCCTCTTCCTTTGGGTGCTGGGGCGAGGGCTTCGGGCGCGAGAAGGGGGGGACGAGTGTCGGTTGTCCATGATATGTCCGGTTCGGGCAGTGGCGGGTTCAAACAGTATATAGCATGGCCGCGGGGCAGCAGGACCACCGGGATGTGAAAGAACGGACAGATCTAATTGCGATCAACAGTCGGCCTCTGGCTTGTTACACGGGCTTGAAAGGAATGGAAACAGAGAAACGATGGTGGCAGAACAAGAGAAGGAAGCCAGCCCAAGGGCGTTGAAAAGAAAAAAACGGTCGGTCCAAACGGATCTCCCAAGGTGGGTCATTATGCCGGGCTGGGATCTAAAATAGCATGGTGGTTTGCAAGGCGGGCAGCTAGACAGGAGCACATGACGTGAACGAGACTACCAACCCAAGACTCGGTGGTGCCTTGGACAAGGACGCGATCAGGGGTGCATGAGCTCGGCTCGACCAGTTCGCGACCCCGGCTCGCGAGCGCCAGGATAGCGTCGCCAGGTGGGCAGCCAATGGCCTCGGGCAGCGGCGCCTGACCCGGCCTCGCAGCGTTGCTCCAGTAAACGCCGTGGCGGGCGTGTTTTGCGTGACGCGCTGCTGGTGCCACTGCCATCGACCGATGGCCAGCGAGGGCAGCGCCGTGGACGCTTCAGCGCCGTGGAACCGCAGCAATGGGTGGAGGGGCAGTTAGCGGGAGTGTATCAGCACGCGAGCTCAGAGGGCTGAGATGGGGGAGATCGCCACAAGATCATCCATGGCCTTGCTGTCTGCGCGTGTCCGTGTTTCTCCATGGCCGGTGGACCCTGTCACCGCGTCCGTCATGACGAGAGAGCCTGCGCGCAGGCTGCCCTGAGTGGGCGAGTGTTGACAGCCTAAAATTTCAGTGCCCAAGCGATCAACGACTCCTGCGCGTCGTCGTCGTCGTCGGCGTCCCTGGGGTCTGGCATCCCGCGGAACGAGCAGTCTCGACAAGCCCAAGCACCGCCATGGCGACCGCAACAGTTCGGCGAGTCTCGACACCAACCGTCCGCATCAGCGCGACGCTCCGACGGGCAGGAAACGAGGGCGGGCCGGTGCAGCTGGACAGAGGCGTTGGCGCTGGCTTCGTTGGCTGTGCTCTGTCCATGGCGGCCAAATTCACGGCTACCAAGGGTCCCAGTGCACCACCACAGCCGGCGTGGCGGACGAGTTTGTGGCTTCTGCCGGGGGATCCGCTAGCGCTGCCCTCGGCGCCTTTTTGCGCTTGGAAATCAGGAACGCTCTCACCATGATGCATTGCTGGATCCGGCAGCGTCAGCATACGTGCTTAGGCTCCCTGCCGCGGCCTGTTGCGAATGAGGCAGTCGTACATTTCGCGGACGACCAGAGCCCCTTTCAGGCTGCAGCGCTCCTCAACGTCGCTCTCGAGAGTCATAGTCGCGCACTGGCGTTGGGCTGTAGCCTCCGACTTCTATGCGAATGCGAAAGGGTGATGCTGGATGCGTCGACATGGTAGGAGGTGGCTTCCGCCAGCAGCCGGACCGCTGGGCCTGTCTTTGCAGCTGTTTGCGCGTCTGCCAAAACAACCCGAAACATGACAGCCCATCGTCGACTGCGCAACCGTTGGTCGTGTCTACAAGTTGCCTGATTGGGACATGGCGGCTTCCTCGTCAACCGGTCGCACTTTCCCACAGTGCCGCCATCCTTCCGCGCTCTTCACTCCGCCTACGCCCCACTCCATCTACCGTGCCATCTTCTCTCCTACTCATCGCATCTCCTTCATCCGCCCCGATGTATACGTCCGCCCGAGTATAATTCCCGCACTCTTTTCGGAACGCCCTCAGTCTCATGCCCTGCTCGGCATCTCATGACGAAGCACCGCACCTATGTCGCTGTCCACGTGTTTCTAACCGTCATGGCTACGGCTTTCATGGCAGCCCGCTTCGTGGCAAAGCACATTACGGCCAAAAAAGTCAAACTGACCAATGATGATGCGTTGCTGTTGGCCGCCCTGGTAACAACACAGCGTGGAAAGAAGCTTTTGTGCCGAACTTCGGGGGACTGACATTCTCTAGTTGCTCATGTATTCACTCTTCGCTGGAGCAATCCTCGGTATGGTCGTTCTGGCACTGCTTTGGCACAAGTATTCTCCTAATGCAGCCTCGAAGCGATCACGCTTGGTAGTGCGGGCGAGCACGCCTATGCCTTGACCAAGACGCAGTTGGAGGTCACGGCCATGGTCTGTGCTTTTACCGTTGGACGGTTGGAGAGCAAATATTGACCTTGCCAGATTTTTTGGACATGCCAATTCCCGTATGCCGTTGCCTTGACCTTGGTCAGGTGGGCGCTTGTGGTTTTCTTCATCCGGACCTTCTTCACTAGAATCACACTTTCTCGCCTGCGGCTGACAGGTACAGACACCAAGCTAAGCATCTTCCGCTGCTTCATTGTGTTTCCCATTGCCGCTGTCAGAGTAAGCTAATCCCATTAGCATACGCTTGTCTTGGCCTCAGCATGGCTTAGTTGGTCGCTGTGATACTTGTCTACCTCTTACACTGTCGACCACTTCGGCATAATTGGACAATCCCGCTCGAAGATCCCCACTACTGCTACCCAAAAACGATAAAGCCATTTGAAATCGTCAAAGTCGTATGGGGCATGATCGTGGATGCCGTGATATGGTCGCTCCCGCACTTTATTGTTTGGCAGCTTCAGCTTCGGCGCGCTCACAAGATTGCCATCTCCTGTATCTTTGGCATGGGTCTTCTGTGCGAGAAACATAAGCCCACCCATCATCAATGCTGACATGACTGACGTGCCTATCAGCAATATCCTCGTTGCAGTCTTTCGCCTCATCTCGATTATCCGAGTTGACTTTCGTGGAGACATGACCGACGACCTTGCCGCAGCCATGACTTGTATATATGCACAGCTTAGTACTGCAATTATCCTCGCCTGCTGTCCACTACTGCGTCCGGTGTTCGAGAAGGTTATCCCAAGGCGGCTTACACGCATTCGCCGCACCACGTCTTTACCTAGCCGCCGCACATCTCCAAAGATTCACAAGACGACTAGAATTCATGTCCACACCGATTATAGCGAGCCAAGCAGCCAGCCTTCAGGTGTTATCTACGGTCATACAACCGGGGCGCCTGACAGACCCAGATTCGAAGTGGAACAGACCTAGCCTGATTCAAGTCGTCGGTAGTCTTGCTTTGGATCGCGGTGTTGTTCCGGTCGGCACCCGCTGAACAGCAACTACGTAACCTCAAACTTGGTCTGGATAGATTGAGGCTCTTTGTTGGACTCACTTGCTGTTGGATCTTAAGCCTGTTCCGCGACGATGTTATGCCTGGCCATGTACGGGCTCCTGTCAATAGTCTTATACCCTACGAACGAATTCGCCGCTACCCTGTTCAATCCAATTCATGGTCTTCGCAAGTTCTCCTATCCTCAACTCAATGTTCGTGCCCATCTTAGTTGTCAGCATCTACCACCACGAAGCTTGACATCCCCGCGCAGACCATTTGCTTGACCCGCTTACCCTCCAGCGCCTTCACCGGCACGAAAACCTCGACAAACTCCCTCCCATCCATGGCCGCGCCCAACCCCAACGCACCATACTGATTGTCCCCCGCACCCCACACCTCCCGCTTTCCCTCGCTTTCTACAGCAACAAGCACATACGCAGCCCCAACCGCAACATCAACAACCCTTACGTCCTTTCCGGCATCCACAGTCCGCACATACTCATCGTCGTCCTCGCCTTCCTTTGCCAAACAGTGCAACTCCCCCGGCGAACCCGCTGCCGCCTGGCCCCATAGATACAACTCCCCGTCGTCGGCGAGCGCAGCTGTATACAGGCCCCCCGCTGCGATCTTCGTGATGGCGGTTTCTCCAAGGAATGGGACGGGCTGCGGTATACTAGTACTGTGATCGGGATCGCGGCCCGCGGCGCGGGCGAAGCGGCGGTCTGTGGCGAGAGTCTTGACTTGACCTTTTGGAGAGAGGGTGGTCAGGGTTGCGGTGTTGGTCGTGCTGCGTGTTGATGTGAAAATGGTGCGTTTTATCCCATCGGAGAGGTCGTCCTGGTGCTGGGAGGTGACCTCGAGGAAGTTTTGGAGGTGCTGGAGGGAAGAGAATTTGATATTCGTACTAGTCTCTGTATCGATGCCTTGCGGTTGCAAGTGAGCGAACACGGCGTCACTGGCTGTGAAGTGGATGTCGCTGATTGTCCATGGCGTTGAAGCAAAGGACGTCGTCAAGATGGGATCTGCGCCTTGTGCGATTTCCTCGGGCGTACTGAAAATGGAGAGGGAGGAATTGGAAGGAACGATGAAGCCTAGAACGCCGGAAGTATCGCGTCGGCCGAAGAAGACGGGGCATTGAGCGAAAGAGGTGGAAAGCGAGGTCACGGTGGTGATTTGGGCGGCAAGGAGGGATGTACCATAGTAGTAGTAGGCAGAGTCGACTTTTACTGTGTGATGGGTCAGTGACTCCGTTTGGTGCAGCTTGGTACGTAGTGCAATCGGGAAAGAGTTTAATTGGAATTGTAGTGCTGCAGTAGTCCATGTAAAGCTTTGCATCGCATTGACTACATCTGCAGTAAAGTTGAAGATCATGCAATTGTCGAACATAGATGCCAAGGTCTTCTTCAGCTGACTTCCCAAATATTCTTGACGAGTCCATGCATCTGCTCAATGGTTGTTGACAATGAGCAGCAATTTTCAGCCACACTGAAAGGATCACACAGATGGCGCAACAACAAGGTGATGGTGTAAGAGACTTGCGTGGAGCGTACATATCAGATCACACCATGAAGCCCATACTACCTCGATGCTCTTCGCATGCAGAGCGCATGTTGGCGTGGAGAGGGTCTTGACCTCGAGATACGCATGTCGCTGACTGCCGTCTGTGCGTAACGAATTGGGAAATTGATTGTTATGACCGTAGCCGAATACGTAAAGCTCGTCCATGAGTCCAACAATAGGGGAGACTGCGGTCGTTGGAGGTTTCAACCCGTTTGGGGTTGGGCCGAAATCTTGGTCACTGTGGGGCGCGTGTCCCGGTGCTTTCGCGGTCCGCGTTGCAACCTCACCATCGCTCCTACACAGATCGTCGACGATTTCGGACCGATGGAGATGCTTCAATATATTGTGTACCTTCTATCTGCATCGCTGCCCACGGCATCTCCCGCCGCAGAACCCTGACCCGTCGCATGAACAATGACATCATAGCGTAGAAGGGCCTGATGGAAGCCCCAGGAATGTCAAAAGCAGGGCCTTTCCAATTCAATTCTGACCGGAGTTTCACCCCAATCTGGTCCTCAGATCAATGCGTCTAATGCCACACCATGCCCAGCCGCTGGAAAAAGGAGAACAGCGAACCCTTGGGCACGTATCCTGCGTATCGTGCCTGCCATGCTGCCGCAAATGAGCCTAGCGCCTGTGAGCTACTGTGTATGCTGTGTACATCCTTACACCGACACGAATATCTGTGCAAACATACCTTCAACGGGTCCGAGCTCGGCGAAACCCAGGACTTCAAGCACCCACGGCGCGATGGTGACGAGAACACCCACAGCAATCACGGTCACGAACACCGGGTGCTCCTTGACGAACCCTTCGACCGCGACTGCAGCGTCACAGGCCTTGATGTATGCTTCTTTGAGCGGGCCTTGGAGCTTCTCCGCCTCGCCGAGGGCTTGTTCTAGCTTCGCTAGCGCCCACTCCGCGACTTTCTCGGTCCAGCCGTACCCGCCAACGATGTCGTCGAGAGCGCGCTTGAGGTGTGCACCGCCTTTGTCTGCGTGGATCAATGCTTGGACCACCTGCTCGGCCACTTCTTCGGCGGTGCGAGGCTGACGCGGGGTCGCGAAAGCGTGTTTCTGGTCGTAAACAATCGCAGTCTGCGGAAGACCGCCCGTTAGGCAAAAGACGATTGCCTTGTACATGGCAGACATGATAGTGTCTGGAGGTGTACAAACTGTGAGTGAGATGCGAGGAGAGATTGTGCTTGATCTGAATGAAGACATGGAGATATCAAGGTTACACAGACCGGTGAAGGTGATATGCTTGGCAACTCGATCTGGCAGTCGCCAATAAAGCTGCTCGCGTGAGACGAGGACCAATGCAACCGGAAAAATACGAAACATGATTAATCCAATCATCGTCTCATTGGCAAAGCTGTTTTTCCTGCACACTTTCCTAAACAATTACGCATACACCTTCCAAAAACATGCAGCTTACACAATCTGCTGACAGTTATCCAGACCGCACCCATCGTCTCAACATCCACCTCATCATCGTAAGATCCCTTTCCAGCCAACATATTTCAGATGTCTCAACTCTCCCGAGGAACGAGATCAGCCATTCCTGTAGCTTCCCGCCACCCTCTCCTCTCAGTAACCCCTTCTTGGCAACGACAAGCCATTCCTCACTCTTCCCCGCTCCATCTCCTCGCCATCTTCATCATCTTCATCATCAGACACATCATCAAACACAATGCTCACCCGGCTTTCCAGCACGACAATCTCCTCGCTGCCCTTTAGGTTCGCCAATGCCATCTCCGCCCTCTCCCCGCTTTCTACTTCTTGCACCGCTCGCTGCAAAGCTTTCTCCCTGCGCCTCCGGCGCAAATAGCATGCTTCCACAAGGACGGCGATCAATATTAAACCAAGGAAGCCAGCCAGGACGCCAATGCCGATCTTGACGCCGGTTTCTAGTTGATCCACGGGTGCTGCGGTCGGTGTTGAGGCTGGTGATGATGCCGTAGGGGCGGGATCGAGAGTTGTTGAACGGAAGGCCGAAGGGGTGTTAAATGGTACGTTATCGGTGGGGGAAGGCTCGAGAGTGCCAATCGATGCATTGGTTGTAGCAGCTGAGATGGTAGGAGACGGGTTGGTGTGCATGAAGGAGTGCGCTGTGGGCAAAGGGGACTCCAACGGCACTGCTGTCTCGTCTCGCTTCACTGCCTCTCCCATCTGATATGGCCAATTTCCCTGTGATATGTCAGTACTCTACGAAAAATTCACTTGAAGACACACACCCCGTATGAGTCGTCTCCCGGAACTGCGATACCATATACCGCCCACACTTCGTTCGCGAAGAACATCGCCAGCGTCACTTTCATCACCATTGTTCTTGGAATGTCTTATGATAAGAAACAACACAGCGCCTATAGAAAGCAATAACAGACACAAGGATGAGCGACAGCACAAGACGTTATGTTGTAGTAAGTACAAAAGTGAGGGGGAGCGGGGCCGATATACATCCACCGCGTCGTCGTTGTCTGGCAACGACCCGTGTCCGGACGTGTCCTGCAGTAGCACTCGATGTGTTGGCTCTGAGACCTCTCCCTACCTATTGTATCCCATGCAGGCCCCTTTTCCGACCATGTCACACGTGGCTTGCAGCTATGCGTCCGCGACCTTGCCATTACAACCAGTATGGCTTTACCATGAAATTTTGAGAACGCTTCCAAGGTTGTGTGATCCGCATCAGGCGTGTATGGTTCTATTTTAGTCCGCGAAAGTAGTTGTTTGTTGTGATGTGGGGGTTGCAGTTGAAACGTAGCGGCGTCGCCGGACGCGCACTGCACATGTCGCGTAACAATCAACGGGTGTGGCTCCGATGGTTAGTGGTTGTGTTAGCTGCAGCAACACTGGAACCTCAACACAACTATCATAACACGATGACTTAGCAGTAGACAGGTTTTTTCTTATTTTGTAGTTCATTTTTATGTTGATGCCGGGCTATTATGATATGCTATGCTAAGCTATGCTCGAATTGGTCCCAACGGTATCTGTTGATTGAATCCACCAATCGCCTGAGCAATATCTCCTAGTATCAATTTCCATCTCTCCTACTCCACGTGCGACCCAAAGTTCAAGTAAGACCTCGATTCTGTGAGTTCAACTTCTAGCGGATCAACTTCCTCTTGTTCGTTGCGTTTCCACCCTTCCTTCCGTCAGCCTTCTTCACTCCAGCTCCACCCGTCTTCCCAGTGGCCTTCTTCGATGTAGCTACCCCCTTCTTTCCGACTTTCATCTTCTTCTCGTACTCACTCTCCTCAACCTGCTCGAACGCCGTGGGCTCACAGTCTGGGCAGTACCACTTCTCCACTCCCTCTTCTCCCTCATCTTTCGGCGTCTCCGTCACCTCAGGCACACATTCCAAGTGCACCCATTGGTTGTTCGGACATTGCTCCCCATCGCAACCGATCAGCTGGCGGCCATCGTTGTCGGGCTGCTTGCAGCGGCAGTAGAGAGCGTTGGGGTCCTCAACTTCTTCCGTGGGTGCGTTGGTAGCCTGGACCGTAATATCATCGTTTGAGCCTCTACGAGCTTTCTTTGATGGTGGTTCAGCTAGAGCTGAGGTAGGCTCCTCGGGCTCCCTACCGCGCTTCTTGATCGGGGCATGTAGAGCGATTGGAGTGGGTTGCTGCCTGTCAGCGCTCTTGTCGTGACTCTCGATCCGGCCAGCGCGCCGGGACTGCACCTTGCTATTTTTGAAGGGGGGAGCAAAGGGAGTATCTTGGTCGCTGTCAGGTTGCTCGGATGCGTTGTCCGAAACCGGTTCTTGGTTTGGGCTCCTGCTTCGCTTCCGAAAGAGTGTTGCCTCAGTAGCCTCAGACACGTCGGCCAGAGTCTCGACTGATTCGTCTTGTCTGCCTTCTATCGCAGGCGCCTCCGACATTGCATCCCCATCAATCTGCTCATGCCTTGCCGAAGCCTCCTCGAACATCCGCTTCGTATGGCTCTCTTCATCAACCACACGCCCAGAAAGCTCCATCTCACTCTGGAACTTTCCCTCAGTGAAATCACCTTTGACGATTTCGTAGCTAAGACAGGACCCGTTCACAAGGTTGACGATGTCAATCTTATTCTCTTCCATATCAAGGTGCAGATCGTCTTGTGTGCCTTGCGCAAGGGCTTTAGTAAGCTCGTTGCTGGCGATGAGTTTCATGTCGCTTTCAGCCTGACCCAGTGAGGTGTTGAGCTGGATGCGGTATGTCACAGCTGGAGTCGGTGGCTTGGACAAGGTGATGTAGAGACCGAAATACACCGGGGCGGAAGTCATCTGAGGCTTGGGAGCGATTAGGGCTTCAGTATCGGCCTTGCTTTCTTCGGTTGTGGCTGCGTCTAAGTCATTGTTTCGCGGAGGTACTCGCTTCTTGGTCACTGATGGAAGAGCACCACCTTGGTTGTCGACTTCAGCTACGGCTTCCTTCAGCTCGACCGACTGCGCTTCAAGCTGGACTGCTTCCGACAAGGCTACATCTGCGCCTTCGAAGTGGTCGGTGATATCACCGAAAAGGCTGTCGTCGTCAGCGACAGTATCTCCATCATGATCAGGTGACCTGGGAGAAGTGTCGAGGATCTGGATGGGGGCATTGTCAGAGCATTTCCTATTAACATTTGCTGGAACTACCCCGGATTGCAGAAAATCGACGCTGGGCGATAGCGTTGGGTAATTAGCAAGAGAAGCGGACGGAGAGCGACCTAGCTCCCGCTTGATCTTCATGATCTCCTCAGCAGAGTCGACCTGGGCGGGTGTATCTTGTCTCTCACTCTGAGGTCCTGGGGCTGATGGTTGCTTCTCCGACTGCTGCAAATCAATGACCTTGGTACTAGTATCGTTCTTCATTGGATCGACCTGATATCGCCAGCGGAACATATAATCCACGGTGATAGTGAAGTTGCGCCGCAAAGTGTCCGGGAGGATATCCAAGTCCGGGCAAGGATTACCTGCCAGCTTCATCTGCTCCTCTAGCTCTGCCTTCTTGCTGTTTGCGGAGGCCTTTGCATCAGCCCATGCGTCCTGGTAGCTGGAGTAGTCGCGCAAGCATGTAGTGTTGGTGACAGCGTTGCCTGCCATCTGCTGGAGGCATACGCCATAGCGCGAGGGTGGTGATTCAGGGCTGGGCATGAGACTGAACTTGCGCGTTCCTTCGAGTTTCGGTCCAAAGTTGGACGCGAGAGCAGCATCAGGCTGAGGAGGACGACCTTGGAACAACAAGCTGGGGTCCCTTGAAGAAGCACCGTTTGCGACGGGTTGCGGCACATCTTGTGACGGCATGGACAGACTCGTCTGCAACAATGGCGGCACGGGCTGAGGTGATGGCATCTTGACACGGTTCGAGGCCATTGATGCGAGACTTGGATGAGTATTTGCGTATGCAGCTTGAAGTTGAGAATGTGAAAATTTTGGGCGAGGCCAATTAAGAAAGTGTTTGTCGTAAAAGAGAGTGCGGGCGAGGTGAGTTTAGCATGCGAGGAAGCGCCGTCGGCACCAGAAAACAAAAGGCTGGGAGAATTATTGTGTCAAGGCAACAATAAAAGTCAAGTGTGCGGTGAGTGTGAGTGGAAAGAGTGCACTGGTGAAGACGAGAAGTAACACGTTAAGCGAGTTCACTGTTCACCTTAGAATAAGCAAATGCTGAGCACGGAAGTTAGCGCGTAATATAGCCAGACTGTTTGTAGGTGTATCACGCTGAAAGTTCACGTGCGTGCTTCAAGAATATATGCATTAGCTGAACTCAGCTAGAGTGTTTGCGCATTCTCATCGGGATTTTCATTTGCGAATCGAATTCATGCCAATGTATATGTGCACCAGCTGTATGGGCTTGTGTGCGAGATTGAGCGGAGGTCTTCGCAGGTAGGCTGGAAGCTGCCGAGTGAGGATACTAGGCTATGCGACGTCTTGAAGGAGCTCGGAGCATGAAAGAAGGGTTTCATTAGTGGGAGTAGGATGGATGATGCGTTTGTGGGGAAGGCGAAGAAGATCTTGTATACGGCGTAGTGTTTCTTCGGCGACTTGGACATAGTATTGGTGTCTTGACCTATGAGCGGACTGTTGACCTGGGAATGATACAATGATAGGAGCTGTAAGAGTCAAGACAATGGCAAAAGAAAATTCAACTGAAGAGCGAAGAAAGGTCAGGCTTGATATACACCATTATGCAGAGGACTCAACGTGATCACAACAAATTTTACTGCGCGCTCGACCGGATTTCTGCTCGTCGCCTCTCTGCTTCAGCAGTTAGGTTGGCTTGCTCGTCCCTCAAGCGTTGCGCATGCTCCGCGGCGCGCTTCTGGTCCATCTCCTTCTGTGCGGTCCAAACTAGATTGATATCTTAACGCGAGATACCTCTAGGGGGAATACGTAGAACTTACTAGGCTTGTCCGACCTCGATGCTTCCTTCAACTGCGAAACGAAGCTGTCGAACTCCTGCTGTCGGACCTCGCGTTGGGCTAGGGCTCTCTTCTGTAGGTCTGGGTTGTATTTCTAGAGAAACTTCAAGTTAGATACATTGGTTACTTGAGTTCTTTTGCATTGAAGAAGTTGTGAGGTTGAAGGGGCACGTGGCAAATGCAGGCATTACATCGGAAAGCTGACCTTGAATATTTCCTCTTCTGTTGGTGTCACGTACCAGACAAGTGCTGGCCCACCTATGCATAGTGCGGCTCCGCTGTCAGGTGTTAGATGCCGAGTTTCCGAACCATGCTTGAGATACGTACGCTCCGATGGCCTTGATGTACGTCCCTGCGCTCGGCATTTTGCTGTCAACCGAGTGGCTAACCGACGGAGGTGGGTGCGCAATCGAGGCGTGGCTGAGCAGAATTGCAGGGTGTAATGAGCTGAAATGGAATGACGATGGGCCGGCAGTCGATGGTGATGGTTTGGATGAATGAGCACGAGACTGAAAGTCACGACTTCTTACGGTTAGCGTGAGTCACCCGCCACTGTGGCGCAGCCTGTCATCACGTGCAGGGTCGTTCACCTGGGCACGCAAATGCACGATACGTGCTGATAAGTAGCTAGGTGACGACATAGTGGAGACGCGCGCGACGTCAAAGGGATCAACAGGGACGGAAATCTCGGGGAAGCTCCTGTCATTGGGTCCTTTGCACGATCGCCAGAGCCTCTCGTGCAGACAATGCTTGACACGAGTCGAATGCGTACAGGGACGTACGAAGCTGAAACTTGTTGGAGTCTGGCATGGCACTTGGGTATGTTGTGGAGTTGAGTTCAGAGTCTTGCTACGGTGAGATCGTCTCGTTGCTCGAGTACACGCCCTGGCTCGGGCCCCTGTGTGGGTGCCTTAAATGAGGCTTCTGAGAGAATAGCTGGCTTGTTCCCTGAGGCATAAGGCGGGTAGGCGACGCCGCAAATTGAATGCCGCAAGGCCAGTGTGCGCCAGGCATGGCTTGACGCTGATTTGCTGTCTCATGAAACCAGCATCGTCTTCCGGGGTCGGCAGGTCGAAGATCCCAGCTGCTGTGTGGCGTCTGAAACCGCCCACTTGCCTGCAACCCCAATTCTCGGAAAGCTTGCTGCCCATGCCAGCTCACAGCCTTGAGAATAGTAACACTCATTTAGCCCCTTGTACGGTGTGCTGGTCACATTCGATTACCGTTCGTTCATAATTAAAGCTCACCCCTGCCGAGCTGGCTGACATCCCGTTCCCGAACAACGCGCTTCCCCGCCACAGCTACAACAACATTCACCACTAAAAGGCTGGAAGAAGCCCGTTATTGCTTGTCGCTACCATCGCATTCCACGAAGCGACTATTCGAGCGCCAGTGTATTCAAACAAGCCAAAAGCACTTTTTGCGTTTGCTGCCCGCCCGCAGCACCCCCCAACGTCGAACTAGCCTCGCGATCAGCGCGTCGGCGCCTCTTCCGAGGGCCACCGCGTGCCTGCGCCAATGGCCTACCCACAGCAGCAACGACAGCACTACGACGAGTACCAACAGCAGCCGCGACAGCAGCAATACTACAATCAAGGTGCCCCGCAGCAGGGGAGACAACCCGCGGGCTATGATGCCCAATACGACCAGCAGCACGATGCCTACGGCTACGACCAAGGGCAATACGAACAATGGGATGATGGTTACTACAACCACGGCGGGGGCTGGGACCATGGCCAGCAGCGTGGATATGGCCATGTGGCTCAGCAGCCGTGGCAGCGTGGGCCTTCGCAGGACCAGGGCTACGACCAGCAGTATCGCCAGCCACCACCGCAACAACGAGCTCCACAAGAACCAATGGGTCGAGGAGGTGCGGGACCGCTTCCGAATCAGGGTCAGGGAGGCATGAGGCCACCCCAAGCTGGTAAGTTGCAGGAAAGTGTATTTCTCAGGATATGATCACAAGCAAGAGTTCGACGAGTTTCAGGAAAGCGTCTGACCGAAAACAGCAAGAGAACGTCCTCGTATGGCGCCCGGGTCTCCCACAACGATTCCCCAAGATAACCCGTTTCCGACCTTCCCCTCGCAAAAGATCAAGCCACGACCGAAAGCGGGATCTATGGACGAGGCCATGGCATTGATGAATCTGGGTCCGGACAATGCAGGTCAAGGCAGAGGGGATGGGACCGCCACCAGGCAGAGGCCGAGGTCCTCCCCCAATGCAGCAAAGGGGTCCGCCCATGGGAAGAGGAGGTCAACCGGACATGCAACGGCACGACTCAGGACACTACGAGGGCTCCGGGCGGGGCCAGCGACTACCGCCAAACCGCATGCCTCCAAATCGTGGACCACCTCCCCAACAAGGGTATGGGCCTGTCCAACGGTCCATGACCATGCCTCAGAATATGCCTGGGCCCGGAAATCAGAGACGATATGACGATCCCCAGCATCAGTGGGCAGAGCCTGGAGCTGCAGCCGGATATCACGGGCCGGATTCGCCCACCTATATACCTCCTCGTCCCACGACTGCTGGCGGCACCAAATCGAACAGCTATGGACCGCCGCAAGGCTATGAGCAGAGACCGCCAATGCCACAACAAGCGCCCCAGCAGCAGCAACAACAGCCACAATTTCACCCCAACGACCAATCAAGATATTCTCACGAAGCATCACTCGATAATGTGTACGCTGACTACTATGGAGAGGACCGTCAGAGCAAGGCGTCGATCGACATGCCTGACTTTGATGCGATCCAACAACCTTCCGGTGGTCATCGAAGAGGTGATTCCTTAGATAATCATCTCTCCCCAACAACTGGGTCGTCCGCTGACAGTATGACCCGAACAGCAGGCCCTGGTTACACGCAGGCGAACAACTTTTATCAACAAGCTGCAAGGAGTCGATCGCAGCCAGATCTGCATGGCCAGTACAATGCTCACGAGATGGCAGGCGACACCCCTCCGATGCCCGGAATGCCCTCGGAACATGCTGCGTACCAGCCTTCTAACGCGGTTTACCGAGTGGACCGCGCGGTCGAGGTCATGCTCCCAGAGGCATGACTATAGACAGAGCGACACCAGGACCGGGTTATGGTCCAGGTCAACCGCAGAATTATGATCCCAGATATGGGCAGCGACCACCTCCTGGACCACAGCGCGTTTACTCTGACGAGACAACCTATTCTGAGCCTCCGCCCGACGCTATGAGGAACGCCTCGCCCATGGCACCCGTGAGTGCTATCCAGCGACCCGGAACGGCAGCTCCTGCGCCAGGACGGGTTCCCAGCGATCCACTGGGCCGCCGACCTGGTACGACTCAGCCAACGAACCCTGATGCGCTGCCAGCGCACCCAGCTCCTTTTCGTCCTGGCCTGATGCAACAACAGATTTCTCAGACACCGTCACCCCAGGCCGCAAAGCCGCCACCCATGCGACAATATAACACCGACCCAACACCAATGCCAGGTGGTCCTGCCCAGGTGCAACGAAGTGGCTCTGTAAAACACCCTGTAACGCACGATGAAATCAACCGCCTAAAGAATTCTTGGGGTGGCAACGTGCATGACGCCAAGACTGGACTTCAATTAGCGAGGAAACTGGTAGAGGCGGCTAGTGTACTCGCAGATGAAGGTGGAACGGCCGACAACCGTACGCGGAACAAGAATCGAGAGAAGTTCATCAACGAGGCTCACAAGACCGTCAAAAAGCTGTGTTCAGCCGGCTCACCAGATGCCATGTTCTACCTTGCGGATAGCTACGGGCAAGGATTGCTAGGTCTGCAGGTGGATACCAAGGAGGCGTTCACACTGTACCAGTCCGCTGCAAAGGCCGGTCATCCAGCTGCGGCGTATCGAACAGCTGTTTGCTGCGAGATGGGCCATGAAGAGGGTGGAGGGACGAAAAAGGACCCTTTGAAGGCCGTGCAATGGTATCGCCGAGCCGCTGCCTTAGGTGATCCGCCTGCTATGTATAAGATGGGCATGGTCCTGTTGAAGGGCTTGCTCGGTCAGCAAAGACATCTAGGCGAAGCCGTGAATATGCTCAAGCGAGCTGCTGATCATGCTGACGCGGAAAATCCACACGCTTTGCACGAACTGGGATTGCTCTACGAGGCGCAGACCGGCAACGAGCGGATCATGCGCGACGAACCCTACGCATTCTCGCTTTTCAAGCAAGCTGCTGAGCTTGGATATAAATTCTCGCAGTTCCGACTAGGCCAGGCGTTCGAGTATGGGCTTTTGGGCTGCCCGGTCGATCCGCGCTTGAGTATCGGATGGTACACGAGAGCAGCAGCGCAGGAAGAGCATCAGTCTGAACTCGCCTTGTCAGGCTGGTATTTGACGGGTGTGGAGGGTATACTAGGACAGAGCGATACCGAAGCCTACCTCTGGGCACGCAAGGCGGCATGCGCAGAGCCGCCCCTTCCGAAAGCTTTGTTCGCCATGGGTTATTTCACTGAGGTTGGCATCGGATGTCCGCGCAGCTTAGACGAAGCGAAGAGGTGGTACGGAAGGGCTGCTGGTAAGTCGACTTCACTTGAGCAAATAGGAAGGGACAAGCTAACGCGTGCATAGCATACAAATTCCCCAAGGCGCAGGAACGCCTCGAAGAGCTCAAGAAGGGCGGTTCGAAGGTCCAGATGAAGCGCGAGCGGTTGAGCCGCACGAATCAAAAGCAGCAGGAGGAAAATTGCACCGTGATGTGATGCTTCTTTGGCTCGGGCTTTATTATACCCGCTCGATCTGGGATCTGGAGCATGTTGCTTTCCACATTACATATCAGTGCCCTTCTGCATCTATTGCATCAGCGTCAACGGTGTACGATTATTCGGTTTTGCAGGTTTGAAAGTGATCGTGTCTTGTATATCTTGGTATGACTATCTGTTTGTGCGGTGGCTATGTATGATGATGTATGGCATGAGCAAGTACGCGCAGAAAAGATACCAGAGCATCAACGCGGGATCAACCGAAGCAAATCCGGTCGCGAAAATCGGTGCACTAAGACGTAAAGTAGCGCTTTGGAGATCCCAACAGCGGCATAGATGTAAACGATTCAGCTCGAGCCATACACTTGGTGGTTCTGTTACCAGTTGAATCGCAAGTTGAAGATCTGGCTCTGAGTTGAACCTTTCTGGTGCCCTGGAATCATGCTGCTTCTCGATCTTGAGCGCGAACTTATTGGGGTCTACCCATGCATCGAAGAGGCTCAACGCAAGAGACCTCTTTACCCAGTTGTACCCGCCGCGTGCCGCAAGAGCAAGTGCGAAAGCCCCCCAGATCATGCGCGTACGCCCAATCAAAACCCAGACGGTTCGTTGGAGGACAACTTCTTATACAATTCAGGCGCGAGACTAGTACGGATGGCGACAGATTTCTTCCATCTTAACATCTGCCCGAGGATCTACTTGCATCGGGTCGGCCCGATGGCCTCCGTCCACCCACTTTACAGTGTCTAATTCATAAGTGCGCCGCGACCGAATCTATATGAAGTCGATCATGAAGCCATGTCAGGACTTCTGTGGCTATTACATACATCAAGCCCATCTTTGCACTTGACAGCTTATTCCATAACTTCTTCTTGATTGATGCAAAACGCGTCAATCCACAACATTTCATTCGAACCGACACAATGCTCAAGAAACCGTACAGGTTCTGTCGGATACGCAGCTTTCGACCATTCATCAACATTATTTTGATTTGCTCCACATGTAAGAAAGACATTGTATTTCGGTAGCTCTATTGGTGATAGATCGAAGTGAAACGTGTCGACATGAAACATCCCTTAGTCACAAGCGGGCCGCACCTTGAGAGGCCGAATCATGGATGATCATTCGAGCGGTTGACGTTGGAATGGTAGAGACTCATTGTGTGCTGAGTAGGAATTTTCCTTATGGAAGCGCTAAGGTGGTCTGCCGGGCTCTCTCGCCTTTAGGTTAATCTGAATTTGAAATTCTAGCTGGTTCTATAAATTCTTTAGAGAAACAATGATTCAAAAACCACCGATGACTGCCGGTAATTTCGCATTCATATGTTGCGTGACGTCACCGCACGGTAGCCCATCACGCTCGTACCAAAATGACACATTATCTCTTACTTTCCTGCCTCAATTGATGCTTGACAAGGGCAGAGTTGAAATAACAGCTCTGCAGGTCATCATTCGCAAACGCTACAGGACCCGTAAACAAACTGACATACTTACGTACCTGTCGTCATTCAGATTACACTGGCATACATTGGACGCTCAACAAGCCACATCTAAGAAAATGTATATTTCAGGGCTGGAAGTGTAGCAGGCGAATTAAGAAGAGAATGAGCGGGCGTTTTCTGGAGAACGAGCTTGTATGTGCTTACATTTTAGCATCTTTAATTGTTCTGGTCATGCTGGAAGAGCGCGCAAGATCAAATCCACACTTTTGTAAGCAAACATTTTGCGAAGGGGCTTGAGAAGCCTTTGATATGGCTAGCTTGGGAAAGAATGTTCGCGAGCAGGCGAAAGGCTTATAGATACATTCACTGCTGCACAGTTTCCAATTTGCCTCAACAATATAACATACGCACCACATCGCTTTACCGGATAAGCGACGCAAAAGCTTACTGTTACCTCAAACGAACCAAAAAGGTACATCTAGATGTGTCAATTTCGATTTCTCCATTGCAGCTGCGGTCACCTCAAGAAGTTCCTCAGGGGTGTGGCTTGTTCACAAGCTCGCTTTCATGCGCATTCGAATGGCGTTCCCTTCAATTGTCCAGTAGCCCAAATCGAGCACATTAATGTCCCAGGCGACTGTCGCACTGAAAGCGCCATCATGGCCTGCCAAGTGGTTCCACGCCTTGATCCTGCGCAGCGTCGTGTGCTTGAGCTTTGTGACGAGCGGGTTCGCAAAGTTCAGGCGCAGGCTTTGGAGACGTCTCGTCGCACCATTATTGCGTTGTCGATGTGGTCTGGTGGTCGTACATTCAATCCACGTACTTATCCTTCTAATATGCAACCTGTCTGGGTAGGTGGCTTGCTCACACAGTACTGGGACGAACTCCGCATGATGGACGCTGCGTACTTTGGCATAGAACATGCTCACTGGATGCTGTCTACCATGATTGAGACGTGTCAAATAAACATTTTGACTAGATATGACTTCATCACCAATAGGGCTCAGATCCTTGCATTCCCACATGTTGCGAGAAACCTCGCTAATGTCATCCTCATACCGATCGAAGACTGGGCTAGGACTGTAGGACCTAGGCTCCAGGAAGTGGCTCATGCTATGGAGAGTCTGGGTGCGATGATCATCGCTCGAGATGCTGGACGCGGCCGTCATGTTACCGGCACCGGTCACCCTATGACTTTGCCTATCCGAAATGCTCCTCGGCACACTCCAGGTCAGAACATCCAGTCTACTCATTATCAAGCCGCCCAGGCCTCCGGTACCCAAGCTTCTCAGCCTGCAAACAGCCAGGCGACGCATATACTCATTGCGGTGCAGCCTTCCCAGGCTACACTCAATGAGATCAACGAGATGATTGAGATGCTCTCTCGCCAACACCTTACGAACTGCAAGCTCCCATAGGAAGAATACCGGCATGTCCCAAAGCTATGATTCAGCAAATGCCTTTCCCACATGAGTTTGAAATGGAAGATATTGCCCCAGGAAGGCTTGCAAAGGATGCAATATTAATCAAGTTGCGATATTATTCACGAAGGCTATCTTAGCCCTTGACACGGATCGTTGTCGTTGGTCACACGGAACTCATGCGAGGATTCGAGCACCTATTATATCTCCATGTTCCTTAAATCAAATTGACTCAGGCTGAGAAGATCAGCATATGCTAAATGATGTGGCCCACCGTAATGCAACTAGAGTGTTTGGTGTTGCGTGAAAATAATCTGATCCGAAAGCAGCAGATACCCAAGATAGTTGGGTGAAGACTTCGAAACCGCAGCCTAGCAATGAGACCGGTGAGAGGACCAGTGAGGGCTCTCATATGAACTTTAACGTGAACGCCGACATTACAGTATCAAGCCCTAATCTTTAGACACCCATTATAAATTACGTTATCTTAGGACTCATCGCTTCATATTTCACTTCCCATTGCTTGTTTAAGTAGCAAGCTTACAGCCGTCCTTCATCATGATATCGTCTTAATAGACAAGAGCAAGTGACATTGGACGACGGACGTGATCAAGTACAAGAACGAAGAACAAGCGACTACGAGTTTGTGGACATCGAGAACATCTTCAACATGTTGATCATCCAACACGTTTATCATCCAACACGTTTATCATCCAACACGTTTATCATCCAACACGTTGATCATCCGATCTACACGAGTAGGCTCACGACTTGATCGTCAACACGATGTACTCGAAAACATCGCGATTCAACGTGTCTTTGGGGCTTCTCTTGAAGGCGCTTGATCTTCACCTACTGTATTGTTTTCCGCTGCAATCCTTCGTGCCTCATGGCTGCCTCACAACGTTACACAAACCTAGGCGCTTAGCGGGGTTTGTCTATACAGCCCCCACCTGGCACAGCCTGGCACCTGAACTGACATACATCAGCCGAGTACTCGCATGGGCATTTCTTTCCGTCACTGATAAACTCTTCTTCATTAGCATGCGACTTTCCTGTCTACACTCTTACCTTCTTCTCGCAGCACTCGCACCTCAGCCTCACGCCATGTCATTCCTCCCAAAATCAGCCAAGAATGTCACTCGAGCAGCCGTAGGCGCAAAGGATTGGGTCATAAAGAACCCCAAAACAACAGTTGGCGTCGTCGTCGCCCCCGCCGCAGCCGTCGTAGCCACGCCCGTGGTTCTCGGCGCAGTAGGCTTCGGTGCTGGAGGAGTGGCCGCCGGTACATACCTTTGTCTAGCTGGATCGAGACCGTCTTTGCTTACTTATCATAGGGTCCTTAGCGGCGGGCATACAAGCAGGCATCGGAAACGTCGCAGCAGGAAGTGTCTTCGCTGGTCTTACGAGCGCGGGCGCCGGAGGTGCGGCGCTGGCAGTTGTGCAGGGGGTTGCGGGTAGTAGCGCGGCGGCGGTCGCGGGAGGAACGGCATATGTTTTCAGAAAAAGTAAGATCGAGGATGAGGATGTGAAGGAACAGGGAAAGTAGGGGAGAGATTGCGGGGCATAAGGCTGAGGGCAGGCTGCGATGGTAGTTTCGGCAGAGCGTTGGGATTTGTGTATGGTCTACATATGAGATGTATATGGCCATCAAGTTTTGGTCATTAGATTGTTGTCTTCTCGTTCCGCCAGCCGAAAGGTCTTTGAGGTTTAGATGCGACTCTTTGCAGCGCCTTCATGTACTGCCTCTCTAGGATAGCGTATAATCTCTTCACGCATTGTTGAAGAGCTGGGCCCGAGCTTGCCAATCGAAGTGAATTTCATGGATGGCATATCACACGACAAGGGGTGTCGGCCCATAGAATTTAGCATCCAGAAGCAGACACGTGACCGCACAATGTCCATCGGCGGTAGTGAGCATACCTTTCACTCCTATGCCATTAAAAAACTCTCACTTCTTCAGCAAGAGCATTTCTCTTCTTGCGCTTTTGTTTAGTAAAAGTCGTAGCACCGCACACTCTCCACTGCTCTCTCCACTCCCAACTCTGCTCGTTCTCAACCAACTCGACTGATCAGCAAAATGCCATCCTTTCCTCAACCAAGCGCCAGCTTGCCCACGCAAAAACGACGGCCATTGCACGCCACAGATACCCGCGAAAATAAGGTCCTTGGATGGCACAAGCAAAACTTCACGAATCAGCAAAAAGCATGGCAGGCGAAGCATAATGTCGAAGCTCCTACTCTTCCTCGCTCCCATCTGCCTCGAATGGATAAACCTCTTCCGTTTCATCGACGGCAGACCGATGATCGAGGAACGCTGAGGGTTGTAAACCCGGATGCTGCATCCACGCGTCAACCATCTATGGACCAGCTGCCTTCACACGTAGTGGCTGACAGTTCTGAGATGGTGTTCCCGGTTTCGAAGTCACGCGTCATGAACAATAGCATCCGTCGAAAACCGCTGGCTAGCGAGGCTCGTGACGAATTATCCTTCAACCTCCACCCAGCCCCACCCCATGCCCCCAATCTACGGTCGGCGGAGCGTACACCTTCTATGAAAGCGTCGTCAGACGTGCCAGTACCCTTGGCCGCGGGACGAAAGATGCGAAAGCATGCCGCAGCATCTTACTCTAGCGCTGTAAGTGATCCCGGCATGTTGGGGATTTCCCTGGGCGTGTATGACTTCCGAAGCAGTCTTCCGGCAGAGCTGCAGCCCAAGGGGCCGCCGCTTCGGTGGGACCCAGAGCCTGCGCCTCAGCTTCCTCCCATCGTGCCAGGGGTGACTCCCAACTTACACGAAGATGTTGATCTGGCTAAGTTCATGACGACTGACAAGTCAAATCTTCAGCCGTTCAAAGAGAAGATGCCCCTCGCTACAACGATCGTGAGGGGCAATTTGAGTAGGTTTGTGGCAAAGTAGATGTGTGCCGCTGATGTTGATTTTTTTTGTTTGCTCGCCGTGTCTTGTCTGAGTGCATCTCGTCTCAACCATTAGATAATATCCCATTGCGTCTGGTATTGTTCGTTCATATTTCGTCACACTCACACCACAATCAAATTCCAATTCAATATCCACTTGCAATTGACAATAGCATGAGTGGTCTGGTTGTAACGCATCCATCCGTCGACTGTTCTGATAGTCATGGCGTGGGATTTCTCAAGATGTTCCTTGGCTCCGATCGACAGGTACTGCCCCGATGGCCATGACGACCTGCCCGCCGTGGAAGCGCTCGCTTACGTCGCTTCGACGAGAGGCGCGCGCCAAAGCGAGTCTCAGATCAGACATGACGTTCTCGACCACGAAGAATGAGCTGAGGCTGATTCAGTGTCGCACAAGGCTCGTCGAGTGCAGCACCATTCCAGGCGGCCTCAACTGCTGAGAGTCCAGACTCTGCTCCTCGGTCGTCTGGGTCATGTGGCGGGTGTCAGGCGGCGGGTGTCGGTCGCCGAGTAACGGGCGGTTTGGGAGCGAGGTGCTACGCAACGGGGTGGGTGGGACAAGCTCGCGCTCCGACGACGATCAGGTTCGTTTGGACGGCAGCGCGTGAAACAGACGGACGGGGGCTCCTCGGGGCTGGCACACGTGCTGCGGGACTCGAGCAGGCTGCAGGTTACGGCGACACAGGGGATATTGTGGGTGACGGAATCAATGCATGCAGTGACCAGGGCTTGGGCGGGTGGTGGAGACGCCATGGGGATCCCGGGGAAGGGCGCTGGCGATGCGCTGATAGCTGCTGCTAGCTGCTAGGCTGCCCGCTGCCCCAAACGCTCCACTTTAGATACGACCGCATCCGCATCCGCATGCCAGCGCCCACGCACACACACACGCAGACGCACTCTCCGCAAGCACTCGTCTCCTCGGCAGCGCAGATGCTGGGCCCCCGTCTGGCCGCCGACCATGGCAGAAACCATCACCGTCAAGTCGCCTCCGCTCTTCCTCAAGTCTGCAGATAAGAGCCCGGTACGCGGGTCGAAGCCGGGGCAAGTGCGGAGCCCGCAGAGGCCGGCGGGGAAGGAGCCTCTGCAAGCAGCAGTCGCCGGGCCCAATGCCGTGGTCAAGCGCAAGCAGACCAAGAGCCGCAACGGTGCGTGTTGTTGTTGTTGTTGTTGTTGTTGTTGTTGTTGTCGTCGTCGTCGTCGTTGCTGGCGTTTCCTTTGACCAAGGTGGGCCGAGCCGTTGCTGATAGTCCCTGGCGCTGCAGGCTGCATAACGTGCAAGGCGAAGCGTCTGAAGTGCGACGAGACGAAGCCGACGTGCAAGCAATGCACTCGACGGAGCGTCGCGTGCGGCGGCTACAAGAAGGACTTCAAGTGGCGGCCCTTCGAAGACACCACCTTTGCGACCAAGACCACCGCCAGGTCAAGAAGAACTCTCCTCGCCCGACCTATGCCCCCGCCCCATCATCACTTTGCCCACCATGCACCGCCGAGCTACGACACCCACCGCAACGCCTTCTATCCACCGCCTTACCCGCACCCGCACCCTCACCCGCTCCCAGCCTTCCCGGAGCCCTCGCAGGCCCTCATGACCAGCATGTTCGCACTACCGCAGCATCAACCGTACCTGCTAGCGCCACCGGCCATGTCTCCCGTGGAGAGCTTTGCACCTGGTTCCGAGAGCACAAACAGCGTGTTCGAGGCAGAAGGTGCCGACACGCGACCCAGTAGGACGACCCTTGCGTCCAGTGTCTCGTCAGGCCAGTCGCCACGCTTGGTGGATCTACTGCTACCCGGCACAGACCTGACAAACTTGCCCGAAGAGTACATATCGTTCCGCGAGCAGCATGAAGCCTTTTATCAGCCCACCGGCCTCACGCCGCCGCCAGATGCAATGGACCAAGACATCGAGGACATACCGCGCGACTTCGACCAAGACGACTGGATGATGCGGCTTCCCTCGCCTGCCCCGTCCGACTCGTCTGCTTCGTCTACAGACACAAAGGAACTCACTCTCTTCGCTCGGCCACGCCTCTCCATGACATCGCCCGAAATGCTGACGCGGCGGTTTGACCAGGAGACGTGCGGCATCCTGTCCGTCAAGGACGGCCCTACCGAAAACCCGTGGCGTACCCTCATATGGCCGTTGGCGCACGACTGTCCGGCCTTGTACCACGCCATGCTATCCATGACATCGTTCCACCAATCCAGGGACTCGACCGCGCTACGCATCCAAGGGATAGACCACATGCGCACCGCCGTTCATGCACTAGCATCTGGCATAGAGAATATGCGTGTCGATGCCGCCATTTCCACCACCATTGCTCTCGCTTTTTCAGAGTCGTGGGACCAGCACATCAGCACGGGCATAAATCACATCAAGGGCGCCAGGGTGCTGATCAATAAAGCCCTTGTGCAACACAACCGCAACCCCGTGCGCGGCGAGGAACTGACACGCTTGAAGTTCCTCTGCAACTCGTGGCTTTATATCGACGTCATCGCCCGGCTGACCTCTGCGGATACCGATGAGTCGAGTGATTACGACAGTGTCTTGGACAGTCTGCAGATGGGAGAAAACGATGCGTGCCAGCTCGATCCTCTCATGGGCTGCGCACAGACGCTATTCCCCATCATTGGCCGTGTAGCAAATCTCGTGAGGAAAGTGCGACGGGTTGACACCAACAGTTCCACCATCATCTCGCAGGCCATGGAACTGAAGCGACAACTCGAAGGCTGGATGCCGCCTTCATACATTGAGGACCCCGAAGACGAGACCACCAGCCCCCACGACTCCATAAAGACGGCAACAGCATATCAGTATGCAACGCTATTGTATCTACACCAAGCAGTACCCGAGATACCTTCACTGCCTTCTGCAGTACTCGCCCAAAAGATTGTACGGGAGCTCGCCACGGTCGACCATCGGTCACGGTCGACCATTGTGCACATCTACCCCCTTACGGCTGCAGGTTGCGAACTGGTAGACCCGGTCGATCGAGAGTGGATTTGCGACCGCTGGGATCGTACAGCTGCCCGCATGAAGATCGGTGTCATCGAACGCTGTCTCGAAGTCACCAAAGAAGTCTGGAGTCGCCGCGATACATATGCAGCAGAAGCCGCCCTGGACCAGGAGATGAGCGGCAATATCTACTCTGCCACGCCTTCCCTGAAACGGCACTTTAGCAACTCATCCGACGATTTCGACAACGCGGGAGACTTCTGCTGGCTCGAACCGGCGGCGAAAGCCAGAGCGGTAGAACCCGTCTCCACACTCGATGCCGAAGGGGAGTTTTGCTGGATAGATCCCGCTCCTCGCGAAGCCCCACGGCGCGTGCCTGTCCAGTCGGCAATGAGTGGAGGTATGCGGCGATCAGAAGTCATGGGGACGGAGACCCTGCCGTATGACTTCACTGTCAAAGGACGTCTGCACTGGTTAGGCGTTATGCAGGACTGGAATTGGGAAGGTCAGATTGTGCATCGGTGTCAATACGTGCTTCAGCTAACCCGTCGCAGTTTTATTGGGGTGATGGCCTTGATACCTCTTCAAGTCGATGCCTTGCAACTCATTCGACCTGCCATCTCCCCCACCGTGTTTTTTGTATTCTTACACCTTCATCCGAAAGCGTTGCGTGCGAGTTGCTCCGTTAGGCGTTTTACCATATCCCTATCTTTTTATTACGGCTTTGCTTCTTGAACTTCTCGAGGAGCGATCTTTTTCTTCCCTTCTAGTGTTTTGTTCCCTGGCTTTTGGCAGCGCTATTTCCGATTTTCGTACACTAAGGAGTTCATATGGGACACAGGTTGGGTATGGGCTGGGATAACACCTGGGCTGCATGAGCTACTGGTGTGATTGGTTTGGGCACTCACGTTGGGTCTGGCATGAAAATGGGTTGGCTACAGAATCTGGAGTATACATGGATGCACCTACGACATATTCCTACTTCGTCGCAACATATCGCATAATAGTTTTATTGGTCCACGTTCTCTCACCTGCTTTGCTCTGACCACATGACCGACCAGGCTTAGTGGATGATTCTACGTGGTGTAACGCAGCAGCGCGTCCGCTACCGGCTGCGCTGCTCATGCTACTGTGGCGGTGTGTCTATGCGCCACTACGACGCTGGCGTCGGTATGGCAGGTGACAGCCTTGTCTTATACCTGACAAATCGACTATCGCCACGAAGGCGGCATGAACACTTGTGAGTCTATAGTTTGCCAGATGGAAATAGCCTGCTTTGCGATCATCCTCAGCTGCTTGTGTATTGACAAGGCTGGTAGCCTGCACAGTCCATTGCAGCCAATGGCTTCAGCGTTGTCGCCTTTGCTTCTCTACTATTCATCCCAAAACGAATGTACCTGCATACCGTAGGCTGAATCACGGCACATGCATTGCGAAACGTCTTCATCGTTCCACAGCATGTCGATATATCGTTCTACTCGAGGTGTCCCCCTTATCGATCTCCTAGAACAGCATACAAAGCGACGCTGCAACCCTACCACGGAAGCGTACATGCTCGCGATCAGCCTTGCCGTCTCTTTCCTTCTACGTCCGACTGCACGTTCCCATGCTGACTGTTTACGCGAATATGCGAGGAGCCTCGAGTCCTGAAACACGTTGCTCACGCTGGGTTAGGAGTACGCTAAGAAAATGGGATGTCGGGGGTGACACGATGGACGTGTACCTGCATTGCATGACTGGGGTAAGGTTACATTATTCGTTTGATGGATCGCTGGTGATCAATGTGTGACCCATGGCGATCATTTACTTTGATAGTACCACTGAGAAATGAAAATGAGCGCCTAGTGAGCTGAGATGTGCTAGCGGCCTTGAGATCCGAACGGAGATGGACGTAAATCGGTAGGAGTCTCTGGCGTATCAAGAGCGCATTGTAACTGGCTCAGGTGACGTAGGCATTCGAGCACTCGAGCATTCGCTGCTGTAGAACGCACGATTACCGCCTGTAATGAGGCTGACTGAGGATAGGACGACAGCCGAGCATGATGTGACCGGGGAGGTATAGACGCAGCCGGCGGTGGAACTCATGGTACTATGCTCGGGAACAATCGGCCTAATGCGATGATCCTGAACCAATCACAGTCAAGGGCACAGACGGACAAATGTTGAAGCAATGCGTAATTATGTTGAGCTGAGCTACGTTAGATGCTGAGCTGAATGCGCCTTCTAGCCGGTAGCGGTTCGTACAGCAGAGACAAACGAGCCTGAGCCTGCAACGCTCAACAACAGCTCATGACACATTGGTGGCGTTTTCGCTCAACATCTGTAGAGCAATGTGTGCTTCTGCGCCACTGCTCGCTGGACGAGTTGTGTGGAGTACAGTGACCGCATAGTCATCGGGTGCGACTGTGAAGGCATGTCGTGTCGCTGCCGCACCGGGTGTAACGAACCGCCATCACGGGTTTCTTCGCCATCAACCTCGTGCACCGGGCAAACATGCATCCAACACGCATCGGGCTCAAGGCAGAACCTCTTTCCCATCCCAATCCCAGCATTTTCCTCTTCCTTGCACCCCCACATTCCGAACAACTTCAACCAACCGCTCAGCTACCCACTCCTTCTCAAACAACTTCTCCTTCTTCACGCCGCCCCAGAATTCCTTGCTAAATTCCGTTCTCACCGTACCAGGATGAAGCCCAATGGAGATCGCTCTGTCCCCTGAGGCTGTCTTCAGATGGTTGTCGAAAGTCTTGACAAGCTGGTTCACAGCAGCCTTAGATGCGCGGTAACTGTACCATCCGCCAAGGCGGTTGTCGGAGATGCTGCCTACGCGGGCGGACATTACCGCCATTGTTGAGATGGGAGGGAGACCTTGAGATTCCTCTGAGCCTCCGAGCTCGGATCTCTTTTTCGCGAGAAAGGGCGAGAAGTGCTTGATTATTAGCATCGGGCCGACAGTGTTGGTGCGGAAGGTCAGCAGCGCGTCGTCTGCGTTGATTTGGGCTGGGGACTTTTCTGGGTATAGAATTCCTGGAACGACGAAGGCGAGTTGTAGTTGCTGGGAGGGTGTAGCAAATTTCTCTTTGCATGCTGCGGCGGCGTTGGCGATTGAGGTTTCGTCTGTGAAGCTTAGTCGGAGTGCTTTGCACGTGCATCTAGACATGGGTGAACGTACCCAAAACGTCGAGTTCAAGCATAGTCAATCTATTGTCATCCACATCTAAACCTTCTAGTAGTTTTATTCTTGTGCTTGCAAGATCCTTTCGTGCAGTAGCTACCAGGGGTGCTTTTGTCGTTTGCAGTATCCTCCTAGCAAGGGCGAACCCGATGCCTCGAGAGGCGGGAGATACGAAAGACCATGGCGTCATCTTCTGCTGAAGACATTGATTGTGGACGACATGTTGGAATTGGAACGTAAACAGGAGTACTCGGAGTCTACTTCGGATTAGGACACGATCGATGATGACATCGCAACCGGCTAGGGCGGAACAGGTTAGCACGAACCCTCCAGAAAGCCCTATATTGAACGAATAATTCTGATCCCTTCTCACCATATGCCACGTCTTCAACGGAAGTCTACACGTTACCCGTTTGCTACATTCCTCGAACCTGTATCTCGCTTCCATCGTCCTGTCGAATAGTGCTTGGGTGTCGCATCTTGATTGAGAGCTTCGTACGTTGGTGGCCTGAGCCAATAGGTGTACTTCCTGTAGGCTCAGTACCAGCTCCAATCTCCCAACATCGTTCTGCCGAGCGGGGACATGGTCCTATGGCCAATTTATTGAAGATCGCCGATATACTCTGAAGGGATTTCTGGGCAGAAGCAGCTTGCCTTGGCTGACACATAACCTTGTGGTGGCACCCAACGATATCGTATGCTCAGTGCATCTCGCTGTCGCCACATGTTGCGGTGCGGAAAAGAGGAGGTAATATAAGGGTCGAGCTGAAAGAATATCACCGTTACCTTTCAGGCGAAAGAACCGGCAGCGGCGAACGCTCTCGCCGTACGATCGGAATTGGAACTCTCTATGTATACATGGTTCATTATCAATGGTCGCCTGGTTCTATCGCTACCGTCGTTTGCAATTGCGCCTAGAACCATGGACTACCAAAAACCATCCGGTCGCGGCATGTAGTGAGCGGAGTCGAGAGAAGAACCGAGGTGAAGGCGAAGATCCATGTTTATGCAGGCCTGATGCCTGCGATAAGCTTAGCGCCAGCCCACAGATCGACCTCACGACGTCTCCACAGACTGAGAAACTTTTCACTTCCCACCTACGAGTTGGCATCCCGATTGCCCTTTGTGGAGCATTCAAGTTGGAACAGAACGCTTCTATCGCAGAGATGGGGGCCAATTTCTGGCACGTTGCCGCGATCGCAACCTCTATGCTCGGCGCATCGCTCGTGCATGCTGTCCCGGTATTTACACCAATGCAAAGCTTCGCGTCTAAGTAGTTCTCATACTGATCGATGGTATGTGGTAGTACTCACCGAATTTGCACAAGGGCACCGCTTTGATCCTCATCGACATGCAAAACGACTTTATGTACGCAAGTTCGGGGTACAAAGTGTGTTCAGGCTAGCCAGTTGTCTAAGACTCAGACTCCAGGCCTTACACCTCTGAGTCTGAAATCTTCAGGCAGTAGTGGCGGGCTAGAACACCATTTTCGCCTATTTCCCTGATTTTGTGGACATTACGCTGACTTTGTACCCCCACTTTTAGCAATGGCTCGCTCAACAACCCCCGTGCTCCTTCCATTTTACCAAACGTCTATAAGTTGCTTGACGACCACGAATGGCCATTTATCGTAGCATCGCAAGATTGGCATCCTAGAGGTCATGTTTCATTTGCATCAGCCCATCCCGGGTCGCAGCCCGGCGGCAGCGTACAGGTCCCATTCATTGAGACGTCTCTGAAGGTAGAAAATCAAAGCCTTTACGCGGATCATTGTGTGCCAGGTACATGGGGTGCTCAGCTTGAGGGCGGAGTACAGTCAAGGCTGTGGGACCTTGAGGGATACCGGGCGCCCGTTCACTACATCAAAAAAGCTCAAGACCATAGTGTGGATTCGTACTCAGCATTCGCAGACAATCAATATCACCGTTTCACGACGCTCCACTCTGAGCTTTCTTTGCACAGCATCACCGCATTCGTCATCGCTGGGTTGATCACGAGCGCCTGCGTGAGAGGGACGTCCATCGATGGTATCAAACTGGGGTATGAGGTGATACTCATCGAGGATGCGACCGAGAGCATCTCCGCTGAGGACAAAGCCAAGGCGATCGCGGAATTGAAGGGCTGGGGTGAGTGAAGTTTGCACAGCTACGTGGAGTTGAAACGCTTACGTTGAGCAGGGGTCCAGGTGAAGAATCTGACGGATTGGGAAGCTGAGAATCCTACGGATCTCAACGTATAATGCGGAGAGCCGAGTCAAACCCTAGGTAGGAAATTATATCTCAAGATACGTCTAATAGCAGCTCAACAATCTCCGAAGTTTTCAGTCTCATGTTCAAAGACTTTCGGCTTTTTCGGAACCGTCGCTTATGTTATTGAGGGCTGACTTTTCCTTGCTGTTGCGTAGTGAATGGGGACCGAAGAGCCCAACATGAAGCCGTGCCCGAGTGTGAGTGAAAGCACTAATTAATCTTATAGTGCGAGTTTCCTCGTCCAGACGCTTTTGATTCGCCCCCACGACGCTAGGAGCCACACGTCGCACCGCCACACGACTACCCGCAGCGAACGTACGGCCGTATCTTGCACAGCCAGTCGTTTCGAGGTACGTGGGAGTTCCGATCACCGACAGGCATCTGCAATCTTCATACCGCTTAAGGTATCGCGTCTGGACTTGAAAGCTGTTTCCAAGGGTCACGCGACAGGGATGTGCCGATGTAATAGGAAAATCGTCGACTCGTTGCCGAATGCAATGGCGTTCTTTCGGCCCCCTCTCCGCCCCTGACATTTATAGAAAAGTGGGACCATCACATAGAATGAACCGTTTAAGCCGTTTACCGCCGGGCTCGAATGCCGTACACTTTGTACTTAATGTGACGATCGGCGCTCTGCTTGGGCGCTTGTGAAAACACATCTCAACGAATGCCGATTAGATTCAGGATAGCCAACATGAACCGCTTGCCGACCACTGTCCTGACTCTGCTCACAGTAGCAACCACGACGTTTGCTACACCGGATCCCATATGCTCGGGTTTATGTACCGGAACGATTCGCGACCCTGCAGTCCTTCGTCGCGACGATGGGACTTGGTTACGCTTCACAACTGAAGGAAATTTGCGCATCGCAACTGCACCATCGATAAGCGGCCCTTGGACTAGCAAGGAGGGCGAGGCTGGCGCGATGCTCCCCGGTGGCTCCATCATAGACCTCGATCCCGACCAGCGCTTGTGGGCACCCAATGTGTTTTTCAGCGATGGACGCTTCTACTGCCACTACAGTGTGTCGACCATCGGCTCTCAGAACTCTGCGATCGGTGTCGCCACCAGCGTAACGGGCGAGTCTGGCAACTGGACGGACCACGGCAGCGTCGACTTGCCGGCCGACGATCGCTACAACCGCATCGACGCGAACTTCTTCCGGGAATGCGATACGTGCACGCCGTACCTAAATTTTGGGTCGTCCTGGGAACACCTCTTCCAGACTACACTCACGTCCGATTTGTTGAAATGGAAAGGAGAGGCGCCAATCCACATCGCGAGAAATACCTCATATCCGGCTGTGCCGCAAACATATCCGTCGATCATGGAGGGTGCATTCATGTGGTGGTTGCCGAACGTGAATGGACACAAGTACTTCTACTTGTTCTTCTCGTCTGGCGCGTGTTGCAATACGCCAAAGAGCGAGGAGGGTCTCGAAGCACCTGGAGATGAGTACAAGGTCATGGTTTGCAGAGGCGAGAGCGTGACTGGTCCTTTTACCGATAAAGATGGTAGGAACTGTTTAACAGAAAATGGTGGCTCCTTGGTCCTCGGTAGCCACGGCGATGTGTATGCGCCGGGAGGCCAAGGACTGGCCCACGATCCGGATGTCGATCGTGTTGCGCTATACTATATGTACAGTGAGTGCATCAAATGGACGAGATAAACGAATGGTAGCTGACAAGCAACAGTTAATAAAGCGGATGGAACCTACAAGGACTTCCGATTTGGGTTCAACTGGCTCGACTTCTCTTCCGGTTGGCCCGAAGTTGTGGAGTAACAAAGAGACTATCTTACATTTGCTTTTGAAATATGACCTCCCATTTTCTGATACCATTTTGAATCACTGCATGTACATATTACGAATTTGCTAGGTCGGTAACAACTACTAAATAACGTCAGTGCATCTATTGATATCGCGATCAGTTGTGGTACACAGGATTGCCTTCAACCCATCCTACAGGTCTACAGCAGTACCAAGTGTCCGTCATGCCATTCTCGTCGCCTCTTGTGTTCTGCTCCACACTGGCGTACAACGTCCATCCATTCTCCTCAATGCACCCCAACAGATCCAAGAACATCATTCGAGTCTTCAGCGTGCCGGCATTGATCACCGGATCGAGGTACGGCGACCCTCTGCGCATAGTGCCAGTGAATTTAACCTCGCAACAGCCCTCCACCTTCTCATGATCTTTGAACTTCATCTCCAGCCTCTGCGCGGACAGATGCTCCAATACGCGAAGGCATAGAGCCCGTGGCGCATCCACAAAGCGGAAGTTGTTGTATTGAAACACAACACTGAACCATTCTTGCGGTGCCGGCGCTGGCATCTGGTGGCGGAAGAGAAGTGTGTCGGCGTCCCAGAGAACTTGGGAGATGTCGGTGCTTTGCATGAGAACCCATCCTTCGCCATGCAAAGTCCTCAAGAGCGAACAAACAAGTCTCTGCGCGAAGATTGCTTGTTCCCCCGAATTGCGATCTAGAGCGTTGCGTATTGAGCCTATTCCGAGTCCCTCGGGGTTGTCTCTATGCACACCCCATGGATTGCCTTTCAGTTGTAGCTCTAGAAGCTGGGTTGAGACTTTCTCGAATTGGATGCCGCGTGTCCATACTGATAGTATCGTGGCGCGAAGCAGGGAGTTGAGGGCCGGTGGGAAGCGCAAGAACTGGATGCGATCGGCGTTGTGGAGAGACACGGAAGCGAAGCGTGTTCGGAACGCTGGCGACATGGGTCGGTTTACATGTTGCGCGGGAGGTAGGAGAGAGGGCGAGGGCAGGGGCGAACCCTGGTAAACCGACGCGTGCGGCTGGTAAGGACTTGATGGGGCGCGCTGGCGAAGGGAGTACTGTGCAGCATGCTGCTGTGGCGATGCGTTAACATTGGTGGCAGCATGTTGGGATATGGACGAGCTTGGTGTGTGACTGGGTACTGCTTGTGGCACCGGGTTTGTTCTATTGGATGTCGCTGGGAGCTGTGGGCGTTCCGGGGGAGGCGGATAGTAGGTTGCCGAAGGATTCGTATTTGACGACCCTGGCGGAGGAGGAAAGTAAACATTTGAGTAATCTGGTAGTCTATCCATTACTGCAGACTAAGCTTCTCAGGCCAGACTTGATACACTCCTTGGCCATCTCGACTGTTCATGATGATATATAACTCTCACTTAACCACCGCGGACTACATATCTCGCATCTCGAAATAGACGCTTTTCCAGACTGCACAAAGTCTTTCTCATTCCTGCCGTTCTAAGTTGGGCACCCGTGGCATTCGCTTGAGCTATAAATACACCGACGTGCCTTATTAGGAGGCGCAGTCGAACCCCATCGCGTTAGCGTTGCTCTGTAAAACGTGAGGGACATAATCCTGGCGCTTGTTTCGAACGCGAGATAAGCGATTCAAACCATTCGAGATGTATGTTTCAGATACTGCTCAAATGCGGGACAGCGTCAAAGCATGTGGAGGCGTGACGATCAAGTTAGCAAAGATCAGCCTCGCCGAGCGTTCCCTTGTTCTGCCCAATCTTTGAAGAGATTTTGATGAGCTTCCTAAAAGTAATCAAAGCTTGATATGCGTTGCTAGTAATCGCGTGCGCGAAAGCAGATGCTTATGGCAACGGCCTCTTGCGCGTTCCACGGTTTCCTCCCAGGCATGACCACTCGACAACAACCGCACGTCAAATCACATCTTCTCCCACGAACGTTGTCCAACAATACGTGTTAAATGTTCTGAAAGAGAACGTCCTCTTGGCGAGGTCAACAATACAATGAAAAGCACCTATACAGCATGTCGGCAAAAGTACTATCGGTGCTTTGCGAAAAGAATGCCCCCACCCCTACTATGGTACAGCTCCCTATTTTAATTAACTGTATTACCCATAGTATATATCTACTCAACAATTAGTTAAAATGCGTTAGTACACCTATTTTAATAGCTTAGTGCCCTATTTTAACGTCTACCACAACTAGATCTAGCTATTCAACAGATCTAGCTAGCATTCAACAAGATCTAGCTAGTAATAGAGTGAATGTATCATACAACTGATAAAGGTTGGGGATCTGTACCATAGCCGGGTGGGGGCATTCTTCTCGCAAACGATAATAAAGTAGTTCAAACGTATGCGCATAGAATGCCTTTTTGTCAATATGCCAGATCAGAGCAATTGGTATTATCGACCTATCAACAATCACAAGTTCTATTTCATCTCACTGAAAGAACCGCCTTGAATCCCCATCGCCACTATTTTCATCACATTGAATTGGTTATCGACGAATTTTCACGAAGTACACTAACCGTCTCTATCATACTGCTGGTGCAGGATCATACAAGAGGCTGAAGCTTAATAACGAAATGACTCCTCAGCTCCCAAAATAGCGTTACCTCGGAGCGAAAAGGACTATAAAAAACAAATATTTGAGCCTACTCTACGAAGAGCAGCTTCACAACACATATTTCGATGTCGCTCTAGCTTTGGTCTAGCTTTGGCTCTTAGGCGACAGGCGTCCCGTTCTTGATGACGAAGATATGGGATTTCGTGTCGATAAATGTACCCTAACATGGCAGCTTGCCTTCACTCACGACATCGTCAACTTTGCCATCGCCACAGACCGTGCGATATTCGATTACCTCACTTCTGTGTTACGGGACAAACTCAAGCACGTCTCTTTGAAACCTTATGTCGAGGCTGTCATTCGATATCACCCTTGCTTAGAGGAAACATCAGCTACGCGTGCTATCTTAACGAAAGCTGGAGGCTCTCGAAGTTCGTTTCCGAGGCTCACTGTCATCTTCTGTGTCATGCAATATGGGCTGCCCTGCGCAACGGCGAGCCAGAGGTCCCAGCAGTCATCATTCAGCACCTCTATCAGTTGACGACCCCTTTATCGATGTGTACGGCGTGTAGCTGAACTGCTACAACGAAATGACATACACCTTCGCCAAGGACTGAATGAACGCAGTGAAGCAGTAAGCGCAATACGAGTTGATGTGGCCGCGCTATTGCCGAAGGCGTTCTTGGGGTCTCCTACACAATCTATGCTAACCCCTAGGGTCATCTGGTGATGGAAGCAAGATCGCCAGCACCACTCATCCATCGCCTTACTCAGGTACCTTTCATACGCTTTGGCGGACTGATAAGAGGAACATGCTTTTACAGTACTGTCGGCGGTACCTTGTTACGAGGTTTGGGAGTGTATCGCTCAGGGTGGATAACACAAGGTATCAGAGCTTGTGGTAGGCCTGTGGTCCATTTTCTTCTCTTGGTTCGTTCGCATCGGCAAAGAAACACGTTGGTCATCTATCGCCCACTTAGGCGGCAACGTAGGCATGCAGAACGTTTCCTGAAGTCTGTTTTTGATTACATGGGACTGTCCTCGCGAAAATACCTGTTCTCATTGCTGTGGTTTGGTAAAGGCCTTTATTGCATCGGACTAAGGCGTCAAACCAAGCTCATCAACAGGATGGTACACAGAGCGTCAACTGCACCAATCAAATAGCACGCATCAAATAAAAGAATTCTTGAGATACTGTCAATCTGTATCCCATATGATAAGATAGTACTTAAGCATACTCCAACCTCTCTTCAGTCCATCCAGGTCTCAGATACTCTGAGTCAAACCTGGGGCTCCAGCTGCTCTCCAGCACATAGTCTTGCTCCAGGTTAACATCCACCCTGCCACCCTGTTCCGTTTGAGCCCAAATACTGACCCCAAGAACGTTGTCGCCAGCGTAGTTGAGCACACCAGGTGGAACCGGAAAGCGGACCTCATTTCCAACAGATGGGTTGAATCGCGCGTATTGATACCCGTTGACGAAGAGCTGCACGCGAATAGCCTTCGATGCTGGAGCATTGAAGACAAACGAGAATGCGGCATCAACACCCTTGGGCACGTTGAGCGGGACGACAGTGCGGTAGAAGTGGATACCTGCTCCTGAGAAGCCCGTGGAAGGCGAGCTGGAGTTCCATTTCGAGTCATCAAAGCCAGGGAGATGCCAGCCCAGACGTTCAGCGGTGAGTCCGCCTTCGCTCAGAGGTCCGCGCACAGGATCGATAAGTTGCCTTTCGCCGTTCACTTCACCCGCAATCTTCCACTTCGTGAAGGAAGAGCCTTGGAGGGTTGCGCCAAGGATACCGCGCGGATCGGTCGCACCACTACGAAGGTCGTGACCGGTGTTGTCTTGTGCCACGAGCAGGACGTTGGTGCCATTGCTGTTGATCGTCGCGTTAGTGAAGGGAACAACGAGGCTACTCTTGCCGACAGTGGAATTGCCGATGTAAGACCCGACAAGCTGACCGTTCATCCATGCAGAGAAACCGAAAGCCATGCCCCCCTGCAGGGTGAGGTTTACACCTGTAGCAGAACCATCGAAGTAGCCACGGAAGAGGTGGAAGCTGTTGTGGAAGCCATAGTCGTCAACGTAGAGCACAGGCAGGGTCAATGGTTTGGTAGGGTTCGGCGTGGTCTGGTGATTGGCTTCCACCCAGGCTGGACCGGAATCATTGTACCCCGCAAGCTTTTCGGGAAGACTGTCACGGACTTTCCAAGAAGCTAGAGACGGAAGCTTGATATTGCTCTTAGAAACCCCGATGTTACCCGTGAGACTTCCGTACGCAGTCTTCGAGACTTGAATCTTCTTTCCGTTCCACGTAAGAGACTGATAACGCTTGGAAGCAAAGACTTCGATGGCGGTCGCGTTCAGCTCGTCGCCTGTAAGTTTCAACGTGCTACCCTCGGAGGTCACATCGCGAACCAGATATGGTCCCTGGACGAGAACTGTCGCGCAGTCAGAATTAATGTACAGAGAGAACGCAATCAGGAATTCTTACCAGATCTGTCGACAGGTCCGAAGGGGTCCTCAGAGAGATTGGGGGCCCAGAAAAGATAGGCAGTGGGCCTATCGACGACGATAACCCTGACATGGTTATCGAATTGAAGTACGTTCTTTCCGTTCACTGCGATCAAGCTCGCTGCGACACCTTGGCGATCTTGGTGGAATTTGGCCTTCGATCCACTCGCACCTTGGACAGAGCCCTTGCGTGCGCCCTTTACGTGAAATTCTGCTGATTCTCCTGCTGGAACCCACAAAATAACCGTAGGATTTCCGTCAATTACAGCATATGTGAGAATCTCTGCGGTTGAATAAGTCAGGCTTTGCTTGCCGATGCTAAAGTCTGTCACAATGATCTTAGACTGATGACCGTTCAGCAAGATGGTTCCGGCGTGCTGCGGAATCGTCAATCTCCCAATAGATGTGTTGACGTTGAGCTTGAAAGACTCTTCTGTGCCCGAAGACGATGTCGAGTGAATTGTGACATAGAAAGCAGCGTTTGTGTTAGGATTTCGAAGCTCACTAGTCGCAACGGCTGCGTTATCAGAGTAGGAGGTGCTGTTCGCTAGTCGATTGGTCATTGTGAGGTCCTTGGCGACTCGGGTGAACAGAGCGAGGTTCTTTGTCTCGTAGTACTTGCTGCCGATGCGTCGATTCTCGCTGATTGGGCTCGAATAGTCGTAGCTGGTTGCGACGACTGGGCATGCGAATGCTCCCCAGTTGGTTCCGCCGTACATCATGTAGAGCGAGATTGCTGTGACGCGCTGAGAAATCAAATTGCGGTAGAACCTGACCGAATATCAGTACTGATTATCACGGCACGCTCGGGGGTTTGTGTTACAAATTGGCAAAGTCAGCTCCAATATCAGCGGGGCAGCCACCCTCGGGCCCGCCCCAGGGATTGTATGATCCACCCTGGAATTCGGGAAAGAAGCTTGGCTGAGTAGGGCTAACCTCTTCGAAGTGATCAAAGTAGTTGATCACCTGGTACGGGACGTATTCGCCGTTGGTTCCAGTGCACTCGTCCAAGTTGCAGCTCCAGCAGGACGGGTAGCTGTCAAGACCTGCAACGTCAACATTGCCCGTAGCATTCGGAGCAAAGTCTTCCGACCAGCTCTTGGTATTCAGATTAGGGTCGTTGTGGATCAGAGGTACATCAATTCCATTCTCCCGTGCTGTTTCTTCGAGCGACTGCATATAACGCCCGGCTGCGGCATTAGGCGTCTTCGTGTTGACGTCGCTCCATTGTTCGCCGTACTCATTCTCGATTTGGTACACAATGGCATTTCCACCGTTTGTGATAAGGTGTTTGCTTACGATCTCAGAGAACTTGGAGAAGTACGGTTTCCAGGCAGCGGTGTAACGAGCATCATCGTTGCGTAGGGTTCCATAGGCTCCGGTCGTCAGCCAGAGCGGGAACCCACCCGCATTGGCCTCAGCATTGACGTAGGGTCCGGGACGCACGATCACGTACAGACCGACACGCTTCGCAGTCTCCAATAGTCGCTCGAAATTGTGAGCACCGGTTTCGAAGTCCAGCGTTTGCTTGGTGGCGCTGTGCCAGGCCCAATTGCCGTAGAAGGCAACTTGATAAAATGTCAGACTCTGGCAACAAGCTCCATGGAAGAGACTTACAAGCGGTGAAACCTGCTGCCTTGATCTTCTCCAATAGATCGTCCCAGACTTCAGGTACAGGGATCCTCCAGTAATGCAATTCGCCAGAGTAGACGAACAGGCGCTGGCCGTTGACTTTGAAGCTATAGTGGTCCCATTGGACTACTTTGTTCAAGCCATTGTCGTGAAGCGGATACTGGCTAGGCGTGTCTGCTTGTGCGTGTACACCAACGGACGCGCACGAGTCCAGAAGGGCCAGCGCCGTGATGGCACGGAGGAGCTTCATTGTCGCGATGGCACAGCAGCTGTAGACTGGCTGTGGACGCCATTTTGTCGCGCACCCTCACCGACGCCATTGCGGAGCTATGCTCCGATCCAAATTGCAATGCAGGTACTAGCGAAATAGGGCGACGTCCCAAGGTCGATGGCTGCGGGGACTCCACGGTCACGACGCGATGAAATTGGTGGATTTTCCTCGCCGTCCCGCTGTCCGGGAGAATGCAACGGCTCACGCGTGCGAGACCGGGGCAGGAAGCACCGACCCACCCGTGCACCAGGGCAAGAAGGGCCGAGGTTGCTCGGAAGCCAGGTCTCTGGGATGAAGTGGACGTCGACGATGGAGTCATGGGGGCGACGGCCAGGGCGGATGCATCTCCTGAGGTGGCATGTTTCCCGTCACTAACCCTGCACGATTGCACCATGCTTGCCAGCCACACGGTAATTCTCATCGACCACGAACAAACTTCGCACTCGTGCATCTCATTGGCTTTGGACTCGATAACTCATGGTCTGAAGACGTTCAGGAATCCGTCCATGTGCCCCGCGCCGGCCATTCTAGATCGTATCCGCCTGGCTTGCCACAATACGGGTACTTTGTGTAAGAGAATTGCGCAGCATGCTTTCTGAACCTGTAAGAGTGTGCTGTTGTTGTATATTGGTCGTCTTCATTCTCTTATGAGTCTACGTCGGAGAAGTCTTTGAGCTTTTCTTCATCGTTGAGTGCCGTGAAGGCGGGATCCCGTTGGTCGACCATCATTCACAGGTCTTTGAAACACCAGCGACACACTAGGAAAGGAAGGCTCTGAGTATAAATGGATGTAGCGATACTCGTACCATTGCCGCCAAGCGCCCCGCATCAACGCCACTACGCGCGAGAGATCTGAGTACCGTGAAGTCACTGAAGTGTTCTCGAAACCTGACATTCCAACCGATAATTGGTGACAGAGCACGAAGAGGGAATCTTGCGGGCCTAGATGTATCGTAATGAACTTGAGCATCAACCCAAAGAATTTTTCACGCGACAATTGAGCGAGAGATTCGGAGTGACTGGGCGGTACAAGCGTCCTTCTCCATACTCGTGACCGCATAGTGCGATGCCCAGCTTCCTTTTGCGCGAGCGTATCTAGGCACATTCGTATCTGCATGATAACGTCGATACCTTCTACATTAGGTAGAACCTCAGACCTTGAACCTCATGGTATGTCGAATATCATTCCGCCTCGCAATCTGGCTTGGGAACACTTCTTTAGGATGGCTACTAATATAAGGCTTGGGTGAAGCCCATGCCTTCATCTGGACGCGTGTGCTATACATGGGCCCGAATGCAGATTAGCGTACGTATGTTCAAACGCAAGCGATCCCCGGAATCCTTTCGCCTTCTGCTTTAACACTAGCACTGCTTCATCTAGCATCTCAGGCATACTTTCGCAACCTATGCAGGACAGTCACGATCATGAATTGTCCGCAATCAACTTCAACTACTTGACAGCTGAGGGCGTAAGATCTGGCCCCACTCTACCGGCCCGAACCGCCCGCATGTAATGTAGACACTCGGCGTGTGCCTCAAGACTCGTGCACGACATTGTCTAATGGATCTTCCACCGCATCTTCAGCTCCACCTAGGAGGCATAACGCTCTCTGGCCAAGTCATGTATCGCAGCAAAGTTTCGGCACGCATGCGTAACCCCAATTGTTGATAGGACTTGGTCTTGTTTCGAGTACCACACGTATGGTGTTGGAGTGAGAACACATGAGTATTTGTCTGAACGATTCAATGTACTGATCATTAGTGAGCTGCACAACGTTCCAGATCCAAGCTTTTCCCTGAGTCGTCTGTGATTATTATCGCGATAGGAGCTGATAAGTCCGGATGAGAGAAGTCACGGCTCTAGTCGACGACAAATCTACCAGACATTCAAAATTAGCCAGAGTTGTATCAAAGTGTTCATCAGAGGTCAGCAAAAATTTACTGCGAGCAAAAGAAGGATGACGTAGCAGCCTTTGGTGCGTATCGTAGCGCAGCCGAAAGCGGCAGGTTACGCCAGCACACGGTCAATGTGAAGGTCTGTTAGAAAGCAACAACAATCTCGCTTGCGGTTTCACCTTTTCCAGGGCTATGCAGGGCTCTAAACTCACACAAATGTGAGCACATCGCTTCCCAAGGAGCATGCATTCCAATCTTCGTCACGAAATCGGATCTACCGGTGTGGAACGCTAAACGGTTTTGGCACCCAAATCCGGGGTGCTTCCGCCGCCAATCTCGTGCACACCAGGGACGCGATACTTTCTAGGCAGTCGAGGCCTTGTCTCGTACATACTAAGCGCATTTCCCGCCGTTCGGACATACAAAAAGACCCGAAGATTCGTACATAAGTCTGCAAGCCCCGGAAGTCATTGCGGTGGGAGTAGAGTTGACGCTTTGTAGATTGCAGGTTTGCATTTCGTACAACCCAATCAAGAAGGAAACGCGCGTCCACGAGAATATGCATCCAGAGGAGAAGGTTACGCTCCTTAGGCATATTGTGTACGAATACTTATGATCAACATGGTTCGCCAACGAAACGCGCTCCGTTCCGTTCCTTCGACGGTCCACTACACGAAGCAAGAATGCGGCTCAATATTGGGTTGACGATCACAACCGGGCTTTCCACAGCCGCGGCAGTGACTCTGGAAGAGCTATGCACGACAACCTACGCTGCTTCCAAGCTCCCAGCTGCCGGCACGTATCAGGGAATCACGATTGACCAGAGCTCCGTCATCACCACCCTTACCTCCAACTTCGCAGTCCAGGATAACACTTTCTATGCCGATGCGACAATCTCATACTGCAACATCACGTTCTCCTACACGCACGATGGTCGCGATGATCTCGTACACGTCGCTTACTTCGCGCCCGACCCCTCGGCCTTCCAGAACCGTTTCTTGGCCACCGGCGGCGGAGGATTGGCCATCAACTCTGGTGCTTCGTCGGTCTCGGGCGGCGTGAGCGTTGGTGCAATAGCTGGATTGACGGACGGAGGATTTGGTAACTTCAATACGCAAGCTGATGCACACTTCCTTCTGGCAAATGGGACCGTAAACTGGGAGAACGTGTACATGTTTGGGTACCAGGCAATCCATGAGATGACGGTTCTTGGGAAGGCTTTCACCAAGAATCTGATGTCTGTGTCAAACAGCACTAAGCTGTACGCGTACTACCAGGGTTGTTCGGAAGGTGAGTACTCTTTTCTGCACGTTAATCTCAAGGAAATGCTTACTCTCCACAGGTGGTCGTGAAGGTTGGTCGCAAGTGCAGAGATTCGAGGAACTCGATGGGGCGAGTGTGGGTGCGCCCGCCTTCCGCTACGCGCACCAACAAATCCAGCACTTGTACAGTAACGTTGTCGAGAATACTCTGGATTACTTCCCGTCGCCCTGCGAGCTAACGGCCATTGTCAATGCGACGATCAAATTCTGTGATCCTCTGGATGGGAAGAGCGATGGTGTTGTGGCGCGGTCCGACCTATGCAAGCTCAAATTCCACGCCAATTCGACCGTTGGCACGTCATATTATTGCGCTGCGTCCGCTGGGGGTGGCGGTGGATTCGGACCTGGTGCAGGCCAGCCAACGCCAGAACAAAAGGGAATTGTCAGCGCAAAGGCAGTCGCGGTTGCTCAAACAATCCTTGATGGCTTGCACGACCTGCAAGGACGCCAGGCGTACTTCTCCTACCAGCCGGCTGCGACATTCGCGGATGCGCAGACGAAGTACAACAATGCGACTGGAAAGTGGGAGCTGAGTATCAGCGGTTTGGGAGGCGAATTTGTAACTCGATATCTCTGGTTGCAGAACACATCGACACTGACGAGTCTGGATGGCGTGACGTATGACACGATGGTGGAGTGGATTTATGATCTGTGGCAGATGTACGAGGATTCACTCCAAACGACCTGGCCGGACCTCTCGCAGTTTCAAGCATCGGGTAAGCGGAATTTCGGATCATTCTGAGGTAGTATGGGCTGACTTCAGCAGGCGCCAAGGTCCTTCACTTCCATGGTGAATCCGACAATTCTATTCCAGCCGCATCCAGCGTTCGCTACTGGGAATCCGTCCGATCCGTCTTGTACCCATCGCTTTCGTACAACGAGTCTTCCATTAAATTGCAAGACTTCTACCGCTTCTTCCTGGTTCCCGGAGCGGGACACTGTGGCGCGAACAGCGGACAACCAAATGGTGGATGGCCACAGACGAGCATGCAGCAGCTGATCGATTGGGTCGAGAACGGCGTGGCGCCGGACTTGCTCAATGCGACAGTGTCCCTCGGCTCAAACAAGGGACAGAATCAGAAAATCTGTATGTGGCCATTGAGACCTATGTATAGTGGAAATGCGACGGTGCCGGAGTGCGTGTATGACCAGGAGAGCATTGATACCTGGCATTACGACCTTGATGCGTTCAAACTGCCAGTATACTAGTCGATGTTCCTTAATTTTCAAGGTAGGCTGGAAGTGTTCAAAACATCCATGCAAAAGAATAAAATTGAAAGTCTTCTGAAAGTACCTGTCCTTTGTGTCAAGACGACGAGCCGCTATAAGCTTCCCAGCTGACTGGACATCGAAGGTCAATAAGAGTACCGAGTATTCTAGGGTTACTCGCTCTACACTGCGTGTTCAAGGTTGTTACCTAATATCGCATGGCCGATTTTTACAAAGGCGCAAGAGCCTGTCTCCATGCACATATTGCGCTTCTTCTGCCTGCCTGCCCCACACCACGCACCGACACAAAAATCGCCAAAATAAAAAAGAAACTCGTTGTCGCTTCTGTGGATCGAACACAGTCTACTATTGGTCAGTTCATTCGATCTATGCAATGCACTGCGTGCAGGATCCTGTAACTTACACCTCCAGATGTCATTGTTCATTGCGAACCGAAGTTTGCCGCCGAGGCGGATTGCTTCAGTCTGGCGCTCTCCCAAGTGAGCTAAAGCGACTGCTTTACCAACTGATGACTAATCTGCGTTTGGTTAAATATTTGTCTCTCAAATAAAAGCACTGCGTAGAAGTAGAATGCGGCATAGCTTGCGGAGCTCATATTGTGCACTAGCTTGTGTGTAGCGTCGAAAGGAGAAAGCGCGCTTACACTTGTGACTACACCCGCTTGTATAGGAACAGGATCGGCTATAAGCTTGTAGACCAAGAGGCATTTGCGAGTCAGTCAGAAGACTGGGTATCCTAAGTTGAGTCGCTCAATGCGTTCTCAGAATTGTGATCTAGTACTTTATCGCCAACTTTCACAGTGATGTAAGAGACTACCTCCACTCATCTACACTTTTGCTAGCACATTATGCAAAAGTTCGAAATCGAGTGGAGGAACAGTCACGGGCTCAGCCGTAACTGCACTCAACAAGCACGTAAGTTAGCATACTAACTCGACACCAGGAAATGAGGGAATCTTCGAATTTTCGCCACTCAATGCTGTCGAGGATAATAAACTAATTCTGTGCCATAAAGCGCAGCACACCTGAATTCGCGCTATACTAAGCTATGAATGATCTAATCTGCACCCGCCGTCTTCGTAGTCTTCTACATCTACGTTCTCGTCCCAAAGAAACTTGAGATCCTCTTTTGGAGATGGATCTTGTGGAAGGCTCAGCCCTAGTCGCTGCGTCTGTCTAGGCTGCGTAATCAGAGCATAATACGGAACAGGTGGACTAAATGGAACATGCAGCTGGCTCAATGCGGCCTTGCCTATGGCCTTGCTTTCCGTTTTGAGCGATTCAGACCACTTGAACAACCGTGCATCAACGCTGACTATCGACTCGCTTGCCTCATCGGTCTCCTTGCCCACCTCGCGATCGAGCTTTGTAAGGACAAACGGGTCTGGGAGCTGAGACCAGAAAATGTTCCGCAATCACTTGCTTTGGAAACTCCAAATCAGCTTGCTATGTTTGCAAAGCGCTGGCCTTCTCGTCTTCGTCACTTTCCTCCCGCGGAGACGAGTCCACGGCCTCCGTCTTCTTAATGCATAGTTTGAAGTAATACAACTGCTCAGCCTCGCTCTTCTGTCTTGCCTCGCCTTTATCATCGGTATTCATGAATTGATGAATCAACTGGGGGGTCTTGGCTCGACGCTAAGAGCGGGTCGGGTCCGCCAATGGATGGACATTGCGACGAGCTTGGCTTTGCTTCATGTCAGCTTTTGGATCGTGCATATGCCGGACTACGCTCAACGAGTGCGTCTTGTTTGACTAATGCTTCTCCAACGTCCATTTCGACGGATTTAGAGGCAGCGGGTTGGTCAGTGTGGTCTCTCTGTGTCTTCCTTTGAGATTTTGCATTGATTCCGCATTCTGACCAGGACTGGCTGTTGTCGGGGTGGAAATAGCGCGTCGATTAGAAGTACCACAGTTCGTTCGGCAGACCCGGTCTCATTGTTCAGATTCCTCTAATAATCACTTCGTTCAATTGGTTCTCCACTACGCCACTCTCTCACGATATAGTTTCCCGTGCTCAAGCACTCGACTATGTTGTTGCATAGACTTGACTGGCTTGACGCCGACGGAAGTGCCTGTTGGCTTGGCTTTCCACTCTTTTCCTCGAAAGTATCATCCGGGAATGGAACCAAGGGCAATTCTTGCAAAGTCTGCGCCTGTGTTCGTGCCTGAATCGTGTCTTCCGTGCTCGAAACTTGTGGGCTGGGAACATCTAGTGGTAAAGCCCTATACATCAAATACTCTTGAGCCACATCTCCAGGTATAGGTCCGGTGACAAACTGTTATTCGTTCCCATGTGTACTTGCAAAGCGGACAGGTAAAGCCCCAGATATGAAAAACTCCGTATTCTAGGGTATGGGCCCAACAACATGGTCATATTTTGGTTCGCAGAGTTTTCGAAGCGAAATGTTTCGTCTCCCGCCACGCGAGACTCCTCACCCTCAGCCCCACGGCTCGGGGTGGAACCATTGTGTCGCACGCCCAAGAAAGCATCGAACATGTGCGCCTGATGCCATGCTAAGACATCTGTATAGAACAGCTCTTTGTCCTCGCCAGGTCGAGACTTCGATAGTATCCGCCAGGTGTAGATATCATGAAAGTCCCCAAGAGCGCCATTAAGAGTCCTCTTCTTCGGACACTAGAAAAATGCGGAGGAACTGAAAGACGTATGGGAACTTATCTCGCAGGTCTGGGGATCTTCCCTAATCGACGATACTCAAGTTCTGCTGAGAAACGTGATTGGTAGGGTTGACCTCGACGGAACCGCAACTAAAGACCACCTAAATTGAAATCGTCCTCCGGAGAAGGCCGATACTGTTGGAGTCCATGATCAGATGCGATAGTCAATTGTGTAGCAGGTGTGGCGAGTCGCTCTGTTTGGCCCGCATTAGTACTCCAGACTGTACTCGACAATCGTTCCTCTAGCCAAAGTTGATCGATATCGAAAATGCGTAAAATGCGTGGGCATCCCTCTACCTACATATCAGAGAAAGCCCTCTTCAAGATCCCGCGCTCAGGTCTGAAGCGTCGATATCGCCTGATGCTTTCTATCTTGTCTGTTGTAATCTCTCCTATCAATTACGCAACTCGACGAGACTCAGCCTGCTCCGGTCTGATGCGATGAAAATCACAGGCCAGTCTCGTCGCTTCTAGGGCGATTTTGAGATCGTGAATTTCCTAGGTTGGCACCGTTCGGACACCCGTGATCATGCGGATGTAACCAACCGGCAGCGTATGCATAACTTTCTCATGAGCTCTTATCTCCCACGATGGTACATCGTATACCTGAAGACGCTCGTCGCCCTGTGATCGAGTCCTTATAAAGATCTCGCCATCCTCTTCTGCAGCTTGCTTGACCAGTTGAGTGATTTCTCCAAACTCTCGAGTACGTAGACAGGACACGAAGCCGTCGATCTGAAGTACGAGGATAACTGCAACCCACAGGAAGGGATATAAGAAAACATTAGGAACACCATAGGTGAAACGCCCACGTAGCCGGCATGTGGCAAGGACAGTGTACCAGACGAAAGCGATATTGCCGAGCATCATTAGGAGCATGAGCCAGCGACGGTCTTGAAGCTCAATGATTGCGAAACCATCCGATGTTTCCATTGTGCTCTTCAGAATCTGTTTAGCAGTGTCGTCGTCAAAGTGGTGAAAGGAGCAATTGAAGAGCCTGAAGACGCGTTCGTTGTGTTTCTCTTCCCTTTGCGTTGTCAGTCGAGGGATTTTAGGAACCCTCTTCACTCACAGCTCATCTGAATGTTTGCTGAAAACAGAACCCCGGCTCATGGCCTTCGGAGGTGGTCTGATCGCATCAACAGGCTCGTCCTCGAAGTCGAGCCATTGCGAGGAGCCTCTTAGTTGTGCCCAAGCCTGCTGATTGGGATACAGATCCGATATCGTGAATTGGATCGGACGTTCACCCTTGCTTGCGCGATGCTTATTGATGAGTCTCTCGAACGTTGGTGTGGGTCCACTACTCCCAGCGCAAAACTCAAAGATCTTCACATCGCGCCCTGTATCCTTCTCATACACTTCTCGGATGACAGAATCCAGGCATTTGGAGGCAGTGAAAGCCGGAGGCGTAGGCTGGATAAAGGGGGCAAAGGGAACCCTGTGCGTCCATTCTCGTGTTAGCACATCTTGACAGCTTCCTCGGATAACGTCAGGCGTGGAAGCAAAATCGCAAATCTCAAACAACCTGAGTGCCTTCTTCAGGAGTACTGGATTGTACCGCTCTATTCGTACACATATTGGTAGAGCTTTCCTGTAGAGCCAGTCCGGCTTCCGATCATCGAAAGGTGACGCGACGTTACTGGCCACGATTGTTAGCGCAATGCGACTCTGCATTGCCTCTTCTGGTATACTACAACATACTTGGCAGGGAGAGGTTGCCTTTTCTGCGCCTGGTCAGTTGGTTGCTCTGGACGATTTTCTGGTTCATAAAGAGGAGGTCGTTTCGCCCCATCAGTCGCCAGTTCCTGTGATAATGTTTTCGGCTGAGAATCCTGAGGTCTCCCTAGCGTGATCTGTTCGGGATCCACATCCGACAGCCTTGCATCTCTCTCTGTCACCCTCTCTTTCCCGTCGAAGATAGCCTTGCGTAACTGAATGCCTGGTTGTACATCGGGTTCGGGATTCACCTCCTCACCGTCTTTCACATCCCGCTCACGGCTCGATCCCGGCGAGTCTTTTCGAACAGTGCCGATAGCTGGGGTCAACGGACGTAGATCCGGAAGTGGCCCCGCCAAGTCATGTCTGTCATCCACGGGTTTCTGGCTTGGTGTGGAGCTGGCTGAGCTGGTTCGTTTTTTCCTAAACTCTTGCGTCGGCTTGTCGATGGCTTGCTCGGGGTCCTTGTCCTTGATTTTCTGGGCTAGAGCGGTGTTCGCCGAGGCGTCCGCGACACTATGTGGTTTTTCTTCTGAGTTCGATGCGGACTCTTGTTGCGAAACCTGAGGGGCGTTCGGACTAGTTGGGTCGGTCCGTACCTGATCTGAATGCGAGCTAGAATTCGCATCCGAAGAGCTGTCTTGCGAGTGACCCGACGCCATGGTGAATGGCGGTGAGCGATCGACTAGTTAGCGATGGGCTGTTTGAGTTGTATCAAGCAATAGGATAACATGCACGAGAGACTGCCTCAAGGTGTGTAGATGAGAGGTGAGAATAGGAACCGGGAATATGCACGCGCAAACATATCGTATCAGTAGGTCCTGCCCAAGTGGGCTTGCAAAGACTCGTAGCAGGTGTCCAACTTCGTCGTCGCAGCTGTGACGTCGTGTCGCGCTTTCGTGAATCGGCTAGCTCTATCCTGAAACGGCTAGCTCTATCCTGAAACGGCTAGCTCTATCCTGAAACAGGGTCTCCTTCGTCTGCAGGGCCCCGGGGGGTCCTTTGCATGTGGCACTCGTAGAATTGTAGACTGTTTCCACATGATTGCTACGTGCACACGAGACTTTGACAACAATGTGTTTCTTGGCATTCGGCCGAGCTGCTGGGTACTATGGGCCGTTGCTAGAAAACCCGCGAAGACTCCCGAGTCGACCCAGGGCTAACCCTCATGTGCATGAACAAATATCACTTCGATCGGCAATTGATCTATGAGTTTAAATACTTGGAATTATTGCTGTCTGTGTGTACGCCCTGACTCTGTACTCACTGTGTTTCATCGTGTCCGTATATCACTTCGACCCGATCTGTACTACATCTGTAAGAGGCAGCCGGGCATCATCAATAACATGCCCCTGACACTGTCAACCCCAAGCAAACTGGTCAATCGGTTAGCTAGCTCGATCATCTCAGCCATGTTTAAAGATCACTTCAGATATCTCATTGTAAACACTTTCATGCATCGCTTTTTGACCGACTAACATTCCTCGGAAACAATGCCGACGTCGTAGACGCCTCCATCGTCAAAATGATCCCGGATCGAGGACCACGCTTCGCTTAGCTCAGCTCCACTTGATGGATGTGTCTCTACGGAAAAAGTGACCCCCCCCCCCACAACAACAACATTGCCTAGCCCAAGCTCCACAAATCAACTCTCACGCACGCACGCACATCGACACTAACTCACATCACACTCAAAATCATGAATGATAAGCATATTATACCGAAACGCTATCAAACCCCTCATTCCCATCCCGTCCTATTCTGGTGATGATGCTTACGGTGCACGACTCCGTGCTTCGAGCCCTATGTTATCTCCTACACCTTATATAACGTGTCCAAAAAACCCTTCGCCAAATCCACAACCACACTTTTATTCGGTAAACTCCCCGCAACCCCATACAAAGCCGCAGTGTCTCCCTTGACCGCGCCCTTCGCCCCCTTGCCCTCAGCCATCCTCTTTCTCTCCTCCTCCTTCACCCCCTCCACAACCTCCACCAAATCTGCAATAAGCTGGTCCGCGACAGCCACGATGGGTAAAGTGACAGCGATGTGGATCGCCGGCGGGGATTGCAGCGCATTGAGATGCCAACCCTTTGCATTCATGCCATCGGCGATGTCATAGATGTCGAGGGAGGGAGAGAGGAACGCGACGACGGAGACGAGCGGGCGGCCTACAACTTTCAAGTCGGACGACAGCTCGGGTTTCTCGCGAATTGCGGATTCGATTTTTTTCATGGAGCCAACAATTTTATGGCATGCGTCGATATAGCCGTTTTGGCCTTGCTTGACGAGGGAGGCCCAGCAGCCTGCAATCAAGGCACCAGGTCGCGAGCCCGCGATGGAGGGGGAGGCGTAGACGCCGCCGGACCAGTCCGGGCTGATGAAATATTGGTATTTGCGGTAGGCGTCAGAGCGGTATAGGACGGTACTGTTGCCCTTGGGGGCGAAGCCGTACTTGTGTGTGTCGCAGGAAATGCTGGTCACGCCCTTGAGCTTGAAGTCAAAAGGCTCGAACTCGAAGCCTGCCTTGGGAAGCATGGGGATGATGAAGGAGCCGAGGCAGCAGTCGACGTGGAGCGGGAGCTTCTTCTTGTGCGCTAGCCTGGAGAGACCTGAGATGTCGTCGATGATACCATGAGGAAAATTAGGAGCTGAGCCTACAAGGAGGATAGTGTTCGGGTTGATGAGGCGCGAGACTGCGCGCAAGTCGACTTTGTATGCGGGTGCTTTGCACGCTACCAGGTGTAGCTTAATTTTGAAGTATTCGCACGCTTTGCGAAAAGCCGTATGTGCCGTCTCTGGTAAAATCATCTCCGGCTCCGTGACGGCGCGTTCTTGATATGCTTTGTTGCGCGCAGACAGACACGCCATGAGGATGGACTCAGTACCGCCACTGGTGGTAACACCGCAAGCGCCCTCGGGCGCATTGAAGAGCGACAGAACCATGGCCACAATCTCTGCTTCCATCTTCCTCACACCAGGGAATACATCCGGATGGATTGGGTTTGCAACGGTAAACTTGCCAAACGCCTCCGTCTGCAGCCGCATCAACTCATCCCCACCATGGTATACCGCTCCACTGACTCTCCCATCTTCCCATCTCGTGTGCTCCATCTGCGCCAGCTCATCCAGCTTCTGCCGCACGTCCTCCTCGCTCCATCCCTCAGCTGGTAGCGCAGTAATGCGCTCAACTCCGGGACCGGAAGGGACCAGCTTGCGCTCAAGCTTTAGTATCGACTCGGCGATCTGGGTTTGGACTTTTGTACGGACGCCTGGAAGCTGGAGGAAGACGCCATAGAGGGTGCGCCGAATGGAGGTGTAAACATCGACGACGGATCCACTTATACCGCGGCCCTTGAGCTGGTAGAAGAGCTTGCGGGTCCATCTGAGTACGAAGAGTATGAAGACAATGTTCCGCAGCCTATGACGCGCCACGAATTAGCATCATCACATTGCCGTTTGCCTTGTCGGCACATACAGGTCCACATTCAGCGCCGCAAGCTGCTGGCCCCTCACGGAGCGAGTGCGCGCATTGAACGTCTCGCGGAGACTGACGGGGAGTCGCGACGAGCCAGGCATATTGCGCTGTCAGTTGCGATCGCTCGATGTGTTCTTTTAGGCCAGCGATAGCATTACACGTATAAAAGAAGAGATTTGGCGGTCGTTATGAGGATGCTTACTTGTTGGACAGTTTGCTACGTCAAGCTGCGTCCACGAGTTCACATGCGGTAGTGGCGGGAAGCCAGGCGCCGTGCACTTGCCGAGGCTGCACCAAAGTGGTTCGCACGGCTTCTCCCGCAATTTCTGGAAGGCCAATAGAGGTTCGCACGCATTCTTCGGCCGCCGGACAACACCACGGTTGTACTATCATCAAGTAAAGAATGCCTCAATGCTCATGTGCTATTATTGTGCTCTGATCTCACCAAAGACCTGACACGTCTCGGTACAGACTTTTGGTTGTCACTAGGTATTGCAACGGTTTGCGAGGCAACTAACCCATGAGCAACATACAGCAGGGGAGCTCGTAAGCATAGCCTAGTACAGTTCAACATGGCAACATGGATCGAATTGTTGGAGGGAGTGAGTATCATGTCCACGTGTAAACAGAGGAAATCCGTGACGCATCTCCTATTTCCGATTTGAACAGGATGCCACGCGGAAGCTAAGCGAACAACTGTCATTAACCCCACGCCACATAGGGGGTTCACACTATCGATTATAGAGCTGTACTAGTACTCGTACTTCAGTCAAGTAAATGTAGACTTTTCAAGGCCTGGACTCTGGAATGGAGCGGAGTGGGTATAATAATCTCTTTCATCGAATCGATAATGCTGGTTGGCCACAGACACAAGTCTATGAGTGGGAGTGCCACCGTGTATGCGCGCCCATCGCAAAGAGGGGCATCACCGCGCCACACTCTTCGCAACGATACGCGTCCTCGTCTAACATGTCTTCGTCCTCTGACTGCCATCGATCCTGCGTGGCGAAGGTGACTTCTTGAGACGGGGTGGGCAGGTCTTCCGAACCTCCTCTGGTACCATCGAGTCGAAGTTTGGTTGTATTGGCGACCGCGGTCTTATCACTAGAGACTGCGGTGTCCATCAAGTCATTGTCTGATATCGACTCGGCCGGCAGAACGTCGTCTGGTTCAGTGACCTTGAAGTCTTTCAATACTTGGTCCTGGCGCTTGAACATCTTGCTGATGTCACGCCCCACGCCCCCCTTTTCGCTTGCTGCGCCTACCATGTTTGTAGCTGCGATGTTGACCAAGCTCAGATTCCATCCGCTCTTCTCCGGGTGCAGTTGTCGGAACAGTGGTAGTAGAGCCTCTGCAACTAAGCGCTTGGCCAATGTGTTAACGTTATCCTTCAAGCTGAAGACGAAATTTGGCATTGGCCCCGAGCGAGAAATTCGTGCGAATGAGCGGTTGCGACTGCCATCTGGATTCTGCGGAAGACGTGGTCTGGTTGTGAGCCGCAGGGTCTTGGGGAAAGCCAACCATCGCTTCGCGCTCAAACTCGACGATTCCGTGTTATCAATGTTAATATCGGCCGACGTGAGAACAGCTTCGTCATCCTCTAAGAGGTCAGCATGCATCCGCCGCAGCAGGCTCTTCGACAATAACATAAGCTCATTCTTCACCTCAAGAATAGTATCGAGACGGATGTAGCTGTCTTCCAGGCTGATTTGAGTAGGCACATCACGAGCCCGTCCGACCTCACTATCATCGATACCATTCAGTAAACCCCATATCTTAGCGCCAATACTATATGGCGCGCCCGCGCCTCCGAGAATCTGCTCAAGCGCTTCTGCTCCAATATCAGAGACCCTTCTCAAGTCACCAACGAGCACCTTCTCTTTGGTGCCGCCGTAAACTAAGCCATGGTCAAACTCTGCTGGCCTCTGCAACACGAGCGCGCGCAACTTCTGTGCAATTTTGAAGCCAATGCCAGGGATCTTCCCGACTTCATGGCTATCTATGAATAAGGTGACGTTATCCTGACCGTCCTCTGAGGTGTAGGGCGGAAGTAGAGTAGTCTGATCGTTAGGCTTATGCACATTGCCAACAAGCTTGGAGAGAAGCTTATTTGTCGAGATGCCGACCGTGCAGGTGTGGTCTTTCTCTAATTCGAGTCTGCGTCGTAGATACTGGGCAAGATGACTGCCAAGTATCAGACGTAGGCGCAATGCATCTGACAGGCCATCTACGGTACGTTAGCGGTCTGATGAGACAACGGCCTCCCCGCAATCTGCAACCACGGAGACAGGGCCTAAGGCGTACGGCCGCTGCGTGGCTTGTAAAGGATTTTACGCGGGTGCGTATATCGCACGACGCTTAATTTGTATGTCGAAACCCCGCCCCCTTGGTCCGCACCAGCGGCAATAGATGTTGAGACAAAGGTATACGACCAGGATAAACTTCGCCCACTCGCTTTCAGGGTGTGTCGAGAGCGTATCCACGTGAACGATGAAGCCGTCCTAGCGTGGTAAGGCTGATGATGTGCGGGTCTAAACGAACACCACAACCGAGCGCAGGATTGGAGACTCCGGACTAAACTTACTTTGAATGTTCGAAACAGAATGTTCTGCGAAACATCTAACGCAGGCAACAGCCGCACGGCGCCGTACAGATAGCTTGCATGCCGGTGTCGTACCAGGATACCAAATGCAAATATTGACGACACTCGGCCCCAGGAACAAAAACCTGAAATGGAAAAGAACCGCTCTTACCTGAAGAGGTATCCGCTTGTTCTGGATATGTCTGACCAGCCACCTTGGAAGCATCGAAAGCAAAGCCAGCCGATGGATCTGTTTTGGAAAGACAGAAAAAGGAAGAGGTAAGATCCGTTGGGTTCAGAAATTCCACGTTATAGTCTACCATATCGGTGACGTCCATCCAAACCTGTGGAAGCCATCTTAGTGTTCGCTTATCCTAGTCCGGACCTCGATGAGGAAAATAGCATATACGAGCGAGGGAGCTTTTGCGGCGGGGAATTCGAAATGGCGGTGCTGCCAAGATGAAGGAAGCTGACGGAAGAATCCGTGGAATGTGCCTACCTCGTCGAAGCCCAACCTTTCGCAACGAGAGTTCCACGAGAAGGAGCGAAGGAAGGCGTAGAGCTCCTTTGAGGCATTGCGAAACCGTGTCAGATCCTCGCCGAGGACGATGACGACGTCCGGACAGATCTTCTTTGCTTCTTTGATGAGCTGCAGTTTGTAGAGGCCCTGCGAGGGTCAGCGTGCTGACTCGCGTACAGGATACGGACGAGATGGTAACGAAGGAAGCACACGATGGGCGTTCGCTGCGATTGGCTGGAAAGGCACACATGGGCTGGAAGGATCGCAATTCGGCCTTGGTGCGATCCGCAGGTCGAAATCGCGCAGTTGGCTGACGCGACAGGATTCGTACGGAACAATGGAACTCTTACTCTCCGGCGTGCCTCGTAGTTGCAAGTGACCACGATCTGTTTCTGTTGTATGGCGAGCGGACGGGATCGCAGCGACGGCGTTTCAGCCTCGACCACGCTGGCGTAGAAGGCGTCCTGGCGAGGGCATGAGTAAGCTAGGCCGGACTGGATACACCTCGTGAACGACCGCAGTGGATGCATACATAGTCCTGGACAGGTGACAGACGTGGTTAGCAAGCTCGGCTCTTGTTGAGGATTAGGGCCGACTGCCGTCGCGATTACGACGAGATGTGAGGCTCGGGGCTTTTGGGCGCATCATCAGCTGGCGTGCACTGCGAGGTTAGGCAGTGCAGGCCGGGGCCTGTGCTTACAAAGTGGATGATGATGGAGTCGAGGGGCCGGTTGAGCCTCTTCCTCGGCCGGTCCATGGCAGCCGTGGGTGGGTAGACGTGTGGGATGCAGGTGCGCGTCGAAACCGCTGCGATGGAACAGAAGCGCCTTCGAAATGCGAAACGCAGCGCGAGCCAAGAGGGAGGCTATTGGCAATAGCAGGACGACGACGGTGGATGCGGGCTCTGATGTGCGCTACGGCGGGCGGGCCAAGAGCGTTTGCCACGTCGAAAATAGGTTGTTTATTCTTGGACGGCGCGCGCCCGTTGGTTTTGTGGGCCCCCCGGCGACTGTCACTGCGCTCCACCCAAGAGACGCTCTGGTGGAGCACCAACGCCCCCGCTTCGTCCTGCCCAAGTTGCTGCGCTTTATATACGCCGCCGCCCGCCAGCCTCGATGCGCAGAAGACGTGCCCCTCGCGTCCCGCTACCCCCCGGCATCAGCAGCCAGGAATACGAAGCCCAAGCACAACACGAGCTGCCCCCAGCTGACGGCTCCCCTCCCATCTGCGCCATCCCCATACCACCGTCACCACCCCAGACGCTCCTCTCCATCTGCTCGCATGATGTTGTCGACTATATCACACTCCATGGCGCCCACCGTCCGTTCACGGGACCCTCCCACACACATCATGGCCACCACCACCACCCAGCTGCCCATAATAACCCCGCGCCAGCCCGCCCTCTCCCAGCGACCTAGACTCCGCCTCGACACCCAGCAGCATCGCACCTTTGGCAAAGGCTCCAGCCTGCGTCTCGACACTCTGAGCGCCGTCTCGCCCACCGCCCGCAACACCTTCTCCAACGCCTACGAGCCCCCGGCCTCTGCTGCACCGGCCACTGGTCGCCCATCCAAACTGCGTCTGTCTATAGACAGCAGCTGCAACGCCCCAAACAGCGCATCTACACCCAGCTCAGCATCGACACTATCATCCGCCCTCACTTCGGCTTCTACCGACTCTGCCACCTCCATCGTTCCATACAAGCAACCGCACAACGTCCGCTCCATACTCTCCAACGGTCCGAATCCACGCAAAATGGCCACTGCAAGGCCACTGTTCCCGGCTGAAAAGCGCGTGTCTTTCCGCACACCACTAGAAGAGGAGATCAAGACTGTGAAGTTTACACTGGCGCATTCGGACATCGAGTCTTCAGTCTCGACCGTCTCGTCGCTCGCAACGACTCCATCGGAAGAGTCAGAAACTAGCACAACCTTGTCAATCAACACAAAGACTATTTCTACCGCATCGCCTTCGCTATCCATCCCGTCATCCTCATCAGCCTCTCCATTTGCCTCGTTGCAAACCTCGCCTCGGCCCAGAGGTCCACGCGCGGGTGACAAGCGCGACTCTTCCGAATCTGACAGCGATTCTTGTCCCGAGACACCCGTAGCGGGGCGGCGCAAACGGAGAAGAGACTGGAGATGGACACTTGGCCCGCTTCCGTCCGACAAGTCGACTTCGTCGTCGTCGTCAGCGTCAACAAGCGTGGCAACGAGCGAAGATAGCAATTAATCAACCGGCACGAAATGAATTCTTGCATGGCGTTTCGGGAGGCAGCTTCATTACACGGGACAAGCTCAGGCTCACATTACGCACAGGCATCGGCGTTTTTACTTATCTCATGAGCATTTCACGGTGTTGATTCTTTTCCATGATACCACATCTGCATGGCTGGCATACTAGGCGACTGCTCAGAGCGTCGCACTACTCAGGATACTATTACCTACTTTAATTCTGTAAATACATGTGCCTTTCTGAAAGACAGACATTACCATCGTACATCTTCCCACATGAACGTGACTCAAGCACCAGCTTCACATGGCCATGCCTTGCCAAACATTCTAGAACCCAAAGCCACTCACATCAAGATACAGCACCATCGAAATCCTCGACTCTTCCTTCGTCGCCATGGATTGGTCGTCACTTGGACCCTGAGATCGAGACGCCATCGCACGCGGCTTGTCATGCGGTTCATTCCGTCGCATGACGATCGCTGGCCGATCTTCGCCGATCTCACACCATGTAACGCAACACGGTGCTTACACCCCACGACCCATGATATACTAAGAGTCCATCCCTATACTATACGGGGATGGAATCGCTATGTGGACAAGTTACCCAGAGTATCTCGCGTGGATAAGTGGGAAGCGAAGACCCGCGTCATCTCATAAGCGAAGGTGTAGCGAAGTGGCGCTGGAGCTGAACGCCCTCTACAGACAGACTGAAATCGGTACACAAGAAGTCGTATCGAGACTCGCATCGAAATATTTGAAATTAATCATCTGTGCTTCTCGTATGGTTCGCCGCAATCAACAATGCGGGACATACCACCTGGGCACGTTGCGGTCCCAGACCGTCTGTGCCTCAGGCACACAGATCAGTCCCTCATCCGCTCCCTTCCAGTCCCGCTATCGATAGCCTAAATAATCCAAGCTGTCAACAAGCGATCGACGCAAAAGGCCTGTCAAACGAAAACTCTCTTAGTGGGGGTTATTGGCGTTCCAGAACACTTGCCGTGAGCCTCGAACAGGGAAACGGAACCAGCGCGCGAAACGTCGGAAGCGTGGAGGAGACCGAATGTCCGAGGATCAAACGGACGGGAGGTTGACCGACGCACGTGGGAGGTACCGACTAAAAATAGCGCCGAGCATTCCGAGGTACAATGGCAAACAGACTCGACTGCTGATTGCGATGTGGGCTTGCGAAACGCGTGACTACGCGTACGGTGGAGGCGGGCGTATGTGTGGTATAGGGGTGAGGCGTACAGTGAAGAGTGATATTCCGGTGTAAGTGCTGATGAGAGGTTACATATAATCTAGGAGTGACAGGGGATGGCGCGGTATGAGAGGAATCCTTGGAAAAGATCGGTATGCCCGATCCATCTAAACTACCTGATCGTAGTACATTTTAGTGAAAGGGCAGTCCGGTTGGTTTCTGAATGATTGGCCACTATATCCTTGAGCATCATCTGGTGGATTTGAGAAAGGTATTGATCTTGTCTAGAGGGCTGTACGTTATGACCACATATCTATCGCACATTTTCCCAGGGCTCCACGTGTTATTTTCAATTTAAGAATGCTGAGATTGACTAGAAAGCGTGAACCTAGACTGATCTTGAGCCTTGTAATCTCCCAATCAGTCATCCTCATCACTACTCTCTTCATTATCCTCAGCCTGTTCTCCTTGTTTGATGATACCTTGACCGCCTTGATCCGGTACATGGCCTGTAGTCGGCTCTATGGTAACACCAAGTGCTTGACGGCCGTCCGCAAACTGTTCGTGGTCTTCTTTCGCCAATTCCTCGAGCACTTCATTGATTTTAGGTAGCATGTGGGTCTCAGTAGAGACCTGAAAGCATCTACCCAGATCACCGGGGGCCTGCTCAAGCTCCGGCACCAGGCTTTCGAGAACTTCAATAAGATGTTGGTCGTCCCTGTGAAGCCGCTGTTTCTTTAAGCGAAAAGCGCGGGCCGGGCTTGACGCCAGGACCCAATGATTCGAATTCGTGATAGGATGACCCATTACGATGGCAACACGTGTGTCGGATTTCCAATTTCCAGAATGTGAATAACCGGATGATATCAGTAATCAAGCATCGTTTTGATGGGGTTTTCAGCCAAGCGAACAGTGATAAGCGGTCTGCTACAGTTTGAAGTGTGATGTCTATCGAACATGAGCACATGGTTGCCCAGTGTTGTGCGAGGTACGTACCCAGTCCATATCTAGCATACCACTTCGGGGATACCAGTAGCTCTACTATGAAACGCCTGCAGAGGATACTTATCAGAACACAGCCGGATTTACTACAGTGACACACACACATAGGTCCGACGTCTGATCAGCTACAGTATTCGTGATGCAATGCCACAGCTTGGCATCGCTATTCTTGGCAGTGTAGTTCTGATGTAATATGGACATGCTCAAAGGACGTCAGTGTTGTTCTTCTTCCCAATCGTTATTGACTTTTCTGAATGTTTGGTCTTGAACTGTGTTCCATTCATGAAGACTGAACATAGCGTTGAGTCGTGGCCATTGCGCTCTGAAGAAGCCGAATCCAAACCACCAACTGAGTAGATGCAGACACCGGATGGATGAGTCCGGCCACGCTTGACTCAGGTCCGAGCCTCTAGCAAGAAACCATTCGACCACGCTCAAGACCTTCCATGATCGTAGATTAGACTCGGAGTGCCGGATATAGAATAGGAGAGGACCCACAAAGGCGGGTTGGCCGTCCAGCTCGATTGGGACCGAAACATCCCTAAATCCAGCGTCGTACAAAACATCCAAAACACAAGAGTTAGGAAGTTGCTGACCTAGCGCAGTGTATACGCACACGCTGGAAGGTTTTAGCGATGCAGGAACAATGGCACCTCTCTCTTCGAGAATTCTGCATACACATGCATCGAGGAGCCTGTCCTTTCGGCAGGGGTATTCCCGTTCACGCAAGTGTTTGGTAACCAGTGCTTCCAGGCCTAGTCACTGTAATACAAGACTAGTAACGATGAGACTGGCTTTCTCTGAGTTCCCGGGAAGACGGTCCCAAGCGTCGACGCGGTACAAAAGGTGGCGTTCCTCAATGACATGGGAAAGAGCGAACTTCAAGCTCCCAAGTTGGTCCATCGTACTTGGGTCCAGATGAGGTCGCATCTCCAGCCAGAATCACTTGGCATCCGCATACACGACCACCCACAAAAGAAATCCGGGTTCCCGGGACGGATTTTCAACTTTACTCCATGATCAAGCAATATCTTACAGCCTTCTGGCCAGGACATCATCACAGCCATCTCGTATCACAAGACTACAGTCAATTACGCAGTTTGTAAGTCATGGCGGATGTCCTTCACTAGAGACCGCAAGTACTCAACGTCGCCCTTCTTGAACGGGTAGGATAGACTGAACCTGATGGCCTGAAATTGCTGACGAATCAGAGAGCTGTTGCCATCCGCAGTATCCGGAAGTCTCTGTCTGATTTTATCGAGGGCATCCCTGCACGTTACCACAGCTGCGCTTGTAGCAGCAACAGAACTTAGCGGATCGAGCTTAATGAGGACAATCTCGAGTTGCTCGAGTTAGTCTTTCAAGCGATCAAGTCCGATACGTATGTCTTCAGCCTTGTCCACGGCGGCTTTGACGTCGCCGATGAGGAAATGCAGTCTTTCACACGCAAAAAGACCGAGTGAGATGACGCTTACGGCGCTCCCAGCAATAGAGAACGGATCGGCCATGATAATCACAAGGCGGGTGGTCAAGGACAGAGTCATGGAGCCTCCGCTGGAGAGGAAGTAGAAGTGGCTCATAATGAGGCTGAGGCGAGGTTCAGGTGAGTGCGTCATTGCAGGTCATAGTGAGCTCAATGCATCCTGCTGCACATCCTTGGCTTACCCACTGATATGACTCTTGAATGATGAAGCCGTGTGACCCTCGTATGCGTTATTTCATCCTCATTCTAGTGATAGAAATCATCGTCCCTTCGATGTATTTCGTAGCGCCGCGCGTCGCAGTTCGAGGGTATGCTCCGCGCATGGAGCACAGGATCAGGTGTCCGCCTCGTATTGCGCAATATACATGGGGATTCGCTAGGTGATCGCTGAGCTGAGTGGTCTTCCGCCGCAACAGTAGGTGTCGGCCAATCAGGCGTGGAAAAGTGTAAAGGAAGACTTAACCAGGTCAGCCAGTAGGGTGACAACCGTCAGCTGCAACATGGCATCCGAGCATAACGAACGTCTCTCTCACGCTCTCCGCTTGTTCGCCCGGTTTTTGTTGCCTTCGGGGGCAGCCCCTGTGTCTGCCTCGTCGTCCGCCATATCTGTGGCCGTCTTGCTCCTTTCCCGCTTCCTCTTCTTCCTGTTTGCTGCCTGCTCCCCATCCCCTGCAGTACTCGTACCAGGCACATAGCGTACAACGCTCCGCCTGTCCTCATTACCCCCCTCCCTACTGTCTCGCCGCTGCTTCGCTATTTCAGTCCTACTCTCCCTGACTAGCCTTTCATACTCCTGGGTCCTCTTCAAATTCTCCACCTTCGTCATCACCCTCCAATCGTCCGGCTTTCCTGCCGCTCTCCATTTCTTCCACCGATCCTCATGCATAACATTCCCACTCAGAATCACAAAAGCACAGCCGTTATACAGCATACGCACCGCCTGAACAGGCAGCCACTTCGCCCTCAGCCCTCCGTGTTCCTTAAGCCAGTGAGCGACTTTGGCGGGCGTCTTGCACATGTGCCGAATGTGCGGCTCGACGTAGATGGCGCGCTGGTCCCAGAAGCTTAGGCCGTCGTCGTCTGTGATTGAGAAGGAGTTGGAAGGAACGAAGGGCGCAGGGTAGGTGGAGGGAAGGCGGCGAACGTAGAAGCCTGAGGAGGATAGCTCGAGTGATGGGCTAAATACTTCTTGTAGTGCTTTCCGAAGGAATGACTGAGTGGCCTGTGGCTTGAGAGTTGCTATGTTTGGGTGATCGAGGATTGCCGTGAGATGAACATATTCTTCTTCCCCATCAACCGTCCTATGCCGCTCTTGAAGCCATTTGGCACCATCCTTGTCTTGGTGCGCGTAGTCGGTGAAGATCAGCTCAATTCCAGCGACTACTTGGGCAAGATACTCCAGGGAGGCTGCTGTGGTAGCTGGCTTTGAACTCTTGAGAACAGTTGGCTTGTCACCATGTTCCTCCGCTTGCGCTTCTGGAGATGGTGCAACTGAATCGGTGCTTGTTCTCTGCATGGCCTGAACGAGCGCGTCTTCACTTGAGACTTGGGCCGCGCCTGAGCTCTGTGGCTGGCCGATCTTGCGCTTTTGGGTCTCCTTGACGCCCTTGAGCCGGAGCGAGCGAGGGACGAACATGGCCACTGCGCTGCTACATTAAAGCCGCAAAGAGTGATGTACGATCGAGAAGTGGTTTCGGCTGAAGTGCAGCTGTGCGACGCGTTTTGAGGGGTCCACGGTCATACGTTCGTCACGCGAAGTCACGTTGCGGCTCCACATCGATTACCGGTATGTCTTGGCGTGACCGAACTCCAGTATCACCGCAAATGATAGCTTCCAACCATTTTCACGACCACCTCCCCGCCCCACACTGCACTACCCATTCTTGGACCATATACAATGCCCAAGGAAAAAAACATTAACCCCGTGCAAGCCGCCAAAAAGGTCGAAAAGCAAAAACAGCTCAAAAAACAAAAGGCACAGCTCCAAACGCAGCGTACCGAAAAACTCGCCCGCCGCAACCCCGTCCGCATCCAGCGCGACATCGATGCACTCAAAGAAGCAGAGCAGAGCGGCGCGCTACGACCACATGAACGCACACGGCTCAATGAGCTGGAGAAAGACCTCGCGGCGGTGAACAAGGCGCGGACGGCGCTGGGGGAGAATGCGCCGCAGTTCAAGCCAGAAAGGAGAGATGATGGGGGTGATAGAGGAGGGAGGGGTGGAAGAGGAGGCGTGTTGGGGAAGAGGTCTAGGGATGGCAATCGGAGGAATCACAATGGCGAGGAGAGCAGCGATACGGATGCGGATGTGAGGGATATTCCGATGCCGAGGGATACGCCACCACCCATACCGCGGCGATATGGTGGGGATGCACAGGCTGAGGAAGGACCTCCAGAGGCGAAGAAGCCGACGCTCGTGTACGAAGCTGCGCCGCAAGTCCGCGACTTTAAGAAGGAAGTTACATCACGGTTCATGCCTGCGGCTGTTGCGCAGAAGATGAAGCTAGCGAAGGGAGAGGGAAGGCTGTTGGAGCCGGAAGAGTTCGACAAGCTACAACAGGAGGGATACATGAGCACTACACGGGTGGGTGAAGCTGGGGCTGAGGCCGAGGCGGATCCTGAATTGGATCGTTTTCTGCATGCACAAGAGGCCAAGGAAGTTGCGGCAAAGGCTGCCGAAGCCGCCATGCAAGAGGCGGAACTCGAAATGATAGAGGCGGAGGACAAAGGCGAGATACCCAACTTGGAGGCTGAAAGCAGGGTTGCGGAGAATAAACTACGACACGTGGAGATCGAGGAGGTGGAGGATGACGACTATTGAACTACGATACCCAAGACCGAATGACAATGTTGATCACTTTTAAGAACCGTGAGCATTGCAACAATTTGACACGGCAGCAAGGCCAGACAAGTGCCGAGTCATACATGGCCGTTCGCGCGTTGAACCCGGTATACGTAACTGCATGCAATGTTCCTGGCGTTCAACCTGATAAAGACTTCGTTAGCGAAGTGCCCGTAAGGCGTGGGTACGAGAGCGAGATACAATCATCGTCATGTCACATGTTTAGGTGCTCTTTCACATTATTACAACATCACCACCAGCACCGAGAAAGACAGACTTTCGTATTCATGATTTATTCATTCATCGTAGCCTAGGCTGTAGGGTATACTGATACGAATTCGGCCATAGGTGAGAACAAGCCCCAAGCTCATGCCATAATCGTTCGTGTCGAACAAGTTGAAGAAGTCAATCCACCCGCATGAAGCGAAGTCGTCTATTTCTTGCTGCCGGACAAGGTGTCCTGGACGGACTGGGCAGCGTTGCCGAGGGACTCCTGAGCGGAGCCGAGGATGCCTTGGCCCTGGTTCTGAGCGTTGTCGCCGCCGCTGCGGGTGGCATCGCCGACCTTCTGGGTGGCGGACTTGTCACCCTCTGTGCATTTGTTAGCACGAGCCAAAGCAGGAAGATGTGGAGAGAAGCATACCAGGCTGAACGGAAGAGGCAGCCTTGTCGTAGGCACCGGAGGCAGACTCGGAGGCCTTGTCGAGAGTAGACTTCTGGGAGTCAGGAGTGACCTTCTCCTGCACCTGGTCACCGAGACCCTTGCGACTACGACATGTTAGCGGTTGGCCATGGTAGGTAGCCGAAGAGGAGCGTACCCGAGATCAGACATGTTGCTTGTTGGTGGTGGGTTGGGTTGGTTGTTTACGAGGTGTTTGTGGTTGAGAGTTGTTGAGAGCAGATGTGTGTGATGGATGGCAAGTCTAGAGGCGGCGAAAGAGTGTTTATATACAAGCGGCAGCTGTGCCCGCAGACAGAGCACCTACGCCATTCGCACGTCATGGTGTTTGCTGCGAGGCAGCCACAGATGAAGGTCCACCGGTGTGGATGCTGCCGCGCAGGCGCGGGCAAGCGCATTGCAAGCGCCTGCCTTGTGGCTGCACGATTGGTCGATCTCGCAAATCTCATATGCTAAAGTCGCACCTGGCCATGGCGAAATACCCTGATTTCCATAGCGGCTCGCATCTTGGACCGCTGCAGAGCTACCCCGCGGCTGACGTCACCCGCGCCTGCAGCACGTGCGTCGCGCCGTGGAGGGGCAATTGCCTCGCGTTCGCGACCGTCGTGTGACAACAACAGGGAATACTTGTGGGTATACATCCGCGGGCCAGCAATATGCCATCATCCTCTTGTACGTCTTCACCCGGTTTCTGTTCGCCTCGAGAGACGCAATGTCGTCATGCCCCTCTGTTCGCCACCAAACAACGCCATGTTCTCACAGTCAGCCCGCTTGTGAATTCGAATCGACGATGCTCTCAGCCTCGGCTGTCACTCCGTCCACGTACGCCACATGTAAACACTACCTAGCTGGTCATGTCTACCTTCTACCTTCATCGTTGTCACGAACAACCCCTCGACAGTACTCTGGCTTGGAAACCAAGCTGTGCGAACGACACTTGCACAAGTACGAAGCTATCAGGGACTTCCTCGATCAATCCAGACATTCTTGATATTCTTTAGATTACGAGAAGGCTGCTGTGTTCGACACTGTTGAACGTCGGATTCGCACAAGAGCTGGACATCCGACGCGAGGCTCCACACTTCTGGAGCGCAACTTCGAACTCTACCTGTCTGTCTGGTTCATTTGTGCTGCATGAAGAATGTCCCCTTTTCTACAAGTAGTTCTACTCCACGCTCTCGATGTAATGTTATCAGAGGCTTATACGCAGCTGTTGGCTAGCTTTCATCCTGCTCGCTGATGTGTTGCAGCTGAGTGCTGACACAGGAGCTTCAAAGCCTCGTGTCAACAAGATCCAACGTTGAGTAGTCGTTGGGGGGTGAGATCTACGTGCTAGACTTAGATACTAGGCTGATAGTACGAACCTGAGGCGGACCGCGACTAAGCACCCCAGCCTACATAGGTTGGCTTACGATTCTCCGCTCCTTCGTCTTTGTTGCATCGACCAATGAACCGCGATTCAAATCCCGTGAAACGTTTCAAAACTTCCATTCGACGTTCCTGCATCTCGCGCGATAGGGCGTCAGAAACATTGATCAACTTTCGCTATGCGAACGCCGAGACGCTATCGACTGCCGCCGTGTCTGTAAAAGCATGACTACCAGCAGCATCTTGGAAGTGCCTCATAGCATACTACAGGCTTGCGATCATAGCCTCGAGATTGCTCACCTTGATTATTAGCCTGAACCAAGCCTGCAACCCCTCCAAGATATCTGAGTGCTAGCGCACCAAACTCGCCTTGTCCTTGGCGAGAATGTTTGCTGAGTGTCGCGCGAGTAAAATAGGAGTTCGGTAGAGACCAGCCTTCTGCTTTTGGCGCTCTAGGCGCGCCTTACACGGCCAGCCGACTCGACAACACCGGCCGGACGCCTACCTCTCGTTGAAATATACGTTGTCCCGCCCATTTTGGGCTGTGTGGTCTCTTACACTGATAAGCAGGAGTTCTTCACTCGTTTGGGCCTTTTGTTCACACTCGTTCTATACTAATTAGCATCTCAAGGGCGATTGCACATGATCCTTCTTCATCATGAAGTTTCAATACCCAGCTCTCCTTTCCTTACTCTACATCAACCCAGCAGTGGCCGACTACACCGAAAATACCCACACAGCAATCCAACTCCTCCAAGAGAAATTCTACAATGTCGACACCGGCCTCTGGAAAGGCGGGTCCGTTGATCTATGGTGGCAGTCCGGTCACATTTTAGAGAGCATTGCCCGCTTCGGCATCGCAGACGAGTCCTACAAGCAGACCGCCATAGACATCGTCACAAACACGCACGCCAAATCTGGAAACCAGATCGGCTACACAAACTGGCACAACGACTACTATGTGTTGATTGTTGACTCACCTGACCCTACTTCAGACGGAAAACAATTTATAATTAAGTTAATTAATTAATTATCTATAGGTAGTAATTTAGATAAATAAGCACCTTAGGGAATACTTAAGAAGTCTATTTTATATAGATTAATATTATTATATCTACTATTAGATAGATCTTTTTAACTTAGTAGCTAAGTAGTTAGATTAAATTAATCTACTATTATCTCTTATAAATTAAGAAGAACTTTTCCTATCTAAAAGGGCGTCTCTAGTATTATAAGGGGTTTCTATATACCTAACCTAGGCTAGTCTTATAGGTATTTAGTAAATAGGAGTAAATAAATAATAAAGGGGTAAGAGAATATTCTAATCTTACTATAGAAGGTAAGGTAATAACTATATAAGAAGACTAATAGATCTTAGTATAAAAGATATACTTTAATTTTAATTATAGAATTTAACTATAAAAAGTAAAAAATACTTAGAAACTATTCTAGACTATATACTACTCTTCTTAGTCCTTATAATCCCTTACTAGCCTTTATTTCTAGGGAGTATAGTGTTATAAACTAGATAAGGTAGGGAAGTTTAGGTACTTATAAAGGTAGAAGATATAATAACTAGGGTTATAATAAAATAAAAATATACTAAGTTACTTAGATAGTAGTTATATAACTTATTTAGCTACTTAGAATTCCTAAATAACTAAGTAGCTAAGAGCTATTATATAACCTACTTAGTTATTTAGAATTTCTAAGTAACTAAGTAAGATCCCTATATAGAAATTATTAAATCTAGAAAGGGTAGCTAGTCCTAAATAGGTTAAGGTTAGTTCTTAGGTAAGACTTACTAAGGGGAGAAAGAAGGGGTTCTTATTAATATAGAAGTATCTTATAAAGTATAATAAGTTAATAAGAAGGCCTAAGTAAATCTAAATAATAGATTAAAACTTAGGTTAAATATAAGTATAAAGGTTTATTCTTATATTCCTATATAGAGATCTTACTTAGTTACTTAGGAATTCTAAATAATAGAGTAGGTTATATAATAACTCTTAGCTACTTAGTTATTTAGAAACCCTAAGTAGCTAAGTAAGTTATATAACTACTATCTAAGTAACTTAGCGCGTTTTTATCTTATTATAATTCTAGTTATTATATCTTCTACCTTTATAAGCGCCTAAACTTCCCTACTATTATCTAGTTTATAATATTATCCCTCCCCTTCTTATTCTTTGCCCTAAAGAATTATGCCTACTAACTATTATTCTATAAAGCGTTACTATAACCTTATTTTTACTATTAAAAACTATAGTATTATTATAGTATTAAAATATTTATTCTATTAGTTATATACCTATGTTTATAAGGTCTATATTAGTTTAGGAAAGTATAGTAAGTATTAGAAGTAAGGTTTAAAGTATAATATTACTATTACTTAGAATAAGTTCTTACGGTTAGTTACTAAGAAGAAGAAGTTAGAGGCATAATTAAATAAAGTATAAAAGAAGTAGAATACTACTTTTAAAGCTATATATATAGCTTAAGTAAAAGAGGATTAGCCAAAAAAGTAGTTATTATAGAATAAAAAGTATACTAGTAAAGTTATTATAGTAGAAAGTATAGTATTAGTAGAGTTAAATAAAAATTCTATTTAGCCTACTTAGTCTACTAGTTCTATAGAGCTTTATCCCTCTATCTAGTTAGTAATAGATAATCTTCCTTCTAATTTTATTAAATCTAGAAAGGGTAGCTAGTCCTAAATGGGTTAAGGTTAGTTCTTAGGCAAGACTTACTAAGGGGAGGAAAAAGGGGTTCTTATTAATATAGAAATATCTTACAAAGTATAATAAGTTAATAAGGGAGGCCTAAGTAAATCTAAATAATAGATTAAAACTTAGGTTAAATATAAGAATTAATAGTAATTCTTCTATTCCTATATACTTAATCCTATATAGCCACTTACTAGTAAGCACTCGCTAAAGAGTACTCTCTAGAGAGCGCTCTCTAGAGAGTAGTTATATAACTTTCTAAAGTGCCCTAATTCTTAGATAGGTATTACCTATAGTTAACATATGCTCGTCTAGAGGCTTCGCTATATAATAGGCTACCTTATTACCTATTAGATCCTGGATCCTAACACTTAGCTTAAAGTTACTTAAATATTAAGGCGTACTTACCTATTAATATAGTTTATTTTAGCCTTTAGATCTATCACTCTACCTACTTTACTTTATTAACTTTACTAAATATAATAGTTATCTATTCTTAGAACAACTTCTAATCCTTAAAGACTAGTTTAGTGTCCTCCTAATATTCTTTAATACTATCCTTATTTTCTATATAGTTATCTGCTAGGGGTTATATCTATCTAGTAGCCTATTCTACTATATATATTCTAGTAGCTAATATTCTATTTTATTCTTTACCTATAGTGGCTTTATAAGAGCGGTTATATAGCTCTATATTAGTAAGGAATAGTTTTAACTTTTCTTAGTCTCTATTAAAGAGTTCTAGGACTTTAAACGTTCCTTTAACTAGGGTAGTAATATTATAAGGGGTTTCTATGTACCTAACCTAGGTCGGACCTTATAGGTATTTAGTGGATAAAAGTAGATAAATAATAATAGGGTAAGAGAATATCCTAGCCTTACTATAAAAGGTAAGGTAATAATTATATAAGAAGACTAATAGATCTTAGTATAGAAGATATACTCTAATTTTAACTATAGAATTTTAACTATAAAGAATAGAAAAGATTCTAAAGTCTCTTTAGACTATATACTATTCTTTATTATCTAAGAGATCCTATCTAGACTCTAAGGTCTTAG